TCCTGTTTTAGATCGTGGAGAGTGCTCCATAACTGATAATAATGTGCCAAACCAGTAGCACGGAAGCGGACTGCCAAGAAATCCCACGCTGCCTTGGCAGTGTCAAATTGGGCAAGCTGAACATGGATCGCCGGAGTGGAAGTATTGCGCAACCAAGTGAGAATTTGATGGTTTTTACTATCCCAATCTTCCAATTTTTCAATATAAGATTCAACAACTGTGGCGGTAGGCGTAACTTCTCCTATAGAGACTGGAGCAATGGGGGCAACTATATCTCCCGTAACAATTCGCCACAATTTCCGACCTATCAAAAAACTTTTCATCGATTGTGCCCACAAACTGTAATTATCTCCAGACAAAACAACATTGATCGGAATATGTACATCCATCTTTTCCATAGAAACTCAAGAGAAAACAGAATCTCAAACCTCAAGCCGAAAGCCGAAACGAAAGAAACCGAATCAAAACCCGAAACACAAAAAGTCAACCGGATACAAAAAACTGCTCAAACCGAGGAAGTGAAGATACCATCGCGGAGGAAATCAAATTCCGAACACGACGGTGCAAAGATCGCCGCCAACGGCCGCCGCACGCGCCCCCACGCGCCGGCGAGGCGTCCGGCCGGAAAAACACGTCGGGCGCGTGTGACTCTCACGCGCCGCCGTTCGCCGAACTGTTCCGGCGTCCGGCCGGTCTCGTGACGGCGAAGGCGATGGTGGTGGCGGTGACGGTCGGAAGTGATCGGAAATATGCTATCTGGAATTCGTGGGTTGTTTCGATTTAGTCGGGAAAAAGCATGGCTCTGATACCATGTTATGATTTATGGAATAAACTCTATTTTCATTGAACACAATTAGAGTACAATATTATATTTATACAAGAGATATATTAGGTAGAATATATATATCAATATATAAAATATATATATACTATATATATCAACACATACATATATATCATTTTGTGTGACGAGGCTGAGTGATGCCGGGCAGCACCGATGCTGAGGATCCGGTGCCTCCGAGCAGCATCTTCATCCTCGTAACCCTGCGACATTATTGCCACGTGTCATTATTTCATTTGATTTTGATTTAATTGACTTTTTAATTATATATAATTAATTAAATCCTTATAAATAAATAAATTGACAAAATAAAAATAATTTTCTTTTATAACAATCTAAGAAAATAATATAGATATAGATAATATATATATATAAATATTTGTTCATCCAATATTTTTTTTTATATGACATGATTGTTATGAATATTATAAAAATATAATATATAATACTTATACTTTATTCGTTTACAAAAATTAATAATTTTAACTTTTTTTTTAATTATTAATATGATTTTTCGTGCCTAATATAAAAAACACAAATTTATCCAAAAACATTAAGCAAACAAACTGGAATTATTTTATATTAATAATGAGGGAAAAATATATTTTTAGAAAAAATTCAGGTTATGTTTAGATAAATATTTTTGGAGTTTGAAAATTTTGTAAAATTTGAAGAATAGTAAAATAAGTATTTGATATTTTTTTTCATTAAAATTAGTCCATCTGGATCAGGCATGAAGATTAAGATAAATTAATATTTTTTTTGAAAAAATAATAAATTAGAAATTAAAGTAAATAAAAAGATAATGTAATAAAATTGGTGATATTTGTTATAAATAAGTATTGAATAGAGGATAATAATTAAATGTTGATTTGTTAATTTTATCAAAATTAGCAATGAAATAAATTTAACAAACGGAGAAATTTTTTGTAAATAAATAAATATTTAATATAATTTTTTTTTTGAAAAAAAAAATAATAATACCACAAACATATTCAGAAAGTGAATATGTAAAGAATTATTTATATTTCAAACTTGTTTTTGGTACTATACATTAATAATACTCCTTCTGTTTCGAAACAATTGATACATTTAGTTTTTGGTAAGATGTTTAAGTTAATAAGATTTAACTAGTTAATAATAATAAATTATGATACTCTCTCAGTCCTTTCCGAAAGGTTACTTGAAATTCTGTAGTATATTAAGAAATAATAATTATATTAGTTATTCAAATGTGTAAAATATTTTAACATTTTGATAATTTGATATTTTTGTATATAATAATTGTATATGTAGTGATATATTTATAATTTAAATAAGAGTTAAAAAGTATTTTAGTATTAACATATGGTTACTTTTACTTTTAAAAAAAAATAGTATTTTTAAATGGGACCGACGAAAATAGTAAAAATAGTACTTAAATAAGAGAGGGAATATTATTTTATTGTTTTTTTATTTAAGTGGTATTGTTTGTAATTTTAAATAAGAAATTAATATATATGATTGAATAAATTTATAATATATATTTAAATATTTTAACTTTATATTTTAATAAAATATATCTAATATGAATATCATTTGTAGACAATAAAATTTTATATGATACAAAAAAAAAGAAATATATCTATTTATCTATTTATAATTAAAATAAATTAATTTTAATAAATGATCAAAAATTCTAAATATAAATAAAAATATTTGTTTATGAAGCAAAAATCAAAATAAAAGAGTTTTGTGTAATTGTATATAATTTACGATATTACATGTTATATATGAAGTTAATTAATTGTTGAATATATATTAAATTAAAAAAAAAATTATCAAGTATAAAGGGTGTTAATAAAGTAAGATAAATAAAAATAAAAAATATTTTAATTAAAATATGTCAGTTATTTTGGGACGGATAAAGTATCATTTAAAAAATACACCACCTCCAATATAGGCCATGTTTACTTGTATTCACACCTAATGATATTCTACAAAGTGGTGATGAAACGAAGTTTTGTTTTTTTTATATTATTTCAATCCGTTAAATTTATTTTTACTTTTATTTTTTGTTAGTTCATTAAATTTATTTTATTACTATATTTAAAAAATCAAAAAATTATTATTTGATTATTATTTTTCATTCAACATTTATTTACAACACAAAATTATTAATTTTATTACATTTTTTATTCATTCTTTTTAATTATGAACTAAATTTTCAAAAATACTTCAAACTATCATCTTATTTAATAAAATATTAATTTTTTTTAATTCCCGCAAAAAAAAAAAACCCTAATATACATGACCTGATACACGCCCTTAGTTGTACTATAAAAATACTTTTCTATAATAAAAATAAGCATGTACAAACAAACCATTATTCAAGCTAAAATTCAAAATTAACCTTCAAGTAATTAAATAATAACTCATAATTTTATATTAAATGTCCGTTGCCTCGTATTTTTATTATTCATAAAACAAAAATAAAATATATCAAAAAATATATTTATTTTTATATTAATTAATAATTAACTCTACATTCCCAATATTAGACCACTATCTACTTAATAATTTCAATTCAAAAAGTTACTACTCCCTGTGTACTGTATCTGACTTTAAAGGTCACATTTATTTTTACGTGTTGATCTTTTAATATTAATTATTATATTAAAATATAGTACTACCTTCATCTGGCTCTAAAAGTCTCATTTACTTTTTGCGTATTGATATTTGAATATTAATTATTATATGAAAATATAGTACAAAATAAAGAAAAATGACAAAAATATTTCTATTAAATACAATTGTTAAAATATTTTGCAGAAACTCTAAAGATTGCATTGCTGATAATCAAAATAAGGGTCTATATATATAGGCAACCTAAAACAGACTCGATAGACTCAAATCTAAATAACGTAATCTAATGGATATGACCAAATCTAAATTTAAATCTAACAAATCTAAAACTAAATATCGAAAATCTCTCGACACCCCCCTCTCAAACTCGAGTGGGATAGCAAAAACCAACTTGTTTGACAAGAAAGTTAAACAAAAACCAAAAGACGCAAACGCAGATAACAGTTGCTTGGTCCGTCGTTGGCACCGCCGCTCTTATTCTCGCACATAATAGTTACTCGTCTGACGTCGCCTTTGTCGCTCTCAACTGAGCTCCTGTCCAAACGCAGACATGAATTCTAACGCAAACGCAAATAACAGTTGTTTTGTCCGTCGTTGCCGCCGCCGCTTCCCAGTGAGCTCCTATTCTCGCACATAATAGTTGCTCGTCCGACGTCGCATTTGCCCTCTCAACAAAGCTTCTGTTCTCGAACGTAGACACAAACTCTAATGCAAACGCAAATAATAATTGTTTTGTCCGTCATTGCCTCCGCCGCTCCCGACCAAACTTCTGTTCTCGCACATAACAGTTGCTTGTCCGACGCTCTTAACAAAGCTTTTGTTCTTGAATGCAGACACAAACTCTAAAGCAAACTCAAACTCAGACAAAACTGTAGACATATCTCAAAATCAAAATCAAAGACCTCCGGGTACATTCCAGATTGAATGTACCCGAAGCAACGATGTTTAGTAGGCTATGTCTATCACAAGAAAAAAATAAGCTCTGATATCATGTTAAAATATTTTGCAGAAATTCTAAAGCTTACATTGTTGATAATCAAAATAAGGAGCTTATATATACACAACCTAAAACAGACTCGATAGACTCAAATATAAATAACGTAATCTAATGGATATGACCAAATTAAAATCTAACAAATCTCCTTTGCCACTCTCAACAAAGCTTCTGTTCTCGAACGCAGATATGAATTCTAACGCAAACGCAAATCTACATCTAACAAATCTAAAACTAAAATTAAATATTGAAAATCTCTCGACAACAATGAAGGTAAATGAGACCCTTAGACCCGGACATAAAAATTAAAAATTAAAAATTAATAAAAAAAAATATTTCTATTAAAAGATATTTGTATATAATAATTATACAAATATAAATATATTTTTAGCCTTTTAAGTATAATAACACTAAAAAGAAAATAGACGTAACCAAGTTAGAAGCAACGGTTTCTTCCTCAGTGTGTCAGTATATGCATTGCAATATAGAGAGAGAATGCATGGGAAGAGAGAGATAATAGAGGGACACGTGGCAGCATGCATGGAGAGGATGGGTAGAAGTTGGGTGCCAAGTGTACCATGGAAATCTTTACTGCTGCAGCTTCTTCTACTACTGCTCACTCACTCACCACCTTTGCATTTATTTTATTTAGTTATTTTAACCGCCTCCTCCTCCGTTCACTTCCTCACATAAAATGAAGTCATTCTTCAACTGCATTTGTCCTTTCTTCCCTCTATATTATATATATATATATATATCTTTATTTATTTATTTATTTATTTATATTTATTTAAACCCCTAAAATTTGTACAGATGGAGAATCTAATATGAAGGGTGATAGTGACAGACACATTAGATGTAGTTGGGAGAGGCCTCATCACCTCACCTCTGCGTAGGTCGTTCACTAAGATTGTCTCGTCTATTGTTTCCCACTTTCTTTTACTATTTTAATCCAAATATATTCCGTCCGTTACAAAATTATTTATATATATATATATATATAATTTTTAGCTTGTATCATCTTATTTTGAAAAGATATTTACCTTTTCGTCCCAAATTACACTAAAAAAAAATACAGTATATTTGTAACGGAATTCCGTCCTTAAAGTTTACGTAACTAACGTAATTTTATTTCTAATTTCGTCTCTAATAATTATTAGTAACGGAAAAAATGAATTTAAGAACGAAAAAATATGTTACAAAATTGATATTTTTTTGTAGTGTTAAAAGAGTCTTTGGAATTTTGTAATAGATTAAAATATAATACTATATTGGTTCAGCTCTAATGGTTTCATTTATTTTTTGCGTATTGATTTTTTAATATTAATTATTATATCGAAACACAGTACAAATTAAAAAAAAAAATTGCAAAAATACTTTAATTGGGTCTTATAATACTAATAGAAGGACATTTGACAAAAAAAAAAAAATAATTATAGAAATATAAAGATATTTTTAATGTCAAGTATAATGACGCAAAATGTAAATGTGATCCTTAGGAGCGAACGGAGGGAGTAGTATTTCATTAATTAGTTAAAGTGTGTAAGAGTTTTTTAATATTTTTGTCCTTCGATTTTATATATAAAGTAATTGTATGTGTAATGATATGTTTGTAATTCAAGTAAAAATAAAGGATATTTTAGTATTAGTGTATAATTATTTTTTTAAAATTAAAAATAAATACGAAAATGATAAAAAATAATAATAATAATAAAGAAAAGATCATTTGAATTGAAATGTATTAATATTTATTAGTAGTAATACAAAATATTGGTTAAAAGTTAGTTATTTTTGCCCTTTTAAATATTTTTTGAAGTATATATAAAATTAATAATATTTGTTAACAATAATTAAATAATTATATTACAGTTATATGATCATTAATAGTAATCTAACAATTGAATTGAAAATGAGATAAATGATTAATAAAAAATTTCGTATCAAAAGTAATGAATTCATAGTAAAAAAAAATTTACACCGAAACTCATTTTGTTGCGTATATCGTGCTAATAAAAGTTTTTGGCTACATATATGTGACTTTAGTACGAAAATAAGTTTAATATAATGAAAGTTAAAAATGGATATAGATACAAAATTATAATTTCATAGCTAAAACTCTTTTACTATAAAAATAAAATTTATAATAAAAAAGTTTTTGCAACAAAATATGTACGATTTTTTTTAGCCTAATGGTTTTAGCTATAAAAAATAATTTTGTAACTAAAACCATTTTACTACAAAAATATAATATTCCTGAAAAAAAAATTTAACGACAAAATTAATTTTGTAGTATATAATTTATTTTTAGCAATAAAATTATTATTTTTTTGCTAAATGACACGTTCTAATTACAAAAATATTTCGTAATTAAAATTTTTATAGCTAATTACAAATTTTTTTGTAGTGTTTATTATTTAATTTTATTTTTTTCTAAAACAATATCAAATCAAACATCTACTTTTAATTTATTATATTACATTGAAAGTTTATATTTTTATATTCAAAATATCACATTAATACATATTTATATCACGTTAAAATAACTATTTTAATTTAAAAAATTTTCTACTCAAAATTAAACTCAAAACTAAAATCTCACAGATATAACACTGCCACAATGTGTGTTGGAATGCATTTTTGTTGTATTTTAGATTACTCTTAGTTTGAAGTTTAAATAGCATATTTGTGTAATATTTTTTTTAGAGAAGATAATACTTTATTCTTCCTGTATTAAGATATATATTTATTATTTTAACTGTAATAAATAGTTAAAAAAAATAGTATAAAAATAATTTTATTTTACTTCTTAATATAAAAATAATGATATAATTATAAATATATAATAAAACAGAGTATTTGTATTAAAGAATGAAACCCACAATTATTAAAAATTAAAAAATATAGTTATAAAACTGAAGAAAATAGAAAAATATATACCTTTATATGGGACCAAAAAACATACATTTTTTATAAAAAATTATATTTTTTTCGTTCCTTAACAATCTATCAATTTGTTCATTTTCGTTCGTCCTATAATAAAGTATCTATTTCTATTTTTTTTAGTAATTGTATTATCTATTTAACATTACAAATATCCTTCTAATTTACAATATATTACACAAATATCGTTACTTTTATATCATACAATACTAATAAGGATAATTTAATCTTTTTATTTTTATAAAATAAATAAATATATAAATATGGGACGGAGAAAATTAAATTATAGTAATTTTAATTTGAAGTGAAAACCAAACTAAAAAGATTCTTCTTCATTCATGGTATTTCGTATTATAATTTTTAAGAAAAAATAAAAAATAAAAATCCAAAAAAGTCCAATTTAGCTACAGAAAATAAGGTGACTGAACAACAAAACAAATAGATACATGTGGAGAGAGAAAGAATAGAGAGAGAGAGAGAGGCACATACAGCTGAGCTGCTAGCTACTGCAGCCTTTATTACATGGTTTGTATTAATATCTCTCTCTCTCTATATATATATATATCTTTGAAACCCTTCTTCTTTCCCATCTCATCTCAACTCAGCTTTCAAGTTTCATCTGATCTCCCAAATTTGGCAAACAAACAGCTTTTGCATTTTAGCTCACTTCTCTCTCTCTCTCTCTCTCTCTTTGCAGTTCTGTTTCTCTCTCCAAATTAACTTTCTTGATTCATTCCTTCACTGCCATTTTCATTTCATTTTTCAGATCAAAATTATCACCATGAACACCAACACCTCTGCTTCTGCTTCTGCTTCTGCTTCTGCTTCTACTTCTCCTACATATTGGATTGGAACTTCACTACTTAATAATATGAACAATAATAATAATAATAATAATAATTACAATGTGAATAATAATAATATAATGGACGGTAATAATTTTAATGTTAACAATGGTGATTCTGATTCTGATTCTGATGATGTTCATCATCATCAATACTCGTCGTCGTCATCAGTTGTCCCCAAATCAAAGAAACCCAAGCTTGCCGGCGACACTACCGCCGCCGCCCCTCTCAGCATTTATGACTCATCGTCAACCGTTAATGTTTCTTCTTCTTCTTCTCCTGCTCCCAAGCCTCGAAGCTCCACTTTCAGAGGTGTCACCAGGTAATAATTTATAATATATATATCTGTCTTGTTTGATTATGTATTTTATGAAATTGAAAGTTGATGATCCATCTATCATTAGACGACGATCAAGAAAAAATTTCACGTGTAATTAACAATTGTGTTGATTTTGATTTAATTTAATTCAATTGTGGGTTTATTTTTGGCGACTCATGCAGGCACAGGTGGACCGGCCGGTTTGAGGCTCATCTGTGGGACAAAACTATCTGGAATAGCACCACCAACAAGAAGGGCAAACAAGGTACTCACTTTTATTTTATTTTATTTATTTATTTATTTTAATTTTTTTTCACTGTTTTCTTTCTTTGCAGTATTTCCAAATTATCAATATATTAATTTCCACCAATTTAGTAGTATTTAATTTGATTTTTTATTTTTATTTTTTTGATTGAATCTGGACGATAATCGGACGGTGACGGCGCAGTCTATCTCGGTAAGCTCCCTCAAACTTTTTATTTTTTATTTTATTTTGTCAATATATTTATTTATTTATAAAAATTTAACTAATTATATATAATTAAAAGTCCAATTAAATAAAAAATGAAATGAAATAATGTCGTATATTATAGGGGCTTACGAGAAAGAGGAAGATGCTGCTCGGACATACGACCTAGCTGCCATCAAGTATTGGGGGCCGGGAGCTGTCCTAAATTTCCCGGTAATTAAGAACTAATCGATCGAGTTTTACTCAATTAAATTAACTTTTAATATCGATCGAGTATATTTCGTATCGATCTTTAATTAATTACAATATATATATATATATATAATGTAGATCGAGACACATGCAAAAGACATCGAGGAAATGCAGAAGCTGTCCAAGGAAGAATATTTGGCTTCGCTGAGGCGCCGGAGCAGTGGATTTTCTCGGGGAGCTTCGCAATATCGTGGGGTCGCTAGGTAACTAATTAATTACATTTTTTTAAATTATGTTCGCGGATTTTATAGAGGAGCTTCGCAATGTCGTGGGGTAACTAATTATTTTTTAAATTATAACGGGGTAATTTTAGTGAAAGTCACAGTTTTATAATAAATTTATACTTGTAAAATTTAACTAATTTGGAAATATATTTTACTTTGATATTGCAATATTCTTTGCAATTTTTCAGAAAAATATTTATTTTGTCGTATTTTATTTCTTATTTGTCGGTACATAATCATCGTTTTTGAGTTCGACATTCGTAACTTTTCAGGAGTATGTTTATTTTGTCATAATGCGAGTATTTTGTTTCTTATTTGTCGGTACATAATCATCGCTTTTTAATTTGACAGGCATCATCACAACGGTCGATGGGAGGCGCGAATTGGACGCGTAGCAGGAAATAAATATCTATACTTGGGAACTTACGGTAAGCTTTTTGCAGTCCACTCCTAACTCTAGGTCTGTGGCGAAATTAAAATTAAAGTCCTTATATATATATATATATATTTTGTAGTATAATATTTTTTTATTCCCAACAAATATATGTATAAATAAATATAATAATTTTTAAAAAATATTTTTGGATACAAAATCATAAATAATGATATATATCAAATAAAATGAACTTTTTTACTTATATAGTTTATGTTTTTTTATTTATATTTTAAATAATATTTTATAAAATTTGTTAAGATAAATCAAATAATAAAACATATAGTCAATAATTGATTTTTGTCTTTTCTTAATTTATTATTTTCATCTAAACAATAATTAATAAACAACAACAATAATAATCACTACAAGAAAAAATCATTTTTGTAACAAAACTTTTTTGTCTCTAAATCTATTTTTTTCCGTTACTAATGACATTAGACACGGAATTAGTAATGGAATTACGTTAACTACGTGAACTTTAGGGACGGAATTCCGTTACAAATATATTATTTTTTTGTAGTGAATGATTTTGTTCATTTAATATTTTTGGATGAATTTATTGTTTAGGTTAAGTATGAGAAATTGTATCAGTAATATAAAAAAATAATAATTTTTTATGATTGAATAAACCATATATATTATATATGATGTTACTATAAATATTTATTATTTTTATAATATTTATAAAGATTTATCTCACACAAAAAAATTTTAAAGAACAAATTCAATGATTCTATAAAATTTTTCTGCAATATTTATAATGTTCTTCTAATAAAATATTATTAATTAATATGATTGCGTATAATATATTTGAATATAAATAAGTAAATAAAGCAATAACATATTATAATTATTATTAAAAAATATTTTATAATATAAAATGTGCTTAAATATAATATATATTTTTTAATCTTGGTCCATGGGCAAGGGCTCCTTTCGTTCTGGCCAGTGCCGGGCCTAACACATATATTTGTTTATTAAATTCGATACATTGTACGTGTGTTTTAGTTAATTATTATTTAATCGAATATTTATGTCATTTTAGCGACGCAAGAAGAGGCAGCGGCAGCGTATGACCTGGCGGCCATCAAGCACCGGGGGCCGAATGCGGTGACGAACTTCCACATAAGCAACTATGTGGACAAGTTAAAAGAAATGTATCCGGAGCTAGAGGCAAAATACAGCGAAATGCCAAATGCTGAGGATGTGGATCCGGCATCGGACGATCCACAAGTACAAGATGTGCACAACCGCCACGACCAAGATGGGGAGGGGGTCCCGTCGAGCAGCGTCAAGCCCGAGTCGGCGTTGATAGAGTCGTCGGGCAACACACAGCCGTTGATATTGCCGGAGGAAGAGTATTCATGGGAGATGTGCCCGTGCATCATCAACCCGGCCATATTACCCGACGCTCCTTTGGAGCGATTTCTTGAGCCCATCGACTGGATTGATGGGAAAACGTTCGTGGACAACATCGAAGACTTTTTTGATAATGAATTGAGCCGTGAGCCCGCTCGCGATGGAACGTCCTCCCCGACTCGACAGGGCATCGGCTTGTAGGGATGCCTAGCTTGGGTTTGTAATGCTATTTGAATCCCAAGTTTTTTTTTATGTGTTCATCATTGTTTGGAATGGGATTGAGTTTGAGTTTGGATTTGAATTGTGATGAGATTGAGGTGAAACCATGGATGCTAATAAGTCTATATATATATATATATATGTTGATTCTATAATTGAACTAACATTGAACAAAATTTTCTCTTTATTTGTTTTTCTGTATTTTATTGATTCGAGTTTTTTTTTTTCTTTTGTAATTAAATTTTTGTTTGACATTTTTTTTTATCGAAACTGTAATTTTTCTACACACTTTTGAGTGGAAAAGAGCATAGATCAATTTATAAATACAACAATAGAATGTTTTTTATTACTATATTAAAAATTATTTAATTTTAAAAATAAATATTTTGATATAATATTTAATATTAAATGAAAAATAAACAATATCGGACAACTGCGTCTTCATTATCGGTTGAAGAAAAACTTCGTTAAGGCAACACAAAACTCATCTGCAATTAGAGCTGTAAAACAAACGAACAGTTCGGCTCGGTTTGGCTCGTTTGAGTTTGCTAAGAGCTCGTTCGTTAAGCTAAACGAGCCGATCACGAACATAAATTTTGGCTCGTTAGGTTCACGAACGAGTTCGAACTTGTTCGCAAACATTCGATAGTATTAATAATTTTATATTTAATAAGTATATATATCTTTATAAATATTATACATTTTATTTTATTTTTTATTCAAATTTATTAATAAAAATTATAATTATTATTAACTAAATTTATTTTTTAAAAAAATTAAATAAATAAAATAAAATTTTTCTTAACGAGCCGAATCGAGCCGAACAATAACAAAAAAAATATTAAACGAGCCGAACTCAAATAAAAATTTCAGCTCGTATATCTTAACGAACAAACACAAGCCGAGCTCGAGTCCTTAACGAGCCGAGCTCAAACATGACAAGCTCGACTCTGTTCAGCTCGTTTACAGCTCTATCCGCAATGTTATCGCAAACTCTTCCATTTCTTACACTCTCCCTTACCCGTGGTCACCTTCTTTCTCCTCCATCCATCACTTCCTCGATGCACGTTGCGATCTCGCTGCTCTCAACAAAACCGTCGTTGCTTTTCACTCTCACTCCTATCGATGGTCTCACTTAAAAGCTCGAACCGTTAGGAAAATACAATCATTAATTATTTATCGCAAACTGAGAGTCCCCAACAACTCCTATCCCCACACATCCTCGATCAATTTCGCCACCGTCGCTTGATCGAACATTTGTGGGATCGCTGCAACCGGCACTCCCGACGCAATGCTCTCCAATGTCGAGTTCCATCCACAGTGCGTCGGGAAACATCCCAACGACGGGTGCGATAAGGCCTCCGGTTGCAAGCACCACTCCACTATTTTACCCGCTTTCTCGAGCTACTCCAAACCAACTTCGTTTCTTTTGGTATTGTCGTCGTTTTCGCCTCCCCAAATCACCCAAAGGAACGGTCTTTTGATGCTCAATAATGCTTTTTTCGCAATCTCGTCCATTTGTGGCTTTGGGAGCCTTAGCATACTCCCGAAAGAAATGTACACAACGGATTGCGCCGGCTTCGTAGCTAGCCATTCGATATAATCTCCCTTCAATTGTTCATAGTACTCAACGTCTAAAGATCGAATTGAATGATCCTTACATGTTGATTATAAGTCATGTATATGTTTTTGTTGAGTCCTAAAATACTCCTGTCCATGGGTCTGATCTGGTCTTAGATCCTGAAGTTTCATATCCAAATTCGACATTCCAATCCAATTTTTGGATTCAAAATCGGATATGTCAACTTATAAATTTATTGACCAAATCCACTTTTGAGTTCAAATTCTTAAAAAGTAAGTATTAATATATTTTTTTATAGGGAAAAAAAAATTCTAAAATAATGAAAAAAACAGCAAAAACTCACAAACCAATTTAAGCTTGAATATATTATTTTTACTATTTAATGTATTTTTTAAAACAAAATATGAAATTTTACATTAAATAATTAAAATTATCTTTTTATATATTCAATATTTTGCTAAACTATATTTTAAAAAAATACATAATAAAATTATTGAGATTTATTTACTATCATTGATATGTTTAAAAAAAATATTATATTTTTATCATTTTATGTATGAAAAAATATTAAAGAAATGTCAATTGTTAAATTTTAAATTTAGTCGAACTCATAATATTTTTAAATTTACTATTAACATAAAAATAAAAAACACACTAACATATTTAATCACAACGACTTTTATTACCACATTTTATTGAATCACAACAATCTTTATTATATATTTCTTAACTTCTTAAAAGTTAGTAACGATCATGAAAGATGATTTTAACGTTTTTGTTCCCACGGAAGGCACCACGGCTTGTCGCGTGATTGCTGCAAGCATGGGCCATCGGGCTCGACTAGCCAGACACAATCGAGCCCGCACCGGTTCACCATATAATTGTCGGTGTAAACCTCGAATTTTCCAGAACCCAACGGCGTGGTCAATTCACAATAGAATTTAGTGTCGCCGATAATGCTGTAGTGGAATTTCCACGACAGCGGCTGAAGGTACCCGAGCTGATGGGTGCCAATATCGTCGTCTTTGGAATAACAATGGGCCGTGATCGTGCTCCCGGGTATCAAATTTTTTACAGTAACATGATTTTCCGAGTAAGACTCGGATAAGGAAGCCATGAAGATGTAGAATAGAATGATGGTTTTTGCTACTAGATTGTTCATATTTGTTCTTAGTTTTTTGTCATTGACTATGTTAGAATGATGGATGTGTTTTTATAGAAGTGTCGTGTGTTGTTTTGTGATTTTTATTTTTGATTTTGTTTTTTTGGTTTGTTGGCTATGTGAAATAAATACATTTTGCTGATTTTGGGATAAGATATTGTAGAGAGAGATCTACTTTGAATTCCATTGTAAACATAATTTACCACTTCTACAAACTTTTTGTCAAAATTAAATTAAATTAAATGAGCATATTTATATTACACTAATTTATTATCCTTCACAACATATATGAGAATGCTACTAGCAAGTCACTTTGTAAGAAATTTTGCTCTGTTTATTTAGATATAATATTCAATTTACTAACTATAAGAACTAATGGATCATAGTTAGAACTGTGATTAGAAACCATTTGAATGTTTAGATTCCAAATTCAAACTATGCAAACAAGAGATGATTCTAAGCGCAAAATGGTAAACCTACGAGACCGAACCTAATACCCTGCAAATCAGGCCCGACGGGAAAGACACACTAGGCGAACCATGTGTGGCAGGTGGATCTGAGGCGTCGGGAGTTTGAACCCATGACCTCACGGTCACAAGTTCAACCCCTACACCACCAGGTCATCCTTTACGGGATGATACACGGCTACTCCTCAATTCATCGCAATGTGGTTAACCAAACAAGCACTACAAACTAGGAATCGAATAGACTTAAGAGATAAATATATCGAAAATTCTCTTAAGAATCAAACAAATTGAGCGTCACTTCTATGACTGTACGGTAACTGTAAACTACGATCTCAGGACATAAATATGTAAATAAATTTACGTTGCAAAATAAAAGCATTCCATAACAGGTGTTTTGATATGCATACGGGCTAAAAGTAGATATAATTTACTCGGTTTCAAGTGTTTCAATCTCATACCTTACTTCATCCAAGTGTTCATTTATGGAAATTACGGCATCTTGCACGCCTTTAATGGCTTCCTTGAGAGCATTATCATATTGAGCATCAGCCTCAGCTTCTTCTGTGCCCGAAGCTTCAGTTATCTGCTGTATGTGCACGCATTCATGCCCGGTTGACTGTCTAAATCTGCAATTCTCATGGCTTACCAAACGTTCCGATGGACGACCAGACTTTTTCAGCACTTGAATAGTGGCTGTCTAAAATGCAAATTTGCAGCCAATGTCAAGAAACAGAACCAGCAACAAGGAGCAGTATATGCTAAAATAATTTGGATTTATGAAATCCTAGGAGAGAACATGATGAAGCATAAGCATTAAACAGAATATTATATTTCAAATTAGTTTTATGCCAGACCAAGAACTAAAACATTTTGTAGAAATGGGAAAATGGGGGGGGGGGGGTGGGGGGGGGGTGGGGGGGGGGAGGAAATGATAAGAACTAGAGGTATTCATTAGTTACATTCCCTGATGTTAATGTTATAGGTGCAAATTGATTCGGCTATTATACCAAAAATGAAATGAGCATCAAATACAACAACTATGAGGCCCTCAGTTATCTCATAAATAATTGATATGTGATGTCACAATTACATCCAGGTGTTTACCGATGTACAAAGGACATAATAAGAGTGCGGCAATATATGACTTGAATAGAGAAGAGACAAAGCAAAATAGCCTTCTATTACCATGTGAAGATTCTCCCAGATAACTGGTTTTATTTTATTAAGTCGTCAAAATTGTTCTTGTTGGAGAAACTAAAATTAGAAATTACACCATTTCCCATCACCTTAAGCTTGACTTCTAGTAAAGTGGTCACTCAACATTTCGATTTACCATAATTAAATAAAACCAAACACCAATCAAGAAGCTTCATATAGTGACAATGGCCAAGAACTTAACCTAACATATATAAATAAAGCCAATTGGATTGAGGAAGACATACCAAATGCAATTTCTCCTTTTCTTGAGATTGAACTGATCTGAGCAGGTAAGCAAGATCCTCTCTGGAATAATCAGGACTTGCAAATAGAGATTCCATTTCTAGGACCTACAACGATAAAATAATAATGAACTGGGAGGGTATACAACAACCTTTTTAACAGAGATTGCTCCACATCGGCTCAAAGCACCAGCTACAGACCCTTTAGTTTCGAAGTACCACATTCTACTAAGTTGGATTTTTATTTTAAATTTAATTTTAATAGAATACTATTGAGCACTGGCTACAGGCCCTTTCAGTTTCAAAGTACCACATTCTACTAAGTTGGATTTTTATTTTAAAATTTAATTTTAATAGAATACTATTGAGCACCGGCTACAGGCCCTTTAGTTTCAAAGTACCACACAAATAAAAATCTAATTTCTTTCCATCTGTCATTGATTGTTGTGTGAAATAGGTATCGGCATCAAGAACCTATCTTTAAGATCTTCGATGACTGACCTGTTTTGAACAATCATTGAACTCAACAGTAATCTCACTGCAAAGCTGCTGGTAAGCTAATTCACCCCCAGAAACCATGTAATCTTCAAACCCCCTGCAGAACAAATAAAATAGGAGCATGTAAAAGACCAATCAAAACCTACAAACTATCCACAAAACAAACCGGCCATTGATGCTTAAATAAACCTAGGCATAATCATAAACACATATGATGGGAAATATTTTGCAATGATGCTATTACCAGGGAGCCATGGAATTGGAATTTGTTAGAAAAGAGAGATATGCAGAAGAAGAAATTTCCAATTCTATTAACTGGAAATCATGAAAGTCTACTTACAAACGATCTACCAGGACTCAAGGATAAACCTTAAACAAGTCTAAAAAGGTTCATCACTAGAATCAAAATGGATTTTGATAAAACCAACTAGATCACCGTAAATCTAAACTATAATGCACCGGACAGTAAGCTTGTTTTATTAAGGTTGCTCATCCTGTACAATCAGAAGAAATTGCAATGTGCTGAAACAAAAGGTCATTAAGAATTTCTATGGCACAATATAGCAGGGCAGAAATCATCATCCAATACACAGTAACATAACTAAATGGATCATACTACACGACCAGAAATCTCAAGCAATGTGCACTTCAATTATTAATCATTTACACGCACGGACAAGGCGACAACCAAAATTCGATTTTCGTACCGCCTATTGTTTGGATAAATCAAAACTCACACACACGATGGCCATACCGTTTAAGGCGAGAATAAGCGAGCGCTCGGCGCTGCTGAACAGCGAGGAATCTTCGGAGCAGCTCTAGTGTTTTGGCGGCGGAGTTGAGCTTAGAAGATCCCTTCTTTTCTTCTTTTTCTTCTTCATCTGCTGGAATCTCCATCTCCGGCTCTGATAAGGAAATTTTCTTCCCGAAATCCTCCATTATTGCAACTTCTGTATGTATGCTATAAAGAGATTCGATCGATGAATTGGTTCCTCCGGGCGGGCGACGTTGGAGCCTGGAATCGGATCAGCTTTAAAAATGGCGATTACAACCGATGGGTTCTTGGAAATTAGGAGCCGAATCGTTAAGAGTGAATAGAAATTATTCCCAATCGAAAATTTTTTTTTTTCTCTCTTAAATCTATCTGACAAATATATTTAATTCTGTGTCCATAAAAAATAATTCATTTTAATTAGTAATTTATATTAAAATATATTATAATATATTAATTTAATTAAAATTTTAACTTCTAACACACAAACACATTAAAAAAAACCCTTTTTATATATTCTCTTTAATAAACAAATATTTTTTTATTTGTATTTCACAATTTTTACACTCAGATTATAGCGAGCTAAATTGAACTCAATATTTAGAGATTTTTGGTCGAAACTAAAGATAGAAAATGTCAGAATGAGTAAATTGTACGCTCAGGAGATGTAAAATTTGAACCAGAAGAAATTACAAATGTACAAAAATAAAATAAAAATGAGCATAACAATAAATTTTGCTGTGTTTAGATAAAAGTTTAAAAAATAAAATGTGTATTTAATGGTTTAAGAGCACCGTATAGTATACCTAAAATTTCTCAAGTAAAATACCAGCATAAGAAAATGTCGTGACATACCATAAGGAAGAAATCTGATTGCCTATTCCACAACAGCAAACAGATAAGGTACCCCAGCAAGAAAAATCACAATCACAATCACAATGGGACTGAAAAATCAGCGAAGGGAAAAGATATATAATTTTGTTAAGTTTATCTCTGCTGCAATCTAGCTACGATCACAATGGCGGTGGTCTTTGAGACGAAAAAGATCCCTCCCAAGAACAAAGTACCATCAAGCATGAGCTGACCGTTGCGGACATTCAACCAAAAAGATGAAATAGGAACTACTCTTTCCATGTTAATGTGTTCGAATCTTTCTTTAAAGTGTACCTCGATTATATGGCATGTCTGCTTAGTGGTTATCGTCTCTCAAATGTCTTGTGCAGGTGTCTTCCATTCCCGGGAATTCAGCATCACCTGCAATGCAGTTTGTTGAGAATAAGGAGAAATCCTGATAGCAGATATAATGATTTCTGCAGGGGTGTTCAATTGTACCTCGATGACACTGCCCTGATCCACATGCTATATCTACTGTGCTCTTTCACACTGGAAAAAGAAAACCAACCAGAGCAGTCAATGTTCTAATAATACGTAGCTGAAGCTTGCATAAACTCAGAAGCAGAAAGAAGAGTTGGAACTATATATAAGCTGGAAAAAATATCATTGACATTGAGAAAAATCGTAACATACAAGGAAATAAAAGTAAAGGGGGGCTAACAATAAGAAAACCTGTAAGAGTTAAGCTAATTCAGTGTTTCTAATGTTTTTTTTTTACTGAGATGACATTTCTACAACTGAGTAGTTCAAATTATATGTTTTCATATCGATTTAAGCCAGAATGAGTCAATGCAACTATAGTTAGTCTATATCCCTACACATTAAAAGCATTTTGTTGTTTCTCCTAAAAACAAATGCTTATTCATATTTCTCTCAATCTTGAAAGAAATGTTTTTTTAAACACACAAAGTTGTCTCGAATTATAAGTTGCATTAGGAATTTTTCAAAACAAATGTATGATTTTATTCTAATTTTACCTTTAAACTTCTTTACATCCTATCCTTTCTGTGTTATATTTAACAGGTGTAATTTTGTATTATAAGAATGAGGGAGTATTATTTACCGATACTTATAGCTGATATTAACTATAAACAAATTAGGCCGAACATGAATGCTACATTATGTTTAGGGCGATCATCTATGCGAGGACAAACATACTCTAAGATGAGGTGAGATATAAGACTAGTGGAATGCCTTGAGACTGTACACAATCTACCGCATATAACAGAGCAAAAACAAAGACATATACTATATAGTTAATAGTAAAATTTTACTTACAAATATATATCTTCTGAATTAATCTCCGGAAACCAATTGGCGTAAAAGCGAAAGCCATCAGGACTGACATCCCTGCAAAGCAATCCTGCAAATAAAAACTATCAGAAAGACTTAGAAACTAGCATTTAGACATCGTAAGATGATTGACACCGTGCCTTTTCCTTCGGCTGCAAGAAGATATTCCTTAGCCATAGCTGGAGCAACCCCCAGAGTCATTGCTGCATCACTGGGGCTGATACCATTCAATAATGCCTCTGGTCTCATCATCAATGAACCAATCCTAGCAAATACCTACATAAGAAAAGGAGGATTATGAAGTAATTACATAATAAGTATAAAAGGCTTTTAATTTTATATTGACAAGACACTCTCGGATAATGTTAGGCACTGAAATATACAATATTGTTTTGTTAATGAAACCATTAAAAAGATCAATACAAACTCTCTCCTGCTTGTCCTCCACAAATGTCACAATTGTTTATAATTTCTACAACAATGTTGATTATTATTGATAGTGTATCTCCTTGTTCTCCATATTTCTTCAATATTGACATTTTCTTCTCGATAATCCTAAGAATTTGACTTAATGAAAATTGGCACTGGACTGTTCTCAAAGTGAAAACTGGGAGCATGTTTTCCACAGAAGGCACTTCTGAAGTTGTGAAAGGAAAAGACCAATTCCCAAATTGTAAGTGCTTTCAAAGTCTTAAAGTAAACAACAGGCTACATCTGTTTTCTTACATAACCTGAATCAAAGATTTACTCTTTGTTGTTTCAAAGTTACCTGTTCATGTCAGTATTATTAAAGAAATTGAAACAACTCCAAACCTTCACTATGGTAATGTAGCCAGTGTATGACTATGTTACACAAATTTTAAACTAAATTTTGTTGATAAATAATGGTTAAAAATAGGTCAAAATATCTGCATGGGTTCTGCCAGTGAACTTCTCATCTTCCCAGTTCCCTTCTGAACATTAGTTCAGCTCATAGATATCCGGAATTGGGTAAAGATAACATCAAAACTTGGTAATATAAGCATGAAGATTTGAAGAGTTTATGTGATGTTAAAAGAATATGCAGAGAAAAATTCTATATATGTTAAACAGAAATCACCTCATCATCACTGTGGCTTTTACTTTGGATCACCATAACACCACTATCAAATTTCCGAAGCATCACCGAGCTGTTGCCAAAAATACAAGATAGTATAAAATTGAAGTATTAAACCATCAGATTCTAAAATGAATATTTCTAGGCTCTAGGCACCATAACATAAACAAAAGAAATTTTGTATTCCACTAGTTACATACACGTCAAACTTATCCCAGAGAGAGCATGCTTGCAGTAAATCGTCAGGTGAGATCAATTCTGTTAATAAAATAAACGTAATCCAATAAAACTGATAATGATATGCTTTAAGCAAATGAAGCATTTAAGTAAAAAAAAAAAAAGCAAAAATAATGAACCTGTGCCCCGTGCTCGATTGAAAAGGCAGTAAATATCAATTAGGTTAATCATTCCTCCAGCTCTCTCCAAAGGTATCTTGATAAAATCTGCCAACTAGCATCCAATATATCCTTAGTCATCAGGAAGCTCATCAAGGCAAAAAGAAAAAAATTATAATTTCCATTACTCAACTGAACAGCATTACAAATTCCCAGGTAAGGAAAAAAGAATCTATTTCAAGCTTTTCTACCCATTAAACCAAACCTATTTGACTGAGAATCTTAAGGAAGGGCACACAGAAGAAGCAGCATCATTACAAAGAAGCCACAGGTAGTGACAATTTGAAAACAAATAACAATCCTATTGGACACCCCTTCAGTGGTGGAGATTACATTTAATTATATCATTTTCAAAAATAAGAGAGAGAAAATAAACAAAGAAAATGAAGCATCTTTATCCTGGATCACCTTAGACATCTGGTAAAAGACAGACGATAAAACGAAAATACAAGCATACCAAACCAGAAAAACAGTATCGCACAAAAAAAGAAGCAGGGTTGAAAAGCTGAATTGTAACCAAAGAAGCAATAACTTGGAATCAAGTCATTTGCATGTGGATACATAGTAGAAAAGCAAAACGAACCAGAAAGAGATTATAGAGATACTTCATATTGATTCTGGAGCATAACAACCATTTAAATAAAATAATACATGACAAGAACAAACAGAGGGGGCAGTAGCCAAAACCTTTCAGAATAACTAAGACAATGCAAACATCATCATCCCCAACTCATTGTAAGCAAGTCTTTTAAAATTTTATGTAATCAATACTGCCTCTCCAACATGGGAAAATTTTAATGCATGATGTGCTATGATATAATATATCAGCTTGATGCTGTAAATATAAATATTACTCTCTCCGTTCCACCTACCGTGTCTGCTACACTGCTATATTGTAGTCACGGTGTTTTAGGAGAGGTGTAATTAGTAGATAATTAAGAATATATTAGTGAAAATAATTATCCTATAATATAAATAATTATAAATTAAAATTAAGATAACTAATTAATTTAATTAAAATTAAAAATTTAAAAATTTAAAAGAAGATTAAAGTGTGTAATCATTTTTCAAAAAAAGAAAGTGACATGGAATGTGGGACGGACAGAAACGGCAACGTAGACATGGTATGTAGAACGGAGGGAGTAATATAAATTTTAGTACCAGGTGTTTCAAGCTTTATCAACAGGAAATATTAGACACGACTTGTTTTATGTTGCTAAGGCCTAAGTATATCTGATCAGAAACAATTCTCATACTAAATTTATGAATATGAATCATCAGTAAAACACAATTAAAATATTGCATGACCATAAATTTGTTACTCCTTAAAACAAGGTAACAATAAGTGATAGCTGCAGGCAGTACGCTACTCGTATATGAATTCAATTTAATCACTACATTTATTTTGAGCACAAAATAGCAGAATAAGTGAAACTTATGAGATATACCTGACGTGATAGTTGTTGATGATATAATGCACCAGCAGACTCCTTTGTAACAGGAGATACAATACCAACACTCAACAACCAATCTTGCATCTCCTCCTTAGTACCCATCTCATCATCATTTGTTTCACTGCCTTGATTATTTGTGCCGGAGAGAAGTTTTGATCGCATCTTCTCAGCTAACATCACCATCTCCTTTGCCTTACTCTATATTTCAACATAAACAAGCAAAATATCTTAACATGTAGAACAGAAAATATCTACACTTCTACATAAAGAGCAAGGGATGAAATTGGTTGTGTTTCCAACTTATCATGCTAGTAGCATCAAATACCTATTTATATCGTATCAAATTTTACTATTTCTAAAGGCAAACATTATCATTTTTCAGACAACCAAAAATGTATGCCCATGAGTCTAAAAGTTTAATTAAGCATTCATATTTATTGCTCCCATTATCAGTTACATGTCGTAATTGTAAGGGCCATTCCATCAGTAATGCTACATATAAAAGAGCAAAAAGAAGTCAATGCCGTGGCGTTGAAAATGAGCAGCCTAGCCACTTCACATTATGAGCAATATAAACCCAACTCTCATTGTAAACCTCTACAATGTTTTTCTCTCTTGTAAAACATTGCAAGCATAAATGGTTAGAGAGAGAGTCCTTGCTCCCATGTCCCCATCAAAAGAGGTTAGTATCAGCCAATCATTCCATTTCTTATTAAATTTCTACCCTAATAGTATCCAATGCATCATATGCAGAAACATTTTACTCCATCCAGGAATTCATTGCAAAAATTCCCAACTGAGCTACACCAACACGACTATCCCGGCTATAGCAGGTCTTCAGTCTTCTACCCTCTTGTTAGCTAAGTGAAGCTTTTACTTACCACCAATTGCTATGAAACATTGCCTTCCTATTACAAACTCAACCAGTAAATCCCATGACCTTAAGCTGACACACCTTATGTACCTGAATTTCGTATTCCCTAACATACATACATGTAAAGAGGATTTACAATATATATGGGTTACCATAACACTTACACACCATGAGCGCATTCAAATCTTGAAAAGCATCCTGCAAGCTCTTATCCGTACTTTCCCACATTTCCTGCTCCTTCCTCAAAATCCCGGCCACTCCCACCACCGGCGGCCGTATCGCCAGCGATCCTGAACTCGATCCTTCCGCATCCTCCGCCGACGCCGATCCACTCGCCTCCCATGCCCTTCCTCTCCACGCATCCCAGAGTTTCCCCACAAATGAATCTACATCAGCTTTTCCTCTCACTATCAACATGATCACAAACGATTTCGGACCGCCTTTCTCGCTGACCCTCCCCTCCGGGGTAGCGGAAACCTGGAACCGGATCCGCGGGCTGTGGAACATCGATTTGATCGATTTCTTGGTGGAGAGAATATGCTGAATTGATGAAAGTGGGATAAAATACGATGAATTCTTATGCGCGCTGGCGTCCGGCGGAAGCCATAGGAGGCGGTGCGTAGTGAGAATTAGGAGGCCAGATTTGAGGTGGGGGAAGGCAGGGAATTCTTCTGATAATAGGTCAACTTCCGAGCAGAGGAAGCACTCGAACTCGCCGGACTTCAACACCGGCCGGCCACTCGCCGTGATTTGCGCCGCCGGCAGGAACTCTCCGGCCATGTCAGTCTACCGTCAGTATGTAATGAAATCCGATGATTTTGGGAAACAAGTTCAAACAGTGCGCGGTCCGGTTTTGTTGAAATTTCGGTTGTTTTTATTGGACAAGTTCTGGACCGGGTCTGTTAGAATGGGCTAAAAGTTAATTATTCAAAACCTAACAAAATGATAATCGAACAATCCAAAATATAAATATATATATATATTATTTATTAATATATAATTATTTTAAAATAAAAATTGATTATTTCCGCCAGCGAATTGAAAATTTGAAAATTATAACGATCTAATAATAATAAAAAAATATTATTTTAATTTGAATAAAATCAATGTTTATCCTTCAGATTAATTTAATTCAGCCGTGGACTTGCTAATAATAGTAAATAGTACTCCCTTCCTCGTTTTATGCTCACTTTCTCTCTGGTATTTTTTTTATTATAAAAAAAAATAATGATTATTACTCACTTTTATTAATTTTCGTACTCGATCAAATAAGTACAGATTTGCATGACAAATGGAGTACTATATAATAATTATACAACAATAATAAATTAGATTGCTGCATTATGAATATACTTGTGTAAAAACTTTATGTTGTATCATATAACTAAACATATTGATATGCTTTTGGTGATATTGTATTGTGTATAAAAATATATATATTATAGTACTTTTGATCAATTTTATACTACTTAGTATAAGTGTTAGGCTAAGTTAATATTTTATGACTAACTCTATATATTTTTTTATGTAAAAAAACTAATTTATCATTTAGACAATGATAACTCGAGCTGTTCGGACCAAATTCAAATGGAGAGTTTTTTTCCCATAGATAGAAACACACCTAATTATTCAAGAGAATCTTGATTTTGACCCATGGTCCACAACCCGCTCGCTCGCTTGATCCATGACCCGTTTACTCGACCCGTGACCTACTCCGTCTGTGACCCGTGTCTTTATTAAACCTACCACTGATCGTATGATTTAGGGTTAAAATCATGGTTGTCTATCTAACTTAATATATATATATATATATATATCCTTAGAGAGAGAAGGGCCGTCATAATTCATTCTTTCTTCACTATCTCTATACACGATTCACTCATCCCTCTCTTTAGTCTCTCTCACCCTCACTCTTTCACCCTCGACCACCGTTTATGGCGGTGTCTTCCTCTTGTAATCTTATGGAGCTCATTTGACATGTTTCCCTCTCTAATTTTGGTTGTTTTGAGCTGCACATGCTCATTCAACTTTTGTTTCTGTTGGGGTATTTTTTTTTATGTGTCGTAATTTTTGGGTCGGTTATCTTGTATCCGTCGCTTTTAGGTGTACTTTATGTTAATTTTTTTGTTGAACTTGTAGTTTGGGGTTGAGCCTCGTCCAAAGCTCAGCTTAAGTTTTTTATCTTTTTTAGTTGATATTTTATCAATAAAATTAATTGTTCTATTTTTTTAAAAAAATAAAATAAAATTACAAAGTATGAATTCAGAATAAGATTCAAATGAACTGGAGCATTGTACTCATCTATATTCATATCACCCGTAAACTTAATATTTTGAATTAATTTTTAAAAAAATTGTAATCAATAGTTTTTGAAATACTGATTTTAAAACTAAATAACTTTTCTAGCAAATAAAGCTTATGTAAAGACGTTTGAGTATATATTTCATCCAAATTATTCATAAAGTTAACAACATATTTTTGTCGACCAACTTACGAATAATATGATGAACTAAATATAGTATTATATATGATTAAGTCATTTAATCCAATTCAGTCCTTATTTCTAGAGAAATATCAGTTTCATGATTAGGCTCAACAATTTTAATTAATTTTTGTGTTATTAAAAAAGATTTCACTTTTTTTTTTCAAAAGATCTTTTTTTTCTATCAAAATGTTCGATATTACAATATATTTATTCAACCATGATTTTTAAATCCGAAAAAATATAAATTGTCTTGGAAAAAATATTATTTTTGTCCACTTCTGAACCTTTTGCAGTCGTTGCAGTTAACACTAAAAATATTTTTATATTTGTATAATTTTTTTTTACAAATATCTTTCTATTAATATTATAAGACGATAGAAGTATTTTTGTAATATTTCTTAATTTGTATTATATTTTAATATAATAATTAATATTCAAATATCAACATGGAAAAAGTAAATAAACCTTTAAAGTCGGACGAATATACTAATTTGTTTTAAAAAATATAATTTTACATTTTTTAAATAACAAATGAAAATCAAACAATCACAATCACTACATACAAACAAATATCATCACATAATATCCATAAGAAATAAGACACACAATGATGCAATCAAAGACAGATGTAGTTTATCTAATACAACATTCATTCACTGCTTGTTCAACCAAAACATTCGAAAATCATTTGAACTCATCACCTCAGCGTCACGAGTTTCAACCCCACACAACCAAACTATATTTTAGGGGATTACATAATTGTGTCCCTATGAATTTTATTTATTTCGATAAATTAAACATCTAATTTTTAGTTATATAAATTAAAAATGTATCAATAATTTTATGGAGGAGACAATAGATTCGCGTAAACTCGAGACCCGACCCAGACTTGAACTATTTATTTGAAGTTCGAGTCCAATTATTTGAATATTGGATCTGGGTCTGGGCCATATTTGAGTTATTCTAATCGGGTCTATAGTCTAAGGGCGGACCCTATATGCACTCGACTCGATTTATAATATTAATAATATATCAAATTTACATATAAAAAAATAATTTCTAACAATATATATAATTATATTAATTTTTTCAGCTTAATTTATTCGTTATTTTATTACAATATTTTTTAAATAAAATACATAAATTTTAATATATATCGGGTCCAATATATGTGCAATTTAAATTAAAATTTAAAAATTGTAAAAAAAAGTTGGATTTGTCAGATTCATGAGGTTTTACCGAATATAATTTCGGCCGAATAAGATATAATTGTATTCAATTTGAGTCTCGGGTCTAAGTATATATATTCGGGACGAATCTCAATTCCGGCCGAATCTAACTTATTGTGATTTCTATAATTTTATAATTCAAATAAAATTTATAATAAATTTAAAATAATAAGTTTATTAATTTATTTAAAATAATATTGTACTATTAAAAATAATACTCCTTATAAATTTAATTTAATATAAATTCAAATAATAATTAATTTTAAAATTATTTAATTTTTATTTTATATAAATATATTTATAGCATATAATATTATTTCTCTTATAAAAAAATTAAAGTAAAATTTAAAATTTCACTGAATAAAATAATAGAGTATCATTGCTAAAAAAATTTTCGTTTGTAAAATTTTGAATTTTTTTAAAATTTCATAATTTTAAATTTTATTATAATTTTTTAATCAAATATAAATTTAATTAGATTTTAAAATTCAGATCCAATCAAATCTATCAATTCCTACAAACAAACGGCCCTAATATTAATAATAAATAAAAACAAAATTTATAACAGTAGACTCAAACCCTACCCACCCAAAGTTGCTTGCAGTACCCGCCGTGCTTTTCTCTCCTGCTCTTCTTCCTACTCCCTCCTTCCTTCTTCGCCATTTTCTTCTTCTTCCTTCTCTACTCCTTTTTTCCCCTGCCGCGCTTGGGCACCACTGGAGTCGGAGTTTCCTAGTGACGTTCTGCGGAATGCCATTTATTGAGCGTCTTTGTTGTTGGATTGCATAACAGGTGCGTTGAACACTCGAACAGGACACAATAAGCGTTTTGATTTGCTCTTCGCGTATCGTACGATTATTTTCGTGGATTTTGATAATTTCATCATCGTTTTTTCTATTTTAATGTATGTTAATGATCTCTTGGTTACTTTCGTGTAGGTTTCCGCTCGCGAGTCGAGAGTTTGGTTGTAGTTGTGTGACGGATTTCATTGGCGCGAGTCGAGGTCAAGCATGCTTCCTCACTTCAACAATTTTTATGGCTCTAATACGAATAATGTTAATAATAATCGCAATGCCCAAAGCAATGGAGTAAACGCTTCAGCGCCTCAACAGGTCTGTCTATAATGATGTATCTTGCTTTGTGTATACTGCCTTTGGATTCAACTCACTTATTGGAAGATTATTTTGAATTTGGTTTCAATCTTTAGGAAACTAAGTAATGCTAAGGAAAACGATATGTGAATGTTTGGGAAAGAAGTGATTTCATAGCCACTGTCTTTGTTCCTAGATCTCTGATGGTTTTAAAGATATATATTTAAAAAAAAATAAATTGTTGCTTTATAGTATATATTTGTTACCACTTTGCATCTTTAACCTTTATTGTATATACTTTCTGCACTGTCTTACACAGATGGAGGACACTGTATTCTTGTTGGCACCATTTAAAAAATTTCTTGATTTTTTACTGTCTCTACCTCAGTTTAGAAAGGCAGTTATTACTTATTAGTTATTATAAGTCGCAGTCATTTTTTTGAAGTATTTTTTCCTTCAGTTTTTTAATAGTAAATGGAAGATGTTAAGAAAATACTTTTGTGGGTCTCCAACTGTTGATCTTTTTTAACAGAAGGGCCCTTTGTGTTTGTGTTTATTGATTCTATGTGTTTTTATCAACCAGATCATAGGCAATCAAGGAACTTTTTGCCCTAATCCTAGCCAAATTCAGCCCCAGTTTCCTATGGGAATGCTTAATAATCCTCAGATGGGAATGCTTAATAATCCTCAGATGGCAATGCTAAATCCCAATCCATATTTTGCTCCAGGCCAGTTTTTCCCGTTTCCCCAAGGTTCTTTTATGAACCCGAATGTTGACTTGGCTCATATTTTTGGGCGTAATTCCATGAACCAGCCTCCGTTCTTGCCGAATGGGGTACCAAATTTACCACAGAATATCAACCAACTTCTGCAAGTGCAAATACCAAATGCTGGCCCTAACAATGTTGGTCCTTTTATGAATTCACAATTGGGTGTGCATAATGGAACAGGAACCTTACAACAACAGTCCATTGATGGAAAAGGGAGGTTCAATTCTCCTCAAGTGCAACAGAATCAGATTCTCAGGTCTCCTGGTGCTGCAAAATCACAGGTTACTTCTTAAAATTGCTTTATTTTAAGCACTTTCTATTATTGTGGTTAAAATTAATTTATGTACTAGCGTCTAGCAGGATGCTTTTATTGCTAGTTGTTGAATTGTAACCATGTCTAGTATTAAGGGCCAAAATTTATTGTATCAATGTGCTGCCAGAACAACTGTTGGATTTAATTGAATGTACGTTGATGGGCAACCTAATAAAATATTAGTTGGCTTGCAACTTCTATATATTTGTGGTAGTAATTTTATATCATAGAAATCTCACATTTATATTCCTTTATGAATGAACTGACTGGCAAATAGTTACAGATTTTGGTTCTTTTAGAATCTTCTTGTTGAAGCCTACTCCTGACTATATACTGTATGACTGCTCTTTTTTTTTTGTGTGTGTGTTTGTGTGTGTGTGAACTGTTGTATATAAGGGTGTGTTTGTTTGGGGGTTTGGATTTTGGATTGGGATTTGAATAGTAAAAATTTTGAATTTGAATAGTTGTATGATGTGATATAAATAGAGTTTGATGTGATGTTTTGAATGTAAAATTGATTTTTAGTATAATATAAAAAATGAAAAATAGGTGTTTGATTTGATATTTTTTGGGGGAAAAAATTGGATGAATAGTGGAAATCCTCCAAAATCCTTCAAACAAACACACCCTTAAATGACTGACTATAATACTGTATGACTGCTCTTTTTTTTTTGTGTGTGTGTTTGTGTGTGTGTGAACTGTTGTATATTCTTAAATGATCTGTTGAAGCTAATTTAGCTGTTGCAGAACGATTCAGAAAATTTTAATGGCATCAATGACGGGAAGAATAGCTGGAGAAAATCTCATAACACTAAGTTCATGAATAATAAAAACAATGCATCGCAAAGAGGGTATACATGCTTATGACATTTCCTGTAGTGAATTCTTTTTGTATAGTTTCTGAACTTCTGATGAGCAGATGTTGCTTTATGCTTTCAAATTTGTAGGTTTGGCAAGCCATTTCATCAGCGACAAAATGCTCAAGGACGCAAGTTCAATGATGAATATCAAGGAAAAGGTACAACCTTGTTAAACATGTTAATGTTATGATGTACATTGGATTTAACTTAGCTTAGTCATCATCCTCTTGGAAAATGTCATTAAATATTTCTGATTTGTCTTTCATACAATTCTGGATGTGTTCTTTTGCTTAAGTTTTTGGTATCTTTTATCCATTTTGTTACCCTTTTACTTACAGAGAATGTTGTCAAGCTCTCAATCTTTTGCCCCCTTTTTTTTTTTTGACAAAGCTACAGCCTGATTTTTTGGATCTGCTCCAGTTTTTACCAATTTTGGAACTTGTTTGGATAAAAGGGAATTCTTATAAATGTCATTGATAGTTCACTTCTCAGCTTTTATACATTAATTTTCTTGAGTTGGTTCTTCATTTCCTTTTTTTTTTTTTTTTTGGTCTTGTTTCTATACAGGAAACAGAAATAATGGACAGAAGAACTTCCCCACTTCAACCTCCAGTGAGAAAAGTCAGGAGGGTAAAAAGAGGTAATACTCTGGTAGAATTGATGCTATCAAACAGAAGTGTACCAGTGAAATGCAAGATAGACAAAATCTAGGACTGTCATATTGCAGGAAACACTTCCTTTAAGGCTGGTTGAATTTGAATGATTATCTAATAAATGTGTTATAATTTGAACTCGATGATTAAATAATAATTTGAAGTGAACAACTCTAGGGTATTATTTAAGTTGTAGACAAAAGGCAGAAAAATTAAAAAAGAAGAAGAAATCACAAGCAAAAAGTTACAGGATGACAACAATGCATTTAAAATTTCCAAATGTGTAGGACATCCCTCTATGGAAATGACCAACAATTTGGTGATGCCTACAGCCTTGAATGCCTTTTATCTTTTATTTGCCATTTGCTTGAATGCTGTTCTGTGTGCCTTTTCTTTGCATTGGCAAATACAAGCCATTGATAATTCAAGAAAATGATTAATTTCTTTTATTCTGCCTCCTTTGTAGATTCCAGGATCTACACTTTTTCTGCTTATTCTAAATACAATGAATGCTTATTCTTTCATGCTGCATTAATTTCAATCAGATTCTTTTTTATATGCTCAATTAAGGTCTCTTGTGTTGAACTATACGGAGCAAGAAATTCGGCAGTGGCGTGAACAACGCAGGAATAATTATCCATCTAAAGCCAACATAGAGAAGGTTTGTTGTGTTCAATGCATACTCAGATCCTTTTAGTTTCAACCATAAAAGAACTTAAATTTATTCGCTAAATTTACTGTAGAAATTGAAAGAGAATTCAATTCAACCAGAGATCACAGATGAAGCCGTGAAGATGCGACGGCAGGTACTTGTTATTTAACTATTAAAGTCTTTTCAGGATTAAAATATCAACTTTTATGCTCTCTTTACTAACAATTTTCATCAAAAAAAATGCAAAATATATCTGATATTTGTGATGAGTCAAAATCCAGAAAGTGAGAAAACTTCATCGCTCTTCATCTCATATTTTAGGCACCAGCTAGTTATTATTTAGGTATTTATTTATTCATGAGCAACCCATCATTATATTTTAGTGGCTTTCACCTTTGAAAAGTGGGTGTATGCTTGGATGTATTTTTGGATAGTAAAAATTAAGTCTACTTATTTTGATTCGAGTGATCATCTTTCAAAATATATATTTCATTTGATAGAAAGTAAGATAAATTATATAACACTTCGTTGTGTTTTAATAAAAATGCACAAAATATTCTATATTTTATTTATTGTGTAAAACCTCGTTGTGTAAATTTAAAGTTAATAAAGACCTAAATCACATATAAGTTTTATACAAAAAAAAAATGTAAAATATTTTAAGTAATTTTTTTAATAAAATAAAGAATTAATCAATTATTTATTTATTTATTTTATTAAAAAAATTATTTAAGATATTTTATCTCGTTTATTTATATAAAACTTGTATTATTGAGTTCTTTTTTACAATCAAATATAGTTTTGAACGAAAAGCATGTTTCGTGCAAACTTTACATTGACATAAGGGGTTTCTCGCAATAAAACACGAGGTGTTGCATTTTTATTAAAACACAATGTGGTGTTATATAATTTATTCTAGAAAGTATTATAAAGTTGTATAAATGGGCATGTAAAATGCATATTTGATAGATCTTAGTGTTTCAAAAACCTCTAGTCTTGGAAGAAAACATCCAAACATTGCACTTACGCTAGTTTTATTTCTTTCAGCAACTCAAGGAGATATTGGCCAAGCAAGCCGAGTTAGGCTGTGAGGTTGCAGAAATACCGTCCAGTTACTTATTAGATTCCGAGCCACAGCCACACAATAAGCAGCAGCAGCAAAATGGCAATACATTTGGCCAAAGAGGACGGTTTCAGAACAAGTTTAATCAAAAGCGCAAATTCCACCAAAACGATCGCTCCTCCAAAAGACCAAGACCCGAAACCAACCATCGTAACACAAACCCGCATAGAGACAACAAAAGAGAGCCGTCTCTCCTGAAGAAGCTGCTGAGTCTGGACATCAAAAGGGATAAAAAACATTTGCTGCAGGTTTTTAAGTTCATGGTGATGAATTCATTCTTTCAAAATGAGGGAGATGATCTGAAATTCCCAACAGTTATTGTCAAAGAATCCGACGATCTAAGCAAGCCTATCGAAGAAGAAGCACAGGTTGCAAACAGCGATGCATCCGATCCCCTTGCCCCCACACCTGTAGACAATCACATGTGTTGACCGACTGGCGAAAAAAGCGAAAATCTCAATCAAGATGTTGGGGTTACTGAATGATTGGGAGTATGTGTTCTGTAAGTGATGATACCTTAATTTAGTGTGTGTATATCTTACTTGCAATGGCAGTATTAGTTTTTTTTTTTTTTTTTTAAATATTTGGTATGTAGGTTTTTTTTTAAATTTTGAAAATTTTGAAAGGAAATATTTTGTGCTCGGTATGGTTGTGGTATCTTTCTTTTGTTTTGTTTCTTTTCTGAAAGTTGGATATTTATATTAAAAGTAAAGTATATTTTTATTTGTTTCTTATTTTTAGTTGTATATTTATATTAAAAGTAGGTATATTTTTATTTGTTATTTATTTTTATTTTTTCGGGGTTCGAGTTCGACTTTAATAGTACATTTTGAATTTGTTATTGATGTGACAAGAATGTATGGTTTTTGTAAAATTAAGGGTACTGTTACTTTAACTAAATTATTTAAATTTTAATATTTTATCAAATATTATTTTAATATCAAATTTAAGTGGAAAAAAAAATGAAATAATGCAATCCAATCTAAAATTCTACAAACAAAACACTTATTATTTATTTCTTTAGTTATTTAAATTTTCATATATTCTTTTAAGTTTTAGTTTAAAAAATTTCTTTTCTTTTTTTTAGTTTTTCTATACTTTTAATAATGAGTAGTATTTTTTTGTCCCATAACAAAGTATTCATTTTTTCATTTTAGTCCGTCCCATAACAAAATATCTATTTTTTTTAAGTAACTGTGCTATCTACCTAACATTACAAATACCTTTAGAACTTATAATATATTATACAAATCCTATTACCTTTATATCACACATACTAATTATTTTAGTTATTTCAACTTTATTCCTACTATATCCCAACATGATACTAATATACCTAAAACTATGCGTAAAAAATAATTGGATACTTATTAATGAGACGGAAGTAGTATCTTTTATAGAACATTGCGAAGTTAATAATTAGTGTACACAATAATGGGTTTGAGCTTTAGTTTAAAAAAAAAAAAAAACAAAAATCAAACAAGAATAAATCATTCATGATTCTTAGTAATTGGAGTAATATTTAATTTTTTACAATAATATAATACTTTTTCTTCCGTTCACGAACTAATCTCGTACTTTTTTATTTGGACGTCCAACAGCTATTGCTATTTTTTTTAAAACAAAAATTTATATTTTTATTATTTATCCATTTATTACTTTTAATTTCTACTAAGGGCAAATTTGTTAATTCATAAAAAAAAAAAAAAAGACAATCACCTAAAATAATATATTTTAAAATAATATAAATTTTAAATAAAAGTTTTAAAATATATTTTAGGACAATACAAATTGGACGGAGAGAGCATTAAAATAATATAAATTTTAAATAAAAGTTTTAAATTAAAAATCAAACAAGTTTTGCTACGCCAGCTTCATTAGAGCTTAAAACTTTATTGCGTTAAAATCTTTATATAATATGAACATGATAACAACAAATTCAATAATTGGATGAGCCTTCCGATAAATAAATTTTGATATATTTATTATTGTGTGACATAAATTTTCAATATCATGTGGTCAGACTTTCAACAAAGGCTGGTGTCGATTAATTAATAAATTTCACTGTTTATGACACGTCTGGAATTTGAAATAAATTATACTACTTTTTTTTATATCTATATATTCATTTGCTTTTTGCACGGAGTTTTAAAAATATTAATATTATATTAAAAAAATATAATATTATTTGTGTAATATATTGTAAATTGAAATGGTATTTGTAATATTAGATAGATAGTACAATTATTTAAAAAAATAATAATAAATAAATACTTTATTATGGGATGACTAAAATAAAAAAAAAGTGAATAAATTGTTAAGGAATAAAGAGAGTAATCGCAATTATAATTCTATAAATGATTTAATAATTGTACGAGTCATTTTACTATTATTATTATTATTATTATTATTATTATTATAATTATTCTAAGAACCTTCTGTAGACTTAATTTAGGAAACCCTTTTTTGACATTCTAAACGTGATAGAGAACCTTCCAATCTATCTATTTATTTATGTAACAATTATTTATTTTAAATTGGACAATCATTAGCACCTAATTAATTATTTAAATCAATATAGATACAACTAGGGTCACTTTTTGTTACAATCATAATTTATAGGTCTCGAGTACGAATTACATCGTATTTATTCAGAATATATTCATATGCAAGTCTCGTATACCTCTATTTGTACCTGAGAATATTTTGAAATTTTGGTATGTTAGAAAAATAATTAATGATGCATATCCTTGGTATGTTAAAAAAAATAATTAATAATGCATATTCCTATTAATTTTTGCATTTGAAGGGCACGTTGGAAACTTCCATATATTAAAAAAATAATTAATGACAAGAATTTTTATTAATTTAATTTTTAAATAAAAAAATTTATTTACATATTTTTTTAAGGAAGTCCAAAAACTCAAATTAAAATCTCTATTTCAAATCAAAACCACACAAACAATTATTTTCTGTAATATCTTCATAAAATTTTCAAAGAAATATATATATATATATATTGTAACATATTAGATTAAATATCTAACTTTTAATATTTTTAAATTTTATATATATATTTTTTTTTATCTAAATTAAATTTATTTTTCTTTTGTGTAATTTATTTCATTATACTTTGTATGCCCACATAAATTTATGACTATTATTCTTCTTAAGTTGGCATAAAAATATTCTTATTTTTTAAAGTAAATAATCATATATATTTGTTGTCACTTTATATATATACATTATTATAAAAAATATTATATTCTTCCCAATACAATAGTCATATTTACCATTTTTGTCAGTGCAAAAACAATAGTCTCATTTTCATAAATAACCATATCACCATAAAATTATCTCTATTTTTTCATTATTATTACACAATTACCGCTACTTTTTATACTAATATACTTGCAAGGGAAAAAAAGTCATTTATCTTTGTTTTTTTATCATCTACCAATATAATATCAATATTTCTTAAATCTCGTATAAAATACAATAAGACTATACTTTTGGGACGGAGAGAGTACATATTTATTGTTGTAATTTACATCCAATAATTCAAATATAAAAAAAAAAGTGCTCCAATAATGAATGCTATATTTATTGTCACATTAAAATATCATTCCACCATGTTTAATAAATTGGTACAATTATAACATTCCATACATCACATTATTCCCATCAATGATGTATTCCATTTTATTGTAAACTATAAATGATCAAATTTATTATCTTATTCCATCCATATTTATTTAGTGCACACAAATAATATTTATAACATTCCATATTTATATTTATATTCATATTCATTTATATGTTTTCTATCTTATTGTTACATAATTATTATAAATCAAATCAATATTGAATTTATCATCTCATTTAAAATTGCATCACACCTATTCAATAGGTACAAACATTTATATTTATAACATTCCATACATCTCATATTTATATTCATCATTATATATGTTTCCTATCTTATTGTTACATAATATTTATTTTCTCATTTAATAGCATCACAACTTATTATATTTACAACATTCCATATGTCACATATTTATATTTACATCAATGATCTATATATATACACACACACACGGGGGAGATCCGGTGCTGAATGAAAAAATTTAGCACCGGTGCTGAACCTCATTAAAATTAATTTACATGAATATAAAATATAATAATTAAATTTCATGCGTTCAGCATTCATGCTGAACAATTTGATTCAGCATCTGATCCCACTTCACACACACATATATATATATATATCCATCTCATTGTTATATAAATATTACTCCCTCCGTCCCAGATAAAATGCATGTTACTGTAGATACGAGAATTTAGGTAAAATATACTCCTTCCGTCTCAGATACCATGTCAACGTTGCAATTTCTGTCCGTCCCACGTACTATGTCACTTTCTTTTTTTGGAAAATAATTACACACTTTAATCTCATTTTAAATTTTTAATTATTTTTTTTAAATTTTAATTAAACTAATTAGTTATCTTAATCTTAATTTATAATTATTTATATTATAGAATAATTATTTTCACTAATACATTCTTAATTATCTACTAACTACACTCTTTCTAAAATACCGTGTCTACAGTGTATCTGAGACGGAGGGAGTAATTAGTAAATAATTAAGAAGTATATTAGTAAAAATAATTATTATTTAATAAAAATAATTATAGATTAAGATTAAGATAACTAGATAGTTCAATTAAGATTAAAAAAATTAAATTTTAAATTTTAAAATATAATTAAAGTGTATAATCAATTTTCCAAAAAAAAAATGACAAATTATATGTGATAGATGAAAATAAAAAATAAATACAAATGATGTGGAACATATGAAATATTATAAATTAATTTCATGTCCAGTCATAAAATAAATATTATATTTACTATATCATTTAAAGTAGCATCATAATCATTAATTACAACATTCCAATTATATATATATACATATCATGTATTTAAATTCAAGGAAAAATCATTTATTTCATCCCATTTTTATGTAACACTTTATGTAATTAAATAGGGCTACTAGTGATCTAATTAATACAATATTTATTATAGCATTCAAACTAGTATCCACCATATTCAATTAGTACACATTTATTTTTACAGCATAATCATATATATATATATATCAAATTAATATTGAAAAATACAGAAAATATATTATTAACAGAATATATAAATTAAATCAATTTTTTTTAGAATGGTTCAAAATTAAATACTCCCGTAACATTTGTTTTTTTTACGTAAATTTTTTAATATTAGTATTATACTCCCTCCGTCCAGCTAGAAAGTATATATATTTTTATTTCGGGGCGTCCAATTAGAAAGTGACCATTTCATTAAGTACTTCATTTTTTTTTTACAAATACCCCTATTTTACATCACATAATTACTTTTATACCAAAAAAAGTAAGGGCAAAAATGTCATTACACTACTTTTTACCTACGGGAGTATTTAATTTGAGTAAAAAGACAAAAATACCCTATTAGTATTGTATAATATAAAAGTTGTGACATTTATTTAATATATTATAAATTAAAAAGATATTTATTAGATTAGTAAATAGTATACTTATTAAATTAAAACATAATACCTTGATTTGAGATTGACGAAAATGGAAAATAAAATCGGAGGAGTAAATAAAACCGAAAATTTAAGGAAAATAAATAAATAAATAAATAAAACTCGTGCCTAAAACAACAAGGCATAAATAAAAACGGCACGTGACGTGCACGCGAGTATCTGGAAGCTCTTCTTCAAATATTCAAAAAACAACAGCCTAATCGCGGAATCTTCCGACCGCGACTTTTCTAACAAAACCATTTATAATTATTTATTTATTATTTATTTATTCAACTAATTGCGCATTACAATTAACTAATTCACCAATTCTTCAAGTTCAAGACCTTCCTTCCTTCTTTCTTCCAACGCTCAGCTGCCAGAGAGAGAAAGCTTAATTTGTCGCCATCCATGGCGGTCGACTCCTTCAATCCTCCATTTCGCACAGCATCCTTTATCTGCCTTTGACCTCTGACTTCATCCATTTCCCCCGCTCTGTCTGACTGACTTTTTCTCGTCCAAATCGCCTCCCTCCGTCACACAATTAAATGCTTCGTCAGTTGGATGGTGCCTCTCTTCAATCGCGATCCGCCCGAGACATAAAAGTTTGTTACTCCGCTCGCCTCCTCTGCTTTTTTCTCATTAATTTCTCTGTTGTCGCTGCTCCTCTGCCCGCTGCTGATCTCATTTCTCTCTACTTCATCGCCTCTCTACATATATATATATATATTTATATGTATGTATATATATGTGTAACTGCTCTACTGTGCATAAATAAGTTTCAGAATATTTACACATAGTTGCATGTGAGGGACGATCGATCGACTGGATCCGCGAGACTTATTGTGCTAAAATTCTGAGCTGGATTATTGCTTGATGTGAATCGAAAGTTGTGTTGCTAATTTGAATTGCTATTGTTGGCGGTTTCTGATCGATTGCGTAGTCTAGGGTTCATAAGAAGTTTCTAGGTTTTCTGCTATGATTGTTGAATTATGGAGGTGCAGAGAGTTGATTGCTAATTAATTTCTTCATCCAATTCCAATTCCTGTAGATAACAACATGTTACCTGTTTCATCTCCCCCAAACTATTCGGGGACAGATTCAAATCCCCAGCCTGAAGCCAGCGAAGCTTCAAATCCCTACCAGTACAGACATGGTGATTCCATAAGAAACTCATCTTCTCACCGAAGCATTTCGTCGATCCAATCGAAGAATTCCAGCAGCCACTCTGTCAAGGAGGTGAGCTTCATCGAGAACAAGTCAGTGAGGTATGGATCCAGAGGTGCAGCTTCAGGAGGCCTAAGCACCTCTTACAAAGAGATCAGCGACGATGATGCTCGCCTCGTGTATGTAAACGATCCGGCGAGGACTAACGAGACGTTTGCATTCACAGGGAACTCGATCAGGACGGCAAAGTACTCTGTCCTGACCTTCTTGCCGCGCAATCTGTTCGAGCAGTTCCATCGAGTCGCCTACATATACTTTCTCGTGATAGCCATTCTGAATCAGATTCCTCAGTTAGCTGTCTTCGGCCGTGAGGCTTCCATCTTGCCGTTGGCATTCGTGCTGCTCGTCACGGCTGTTAAGGACGCCTACGAGGATTACAGGCGCCACCGGTCGGATAGGATCGAGAACAATCGCCTGGCTTGGGTGTTCTCGAATGGCAAATTTGGTCAGAAGAAATGGAAGGATATTTGTGTTGGGGAGGTCATTAAGGTCTCTGTAAACGACACGCTTCCCTGCGATATGGTGCTGCTTTCGACAAGCGACGCCAGCGGAGTTGCTTACGTGCAGACGACGAATCTTGATGGCGAGTCGAATTTGAAGACGAGGTACGCGAAACAGGACACTCAGATGAAAGTTCTCGAGGAGGAGAAGCTCCGGGGGCTGATCAAGTGCGAAAAGCCCAACCGAAACATTTATGGTTTTCAGGCGAACATGGATATCGATGGTAGGCGCATATCCCTCGGGCCATCGAACATCGTTCTTCGAGGCTGTGAGCTGAGGAACACTGATTGGGCTATCGGGGTTGTGGTTTACGCTGGCCGGGAGACGAAAGCCATGCTCAATAACTCGGGAGCTCCGTCGAAACGAAGCAATCTGGAGACGAAAATGAATAAAGAGATCGTGTTCTTGTCGGTATTTCTTGTCTTGCTGTGCAGCGTAGTTTCGATCTGTCACGGCGTCTGGTTGAGGCGCCACGACGACGAGTTGAATCTGATGCAGTTCTATAGGAAAAAGGACTACTCGGAAGCTGAAGTCGAGGATTACGAGTACTACGGTTGGGGCTTGGAGATCTTCTTCGCGTTCTTGATGTCCGTCATTGTCTTCCAAGTTATGATCCCGATATCGTTGTATATATCGATGGAGCTCGTTCGATTAGGCCAGGTGTACTTCATGATCCGAGACGACCGGATGATGGATGCCTCTTCGAACTCAAGGCTGCAATGCAGAGCTCTGAATATCAACGAGGATTTGGGACAGGTAAAATACGTTTTCTCTGACAAAACCGGCACGCTGACGGAGAACAAGATGGAGTTTCAATGCGCTAGCGTCGCGGGTCTAGATTTCAACAATGGTGTTGCTGTTACTGAAGATGATTTCGTAGGATGCTCTGCTCAAGGTATTCTTACAAGTTACAATCAATGTGTGCACGTGTGTTCTTATGATTTTTTACACTAATTCTTTCTGTCTGTCTTGTTTGATGTTAGCTGATGGAACAGTATTGAAGCCGAAGATGACTGTAAAAGTCGACTCGGAGCTTCTGAGCTTGTCGAGAAAGAAAGACACCGATGAAGGAAGACTTGTCCATGATTTTTTCTTAGCATTGGCAGCTTGCAACACCATCGTGCCGCTAACCGTTGAGACATCCGATCCTTCGGTTAAACTAATCGAATATCAGGGGGAGTCTCCCGACGAACAAGCGTTGGTGTATGCTGCAGCGACGTACGGTTTTATGCTCGTCGAACGAACTTCAGGCCACATAGTTATCGACATTCAAGGCGAAAGGCAAAGGTAATGAATCGAAATTTTCTGTTTTAGCTTTTTCTCTTCATTCATCTTCTTGCTGTAATACTTGCTGATGATTTGATTCGATGGTGTTACAGTTTCAGCGTATTAGGCCTGCACGAGTTCGACAGCGACCGGAAGAGGATGTCGGTGATCATAGGATGCCCCGATACGAGTGTGAAGCTGTTCGTCAAAGGCGCCGATACAACCATGTTCAATGTTGTCGATAAATCGTCAATTTCAGAAATGATACAGGCAACAAAATCCCATCTCCAGTCCTACTCGTCGAGAGGCCTTCGAACTCTCGTCATCGGAATGCGCCAACTGACCTCGTCCGAGTTCAAATCATGGCAGTCGTCTTACGAGACCGCCAACAACGCCTTGATGGGGCGAGCTTCTTTGCTCCGCAAAATCGCAAACAACGTCGAAAACCATCTGGACATATTGGGTGCATCAGGGATTGAGGACAAGCTGCAGCAAGGCGTGCCGGAAGCGATCGAGTCCCTACGAACAGCTGGGATTAAAGTCTGGGTTCTAACTGGCGACAAGCAAGAAACAGCGATCTCGATCGGGTACTCTTCGAAGCTGCTGACGAGCAGCATGACTCGGATCGTGATAAACAACAACTCCATGGAGTCGTGCAGAAAGAGCTTGGAAGATGCTCTGCGACAGTGTGAGAGGCTTCAAGGCCTTCGTGATCGTGTCGTTCAGCTTGCACTGATTATCGATGGAACGAGCCTCGTTTATATTCTCGACACCGAACTAGAAGAACAGGTAATCGCCGATGATCAGCCCTGTTTTAGATTTGTTGCTTGATTCGTTGTGTATAACTTATGATCTTTGCAGCTTTTCGAACTGGCGAGGAAATGCAATGTCGTGCTGTGTTGTAGGGTAGCGCCGTTGCAGAAAGCCGGCATTGTTGCGCTGATAAAGAACCGAACCAACGATCTGACTCTCGCCATTGGAGACGGTATATATATATATATATCGATATATCTGTGTGTCTTCCTCTGTTTCTGTTTTCAGAAAACATGAAAACACATTTCTTTTCCATTGATGGATTTCAGGAGCTAATGATGTTTCGATGATTCAACGAGCTGATGTTGGCATTGGCATCAGCGGACAAGAAGGTCGACAGGCTGTAATGGCTTCTGACTTCGCGATTGGCCAGTTCCGATTTCTCGTTCCTCTTCTATTGGTGCACGGCCACTGGAATTACCAGCGAATGAGCTACATGATCTTGTACAACTTCTACCGGAACGCCATTCTTGTTCTCGTCTTATTCTGGTAAGCTTTTAGAGTTCATCCGAATCGAAACTTCCTTTTCTCGTCGAAATGAAATTCTTGACCAATTTTGCGCTTGATTTGCTCGTATAAGTCCACATTACATTGATCGTTGTTTTTGAACTCTGTTCTTCAATCGAGCGGAGTTCGACGAACTTTTGATGGAGCTTTCTTTCTGATAGGTATGTTCTCTACACGGCTTTCACATTAACGACGGCGATCACCGACTGGAGCACGGTCTTATACTCAGTAATCTACACGGCGTTGCCAACAATTGTCGTCGGAGTTCTCGACAAGGATCTAAGCAGAAGGACTCTGCTGAAGTATCCTCAGCTCTACCGAGCAGGGCATCGCGATGAATCCTACAACGGGCGATTATTCTGGCTAACGATCCTCGACACGTTGTGGCAGAGCATTGCCGCGTATTTCATCCCGCTCCTCGCCTACTGGGGAACCGACGTCGACGCGTCGAGCATAGGCGATCTATGGACACTCGCAGTAGTCGTGACGGTAAACATACACTTGGCGATGGATGTGATCCGGTGGTATTGGATCACTCACGCCGCCATCTGGGGATCTATTGTCGCGACGTTCGTCTGCGTCATGATCATCGACGCAATCCCCGTGCTGCCGGGATACTGGTGAGATCGATAGTAGCTCGACGATCGAACTTACACCGCGTTTTGATCGATTTTAACTTCTAGTTCCGACGAAAATGAGGCTAAAGCCGATGTTTTTTTTTTTTTTTTTTTTTTCCGCAGGGCGTTTTTTCACATGGCCGGGACGAAGCTGTTCTGGGCGTGCTTGTTCGGGATCGTCGTCGGCGCGCTCGCGCCGCGATTCGTCGTAAAAATGTTTGTGCAGCATTGTAGGGCGAATGATATTCAGGTTGCAAGAGAAGCAGAGAAATTTGAAGGTTTAAGAGGATCGTATTCTGTTGATGCAGAAATGGAGATGAATCCTATTGTTGATCATCATCATCCTCCACGAAGATCATAGCTGCTGCTTCTGCTTCTGCATGGTCAGCTCTATTTGAAAATTTATTTTTATTAATTGTGATTATTATTATTTGGTTTATTTGTGTAGATTTTGTTCGATTCTTGATGTTTTTTTTTGGGGTGTTGTTGAGGATGCAGCAGTATTAGGGTAGGTAGCATTGCAAGATAATTTTTGTTGTTGTACATTATATGTTTAGCGTTGAGGCAATACATGCAACTGTGAATGATACAAGAAAGAAGTGATATGAGCCTCAACTTCGGATTTAGTGGGGAGTTTACTTTGGCTACTTTGGGTTCATTCATATACATAATTAATACTCTTACAAATTTCAATATATTACTCATTATTTATTTTTGCCATTTCACTATAAACCTTTACGTGAAAATAATAAATTTTATTCTTCTTCGGAGACAAAGGTAATAATAAAATGTTATTATATTATTCCCCCAAATTCCCCCCCCTAACAAACAAGCCCTTATAGAAAAATATTAAACTTAATTAAACTAAATATGATTTATTATTTATATTATATTAAAAATTAATTTTATATTTGTTATACAATTATTCAAATATAAAATTTTTAATTCAGTCTCCAAAACAAACACACGCCTCAAGAACTATGTATAAATATGGTAGTCCAATAAGGGATGGTTAGTGTTGTGACTATTAATTCTACGTTATAATAAAAAAATGACAATTATGTATTCAATTCGTCAACTACTAAATTTTTGTTTTACATTTTAGTTTGTTCGAATTAATTTCTTTTTTTAAAAAAATAATTTTCAATTAAATAATAAAATATTTGTAATTTTTATTTTTTCATATTACTTTTTAAGATAAAATAAATATTAAATTACTTTACTGCACTGAGTATCGATAAAGGACATAAGAGAGTAATAATTTTACAAACAAAAGGCTTTTATTCTACTATTAATATATTAACTTGATGTTAATTTAATTTTAATATAAAAAATTAAAGAGTTTAAAATAAAATATTTGTTTTTTAATAATAGTTAAATAGTTTAAATAAAAACAAAATGAGTTCAAATTCTCGACTTATGTCACCAGCTGTGACTTGTATTGACTTAAATATGAATTAGCCTTTCACCGAAGGACCAAATTGCAATGAAAGTTCAAGTTTGAGGACTGAAGATGGATCTTCTTTCTTTTTTAGGGGGCTAAATAGAAATAAACATGTATAACGCCATCTCCAGTCATCTCAGGTCTAACTGCTTCAAAACATCCCCGGAGGCTTCAACAGAGACGCCAGGGGGTTGGAGAAGAGCCCGCCATGTCCAATTACAATGCATTCTAGACTCAGAATTATTTTTGCGCGCGCCGCCGCTATTTCCGCCGCCTCGTTGTCTCGGAGCACGGAACTTGCAGTTTTCGAACGCTATACTAGGGTAGCGGACCTTGCCGGAAAATCTCGCTGGCGGCATTTAGATTCCTATTCTGGCGTGCTTCGGCGAGGTTTCTGTGGCTTTGCCGTTGAGCAGTTCTCCGACGACGAGTATGAGTGCGATTACGAAAACAACCCCGTAATTCATCAACCTCAAGACTCCTCTTTTTAAATTTATTTTGTGGCTTTTGGATGCAACGTGTAGAAATTTCATTCGCTGTTAGTAGAATTTGTGTTACTGATATGTGTTGAGCAGAATTATGATGAACAAATACTATCAGCCGTTTGAAGATAAAAAGGAAATTGACAATGTTCCATGTGCTGTTTCCATTTGTATGTTAGTTTAAATGATTAGTTTGATGATGTGCTGCAGGCGTGTGTGAAAATGTTCTTGTGCATCGAAAATTTAACTATCACATGTGGGTGGAAATCTATTTTAGAAAAAAAGATTTCATTTTTTTTCTCCTAAACTTGTTGTGATTAGGCATCATCATCAGTGGCTAATATTGATGAGTGGAAATGGAAGCTTAGCATGTTGTTACGAAGTGATACGAATCAAGAAATAGTGTCCAAAGATAAAAGGGACAGGAGAGACTTCGAGCAAATATCCAACCTTGCGAAACGGATGGGGCTTTATTGGTAGGTTAATGTTATTTACTATTGCTCTGCTCTTTTGAAATTATTGGTAGTTAGGTCTAACGAATTCTCAATCGGTGTCCTGTTCAGCGAAATATATGGGAAAGTAGTAGTTGCCAGCAAGGTTCCTCTTCCAAACTATCGGCCGGATCTGGATGATAAGCGGCCTCAAAGGGAGGTAAAAACAAGTTTTACATACTGATGTAGACTTTGGCATAATATCAATGTAACACCAATTTATTTTTAATTAGTGATTTCAAACTATTGTTCAATGTACAAAGTCCAACTATAACGTTTGTAGGAATTTATAGACAGAGGAAAGCTTTGATTTTGTCATTGTAAATTGTTATGATCAAGTTTCTTTAGGGTCTGTTTATATTTCTGATTTTGTTAGAGTGGTCACTGATGAACTACAATACTCCCTCTTTGAAATCAAGTATTCTGCCTATGTTCCTTTTAGCAAATCTAATTGATTGAATTATTTCTAAGGAGGCTATTTCAATATTCTTCCTGTGATAATTGCGTTATCAAATTCTAATACTCCTATTATGGCAAGCATGTAAAGTGGTAGAAGGCTCACCTTTTCTAGTTTCCTCTAAACATTCATATGATTCTGAGATTATAAAATTTACCTTTGAATTTGGATAAAGAGATAAATTTCCAGATTAGGTAATCCACTATCCCAAAATGAATATCAAGGTATGAAATGCTTATATCATTTTTATTTCCATCTTGTCCAAGTAGTTTGTGAAACATAATATGAAGGTTTTTGTGGGCATTCTATACAAATTTCTTGAATTGGAGTCCTTTTGTTCAACTGTTCAGGTGGTCATTCCTTTGACCTTGCAAAGAAGGGTGGAGGGATTGCTCCAGGAGCACCTTGACAGAATGATTATGAACTCTGACAAAGGTTGTAATGAGTTTAATAAAATGGAGCCTGATGGTCATCTTGAAAATGGAGATTCTACTGAGCAAACAGATTCATTTCTTGACGGCTCTGTGATGGAGAAAATTCTGCAGAGGCGGAGCTTGCGAATGCGTAATATGCAGAGAGCATGGCAGGTATATGTTTGATTGGTCAAGTTCTCTGTATATTATATGTGCATGCACGTCTGTAGGTCCTGCCTGCCCTATATTCTTAGGGGTGTGTATATATGATCATATTTGGTAACTTTATGCCTCATGACTTGCCATTTGAATCAATTTTGGGTTTGGCACAAGATCCATTATCAGATTTATATGCCCACCAGTTTGTATGGCGTTACTGCCTCTATCTTGTTGGGTAGTTAAATATGCTTGTAGAAGTGATTGCTGATTGACTTGAGAGGTATCATTTTGTGAAAATTATTCAATCCCATGTTCTTATAGTCTGTTGGAATTGCCACGAGTCTTTTAGTATGGGACTTATTTTGGGATTTATTTGAGAGTGATTGATCTCTACTTTGTTGTCATATTTACATGAGACATTTGGTTTATTGTCTAGGTGAAGTAGCCAATTTCATGTCTTAGTTGTTCAAAAGAACATCTCTATCAAATTTTGGTTTCTTGCATTTAGTTATTTGTTCAACAAGAACATTGTATTTTGGGTATTTATTATCTTGAGCTTTGGTATGTTTCTCATTTCAAACAGGAATCACCTGAAGGCAGGAAGATGAATGATTTCCGGAAGTCTCTCCCTTCGTTCAGGGAGAAGGAACAGCTTCTTCAAGCAATTGCTATGAATCAGGTTCAGTTTAGAAATTAACATGCAATTTCTGGGTATTTGGTTCAAAAGTTTCCGGTGAGATTACAATGAATCAGGTGCACCATAACATATTTTTATTGCTGGATTGTTGTGGGTGGCTGGTTGGGTTGGGTGGGAGCAAGTGGAGAGTAGGGACACCCCCACTTTTAGACCTGGGGCATTTATTTTTGCATTTAAGGTAGACCTTATCTAGACATGATGCTTCGAGATTTATATGAAGCCAAAGAAATGGATATTATTTTATGGGTTTTCTCCTGCATTTTGATAAACTTGAAATACTTAGCTCTCAATTATCGCTCTGTGGATTGTTTTCCTGCACCAAATCATTTTCCCTTGTCCAAATTTGTTTCCTTGAGTCATGGGTAACTAATCCAGCCCTTTCCCGTACAAGTTGAAAAACAGTGCAAATATCTGCAGATTAAAATGTTCCCATTTATGACTTAGTTTATTTTACCTTTCTTTTTCTATAGCTTCCTCTGTATTGCATAAATATGCTATATATCATATTCTTTGTAATAATAGGTTGTGGTTATTTCCGGTGAGACTGGATGTGGTAAGACGACACAACTTCCCCAGTATATTTTGGAATCTGAAATAGAATCTGGTAGGGGAGCCTTTTGTAGCATAATTTGTACGCAGCCTCGAAGAATATCAGCTATGGCTGTTGCAGAAAGAGTATCCTCAGAGAGGGGAGAGCCAGTTGGAGAATCAGTAGGCCGCGCTCTTCTTCTACAGTTGTGTTATATTTTCAAAGTAATAAATATGCTGTTGCTCTCCCTCAACAGAGATATGTTTTGATAGGTTGGATACAAAGTTCGATTAGAGGGAATGAAAAGCAAGAATACACATTTGCTCTTTTGTACCAGTGGGATTTTGCTCCGTAGACTCTTGAGTGATAGAAACCTTGATGGCATAACTCATGTTTTTGTTGATGAAATTCACGAGCGAGGCATGAATGAAGGTGCATTATATATGCTAAGCTTACCTTTCTTCTTTAGGTGTTTCATATTGTCATTTGATTCTTGACTTGCCATTCCCTTCTTTACCAGACTTCTTGTTGATTGTCTTGAAGGATCTTCTTCCACGCAGGAGGGATTTGAGATTGATCTTGATGAGTGCCACCCTAAATGCTGATCTATTCTCGAAGTACTTTGGTGAAGCACCCATGATTCACATTCCTGTACGTGTAACGTTATGTAAAACTTATAGTTTGTGGTGCAAAGTAGTTTCATACGAGAATTTACTCTTGTTGGAGAGCTTTGATGGATAAAATTCATGGGTATATGCAATCTTGTGGGGCTTAAGATTTTGGATGATGTCTTTATGATTTTGCTCTTCTGAAGATAGACTTGTCATGTTTTGCAGCTTTAAGTTAATCCATGTTATCTATTTTGGTCTTTCTTCTATTCTCTTTATTAAGGTAGTTTTCTTCAGTCTTTGTATAACCAGTTTTATTTCTTGGGTTGAATCCTAAAGGTTGAGGTGTTTTCCTGTATTCATTGGTATTCAATTTGCTGAATAGGTGGTATTATTCATTTTTACACGTGTCAGTGGAGGCCCTATTCTCCTATTGAGCTCCCTATGACTAGGAAGCATTTTATGTTGATGTAGGGGTTCACGTATCCCGTAAGAGCTCATTTTCTGGAAGATATACTTGAAATGACTGGATACAAGCTGACTTCTTTCAACCAAATAGATGATTATGGACAAGAGAAGTTGTGGAAAACCCAAAGACAACTAGCACCCCGGAAAAGGAAAAACCAAATTACTACGCTTGTTGAGGTTGTGATGTGCTTTATATTGAAGATGCCAACAGTTTCTTTTGTTTGCTTTTACTGTTTTGTTTCTCCTTGTTTCTTTGTTTGGGTACTTCTTTACCTTTTTTCACTTTACTACTTGACTCTCATTTGATTGTTGAATTAATATGGTATTGAGAATCATGAATCCTCTAGCAAACTCAAGTTATAAAGACAACATTGTGGGCTTGGTTTGAGTATGATAATTGTGGTGGCTAATGTGATATGAATTTTCACTACAAGTTGACCCATTCTCTCTCTTGTTAGGGTTCAATTCAAGGGGGAGTGTTCACAGTTTCTGGAATATGATATTATAGTAACAGCTAATAATGTTGATTCGTATCTTCAGGAGGATATACTGTACCAGTTTGTTAACTATGTCAATAGTAAGAATTATGCTAGATTTAAAATGTTCTCCCCACCTCAATTTACATGGTACATGAAGAGCATACCCTGTTAATATGTCGTAAATGGAATCATACTTTGTTACATGGTTCTTTTGGTTTCACTATCTGTACTGGCATTATCCTGGTGCCATTTTTGTAGATTCGGTCCTATTGTCATTTGCCTCTAATGATGATGCTTTTCATAGAAACATCTTAAGTAGTTGTCCTTTCTGTCTGTTGTCCAAATTAGAATTTTCCCCAGTTTTTAATGCTATTTTCTTTTGACAGGATGCACTGAATAAATCAAATTTTGAGAATTACAGCTCTAGGGTGCATGAATCATTGTCATCTTGGACACCTGATTGTATTGGTTTCAACCTTATTGAAGCCGTATTGTGCCACATTTGCCGCAAGGAACGTGCTGGGGCTGTACTAGTATTTATGACGGGGTGGGATGATATTAGTTGTTTAAGGGATCAATTGAAAGCTCACCCTCTGTTAGGCGATCCTAATAGGGTCCTGCTGCTTACATGCCATGGGTCCATGGCAACCTCTGAACAAGTATAGTGCTTTACAATTTTTTAAATTCAGTATTTATTATTTTATAACTAAATCCGTCTGATCTTCTGTTTCTATTTATTGCTTTAACTACGTTAATTTGTTTGGGGATTCTGTTAGAGTAAAGATCTCTACCTTTTCATTAAGTTTCCAATTTGAGTGTGAAAGAATAATTTTATGGGTTTTAAATTTAACGTAGTAGTGTAAGAATCATAATATATACATATATGTTATATCAGTTTTGTTTATGTTTTTCCACTCACACTCACACATAGAGTATTATTTAATGATTGGATGAAGTTAAATGGTGTACAAATAATGATTTTCTTTAGGGTGTATATTGTATATATGCATGCGCATCTGTGTCTATATCAATATAACACACACACAACACATATATATGTATATCTAGAGATTGCATATGAATAGAGGTAATGATAATGTAATCATTGGTTTTAGATATTTCTGTGTATACATAGACTACAAGTTATTGTGAATAATGATAACTTTGATGACAACATATGTTAGATGGCTGAAAAAAATCTACAGAAAGCTGTAAGTATTTATTCTCAATATATGCATTGCTCATTTCATCTCCAATAATTTTATGAATGCCCTACTTCAATCTCAGGAAGTTTATTCAGTTCACGGGCTCTATATTTTTGTTTCTTATATGTTATGTTTTTCTTTTTATGTTTGAAATTATTATGTTGACCTTCTCTAGTATTTTCATCATCCAGAAACTTGTGTTTGAAAGACCACCTCCTAACATCCGCAAAGTCATACTTGCCACTAATATGGCTGAGGCAAGTATTACTATCAATGATGTAGTTTTTGTTGTTGACTGTGGAAAAGCTAAGGAAACCACTTATGATGCCTTGAACAACACACCCTGTTTGCTTCCTTCATGGATATCCCAAGCTTCTGCTCGACAAGTGAGTTTTATGTTTTGTCACTATTTTACATTTTTGGTGTTTGTGTTCTGGTCCTTTTTTAGTTGGTTCTGCATATAATGCTGCTATTTTTTAATACATCAGGTAGAATTTTTATTTACTTGCTAATGTGTCATACCTAGAAGCCATGTCACAATTCTGTTTAATGCATAATTTAAATAGAGCTACCTGAAATTTTCCTTGCATTGCTATTTGATTTATAGCAAGAAGCCAGTTGTCTCCGTTCCCTTATCTTTAGTAATTTCTATTGCTTCATGCTGCTTTTGTGTTGCAGAGAAGGGGACGTGCTGGTCGTGTTCAGCCTGGCGAGTGCTACCATCTTTATCCACGATGTGTTTATGAAGCTTTTGCGGCATATCAGCTCCCTGAACTTCTAAGAACCCCATTAAACTCTCTCTGCTTACAAATTAAAAGTTTACAAGTTGAAAGTATTGGAGACTTTCTGTCTGCTGCTCTTCAGCCACCTGAACCATTGGCTGTAAGTACTACCCTTTTCACTGTCTATAATCCTTTAACGGAAGTTTTAATAAAAAGGATATTAATTTTAAACTCTCCAGTTGATTGGTGTAATGTGTAATTCTTCTAGCACCAGGGCATTTAACAGTCAATGAGTTTGAAACAGCAAAATTCCTATTGAGTAGAACATTTGCTGTTGGAAAAAATGGTGTCTGTTGTATTCCTAATCCTTTCACCATTTGCAACTTGGAAATCTACATGTGGGCATCAAATATGCTTCAGATTTGCTGTAATTAAAGATAAAAATACAGATTCAAGTTTTAGGAATAATATAGCTCTTCTTTTCAACTGATAACTTTCTGTTTTTCCTGGGTGCACTATTTTATTTTATTTTGACAGAGTTGAAACCTATAGTTAACTGCATCAAAGATTGTGTCTTTCACTTTATGTGGTCTAACCTTTGTCAAACTCTCCTACCATGCCACAGTTTTTGCTTAATCCATATATCCATCAGTGTATAGAAAGTTAGAAACAGAGTAGAATTATTTTGCATAATTTAGTAAGAAATTGTAAAATAAATATAAAACCAAATGCCATTGTAATTCAGTACTGTGTAAAGAACACATTCATAAAATAATTTCCTTCCCTTTCACCCTACGTTATAATTCCACTGAATAATATATTTATCTAACTTCTAATCATTTCAGGTGCAAAATGCTATTGATTTTTTGAAGTTGATTGGTGCATTAGATGAAAATGAGAGCCTTACGCATCTTGGTTTGTACATTCAAGTGCATATTCCACTGTACATTTTTATTAACTTTCCATGTTTTCTTGTGTGTAATTATGATGTATTATTCATCATTTTGCAGGGAAGTTCTTATCTGTCCTTCCAGTGGACCCCAAACTGGGGAAAATGCTAATCATGGGTGCTATTTTTCATTGCTTTGACCCTATATTGACGATTGTGGCTGGTCTCAGTGTTAGGGATCCTTTTCTCTTACCTCAAGATAAAAAAGACGTAAGTTTGAAGCACTTTATTTCATGTGTGGCCAAATGCTGTTCCATTCTCTCTTAACAGACATTATTATATGCATTTATTATTATTATTATTATTATTATTATTATTATTGATGTGCTTTGATTTAACTTATTTTTGTGGAGTCATGCATGACTCTCATATCTAGCATGCAGAGTAATATGGATGGACTTCTTTTATTCTAAAAATCTTAAAACAAACAAGATAAATTTTCTTCATCCATAATCAATGGTCAGAAATTTAGTTTTTGATATCATGTCTTTAGGCAGTGTCATCTGATGTGGTTATGTAACTCAGAATGTCCTTCCTAACCTCTTGGTGCATGTTGAAAATGACTTCTGTATTCAACGGGTGCTAAGTTAAAAAGATAATAACTAAATTGTTGAATCGAAACATGCATGCACCCTCTCTACATCTCATTTCACTTGGATTTGTTTCCCTGTTTTCCAGTATTCTGTTGCTCTGGTATGCAATCCTTCTAGTGGGGTTTTTATTTTTTATTTTGTCTTGTTTCTCAGCTCTCGGATCTTTCAACTTGGTAAAACTTTGCAGCTATGTAGTTGTTTTGTATATTGTTTGATTACATATTTCAGTTACAAATGGTAACTTAATTATTAAATTTTCTAATAAGAGTGTAATCTTGGTCAAATGGGGAAAATTGGGGACTAGGTTTTAAGTTTGAATTCATCTATTATGACACATACTTCGTGAATATGCATTTCAACATAGCTGTGTTATGCACTTAATTTTCTTCTGTCACTGTCACAGTTGGCTGGAACCGCCAAGTCCAGATTTTCTGCAAAGGACTATAGTGATCATATGGCTCTTGTGCGTGCATATGAAGGGTGGAAGGATGCAGAAAGAGAAGGATCCGCATATGAATATTGCTGGAGAAACTTCCTTTCAATCCAAACTCTTCAAGCTATCCATTCTCTCCGTAAACAATTCACCTACATTCTGAAAGATGCCGGTTTGCTAGACATGGATGGAATAACTAATAACAGATTAAGTCACAATCAGCCATTGGTTCGTTCAGTTGTATGCTCTGGTCTCTTTCCTGGTATTGCTTCCGTAGTGGTGAGTTCTATTTGTTTGATTATTTTATAACCAGGCACGTAAATTTAATGGCCTGACACACATGTTTATTCGTATTTGCAGCACAGAGAAACATCAATGTCTTTTAAAACAATGGATGATGGGCAGGTCCTGTTATATGCGGTACGTTCTGATGATTGCTGCTTGCAATCCCAATATCCCATGCAATTTTATGTCATCCGATTTTATGGTAATTTTTATTAACAAAGATTTCAAAACTCAGTGAGATGATATTGTTTCATCTCCTGCAGGACATGATGGAAGTTATATTATGATGTATTATAATTATAACAATTATTTCTAATTAACTACTTGATTATTCTATGATGTTCTGTAAGTTTAAAATACTGGTCCACAATCTGATGATTGATCATTGAAATGTGTTTGTGTAATGTCATTATTAATTTGCTTCGTAATTATTTTCTGGTCCAGAATTCTGTCAATGCCCGATATCAAACCATACAATACCCATGGTTGGTGTTTGGTGAGAAGGTGAAAGTCAATACTGTGTTTATACGCGATTCAACTGGCGTATCTGATTCTATTTTGATCCTCTTCGGTGGTAAACTGGATTGTGGCTCTTTGGTAATTTTCTTCATCTGCTATTATCTATATGTATATTTTTTTGAATCGTATTTTTCAAATCTTATGGTACAGTTTTAATTCTGGCATCTTTTAGGCTGGAAATCTAAAAATGCTGGGAGGATATATCGACTTCTTCATGGATCCAAGCTTGGCGGAGTGCTATTTGAAACTCAAGGAAGAACTCGATGAGCTTATACAAAAAAAGGCAAGCTTCATGAATCCCCTTTTTTTTCAACCTTCTTTTCTCTAGCCAAATTTACTTCAAATATAATTCACTTCTTAGTTACGAATCTTCTAATTTCCGGCCTTCTTTGAGCATTCTCACTTTGGTTAAATTTAATATATCTATGCACTAAATCTTATTTTTCATCATGTGTAATAAGTAGACGAAGTAGATAAAATAAGTAAGATGGTTGCTAAATCATGGCCTAGAATAGAACAGCCTATGCCCTCATGAAGATCGAATAAAGTTATCATCTAATTCTACTCAAAGAAATTCACGTTTATGACGAGGCTAGGTGCTTATAAGGCTATAGATATGTCTAGAGTTTATAATGTTTGAGAGCTACGGCGTAATCGAGAATTTGGAATTTCAGTGGTTAATTTGCAACCGATCCTTTAAATTATCATACTGATGTTTGTTGTAATACCAGATAGTATTTCCATCTATTGTTTGCCACAATGTCGATGAATTCTAGGAAAATATACGTTGTCTCTACGACATTGATTGTGTTTATTAAAATTGCAGCTTCGAAACCCCCGGATTGACATCCAAAAGGAGGGCAAGTACCTGATGCACGCCGTGCAGGAGCTCGTGGCAGGCGACCAATGCGAAGGGAGGTTTGTGTTTGGGCGCGAAAGCAAGAAACCGAGAGAGCCAGACAACAACGATAGGTTCACCCAAGACGGGACTAATCCGAAGACCCTACTTCAGACTCTGTTGACGAGAGCCGGCCACTCGCCTCCCAAGTACAAAACGAAGCACCTCAAGACGAACGAATTCAGAGGTCTGGTGGAGTTCAAGGGCATGCAGTTTGTCGGGAAGCCGAAGAGAAACAAGGTTCTGGCAGAGAAGGATGCTGCCATCGAAGCGTTGGCCTGGCTGACTCACACTTCTGATAATACTAAGCACGACGAAGATGATCACTCGCCACCCGATGTCACTGACAACATGCTCAAGCTTCTTGGCAAGCGGAGGAAGTCCAAACGGCATCCTCGTTGAAAGTAGTCGATTTGAGGGATTCGGTGATTTGGAAATATATACTTGGGCTCCTTCGATGATTTGCTTGGTCGTGTTTTTATGGAATTTTGCTCGGTATGTATTCGGATTCACTTATTTATTGATGATTTATTTTTGTTATTTTTGTTGTTTGAGTTTTGAACTAATTAATACGCAAAATTGTCCAAAAAAGATACATTTCTTGATGATTCACAAATCATCTATTTTTGATACATTCAAAAAATGTATTAATTACATCCAAAAAAATAAAAATCACCCCATAGATGCTGCAATACACGACCACATGACCCTCCTTCCTATATATTATACAATCAAATACTGTATAAGATTAGTATAACTTATACAGTTTTCACGTTATAAAAAAAAATAGAAAAAATTAACGTGAAGCAATTATCGCAAATATGATAATCCCGGCAACCTTAACAGATGTATATTTGTACATTGCGTAAGCAATTAGAGCAGCAGCAACGACAATCCCGGCCGAGAAATTCCTTGGTCCTTCTTTATGCTCTGCAAACCCATTTTGCGACATCTCATGTCCATCTTTTGTCGTGGCGTAAACATTTAAATCCCATTTTCTTTCTTGATGGAGCTCTTCAAGGCCCGTTTGCACTAATGCTTCATGTCTGATCTCTTCGCATAAATCTTCTTCGTCTTCGTCTGCTAAGAGATTTCTTTCTTGATTGAGCTGCTGATCCCCAAACTCTTTCTGCAGCATCTCATGATCATGTCTCTCTTTCATGGCAATATCATGATCATTTAAATACTCTTTCTTTGCTTTTTCTGCATGATGATCATCATCGTTTAAATCCTCTTTAGGATCAATGGATAGTGTCCGCGGCTTGTCTGCTTTGGCATGATCATCATCATCATCATCATCCTCGTCGAGAATTATTTCATTTGATTGTGAATATGGATATGAATTCGAAGGTTCCTCCTCTTTTGGAACCTTAATGGTAAGAATTCCTCCTTCAAACTTGACTTGAACTGATTTCACGTCGTCTCCGGGAGCCACAAACTCCTCGCTAAATTGGCTCCACTTATTGCCAACGACGAGGCGTTCCCCGCCAACTATGATCCTATTCCGTCCTCGCGTCGACACCTTTATTTGCTCCTTCATAAACCCTACAATAAAAATTCAATCATATCATATGTACCGTTAATCTCATTACATACATTCATAGAATATCCCATTCGAATTATACATTACACGTTAATCTCATTACATACATTCATTGAAACAACTAGTAATCAAACACGAATGAATCTATACATACATAATTAATTAAGGATTAACGTATAGATGATAGTCTAATTACCTGGGAGATTAACTTTGAGGACATAGAAGTGATCTTCTTCTTGCCATTCTGAGTTGGGCTTAAAATCCTCGTACACCGCCTGAACTACGCCGCGTCTGCGGTTCCGAACAGATCCTCCGCCGCCGCCTGTTGCCCGCATAGCCATTTATTGAATTGTTCAGACGATAGTAGTATATATATATATAGAGAGAGAGAGAGAGAGAGAGAGAGAGAGAATGCAAATGTAATTGGCTTAGCAATGTTAGAATTTCCAATGAAGCTTATGAATGAGCCAATCTCATTTAATTAATTAATTAATAAATTGAAGGAAGGAGCGAGACGTAACCGTAAGCAAGCAAGTAAAGGAGGGCATGGGCATCACGCAAATGTACATACGTACATTGCTTGACTCCAATTTTTTCTTAATTCCCAAGAAAGAATCATTTTTTCCATTCATTTACAAAATAATAATAATAAGGATATCCATAATTTGAAAAGTCTATGATAAAGATTTTCGCTATAAATAATTAATATATGTTTCTAAATTAAGTTTGAATTTAATTTAATTTGGAATTGATCAACCCTACCTAATTTCTAACTTGCCATTATTAATTTACAAGAGAAGAAATTATTAACTTCATTTTGAATTTGACTAAAATGTATAAATTTTAAGAATTATAAGACTCTTTTATGGAACTATTATTAAAAAATGAAAACAAAAACCAAACACACATGTATTTTTTTCTTCTTGATTTGTCTTTTCCAAAAAAATTTTATTATGTAATTTTAGTTTGTCAGTATTTTTTTTTTTACTTATTTCATTATTAATTTTTCAATAAAAATTTTATAATATATTTATTTTATTTTCAATATACTAATCTATTTTAACATGTAAAAGAAAAGGGTAATTTCGTAATTTCAATTATAATGTGAAAAAATTACACTACTGTGAGTAACATATCTCCAAAGGCAACAGCAGAGCCGAAAGGGGAGCGGTTATCTTGTGGTCGTCGGCGATGTCGTTAATCTCCCGCGCCATTCACACCCACCACCAACCCAACCTTCTCCCAATCCCTGCTCTCAATTTCAATTTCAATTTCAAATTCAAGCAATCTCGCATCCACTGCACCAGCCATGGCGATGCCGACGTCCGGAGGAAGATGAACACGAAACGCCCCATGAACAACAACCCTGCTCGCAAGAAGCCTTCCTATGGAACCTCCAGGAGGTCCGTCCTCAAGAAAAGCTTCTCCCAGGAGCAGGTGGAGTTCAAGACACCCATTTCGAGCGATCCTGTCGTCGGGATTATTGGAGGGGGCATGTCGGGAATTATTTGTGCCCTTTACTTGGAGAAGAGAGGCGTCAAATCCACTGTTTTTGACACCGTATGGATTCCAATCGCTTTCTCCTCTTTGGTTTAGCTATATTTCATCCCAAACACACATGTATGTGCACTTCATTATTTTCTAACAACTTATGTAATATAGATTTCAATTACCCCGACCATTATGATGGATATAGAGAACATGTCTAATTTGTTGAATTTGGATGAACAATTTTGAAATCAAGGATATAATGAGAAGTTGCTAAATGATAGCCGAAGTACCAAATTACCACGCCACGCTGCTGTTAGAAGATCACAGTAGATATTGTGATAATAGGCTGAAACTTGTATTGCTGCTGTTAGAAGGTCACAGTAGATATTGTGATAATAAGCTGAAACTTGTATTGCTGCTGTTGTTTCAGTTTATTTACAAGAATAATGGCACAAGGTTGTATTCAAAATCTAATATTATTTTAGGTTCCGAATTCTTTTACACATCAAATATTTAAAGCTCCTGCTTTCTACACAATGTTGTTTCCTGGCATGTTTTTGGATAAGCATTGTGTAACAAATAGCAAGCCTGTGCAATGATTCCATTTTATTCCGACAGAAAACTTGATGATATATCTCATTGATGAGAAAGCTTGGTTTGATATATGTATTTATTTTGGCAATAACTTTACTTATCTAAACTTCTTGAAATGTGAATGATGATTGCTACAAATTTATGTAGTTTCTCTTCTTGCTTGTGGATATTAGGGAATTCATGGATTAGGGGGCAGAATGGGAACAAGAATTATTGATCCCCAGCCCTTAATATTTGACCATGCAGCCCAGTTCTTCACTGTTACTGACCCGAAGTTCGCTGAGTTAGTTGACCTGTGGTCCAAGAACGGTGTTGTTCGTGAATGGAATGGTGTTGTCGGAGAGATTGAAGCTGGAGGGTGTTTTGATCCATTTCCTTCTTCACCTCCAAGATATATAGGTGTTAATGGGATGCGCCCACTTTCTGAATCCATACTATCCGAGGTGCATATGTTATAATCATCTTTTTTCCATCTGCACTGTCACAATGATGTTATATGGTGTTTTTTTTCATCTCTTTGGATATTTTCATTATGCTTAGAATAATACCAGCTTCTCTATCTAGATAATCCTGCTTTGGAGCTTGTGTTTGAGACATTTTTCTCCTTTTACCTTTCCATGCTATGACTAGACTAAGATCCAACTTCAGTAATTTGCTCCGTTCATATTAGAGAAAATAATCAAATATGCTTCCTGATCCTATGCTTGAATCAGTTGTATATTTTTTATGAAGTGAGAAATCTTTAAATGCCTACTTAGATTTCTGTTTAGTTGTTTTATTGCTATTGCAGGCAAGCCATCATCTTTGAATGCCATAAAAATCTGTTTTCTAGGTTGACCGCTTACCGTGTGTTAAGATAAACCTGTTTTTTAGTTGACCTTCTTAGCATGTGTTAAAATCGATATTCCTGGTTGATAGAATGCGAATAGATGTGTTAACAGACTTCGATGGTGAATGTGGTACGCCCTTGTTGGATTAGTAAACTGGAGCCTTATAATGGGATGTGGTACTTGAGTGAGAAGGGGAAGGCCTGTGGATGCTTTGATGCAATTGTTATTGCACATAATGGTGGGTATTTTCCGGAGGCTGCTGTTGGCTTGCATGGATGTGGTTTCATTTCCATGTAATTCTTTTCTCTTTTGTTTCAATCATGAATATGTTCTTTCATTTATCTAAATAAAGCAATCCTGAATCTCCTTAACAACATTTCCTCTTGTTCTTAGGCTGATAGAACTAATGGCAATGAATCAATGATATACGGATCTTGCATATAATATAAGTCAACATAAAGGCGGGACAATTTTACATTAAGAAAACACCACCTCCAAATCATATATAAACCTCAAGAAATTGAAGCTGGATTTTGACAAAACCTTAGCATTCTAATTCCTCTATTTAGAATTTTAACAGTAAGCATAAGGACTTTGGAAAATCTTCAGGTCTAGATTTTTGTTCTCACACTACTTATGCTTTTGTCTGTCACAGTTGGGCAGCTTGGCTTTGTTCCTTCTTCAGCTGATTCAATGACTCATAGTAAATCAGCCTAATGCTTACGCATTGTGCATTAGTTACCTGCAGTGTCACTCTGGACTTCAATAAATTGAAAATAAATCTCATTGTGTATGCTCCACAATCCACATTTATTTCATGGTTTTTATCTTATAGCACTGTTACAGATATATGCTATCAAATCTTCTTACACAAGCTACAGATATTGTTTATTGATTGCTTTACACTTCTATAAATCTCCTGTTACCCTTTGTCCGTTAAAAAGAGTTCCTGAACGCACTGCCTTATTGTATGCCACATCAGGAAAGTGTGCAAATCGGCTTCTTGCATCATCTGGGTTACCACTAATTGCTCGACAAATGAAGGTACTGATAGGGTGTTCCTTTTTCTTCCCGACCTTAAATCACTTTCATCTTAGTTTGTGCCACTTTATTAACATACTGCATCATGTGCAGAAGCTTGAATTGAGTTCTATATGGGCTCTTATGGCAGCATTCGAGGATCCTCTCCCTCCACTCAAGTCTGGGATCCCTTTTGAAGGAGCATTTGTCAAAGGGATTGACTCTCTCTCCTGGATGGCAAACAATACAGCAAAACTTTTGGGTCCTCATATCAATGGTCCCCATTGCTGGACCTTCTTCAGTACAACAGTCTTTGGAAAGCAGAACAAAGTGCCTCAGGTCAGTATTATAAGTATAACCCATTTGAGCATATTGTTGCTTCAAGTAGGACAGATCATGTCATTTGCTTGGTGACAAAAACCTATAATCTTTGCCTTTTATAAACTATCACATCATTATTGATTAAGACTGTTATTAAGATGATAATTAGAAGAGAACAGGTTTGGTTAGATAATGAAGATCCGTTTCTAGGTTATGTTTCAGGAAAGATCTGACGTTAACAACTTCAAACATTGTTTACGAATAATAGGCGCTGGCACTTAGACAAATTTAACATGGAATTTCTGATTGACTATGTGGAGAGATTATACACAATGGCATGCTATATGCTTTCAAAACTGTGGATTTGTTGGTTCAATCACCAATCTTGGTTTACAACCTTTTTCTAAGTGTAGGAAAACAGCGTGTTGTGTCACAAGGTGCTGTAAGTAAATACAATTTGAAAATATAAATTCATACGGTGGATCAAGAGTTTGATATTAGGTCTCATGAGGTACTTATTTATTGCCAAGCAAGTGGAAACTAATTGGAGTTTAGAAAGTTGAAGAGCATATATTGAATATGTCTATTCATATGTAGCTTCCCCACATATATATAACGACAGGTATCTTTCTTTACTTCCAATTCTTGGCAGGAAAGCATTCCTTCCGGTACAGCAGAAAAGGTAAAGGAAGCCATGCTTGAAGGTGTTGAAAGTGCTTTAGGACTACAAAAGAATTCTCTTAAAAGGCCATTCTACAGCAGAGTGCAATTGTGGTATGCATTAGATCTTAATTATTTATGTTGGTATTTCATGCATGTTTCTTCTTTTGCTATCATTCTATCCTAAATTTAGGTTTCATAGTTGAAATGAAATTGACGTTTCATGATTTGAAATTTCAATGAGTTGAACATTGGAAAATATTGTGTTATCATAAAACTAAGAGAGCAGCTTGTGTTGTTGCATCAATTGAACTAATAAAGAAATGAAGTCTAAAATCTTATTTTAGACTTTTTCAATCAGGAAAAAAGAGCAAAATATTGAGAGTGGGACTATTAAGGAAGAAACTTGATCTGATTCCCTGATATTACTTTCAGTGGATGGCCAGGTAGCATCCCTAGTAATATTTACTGCTTACACTAACTGTATGCTCCACGTTAAACACAGTAAAATATGAGAAATGTTTTAGCACAAGATATTTTCCTTTGATGGATACAAATCGAAGATTTTTTTTTTTTCAAATATCATTCATTTACTAGAAATGGTAAAGTTGCGATATAGCATAAAAATAATCCAATGTGTTTGCCATTTTGACTATTAGATCTCGTCTATCGATCTCAATTGGCCTAATGGCTTCGTATATGTTTTGTTCACCCAATCTCATGTTTATTAAATGGGATGAAAGTTGCTTTGTCCAGTATAATAGTCCTTAAAATATAAACTATTATAAAATCAAATGATGTAGGTTTTGCTTAATTCAATATATATTGTAATAAAATATTATCGGTTTTATGTAAAGAATGACATATCTTTTAATAATATTTATATACAAATAAAATTAACAATCATGTTTATTTGAATATATTTATAAATTGTTATGTTTTGATCTATTTAAAAACTAAGTAAACATAATAGTAATGTGTGTTTGGTTTGTATTTGTGTTTATATTTGTGTAATAATGGTTGATAATAATATATTTTTCTTTTAAGGCATGGGAAACATTTTATAAGAAAAAATAAAAGATTAAATATTAATCTTTAAGAAAGTTGAAAACACATATCTTAATATACACATTTTTCTTCATTTATTGCAGCAATTTGATTTAGTTATTTTATAAATTCAGGGGTGCAGCTCTTCCTACTAATTCTCCCGACATCTCCTGCATATTTGATCCTCTCGGAAGAGCTGGAATATGTGGCGATTGGCTGCTGGGATCGAGCTTAGAAGCTGCAGCTTTAAGTGGAATGGCTCTTGCTAATCATGTAAGTCTTCAAACCCAGTTCTACTTGTGTAACTCAACTCATTTTAGTGAGAAAAAAATTTGAAATTATTTGTGTTAACAAGTTCATGCAGCAGTTTAAAATTTCAGTCCTGTCTTCAACAATCCATTGTTTTAACCTTTTTTCAGATTGCTGATTATTTCCAAAGTGGCGGAACTTGCCCGGATCAGTTTGCTGTAGGGTTGCAAAGTGAATTTCGAGCTATTGAAGGACATGATATCGGGCAGTTTCCGGGATTAGAATCTGAAGGACAGATAAACAAAACCCCTGACTTGCAACCTAGCATTTGAGGTAGTTGATAGAATCTTGTCCATCAGTGTTCAAATTATACAACTAAGAGATTACATGTAGATATCTATTGATCGCTCATTATATGATTCCTTTTTTCTTTTTTCTTGTTATGGTAATGGCCAGTTTTGCTTTGAACATATGATTCCTATTTTTTCTTTTCATTACGCATATAAATACATACGGTGTATTGCTTGTAATAGTATTGTGTACAGTCTATCAGCGCACTGTATATTGCGGTATGCTGTCTATCAGCCACCGCCATAAAATAAATATAATTTTTGAAAAAGCTTCTAAAATAATATCTAAAACTTACAAAAGTACATATATGTAAATAAAGCTCGGATTTTTCATTTAAAACTTAGCATCACACATCTCTATTTATTTCATATTAAACCCTAATTCAATAAAAAATATTCTCAAACTCCAAATCCATCCCAATTGTTTATGCAGAGGAGATTACTGTTAGCTTAAATTGATGTACAAAAAGCTGGCAGTGTCTAGAAGCATATATATATAACAACCCACTCTCAATATAAATATACATACATACGTGTATTTAACTATACAAGAAAACAGGGGAAAATACACAACCCTCTCCTCAATGCAGCAGAGCAGATACAGGCAATTTACACTTGTGATTCTTTTGGTTTTTCTCTTTCTCATCAATATATTTCACATCAAAAAAACAGTCCCAGGAAGAGAATGAGAATATTAATGAAACTAGTATAGCATTGCAGTCTAAGGTGTGGAGCTCACCGAGATCTCCGGGGCCAACGATGGAGCTTGTGGTTGTTCTACATGAGAAGGAACCACCAGTCGCTGCAACGGCTGTAGTGCCACGCTCAGTTGTGCAAACGAGGGGCGCAAATTTGGATCCCTGAAAGAGAGTGCACTTCGGTGTTAGACGAATAATGCATCCAGAGAGAGAGAGAGAGAGAGAAAGAGACTGCAGTTTAATGGGACCTACATTTGCCAGCATTCCCATATTATTCGTGCAACCAATGGATCCACTTCTTTTGGTATGTCAAGGCGTCGATTTTGGAAACCTACTGCGCCAACAACTTGCATTGGATTCATCCCACTCCAAGGCAACTTCAGCGTGGCGAGTTCCCATAGAATGACACCGAAACTATAAACATCACACCTGCCACACCCATAATTTAACTTCACTGTCTTTATAGAGACACAAGTAACCAGATTGAAAACACGAAGAGGTTAAAATGCTCATATTTACACCATGCATCATGTTCATCAACACATTTGAAAAGAGCATTGAATTGCTTTTTTGGTTATTATACTATTGTATAGGAAAAATGTTTGTTCATAACAGATAATAAGGTCTTGAATAATTGGAAGGGTACATTTGAAAAGGGCCACAGAAGCAAAAAATATAGAGCTTCTGTAATAGAGCAAACACATCACTACAATAGCTGAAGGCAATGAATAATGAGGCTTACTTTTCATTAGAAGGCTCATTCCGCAGGACTTCCGGGGCCATCCACTCCGGCTATAGATTCAACAATGCAACCCCAAGAAATAACATATCAATGAATAGAAAGAAAAACAGTAATACAATAATGGATGGAGTGCTCAAAAAGAAGCAAAAGCATGTAGCCCAATTTCTTATAGCGAAGGCAAAGGCGCTTACAGTTCCTGCAGTTGACTTGGATGACAAAAATGTGTTGTGTTTCAAACGTGACAATCCAAAATCGCCCACCTGCATCATATTTTCAGGCAAATTAAACATTGATCATAAATAACCACCAGAGTGTCAAAATTATCAACAGGTTGAGCTTCAAATTATTTCCTAGAATTTCAGTTCTACTTAATTACATAAACATGCATTGTTGTTAGGTTGAACCAAATCCTCATCCAATGCCAAATTCTATGCCCTTGAATTGAATATACAGACATAAAACAACAATAGAAGTTGGGGAATAGACAAACTATGCAATACAAAACCAAAGGCATACTTTAACATTCCAATTGTTGTCAACCAAGAGATTGGGTGATTTTAAATCACGATGGACGATTGTTGGTATACTAGTGTGCAAGCAGTTCATGCCATTTGCCTGCAAATATGACCACCAGAATTTAGTATAATGAGAAAAAAAAAAAAAAAAAAAAAAAAAAAAAAAAGTTATAACAATGCATAAGAAATGTATCCAAGGTCCTCATCCATACCACATCAAGAGCCATTTTAATTCTCCTCTTTTCATCAATTTGACAATGTGGACGATGTATTATCCGATACAGGCTTCCACTGGAAAAGCACCAAAATTTTAACAAAGTGAGATTCATCATATTAAATAAATAAATACTAAATAAAATCCTGACCAAAATAGGCATCTTAGAGATTGGCTTAATAGTTGAGCTGGTTAGTAATAATACATGGAAGGACTTACGATTAGATAGTCCCACAATACAGGATCACAAATTTTATATCATATTAACACCAATGCTTATTTTGGTAGACAAAATTTCAAGGGGCCTTTATTTGTTCCTCAAAGCCATACAATTTTATGACCTTAACCCTTTTGAACATATCTTCTGTTGCAGCTCATTGGTGGCATAAATAGAATATGCTCAATCTTAATCTTCATAATAAATGAAAAAACAATTGAATTTAAGAATCAGCTACTTACCGAGGCAAATATTCAGTAATGATGGAAAGATTTGGTGGGCGAGTTACTGCACCCATGAAAAGCACTACATTTGGATGGCGTAATCTACGCATTATTCGAACCTGAGACCACAAAACAGTGACTGAGCCCTTGTAACAAGATGCAACTCATAGGATTATGCATCAACTAAACCAGGCTATATAATAATATAAGATAACATAACTAACAAATTTTGAGTGGAAAGGCATGCCACAAATATTTCAATCTACATCAAATTATTTATGGCCTGTTTAAGTTAAGAGTATGCAATAATTAGGCAAGCAATCACACAGCAGTGCAGATAGCATGCGTTGATGCAAAATCACTCTCAAGACCAGATTGCACAGCATATTTAAAAGCATCCATGATCATGATCAAGCTCTTTCCATATAAAAGTTTCTGTGTTCATTCCATCCCCACCCCCCCACCCCCCACCCCCCCAGTGGTGGGCAACAGAAACAGAAGAAAATAAAATAACGCGAAACAATCTTCTTGTGGTACTTCAGTAGATCATATGCATCTAATGAGCCTTCAACTATATTTACTAAGGGGATTTGTGCTTCTCAAATTTATGTTTTATCATATGAAAGGATTATCACAAGATACATATAGTAGTATCTCACAACTATAATTCAAGGGTAATTGAAAGAAGGGAATAATTACTTCTCTCTTGAATTCATCCAATGCAGCACCCGAGAAATCTTGATCAAGGAATTTCTTCACAGCAACTTCCTGTTACCCACAAAATCAACAGTCAACAGTAAAAAATGTTATTATTAGTATGCTGAGATTTTTCTTTATCAACATACAAAAACGAATCATGCACGCATGCATGCACATGACATGTTTTGACTAACAATTGAATAGCTTTCATTATTACTCTAATAGATAGACAATGAATCAATAAAATTTCTAAAATTTAACAAAGTTATCTTGAGTAGCTGAGAAAAGACATCAGTCCATGCTCACAAGAAGAAAACTTGTGGCTTTGATTATTCAGTGGCAATAGTGCATGCTTGTGTACAATCATTTATAAAAACAAACACTTTGTTAGCTTCCCAAATTATATCATACTCCGTGTCGGATTAACTTTAATCTGTTTTACGCTAATAATATAACCAAGTTCATCCTTAGACATAACCATCACAAAAACCTTGTGCAGAATTAATGGCAATATATGTATATTTTGAAGAAAAAAATAAAGCAGAGGGGAAGGTAATCTGAAGAAATAACAATGTGAAGTGGCAGAATAGGGAAGACTAATTTATAAATCATAAAAGAGAATTTAACTTTGGGTAAGACCTAGGGGAATAGGAAAAGCTAGAGGCTTGTTTCAATTATCTAAAAGACAAGAATATCTAACTACTATATACATACGAGCTCCTAGAGGACATTTCCTCCTATCATTCTACTCTTCCGCGCATCTCAGCATAATTAGCCCCCTTTCTCTCCACTATACACACACACACACCATGCAAATGACATTTAGTTTTAGGAAAGTTGAAAACACTTACAGTTCCATTCAAGTCAGCAAGGTAGACTTCTCCATAAGAACCTGAAAATACATAATTTAAAAAAAAATAAAAATGACATTTTTAAAAAGCACCAGATTGGAAGAGAAAATAACTTAAGTATCTTAAACTCTCAGTAAATGGGGAGAGAACAGGAAATAATAAAGAGAGCCAGATAAAGATTAAGATTCTGGTTGCAGGTCAAGTAAATCAATGGCATGGAGATTTGAAAGTGAACATAAAGGACCATATGACAACTCAGAAATTCACTCAGCAACAATGCGCTACAGCATCTAATAGACACATAAATAAAGAATGCAAAACACAAGGGAACTATTGATGTAATCAGAGCTAGACAGCCAACCAAAAGCCACATAATTGTGTTACCTAGTCCAATCCTTTCACCAAGATCTAGATCCTCCCAGGCAATTTCACAGTCACCAACATCATCAATCTCTGAATCAGCATAACTACGTCTTAAATCATATGGACGCCTCACACGTTCGGTTTTCATCAGCTCCCCATTAGTCCCAATAAATCTATCTTGCATATTTTGCTTTTCTTTGTAAAACCTTGTCACGTCATTTTTGTGGCCATCAAGATTTGTTTCTCCAATTTTCATGGAATCCCTATCCTCCCTCTGAGAAGTTTCCTTAACATTTGAGGATAATAGCCCAGGTCCACTTTCACCAGATGCAGGTTTAAAGTCATTACTGGATGAAATATAACCATTTGCTCCAGGAAGATTAGGCACTTTTCCTGGCAATCTGGATGCCTTGGGTGGAACTTTTGAAGTTCTGGCAATAGCAGGAGATTGATTGCTGGCTCCAAGGTTGTTATTTAGAAGTGAACCTTTTCCATAATCAAATTGGCTTTCTTTTGGGATGTCATTATGTGCGTGATGATTTTTCGGCCCCAATGGAACAGGGGGTTGATTGCTTACAGCGTTATTTCTTGAAAATTGCAGTTTACCAACTTGATCATTCTTCACCACACCTTTGCCTGATCCTTTTATTTGGAAAGGATTAAGCTCCATAAAGAGATTCTTTGGATCTTCAGAGTTGTATGGTGTCATCTTTGGATTAATCCTTATATCATCACCTGCTAAATTGGATCCATGACCCCCTTCATATAATGAACTAACAATTGCCTGCCTAAGATTATGATCCAATAGATTCGCAGCAGGCACTTTGTCGTTATGTCCAGAAGTCCCAACTCCATCATCAGTCATATTGAATGATGACTGCATCGATTCAGGTTTTGAGGATGTTGCTCCCTGAGAAAAGTTGTGCGCCACAAAATTTTGCCCATGTGTTGTAGAAACTTCTGCATCTGTAGTTGCCTGAGGACGTGCAAACTTACCGAATTCAGGACTATAGGGCTTTGAAGGAGCATCCTTTCCACTAAGAACATCAGCAGGGATGAGTGTCCCAGGAGCTCCCATGAGATCAACCAAGTACTCACTGCATGATTAACAAAATAAACATGAGATATATATTTTTCAAATAATAGTTAATTTATTCAATAGAAGGATTTAACAGAATCTGTGCTATGAGAGCTACCTAACTTGGAGCTAGAGAGGGGTAGCCTTGCACTAGGATACCTATCTAACTTGGAGTTAAAATCTAAAGCAATGCAACAAAGTCTGCACTACCACAAGCGCCAAAATATACACCAACAGAGTCTACTACAACTTAAATTAACTTTATAGGCTAATATAACTACACCTCTTACGCTATTTACAAAATCACATCATTTCTAAGTGTACTTCTATTCCAAACAGAACGCCAATAATTTTCTACATTTTTTACTCAGAAAATATTGCATGAAGCAATGGTTATAAAGTAGTAATTTATATTTTCTAGGTTTACAGGAGATCCCACAGGCTCACTCCAAGAGGTTGCTATAGCATACCTTTTGAGTTTTCTCTACTCCAACAATCAATAGACTCACTATTTAGAAATCTCAAGAAGTTTGTCTGAACTTATGCATATTAAGTTTGAGGGCATTAAAAATGTCAGCTCCTATAAAAAAATTAAAAAATATCGAAATAAATCCATAAAGCATACAACAAATAATTTAGGGTTCCCTTTGGAATTATCAATGAAAACCTACCCTTCGTAGGCTCGTTCATAAAAAAACAAACATAAATATTATCAAAAGAATATTCAAAGTGTAGGATATGGTTTCAAAACTACCTGTCATCCTGAAGCTTGATAATGTTCACAGCATCATCGTCAACACCAGTGTAATGACTACCCTTAACAAGTCTACAAGGTATTCCAACACTATCAGCTAAGGCCTGCATTAAAATGAAAAGAAAGACATAAAAGATCCAATAATTGAAATCTAAATTCATAGCATATATATAACTTACAGGAGGCCATGGACTATAAATTTGCATGCACATACTATTAACCATTTAAAACATTATTAATCTGTAATCTGAAGACAAGATAGAAAATGGCCATACAAACTTGACAAGGAGATGTATAATTTGTTCTTCCCAAACACTCATTAAACAGATAAAAAGAAGACTTCCTGTCCTACATGCCTATGAATTTTCCATAAGATTATTTAAATCAAATGGAAACAAAATGTGAGAAAACTTCACCCACATCAAATAAAGACAGGAAAGTTGGCTGGCTCATAACTAACTAAACAGACAGGCTCCAAACCCTTTCAAAACTGAAAGTTATACTCTATCCCAAATCAATAGTTTTCAGAGGATCTGTTGTTCCAGAATGTTCACCACTTTTTCATTTCCAATACACTATTTATCAGTTTTCTTCCACTTCTATGCTTCTTCATTCAATTGATGTCTTAAAAATATTATATTTTGCAAGATAGTTGAAAAGAAGATTGTAATTTAATGCATTGCTAGGATGGACAATTGAGTTATGTCACTAGTCCTTTTCATAATTCTCATCATTTCTTGATTACCGAGGAAAGCTCTAAAGAGGCTACTATTATTTTAGAATTGAGAGTAATATTCACCACTATCCTCAAAATTACCTTTTTACTGTACCTTTTCCATGATGACAGAAATCTCGCCTGGCAAGAATTATTATTACCAGAGCTAACAAAACATAGCAAGGCCAATTTGATTAATTAAACTATATGCAAAATTATTCTTTTCAAGTCAGAAATCTCTCTATCAACAATCATTTTGATGTGTTGCAGGAAAAAATCTTATATTGTGCTTCCTTCCTTTTTCTTGATTCAAAAGTTTCAGGTTATTTTCCCCACAGAATTTATGTATTTTTAACATAGCTACAAAAATTTCAAGATATGAATGAATGAAGAAACAATACTAAGCCTAGAGGGAACTGCTGCCACATTGCTGGACCATTTTAATACTCACTTTGATATATTTCGAATGGCCAACTAGAGCATCTCAGTAATATAATCAATGACCACCATCAATCTAAGCAGCACCTCCAATTGACAAAATCAAGACAAAGAAAGGTATGAGTAATATGCAAATTTTGGATCTTGCCTTAAAAAGTAGTGCACGGTGACGCGATAGACCAATTCTCAGGGATCCAAGCGGCAAAACAATGGTATGAAGAGATGTCCTCAATTCCATGCTTCTTTCCATCCATTTGGCCAAAATGATATTGGCATCGCGTACAGGACCACCCAGGTGCTCTGTAACAAGTTCAGCTAATCTCTGTATAAGTAGAGTGATTTCAGTTGTAGGGCGATCAAGTACAATGCAGTGTGCTATCTGCATCAACTCCTCCAGAGCAGGGTCTAGTTTTCGGTTAACTATAACCACCTCATAATTAGAGCCCCCATTGTCACTTTCTAGATCTGAAAGAGAAGGCATGTCCCCTCGAATTGTGGCGTCTGAGGATACATTATATACATCATAGAAACCATCCACCACTCTTTCCTCAAAGTCGAGAACACCAAAATCCTGACAGTATTTTAGAAAACAAACTCTGTTATATAAAATAACAGTTCACAATTCAAAGTTTCTATACCTACATAAGCACATTATTTCAACAATGACTGCAAAACCAACTCAAACAACACATACAGATGCTTTCAGAATTTTATTCTACTTCTTTTTTTCCTTTTTAAAGCTCACTAGTGAAGCCCTCGCATCAGCCACAGAAGGAAATTGATCACTCGTCTTTATGATCGAGTATATGATAATATCATCCAACAACAAAGAAAACTCTAGAGATGACTAATTCAACAAGCTCACACAAACGAAGGGCCAAAAAAGAAAAAGGGGGATACGTAACGCCTAAGCAAAAGATTTCATCGGAATTGCATAAGGGCACGCGAGATAGAACAATAATTAGGGGAAACAACCGACCCAATAGCGGTGGGAAAGGACGTCGGCAGCTGCGTTGGGATAATCGGTGCTCCGGATCGGGGTCTTCTGGGAGTCAATCAGGGCGGAATCCTGACCGGATGAGGAAACGCTCAGAGCCATGGCCAATTGGACCTCGAACTCCTCGACGGAGGCGTAGAAATCCTGCTGCGGCGGCGGCGGATGCAGCTGCTGCGGGGTATTACTGTTAGTGTGAGTGTTAGCGTTAGTGTTGGTGTTGGTATTGGTATTGCCACCGTCAGTGGCTGAAGAAGAGGAGGAGGAGGAGGCGGGGCGAGCAGCATCGGAGCAATACGAGGAGGAGGGCGGAGGCGGTGACTGTTGGGGGGTCTCGTTAGGGCGGTTGGGGTGGTGATGGAGCTTCTTGAAAATGTGTTTCATCTTCTCTCTCTCTCTCTCTCTCTCTCTCTCTATCTCTCTCTCTCTCTATCTCTCTCTGCCTCTCCGACGTTTCTCTCTCTTTCTCTTCTGTCTGCTCTGCTCTGGTCGACGCTTTCTTTTTTATTATTTATATATATATAATTTAATTGTAATCATAAATAAATAAATAATGAAAGTTCTCGCACGCGTAGACCGTGTCTATAGACTATACGTACGGAATGTTATTATGAGTTTTTAAAATATTATCATCTCAAGCAAATATGTGCATTTTTACATAAAATTTTTTAATATATTTTTAAAAAATAATAATAATATATTACAAATATTTATTTTTTTTTATATTATTTACGTAATTTTTTATATTTTACCTTAAAAATATCCTTCAAAATCAAAACACAGAACAAGCTTTCTCCCGAATGTAAATAGGCTTATTGTGCAGTTTGATTTTTTTTTCTTTTTTTTCAAGCTTTTATTTTGGACAGAGAGTTGTACGTGTTTGTTTGTGATTTTTGTAAATTTTTATTCATATATTTCTTTCCTTTCAAAAATATGAAACTAAAATTTATTTTTAATTTTTATGTGACACTTAAAATTAATTTTATATTTAAAAATATTACATTAACAATTATTCATAGTTAAAATTTTATTATTCAAAATTCAAATCCTAAATATATACTCTATTAATATTATGTGATAACAAATAATACTCTCTCCGTCCACCTATAAAATATACATATTTTTATTTTGGAACGTTCAATTACAAAGTAAATATTTTATTAAATACCTTATTTTTTTTCCACGAATATACATCACATCGTTACTTTTATACAAAAAAAGCAAAAGAAAAAATATGATTACACTATTTTTAACTAACCTACTATAATTAAAATACTATTATTTTCTACATGACTAAAAATAATTGCTTATTTTATGTGTTGACGGATGAAGTATATAGTTATAAAAAAAAAATCAAAATAATTGAATAATAAATCAATAAAACTAAATTCCAAAAAATTATGTACAATAACCAAGCAAAAGCTATGAAAGTGTTTTTTTTTTGTTTTAGTTAGAATTTAGTTTTATATTTTTTTGTTTGAATTTTCTTTTAAACATAGATTTTGACAACAGTTGTTTATTTGTGTAAAATGACAAATAACCAATCATACGAAGCAAAAAAACATGAGGATCTTTTACATTTTGAGTTTAAATTTTTATTTGAACTGTACTTTGGACATAATATTTTGTAAGATTAAAGTATTATATTTAAATTATACTCAATTGTCGTAAAATTATAGTATGGGTTGTATTTGGTATGGAATATTGATATTATATTGGTAGTGTTTTTTTATCTTTGTGAATGTATTATCGTAAAAAGTAGTGACAATTATGTAATAATAATGAAAAAATAATGGTAGTTTTATTGATATGATTATTTATGGAAACGAGACTATTATTGTGGAACGGACAAAAATGATAAACAGTACTATTGTATTGGAACAGAGAGAATATAATACTCCCTCCGTCAACAAGGTTGCCGTTTACTTTTTGCAAGTAGATTTTTAAATATTAATATTATAATGGATTGTAGTGGAAATGACGAAAATACCCCCTATTAGTATTATGTAATATAAAAGTAATGGAATTTGTGTAATATAGTGTAAGTTGGAAGGGTATTTATTATTTTAGATAGGTAATACAATTACTAAATTAGAAAATGGTAATCTTGTTTTGGGACGGACGAAAATGAAAAATGACAACCTTCCAATGGGACGGAGGGAGTATATGTTATAAATAAATTGAAGCCAAATTTCAAATAATATGAAGTATGAATTCATATAAATTAAGAATGCCCGTCAACATAGAAATGCAAATTGGACGAATGAGTCAACAATAAAATGGAATTCAATTTAGTGTACAGTTTAAGTCAAGGCAAATTTATAATTTTCCTGATACACATTAAATTTTGCTTTCGATGAAAGAATAAATTTGTAAGAAAAATGGAAGTGGGTATTTTTTTAAAAGATGAATAGAGCGACCGTCTTACTTAAAAATTAAATTTGGTAAAATAACGTACTGTTAATTTATTTATTTATATTAAGGTGTTAACTAGCAATTATAATTTCTGAGATCATTGAAGTAATTATAATTATGTCTGTATTTGTTGGTTGATTTTCGTTTCGTTTGTAACTAAATAAATAAATTATACATATCCCTAAAAATTTATATTTTTAGGTGAGACAGTTATTTACTTTATCTAAAAATAGAAAAAGTTGGTGATTTTTATCTGTAGCTGACTAGTTGTCATAAATTTGATTTACCATTAAATTGCTCTCTGACGTAGTGTTTAGTTTAAATGCAAACAAAATAATAGATAGAGTTCTTTTACAATTTTAAATTCAAATTAATATTATATATTTTTGTACGTATTTTTAATAAAAATATATATTTTTTATATAAAATATCATATCAAAATATTATTTAAATAAATATTTAAATCAATATTTCATTTCAAATCAATATATATAGGTTTTCTCTATCCTAATTCAAAATATACGTCTACTTTTTTAATAAGTTAAAATATAATAATAATATTTTATTAATTACTAAAGATCTATACGATAATAGTATTAAGATTTTTGTCTTTTGCAAGTAAAAGTGAAATGAATATTTTTATAAAAATTATAAAAATTTTAATATTTATATATGTATTACTTATACTATAATAAAAAATTAATATTTTTAAATAGATAGACAAAAGCAATAAAATGAATATATTAAGGGAGTGTTTGGCAAATAATTTTTTGAAGAGCTTTTGGCTGTTTGACCAGTCAAAAAGCTAATTTAAGTATTTGGTAAATTAGCTTTTTGGAATAGTTTTTTTGACAAAAAAAACTAATTTCTGAAAAGTTAACTTACCCAGCGTTTTGAAATTGTTTTTTTCTGTAAATTTTTTTTTATTCCTTATATGCCCTTAAAAATTTATTATACATTTTACACAAATAAATATATTTTGATTCTTTACTAATTATATAAAAATATTTTATTATATTATAGTTTTACTTTTATAAATTTAAAATAATTAATTTTTATATAAAAAAATTTATTTTAATTGTAAAATATATAAATTTATTAAAGTCAATATAAAATAAAAAATATAAATATTAATAATTTATTTTTTTATTAAAATTACATTATATAAATTTTATACTAAAAATAAATTAAATAAATTAAATTTATTGAAAATTATAAATATAATGAACTAATCGATAACTAACATAATAAATATATACACGAAAAATTTATTATTTTATATTTTACATTATTTTCAATAAAAAAAACTATTTATATATTTTAATAAAATATATTATTTTTTTAAATCTAACTGTAATAAAAATAAATACTTTTATAACACTTTCATAATTTTCAATAACTAATAACAAAAAATTTTAAACATTCTAAACTCAAAAGAACATAATTGAATATATTAGAAACAAGAATAAAATAGAAATGTCATCAATTGTTATTTTAGTATAAACAACTAATATCAAACAGTTGTTTTACCAAACATTTTAATACAAACAGCTAATCGAATTAGCTAGTCAAACCAGCTAATTGAATCAGCTAGCAGTTATCAGCTAATTAAATCAGCTAACAGCTATTAGCTAATTGCCAAAGACGCCTAAGTTGGAACTAAAGGTGTATAGAGTAAATATTATGAGTATATGTATAATATTGAATATATATATATATGTAAAAATTTAAAAATCAAACCCATTAATATTACTTTTATATGTAAAAATTTAAAAAGAGTCCATTTTTTTATATGTAAAATTTTTTAAATCAAACCCATTAATATACTCTCTTCGTTCTAATACAATAGTATTATTTAACATTTATGTCCGTCTCAAAACAACAGTCTCATTTTCATAAATAACTATATCATTATAAAACTATCCTTACTTTTTTTCATTATTATTACACAATTGTCACTACTTTTTACTCTAATACACTTACAAGAGCAAAAAAATCTTTTACCTGTATTTTTTACCAACTATTAATATAATATTAATATTTCTTAAATCTCCTTACAAACACAACCACACTATAGTTTTGAGACTGAATGAGTAATTTTTATATATAAAAATAAAATAAGTGTTCATTTTAATTTTTTTATTTTTATTTCTCCTTGGAGCCCCTCAAAATTCAAAAACAGTCCCCAAGCTTACAACATATTATACTCCCTTTGTCCCGTTTGAAGGGTGGCATTTGCTTTTTGCACGTAAATTTTTTAATATTAGTATTATATTGAATTATAGTAAAAAAGACAAAAATACCCCTATTAGTATGGTGTAATATAAAAGTAATAGAATTTGTGTAATATATTGTAAGTTGAAAGGATATTTATTATGTTAAGTATGTAGTACAATTACTAAATTAGTAAATGGTAACCTTGTTTTGGGACGGACGAAAATGGAAAATGGTAACCTTTCAATAGGACGGAGGGAGTATAACAATAAATAATATTCTCTCCGTCCCAATACAATAGTCTTGTTTACCATTTTTGTCAATCTCAAAATAATAGTCTTATTTCCATAAATAACTATATTATCATAAAATTATTCTTATTTTTTTATTATTATTACACAATTGTCACTATTTTTTACACTAATATACTCACAAAGGCAAAAAAGTCATTTATCCTTACTTTTTACCAACTATCAATATAAAATCAATATTCCATGAATCTTGTGCCCAACACAATAAAACTATACTTTTGGGACGGAGTGAGTATATTATTTATATTAATTTAATACAAATATAATACAAAAATTAATACTCCCTCCGTCCCATAACAAAGTATCTATTTTTCCATTTTAGTCCGTCTCATAACAAAGTATATATTTCCTTTTTTTAGTAACTGTACTATCTACCTAACATTACAAATACCCTTACAACTTACAATATATTACACAAATGTCATTACCTTTATATCACACATACTAATAAAGTTATTTTAATCATTTTCTACTTTATTTCTACTATATCCCAATATAATACTAATATACCTAAAACTACGCCTAAAAAGTAATTGGATACTTATTAATGGGATGGAGGGAGTATCATATATTATTAATAATTTCTAACACAAAAAATATATTTATACAACACATTGCATATAATTTTAACTAATACTCCCTCATTCCCAGAATTATAGTCTTAATTGGGTTGATTACGAGATTTAAGAAATATTGATATTATATTGGTAGTTAGTAAAAAGTATGGATAAAAGACTTTTTTTTTTTCTCTTGTAAGTGTATTAGTGTAAAAAACAGTGGCAATTGTGTAATAAAAATGAAAAAGTAGGTGTAATTTTATGGTGATATTGTTATTTATGAAAATAAAACTATTATTTTGGGACGGACAAAAATGATAAATAAAACTATTGTACTGAGACGAATGAAATACAATATATAGTCCTCTAATTAAAATCATGTGAAGTTCGACTATTTATGCTAAGTGGAAAAAATAAAAATAAATAAATAATAACAAATCAGTTGAACCACAAATTAACAATAAAGGTTCCCTTTGTTCATCACAGCCACCACCTAAACTTGCCATAAATAGCTTTTCTATTTTCGGACAAACTTGGCTCGATACCCTCCTCTTGCCTTTTCAAGACATTCCCATTCCATAGCCTAAACAAACAATACTTAAATTTTAATTATACATCAAATTAATTAATTCATCCTTAATTAGATCGATCACAAAAATATGAATCAAGAACAAGAAATGAAGGACATAGAAATCGATGAGCAAGGAGCATACATCACAATCGGCGAAGCCTTGGAAGCCACCGCACTCACGGCCGGGCGCCACCCAGTCGATTACAGCGATGCTGCCGCCATTCAGGCAGCCGAGGTCCGGGCAACCGGCCGCACCAACATTGTCCCCGGCGGGGTTGCCGCCGCTGCCCAATCAGCCGCCAATCGCAATGCTCGAATTGTTGATGACGATGAGAAGACCAAACTCGGAGACATTCTTTCGGTTTTATGCCTACCTCTCTTACATACATACATATATATATATATATACAGTTACAGTGCTGATTTGAAAAAAATTGTATGCACATGTCTTTATTACAAACATAATTTTTTTATATTCGTTCGTCTCATATAATTTGGCTATTATTTCTATTTTTTTTTCAATCTCACATAATTTGTTATTTTTCTTTTTTTTTAAATATAATTATACATTTTAATCTTAATACACTTTTTAATTACTTATTAATTGCATAATATTTAAAACTCCGTGTAATATCATTTTGTATTTGATTCCATGAAATCATCAAACATGTTTTTTCATGAATAAAATTATGTTTGATCAACACTAATTATGAAAAATGCTATCTCTTAGGATGCAAGTGTGAGGCTGCCGGCGGACAAGCCGGTGATCCGTTCAGATGCCGAGGGAGTGATCAGTGCCGAGCTACGAAATGCTCCCAACCTGCGCACACACCCCGGCGGTGTGGCAGCATCGGTTGCTGCTGCTGCGAGAATTAATCAGGCCGCGAATTCATCCCAATATACAAATAATTAAGAGGGTGTTTGTTTTGTAAAAATTATTCGAAGAAATATTTTTTTATATAAAATATAGAAAATTATATAAATATAAAAATAATAAATATGTATATAATATATTAATAAAAAGAACAAACTCTAAGAGAAATTTTTTTTTTTCATTTATATGTATGAATTTTTTGTATTATATATATATATAAGTTTTAAAAATAAAATAATAGATTTAAGGTTTTGAATAACAGGTCATCTTAATAGTTTAATAAAAAATAAATTATTATTACAAATATATAGAAAAAATTATTATTACAAATATTAAACTTAATTATTCAGATATTCTATTCATATACTTATAAAACTGAAAACCGATTGTTTGTAAATTTTTATATTTTAAAATTTTTTATGTATTATATTTTAAAATAAATAAATGGCCATAGCTATTTTTTTTTCTAGTTTCACCACCGGGTAAATCAATTTTTTTTGTCTTTTCTTTTGTATGTGTGTGTATTTTATTTTTTTCTATTGCTCGATATTTTTTAAAAATTCTAAAAATTAGACATTGTTTATATATATATTTTTTAAAGCTTTTATCTATAAAAACCAAAAAGTAAGAAAATATCTTGTTTGAAAGGTTTATTCCGTTCTTAGAGTTCAATCTTTGTAATTTTCTTGTAAATTTATAACATTTCATCTTTCAAAACATTACATTCAAAAAAAAAAAAACCTAATTTATGATTTCACTTAAAACATCACATATAATCACCATTTCACATAAATAATAAAATTTTATAAAATACAATAAATAAATAAATAAAGAAACATTCTCATATTATAAATTATTTTAAAAATAAATGATATTAGAAATCCAAAAAGCCCTGAATCTAATAGTTTGAGCAAGCTTTGCAATTAATATGAATAAAATGTGGTAAGTTGTATTTATTCAGAACAATCCAGACCATAATCATGCAAAATTGATAGTGATGTGAATATTATATATTATCTAAAAGATAAAAGTCACATAAAAATTTTAAAAGTCTTGATTTCAATAGTTCAAACACGTTTTTGCCATTCATGAAAACAAAAATAAATAAATAATAATAAATAAATAAATAATAAAAAGTAGTTACGATTATATCATAAATGCAATCCAATAATTCGATCTCCCAAATTTTAAAAAATTTAATTTGCAGGTATTAAGTTCAATCAGAAGTTTATACAATCCGATTTTGGAATAGCGTCATAAAAAGCATTAAGAATAATTATTTTATTTTAAAAAAAATATGAAAGCCTCAAATTTTCTATGATTAAAAATAAGAAAATATAATTTAATATTACAGGTAGCATTTAGTTAAAGGCTATAAATAAGTAAAAACATTAGGATGTGTACGTGTTTTTTAGGGTTTTATTTTTTGTTGTATTCTATTTTTGATAACTTTTTTTATTAGAAAAAAAAAAAAAAAAATTCATTACTGACATGAAATTAGAAAATATAATTTTTAATATTTGAGCTAAATATGAATTTTAATAAATAATTTTTGTGGATAAATAAAAATATATATAAATAAAGTTGGTAGGTACGGAGCGACTAGTGTATTTGTATCATTCACACTTACTTATTTTAAATGTCATGAAACACAAACAAACAGACAATTAACACTAGTATAAATACACTAGAAATCTGAAGGTGTGGGCGGAGATTCAATCATTTGCAGTAAACGATAGCAGCAGCTACTCTGGGAGACGAACAATGGCGTCCAACAAGCTTCTGGAGTCAGATGATTCTCAGAGGAGATGGATTGAGGAGATGAGCTTCACGTTCGAACCAGAACGCAGTTTCCCCACTGAATTACTTTCTGTTTACAGAGTTCGCAGTTTCCCCACTCAATTATGTTCTGTTTACAGAGTTCCTCGCGCCTTTACTGAAACCACAACAGAAACTGCTTACTCCCCGACAAAAATTGGGCTCGGCGCCTACCACCATCTCCGCCCCGACCTCTACAAGATGCACAAGCAGAAGCTCGCCGCTGTCAGGGAGGGGCTGCCTCCGAAAAAACTCGAACAGATCGGCAAAGAGGTTTGTTCCAACAACTTACATATATATATATATATATGTGTGTGTGTGTGCGCGCGCGCGCGCGTGCATTCTTCTCCTTCTCCTTCTCTGCGATTTATTTTTGTGTTTTTCTAATTGGAAAATAATTATAGGAGTGATTCTCAATGTGGAAATCAATTTCGTTGTGAAAGTTTGGGAAATAGTTGAATGCAGATAAATTGCGCATAACTGTAGTTGAAGTGCTGAGCTAATGGTTGAATCCTCCAATTGTTAACCTAAAAAGTGTTTTGAAAGCTAACTCAGAGCATGCGATTAGATCTGATGATATTCCAACAACAATGATGCAGCAACGCCTAATTCATGTTGATGGAATCCTTTCGTAGCATAAATTTTTGGTGTGAATGTAGTCTAGAAATTTCTTTTCAACATTGAAGCATAATTTGGAGTTCAACATTGGAATTACTCTTACGAATCATTTTTCTTTCTGCACTTGATGTTTTGAAGGTTGTCTCAAAACTCACCGAATCGGAGCCGGTGATTCGAGGCTGTTACGATCAATTCATCGACCTCGACAAAAATACTCTAGCATGGATCTTAGCCATTGACGGTTTGTTTCTACTTCAGTACCTGAAAGCCGAGCTCGAAGCAACAGATTATCATCAAGGCCAAACTGAGATGGAAAGCTTGGCAGGGGACTTGTTCATGCTGGAGAACCAAATCCCTTCTTTCTTGCTCAACATGATCGGGATTTCTTCACGCCATTTCCTAGATGATTGTCACACCGATAAGGTTCATCAAGCTTACATCGAATTTCTGCTCAATGGAGGTTTTCTAGTCCTCTGCCAGAAGTATTCACCTCTCGAACTGAGCAGCAGTTGGAGAGTGATCCGAGACACGAACCAAGAGCATCTCCTCCATCGAATGTACCATTTGATCATATGCAACACGGAAAGCAATAATGAGGAGACAGTGTTATGCAATGGCGAAATGCTCGACAACGATCCGAGCTCGGTTTCCTTGACAACAAATGAACTTCACCCTCCTTGCTCGATCGAAGAAATACATCAAAATGCTGAAGCTGCGTACGAGACGCTGTCCCATGTCTTCCCACCGGCTTCTCATTTGTCCGTGACAGTGTCCAATGGACAATCTGCGACGAGGGACGACGCCCTCGCGCACCTTCTCAATCATATGTATCGCTCAGTTAACGCTATTGTTGCTGAAGAATTGAAACCTGCCGTGTTTGATCAACTCGACAAGCATGATCTCTTACGTTCAAATAGAAAGCGTAAGACATTTTCAGCAGCGAATGTTGTAGAAAATCTGATGCCAGTCGAAAAGTTTTTGGGTCAATTCGGTGTCCCCGGCGCAGGCATCGCATGTAGCTTTCTATCGATCATCAGTCAGGTACATTGCGAAGCAATTGATGAGTTCGACACATTCGTACAAGTTCAACACATGCTTCCTAACATAAGTTTTTTTGAACTTCATATCGGTTAGGTGCCATGGAACAAGGTTTCGACTCTCTGGGGGCCTAAAGGGGACCGGCCGGAAGTCGAGCAGATCGAGATTCCAAATGTAACCGAGATGTCGAAAGTTCTTGGCATAGAGTACGCGAAGACTACCGGAATCCGGGATGCGAAATTCGTTAATAAAGAGCGAAAGCTCTATCTCCCGGCCATCACTCTAAACGCTCATTCGGAGACAATTCTCCGGAACCTTCTGGCCTACGAAGCGGCATCGGCAAAGCCGGGATCGTCGCTGGAGCTGGCGGAGTACGTCGACTTGATGTGCGGCATGATCAAGACGAAGAAAGACGTCAAACTTTTGAAGGAGGCAGAGATCGTGGCCGGAGAATTGTCCGACGCAGAAGTGGTTTGGATCTTCAAAGGGATAAGGAAAACTACCGGCGAGGGCGAGCCGAAGTCGAGGATCGGAGAGGCCATTGCAGAGATCAACTGGCTGTATGGCAATACATCGAGAGTTAAGATTAAACGAAAGATGCAAGAATGTGGGCCGAAGGGGATGAAGTACGTCAATGTCGTGGTGATGATCGTTGTGGTGTTGCTGCTGTCGGCGCAGGTGTTCTGCACCGTCTTCGGCTGCTTGCGGTGGCAGTCCGGCGGCGGCGGCGCCGGTCTGAAGTATTTCAGTGAAGGTTAGTAATGGTAATGGTATTGGGAATGGTTGTTTTGTGTGTTAAGGAATGAATGCTTATAGAGGGAATTTCTACTAGTAGTGTGTTTAATATGAGTTCGGAAAGAACTAAGGGTGTGTACGCGAAATAAATAAGCTGATCTGATATTTTGAATCTAAAATAAATATTTAGTACTCTCTTCGTCTCATAGTGTCTTTTTGTACCAAAATTTTTAGGAATATTGATATTATATCGAATATAATAATGCATTAAGAATAAAAGTAAAAAGACTAAAATATTAACTTAAAAATTTCTTGTAGTAGTATATTTGTAATATTATGTAGAAAGTAAATATTAGAATTACTAAAAAAAAGTGAATATTTTATTTTATGTTAACTTATGTGTCATTGAAATATATATGTCACAATTGATGTCAACACGGATTAGCAACCCATAGAATTTTCGGATAGTAATTGCGGATTTCTATGTCATAAATAAAAAATTACAACAGGCTTTAATATAACACAATATATGATATGAACCGATAACACATGTCACAATTGATCTGATCAGATATTACATGATAACACAGCACAATATATAAATATAACTGTACCTATCATCAAAGGGAATATAAGAAGAAAGATGATAAAAAGAATGCACAAAATCACGAAGGAAACAGAGAACAAGTACAGTAAGTTGATCATCTTGACACAAAAGCCAAAGCAAAATGCACTTCGTCGTCCTGCTTCGACCTACAAACTAATAATTCTACAGGTAACATAAATTACATTTTTATCACAATTTATTTAACTCTAGGTGATAGATGGTTGGTGGCGAGGCCACATAGCCAGTTTTCCGACAGCTGCAAACAACATTTCATTATAAATTGTCATCTAGTACAGTCGATAACAGCAATTCTTGAACAAAATGGCACCGCTTCGCCTTCTCCTCCTGGTCTTCTTGCGACATGGGAGGTTGTTGAACTTTCCTGTTAGCATAATTCAAAAAACCAGCTATGTCAGAGATCGCTGCATGTCTAAGTCGTAACCAAGTATGTTCAGTATGATGTTTTGATCACAGGACACCAAAACATAAAGTAAGTTTCTAAAGCAGAGGGTATCCACAACACAATAAACCTTGACGATAATCGACCTTCTGCGCCATAAAAACTTGCGGGATCATCTCCATGTCAGTAAATATATCGAATTCTAAGAAGACCTGAATGTCTAGTTTTCAGAGGCTTGAAAAGCCTAGCAAACCGTACACTATGTTTGGATGTGTAATTGTTTTACATTTTTATCTACAAAATACTTTCACACTAAAGATATAACGTCTTTTAAACTAATTAGCTCTTTCACATGAAAAAAATATATTGAAGTTCTAATAATTATTCAATCATTTACTGGTAACTAAATTCGAATTCAAAGGCGTACCCACATTCAAATATATGCACAACACACTTAAATTAATTTTATATATCCAATTCACATCACATAAAAATATGAAAGCAATATATTTACACATAATTTACTATTCATAATGATTAGCACACACAAATTTACAAATACAAAGAGAGGCATCGAATTCTGTAGCCAACTGATGCATTTAATATTTGATATATAATCACAAGTCATATGTAAAAGTTCTTCTAGGGAAAAAAAAATAAAATTTCTATCTGTGATGAATAATGTGATGATCATGTGAACCATCAGTATGAGTTCCTAGAATATATTCAATTCAACAGAAAACCGGAAACCATTCTGTTCCTCCTTAGTTATAAAACCAAGGCACAATAGGTTCCGACAGCTTAATCACAAATATTTGCAATATTAAAAGATACCATAGCAAGCACACACTGAGAAATATGTACCGTCCTAAAACAAAACCCTCAGAAACACTTGAAAATAAGAGAACCGTACCAAACAATTTTACACTCGCGTAATTATTACATATAGTAAACTTTAACACCAAAGATATCAATAACAAAATTTTACATGAAATTCCCTCTTAAGTATAGGCAAAGACAGTAGTTTTTTGAAGATCTCACTTTGTGGAAGTGCTTTAGATACATCATTTTTCAAAAGTTGAAATTCAAAGAACAATATTATCTAACAGGAAGAAGAAATGGAATAAATATGCAACCATAGTCAAGTGGTACAACAAATTTAAGTATGATTTATATCTGACATGTGAGAAGCATAGTGCTACGGCAACATTCTCCTGGCTATTGAAGAAAAATAAACTCCTCCCATTTTTTAAAAACCATATGTTTATTCCGATTGTATAAATCAAGATATACTAGATTCATGCTTAAATCAAGATATAAATGTCCATTCGAATACGTATATAGTATGATCAAGCTGGAATAACATCATCATTTTGTTTCTTGAATAAGATGCATATTTATAATTTTAAAATATCAAGGATGCATTGCATCAAGTCTAGTCTTATCAAAGTTCATGCTCAACTCAATACAAACGAAGCTTTAGTAAGGCCAGTCAATAGACAGCCAACAAATGAAGAGTTTACCAAAGTAATGCATTTTAGCAAAAACAGCCAGAGGCAAGTAATCAGCTACTGTTTACGAGCATATAATACAACTTCGTTACCTTCTAGCGATAAACAACTAATTCTGTCCTTTAATATTAGAAATTTGTCATTTATATATACCCATATGGGTCTAACGTTTTGTATGATGAGTGTGCATAGTAGAATATTACAAGCAGAATAAAAGCAGGTATGAGGTTGAAAATTACCTTTCTAGAGTGCTAGCAGATGTATTTTTCTTGGCCAAATCAGCTGAAGAGTGCGATGGAACGCTTTCAAAATCATCAACTGCTGGCAGGATGAACGATGACAGCAAAGGGTCTGGAGCTGCACTGCTCAAAGGAACTACAGAAGAGGGGCCTCCAAACAGAGATCGTAAGTTCCCTTCCCTGAGTTCCCTCCTCAACAAAGAGAGCGTAGACTGCGTCCCAGCTTTTCTTGTTTTCCGTTTACGCTGCATGTGATGTCTAGTCAAGGAGCTCAATATGAAAGATTAACATTCTTAGTTTTTGAGAAAAAATAAGTTAATGACGGCAGTAACAAATGTTTTTTTTTTTTTTTTTTTTTTATGACGTAGGAACCCGCAGCCCCTACCCGAAAGTGCGCAGCAAATCAGGCCCGACGGGAAAGTCACACTAGGCGAACCATGTGTGGCAGGTGACCTGAGGCGTCGGAGGTTTGATCCATGACCTCATGGTCACAAGTCCAACGCCTACACCACCAGACCATCCCTTACGGGACAGCAATAACAAATGTTTTGAATGACAAATGTTTGGTTTATAAACTATGCACATTCAGATTTAGGATTTTCATTATTCAACTTCTATTTCCCCCTAATCTATGTTTATCCTGTTGATTGCTTCAAAAGCTATCATATGTAATAGGATAAAAAAAAAAAAAGTCTGAACAAAATGAGACAAACGACAAATACAAAACAGCAGTAAATGGAAACTAAGAGAAAAAGGATATCTTAAAGACATTTCCATGTTGCAAGGTTATATGCGCAACCATGTCAACACCCACCCTCATTGTGCAAACCGGACAAACCTGGAATAGTTAATGAACATGTTAATATAATTCAAACAGACCGAGACCTTCCAAAGAGATTGGATGGACTCATAACCAAGTTGTTGAAAAAGTTTCCAGTGGAGTATTCGGAAGGAAATATAATTTCAGTAACAACAAAATAGAGTTCATTGCCAACGACAAAGCAGAACAAGATATAGACTATTCAATGAGTATCTCCCAAATTATCTTAACCACCAGAAACGAACAAAACCCACAGTTATAATTAAGCCACCTTATCCCTTTTCCAAGTCAAAAATGATCAGGGGAGGTGGGACAAGAAACAAAGTTGTCTATTTATATCTTGCAATAGATAGCGACTCAATTAATTCAAAGCATTTCGTATATTTAACAAAACAAACTGTCTTTGACGGATACAACATCAAATATTCCAAATTTTGTCTGTATTCGAACATACCCCATTATTAGCCTCGACTGGATGTTCGTCATCAATGTGACAACACAGTCCCACAATATCGAAGCATTCCGAACAGAAAGGGCAAGGATACTCTTCCCTGATATCATCATCCATGTCCATTTCCTCAAACCCCATCAACATTTCAGCATCAAAACGATCCCATTTCATTCCTACAAGAACATTGAAGCACAAACAATCAAAGGAGTTTAAACTACAAGGTTTGACGTATGACAATCATATGCAGGGAATCCATCTACAAACCACATATCCTCAATCTTCCACATACATGAACAGCAGAAACATCAACACCAACATAAAGCCAAATATAATGTAACTAGGGCATCAATTTCAAAAACGAATTACCCCCAACACCAAAATCTCTCAAGAACAAGTTCACAATAATCCTACAGAAAGCAGCAATTAACCAACAACACCCAAACGAAACCAACAATCAATCAAAACCTAACCCTAATCTACGATTGAAAAACAAAACCCATGTGAAAGGAAAAACAAAAAAGTAACACAAAAGCCAAAACAAGCGGGGCGAGGCCTCTACCAGATCGAGATTGAAGAGCTGATTGATAGCGTTTGGAAGCAGAAGAGAGACGGGCAGCCCAGGAATTGGCGTCCATGGCTTTCGTTCTCCGAACTCCAAATTGAAGCGTAGAAAATGGAAATCCTCCAACCCCGTTTCCCTGAGGAGAAAAGTGGCGCCGGAAATGAAACAAAGGGCGATGAAATTTGGTTGTATTTAGAAGGGAATTGTGAGGATGGATGGCTGGATGATAGTGTGTGAGGAAGAGAAGGGAAAATAAAAGGAGAAAATAGGGTGGGCTGGGTGGCCTCAGGCTCAGGGTCAGGCACAGGCACAGGCACAGGTACAGGTACAGGTACAGGTACAGGCAAAGGGACAGGCTGAGCTTAGCTGTGCGAAATGAAAATCAAAACAGAATTTGTCTTCAACTTCTGCCTCCCTCCCTCTCTCTCTCTCTCTCTATATATATGTATGTATGTATGTATTTCTAAGGGATAGGAATTTGGGGTATGTCTACTCTATGTTTTTCAATGGATTTTTCAAAAAAATAAAAAATAAATAAAATTTAGGGGTGTGTTTGTTTCTGTAAAATGATTTGATAGAAATATTTTTTTATATGAATTATAGAACTGTCTTAATTTAAACCACTATTTTTATTTTTATTTTTATTTTTTTTATTTTAAAATATCAATTTTTATTTAAATAATAATAATTATTATTATACACTAATACTAAAATTCTTTTATATTTTATATAATATATAAACACACTTTTATACATACAATACAAAAATATAAAAAAATTTTACACATTTAACTTATTAAAAAGATCCAAAAACCCATTTAATTTTGTACTGAAATGGTATAAAATGATAAAAATACATAAAATAGTATTTTAAATAAAAATAAAATAACGTCTATGTCTATTTATTTTACCCATTATTTGCCCAGCACAATAATCATCTCAAAAAATGGGAAGAAATTTTTTTAAACATATAATGTTTTAAGTAAAAAATATATTTGATGTGTTATTAAAAACCAATTATTAAACAGTATAATTATAAATATAACTAAATTTATACAATAAATTTAAAATTATTATGATAATATTTTATCATATATCTGTAATATGTAAAATAGTAATTTATATTTCATATAATAATATCTTGATATCACAATTATACTAGCAATTATTTTATTTTGATAATATTTTGAGTAAAATTCATTTTTGTTTCATTCAATATTAAAATTATCAATTTTAGTCTCATTCGAAAAAAATTATCAATTTTAGTCCCGCTCAAATGAAAATTTATCAATTTTAGTCCCAAAATGGCACGGCTGTGTTGTCTTGAACACGGCCGTGTGTTGGATGACTCAGAAGGTGACTGAGCGTCCCTGGCAGCCAACACGGCCGTGTTGATTACCTGCACTTCTGAACACAACCGTGCCATGTTCCTGCCCGTGTTCTGAACACAGCCATGTTCCTGCCCATGTTCTCAACACAGCCATGTTCTAGGCCATGTTCCTGTCCATCTTCATGTTCTAGTTCACGACCATGTTTTTAATATAATCATATTTTAGGTCATATTTATTATTATTTTCACTTTTTGGTTAAAATTATTTAATATATATATATATTTATAATTTAACAAAAATATTTTTTACAATTATTTTATCATATATAAAAAATAATCAATTTTTAATATTTTTAAAATATATAAAAATAATACTATATTAATATATATTTTTTAATAATACTCCCTCCTCACTTACCATGTCCACATTGCCGTTTATATTCGTGTCACATCCCATGTCACTTTCATTTTTTTGGAAAATAATTACACACTATTTTTTAATTTAATTTTAATTTTAATTAAACTAATGAGTTATTTTAATCTTAATTTATAATTATTTATATCATATGATAATTATTTTTACTAATACATTCTTAATTATCTACTAATTATACTTATTATAAATTCTCCTGTCTACAGTGACTCATATATCCAACGTGGGACGAAGAGAGTATTATTTTAAAATATTATTATTTTTATATATTTTAAAATATTAAAAATCGATTATTTTTTATATTATAAAATAATTGTAATAAATATTTTTGTTAAATTATAAATATATATATCAAATAATTTTAACCAAAAAGTGAAAAAAAATAATAAATATGACCTATGATTATATTGAAAACATGGTCGTGAACATGGCAGAACATGACTGTATTCAGAACACGAGCGAGAACACGACCGTGTTTAAAAGTGCAGGGTAATCAACACGGCCGTGTTGAGACCAACACGGCCGTATTAGCTGCCTGGAACGCCCATTCACTTTATGAGTCATCCAACACGGGCTGTCTGGAACGCCCATTCACTTTATGAGTCATCCAACACGGCCATGTTCAAGCCAACAAGGCCGTGTTCAGTCCCAGTCAACCATTTTGGACTAAAATTGATTTGAATGAGACTAAAATTGATATTATTTTTGAATGAGACCAAAATTAATAATTTTGATATTAAATGAGACCAAAAATAATTTTTATTCTAATATTTTTATTGAATTGTTACCTTTTTGTTCTAAATATTTGTTTTTAGTAAATTAAAAATAAATAAAAATATATAATAATAATTTGTTCTTAAAGTTGGAACAGCTTTTATGAAATTATATTCTCTACCGGCTATTCTTTTACCTCCCTCCCTCCAGACAGACAATCATTTTATGTGCAGAACATTAAAATTTGAACTCATAATCTCTCGATCATCTTTTACGACCGAACCTAATACCCTGCAAACTAGACCTGATGAAAAAATCACACTAGACGAACTATGTGTGACAGGTGACCCGATGCATCGGGGGGTTTGAACCCATGACCTTACGGTCATAAGTCCAACCTCTACACTACCGGGCATCGCCTAACTCAAACTAACAAAGGCCATTGAAGAGCGCCTGCCTAATCCCCTAATTGAACACCCAAAAGGATTAATTACATAAGTCTAGGCTCCAATGAACCAAAATAGACTACCCTACATAATAATACAAACAATTGAACAAAACAAAACGAGAATTTGCAATAAAAATCACAGGTAGATGATGCAACGAGTAATCGACACACCAATAAACAACTACTTCTTCAACTAAGCTTCATAAATACCAAAACAAATTCAAGCACAAGTGCAATGGCGAACTCAAAATTCATTCGGAGCAAGTATTAGTTTTAAGCGATAATCTTGTGGAAACATTAATACCTATCCTCCCATCTCGGAAAAAACTTGAGGGCAATCTCAAACATCTACCGACAAAAACTTAAGCTTTGAGGATACAAGCATCAATATGGAAGCCGTTACTGATCTTGAACAAATGTCGATAGGATATTCTTCTTCAAAGTGAACTCGTCCGCCTTTGTCGAGCTGATTGACTGTACAAGAAAAAACGACCGGAAGAAGTTGTTAGACCCCTAACAGTATTTACTTTATCGAAAGAAACTTCATCGCGGACTTGAAACAAGATGGTAACCACTCCTTCCGTCCACCAAAATTACAACAGTTTTCTTTTATAGTTGTTTACTAAATTTCTGCCTACATTATTTTTAGTAAAACATTTTATTACTCATACTTTAATAAATACTCCATTCGTCCGTTTGCTTTTTGCAAGGAGTTTTAGAAATGTTAATATTATATTGAGGTGTTATATGAATAAAGTAGAAAATACTAAAATAACCTTACTAGTATTATGTGATATAAAGGTAACGACATATAGTTACTAAAAAATGAAATTGATACTTTGTTATGAGACGGACTAAAAATAAAAAAATAGATAGATTATTAAGGGACGGAGGGAGTATCAATTTTGGCATTACTTTTTCTACTTCAATTTCTTACTAAATCTTTTTAATCTATACCCGACTTTATCATTAAAATGCTATTATTTCTGAATATCAACAAGTTCTGCCCCAACAAGAAGGATTGACAATGTACCTTAGCGAGCATGCGTTCCAACCGTTGAATTTCATTCTTGGCGTAATCGGAGCCTTTCTCCTGGCAACTCTTAGCAACTTTCATGTACATTTGCCCGTACCTACGGAAATAAATGAAGACAACCTCTTTTATACCACAAATACAAAATAGAGTCGCGTGTAATAATACAGAAGTGAGCATTTATAGCATTTGTGACTACCTTGCAGCGGAGCCCGTAAGCTTGCCAGCTTCCGCTTCCAACCGTTTGTATATAGATTCTTTCTCTTCAGACGAGGACGCGCTTACATATTCCTTCACCAAGCTATCGAGTTCCTTGACTATACCGGCCTATAGGGAGAAAATGTAAATCAGAATCCGAATAAATACTTAATGATGTATGAAGTAGGCGAAAACCTCGGAGGTCAGCTGCCCCTTTTCATCTCTGTAAGTTCCGCACTTCTCGTTGATGAAAGTGACAAATTCGTCCAAATCCCGGCCACCGTCATAGTCTTCACCAGCCTTGTTGTTCTTAGGGAAGAACTTCAATGTCGGATAACCACTAACTCCATATCTGCTCGGATAACCACCATTTACTTTTGTAAGTATTCATTTTTGTTTTAATTTGCATCAAAGATTTATTCCCGGGGCTTACCTTTCCGCAAGGTCCTTGTGCTTGTCGGCGTCGAGGTTTGCAATAACCACATCTTCCTCTGTCTTGAATGCTGCTGCAAGTTTTTCGTAAGTCTACATGAAGAAAAGATGTAAGAATATTCGATTAGTTTCTTCGGTGTTTGTTTCAGAATATTATCGAGCATGGACTAAACATACCGGTGCAAGATTCTTGCAATGACCACACCTGTAAAAGAAAGTAGTCGTATTAAGAACAGAAACAATCATCTAGTATGCGAAGCTGCAAGAATTCTAAATTCTTCATTTTGTTTACACTTACCATGGTGCATAAAACTCAACCAGAATGTCTTTCTTCTCGTCAAGAACGACCTCGTCAAAGTTGTCTGAAGTCAGAACTACAACATTCGAAGGGGGCGCCACTATCCTGACATTTGTCCCTGAAGACAGCATTACAAAGGAAGTTCTTGATAAGAGCCTAGTACATAAGAAACTAAAAGACATCCTAGCATCGAACAATTCGCCACCAATAAGCCTATATTCATTGTGAGCAATAGATAGAAATCACGAATGGACGAGAACTGAAAAAATTAAAACACTTACCCCCTTCCTTGTTTACAAATTCAGCAAGGGCTTCAGCATTCCGTGCACCTTCATACCTATCAAAAGAAAACACGAGCACTTGGAGAAACAACTTCACACGATAATCAAAATTAAAGAACAGCAATTGTAATGGAAAAAAGATGGAGAGATAAAAAAACAGTAATAGAATTCTCAGAAAGGTCACAACTGACTTTTTCGGTTCCAAGGATCCCTTTGGAAACCACTTGATGGTGGGATATCCAGAAACATCATACTTGCTACAAAGGCTCTTGTGCTCGTCGCAATCAACCTACAACAGGAATGTACATACAGGGCATAGTGTATTTACCTCAGCAAATAATAACAAGCCATTAACTAAATATCAAATTGTTGAATCGTGCAAACTCAACACCAAGAGCACTGCAATGGCTGATTACTTCTGATTGCTTAATGAAATTTCCTAACATTTGTATCTTCGCAAAACAATAATGCCGGCAGTATAATTCCGAAGAAATTATCACAACTAGCACACCATAGGCCACAAGAGAAATCAAATTGACTGACCTTTCCGATCAAAACAGACTTTGCCCTCTTGAAACTTGAACCGAGTTTTTCATACTCAGGAGCAAGCTTCTTACAGTGCCCACACCTGTACAAGAACAAACATCAACCCTTAATTTCCATCACACCGTTGTCCAAATACTTTTTTCAAAATTTTTACAGTTTCAGTGATGTGTGAGTAATCGTTTAGAATGCAAAGGCCATCAGAATGCACATTCAAAAATTAGGGCAAAATTTTTATCGCTGAGAACAAATGCAAAGTCCATCAGAATGCACATTAAAAAATTAGGGCAAAATGGAAAGCAGCTGAACGAGAAATTGAATGAGTAAATCAGATCGAGGTCACTAAACTCGGAATCAAATTACACAGAGCGGAAAATGAAAATTAATTCGACGATTGGAGTCGAGACATAAACAGCAGACGACGATTGAAATTAAACGCGAGAAATTCGTACCAGGGGGCATAGAACTCTACGAGAGCTCCTCGATCTTGACCGACCTCCTTCTCGAAATTGTTATCGGTCAGCACGACGACGTCCTCGGCACTGGCCGACGCGATCAGGAACAACGCGAAAGCGGCAACACCGAAGCTGATCCGCGATCTCGACATTTTCGGGAAAATCGAAAATTCTCGGGCGATCCGATCCCTTCTGTAGTGAGGGCTGAATAAACCAATGCGGCGGGTTTTTAAAGCTGGAGTCTTTGGCTGTATTATCCCTCTCTCTATATATAGGCACGGTAGTGGGCCGGGCGTGGGATTCTTGACGATAACGAGTAATGATTGTTTAGAGACACGTGTCGAGTCGACGTAGACGATCTTGAACTGAGGTGAAATGCAGTATTGCTAGCCAATGTCTTCTATGCTTAGCTTGAAAGTAACGTTCCTCCGAAGCAGAGTATTTCATCTAATCTATTATCCAATCCGGGCCGGGCCGATCGCCATAACTGGACCTTTTGTGGTTCAGATCGCAGGTCCCATGTGACCATATTTTGTGTTTTATAATTTCAGATCTCTATTTACATTTTGTTGGGAGTTAGACATGGCATATCTATCTGAGCCCTAAATTAAGAAATTAGGTCTCAAGTATCATTTGCAATATATGCATATGCAAGTTTTGTATACTTCACGATTTCTTGCATTGAAAAGAATATCAATTCATTTTCAAACCATTACACCATATTTGATTGGAGGATTATCTTGTCTTTTTTTTTTCCTTTTATATGACGAGGATTAGCTTGTCTTGATTTAACGTGATATAACCCAACATGGCGTGACAACAAATATAACCACTAAGAAAGAGACTTAGATCACATGTCTATCGTGTACACACACCTATCTCCAATCCCATCTCACTATAAAAACAACCACTCTTAACTAAACCTAAACAAAATCCAACCTTCATCCAATCCAAACCATGAAAACCGACGGCACAACGCCACCGCCGCCACCGCCACCGCCGCCGCCAACAACGAATATCGCCGGCGAAACCCCTCCCTCCACCCACCCCATCCACAAAACCTTAACATCTGTGGCCAACCTAGCCAACCTCCTCCCGACCGGCACCGTGCTCGCCTTCCGCACCCTAACCCCGTCCTTTTCGAACAAAGGCATTTGCCAAATATCGAACCAATGCCTCACGGCCGCCCTCGTCGCCCTATTATCGATCACGTGCTTCGTCTCCACGTTCACCGACAGCTTCACAGACAGCCAAGGGCGGCTCTACTATGGCGTGGCCACGTTCAAGGGGCTTCACATTTTTAGCTGCGGCGGCGACGACGACGGTGCCGGGAATCTCGAGGCGCGGCTTTTGGAGACTGAGGAAGCGGCGGCGGCGGCGAAGGCCACGCGGGTCGACCTTTCGAGGTTTAGGGTTGGTGTTGTGGACTTCTTCCATGCCTTTGTGTCCCTCTTTGTGTTCTTGGCTTTCGCCTTCAGCGACGATGATGTTAAGAAATGCTTCTTTTCTTTCGAGGATGAGAATTTGGATGTTTTGCTTAAGAACTTGCCGTTGGCCGCCGGGGTTTTCTCTGGATTCTTCTTTACCGTCGTTCCAACGACGCGCCGCGGCGTCGGATATGCTGACGTGGCTGCTAAGGTCAAGTGAAGGAAGTTGTGTGATTATATTATGATGTTGCTAGTTGCAAGATGAAGTTTGTGGTTTGTGTCATGTGGATATGTAAGGATTTCAATTTGTGGTTCATTGTAGGTTTAATTGTTTGTTTTTGTACCAATGTTTTTATGTGTAAAGAAAGAATGTATTTTTACTCTGAATCATGAAATTAAGAAATAAATACTTTTTGTTGAAGTTAAAAATTTGAAAAATAAAATAAAATTGTAAAATTAATTAGCACACATGACAAGTGACTTGACGTATCGAAATCCGAACCCGATTACAAATAATAAAATCATAAGCCCAACTTAATGAACATTAGTCTATGAGATTTGTCCGAGGCCCAATAAAGATACATCATAAATACTAATTTCTCCTGAAAGTTGGCCATGCATCCATCCCAGTAACCCTCTTGCGACAATCCGAGCCCTTGATTTCAAGGAATTCTATCCTGATCGTCCATTTCGTGTACATTTTGCTAGCGTTGGAATTATTTTCTTGTACTCAATATTGTTAGTTAATTTCTTGATTCAATATTTTATGCCCACAAAGGAGAATATACTTAAGACAGGATGTATGCAACTTTTATTCAAATTTATGAATCCATATATTCAAGCTTTTATCAAGCCAAGTTCATTTAAATGGGTGTGTATATTTTAAATATATATATATATATATAATTATTTGAACGTTACTCAAGGCTCAAGAACTTTGTTGACTAATGTTCTGAAGTGAACTGTTCTAATTAATTTGGTGGCAAACAAATAACAATGGAGACAAATTATTACCAAGTGGTCTGCTCTGCTGCTGACCTAATTAATATTTTATTTAATAATATATACACAAATTAATTAATTAAAAGCATAGAACTAGTAGAGTATATTTACACTGTTGGGACCGGTCAATTCTAATATGATATTAATTGTCTGCTTTGAGCTGATCCGTCATAGACTAATACAGCTAGGAGATTTTCGACACAAAGTTTACGAGAGCGAGCCCACCATCACAACCAATGGCATTTGGGACTGCGTCAACTCAACGTTAGTATGATATTGTCCGCTTTGGGCTGAATTTGCACGGATTTGTTTTTGCATATTCTCCAAAAAGCCACAAACTAGTGGAGTTCACTTGGAGCTTATAAAATGTAAAATTTTCTTCCCAACTTCCGATACGAGACTTTAATTTGCACGAAACTAATTTAGGGTGTGTTTGTCTAGGGGATTGGATTGGATTTACACTATTCATCCAATTTTTTTTCTCAAAAACATCAAATCAAACACCTATTTTTCATTTTTTATATTATACTAAAAATTAATTTTACATTCAAAACATCACATCAACACCTATTTATATCACATCATACAACTATTCAAATTCAAAATTTTTACTATTCAAATCCCAACTCAAAATCCAAACCCAGACAAACACACCCTTAATTAATTTAAAGAGCAGAGGTACGTGCACATCTCCTGTCCATTCATTCCCTTTCTAAAACTAGTCATAATATATTAATTAATTAAATTAAATTAATTAATTAATAATTTTAAAATAGTAATTAGAATATATGTTAGCTAGCTAGGTCTAGGCCTAACACTACAAGAAAAAATAATTTTTGTAACAAAATTTTTTTGTCTCTAAATCTACTTTTTCCGTTACTAATGACATTAGAGACGGAATTAGTAATAAAATTACGTTAGCTACGTGAACTTTAGGGACGAAATTTCGTTACAAATATATTATTTTTTTGTAGTGCAGGGACCACATCCACAACCACAACCACAACCACAACCGCAACCACAACCACAACCAAGTTAATTAATATGATTCGAGGGTTTCACAATTTTAGGGTTTCCGAGGATATTTCATGTAATAAGCCTTAATTGGGAATAAAATAAAATAAGTAAAAGAATCATTCTGTAGTTTTTAATTTGTTATGTTGATCAAAATTAATTAGGTTGGGTCTTGAGTTGGACGAGGAATTATATTCATTTTAAATTCCTCTTACTTTAATGAATCAATGCAAAATATCTACTGCTTTATGGACTTAATTAGATATATAATATATAAAAATATCTACTTAGATAAATGATAGTTTTATGAGAACAATTGAAATGCTAATTGGGGTTAATGTGAAAATATAATTAATAACACATGTTGTACCCCACCGGTCAATACAATATTAATTCTTTCAGCGCGCGTTTTATCGTCACTAACGTACATGCATATTATTGATATAAGTAGTCTGTTCAATCTATTCAACATCGGACTATTACATCATTTTCGACTCATATCACTTTTCAATTAATACATGTACAATGTTAATATATCCTATATATACTCCCTTCGTCCCAAAAGTAAATATCCATTTGCTTTTTGCACGTAGTTTTATAAATATTACTATTATACTTGACATATAGTAGGAATAAAGTGGAAATGACTAAAATAACCTTATTAGTATGTGTGATATAAAGGTAATGACATTTGTGTAATATATTGTAAGTTGTAAGGGTATTTGTAATGCTAGGTAGACAATACAGTTCCTAAAAAAAAATAGATAATTTGTTATCGGACGGACTAAAATGAAAAAATAAATACTTTGTTATGGGATTGGGGAATATTAATATCAGTTGTAGTATGTTGTATGAACTAGGTATATCTGATTATGTATTGTATTTGTATTATATAAATAAATATAATATTATGTTCATTTATATATCATGTGTTAGTATGTATTTTGTGTGTTGTCAGTACTGACTAATTATAGTTAGTAATGTATTGTTTGTGTTATTCATTAGAGAAAGATTTCTAAAAATTATGTATTATGATGCATATTTTTATATAAAAAATATAAAATTTTATTCAAATTATAATTACGTTTACTATGTATTTGTATAACATTCAATTTTTATTTTTATTATTTCTAAAGCATTACAAATCACAGTACAAACATATATAGGTAAACAATATGCTTTTAGTATTTGATACATAAAAAAATTCTCAATGTTACCTGTGTTTGTTTGATTTGATTTAATTTGAGTTTGAATTTTTATTTAAATTTTTATTCAAATAATATTTTGTGAGAATTGCATAAAATGAATAATGTTACATATAAATTTTAAAACTCTAACCAAACACACCAATGTAGTAATAGTAATGAATGATAATAAAATTAAAGAGGATCGATATCAAAATTTTGATTAAATTTGTTACTTGGTTTTAGTTGTATTTTAGTATTTTATAAATTATTTTTACAAAATAATTATATAAAAAAAAATATTTGATATAATATTTTAAAATTTAAATATTATATTTTTTCATTCTCAATATATCTATTTTATCATTTTAGTATCTCCACACTCAATGTATATGTTTTTTATTTTAATAAAAAAAATACATATAGACTTTACACTATATTGGAAATGATGCAAATAAAAAAAAATGACTTTAAGGGTTTTTTTATCCTTCTATTATATTATTACCTATAAAAATATTAATATTATAAAATTTGCATGCAAAAATTAAAGGGTTATATTTATTTTGGACAAAAAAAATATAATATTATATAAAAAAATTAATACAAGTTTATAAATAGTTGTGGTTTTAAATTTATTTTAAATAAAATATTGATTGGATATTTTGTAAAAAATAAATATTATATTTTTATTATGATCGAATTGAATAGTAATAATTTTTATTTAAAATAAAAAAAAAAACACCCAAGTCTATTTTTAATTAAAAAGAAAAAAGAAAGTAATGAGTGGGGCGAAATATTTGTTTAAATATATTGTTCAAATATATTATTAAATGTAACAAATATGGGATTGCATTATACAAAAAAAAAAAAAAAGAAATAGAAAACTAGCATCTATTTGTTAATTAAAAACATGATAGCTAACAATCACTATAGAAAAATAAAAAAATCAAAACAAGTTCTTAATCAATTTATTTATTTTTTATCCATATGAAATTAATCTATGATTTTTCTTTTTCTTTTTAACAATTATATTTTCCACATAATTAAAAAAATCTTACATTTTATATATGACAATCAACTTATATATAAAATATTATTAACATTTTAGATATACAATTATTAAAATAAAACTCGTCTATTGTATTATATACATATAAACTATTAAAGGTGTGTTTATTTTTTTATTTCAAATAAAAAATACTACTATTCAAATCACATCAAAGTATTATTTAAATAAAAATTCAAATTAATATTTTATTTTAAATTACAATCAAACTAAATCATAATACTTTAAAATCTACTTAGCAAATAGTATTTTCTTTTCTTATTAAATATTTTTAAAATAATAAAAATTACTTTATCCAGACAATTTGCACTATTTCTCAAAATATTTTTACAATTCAATTCTACTATTTCTAGAACACAAAAAAGAACAAATCCCTAATTAACTCATGTAACCCAGAATTTTGAACATAATAATAATAATAATAATAATAATAATAATAATAATAATAATAATAATAATAATAATGGTTGAATATTTTTATAGTGTATATATTGTAAAAATTATATATATAGTAAAATAATTTTAAAGAAATACTTAGTAAACCGAATTTTAATTACTCCAAATTATGGAATTAAATAAACCAAGAGAGATCTTGCAATGTGTTGACTCGAATTTGCTCTAAATGTCAATATTTGGTTACTTGTGGTTTCAGTTCAAAATCTTATTCTCTAGAAAATTATTTATTACATTGCATACAATATCATGGTAAACTGTCTTTTTAGTCTCTTAATTGGATCCTTTATTATTTTAGTCATATAAATGGAGCATGTCGCAAACTAGTCTCGTAAGTGAAAAATTTTCGTTGTTTTAGTCCTCCGGCGCCGGAGACGCCCGCGTGACTCGCTGGAGGTGACGTGTCCGCCAGGTCAGCGACACCTGGCGGACACGTGGATTTTTTTTTTCATTTTTTTAATTTTTTTAATTGGACCAAATAAAAAAATACAAATAAAATTAAAAATAAATTAAAATAAGTTTTAAAAAAATTTGGAAAAATGAAAAAAATAAATAAAAAATCCACGTGTCCGCCAAATTAGCGATACCTGGCGGACACGTCAGCTCCGGCGAGCCACGCGGGCATCTCCGGCGCCGGAGGACTAAAACAACGAAAATTTTTCACTTATGGGACTAGTTTGCGACAGGCTCCACTTACGGGACTAAAATGATAAAGGGGTCTACGGAACTAAAAAAAAAAAAAAAAAATTTACCCAATATTACATTAAATAATTTATTTTATTTAATTTCTTATAATTTTCGAAACAAAACCAAAACACATCCAAAAATGATATCTAAGCACAGTAATCAAACTAAAATAATACTAAAAGCACTGGCAAACGCTCCACCCTATAGATTCCAATTCCCCTTCAACTTCTGTAATGATATATATATATATATATAACATTAATAAATAAATAAAAAATAAATTAAATTATTAAATAATTATCTATATATATATATATATAAATACACACCAAGAAAGGGCATTTCCATGAGGGCCATATGACTTGACATAAAAATGGTCTAATGTGCTTTTACCACCAATTTGTGCTTCCCTTTACACCCACACTAGAACTAAAGGCCTTCCTTTAAATTAGGTCACAACAAGGCCTAATCTACACCGTTGGTCAAGCCATCGATGTTCGCGGCGGCAGCGATGAACGGATGAGATTTAACGAGCGCGTAAGACATACTATATATGTATACAATCAAACAAGGGGACGGAACAACGTGTCAGCTGCTCATAGATCTGAAAATATCTCGAAGAAAGAATGACTGACCAACCTGATAAATTGCTCCCCATCGCCAACGTGGGGAGGATCATGAAACGGATCCTCCCCAAGAACGCGAAGATTTCCAAAGAGGCAAAGGAACGAATGCAAGAATGCGCATCGGAGTTCATATCCTTCGTCACCGGGGAGGCTTCCGAACGGTGCCACAAGGAGAATCGCAAGACGGTTAATGGAGACGATGTTTGCCGGGCTTTGAGCTCATTAGGGTTTGATAACTACTCGGAGGTCGTCTCGAGTTATTTGCACAAGTTTAGGGAGTTTCAAATGCAAAAGGCTATTGACAACAACAAAGGGAGTGGTTCTTGTAATAGTGTCGATAAGGATGGATCGACTACCGGCGTTGGAGGTGTCGATATCGATCCGATTGATTTTGGGATTCTTCAAAGAGGAGGTAAATAATCACCTAAGTGATCCAATTCAGAAATTAAAATCAAAACCCTAAAAAAAAAAAGAAGGGATTTTGGGCATTCTTAATTAGGATTTCAACTAGCTTGAAGCTTGAGTTTTTCGAGTGTCTTCGCGAATAAGCCATCTTTTTAGTCGAGTTCCCGGCGAGGATGGATCGTATAATGCATATATGTATAAATTAATTAAGCGTGTGGTATCGAACATCAGATTGATTGTTTTATGTGAACTAATTGGGAAGTGATGAACAAGGTTTTGAGCTGTAGATGGTTTTCTGTTCTTATTCCCTTTTTTTTTTTTTTTAATTTCTTCATTAAAACAATTTTACAATTTTTGTTGTTAACAAATCTGCTATATATATATATATGTATGTATATATCTTGAAGATTAATTTATAAAGATAAAATTGTTGTTACTGTCACTGACTAGTCATGGTGTGAACTAGTTCAAGAAAGAAGTATTGATCTTTATTTCATAAATTGCAAAATTAATTATATATATATATACTAATCTACTAATAACATATTTGGATTCTTAATCTTTTAAACCCATTGAGATCTTGGAACCACATAAAATTAATGGCCTAACTAAATTAAATTAAACACTGCAACATATATATATATATGTATAAACAAAGGGTTAGGGTTTGTCAAACCCTTGAATATATCTGGTGATACATACATACATACATATATACATTAATAAAATTAAAGATTAGTAATATCGATCACATTAATAACATATTTTAATTTCAGACATAGAATGAAACAATATCTCGATAAAAAAATAAAAAGAAAAAAAAATTATAAAGATGGGTTGATGAAGCCTGAGAATTTGTGTCAAAGTTAGGGTTTTTAAGCATCAAATCTAGGGTTTCCATAAAATAAATTTGGGACCACTTCTCCAATATCTTCCTTTTAAGTAATTAATTAATATAATTATATATAATATATATCTCAAGTTTTGATTTCATTTGATAATTATTTATTTATATTTTGAATGAGCAAAAAGATCTGTTCTTAATAGTCTGTTTGTTTGGGAGATTTTCCCACGAAATATATTATTCATTCTATTTTTTTTTAAAAAAATATTAAATCAAAAACTGATTTTTATTTTTTATATAATATTTAAAATTAATTTTATATTCAAAATATCACATCAATAATTATTTATATCACATCATACAACTATTCAAATTCAAAATTTTTACTGTTCAAATTCCAAACTACACGGACACACAACATTCTTGATTTGTGTTGATGTTATGAAATATGTAAGTTTCTTTCTTTCTTTTTTTTTTTTTTTTTTTTTTTTTTTTAGTAAATTTGATTTTTCAGATATGACTATAGTTATTATTATTATTATTATTATTATTATTATTATTATTATTATTATTATTATTTAGAATGAAGTATGTATACCTTGGTCTCCTTTTTATTCACTCATCTAATGTTTATTAGTTTATCTATTTATAAATTGATAGTTTCGATCTTACAGTTTAATTTTAGGGTGCTTTTGGTACCAAAAAATAAAATCAGATAAATAAAAATGATCTCAATTTTTTTATATGTTTGAATTAGAGAAATATAACTTAAATAATCAATTTTATTTCTCTCCCTATACACAGAAATTGAGATGAATGATATTGTAGTATATATTTTTATTTTTTAAAATTATATTATACAATTTTTTACAAAAATTAATTTTGATTTATTGTTAAAGTATTTGATTTTTACAATTTCTAAAGAAATTGTACTAAATTATAATCTTAAAAAGATCGCATATAACTTATAATTTTTTTTAAAAAAAATTAATTACCAAAAATATTTTTTATTAATTTTCATTCCTTAAAATTCTTTTTTTTATCGTATTAATCATTTATTCTTGTTTGATCTATTCACTGCATTTTTGTTTTTACATTTCTTGAATTCTCTGTCTTACCGAATAAGAGAGAATTAATTATCATTCTCTACTCAATTTTATTTTTCTTCAATTAAATTATCTCCTGTCATTTCTCTACAATTATATTCTTTGTGTTAAATGGGCCCCTTAGTTTTTATAAAATTTAATAGAAAATGATAATTGTTATAATGCAATTTTAGTCATTAGTCATCTCACTTAGTTTTACATGATTTGTAATTTCATACTTTAAAAATTTAATAATTAAGGATTACAATTATATTTATTGAAATTCTAACAAAATTAGTAAAAATGAATAAAATTGAACTAAGGGAAGATCAAAATGGTAAATTTAAAAATGAAGTGACTAAATTAAAATGAAAAAAAAGAGACAAATATACATATATATATATATATCTTCACCCAATTTAGTTTTTTGACACAATTTTTTGATAATATTATAAAAATATAATACATATACACTTCATATTTAAAAAATATCAACAATACAATATAGAATATTACTTTTATATTACTAAAATTATTTTTCATACTTAATATAAAAAAATATATTCATTAAAAAAATACAAAGTCGAAGGGTGTGTTTGTTTGGGGGTTTGGATTTTGAGTTGGGATTTGAATAGTAAAAATTTTGAATTTAAATAGTTGTATGATGTGATATAAATAGATGTTGATGTGATGTTTTGAATGTAAAATTAATTTTTAGTATAATATAAAAAATAAAAAATAAGTATTTGATTTGATGTTTTTAGGGGAAAAAAATTGGAATGAACAGTAGAAATCCAACAAAATCCTTCAAACAAACACACTTAATTAATTTTAAAAATATAATAATAAGGTTGCAAGTTTTGGTTCTCCCTTGTGGTAATTAATATATTATGAAATTCTAATTTATATTGAATAATTTGTATAAAACTATTACTTCAATTGATGATTAAAGAAAACATAAGGATATAAATTAAAACACCTAATTAGGGAAGAATTAATTATATAAATATACATACTAAAATTTTGATACACCTACATTCAAATAGTTTTATCTAAGGGTGTGTTTGTTTGGGAGATTAGATTTAATTTCCACTGTTCATCCCATTTTTTTCTCCAAAAAAAAATATCAAATCAAACACTTATTTTTTATATTATATTAAAAATCAATTTTACATTCAAAACATCACATCAACACCTATTTATATCACATCATACAACTATTTAAATTCAAAATTTTTACTATTCAAATCCCAACTCAAAATCCAAAATCCCAAACGGTTAAAAAGATTAGTAGATTCGAAAATCAATAGATCCAGATTATATTTTTTGGGAAGAAATGAATGATTTTATAAATTTATTAATCTTTCTCTAAAGTATGTGGATAATTAATAATTATCTATTTAATATATATATATATATAGCACAACAATTATATATCAATTAATATGCTACTAATTAATATAATTAATATTTGTAACTAATGAGTATAATTGAAAAAATAAATTTTTTGAGGTACAAATTAAAAATTTGTAGGGTTTAATTTATTTGGTTGTAGGTTGAAATTGTTTTAATTTTGATTTAAATAATTTAATAATAGTATATATTGAATAATTGTGTTTTTTATTATTATTATTATTTGGATTAAAACACGCATCCATTTATTAATATTAAGTATTATAATGGTATTTTAAAATTTCATTAATTGAAATTAATAGGAGAAAATCAAATAAGTTAGTATGATTTAATATAATATTGAATAGGTCTAATGTGTTTGTTTTGGCTTATTACATGAATACATAATAAATTCACAAACATTCATGAAATTATAATTTAGGATTCTCCCAAAAAAATAAATAAACAGTAAAAAAATATTATATTACAATATAAATATTAGTAAAAGATAAATTTTCTTATTTTCAGTATATCATTGTGTTCTTTAATAATTATGTTAAAGGACCATATTTATTATTTTATTGATTCTATTCATATATTTATTTATTAATTTAATGTTTATATGCACATCTCAACAATTATTGTATAAAAGTTTGTATTAATATAGATGGCTAATAAATATTTATATATTTTAATAATATATATTATATAATATTCTAAAAAAAATATTAAATACATCTTAAATAGTTTGAAATTAATTTGAAATAAAATATTATTTAAATTTTTATTTAAATAGTATTTTAATAATATCTTTTATTTCGATGCTCTTTATTCGACACTATCAAACTTTTTATCGGGCTCTTTGCCACCTAGAGCTGTAGTATGTTTCAACCTGAGCAACAATTTCTAAGAAATATCATTGCCATTAGGTTTTGAATCTGTAGTACAATTTATCTACTTTAGGAAGTCGAAGAGTTCCATCTAATTTTCGGCATATTCAAATTGACAATGTGCCGAAAAATATTTTAAACGACAACAATATAATATATTTAAAATTGTAAGGATATTTGCTATGTTATGTAACATTATAATTAACATAACCCATATTTTGGACTGCTAGAAATACAAAATGATATCTTTTTATAGGACAAGAGAGTATTATAATTTTATGCTTTGTTCTTCCTACCTTTTTTTTCTCCCATATTTTTCAAAAAATATTAAGGTTGTGTTCTTTTGTAAATTTTACCATAAGCTTTCACTATTCATTTTTTTTTTTTTTCCTTCCAAAAATATCATATCAACCAATTACTTTTATTTTTTTATATTATACTACAAATTTATTTTACATCAAACAACTATTCAAATTTAATTTTTTACTATTAAAAAATCCAAACCCAAAACCTAAAACCCACAAACAAACACACCCTAATACACTACGGTGCGTTTGTTTGGAGGATTGGATTGGATTTACACTATTCATCCCATTTTTTCCCCCAAAAAAATATCAAATCAAACACCTATTTTTCATTTTTTGTATTATACTAAAAATCAATTTTACATTCAAAACATCACATCAACACCTATTTATATCACATCATACAACTATTCAAATTCAAAATTTTTACTATTCAAATCCCAAACCCCCAAATAAACACACCCTACATATATTCACTATTTTTATATTTTCTACACGATTTCCTATATATCACGTTTATTTTTTTAACATTCTCACAAAACAAACACACCTTAGACTTTATCAAATTACATGTAGATTTTATTTTTTTTTCAATTATATTTTTAAAAAATAATAATAATTCGACAATAATACTGTTTTTTTATTAATTTTTAACGTTATTTAAAAATTTTAAAAAGATACATATATCAAAAGAATAATCGAATAATAGGAAAAAGTTAACAAAATGCCAAAATAACTCCCCTAAGCTCAATCCCATCCATTGCTACCAAAAATGAAGATACATATACATACATACATAACAGTAGTTATAGTGTAGTGTAGTGTCACAAACATATATATATATATATGTATCAAAATATCCAACATACCGATACCGATGCCTCTACATAGCCCCATCCATCGTCTACATCAGGTCCTACCCAGAATCCTGAAATCAAAAGCTCCCCGCTGCTCCTCGCATCGAAATGTCGCCACATAGGCGCATAACATTTTCTTGCGATGCACCATCTACTCGACAATATCATCATTCCACCGGAATGCTCGTGTGGCAGATGCCCTGTAAACTACACCAAGTTAGTCCATAAGGCGTATCGAGAAAAGGAATGGCCATATAGACAGATTTAGAATTTCAGCTGTAGCAAAAATCTTGGAGCATATTCAATATTCCATGATCGATGATTTGTTGACTAGAGTTCGACAAACTTTACAGCTGATAGGTACATTTTGAGAGAAAATAGTTGATAGGCATAGATGAGTTACATATTTCGCCGTTTATGGAAGACTAAGTGGATTATCTGAAAGTAAAATGAATCGCATTGAGTAGAGCTCTTTTAACGACAATTTGACATTCAAAGTCCTCTGAATCTGATAGGCATCATATAGTAAGTAAAACTATCGGTAATTTTTATGAACCGCGAGCAAGCTTTAACCAAGTCAAACTAAAATTAATGTCAATCGAAAAGCAAACAGAACCTGTTACAGTGGCCACCACTTTCATGAGCCTTACGCCATCACATCTCCCAGCATCAATTTCACTTCTCTGCAACATAGTATGAAGACATGCCAAACCCGAGTTTAAGAAATGAGTAAACTGGACATGCATTTTTTCAAACATATAGAGTCGTAATAAAATATTTCAGCAGATTTGTTTAATAACGCAATCGATAAAAGAATAAAGAGCCAAGTCAACCATATTAGAACTCATAAGCATACTTATTCAGGCCGCCGGCAAGAGACTGGTGGTAACCAAAAAGAAAAAAGTGATTTCCAACATCTATCTCAGAAATTCCAACAAGAACAAGGGGCTTTTTAAACATTGAGCTCGGAAATTTAAACATGGATGGGATTAATCAATCGGTGCAATATGAAGATGCAGTTTCAAAATCAAAATTAATACACACACGGCATTCTAATCATTTTTACGTTGTAGCCGAATAAAAGACAACTAGAAGAAATCGGCACTAGCACATCTTCAAACCCTCGTTCACCAATTTTGCAAATCAGACTTCAAATTGTTGAAGAGGAATCCAGATTCATCATTAAAGTAATTCAATTGGTAGCCTAGCTGCTCGTTGGCAGCTTCATCAAAAACTAATACTAGCTTAGCAGCACAATGGCATATTAATGAGATTAAATTTTGCCCATCGATTTGTTAGGGCATACAAAATGACAAATAGTTGGTACTTCTATCGAAAAAACTTCATCGGGCATCTTTGTGAATTGAAACCTTCTTTTGTTCATGTTACTATTGTAATTGTATCTCTTGCATTTGTTTTCCTCTCTTCTTAAATCAAAACAAGTAACAAAAATTCGACAGTGCTCAAGGCTATAATCAACATTTAAGAACTTCGAATTTCAGAATCCAGATATCCCTCCATTTTAAGCTCCAATTTCACATTCAAAATTCAATGCCAATAATCTACAATCTCTAGTACGAGGACACCAAGCAGTAACAGTTCATATGACAGTGCTTCAGAACTGCATCTTCTCATTAATTCCTTGTAAATAACGCACAATGTCTAAAGCAGAAAAAAAGGGGAGAACTACGCAGCCATACACAACAAATTCAAAATCCAGTAGTATCTATTAACTCTCCCCGAACCTTGAAGCGCGAATACCTAAATCATAAACAGAAGCAAGCGCAATTGGACAAAACAAAGAAATAAAAAGGAATTTCTACAGTCCGGAGGGTTTCGACTGTTACTTCGATGTCGTGTTAGTCTTTTCTCGAGTCTTCGGAAAATATCTAGAAACGAAAAGGTATATGTGGTTTGGGTAACAGAGTATTATGTACCTGAAAGTGAGTGTTGTAGTAGATTGAGGGAGCCAAGAAGTGGATGGATTGTAGAGACGCCATGGAAGTACTGTGGTGAAACTCTGCAGTCACAGGCAACTGGAATTTTATTCAGTTGGGGAATTTTGCTTCATTTTAGATTACAATTTCTCCTTCTTCGTATGCTATTAATTTTAATTAAATAGGCTAAAAATATATATATATATAAATATATTTATATTGCTCGTGACAAAAAGATATTACCGCCTAAATATGTCATACTTTTTTTTACGAAATTTAATATGAATATGTAGTAATTAATACTTTAGTATAAAATATAAAATTAATAAGAAGAAAAATAAATATAAAATTATATATTTGTTTATGTATAAAAGAGGTGATTATTTTTATAAAATTATAAAATCTATCTTCATTCATATATTTATTTGCTAACTGTAGCATCTATGCAATACTTACTCCTTAAATAGTTGTTCGATAAAATATAAATAGACAATGCATAAAATAAATTTTCAGTATAATATAAAATAAATAATCATTTAATTTAATTTTTTAGAAAGAAGAAAAAATTTTAAATAGTACAAACTTGTATAAAATTCACAAAAATTGCAACTCAACAGTTTTATTAAAGTGGTATATATATTTTGTCATTTATAATAATAACAAAAAAAAATCATAATAAAAGATATTCTTTCCATTCACTTGAACGTTCTATAATCCAACAAGGTAAACATCTCACTCCTTAATTATTTTGTGTTTTTTTCAATTCAATCCTTTCCATTTCTTAAAAAAAAAAATCTCATTCAATTATTAAAAAAAAATCAAAACCAAAATTAAAAATAAATAAATCATCTACTAAAGACACCAGAATGTGTATATTATATATGTATATGATACAGCACCATATATGAAATTATTCAGATACAGCTTACACAAGAGCATGACAATATGAGAATAAAGAGACAATATATATGAGCACACGGTTCCAAGGAATATCCCCTGTATTTTCATTCGTGGCAAGAGATTACCATAAAACCTTTTTGCGGATTCGAACACGAGTCGAGTTGAGCAGAGCAGCAGTACCTGGCTGTGCGCGCTCTATGTAAATCCCACCCGCCTCTCCCACCTCAGATCTTCTGAGAATTGTGAAATGGCAGCTCGGGGATCACCATTTGATAGCGAAAGGTAGTACTGAGCAGTGCCATCATCAACATGCATGCTTCTCTTCAACGACTCAATCAGCCTCTTCTTGCTTCGCTCGGAGGTCAGAGTGCTCAAAAGGCCCTTCAGATTTCCATCGGGCCTACCATCAAGATACAGCACTGCAACTTCTCTTTTCGCATGCATATCCACTTCTATGTAGCATATGGAGTTTATGAGAAGTTCTGGTTTGGTCACGGGGATAAGTAGCCGCTCCCTGGAGTAAATTCCATGATCGCTCATCATATTGTTCAAGCGCTTTATGTCCATTACCTGTTGAAAATTGAAAACCATCAATACATCTTGCACCTGCAATTTGAATACGACTATACGAGGTAAACTATATCCTTTTCAATGATTAGCACTGTGGAGGGAATAGTGATGTGCAAAAGGAATGCAACATGTGGAATACATTTTGTGGAAAAACAGGGGATCCGGCAGATGGCAAAGATAGCATGATCATTTAATAGACTAAATACATGTTGACAAGTAATATCAGTTGCCCTGTAAAATGCTGAAAGAATCAGATGGACCACAGTGAATTTACCGTGTGTGAAATGGTCGCACCGCTTACATTAGTTTGGGATTGAGAAGAGCTACAAACAACAAAAATGAGGAACCCAAAAAGGATATACCCAACATTACCAAGGATTACACATTTCTCCAATTTATCATCCACCTCTCATTTCCATCCAGCACTTAAAACGAGTTTTGAGCTTAAAAATGTATGAAACAGAGCCAGTGAAGTAGAACCCACAACAATTGGTTTGGCTATAAACTTCAGCAGTGCAGAGTTAATATGAGAAACTATCATGGCTTACAATCCTAACACGAGCACACAATCCACTCATTTTAAGTTTCAGTAGGCATGAAAATTCATGTAAATTTACAATAGAAAGCATTTCAGCCCTTTGATAAAAGGAAGCAACTCAATTGTGATATTTAAATCTCCCAGCGAATATCCTCCATTAGCTAAATTACAACTATTTACCCACACAAACTCTAGGATCAACAAATTGAAACTTCAAAACTAAAGAAACACTCCAAGGAACCTAATAGATCTCTTATCAAACGAACTTGAATAGGAAATCAATCGAATTCAAGTAATCAGTACTCAACAATTGATGTAATTTTCGTGATGGTACCTGAACGGAATACTTAACAGCCAGGCTGGCGATGGAGTCGCCACGTGAGAGGCGGTGGGAGACGGCGAATTTGGACAGTGAATTGTCTCTCCAGAATGCGCCAGAGCTAGGGTTTCCGACGACATCCCGAAGCTTCCACGGAGAAATGAAGGCACGAATCTGCATCTCCCTATCAGAGGCCACCGATCGCCACTGGCGGCAAACGCAGGCAGCACGGGCGAGGTCCGGAATAGGAAGATTCTCCAGAATGGCGCGTAGGGTATCCCGGCATAAGAAAGCCGAGAAATTAGAATTCATCGGGGAAATTGTATTGTCGGCGGTAAAGTGGGTTGAAGTTTGGTGGGAAGTTGAATTCACCACCGGCTCAACGAGGTCAGAAGATTCACCCGCATGCGGCAGCGGAGGGGACGGTGGCGGTGGCGGTGGCGGTTCGTCTTCGTCATCGCCGCAGCAGCCCATGACCAGTGTACGGAGCACAGTGTAATCCAATTTGTTTACGCTTGACAGTGCGCCTCTTTGTCTCATTTATTTTAATTTATTTTAATGGTTAATTTCTTCTCAAATCATCACCGATACGTAGAACCTCAATCTATTACAAAAATGGACACGGCAGAGAACCCGGCCCGGGTACGGCAAAAAATTCGGATACGGATCTAACAAAGAGGTCCGAGAATATTATGGGCCAGGCCCGGGCATGTAAGTCGAAATATGTTGGATCCAGCCTGATTGGTTAAACATAAAGCATTCGTTTCTTTTTACACCAAATTCAAGTCTATGTACTTGTATTTCTCGAAAAAAATATTTATAAATATTTCATTATACATCATTTTAATAGCAAGTTTAAACTAAAATTTTTCTAAATCTATCGAAATAAACATACTTAATAATATTTTAAATTTAAATGTATTTTTAAAAATATGTTAATAAATACTTCTTTGGTCCGGGATAATTATGTGGTGTGTTTGTTTCTTCAAAATAATTTGAAGAGATATTTTTATGTGAGGTACAAGAAATAGTTGATGGAATATATAAATAATGAATGTGTATAATATATTAATACTTTTTGAAAAATGTATAATAGAAAAAATGGAAAAGAACAAACTCATAATATTCTTCCGTCTCATAAAAAGAATTTTATTTTTTGTTTTCGTATATCCCAAAATAAATGTATTAATTCATAATTTAGTAATTATACTATCTACATAACATAATAAATATTCTTTATAACTTATAATATACTATCTCCGTCTCATATCTATTTATCTATTTGTTTTGTGCATAGCGTTTTAGAAATATTAGTATTATATTGTAACGTAGTAATATAAATATAAGGAAAAACTAAATTAGTTTTATTAATATTGTATGATATAAATGTAATGACATTTGTTAAATATATTGTAAATTAAAAAAGTATTCGTAATATTAGATAAAATAATACAATTATTAAAAAAAAAATATTTTATTATAGAACGAAACAAAATACAAAAATGAATATATTATTTACACAAATATTATTATTTTTAAGTCAGATGATACTAATAAAAATTTTTTGATTTTTTATTACAAAAAGTAAAAATTACGGTTCAACTTGATCTCTCAATAATTTTATTACTCGTATTCCAACAAATAATAATTAATTTATAGCTATTTTACTTGAGACAAAAATAAAATAAACACAGCTTTTAACTGTAATACAGTATTTTAAGAAAGATAATAAAAATATAATACATTCAGTAATTAGGAAAATGATTGGACGACCAAACCCTAATCTCCAGTAATTAATTTCCACCTGTTCATAATTAATGGAGTACTCAATAATTATAATTGATCTCCCAACAAATCCACGTCATCGTTGGATTCCGTGCACGCTCCAACGGCTGCCGCGTTCTCGCCACCGCGACTGCGACAGAGGAACGCATCGCCGCCATTATCCTCCTTATCTCTCCAATCCTCCATTGACACTCACTCACCACCGGAGCTATCAGTATTTCTCTCCACAATGCTTTCTCACTCCTCTTTTCGCCTCCACGCTCGCTGCCGCTTCACCCTTCCATCTCTTTCCCCTTCCTTTGCCCCTAATTTCGTTTCCCTTCCCTACTTCCGTCCCCGATCGCACGTTCTCCCGCGGCCTCGCGCCATCCTCCAAATATCCGCCTCCATTACCGCCAAGCCTTCCTCCGAGCTCCGGAGGAAGCCCGGAGCTTCGGAGCCGGACGACAAGCTCGTCGCCTTGCGCGAGCTTTTCTCCACCCCCAACGTCAATATCGATGCCTACATCGTTCCTTCTCAAGATGCTCACCAGGTTTTGGCTTGATTTACTGCGGGCATTTGTTTTGCGTGTTAATTTTGTGGAATTTCTATAAATTTGTTCATAGTGTTAATTTTAGGTCATTTCTGGCGACTCGGATTGAAGTTTGATTTTGTTTTATCCTTCTGATTGAAGTTTGATTTTATCCTTTTATACTATGAAATTCAGAGTGAGTTCATTGCCGATTGTTATCAAAGGAGAGCATACATTTCTGGTTTTACTGGCAGCGCCGGCACTGCCGTTATCACAAAAGATAAAGCAGCTCTGTGGACGGATGGACGATACTTTCTACAGGTAAGTTATGAGGGTAATTGACATTCCTTTTGCTAGGATTTTCTACAATTAAATGTTGCTGTTGCTAACAGGCCGAGAAGCAGTTAAGTTCGAGCTGGATTCTCATGAGGGCTGGTAATCTTGGAGTACCAACAACAGGCGAGTGGCTCAACGGGGTCCTGGCTCCTGGCTGCAGAGTGGGCATCGATCCTGTGAGTAAATGTTCTACTTCTCACTTTGATGATTATTTCGATTCCATTTTCTGATGAGTGTGCATTGTCTTGTTGTGTATGTCAGTAAAATTGTCAAAAGTTTTGGAATTCAGAACATTTATTTGAGAATCTGGATGCGATACATGTCCACAGATTTGATTTTCTATTCTTTAGAGCATCATTAGCACTGTAGTTTAGTTTCTACTTTCTACAAAAGTACATTTTAGCAATTTAAAAGTTGTGTTTGAAATTCGATAGTAAGTGATTATGAGTGCATTTTATATCATCACTTTGAAATGGCTGTATTTGCAATGTGATTAGGATTGCAAGGACAAATAATTTCAACACAATTACCTTAATCTTAAGCCACATCTCTATACTCATTTTCTGTTTGTGTTTTGGTGAAGGGTTCAGTTCCTGTTTTCATCGGATTCAGCAGATGAATTGAAAGAGGCAATATCCCAAAAGAATCATGAGTTGGTCTACTTGTATGATATCAATCTTGTGGATGAGATATGGAAAGAATCCAGACCAAAGCCTCCAAGTAGACCTATCAGATTGCACGATCTGAAATATGCTGGCGTTGACGTATCATCCAAGCTAGCTTCGCTGAGATCTGAACTTAATAATGCTGGTTCATCTTCAATTGTTATATCAATGCTGGATGAGATTGCTTGGCTGCTGAACCTGGTAATTAACTTAACCATTAATTTTAATGTCCATATACAACTGATTACCAGAAAATGAAGTGAGCCAACTACCCCGTCCACTTAAACATAAAGTAAATCAAGAAATAAATCCCAGAGAATCTCATTTAGGCTGTGTCTAGGATCCAATCTATAAGCCGCTAGAGAATCTCATAGAGATCTTAGTGACTTGGTTACTGGATATTGATGATGCAAAATTATATTGGCTGATAAGAGAACTTGGGTTTATGATGTGGTTTCAACTGGTCTTCCGATAGTGAAACTGTCAATGTTTAGTATCGTTTCTTGTATTTTCTATCAATTGACATCCATATAGATAGAAATTATCCCATGAGCCCTCTTTACCTGTTTCTCAGCCTTATCTTCTTATTGGTACTTGGTAATCACTTGTGCATTTTTTACCGATTTAATATTGTACTTTATAAAGTTTTGGATGAATGAGAGAGAGCAATCGATGCAGCAATTGTTAATAGTTCGTTCGTACTCCAGTTAATTCTTCATGAATAATATGCATTTATCTTGTAATGCAAATAGTAGTTTCCAAGTTGAGTATCTGATTTGATTTTTTGAATTATGATCCAATCTGCTCTCCTCCTGTTCTTATATAAAATTAAATGAACCCTAAAGAAGAGGAAAATAGTTATGTCAATTGTATCTTGGAAAGAAAATGTCAGCATGGCACTTCGATTTGATCACTGAAATGTTTCTTGCATTAAAATGAGATCTAACTTGAGATGGTTGACTTCAATTTTTATTCTTTGTCTCTTATTACAAATGATATATCAAAACTGTTTTTGGCATGGTTCTTGTTATCGTCTTGTTTTAGTTGTTAACTTGCACTTTATTCTCATAATAGAGAGGTAGTGATGTGCCGCATTCACCAGTCATGTATGCCTATTTAGTTGTGGAGATTGATGGAGCAAAATTGTTTGTAGACATTGCCAAGGTCAACTCTGAAGTGATGCATTATTTGAATAATGCTGGGGTAGAGTTGAAACCATATAAATCAATTCTTTCTGAAATTGAAAGGTAAGTTTGGCAGTTTTATATTCTTTTTGCTTATAAATATATTTCTACTTTGTGAATTTAATTTGTTTGCCTTAAGTGGCAGAAAACAAATGAACCTGTTAAGAAATGTTTGGTAAGATACATATGAATAATTGTAGTCAATGAAACAAAAAGTTTAATTTAGTGACTGGAAAATTATTTACTCACACACGGCCGTTTTGAGTCCTTTTTCAATATATACATATATATATTTTTTTCTTTTTTCTCTTATGCAGAAAAGGTAACATTTTCACTTCAAAAAATGCTCTGAATAACTTTCAAAAAATCTGAAATTTGTTTGAGTTCTCTCGGAACTCCTAAAAGTGGTATTTGAATCCAATATAGATTGTTTCATGTATATTAGATCTATCTCTAACTGGTTGTACTTGACCATACTGTTACAGTTTGGCTGCCAAAGGTGTATGTCTGTGGTTGGACACAACATCTGTTAGTGCTGCTATTGTAAGCACTTATAAATCGGCCTGTGATAAGTACTTTGGAGATGCTGGCGCTGTGAATAAAAAAAAGAAGAATGTGCCTGATGGGCCAGATAGTCAATCACTTGCGCCCACTCCAGTGTATAAGAGTTCGCCTGTGTCGTTGGCTAAAGCTGTAAAAAATTATGCAGAACTTGAAGGCATGCGCAATGCACATCTGAGGTAACACAACTGCAGCTGTAAAGTTACCCTTTTGCTTAAAGGTCATTCGAGCATTTGTCTGTTCAAGTGCTTTGAACAATTATTCATGGTACTGAGTGTATGCATTGATGCTTGTGCACACTTTTTAGTGCAGTAATGGTGTTATTGATTAGAAACAAAGAGAAACAGGCTCTCTAATTCTAATAATTGCAACTAGGTGTGCAAAAAATCAGTATTATGACATACACTGTATATTAATCATACCAAGTCGAATCTCTGTATCATGTAAAAGCTAAGGTGACAGGGACAAATATCATTTAAGATAAGTTTATGCAACCATCGTCAATTCATATAAAACAAAGAAAAAACACCTGAAAATAGAAGTGTTTTGTGGGATAGAATTTCTTGTGTTGTTAAATGATTTGCTGCAACAAGGTGTACTCTCATGGTTGCTGATGTTATGTCGTCGTCTGTATATCAAGTGAGTTCATTGATCTTTTTCAGGGATGCAGCAGCTCTAGCACAATTCTGGGCATGGCTGGAGGAGGAAATTGGAAATGGTGTTGTTCTGACCGAAGTGGAAGTTGCAGACAAGCTTCTTGAATTCCGCTCCAGGCAAGATGGCTTTGTCGACACAAGCTTTGATACAATAAGTGGTATATATCTTGCAATCTTATTGAGAATTGTAGTTAATGTCTTTTCATAGCATTCCAATGTTTGTCAAAGTTCTCTATATCCAATTATTATGTTCTATGTATCTACCAACTTATTTCTTTTTTCACATCGCAATTAATGTGCGGAAATGCCCTTGAAAGGTTCTGGAGCAAATGGGGCTATCATACATTACAAACCAGAGCCAGACAGTTGTAGTATTGTAGATAAGGAAAAACTCTTCTTATTGGATAGTGGTGCTCAATATCTTGATGGAACAACGGATGTTACCCGAACTGTGCATTTTGGGCAACCTTCTTCATGGCAAAAAGAATGCTTCACAAGAGTTCTTCAGGTGCCACTCAATTATTAACTGTTCATATCACGCAATACCTACTTTTGTTAAAAAAAGATGACACTGATTGAATATGACTGTAGTTATGGGTGGTTCCCTTTTGTATGTGTTATCATATTTCATCATCTTTGTGTCGTGAAAGAAATAGACATTCTAATGATTAGATATTTGAAATTGTAAGAAATCATATGGCAGCCAGACTTGGATGGAAACATGAGTATGTGAAATAGGAATCAAAATATGAGGTGACTAACTAATCATGATTTTTAACTTTGACAGGGTCATATAGCTCTGGATCAAGCTATTTTCCCCGAATATTACCCTGGTTTTGTATTGGATGCATTTGCAAGATCATCACTGTGGAAAAGTGGTCTTGATTATCGCCATGGTATTCTTCCTTAATTTATACTTTGTTCTCCACGTTTCGTTTATGTTTGTCATTAATTCAAGATGATGTGTTAATTTTATTAAACTTTCTGGTAAATGGTAGGCACGGGTCATGGTGTCGGAGCTGCACTGAATGTGCACGAAGGTCCTCAAAGTATCAGCTTCAGATTTTCAAACATGACTCCTTTGTTGAAAGGCATGATTGTCAGCAACGAACCTGGATACTACGAGGATCATGCATTCGGAATTAGAATAGAGGTACGTACCATGGAAATATATACATAAGAACAATATCGTAGAAATTCGTAGTCAGATACTTGTCATACCTTAGTTAATGTCTAATGTTAAAAATATATGGAATCTTCAAAATGCCCCTGTTGAAAAGGTCCACAATTTTTTTTATCTTAGATATAAGGTGTGTATACATATATTTTAAATAGTGCATTATTAATCTCCTACGTGGTTTCAATTTCAAGTTTTTACAAAACAAAAGGGGTTTATGTTTCAACTAGGTTTCTGTTCATTTTTGTGTTTCGAAGGGTGGATTTTTAAAGCTTTTTTTATGCCTTCTTACTGCTCACTTCACACATCCTCATCTTCAGAATCTCCTTATTGTGAAAGAAGCCAATACACCCGTTCGCTTTGGAGGATTGGAATATTTGGGATTTGAAAAGCTTACATTTGTTCCCATTCAGGTACCAATTCTCTCACCCACATTCTCCCAATCAGGCGAGGTTTGTGCTTTATCTATTTGTCCGCATGATTGAATCATCTTTCAATTTTATTTAACTTTTTCACACGGGCTGATGAATAGCTTACACTGATGGACAGAGACGATCAGTGGATATCGTTTTTATCTGTAATATATTTTTTGATGCCATGCAGACCAAAATGGTTGATTTGTCATTGCTCTCTGCAACTGAGATCGATTGGCTCAATAATTATCACGAACAAGTCTGGGTTAAGGTAATAACACTATTATTTGTTGTGTATTTACTTCAAACCATAAGCAAGCTAATGGCTCAAGTCGAAATCCTTGGCTCAGCTTGATTCAGCAATTTAAGTTTTTAATTGAGATGATCATAAATGTCGTGAAATAATGCTATACAGGATAACAGTGTTCTTTTCTAAAATAAGTGGCGAAAATTCAAAACTTTCGTATGGTTGGATTCATTTGTTACATTGTTGTGTCGTTAGGTATCCCCATTGCTCGAGGGCTTGGCTTCTGAGTGGCTCTGGAATAATACAAGGCCAATCTTGAAGCGGTAGTTGGGCTGTTCCACCGGTTTTAGGACATTGTTTCCCTTCCCGGAGGGGCATTGGCATTGGCATTCATTCGATCGCTTGTAGAAATATACTTGTAAAGCTGCTGCTGCTGCCGCCAATGTTGTATTAAAACCAGAATGAATAATGATAGAAGCCGTTATTGTGTCGCTGGCCGCAGTTAGGAAATTTCACATCTGCTGTAATTGACTTAAGGTATTGTTCACTTCTTGCTTGCAGTAAAGAAAGTCACACTACACAAGGATTATTTAAAGTATCCATAATTCATCTTTTACCGGTCATCCTTTACTTAGAAATAATTTTTGTCTGATTTACCAAACGTTTTTTTTTGTTTTTTTTAAACGTATGTTTATAATACAAGATATGTATATATATTTTTTAATGTATATAATATGTCTTTTATTTATTCAAAAAAATTAATTATTTAATACAAAATATTAATGATACACTTTTTATATTTTAGTACTATAAAAAAATATTTCAAATTACAAATATGAAACAAAAACATTTTTATTACATTAAACTATTTTAATTTTGGCTTTGTTTATGCAACATATTTTTACTTATTTGATATTATTTATTTTTCAAAAAATATCACATCAAATAATATATTTTTTCCCAAAACAAAACGTCAATCAGGTATTAATTTTTTACTATTCCCAAATTTCTAAAAACCTCCCAAACCACTGTTCAAACAAACCCTTTATTTTCTTAACAAAGAAAAAACTATAAATTATTTTAATCACATCTTTGATAAATATACATTCACACTGAAATTTGGAGTTGGAGTAAGAGTTGGAGCGGGAGCTAGTTTGATGGATGAGTGGCGTTCAATACCTCTTCTCAAAACTCACCTCTCCATGGCGACCTCTGCCTCTCCATCCATGGCGTCGCCGTGGCGCTTCTTTGATCCTTTCATTTTCTACCCAAACCTCCTTACAAACACCATCGCCGCCACACCTACGCTTCCTTCTTTTGACTTGCATCAGGGAAGGAAATCTTCGCTCAGGATCCTCTATCCACGCCCGTATAATCAAATCCCCGCCCTTCACTGACCTCCACAATCCATCCACCAACGTAATTTGCAACTCGCTGCTGCACATGTACTGCAAAAGCGGTCGACTTCCCGACGCACTCAAGGTGTTCGACGATATGCCCCTGAGGGACACTGTTTCTTACAACTCCCTTATTTCAGGTCTCCTGAAACTCGGCCACTTGCGAGATGCATTCGGGCATTTCAAAACGCTGTTGGGCTGCAATTCATGTTGGTTCGATCACGCGAGCTTGACGTCGATTCTATCGGCTTGTGGTGGCGGGAGCATGGCGTGGCTCGGGACAGTAAAGATGATCCACGCATTGGCAATCTCGAATGGCTATGGAATGCAAATTGCAGTCGGGAATGCGCTGATAACGTCGTACTTCAGGTGCCGATCGTTTGAGTCGGGCATGCGCCTTTTTCACGAGGTTGCGCCGTGGAGGAATGTGGTTACGTGGACGGCAGTGATATCGGGCCTAGCACAAAATGAGTTTTACATAGATAGCATAAACTTGTTCGTGGAAATGTGGCGCGGCGTTACGGTTTCCCCGAATCGCTTGACGTATTTGAGCGCCATCACGGCGTGCTCCGGCTTGAGAGCGCTCGAAGCGGGCTCTCAAATTCACGGCGTTGTTTGGAAGTTGGGGTTCCAGTCAGATGTATGCGTCGAAAGCGCATTGATGGATATGTACGCGAAGTGTGGTTGCGTCGAGGCCGCATGGCGGATATTCGAATCCGCGGAGATAGTCGACAAGGTGTCGCTCACGGTCATCCTCGCCGGTTTGGCGCAAAACGGCTTCGAACGAGAGGCTATAAAGATGTTCGCGAAGATCGTGAATTCAGGCGTCGAAACCGATCCAAACATGATCTCCGCGATTCTCGGGGTATCCGGCGTCGACACGTCCCAAACCCTCGGCGCCCAAATCCACTCTTCGATCGTCAAGAACGGGTTCTCCTCCAACGTCTACGTCGCGAACGGATTAATAAACATGTACTCGAAATGCGGGGAGCTCCGGGGATCTGTTAAAATCTTCGAGTCGATGCATTCCAAGACGCAAATCTCGTGGAACTCCATCATCGCCGCGCACGCCCGTCACGGCGACGGCCGCGAAGCTCTCCGTCGATACGACGAAATGCGATCGAAAGGCGTCGAGCCAACCGACGTTACGTTCTTGTCGTTGCTCCACGCGTGTAGCCACGTCGGGTTGCTACACAAGGGCACGGAGTTCTTACAAACAATGGAGACTCGGCACGGCTTGCGACCGCGGACGGAGCATTACGCGTGCATGGTTGACATGTTGGGCCGGGCCGGGCTATCGAAAGAAGCCAAAGATTTCGTCGACAGGCTGCCCGTGAAACCCGACGCATTAATTTGGCAAGCGTTGCTCGGGGCGTGCCGCATTTGCGGCGATGTCGGTATCGGGAAATACGCGGCTGCGCGGCTGGCCGAGGCCGAGCCGTGTAGCCCGATGCCGTATATCGCGATGGCGAATATTTATTCGTCGAGAGAGCGGTGGCGTGAGCGGGCGACGACGATGAGAACGATGAAGGAGAAGAAAGTTGCCAAGGAAACGGGAATAAGTTGGATCGAAGTCGACAAAGAGATCCATAGTTTTGTTGTAGATGATCGAATTTATAATGACTATGTATGTGAGATCGTTGCCATGTTGTACGGACACATGAATGTGATCGATGATCAAGAATGTATTATCGTCTCGTAAGCAGTTACGGAATCAGTTGTAAAATTTTTGGGGCCAATATTATATTGATTTTTTTTAAGTGATTCAATAATGTTTTTTCAATTTCTTCGGGCACAGTCGGGTAAAAAATAAAATAAAATAAAATAAAATAATTAATTTTTACACTAAAAAATACATCTAATTTTTTTAGGCTGCCCCATGTAGGTCTGTCTTGTGTCCGTAAAAGATGATTTGATTTGTCTAGAGTAAAAAATTTATCTTTATAACAGTTGCGAGCCAAGTAAAAAAAAAGAAAAAAAAGTGTTATCTATAGAGGTTTTTGAGTAATTCCAATCTTAAAATAATTCAATTTGGATTTAATTGCTTTTAAGAATTATTTATCAAAATATGTGAATATAATTTCCAATTTTCTATTGTTGTAGTGGACGAGAAGATGACGCCCGGTTCTTCAGACGTGTCCGCTGCAGCCGGGTCCAAATGTCGCCACGTATCATCCCTCCCGCCGCCGCCCACCGATTCATCGCCACCGCCACCGCCACCGCCACCCTCGTCTTTTATATATTCTCCCAAATCCCAACTTCCATTCACCACAGGCTAATGCTTTCTCGTACCCTCCACCCATTTTCCTCTACATTTCTCTCCAAAGCAATCCGCCGTACTATTCCGCCGCACTACAACACCACCACCACCACCGCCACCGCCCGCTTCTACACTCCAGTAAGATCAATGGCGTCCGGCGGCCAACAATTCCCCCAACAGAAGCAAAACTCTCAGCCCGGAAAAGAACACGTCATGGACCCCAACCCTCAAGCCACCAATCCCCAATACAAACCCGCCAATAAGCTCATCGTCAGACCATTTTCCTATTTAATCAATTTATAATCAAATAAGACATAGTCTGTTCATTTCTAGATTGAATTTATCTTTAGCATTAAATTTTCACTTTGTAGTTTTAGTTTAGTTTAATTTTATTTCTCTTCCTTCCAAAATTCTTCTTTTTTCATTATTGAACAATTAAAAATGAGTTTTTAGTAGACGATCCAACTCTAATTATATTATTTTATTGTCATTGTAAAGTAAATATATCTTATTTAATGTTGCCATGTATGTTAAATTTTGGATAAATTAATTTTTTATTATTTGGATGTTTAATAATTATTGTGCTATTTTTTTTTAATATAATTTATTTTATTTATTTATTTATTATTTTTAATTTCTAATATACAGAACAAATAAATTCCTTCAAAGGATCACCTAGCAAAGAACAATAGAAAATAGACCGACTAATATAATATGTTTTGAAATTGTTCTGCTAAAAAATATTGAATATCTATTTAATGATAAATAATTGGTTAATTTGGTGCAGGGGAAGGTGGCTTTGGTGACTGGCGGCGACTCCGGCATCGGACGGGCAGTGTGCCACCTGTTCGCGCTGGAAGGCGCGACGGTGGCTTTCACGTACGTGAAGGGGCAAGAAGACAAGGATGCTAAAGACACTTTAGAGATGATCAAAAAGGCCAAACATGGGCAGGCTAAGGACCCCATCGCCATACCTGCCGACTTAGGCTACGATGAGTACTGCAAGCGCGTCGTCGAGGAAGTGGTGAAGGCCTACGGCGGGCAGATCGACATTCTCGTCAACAACGCTGCCGAGCAGCATGAGGTCACCTCTATTGAGGAGATCGACGAGCCCCGTCTTGAGAGGGTCTTCAGGACTAACATCTTCTCCTACTTCTTCGTCATCAGGTACTTCAACTAATTTACCGATCCAATCTCGTTTCTGGTTAAATTGATGCTCTTTTATATAAATATATAGTATTATATATATATGTTTTTTATAATATTTATAAAGAAATGTGAAAGAATATTGAAAAAACAAATTCTATATTTTTATAAATTTTTTAAAAAACAAAATATTGAAAGAATATATATAATGCAAGAATTTTTTAATATATTTATAATGTTCTAATATAATATTAATATGATTATATATAATATTTTTTTCTAGTAATTATGGAAAAATATTTTATATATAAAGATGTGTTTAAATATAAATATATATATAGTATTTTTTATTAGAAAAAAACAATTAAATAAAATATATATATATATTCAAAAAATTATATGTGCACATATTTATATGTTTTAAACTCTTTTTAATGTTGGCCTTTTGGCCTTTGTCTAAGCCTGTGCCTACCAAATTTTCAATTAATACTATACATATATATATATATATATATGTAGGCACGCTTTGAAGTATATGAAGTCCGGGAGCTGCATCATCAACACGACGTCAGTGAATGCATACAAGGGCAATGCAAAACTGTTGGATTATACCTCCACCAAAGGCGCAATTGTGGCGCTCACACGCGGCCTCGCCCTTCAGCTGGTGGAGCGCGGCATCCGCGTCAACGGCGTCGCTCCAGGTCCCGTCTGGACGCCATTGATCCCGGCCTCCTTCACAGAGGAGGAGACCGCCAACTTTGGCGGGCAGGTGCCCATGAGGAGGGCCGGGCAGCCAGTCGAGGTAGCCCCGTCTTTTGTCTTCCTCGCCTCGCATGCCGACTCCTCGTACATAAGCGGTCAGGTCCTCCACCCCAATGGAGGAACAATCATCAATGGCTGAACAAGAACATCTATATATATATATATATACAGCAGATATATCTATATAATGGAAGAAAAAGGCTGTTCTGTTTGTTAGTAATGGTGGATAATAAATGTGTTTTTGATATAATTAATATGAACATGCTTAACAAAAAGAACAAAAGTAACTTCATAAAACATAATTTAACTAACAAAAGAAACCGAAAAAAAACAGATGTGTTCATCCATCCTTATTTACCATTCTCCGAGCTAAATAAAGCAATCAATGTTTGGGCCTATATTCAATACCTTCAATATGGATACCACACTTCCAAGAGTCAGTGTCGAGCTGCAGTTTTTGATGATACTCTCTCCCATCTTCGTTGGATTCACGTTTTTCTCTAGTAATGAATAACTCCCATAACTCAATTTCCAGCCATCCGTCAAGCCTAGTATTTGGCCACAAAATATCCGGATGGCATATGAAATCAAGATATCGATCATCTAAATTCTCATCATGGATTGCATCTTTTGGCAACAAACAAATCAAAAATTTTCTCTTATCAGGCCACCATTGGAGCTCCACCTTAGCATGCTTAGGATTGGCGGGAAGTTTAAATCCATCTGTTTCTGTATTGAAAGAGAACACAAAGTAGGCTATGTATTTGGTGTCGGGGGTCAGGGGAGGCATTTCGGCGTAACCAGGGCCATGTATCCTCAGAGCGCGATTTTTAGGAATCTCTGCCACCTCTGAAAACCTGAACTGCAATTCATTCGATTAAATTACTGCTTTCATTGGAGAAATTGTGTTCCTGTGATACAATACGAACCTGGATTCAGGTAATGAAGTCCGATTTATCATTTCTGAACACACTTCTTTTGCAGACAGCATGCAGCAAACCTTTCCGGTAGATCTATCCAATGAAAAGCTCTGTTTTAGGACAGATTTGAAGTTAGCATACTCGTTAAAACATTACTGGAGATAATCATCAACAGAAGGAACAAATTCAAGTAAAGATTATCAGAGAAACAGTGAACTCCGCTTGCCTTAACAGATTCAGTAGTTTAAGATATACTCTACAAAGTGATATCACACAGGATTGTTAAAACTTTCATTCTATCTGCTAAAGATGATGAATGAAACGAATGCAGATATAATCTTGAAGAAATAATATCCAACAAAGCGACATTATCCATAGTTATAGCATATTGATGAAGCATTTGAATTGAAACTATGAATTAAGATCAGATTCACGCACAAAGCACCAAATAGAGCGTCAGAAGTACTCGTTGTTCTAATGGAACACTATCAATGCCATAAACATCTCGTCGTGCGAAATATTCTGGAAATTACTTCGAAATTGATCGCCAAACAAAGCTTCGAAAACAAGTACAGAGATAGAGATACACACATCTAGAGGAAATAGCCAAATTTATTTACTTATTGTGATCGAAAATCAAATAATTGATGCAACAAAAACAATTCATAACAGCGAAAAACCTTGCGACCGTCATCGATGAGGATCGGATGATCACATAGATAGTCGTAGAGTTCCTTCTTCGAACTAAATTTTCTGAGCAGCGAATCGGAACCGGCGACGGAGCGCGAAAGGATTTGGCGATAATCATAGGGCATAAAAGACTCCCAGACGAAATCATATCGAATTGCAGAGGATAAAACAGAGGATAGAATCGCGAGGCGGCATGCGTCCCTGGGATTGGTGAAGGAGATAATATATGCTATGCAGTCCTCCGGCAGCGCAAGGATGTCACCCTTGCACGACTCCGCCCCCATCACTCTTCTCTGCAAAAACTTCTAAGCCTAACAATATATATATATATATATACACACGTATACATATTGTATTGATTAGGGTTTTAGATAAAATATGCAACAATAATCAAAGGGTTTTTTAAGGTAATATAGCGTACTTTATTTTTATTTTTTTTAAATTTAATTTTAATTTTAATTTTTATTATGCAATTAATATAATTTTTTTAATAAAATGTTGCAATCAAATTAATATCGAACTGAAATCTAAATCCAAACAAACACATCCTATAATTAGAAAATAATATTGCAATCAAATTAGTATTGAATTAAAAATCTAAATCCAAACAAACACATCCTATAATGAACAATAAAAACTAAATTACAAAGGAACTAAAGTAATCTTCCGTTAATCAAATATACATATAATTAAAAATGTAATTTGAAATATCTATTTACTTAAATTATATTTTTTATATCTAGAATATTTTTTTTCTTAATATAATAAAAATAATATATAGGTATACACGTATATGAATAATTTTTTTTAAAAAATAGTAACTTATTTAGTGGATATATACATATGGTTTAAGAATATAACGTAATAAGATTTTTATTATTTTTTTTTTTATTGATAAATGATGTAAACAAGATTGTTAATATTTATATGGTTGGATAGATATCTTTTATTTTTATTTTTTATCCGAAGGGATAATCTTCAAAGCCCTAAAGCTGTTATGCAGATAATTTGAAGAAATATATATATTGGTTTATGCGTGGTATAAAAAAATTGATAGGAAATATTTTTTATTTGTGATATAAAATAATTTACAGAAAATATAAAAATAATAAATGCTCAGATATATTAATATTTTTGGAAGAACATGTATATGTATTGAAAGACCACACAAATTCTTCTTGTGTGAATCAATTTCAATGCAAAATTATAACTAATGTCCTACTTCTTTATTTATTTGTAACGTTCAATAATTATTGTCCTATTTATTTTTTGTACAAATATTTTACATTTTTTACCCTTGATTTATATATCATTTTTGTTTGAGCATGTTTTCTCCATCTTCCCATAAAATGTAAAACTGTCATTTCATAATAAAAAAATAATTACCTAAAAATTTGTGCAAATATGATCTAAGACGATAGAATTTAGAGGGAGAAAATATTAAATTAAATTAAAATTAGCATTAGAATTTGACTAAAAGGTTAGTGAAGTTAAACTGGTGTATTCTTTGGGTGTTTTCATATTTGATTTTGTATTATTATTATTTTTAAATAAAATAGTTATTGTATGCTATAGGAACTGAACTGTGGTATTTTTTAAATTTTTATTTTATTTTTGTTTTATAGTATTTGCATAGTAATTTAAATTTGATATTTGATGAAAAAAAAAATACCATTTTTCATTCTAATATAGTATTATAACATTATTTATTGAGAATAAAATGTGTAAAAAAATTATAAGAAAAATTCAAAGAAAATAGAAGCATTGGAGTTTGATTCCCCATATAAAAGGGAAATACTTTCTTTTGTTGATTGATATGATAATATTTATTTTGCTGAGTTTTTATTTTATTTGATTAGATTTTGAATCATAGATTTAGTTATGATTTTGATAACAAATTTTAAAGCTTATCTATATAAGGAATTGCTCCATAGGTTAGGCTCTAGATTTTGATAACAATAAAAAATAAATAATTGAGATAATGTTTTATAACATCAAATAAATATTTAATTTAGTATTTTTTAAAAAAGTTATTAATGATGTTAAAGTCTTTAAAATCTTTAATCTTTAAGATAGTTATTTAGTATGTTAGTCTAATTTTGATTTTAATTGTGTATAAAAAATCAAAAGATAGAAAGGAAAAAATGCACCATCGAAAAAGATTGCTACAAATAAAATTAATAGTATGAAAGCGAAGGATACCAAAAACAACATGGATAATATATGGTAGCTGACTTCAAAGGAGCCGGCGAACATATTTTGAAGATAACAGTGCATTTACGTACAAATTCTATCCCCTACGGTGCAGGGAAAAGTCGATTGCCGATTTTTGAAGAATTGTGTAGAGAAGAAAATTAATGTTAAGTTGATCATATTTGTTCACATGGATTTACCGGCATTCTCTCAAGATCTACTTTGGGTGTGTTCGGTTGAGAGATTTGGACAAAATCTTACTATTTATCCAAAATTTTCCCCCCAAAAACATCAAATCAAACACCTATTTTTTATTTTTTATATTATACTAAAAATCAATTTTACATTCAAAACATCACATCATCACCTATTTATATCACATCATACAACTATTCAAATTCAAAATTTTTACTATTCAAATCCCAACTCAAAATCCAAACCCCCAAACAAACACACCCATTTTAGTTAGACTAAAAATGTCATACGATGATTATTTTGTTGTGAATGCATATATATATATATATATGGGTACTTTTTATTATTATTATTAATTTAATATTTAACATAATTATATTTAATTAATTAATAATAATGAATTATAATATTATTTTTTATTAATAATATTAATAAATTAAAAAAATTAACATATAACTAAAAAAAACTTTAAATTTAGAAAATAAATCAATCTTAAATGATTTTGTATTATTTATATTTTTTTAAAATATAGAAACAAATTTTTTTTATATATATAATACTTCTTCCGCCCCGACAGATTACTTAGTTTCTTTTTTTAATTTAATTTAATTTATAATATAATCTACTCAAAACTCTTTTATTTATATCTTCTTTTTCAATAAACAAATATTAATATATATCTTTAATACTTTTTTTTTTATAAAATTAGTTTTAAATTAATTATAAATAAATAAATAAATATATTAAATAAAATTTTATTATCTACAAATTGATATTCATATAATATATATTTTATCGAAATATAATGCTAAAAGTATTTAAAATACCGATAACACTACTAGCATAAAAAATAATAAAATAATTTATTATTAATAATTATTAATCTATATACATAAAATACGGTATCCCTAACTAAAAAATCATCTTGACCAAGAAAAGTATATTATAAAAATTATTTTTCACAAAAATATTAAATTAAATTATATTACAATCATTATTATTTTGTATTACTTTTAAATTTTAAATCCAAATCCAAAATCAAACAACATTAAGCACGTAAGCCCTGTACCTGTAGACTCACTTGGTTGGTTATTTTAGTATTTCAATTAAGTATTCTTTCTTTCACCTTTTGTCTTTAGTTTATTGTACATAATTATTATATTATAATATAAATAATTATAGATTAACATTAATTTAATTAAAATTTTAAAAATTATTAATTATAAAATGTATGTATAACTAAAATACAATATTCATTTTAAAGCAAACGATATTTATGTAATATATATTATGAATTGTAAAGTATTTATTATACTTCCTTTATCATGCAAATGTGTGTTCATTTGATCGGGTATTGGTTTAAATAAAATTGAGTAATAATTATTAATTATTTTATTGTAAAAAATTGTATAAAAATAGAATAATTTTTTATTTAAAAAAATAATATTTTTTTATGATAATAAAAAAAAAGTAAGTATAAATTTAAATGAAGGAGAAAGTATTAAATAATACAATACTTATAAAATGGTCAAAAATAAAAAAATTGTATATTTCAATGGAGTATATAATTATTTTTATATGGAAAAGAAAAAAAAAAAAAAAGAAGTAAGACAGATAAAAATAAAAATAATGGACTAACTATAATTTTGACAACACGTGTCGAACAGTAATTCGTTCAATTCACACCTATTCATACTGTAAATTAATGTTAAGTATATACTATATTGGTCCAAGATGCCGTAGCCGTTGACTCAAGGTCAGCCCGCAGTAAAAGCTATCTTCGTCCCCATCTTTCTGGTATCATTTTCCAATTGGCAAAGACTGTGAGGGTCCGATGATTACTTTCCACAGACCCCACAGTGCGACTCAGACTGCTGAATTCCTACGTAACGTCCATTTGGAGGGAGGGTTCGGAAGTCCAGCCATGGCGCCAAATCCGCACGACTTTTTTGCGTGTTTTTTCCTCCTTTTAGTTGCCTTTCCTGCTGTGAATCACAACTATGGCTGTGTCGCCCTTTCCAGTTTCTACCCCTCCAATTGACTGGACCAGGTACGTCTTTAATCCTTCTCCACTCTCCATCATTCCGCAATAATTTATTCCGCCCCGAGTAGCTGAGCTCTCAATTTGGTCCTTACATCTCGATTTCGCTTGCAATTGATTGATTATGTATTTTAGGGTTTCGGTGTATTTCGTGTTTCTTGCAGCTTTGGTGCGTTCGATTATTGCCGCGCACGGCGGATCCGAAACCCTAGGGATTTTCGGTTTCGATATCCACCACAGGTATTCGGATACCGTCAGGGAGTTTCTCGACGTCGATGGCTTGCCGGAGAAGGGTAGTCTCGACTACTATGCCGCCATGGCTCACAGAGACCGGCTCTTCAACGCGCGCCGCCTCGCCGGCGGCGCCTCTCCTCCGCCGGAAGGTCACCTCACCTTTTTGGGCAGTAACGAGACTTTCCGAATCAACACCCTTGGCTTGTGCGTAATTCTTTCAACTATCGTCGAAATTGTTTTTATCAGATTTTTTACATGTTTGTTTGCCATGTTCATCAGCAGTTCAGTGCTTCACATGATGGTTATCCTTCCCTTTGATTTATGTTATTATTTATTTTATGGATAATAATGTAGAAGAAGGTGCTAGCATCATTTAACGTAGTTCAAAGTTATAGTTGGATTACAAGAGGATGAGGAAATGATACTATGCACTCGAAACGATAGGTGTTCTTAGAAGGACCTGGAAATTTCTAGAGGTTAGTTACTAGTAATTAGTATGATTGATAGGACTCTAAATCTAATTGTGTTATTTATGGATTTTATTTTTTATTTTTAAATAATTAGATTAAAATTATTTTTTTTTATATATGATAAATTAATTAATTAAGCGAAGAGATAGCCAAAGTACTTTTTATGGTTATCCTAGAAATGCATTATTTTACTAGAGATTATATTGTTTATAAGTGAAAACTAATTTAAGTTAGAAATTTTAGGTACTCTTGAAAAATCTTTTAATCCATATTTTTTGAACAATAGTTCTTAAGTAGCTAGAAATAGACACGAGAATTTGTTAAACACTCTCCGACTACTTGTTTAGTAGAAAAGTGGAAGTGCATATTTTTTAGAATTTACTATTTCCATTGTGTGCTAAGGTTAATAATTCTCGAATACTAGATTATTGCATAGTGAAATTCTTTGTTCTAATTTGATGATAATCATTTTGTGCTCTTGTTCTTTGTTGCTGTCCGAATGTCTATCTGTATCTGTGTTGTAAAGCTGAAAACAAAACTTTCAATATCTGTTTAATAAAGACACGTTTTGCTCTTTATATTTGCAGCTTGCACTATGCCATTGTTTCTGTGGGTACCCCTCCTTTACTATTTCTTGTGGCACTTGACACTGGAAGTGACCTATTCTGGTTACCGTGTGAATGTAGCGATTGTGCCCGAACCTTGAACTCAAGTTCAGGGAAGGTATGTGTGCAAAATCGTGATAATGGGTTAAATATGCATCTGTAAGTCTATGAGATGTGTTAAATTCTATTTTATTTCTATGATATATCTTAATTAAGTCCAGTTTTTAAAATTTGTTTCAATAATCCATCAATGTTTGCTGATGTTTATTAAGATGGAGAAAGAACTACCTTCTTCTACATAAATGTACATTTTGATTGTTTTTCATGGCAGTCTTGGCAACTCCAATATGTGTTGGATTTAATTTTCGAAAAAATTAATCTTGTACCGAAAAAATTCTTAAAGACTAACATTTAATTATTCTATAACTGAGGACAAAATTAGAAATAAACACTTCTTTGGGAACTAAAATCATGATTATGCCATGTATATAGCTCTTTTTTGATTAAGAACTGCAAGCATTGGGAGAGTGTGGATTATTTGTCTTGACTGCTTATTATATAAGCAGATTGAATAAATACTTCAATCTACCTGATAATGTTGCCTGGTGTGTGTATTCTTACTTACTCGAATTATGTCTCGATGGAAACAGAAACTGGACTTAAACATATACAGCCCCAGGACATCCTCAACTAGTGCGACAGTTGCATGCAATAGCACAAAGTGCGGACATAGAAGATGCTCGCGCACATTTAATGGTTGTGCTTATCAGGCTCTATACCTTTCCACCAACACATCAACTACTGGGATCTTGGTTGACGATGTGTTGCACTTAGGTTCCGATTCCACACCCCAAATACCAGTCGATGTCCCAATTACATTAGGGTGGGTTCTACTGATCATAGTGTGGTTACTATTCCCAACCTGTGCAATTTTATTATACAATACTCCCGATGAGGCTTATGATTATGCCTTGTCTTTTTCAAGCTCTTCTTTCGTGACTTGCGGCTTGCATTTTCTTGCATATGGTGTTGATTGGAGTGCTGATTAGCCTCAGTCAGCACATTGTAATGATATATACTGGACATGGTTGTTATCGAAACAACATGTGTTGTGTATATCATTAGCATGTATTGTCATTTATATATTATATATTATATATTATGTTGTGTTAACATGTGATATATGCTGAGATCAGTGATGACGTGTTGCGTGGACTATTATCATGTCTTGTCAAATCAACATGTTGCACTATATTATATTAACATAAATCGTGTGTTGTTTTAACATATGATATATATTGAGATCAATGTTGGCATGTGCTCGTGTGATTATTTTCATATATTATTAGTTCATATACTATATTTGTATTATATTAATGTAAACAATATGTTGTCTGTGAATTTGTTATGTATTGTGCTGTCAGTATGTTGTTGAATGACACCCTAATTGTTTCCCGATAAATCACTTGCTTGTTTTTGCATCTCTAGAAAGTTTTACACATCTGACTGCCAATTGTTTGTTTTATGACAAATCTGAATGCATCTCTTTCATCTCAGATGTGGGATAGTTCAGACAGGTGATTTCTTGAGAGGAGCTGCCGTTAACGGTCTGTTTGGGCTCGGAATGAACAATCTATCTGTCCCTAGCATTTTAGCTAGCGGTGGCCACACAGCGAATTCCTTCTCTATGTGTTTCCGGCATGAAGGAATCGGGAGAATAGATTTTGGCGATAAAGGGACTCCCGGCCAGAATGAAACTTCATTTAATCTACAACAGTCACAGTAAGCATTCTTTTTCTTTTATGGGAAATAAAATTTAAACCTGTTTCTTCATTCTTTAAAACTTTTCCGGCACTTTCTGGCAGCCGTTCCTACAATGTTACCATAACGCAAATAGCTGTGGAGAAAAACGTCACCAATCTCGAATTCACAGCTATATTTGACTCTGGCACGTCATTTACGTATCTGAATGATCCGGCTTACTCGGCTATTGTAGAGAGTGTAAGGCAAAGTCTATCATAATCTTATTTCTCCGTCTTGGTTTGTTTGAAGGATAATATTCCCATGAAACTATTTTAGCAAATGACATTAATAACTTTATGTCCGAACATAGTTTTTTATCCTTTAAAGTGAACATAGCTTAGCTTTATATGGTTTTTAATTTTTACTCTTGGAATTCTGAATGCTGAAGCATTATCTGTTCTTCTTCCACCGCAGTTCAATCCTCAAATAACTGAGCCACGCTATCGGCCTCCAAGGAAGATTATTTTCGACTATTGTTATGCCCTCAGGTTGGTTCATTTTATTTCGCATAAAAAATTGTCGGCATGTCTTTTCTGGTATAAAACAGTTCTCAACTGCAGCTTCCGTTCCTTGCAGTCCTAAACAAGATAGCTATACCATCCCGAGCTTGAGCTTGATAATGAAGGGTGGGAACCAATTTTCTGTTCTTGCACCAACAATTGGAATTCCCCGGCAGGTAAAAAGAAGGCAGTGCGTGAGAAATTTGTCATGAATCGTGCTGATAGGCTGCTCCATCATCTGCAGGGTGGATATGCATATTGTTTGGCTATTGTCAAAAGTGACGATGTTAACATTATTGGACGTGAGTATCTAAATATCCGCAGTCTTTAATTCAGTGTGTTTCGAGTTTCAATGATTTTAACATTCTGTTAAATATTCTACCTCGGTCGATATTAGAATCAGGAATTGTAGTTAGAATGTTTGGTAGAAAAAAGTTGTTTTCTTTTTTATGATTTTACACTGTAGGAATGTTGCTTAGTTTTCATCCCGATTTATCGAAACGAGGATGCTGACGATGTTGTTTTTTATATTCCATTCCCAGAAAACTTTATGAGCGGCTACCGACTAGTGTTTGATCGTGAGAAGATGGTTTTAGGCTGGAAAGAATCCGACTGTGAGTTCGTCTCATCTCCCTATATGTTCTTAGTAAATAAGTATTATCTTAATTTGAAGATTTGTGTTGTTCGATCCTTCCTTCTCAGGCTTCACTGCCACGTTGAATAATGGATCGAGCAATACTTCTCCTGTAGTCAATCGTAACGACACAGAAGCTCCTTTGCCGAGGCCTGGGAACAGAATTCCTGGGCCGGCTTCATCCCCGGAACAACTACTGCCCCCACCGGCAACTCGTGGAAGCAGCAGCGCAGCTGCGGCGCTGGCCGGATTGGAGTACCACGAGGCCAACAGACTTTTGGTGTTCATACTTTCGATATTTCTCCATCTCTTAATCATTCTGTCTTTTTGAGGGGTACCTTACCTCACTTGAGTACTGGTCAGTTTTCTCGCATACACACCATATATATATATATTGCAGGGAAAATTTGAATGGTTTTCATTTTTTGAGGTGAACTGATTATATGCATATCACAGTAGAGTATTACTATTATTATTTGTGTCTAGACACAGTTTATTTTCAATGGTTATAATAATGATTATACTTTATACTTGACTTTTAGATTTATGCCTTTTTTTTTTTATTATTATTATTTAAGCCTGTCTTTTAAACTTAAATATATTGACATTTATATGCATTGTAATTAAATTATAAAAAATTTACTAATGACGGGAAGGAGTATGATATTCAAAATTCCATGAAGTTTCTATATAACTCAACTGACACTAACCGCATTTCCCTATTTCCGTAACCAAATACACCCATAACGTAGTGTAGTGTATTGTAACACTAAATAATCCAAATTCGACGACGTTAGAGTAGGCCATGTCCGAGCGTTTTTTGCCGGGGTCATCGAGAGATTTTGGCTATAACTAGACTTACAGCTATGAAGATGACGTAGAGCGCAACGAGGCAGAATCCCCAGAACCTGGGAACGCGAAACCTATGCCAAGTTACCACCAAAAGAGACCCCATCAAGCTTAGAATCAAGAACACGAATGCCATCACGATGCTCGTGTGGAACCGAAGCTCGTAAGCTTCAGGGAATACTTCCACTGTCTCTATCACTAAACCTGTCCCAAGCCCAAACAGCATGTTGAACATAGGCCCGGCAAAGCAACCGGCCATAGCCATGGCCGGCTGCCCGGCTTTTGCGACAGCCACATCAGCAACAAGGTCGCCGACTGAATTCCCCCAAGCAAGAACCGTCAATCCAAGAAGGGCAGGGGGGAGTCGCAACAGCTGGCCAATAGCCGCGAGGCAGTTCAGCAATTCGCCAGCCGTGGTTGAAATCCAGAAAACACTCATGATGAATGCAATGACCGCTGCAGAGATTTGCTCGGATTTTGGTGGCTCTTTTTCGATCATGTAATGGAGAACGGCTAAAGAGGAGCTGGCGAAGAGTACCACCGACCAAAGAGGGAAGCGGGTGTTTGGAATAAGGAAAATAATCGAATGGTCTAGAGGCATAAATGATTTGCAGGAGAATAGAAGGGCGAGTGGGCAGAGAGCTATGGTAGCAGATTGGTAAAACCGGCTCCATTTGGATGGAGATGTTTCTGGGACAGTGAGTTTTAGAAGTGTCGAGACAGGAACTTCCCACGTCCGTGATATCTGCAAGAATGAGAATACTAGTACTTGAAGAATCATAATCGATAAGGAGAAAACTTTGGAAAAATTACTTGCATCGCTAGAAATTTATTGAATATGCATGACATTAAGAAACATGCAGCCAAATTAAACCACTTGCTTATACCATTCCATTTTGTCTAGTGTCTTTGTCCTATTCATGATTACAAGCTAATACCGAAGGTTACGATTTCAATGATGCAACAAAAAGACAAGAAAATAAATATTGATTCCTCGCAAGAATAAATGTGTATTTCCGTAACACAAACCAAATGATGTAGCCACAGCTATTCGAAAAAGAATTTGCATTTCTTCCAGTTTAATCCTAACAGATTAAAGCACCAACGGCAACAAGCGAGCATATGCCAGACACATGTATACAAGTTTGGTTTTGAGAGCTGTAACCTTTGATTAACAAGATTGCAGCAAAAGCATCATTTTTCAGTTATACAACTAGTATACTCATAATAATCTGCAACTTAGACAAATTAATACTAATATTTATTTTGTTAGAAAGCTAATAATATAGCTTCATTGGCGGGTAGGTCGTATATTCTTTCTAATTAATGGATGAGAGATATAAAATAAAGAAGATTTATCGAAGGGCTAATGCGACCAAAAGAAGAACATGCTAATCACGAGATAAATTCCACAAGCTGCTGAGATAATATCTAATGTCTTACACTTCATGTCTACAGGTCAAATCATATATAGCAACCATAAACACCATGCAATGAGCCTTTAGATCTCAGTCTAGACCTAATAAAGGAGAAGCTTTTTTCCAAAATCTCTAACTACTATAACTGGTAGCATAAACAAACTTTGCTATAAATATTCATAAAATATCCATTTTACATCCATGGATACACCTAAATAAGATCCTAAATAATGCCTCACTGCCCCATGAATAAAATCTTGAGCATCAAAACATGAGAGTGCATATGTTACACTAACACAATTTTTTTAAGTGTTGACAATTTAGACATGAAATTGCATAGGAAATAATCACACATAAAAGAACAAGACAAAATGATCAAATCCTGCAAATCTGAGATCCAAAATAGAAACCACAAGTTCCCAACAAAGGTAAGAAGAAACAAAGATTATAAACCTCAAGAGCTTCAACATCAACAAAATCAATCACAAATCCAATGAGCAAGTGAAACTAAACAGTAACAAAAATTAAGTAGAACTGAATTCAGTAGATCACATACCATGTTGAGGACCTTCCAAAACCCAAAACTCTTCTTACTTCCAGCATTAAATCTGTCCACCAATTCCCCACTTTCACAATCCATCGCCACTACCTCCGCACCAACGCCGCCGCCGCCGCCGCCGCCGCCGCCAGCGGCGCCACCATCAGCGCCTTTCCTTTTCTCCTCTCCAACCACACTTCTGTATCCAAAATCCATAGAAAACACAATGCCGACAAAGAAAACGTAGAAACCAACAAAACCAACAGCCTGCCACAAGTAAATCTCGGCACTCAAATACACATAAAACAGAAACAGTGCAGCAGTCAAATAAAACAGCACATCCCTAATAAAAGGCGCCGGATCGACGGCGAACGGCGCGGCGTAGATCGCGACGAATCCTACAACAAACGCCGAAACAAACGTCCCCGCCGAAAGAATCGCACCGAAACCGGTCCGCGGCTGTCCGCCGCGAACCGCCGCGACCGAAGCGAACACATCTGGAGCGCCATTACCCAGCGCCAGAAGCGTGACCGCTCCCATCGACGGCGAGAGCTTCAGGTGAGCTGATAGCTTCGTCACGACGACGGAGAACCGATCCTGGGCGGTTTTGACCAGGATGTAGAACTGGAAGAGGAGAACAAGGACGAGGAAGGGGACGGAGAGGAACGGGTTACCTGCGAAGAGGCAGGAATGGAAGGAGGAGTAGTCGAAGAGGCCATCGGAGGAGGTGAGGCGGCAGTTGGACTCGGCGAGGAGAGCTCTATGCGGAGTAGGGTATTGTGGAATTGAAGGGCGGCGGGGGATTGCGAGGAAGAAGGCGATTGTGGCGACGAGGAGGAGGAAGACGATGAAGTTGAAGGCCATGCCATGGATCCTAGTCTGAAACTGCTCCGTCCGCCATTGACGCTAGGAAGAAGCAGCTGTCGCTAATCCCGGAGATTCGTGACAGACTCTGTTTTATTCGCAAACGCAACAAACCTTAATCAATCATTTATTAGTATTAATTTTTTTATAATGATTAAAATGATCTAATTAAGAATAATAGCAATAATACAAAAGCAGTGATATATAGACCAGACCTTCAAAAAAACAATATATACGGTACTATAATATTGCAAGCAAAGCAAATGTGAATTCAATGGAATATCATACCAAATGTCATTTCCTTACCTTCAGTTCAATTACACGATAGGAGAATACCTACCTATTCTCAATTGCCATACCGCCATGGCTACAACAAATGTGGAAGAAGGAAATCTTTATTTATAATCAAGGGGCAACTGGAAGCCAGTGGCGACTATTCTGTCAGTAAACATCTTCCCAGTCTTGGGCATGACATGCCATTGTAATGTTAAGCTAAATTCTCTACCCCTTAGGTTGCTTCCCTACAACATGGTCATGGTGGGGTGGGATGGGATGGGATGAGATGATCCGTTGACATAATTAATCAATCAATGGTTGTTCGGAGAAGCCAAATTCACAATTCACAAAGAGTGTGTTTACTTTAAAGTGAGAGCTCTTAATCTTTATTTATGTTGTATATTACTACAACATAAAAGATTAGGTTGTCACTTGAAATAACACATTCACAAAGATGAAAGCACTCACTTGATCAGTAAAACGGTATTCGTTAATCGTGCGAAGGCAAAACTTTGCTTGTTCTTTGGAAGGTACAACTCCATCCCATAGTGATACCTGCAAAAATGCATTAGTAAACATTTGTGAGACATAGTAAAAGATTTCTTCCAAAAATCAATATTCTTTCCTTTTCTTACCGGTTTCCATTGGTCAATAAACAATATTCTTTCAATAGTTGATCCATAATTTTATGACATCATTGTAGGGATAGTGACAATAAAATAAAAGCAACCAGAGAGTACCCAAACCACACATTCAAACTTTTGTCAATGGAATGAGAAAGATTTGATCATGATATATGACACGACACACCAAACCAGCATACACAAGAATTAGCATATACCTGATTAAGTGCATTCTTTGGGGTTTCATACTCTGCAGATATGAACACAAAGACCTGCAATTTTTGAATGAATATTATCACTTCCAAATTAAGGTTAATGGCAACAATTATTCCTTCATAGATTGAATGCAGGTGAGGTTGCTTTTTGCACAATCAGATGAGCATTATGTATGAGCATTTTATGATGGCATAAAAATGTTCTCTTCTTTAATCCTCACAAACTGATTAACCATACTTCAGTGCTAAAAATAAAAAAACCCACAGAGAGTATAAACAATTTGCAGGTTATTAAGATGGGAGAAAAAGGATTCCCCTCTTCTAAACTGGAATCACCTAAGTCATAGAAACTGTGCAAATAAGGTAATGACAGACCTGCTTTGTATTCCATGTAAACAAAGATTGTAAGTTTGCTGATATATTCAAGGCCAGGCTTACCTGCATAAATTTAAAATAAAAGCAACACTCGTTAACCAATCCACGTAAATCACCGACTGTTGTATCCCAGAGGAGAAATAAGAAAACTTGGCCATATGTTGACATCAGCGAGTGCAATGATGCAAACCACTTAGTAACCAGAAAACATATGCATTTGCTCCCAATAATAGAAATATAATGATATAAAACTGATCATTGTAGAATTAAACATATTTTGTTATTTAGAAAAATGCTTAACTGGAATCTCCAAAGGCCAAATCCATAACCCAGCACATAAATATCTAAGTCGAACTTTACCCCTTATCTGTTCAATGAATTTTGGGCAATTTTTTAGGTTTAGCCATCAGGTGTAGATGGCTATAACAACCCCTAACTAATCCAAATTCAACCCAAATTGTACCAGGAGAACATAAACTCTGATCCAAAGTCTTTAACATGGCAAGTATAAAATGTTAGCTCTAAGTCTAACTGGAAATCTCTCCTTAGTATATTACTCAATCCCTCACTAATAGATTCAATAGTGGTTGTTCTATGACATGAATTTTAAGCTGGGGGTGCCAGTTCAGTTTGATTTAGGTAAGTAGGTTCACTTTGATGGTTACTATACTTGCCCTAATTAATAAGAGTGTTTAATGAATATTTCAATCAGTATATAACCTGTATGGAGATCATATCTAAGAACTATTCTTTAGCCATTTACCAAAGAAAACCATGTCCTTGCTGCAATTAAGCAGCACAGGCTACTTTTTGGCAGGGGAGTTCCTTTTCGGGACATCCTAAACTAAAAAAAAAAAAAGAAGTTTGGCTCACTTGCTCCTTCAAGGCAGAACAAACACAAACTAAAAAACCCTTAGAAGTCATTTCAAGCTCCTTATACCAACAGTATATTTTGAACACATTATTCATTACTCTGCAGGATTGCAGAGTAGATAGAAACAATTAATCAACTCATTTCACCTGTAATTAAGAGGATAGCCGTGGATTAAAACTATATCTAACTTTTGATAGTCAATCAATCAGTTGAGGGTTGGAAACTTAATCCAAAGGCAGCAAACAACTAATCTCTTAAATGCAAGGCAAGATATGGGAAGATGGTAACATGTTCTGGATATTCCACTTCAAGTATGCTACATATGACCAGCAGAGTAACATATGAACAAATCAGTCTCGAACACCTTTAATGTGGGTTCTGTAACACAGGACATGACTTAATGTGAATTGTGTTTTGGAGACTCCTATTTACTGGAATCCACCTAAAGAACAAAACAGTGCATTGCTCTTTTTAAGTGAACTTGTCACAGTAGAACTTGCTCCAGTTTACCCGTTGCAAAGTTACATTAACAAAGGAATAAATAAAACAGGACATTATGTAATGTGAATTGCTATATGGTGATTTCTCTTTACTGGAAACACAAAAGGAACAAAGTAGAATAGTTACTGTAGAATCTTCTCCAAATGGATGAACATACTGTAATACCACTCGACAGTTGTGATATTGCAAAGTAGCAATTAAATGTTCAACATGATCTGATAAAAATAACCATCTATAGAGATGGCAAACACAAAACTAAATATAGACAGCATCACGTCTTCTATACCTCCAAATTATGATTGAAGCTCGATGTTTCAGCTCAAACTTCAATAAGCAACAGCAACATCAACGTCAACGTCAACATCAACATTCCATATTCAGAGGTTAAACGCATACACTTATTCAAACACCTAATGAAAATTTGAACTAACATTCATAAAATCAAAACGCTCAAATGCAAAAGCGAAAGAAACAGTGACAAGGACAGTGAAATAAGAAAAACAATAATTACTGTTAAACAAAACAAACTGCAGAAACGGCTGGAGCTACCTCCTCGTTACCGTCCAGCTTCTTCTGGAAGCTATGGATGTACAACACCTAGAAAACAGACCAAAAAAGAAGTGATGGACCAATTAGGGTTAAGCGCGGACGAACACAACACATACATGCATATATCCTCCACATTAAAATGATCTGAAATTTACTTGAACGTGGGAGGTCGGAGATGGTGAATTGAAGGTGTCGGTGAGAGAAGCCATGGCAGACATGAGCACGAGAATGGTGAAGGAGAGAGTGAAGAGAGCGTTGGCTCTGTACGCGTGGGCGTGCATTGCTCTGGCCTGGGCTTTGTATCGTGCGCTCACCATGAAATCAACCTGCATACCCAAACCGACCATTTTATACCGCCCCAAAACCGTCCGACCACGCGGTTTTCGTTTTTACTTTTTTATTTTTTAGAAACATTTTTAGTGAGATTTGTTTTTTTTTTTTTTTTTTTTTGAGAGAGAGAATGAAATCGGCTACCAGAAATAATGGAATTGCAAATGTGACTAAAAATCAACAATAATAATAATAATAAATTTACTAAAAAATTCTACTCCGTCCTTGTCCATTTTTCTTTATCCGTATGTCCATTTATTTTATCATATTTTTCTTTAGAAAAAAATTGATCTCACATCACATGTTCAAATCTTACGCTACAAAGTCATTCATTACGGCTATGGCAAAGGATATCGTAAGGGATTATTATTTATATTGTGAATTTTTTTAACATACAATTCTCTATATTTTGTATAACAAATATCCTTTTAAATTATTTCAAAAAATAAACACATCTCGTTGTAAAGATGATTTTTTTTTTTTCAAATAATAATGATAAAATTTTTTATTGAATAATTTTATTTTAGATTAATTATAATTTTTTTTCAACAAGTTTAATTATTTTAACTTATGTGTTATAGAAGAGAATTGAAAATAAAAAATAAATAAATTTTCAATTATTAATGATAAACAAACAAGATAAATAAATTCATTTATTTTCCCCTATTATTATGTATCAAACACCCCTCGAGTTTGAAATGTTATTTCAAGAGATATAATTTGACTATATATTATAGTGTTTGTTCGGGGGATTAGATTGGATTTACACTATTTTTCCCCAAAACATCAAATCAAATACTTATTTTTTTATTTTTTATATTATACTAAAAATTAATTTTACATTCAAAATATCACATCGACACTTATTTATATCACATCATACAACTATTCAAATTCAAAATTTTTACTATTCAAATCCCAACTCAAAATCCAAACCCCCAAACAAACACACCTAAATATATTTCATATAAATGTCATAAAAATTATGATATCAACCTACAATTTAATAAATTTAAAGAATATATTTGTTTAATATTTATAGCTTTGATTTTTTTTTTTAGTACGAGATTTGTCAAAAATATTATAAAAAAATAATATTGTATAAATATTTATTATTATTATATATAAAAATGGAACATACAGCTTCATTTTTTTTTATTCCCTATGTTCTATCATGTTTACATTTTTGCCCATCTCACATCTCATAAAAGAAAATATACATTTTAATTTTATTTTAAATTTTTTATTAGACTAATCAACTGATTATACTTGTTACATATTTTTAACTATTTACTAATTATACTTGTTATATATTTTTAATTATTTACTAATTATATTTATTATGAATTCTGGTATCAGGACAACGAGGGAGTATAAGATAATATATGTGAGAAGTCGTATAACCTTTAAAAAAATTAAGTGAGCACATTCTTATTTATAAACAAACGTAACATAAAAAATGAACACTCCTATTTATTACCAAACAGACCAATAATTTTTATATATCTAAGGTGAAAATGGGGAGATACTTGGTCATAATCATTCTATATTCTACAAACATATATACATAAATACTGTAAACTGACTAAATTATCTTTACTTAAGAATATTTCGTAAAAAGATAAATAAATAATTCTCTGGTTCTCAAAACAACCATCTGTATGAATTCCACCGGTATGCATGATATTCTCACAAAATATCAACTCTAATATTAAAAGAAAATAAAAAACTAAAAACTAAATAATGAGGAAAATTGCCGAGGAATTTGTGCAGTAAAATCAATAAATACAACAAACTTTCTTGGAAGGAGTCTATAAATAATCTTATAAAATATACACACAGATATATATATATATGAATATTTGTGTATACATATGTAGCTGCATTCTCTAACAAGATGAATTATAAAACACCCTAATAATTTTCATATAAGAGTGAGCTGAAGCTTCGGCCGGTGTGGCTGCGGCTCGACGATCTCCAAGTGGATATTCACAGTCTGCAGAACGCCGTAGGAAACTTTACCATCGGCTTTCCTAATACTCTGTTGTTGTTCATCGATAATCCAGTCTCCCCCAACTCCCTTTTGGCCTCTCGCCATCAAGTACACGGGACCTTCGATCCCATATCTGAAATGCGAAACTTACATTAAAGATTGATCACCAATATCACAAGTAGTATATATTTATTCTTGATATTTCATAGGGAAATGATGATCTAGTGAAGATGGCTTATTAAAGGGGCGCATTATGACTTGGATTGAACTTACTTGGGCACAAAGACAATGAAGCCATTCGATCTTATCTTGAGTATTCTTGCCTCAGTATCAGTTGGCCTGTTCCGGAAATAAATTAGTGTATGGAGCTCAACTGATGCCCGGCTAGCCATCTGGGCATTCTTGTGGCGATAATTTAGATCTGATGACGAGAACAATATGTAACATTAGACAATCTCAAGCAAAAGATACAAAATATCTGAATTTCAATCATAAGATCCTTACTGTCGGCAATGCTAGCAAGCCGAGGTCTGTCCTGGAATATGTCAGGGAGCTTGTATATCCCCAATGCAGCAGCAAGCAAACGATGAACAATGACATCTACAAGAATAGATTCGTATTTTTAATGCAGTTGAAAACTTAATAATTGAAAAGACACGGCCAAGTAGTTAAGATATGTATATATACCGGCATATCTTCTTATGGGAGAAGTGAAATGGGTGTACATAGGGGCGGCAAGGCCATAATGGAAAAACTCTGGAGGGCTTAGATCTCCACTACAGAAGTACACAGCCTGAAAACGAATAAAAGATTAATACAACACTCAAACTTTCATGGTAATCACAGAACAAGTCATGTATGAATTCAAGTGGTTTTGATACCTGAGTCATGCATCTTGTTGCCAGAATGCGGATCAGCTTGTTGAAGTATGGATCACTGCCCTGAAGTTATGAGAAGCGTGAGGTTGCAGAAGATGTTGAGATAATAAATAGGACACAAAACAAACATATTACAAGGACTCTAGAGCATAGAGGGATCGCGATTTGTCATATACCATTTATAGGCTTAAATATGTTGAAAGCTAATACTACTAAACTAGCATGTTAAACTTTTTTTCTACAATACATCAATACAAAACTCAACATCAGCTGGTACATAAAATGCTGCTAAAACACTAATATAGAACCGTTGGTCAAGTCTAAACACATGGGCATGCAAGCCATGCCCATCCTATGAAATGTGCATCCACACATCCCTTGCATCTGTGTTGCAAGGACAACTAATGAAAAATAAAAAATTGAGTATAGCCAACCAGAAATAAATGATCATTCACTTAAGAATGTGAAGCAGTACCAAAGTTTGCTAACTTACCACCGCATTATCAAGTGAATCAGCCAGTGCTTTTGAAGATGTCACATCCAAACTGAGACCAACTGCAGCAGCTGTTTGCAATAAAGGCTCAAGCATCTCCTTTGTTGGGGTTGGATGCCGTCTGCAGATGTGATAGATTCATACTGAGAAAAATATGCTACAATATATAATGATAATGCAATAGAATAGTCTTATCAATTAATTAAATCAAATTAACACAGGTAAAATTTCAGATTCCACGAAAAGACAAAGGCATAAGTGCATAACAAAATGTGGCGAACAAATATGACTGGTACTCGGAGGGAGTGCAAAAGTGGCTTTTAACTAAATTATATTGGCTGGAGAAATAACTCCTATAACATCTTTTATCAACAAACAAACAACAGACATCGTGGTCTTCTCCTCATCTATATAGGTAGGGGGGGGGCATAAATCTTGTCTAAAAGAGGCTAGTTGAGTACCTTAACAGTGAAGTGAGAGGAAAATGTTCCAGAATCTTCCTAGCCACAGATATATTAGCAGCAAGCATAAACTCTTCAATCATCTGGTTGGCTTCTCGAATTTGATACATACCTGCACGTCAACGCACAAGAAAATGACAAAACAGAAACCACAAGCAACGAACACATTACATTTACCAATATCCAGAGGATAGAATAAATTTAGTGATGATAAATTTTGTTATTGGTGCTTCAAGTTCACTTACCAATATCAAGAGGATCATGTGTTTCAGTGTCAATTTGAAATTTCACTTCAGCAGAGGCAAGGGTTAATGCTCCTCTATCAATGCGCTTTTGCCGCATTATCTACAACATCAGAAGAGTTAACATTTGCTTCATTCTCTGCAATGAATTATGTAGTAAAATCCCCTCAAATTTTACCTTTGCTAAAGTATTCATATTTCGCAAATCTGTCGTCAAGGAATCCATTAAGCGACTGTAAAATGAGTGAGTTCAGAGGGAAATATGAGATTCTGAGAACATAGTTTATTGTTTTGTTGAATCAATGATCATCAGATAAAGAAATACAACAAAACAGGCATTCATTCAGGTGAAAGACACAAACGCAAGAAAACACATATATGTATGTGGGTATAATGCTATTAACTGTGCATAGAAAAATAATAGAGAATGGAGAAGAGAATGCTTCATGTCAGCACTAAAAATGTGAACTCTATCTTCTAAGATTTCGTATGCATAATTGTATGCACTTAGCATGGCTTGTGCACCAGAAGGATGGTAATTAAACATAAACTAAAGATATTATCAAAAAATCATTTCAGTGAATTTCAAGAGCAGCCGGAAGAATGAAAAGTAAAGTGAGGTGGCAGAGAAATTGAAGATGAGAAAGCATCAAAGTAGGATTACTGATGTGATAGAACAAAACTCTAAAGCTCCTGGTATGTAGTAAATGAGTACACTCATTTAAGTAATTTATAATGTAAACTTCTTACATATTACTGTTTTAGCAAACACAGAGAAGCATACATTTTTCTAATCAGATTAATATTATCATAGGCATATTTGAGGATAAGCAGGAAGTAATGGCCACACACACCAAAAAGACAACAAAAAAAGGGGGGGAGGGGGATGTCATTTGCTTGGAATTTCAAAACCAAACACGATAACAAATAAAATTTCCAAAATTGCCTACCTATCATCCATCCTTGCCTGAGCCTCCACATATGACAATGCTGCACGCGATTTGATAATGGCTTTTGTGTACCTCGTAGAAATAATCTCTGCTTCAGGAGTCATTTCCTGAATTATCATAATAGTCAAGAACATAAGGTTAAAAAATTAACAGCCATTGGTAAGTTGACAATTCCCCACTTGTAAAGGTTAAAAAAACTAATGGTTCAAAGCACATATCACATGTCCAGGTTCGGGGAATGTAATTTTTCCTGAGATTAGAGATAATATTAGCAGATTAGCGGCTGGAATAGCAATAACTATGAAATGATAACTTACCCATATCACGGAAAATGTCAGTCTCTCTACATCAGCACGTAATGAGCAAACATCTACAGAAAACAGGTTCCAATAGGTTAAACCATAGCATTACATGTTTGTGCTAAATCAATATTCAAAAAATGTACAAATAAGGTAAAAGTAGAATACCTTCCGTCAGAGGTTTCGGTAACATGTCAATACGCCGCTCAACAAGGTAAACAGAAGTACCCCTCTGTGCAGCCTCATCATCCAAGGGGGTTCCAGGGTGAACAAAATTTGTGACATCAGCAATATCTAATAAATATGATTAAAGAAAACTCTAACTCTAAATGACCATATAATGTTTACAGTAAGATTCATTTGTTTCAACAATGCCATCTAACAAATGACATATTGGCTTATTGCCTAAGTAGATTACACTTCCATATATTGCCTTCCATCATTTGCAGGTGTGCATAGAGCAGATTCACAGAACCATACTTAGCTTCAAGCAAAAGTCCAATCAGCCTGCATTTCAAGCTCTAGCTTATAATTTATAAGCTTGAGCAGGGTATTACCACATTAATGTACAAGGATATTTAGTATGGCAAAAACCTTACATTCTAAATGCCAAATCATATGCTAATCAACCATAATCATTTACACAAAAATGCAAGGACATTTAATTGCTTAGAAAGCTCTGCCAATAAAAAGATGACAATATACCTTAGCCTTAATATAGTTCATATATGATATACTTTACCAAATTAGGCCCAAATGCAAACTCCAACCCCATGGACTCTACCGTGAAAGACTTCATATTGCAAGAACTTGCCCAGCCTAATGAACATAATGTGTGAATAAAATATGAAAGTACCCACACATGCTTCACACTCTCAGAACTGATGAATGCCTCAGTGCCCTACTTTCACACGCATTAATCATCTCTTGACAGTGTTATAAAATGCTGTTGGAAGAGTTGGAATGGAATATCTTATGGTGGATTACAAATAACCAAGAAACACAAAAGGATACGAACTCCCACTTCAAAATTTCCATTTGGAAGAGGCAAACAGTGTAGTGCGTCATCAATGTCCTTGCATCCTGCATAAACACTTCTCTTTCATATATGATATGAAAACATACTACCAGAGTAAGGGCTATATTCATTCGGCAACAAACTTTGAACATGAGAATCAGGGAAAATACATCCATTAAATAGAATGCAAGTAACAGCTTCCACACAAACTAAATACCTGGAGGATCCACACTGAAAACGCGTAGATGTCGCAAGTCTTTCCTGATGGGATTGGACAAATCTTCAGAAGATACAGACCATGGTAGGCATGGCAAACATGCCAAAACTTGAGTAGAAAAAGGTCTTGCATCGATATCATTCTCTATCAGGACAACCTGCAGTTGAAGTAAAGACAGGAATTTTCCTTAACATTCATAATTTGAACTCAATATCATAATAGCATGAAATTGTCAGAATGAAACATGTTTATCCATTTTGATTCTCTTTCCCATTCACTAGATCATTGTGTGCCCTTCTATATTGGCAGAAACATCTTCTTCAACAATAGTACTAGTGCAAACTCTCATGATTAAGGTATCAAGAAAAGTCAAACTTCCAGATTAGAAAAAACTTCAGCAATCAGCATAGATATCATAGAAGGTATATTAGGTAAGATTTTAGCATACGAACTTTCCCATCTAGTAAAAAGGATCCGGGTTATGTTGATAAATAGCAGAGAGCTAGTTTACATCAAGTGATCTATCAAATCTGGCCTCGGAATTCCAGTGACATGTGAAACCAATTACATCGGTATGGTCCATAAACTAAATTTGATCAAATAACAGCCCAATTTAGCAGAAACAAGACAGGACAAATATTGGAATTCTGATATTCTGCTTACATTTTTTAAACTAAACAGAAAAGGGGTCATATCACACAGTTGAAATCTTACACTGAACCAGGGTGTCTCACAACTAAATTGGTCGGCAACGTTTCAAAAGACAAAAAGTAAGATGTCATCCAACATTCAAATGAAGCATATTCTACATTACTCCCATGTTTTTTCCTATGTTGAAAGTTAGATTAATTCAAGTTAATGCTCCTGACAGTTGAATGGTTTTAAGTTAAGGTACAAATGTTCAATGACAAAGTTAGATAGAGTAACAGAAAAGGCTAAAGCACTAATCACACCATGAAAAATAGTGAAAACCAGTATTCTACAACATACCTCACTTTCAGTATCTCTGTCACCTATTTCACCAATTGTTCTTACATAATGTCCAGAAGGATATCGAGATAAACGGTCCCATGAATCAACAGCAACAATGATTCTTTTGTCCAATAGATTTCCAAGCTGTCTTGTTTGTATCCGAATTTTAGGAATTCTCCTATCTTTGGAGACAAATAGAGCATGTGCAATACCACCCTGACCTCCAGGCATGGGCATTGGGTCCAAAGATCCACAATAACTGCAAACAGTATAATGATTGAATATTAAAAAGTAACCAGAAGCAATATAATACATTAAATTATATATTGCTCACTCACGAGTGCCAGTTACGTTTTATAATGCCAATAACACGGCCACTTGGGCGAGTAGGCATTGTATTCTTGTCCCCATCCTGTGCCATATTTCCAACTCTGGGAGCATCATCAGCACTGCTTGGAACTAAATGAACATCATCATCCTCCTCCTCATCTGTCATGCAATATATTCATAAGAAGATGCAAGACATCATTACAAGCATCATGTTCAAGAGACTCTAATGCTACTATATATACAGTACAATATCTAGGAAAATTGTGGATATAGACAATGTGCACCTAAATCACCAACAGAACCAGCAGAGGAAAGTACCATCTAAACTATCAGTAATATCCAGACTGAAGTATTTATATTGACACCTTTTCAAAGAAAAAATGGTAAAACAAAATCAAACAAGGCATATTTAGAACATCAAGACAGCACAAGCACTTCAAAATGTCCCAGACAGCAGACACCAGCTACAACAACAAAGCTAAAAAATAGATACTACAGGAAAAGCATCCTAACATCAAGACTAGGCATAACTTGTAGTTGCAATCATGCTGTCATAGTAATCAAACATTAAAATGAACCTTCTCAAATACATACCTTCATTTGCCATTGTCAGAGATTTCTCCTCATGCCACTGATCTTGAGGCAAAAGTTCCACTGCTACTATATCACCATCAAAAGCTCTGTTCATGTTAGAACGTCCAAAAATAATAATTTCATCACCAATACTTTCACTCCCGACATATGCTTCAAATGGATTGTAGCGATTAACCCTGAGTTTCCCTTGGTGGTATATTCCACGATGCAAACCTGAAGTAATTTCTGACATGGGTTTATGCTGCATGGTTGCCAGACAGCAGAAAAAAATTATAAAACAGAACTAATTAAGGTAATCAAATTCCACAACGTAGACCTGCATACCTCAGGATATATTACTTTTCTCTTTAAAGGCCTTAGATCATCAGCGTCAACCATCGGAACATCTTCAGATGGAGGCTGCACAATAAGGTCAAGCAATGATGGTTGGCCAAGAGACTTGACATATGCCTCAACTGCAGGGAATATTAAATTATATTAGTTTAAAATAAAAACGTGTTACCATAAGCATCCAAATGCTTCAGTGAATGATTCTGCACAAATACAACATTAGGATTGCACCATGCCATACAAGCACTGATTTTATTTACTCGAGAGATTTACTTTCACAAGATTTTGAAAGGTGAAAAGATGTTGTACCAAGAAAAAATAAATGGAATACCTGTATTCGCAAGAATCCCATCATTAACAGCCTTGTTTCTGCTATCTCTGTCATTTGTAACAAGCACGACCTGAACTGCACTACCCAGATGATTCTGATACCATTGGGCAGCCACTCGAATTGCTGGAACATCATTATGTTTTCAATGCCAAAGAAGGAAAATCCATGAGTAAACACTATGAATCTAAGAATAGTCACTAATTACTGAAAGCTAAAAATCTATTAATATTTAAACCTGCATACACAAGTTTAAGATTATTTATATAAAAAAGGTAGACATGTCAACAAAAAACATAATTTTATCATCAATTTAAACGAAACAAATTCACGAATATCTCTAGCAAAAATAATTACCCTGTTCGACTGTCATTTTTTCCACCACTAGAAACTTATCGAATCAATAAAATGTTAAAATAATGTATCTAGTTAATCATTGGTACAGAAAAAATGAATTTCTTTGAACTTTCTATCTTAATTTTACACATAGTATTTGGAGATGCTATCGCTGATATTAAACACACACAGTAGTCTGTATTTTATTCTCGCACATTGTACTAAAAGGTTTAAACTTCCGATACTCATATACGTCATATTTACAAATAATATTCAAAGGTTTATTAGCCTGTAAACTCATATAAGCAATACATTGATTCAATCAGAAGCATATGGAGCAGCAAAGTTATTTCATACTATAAGAAAAATATACTAATCCAAGTAGCATTAATTGACAAAAGCAAATTCAGAAAGCAATTATTATTTTCTGGTGAAAAAGTAACTTTATAAATAGGAAAAAAAAAAAGTCCACCTGTAACATGTACATAACCCATTACCATTATGCAAGTAACATACCTCTGTCATTCCTATCATTAGGACTTTCACCACTCTCAGTCTTCACATATGTATCCCTACGGGTAAACAGTAAGACAAATAAATAAATATACCTTTTTACTCCCTTTATAACAAATTAGTAGTGATCCTTTAGCAAGTACTCAGAATACATTATGGTCCCAGAATACAACATTGAACATAAAGACCAGGGAATTCAAATCAGGCCCATTAACTACATCTCCACTGGATATTGCTTCCATAATCATGAGCAAACTATTCAATCTTATAAGGTCGAGATTTCTTTATCATATATATTAAAGAAGTCGAGTTGATTATTATCAAAAAAAATTTATACCATATTTTGAACATATAATTCGTGGGAGAATAAAACCCTAAAAAACCATTTAAAGTAAACAGCCAGGGAAAGAATCTAGCGAAATAGACATAAATACAAAAAAAGAAAAAGAATACAAAAAAAAAAAAAAAAGACGAAAGCACCATACTTGTGGTATTCATTCGAGAATACGTAAAACCTCCTTTGGGTATTGCTGCAGAGCGCCCTAAGCCTGTTGTATACAGCAAGATTTTTGTTCTTTACCTCCTCCAACACCACTGAAAGCACCACCACATCATCTATTGCAGGATTCTCCAACAAATCAATCTGACAAATTCACCAAATCAGCACGCCCCTAACCTAATATACAGGACCAAAGATTTGGGGCGAATAGGCGGAGAAAAGTATCTCACCTGGTGAAGAACAACATTGGTGTCCACAACGACAATACTGGACGCCGTCGAGCCGAGGCGCGCGTTTGAAACATCACAAACTTTACAAATTGGCGCGCCGCAGTATATATCATCCCGCAAATAATGCTCCCTTACAACCTGCACAGCAAAAGCATCATAAACCCTAGCCCCAAACCAAACAAACACACACCAACAAACTCGCGCCCACACCGCAAGGAGAAATAATTTAAAGAAGCTGTAGATTGCAGACCTTGACTACTTTCCCTTGCCTCGTTTTCTTAACGAAAGACTTGCTCTGCAACATTCTCAAGCTTCTTTAATCCAAACACAAGTCTACGTCGGAGCAGCTGCCGGCATAGAGCGCAAAGTAATCCTCCGCCGCTGTAAACGAGGTTTCTCCGAAAAAAAGACAAAAAACAATACCCAGGGATTCGTTTCTTCTCGTTTATATAGTAATGGATTGACTATTGGGCTTCGACCCGGCCCGATATGGTCCTATAGGGCCTTGTAAAAATATACATAAATGGAGGGAAACTGCGTAGAGAATGCCAAGGATTATGAAGTAATTAACTATTAAACTTAATAAACTTATCTCATTATCCTATATGACCGTTGAAGCCAGCTGTTACATCCTTCAGCTTTTATTGCTTTCCAAAAATAATACACACGTGTTTAAAAGAAAATATTAAAATAATTAAATGGGCCGGATAGCCCAGCCCAATAACACTTGGTATTGATTTGTATCTTTACTTTTGGATTTGTTTCTCTGATTAAATTTTTACTTATACAATTTTTTAATATATATAATAATTTTTATCTTCTCAAAAAAGATTTATATATATATATACAGTAATGGATTAATCTACACACTACACGCCACATATATATATGGTTATTTTTAATACAAATTTTGAATATATTTTATTTTAATGATGATTGATGATACTTTTGAAATATAAAAGATTATGATTTTGTTTGAATAGAGGTTTTTAGGGTTTTACCAAAATTAAATAATTAAAAATAAATTAATTGAATTCGTTTTATTAAAAACAAAATACTTTCATTTAATTTTTTTAGGAGTTACTATTCAATAATATTAAAATTTACAAAAGTATGTGTATTTTATTTTTAAAAAAAATTATCAAATAACTATTACTTCTCATAAACTATTATATCAAATATTATTTATTTTATTTTTTTTTTAATTAAAAAAATCTCAGTATAAATGAAACACAATATTTTCCACTTGGAGAGTGACAAAAATGATATACTTTGAATTAAATAGGTGAAGCAACTACATAACATATAAATACATTTATTTGTAATTAATAGTCAAATTTAAGTTCCATAAACGGTTATCTAAGTTAGCTGATTTAACAGATAACATAAAATACCAATTTTAAATAAATAAGAGGCATTGAATGGCAACATAAAATACTAGTCCAGTATTATTATTTAGCACTGTCTGTAACGGATATGTAAAGGAACCTTATAATACAGAGCAATTTCAACCATGAAAATTTACATCACAAATTAAATATAGAATAAATTTAGAACCAAAAATTAATCTCACAGTCCAATCCCTGTGGAAAAGTCAAAATCCCTATCTTTGACCAGTCAAACAGGCGGCCGCCCTGACTCGCCGGAGAACAGATGCGCTTCGTCGCCGTCGTCGGCCTTAGGCTCCAAGCACTTAAACGACGGCATCTTTACCGGCGGCTTGCTACTGCCTCTCTTCGAGTTCGAAACCTCGCCGGCTTCCGTCGCAACTCTCGGCGATTTCATCGACAGCATTCTGGTGAAGAAATCCCACCGGTCCGACCGGGCTTCCCCGTCCCGGAGCTCCATCCACCGGAACGACCTTCCGGCGCGGCTGCTCCCTTCCCCTCCGCCCGGTCTGTATCCCCTCCGGGAACTACCCTCCCTTGGCAGACCGGTAACCGCCATACTTCTGGTCCGGTTCAACATAGCCCGGTCGATCACCTCCTTCTTCACCTGCGCCGGCAGCCGCAGAGTGAACCGGTCGAGCGTCTCCACCGGCTGAACGAGCGAGTCGTGCCCGGTAGAGTGCGACCGGTACTTCGCCAGGGGGGACACCTTCGGCCGGGATATGGACCGCGACCTCGGCGGCCGAGTCGGGTTTTCTGAACTCCGGTTCGCCGCCGGTCCGATTGATTGTTGATCAAGTTCCGGTACTTCGATGACGACTTCCTCGTTAATCCGTCCAATCTCCGCGGCTGCCGGAGTCTGATTGTCGCCGGCGACGCCGTCGCCGTCGGCGGCGGGAACCAAATTGGCGCGGCAGACCGGGCAGGTCACGTGCGAGTCGAGCCAGGCGTCGATACACTCGGCGTGGAACACGTGATCGCACGTGGGGAGCAGCCGGAGAGTCTCGTCGTCTTCGAACTCGTTGAGGCAGACGGCGCACTCGGCGCCGCCCTTGCCGATCTTGTGGTCCTTCACCTCGGCGTACGGAAACGTCGGAAAAGTCTCGAGGACAGCCGCGTCGAGGCCGCGGGAGGCGGCGGCCCGCCGCGCGCGCAGCGAGATCGCCCGGCCGATGCTGCCGGCGGCGCCGGAGTTATCGGAGCAGTGGCGGATGTAGATGGAGAAGAAACCCATAAAAAATAACGCCGATATCAGAACCACCACGATCACCGCCATCGACGGACTGAACCGCGCGTACTGCGGGTTGTTGGCCGGCGGCGAATCCTGCTGCCCCGCCGCCGCGGCGAAGAAGACGACGAATAGTAGAGCAGCGATAATTCCGCCATAGCTCCCTCTTCCTGAAGCTTTCATCGTCGTCTTATCCAGTCTGAAGATTGAATGATTTTCTGGTAAGATTTCGGGGACACGAGATTAAATTCACGAAATATTTCTACAGAAGTTGCGTATGAAAGAGGGGTCAGCAGCGAACATTGAATATAATCATTTAATCTTCAGATTTCAGACATATTCTAGAGAGAGAGAGAGAGAGGGAGTGGGGGTTGAAGGTGGGGAAATTCCAACTTTTTTATTTAAGGGTTTTTCAGCAACCAATGGAAGCTTCTGTGGATTCTCCGTTTTCTATTTTGACGGCTTCTTCTCATTTTTGTTTTTTTTTTTTTTTTAAATGTCAACAATGTCATTTGATTATTTATTTATTTATTTATTTATTATATGTTTTTGGAAACTTGTACCTGCTAATCTGGATAAAGAAACACAGTAATAATAGTATTAAAATTAATAAAGACACACAGTTCGTACAATTATTTGATTTGATCTTTTAACCGGTGGATTATATTAATTGTGCTTTATTTTAAATTACATAATCATAGTGTTACATAGTAAATAAATTCAAGGACCACATCTGTAATCTGTTTATCATAACAAAATAAAAAATCAAAAGTGAGAAAAGCTGTCCCACGTGCAAGGCTACATTTTAAAATTTTCAATAATGACCAAGACTTAATAGGGGCTAATAATAACTATTCGGATTATTCGATTTAACCTCCGAGTATAAAATGATTTATTACCAAACTAAATAAATATTCTTTCTACCTACATGTATTTAGATACGGAAATTAAATAAAAAAATAAAAAAACACCGATCTTTATATTTAATTTCCTGTTAATTTTTATTAATTTATTTTTTATAAGGCCAACTGCGATGGGCGCATCTCCTAAGAGGAGACGTGCCACATCAGCAATTTTAAAAAATAAAAAATAAAAAAAATAAAAATTTTACTTCCCAACATCTCTGCAGGAAGATGTTGATTAATTGTCATGTGTTCCAATTGGTATTTATGTATATATATATATGTTTTGTTTTTGTAATTTATATTAAATTTATTGTTATATTTAAATTTTGTAATATTTTTATAATTTATGATATTTTGTATTCTACAAAATGATACTAATATTGAATATATTTTATTAATTTAAATTTTAAAATATATAAATACAAATATTATATAATTCTATTAACAAATCAATATTAATAAATTTAATTTAATTTAATTTATTAAATAAACTTTAAAATTTAATTTAATTAAATAATAAATAATATAAATTTTTTCTATAATTTTTTAATAAATCAAAATATTGACAAATAATAATATAATATAATCTAATAATTAAATAAATAATTAATACTATAAATTAAAACTATAATTTAAAAATAATATATATACAATATGAAAATAAAAATTTATTAAAAAATTAGGATGAGTATCTTTGTTGTGAATATAAAATAGAAGAGAGTATCTCCGTTGACGTGGCAGAGAGAGAAAATGACGTGAATAAGAAAAAGTAGTGAAAATATCCAAAAGCGGATATCTCCGTTGCGGATGGTCTAAGTAATTATATATATAAAAAAAAAATAGTATATTACTATTGTGGTCGATATTTAAATCGTGTAGGTATTTTTGTGTGTTGTGTATATCCTAACAAGTAATTAGGATATAATAGGGTATGGAAAACTGCAATTTAATTTAGAGATTAAGCTGCACAGCTAATGCTAATGCTACTTCTACTTGTACTGCAGTTAGGTTAAGTTAGATTAGGTTAGGTTAGGTTAAGTGGCAAATTCTAACCAGAGATGTCAATATGGACTTAATGGCGGCTTAGAAAGCCACGTGTCAATCAACCGATTTATGGAATTATTTAGAGTTACGGTATTTTTTATTTATAATTTAATTTTTATATAAATTAATTTTAGCTATTTTTATACAAAATTTTATTATCAAAATAAAATTTATTATTTAAAATATAAAAATTAAATTAATATTACAATTTTTATAATTATATGTGGACGGATAATAGGCTAGTTATTTAAAAATAACGTTGTGAATTAAAAATAAGTTTTGAATGATTATTGTTGGTTATTTTTTTATAAATATATATTAGTCAAAAAATTGAAATAGAAATTCAACTAAACAAATTGTATTGTTTTGATTATTTATGCGTTTTTTTTTTATTTGTTATCATTTATTTTTAAATTTATCGTTATCTTAGCAGAACCACGTACCATATTTGATCTATAAATAATTTTTGGTGACATACTTATTATTTAATTTTAATGTAATAATAATTCCAGAATTGTTATTGTTAAACGCAATACATAACTCGTGTTGTTAGTTACGGGTAAGCTTGATTGCTTCACAAGAAATAATGATGTCAGAAAGTGTTCACATCATGCTTTTTAAATTATTATTATTATTATTTTATTATAAAAATTCTAAAACTATTTGTTTTTCTTAATTTTATTCAGCAAATGCAACATTTATGAAATACTCTCTCTAATTAGAAATTGTACACGTGATTTAATAAATATTGATATATATTAATAGTTAATAAAAAGTATAAATATATTTTATTTTTTTTATTTTTGTGTATTAGTATAAAAAATAATGACAATTATATAATAATAACGAAAAAATAGAATTATTTTTAAAGTGATATAATTATTTATGAAAATAATACTATTGTTTTGAGACGGATAAAAATGATAAATAAGTATATTGTATTTGCATTAGGGGAATATATACAAGTTTAATTGACTATATATATACTAGTCAAATAACTCTAGAACGGATTAATGCATGTCACAATTCAAAGTACAAAATTGAATGAGTTATTTTTCCTATCCGTCAAATTTATTCTTATTTTTTTTTAGTTTGTCCATTAAATTTACTTAATTACTAATTTGGCAAAGTCAATAAAAATATTTAATTACTATAATCCACTTAATACTTATTTACAACACACATCACTACTTTTATTACATATTCTCTCTTAATTCATTTACTTTAATTTTTAATTAAATTTTTAAAAAATATTTTCAACTACTTTTTTACTTTTATTATTTTTTAATAAAATACTTCATCCGTCCCAATACAATAATCTTTGTTTACAATTTTTGTCCGTCCCAAAACAATAATTTTATTTTCATAAATAATTATATCATCATAAGACTATCATTACTTTTTTATTTTTATTACACAATTGTCACTACTGTTTACACTAATACATTCACAAGGGCAAAAAAGTCTTTTATCCATACTTTTTACCAACTACCTAATATAATATCAATATTCCTTAAATCTCGTATCCAACTCAATTAAAACTATAGTTTTAGAACAGATGGAGTATTTTTTTTTTAATCTCTGTATCAGACTCAAATATGGTAATTTTAATGGATAGTAGAAGTATTTTTTATCTAAATGTTTTTTTTATTAAACCCTCATCTAATTCATTCCACAAGATGCTAAAATGAACAATCTGTTCTATGTGCAGTTTGTTCTTAATTCATTGTATAATGTCCTTGTCACATGGTGATAGTGAATTCTCTTGAAATCATCATTTTTTACAGTAATAAATAAATAAATAACCAATCATAACAAGCACAGATATATTACAGTAATTATAATTTATTTATTTATTTTTCTAATTATACTAATTAATTAATTAATTAAAGTAGCCTCCTTTAGAGAATTGAATAACGCTGTATGTGGTCTGTGCTAATTATCATTAGTCAAACACCATCATGTTTTGTTTTCATCTTATTTTGTCATTATAAATTATAAATAAATAAATAAATAATATTTGAATGGGTTGAACGAGTCAAACTTGCTGTTTTGCTTCTCACAAAAAAGTCAGCGCCTTACTAGATCTGTATGTCTCCCTTGTTTCTTTGCCAACTTCAGATTCCATGGCGGCAAACCTTTTTTTTTTTTATTATATAATTATATAAATATATAAAATTATATTCTCTTTTGTCCTTTTTTTTATGTCCAATTTATGGTAAATACAATAATTAAAGTAAAATATAAATAGTATGTAATTAAAAAGTATATTAATAAAAATAATTAACGGTATAAAAAAAATTTAAAAAGTATAAATTATAAAATTTACAATATAATTAAATAGTATAATTATATTTTTTTAAAAGAAAATTACAAATAATATTTGACAAATGAAAATAAAAATAGTCGACGAAAAAGGTGGGACAACATATATCTAATAGTAGTTCTTTTATTTCAAAATATTACATCTAAAACATGAATTTTGTTTATTTATACTTTACCCCTTTTATCTTTTTATCTTTTTTTTTTTCTTAATATAATTGTTTGATTCAATAAATTTGTTTACTTGGGTGTATACATATATAATTTTGCTATTTGTATATATATATATATATACATATATGTGTGTGTGTGTGATTTTTTAGTTGAAATAATGATATGACTGTTTTGAATAGTTTTAATGTAATTGCATTTTTTATTTTTTATTTTTTTTCAAAATATCAACTTTGGTTACTATTTTGTCAATTTTTTTTATTTTTTTTTCTAGAAATTAAATGTTATTGAGTATGGTTTTATTCCTGTAAGAATTGTTGCCATTGAAGACTTAAGAATATTGGCATGACTGAAGATAAATACTAGAAGTTATTATTGTAGAGAATGGTCGACACAATCTTAGCATAAATATCGTAATATCCTTTATAAGTCAATAATACATTTGTATTCAAATATTTTAAAAGTCAATAATTAATTAGTGACACTGACTTAGACATTTATTTATGTATATGCAGGATACATTTATAAATGGAATAATAATACATCAGAAAATTATTTATACTTTGATGTAAAGTGTTGAATCCATTTTGTATGTTTTATAATTTGTAATAAATAATTGAATTAGTGCTTTTGTGACCTAATTTGAATTTTGGTGACACTTTATTAGTTAATTATGTGTTGAAGTGCAACTATATGTATTTTAATATATATATTAATTAATTTGTCACTATTTTTTTACTTTTCATATTATGTATTATTAATTTTTTAATAAATTCTCTATGATATTTTCAGTTTACTTGTTACTTATAATATTTTTATAATTTCATATTATCATTTTTTTTAGTCTCTATATCAAAAACAAATGACATTATTAATACAGTCAGATATACTTATTTTTTTATAAAACAACAATATTATATTATTTATTTATACATATTTATATTATATCAAATATATATTTTTTATTATTTTAAAACAATACAAAATTTCAAAAAAAAAAGAAAATCTCAATGAACCTATGTTTGTTCTAACGGCATAGATAAGATGCTGAATTTTTTAATTCAGTATTCATGCATGCTGATCCTTAAAATATAATATTCATTCCGTCTCAATACAATAATTTTGTTTACCATTTTTGTCCGTTCCAAAACAATAGTCTTATTTCCATAAATAATCATATCACCATAAAATTACCTCTACTTTTCCATTTTTATTACACAATTGTCACTACTTTTTACACTAATACACTCACAATGGAAAAAAAAAGTTTTTTATCCATACTTTTTACTCAACACCAATATAATATTAATATTCCTTAAATCTTGCATTCAACCCAATTAAGATTATATTTATGGGACGGAGAGAGTAATATATAGTTATATTATTTAATTATATAAATTAGAGTAATTAGATTTTAAGGAAGTACATTATAATTTCAGCATAATGATCCTTCTCTTCGTTTGTTTTCTAATACTCCCTCCGTCCCATGTAATATGGATGTATTATTGTAAACATGAGAATTTAGGTAAAGTATAATTAATAAGTAATTAAGAAGTGTATTAGTAAAAATAATTATTATTTAGTAAAAATAATTATAGATTAAAATTAAAATAAATAAATAGTTTAATTAAAATTAATAAAATTTAAAATTTAAAATACGATTAAAGTACATAATTATATTTCCAAAAATAGAAAGGACAAATTAGATGGGACGAACGAAAATAAAAAATAGGGACAAATTATGTGGGACGGAGAGAGTAATATTCTATCTTTAGAAAATGATTTGTAGTGAAAATGAATGGATGAGAGTCGAAGCAGCTCCACTTTCCCAAATAGATTCATTACTATTTTTGGTATACTTAAAAAAAAAAATCATAATCCATAAAGCCAAGACATTACAGATTTCTATTTTGCTTTGTTGTAATAATAAAAAAAATTAATATTAATAATATTATTATTATTATTACTATCCATGGCCTGTCCAGGCGTCGTTCAAGAACTTCCTTCTTCTTGCGATTGCAGGTAATTAATCCGTATCTTTCGTTGCACTTTAATCCTCAAAGATTGATTTAATTTCATTTGTTATCGATTTTCAGGTCGGATGTAATATTTGATTTGATATTTTATGTTTCTCTTCATTGTTTGTTGCCGGATATATTTTATAATGCAAAGAATTAAATCTGGGTTTTCATTTGTATGTATAATTAATATTGTTGTTTTTGTTTTTAATATTATTGACAATGTATTTTATTTTATTTGATTTATTGGAATATATATATATATATATATATATATAGGAAAAAGAAAATTCCACTGAAAACATGCCGGACTGCAATTCCCCCGAGAAATTACAAGAAGTTAGGAAGTTTGATTCCTTCTTCAGCTTCAGCCCAGGGTGATGTATATTGCTTCTTCAAATATGCATCTTTTTTTACTTTGTTTTTCTTGGATTTTTTTTTTTTTTTGTAAAAATAAATTTCACATTTAAATCACTAAAAAAAAAATCTAAAAAAAAATTAACAAGTCTAAAAAATAAATGAAATTAATAAATTTCATTTACATGTGTCTAGTAGTTTGGATTGCTTATATATATATATAGGATTATATATTTAACAAAATAAAGTATTTATTCCTCTGCCATTTAATTTTATTGTTTTAAATTATCATAAAAGAATATTTATGTTTCTATTTTTAATAAAAAGTCATAATATTATTATTATACTTTTTCACTATAAAAAGGTAACAAAAAATATATCACTATAAAAAATAGTATATTTGTAATGGAATATTGTCCCTAAAGTTCACGTAGCTAACGTAATTTTATCTTTAATTTTGTTTTTAATGTCATTAATAACGAAAAAAAAAAAAACGAATTTAGTAACGAAAAAATTTCGTTAAAAAAATGATAATTTCTTGTAGTATATATTCATATAAAAATTTATAGTGACAAGTATAAAAATATTTTTCTTCCTCTTGATTGTGCTTGTTTATTTTTTGATATCTACTAACGAAACATTTTACGAATTTTCATTCTAGACTTGAAGGATTTCGATGACAATACCAATGAAATATCAGACAAAGAAGCAACTATTGTGGCCAGTAGTGAAGAGCCAAAAAATGTAGGACCGACAAATACAAAAAACGAAAAGTCATTTAAACAGCACACTGGCGGATGGCAATGGTTCTTACAGCTTTGGAGAAAAGGTTTTAAGAAAAGGTTACCGAATATTCCTCCAAGAGTGTCGATAAGGATCCGAAGCAAGAGCGCAAGAGAAAAAGAAGAGATTAACAAATGCTTGTGTAATTCTACTTGGAAAATATTCCCCCTTGCTCAAGTACAAGCTGCAACTAACAATTTCAGCTCCGGTTAGTCGTTGTCTATATTTACGTAAAATTATAATTATCATATTCTTTTTTAAGGTTTTATCTATATCTTTACAATTCTATAAAATATATTATTTTTTTCATGGATGATATATATTACATCGATAAACTATTTTGGATTAAAAAAATTATACTACAATCACGAAACTAAAAAGAAAAAGAACAAACTCATTCTATTGTTATTTTTATTCTACAATCTTGTATGATTATCTATATTTTGGTATTGTAAGTTAACATACTTTGAATTTTCATCATAAAGTCTAATTTTTCTTGTCATTTAAATCTATAGTATCTCGTCAAAAAATATTCTTTTTTTAATAAAGATTTTATATTATTTTTTATTATAAAAAACCAAAAAAATAATAAAATACTTATTCATTTTTAAAAAATTATCCAAAAGTTTGAGCATATTTTAAATCACAAACAACTTAATTTAAAATTTCAGACAACTTAAAAAGGCGGAATACTTGAAAATTATAGATTCAAAATTTTCCCATGACTTTTTGGTCGAGTGTGTTTATCAAGGTTTACACGGTATGATTTGTGATTTACAATCTATCTAAACGAGAAAATAAAAATTGAAACCATAATTAAAGAAGAAGTCAATCGATGGATAATTCATTCACTCAACAACACTACTTGTTTTTTACTAGAAAATCTCATTGGAAAGGGAGGCTCGGCCGAGGTTTACAAGGGCCGTTTATCGGGAGGACAAGTCGTGGCAATAAAGCGCCTCAACAAGGGAATACCCGAGGAACAAGTACTAAGTTTCTTGTCCGAAATTGGTATAATGGCACACATAAACCATCCCAACATTGCAAAAATGATAGGCTATGGGGTGGAAGGCGGCACACATCTCGTTCTTCAATTCTCATCGCTCGGGAGTTTGAGGTCGCGGCTTCACAGTACGTATGTATGTTTTGCACGAATATTATTACAGATTTGGATTAAGACATCGGCTTATTATATTATGTAAAAAAAAAATATTGCAGACTCGAAGGATAAGCTGAATTGGAACCGAAGATATAAGATAATACTTGGGATAGCTGAAGGCCTTTGTTATCTCCATGAAAATGGCCAAAGAAGAATTATTCATAGAGATATTAAAGTCGACAACATATTATTGTCTGAAGATTTTGAGCCTCAGGTGTGTATATATATATATCTATGGCTAAACTGTTTTTTAAGTACCGTAACTAGACCCCTTTATCATTTTAGTCCCGTAAGTGGAGCATGTCGCAAACTAGTCCCATAAGTGAAAATTTTTCGCTGTTTTAGTCCTCCGGCGCCGGAGACGCCCGCGTGGCTCGCCGGAGGTGACGTGTCCGCCAGGTGTCCCGCCAGGTCAGTAACATCTGGCGGACACGTGGATTTATTTATTTTTTTTAATTTTTTTTTAATTTTTTTTTATAAATTGGACCAAATAAAAAAAAATAAAAAAAATACAAATAAAATTAAAAATAAGTTTTAAAAAATTAAAAAAAAATTAAAAAAGTTCACGTGTCCGCCAGGTCAGCTACACCTGGCGGACACGTCACCTCCGGCGAGCCACGCGGACGTCTCCGGCGTCGGAGGACACAAACAACGAAAATTTTTTACTTATGGGACTAGTTTGAGACAGACTCCACTTACGGGACTAAAATGATAAAGAGGTCCAGTTACGGGACTAAAAAAACAGTTTACCCTATATCTATTATATATAAGTACATATTAATGAATTATATTTTAAAAATAAAATAATTTATTCAGCAATAATATTAAACATAATTAATAGTAGTAGAAAATAATACTTCCTATGTCATCAAATTGTATACTCAGATTTTGATACACGTTTTAATAAGAATGAATAATCGTTAATACTTTTTATAGTTTTATAGTAAAAAATTACAAAAGAACAAAAGTAGACATAACTTTTATTAAAAAGTTAAACAAAATACACATATATATATAATATATTTTTAATGACAATTCAAAAAAAAAAAAGAACTTAAATTACCTATTTGTCAATATTGATGACAAAATATATATGTATGTACCTACAGATATGCGATTTTGGGTTGGCAAAATGGTTACCGAGACAGTGGTCGCATCGTAGCGCCACCAAATTTGAAGGCACATTCGGGTTTGTAACTTTCTTACCTTCATCAATGTAAATTGTTGTGTTTGTCTTATTTGACTTTTAATTTCTTGTTATGGTAGATGGATGGTTATGGTTATGGTTTCGATAGATCTGCTAACAGATAATGAGTTGTTATCGCTGCAAATAGCACTTATGGTTGATCGAATAGAAATTAAAGCCGTTGGAACTCAATATGGAATAGTTCTTAACAAAAACTTCATATTTTTCTTATACTTGTACATAATTTTACACTACATAGAAAAATACTACGTCGAAGGGATCCTCAATTCCTACTTAGGTTATACTAGTAGGCATAAATTGATTTTACTAATAAATGAGAACTTTTGAATGTATATAAAATAATATTTGTTTATTGAAGAAAAAAAAAATAGAAATAATGAATTTTGAATGGATCTCATATAATGTATATTTTGGGAAAAAAAATAAAAAAAAAAATGAAAACATAGTACCAACCTGAGTCGGGACGGTAATCAAACAGATCCTTAATCTTGATTTTGTAAACAATCAGTTTTTGTAGAAATAATTGAATTAAACCTATGAAGTATGGTAAGTTCTTCATCCATTTATAATCGAATAATTTGTGTCGATAGATACTTTGCTCCGGAATACTTCATGCATGGAGTTATTGATGAGAAAACTGATGTTTATGCTTTTGGGGTGCTTCTTTTGGAGATCATAACCGGGCGCCAAGCATTAGATGAGTCGAGAAAAAGCCTTGTTATGTGGGTATGCGTAATTTATTTATTTATTCTTTTGTTATTATATGGATTATTGTAGAAATTTGTATTGATTTCTATTGGAATGACATAACTTATAAATTTGTTACACATGAATATAAATGAAGTCGAAACCTTTACTAGAAAGCAATGCAATTGCGGAGCTTGTGGATCCATTCTTGCAAAATAACTACAACCGGGTGGAGATGGGTTGGGTCGTCTCGACTGCCAAAATGTGTATAGACGAAATACCGATGCTTAGGCCACGAATGAGCCAGGCAAGTCCGTGCATGATTCTCGTTATATTTTCTCTTATGTGCAATGTTATGTGTTCATTTTGTGTTTTTTGGTAATACGATTTATTATAAATATTATTTAAAAAATATAATATATAGACATGAACATTAATAGATACTAAATTATAGAATTATACTTATTGGAAGCACTGTGAAATATATATATATATATATGATATTCCGAACTTATTTTCTATATCATATATACAAGAGTTCTTCTTTGGTATAATTCATCTATTTCAACAAAAAAAAAAAAAATTGCATTTTAGTCATGTATTTATGATAATCAATTATTATATGTCACGTATGCTCTTCAATTCTATTTTGTAGAATATATGATTGAAACAAATTACTTGCTCGTGTTTGTATTGTATTTTTTCATTGAAATAGTGAGAATATATATATATATAAAATATATATAGAAAATTAATGTCGTATAATATAAAAAATAAATAAGAAAATCAAAGTAACCAGAATTATAACTCCCGGAATGTAAAGACATATGTGGTAATTTAACTATGAATACATAACTAAAGTTATAATTTTCCTCACTTATTCCATTTTGTCATTTAAATATGTACAAATCAAAACTTCTCATTCTTTATTAATAAAGAAACTATCAATTAAATATCAAAATATTTATACTTTTTATTTTTTATATTATTTTTTTTAATGTTAAAATAAAATAGACATTACACTATTTTATTACACTAAACATCTATAAAATATTAATTTACCTTAATTCACGCGCAAAAATCAAATAAAAATTTATCGATAGACGGAGAGAATATTTGTTTTTAGACAAGACATAAAGCCTATTGAGCATATTCCATTTGGTTTTGAAGTGATCGATCATGGATGAATATATGTCATATTAATTACTTGTAGGTGGTCACAATGCTTGGAGGGAATGATAAAACAGCAAGGCTCCTGAGCAGTCATCATAAGAAACAATTCATTCGGCGGACATACTCCGATGAACTTTCGTATGCCGAAGAATACAATTCAACCAAATCTTTGATCCAAACCAACAAACATGATCAAATTCTTGACTTGTAATAACTCTCATGTTTTAGCCTCGGACAACAATATTCCATGAAATATTTTTGTTAGATGTATATATAGTTTCAAATATAATGTATATATACATATATAAAAATACATTTTCAATACTGCTTCATGAGTTTAGGTTGTTTTAGATCTATTGTGTTATTTACAATTTATTTATTTGATTGGGATGTGAAAAATAAAAAATAAATTAATACACAATGTATGTTTGGTGCATAATTTTAAATAGTTAGGTATGCCCATTTCAATACTGTCTATATTGATCTTTTTAAAAAAATAAACTAGTAGAGTTTTTATTAAATTATCATGATGTATAGATAATTTATTTAAAAGTTCAAAATTGCATGTTAACAAAATTTTCGTTTTTTTCTTTTTAAATAAGGGTGATATAAATAATTTCCTTCATCTATTTAATTGAATAAGACTAGAAAATTAACACACGAATTTCCTCGTCACAATGCTACATTGCAAGTATAAGTCCATCCATTTTATTTCCAATAATTATAACTTAAGGATACATGACTTAATTCCATAAATTTAAAATTCATAATCAATCTTTTTATGGAAATCCGCCACCATTGCCACCACGCCCCGGAAACCCACCGCCATAGCCGCCACGCCCCGGAAACCCGCCACCATAGCCGCCACGTCCGGGGAACCCCCCGCCATAGCCACCACGCCCTGGAAATCCACCACCATAACCACCACGGCCCGGATAGCCTCCGAATCCACCACCGGGATAGCCCCCATATCCACCTCCGGGATATTCACCGTATTGTTGCGGATATTTGGCAGCATCATCTTCGATCTCTTTAGCTAATTAGTTAAAATACATAATAAAATTTTAATTCATCAAAAAAAATTATCATGAGAAATTGTTAAAAGATTGGTAACATACACCATCTTGTAAAAATATTAGGGTATCTTTAAATTTTAACTTGGTAAAGTATAAAATATTGTTATTTAATAAAAATTTTTAGATTGAAGTTTTAGTAACAAAATATGCATACTCGTTTTTACAAAATATAAATAAATATGTCGTGTTGTGCAATCTCAAGCTGATAAAAATATGATAATATTAAAGTTTTTAATTTTTCACTTTAATTATTATGCAATCTTTATTGTTTTTTATATAAAAATCACAAACACAAACAGATATATCAAAATAAATTTAGAATATATATTGAATATAATTTAAAATTGCATTAATTTATTGAACTACATAAGAAAATTTGTCAAACCATTTGTAAAATATGTTGAGCCATAATCATACTAAATTTTCAAAATTATAACATAAATATGTAAGTACTTTTTATAGTATTTTGTAACAAATATATATACGATCATCAAAATATATATAATCATAATACAAATTAAATATACTACACCACAATATGAAAATAATAAAAATAAAACTGTTAAACTATAAACTATGTACAAAGTATCATTAACTAGAAAAATTAACAGTATTATAATATTTCGCCATCAAGATCTAAATCAATTAATACTTTATTATTTTCCTATATTTATTATCAACAGGTGGTCATTTTCAAGAAAAGATAAATTTGTGCGACGAATACCTCCTCACACAGTATTAATAATTGATACGACAATCCAAATTAATTAAATTCTTACATGCATCGGCGTTGTCAGCAACCGCCGGATTCGAAATGATCAGAACCGCGGCCAAAAAAAGGCCAAGAAAAACAATGACTTTGAAACCCATAATATTATTTTTTAAAGTAAAGTATCGAAAAATATCGAAAATATCGACGGATGATGATTGATGAGTATAATTCCTCATTGAGGCCTCTATTTATAAGTAAATATTTGCAATAGACAAGTACCTTCATCTATTTAATTATTGTACCAATCATATTTATTTGGTTGGCTGTTGAGGAGATATATAAGTCCATAATAAATTATGAGCCTCAAAAGTCTGTCTATCAAATTTGCCGACCTCAATCAATTCATATTTTTATTTAAATTTAAATTTATATTTAAGATTATATGTGGGCTAAATTTATATACTATATACCAGTTTATTTAATTGGAAAGATATGTATGTTATATTTTAATAGGAAAAATACTTTGAAAACACTTCTTAAAAAAATAAAATAAATTATAGTTTGAAATTTGTCACTGAAAAATTATACTACCATTTTTTTAAAATATGAGGCCATGTTATTGCAGGGGTTTGGCTTTAGTTTATTATCATGCAACAATTACAATTTTTTAATACAAATTTACTATTTAATTTTATAAAATATTGCATTTAAATTACTATTTGAATTAATAAAAATTTTAAAAACAAATAATAATAATAAAATAAAATAAAAGCAAACTTCAAAAGAACACACTATGATGATTTTTTATTTTTTATTTTTTAGTTTCTTTTTAAATGAAGTATCCAACATATTAAGGGTTAATATAATGTTGAAAATGGTTTTTTAAAAATTTTGTAATTGAATTTTGCGATAAAATATATAATAATTTATTGTTATATTTTTTTAAAATACAATATATATTTTTTTATGTAATCTTTTGAATAAAGATAAATATTTAACTTTTTTTTTTTTTTTTGTGTGTGAAAAAAATAAATAAAATAAAAATAAAAAATTATCATAAATGAATAAGGTTGAAAATAAGAAAAAACACAACTTTAACACATTACTTTTAAGAGTTTACGATTACATTTTATATATGAAATTTTCAATTGAAAGAGGTTATTAGACGTGGTTCAACATATTGTGATATCATTCAATAAGAAATACTCCCTCAGTCCTAGATAAAATAGACACGTTACCGTAGATACGAGAATTTAGATAAAGTATAATTAGTAAGTAATTAAAAAGTGTATTAATAAAAATAATTATTATTTAGTAAAAATAATTATATATTAAAATTAAGATAACTAAATAGTTTAATTAAAATTAAAAAAAATTAAAATATGATTAAAGTGTATAATCAATTTTCCAAACAAAAAAAGACAAATTATGTGGGATGAATGAAAATAGAAAATACAAACAAATTACATGGAATTGAGGGAGTAATAATAAATATATTATTCAATTATTATATTTTTAAAAGAAATTTCATACTTTCATGGGATGTTTGGTTCAAGAAAATTGATTGTTTGTTTGGATATAATAATTCATAATTGAAAAATAAATTATTTTTCATTATATCTACTTTCAATTATTTGTGATATATATATATATATGTAGAAAATTTGAGAGAATTCAATTTGTAAGAGTTATAAAAATTAAAATAATAAGAACAACTTATATCCTACCATGTTTTCACTCGGTATCTAAAATATTTTTCAATCATTTTTTTCCTCAAATCTTCACATCCATCGGTAGCATCGAAGGGTTTTACAAATTGATAATAGAGTTTCGTAAATTATGATACTCTTTTTGGTTGTTGTTGTTGTTAATGTGGGTATTTTAAAATGATTAATTTATATATATATATATATATATATTTTGCATATTTATTTTTTGTTTGAATAAACAATAATTGATTATATGTTATATTTCTTAGTTGAATTTGTTTTAATACTAAATAATACTCCATTCGTCCCATAAAAGATAAAAGATATTTTATTGGGAGTGGACATTGGAATTAAGGAATAATAATATTTAATTGGAAGTGGGTATAAAGTAGAAAGTAAAAGACTAAAATACTTTTACTTTTTAAATGATTTTAAAAAGTATATTAGAGTAATAATTAAGGGTAGTTTGGAAAAATAAAAATAATTTTGTTATAAAATGGGGACCACAATGACTAAATAAGGAAACAAGGGACGGACGAAAATGGATAAACAAGACAACTCTATTGGGACGGATTGAGTAATAAAAAAAAAAATCAATTCCAAGTCTCTGGGCTAGTTTTTTTTTTTTTTTTTTTTTGCGATTTTATTCTCTTTTATTATTTTTCTATAATTCTATTCTAAATACCAAACGCATCTTATAGTATTATCAATGAAATTTTTAAGAGTAATGCATTATTTTTCATTGTTGGGAAAATAATGAGATTGTCATCTTGATTATCAAAATAAGAAACCTATATATATATATATATAGACAATACAAAATAAACTCAAATCTAAGTAATCTAATCTATGGATACTATCAAATCTAGATATAAATCTACTAAATCTAAAATTTGATATCTAAAATAAATGAATAATGTGTATTTTTACTAATTTACGTTTTTAAATGATACAGTTATTTAACATTACTTAACTTGATATCAGAGTCATAGATTTTGTTTTTGAATCTCACCGTGTACATTGGAATGTTGTCGCCCATGTATGTATATCCTTTTGCATGTGAAAGAGATGTGCTTGTTAACTTCCGTGAGACATATTATATTTAACATTGTCATCTAACAAGGTGATAAATGATACTAGCTATCTATAGGTTTTAAATTATATATACTATTATCGTATATTGTCAATTCGTATTATATATATATATATTGTATTAACATGCCCTTTGTACAGATCCCTTGTAGTTCATGCTGTGTATGTTACTGTCATGTATTATTCGTTCATATATTGTATTTATATTAATAAAAATATATACTTTATAAGAAAAAAAATCATTTTGGTCTCAATATAATCAACATTGATCAATTTTGGTCATAATATAAATTTTTTTATCAATTTTAGTCCCAATATAACCAAAACTTTTCATTTTTGTCCCAATATAATCAAACTTTATCTTTTTTTGGTCCCACCGTCAACAAACCGACGGAAAATGCTGACGTGGACTTGCAAGATTGTGCAATTTCTTCGAATATAAATATAAAGTTTGATTTCTTTTCACGTCAACATTTTCGGTCGGTTTGTTGACGGTTGAACAAAAAAAGATAATGTTTGATTATATTGTAACAAAAAATAATGAGTTTTGGTTATATTGGAACTAAAATTGATAAAAAAATAAATAAATTATATTTGAACAAAAAATAATGAGTTTTGATTATATTGAGATCAAAATTGATAAAAATTTTATATTAAGATCAAATTTGATAAATTTTGATTATATTGAAAATAAAAATAATTTTTTCCCTGCTTTATATTATCAATTTATAACTCATATGTTGTTAGCACAATTTTAATCAGCACCGCAACTGTCGTCTTTTATATATATATATATATAGAAAGACTGAAAACAATTAATGGCATTAATCACCACATCAATGCTTTTCAACACGAGCATAAAATAAAGTCCATATATATATATATATATTTAGATATATGTTGGTAAATCGAAGTGTACGATTAATGACAAGTGGAGATGTCAGGAAAATGTAGTTAAAGATTATTGAAATTGAGACAAATGCACTGCACAAATGTGGCAACATATATATCCCTAAGTCAAACATAGATATATAAATAATTAAATGAAAAACCACACCATAACTAAACCTGCACAATCATGGTCATAAATTCAATTTTCAATAAATGATAGATACACCATACAACAATATTTAATTATCAATGCACTATAATTAAATATATAAATAAATACTTTACTTACCTCTTAAGAATGGTATGGAATTATATAATATGATTTGTAATTTTGAAAATTTAAGTATTTATGTGTTATATTTTTAAAATAGCAACGTTAAAGGACAACTGAAGAAAGAAATTGACATATTTAGTGGATGTTTATGACTATTTGTTTTTTCGAAAAAAAAAAATAATAATAATAATAAAAAAAATCTATTAATATCTACTATAAATATTATTATTTACATTAATATTCTCGTATAAAATAAAACATAAAAACGAAATTATTTTACATATGAAAAGTATAACTAATATTATTAAAAACATACTCTAATTTTTATAAAATTATTTTGTCCCATATCATGTCTTGTCTTGTACACTGTAAATACGAAATTTAAAAATAGTATGATTAATAACTAATAAAAATAAATATATTAATAAAAATAAATTATAAATAATAATAATAAATTATTATTATATTTGAAATCGAAGAAATGACTATAAACAAAAAAATGTGAAATACTAAAATTGAAATAATAATAACCAAAATTACAATGTATAGTTATATATTAGGTTTGATTGAAAATTTATTTTCAAAAAAAAAAAAGAAAAATAAAAAGATAATTTACAAATAAAATAATATGCTTATATATATATATATTGAAGTCACAATAAATAAATGGAGATAAACACATCCATTTTCCACAATATATTTTCCCCTCACAATAAACCAGAAACTCTCCGTACATAACCAAACCAATTATGGAACCAGAGCTCCGACGTTTCGCCGCCGCAACGGAATATTCCGGCGACTTCGACGGCGCCTGCTCCACCCCCTACGCCAGCGCTCCTTCCAGCCCCGGCGCCCAAGCCGGCTTCTACTACAGCGCTCCCGCCAGTCCCACCCACTTTATCCTCTCCACCGCCGCCCGCAAACCCTACACCGCCTCCTCCACGGCGGGGCCGGCGGACGCCAGTTCTTCGTTCGAATTTGACTTCTCCTCGCCGGCATTCATGACCTCCGCCGACGAGCTCTTCTCCAACGGCCAGATCCGGCCGATGAAGCTCTCCGCCCATCTCCAGCGCCCGCAGATCCTCCCCCCACTGATCGAGTCCTCCGACGACGTCGCAGACGCCGACCAGAGCATCTCCCGCCGGAGGGACCTCAAGTCCCGGTCCGCACCCCTCCGCCGGAGGACCAGATCCATGTCCCCAAACAGAACGACGTCGTTACAGTGGCGGGAAGAAGAGAACAGCGCCGCAGCGAAGGGGCGAAACGACGTCGGTTCATCTCCGCGCGGAAATATCCCCAAATACGACGCCGGAACCACCGAAACGGCGTCGTCCGCCGGCCGGAGCTCGCGGCGGTGGATCTCTCTCAAGGATTTTATGTACAGAAGCAAAAGCGAAGGGCACAAATTTTGGGGATCGCTCTCCTTCTCCTCCCCTGTAAAGGAGAAGAAGATTCCTCCGCCATTGCCGCCGAAGTCCAGTCGGGAAGGTAAGAAGAGGGCGGCGAATCACCGGAGCAGCGTCGGCGCCGGAAAATCGCCGCATGAATTGCATTACACGGCGAACCGAGCTCAGGCGGAGGAGATGAGGAAGAAGACGTTCCTGCCGTACAGGCAGGGATTGCTCGGCTATTTAGGGTTCAGTTCGTCGTCCAAAAGCTCTGCCGCCATTAATGGATTCGCCCGAGCTTGAATTACTTCGCCGATTAATTAAGGTAAATATTGAAAAATAAATAAAAATTTATTTATTTATTTATTGGGATTGAGATTGGGTTGTATAAAATAATAATAATAAAAAGGTGTTTGTGTTGTCTTGTAATATATTTATTTAATAATTAAAACGCTCAATTTTAATTTTAGTTTCATTTATTGTTTATTCATGATCATGATGAGAATTAAAATTAAAATTAAAATGAGCATTGTAGAGGACAAAAGTTGCTGTATATATCTGCAGCAATATTGTTGTGGTTTGGAGTGAATTTCTGTATACATTTTTAATTAATTTATTTATTTATTTTAAATACACAGCCATCATATTTATTTTTAATTAATTAACAGGATAGATATTATTGGACACACAGTCCAAATGATAAAATCTGATGTCGGTATCGGCAGTTTGGTGTGGTTATTATGACAGATACACAGTCAATATATTCCATTCCATATGCCACGTCACTATTCGGGTCACATCCCCGGGGGGATCGGATGTGTCTACTTGTCACACTATTCTTAATTGATTTCAATTTATTTTTATATTCTTTTATCATACACTCCTCCAATTCCAATAAGTTAAACTATTCTTTATTTCTATATTAATATCAAAAATATTTTTATTTTTTATTTTTCATCTTACTTATTGTATCATATATTTTTTTAAGCAAAGTATGATGTATCAGTAGTTATATAATAATTTAATTTGTTATTTTATGAGAATGATTCATCTATTTTTATCAAGATGTTTGAGGATTTAAAATAACAATAAATTGAAAAAATTGTCCGAAAAAAAAAAAAAAAACAAAAAAACATGCAGTATAAAATCAAAGTAACACTATTCAACTCATATGATTTTTATAAAAATATATTATTTTCTCACTAATTGTGCCACAATGTGTACACTAAAAAATAATAATATTTTAATATAAAAATAGAATATATAAAAATATAAAATAAGATATTATAAAAAATTTATCGAAAAATTAATAATAAAATTGTGAAGTAAGTAAAAAATTAGTTACAAATTAATTATTATTTATTAAAATATAGATAATAAAATTACGAATAAATAAAATTGTACAATTATTTGTTATAAATAATTATCATAAATTTAACATACAACTAAAATATATAACATAATTACGACAGTCAAATAGAATTTTTTTTTTATATAAAATATTATTTTAAATAAAATTAAAATAAAAATTATAATCACAAACCAAAACGAAACAATGGCCATTGTGAATTGAAAGTTGAGTAATAATAATAATAATAATAATAATAATAATAATAATAAGGGTAAACTGATTTTTTAGTCCAATAACTGCATTCCTTATCATTTTAGTCCAGTAAATAGAATCTGTCACAAACTAGTCCCATAAGTGAAAATTTTTCGTTGTTTTAATCTTCCAACGCCGGAGACACCCGTGTGGCTCGCGGAAGCCACGTGTCCGTCAAGTGTCGGCGGCCTTATTTATATATATATTTTTTAATTTTTTTTTCAATTGGACCAAATAATAAAATAAAAAAGACAAATAAAATTAAAATCAATTTTAAATTAATTTTAAAAAAATTAAAAAATTAAAAAAAGTAATAAGATTCACGTGTCCACCAGGTGCGCTGACCTGACGGACACGTCGCCTCCGGCGAGCTACGCGGGCGTCTCCGGCGCCGGAGGACTAAAACAGCAAAAAAATTTCACTTATGAGATTAGTTTGCAACAGACTCCATTTACGAGACTAAAATAATAAGGAAATCAAGTTACGATACTAAAAAAACAGTTTATCCTAATAATAATAATAATAATAATAAGTCGATTGCATTCCATGTGGGATGATAACATGAAACATTTTTTTATTATTATTTTTAAATAAAAATAAAAATAAAAATAAAAAGGCAATACTTACAACACACCAAGATTATGACCATATATATAATATCATGTTAGTACAAAGCAGCAGTAGGTTTGTCATGTTACTTGTGGGCTGTCTGTCAACGAACATTCATCAATGTATGTGGCTTAAGATTTTATAGCAAAGTAAATGTACATAAATACCCTTCTTCTACTTACTTATTTTTCTTTCTACCATTTGCCCTAAAAGCTTTGAATATAATTATTTCTTTTATTATAAATATTTTAGTTTAATAATATTAATAAAATTTATTTATTATTAGAACACAACTAATTAGAGGAATTTATCTTGATTATTTTCAGCTTTGAATTTTTTTTTTTCTAAAAATATGAAAAATTAATATTTATGTTTGAATTACACGCTAAGTTTTTTCATTGTCTATTGTTGAAATAATACAAAATAAAAGTAATTAATATATTTGATCTGTTCATCCTTTTTATTTTTTGCTTTATAAGATAGTATGATTAAAATAGTAAACAATTAATATAAAAAAAATAGAAAACTATTCGAATTCAATTATTTGTGCAAAAAACATTATTACAACACGTAATTAATGCAATTGTATTAATCATTAATTATATAAATCTTATATTTTATGAAATTAATATATAACATTTATTCGTGTTTATTGGTACATATAAGATGCAAAAAATCATTGTATATACTTTTTTAAATATATATATATATATATCAATTAATATTTGTATAAATATGTTTATTAATATTAAGTTGTCTGTATTGTAAAACAACTAATTTATAGGGTAAGATCTTAACATTAAAATTTTAAAAAAATTATCTTTTAAAGTTTTGGTTCTTTAGTAGTAAATCTTCAAATTAACTTTAGAATTTCATTTTTTTGAAGTCACATATCTATACATATTCATGTTATCAATTTTATACATATAATAATATTGTTTTGATTAAAAGAAAACAATAATAAAACATAAGATTGAGTTCTTTTTTTAATTTTATCACAATTTTTTACTATTTAATTATTTTTTTAAAAAAAATATCAAATTAAAAAATTGCATTTTTTTATATTATATTATAAATTTATTTTACATTCAAAATCTTATATCAACGTGTACTTATATCACCTCAAACAACTATTCAATTTCAAATCTTTTACTATAACAATTTATTTCAAATTAATTTCAAATTATAATCAAACAAATCTAAAATCAAATGTTCATTTTGTACACTAAGTTAGAAGAGTGTATTTGGTTTGGTTTCAAATAAAAAATATTACTGTTCAAAATTTGTAGTTTTCAATCAAATATATTATACTCCGTCTATCCCATTGAAAGGGTAGCATTTGTTTTTTCACGTAAATTTTTGAATATTAATATTATATTAAATTATAGTAAAAATGACAAAAATACCTCTATTAGTATGGTGTAATATAAAAGTAATGATATTTGTATAATATATTGTAAGTTGAAATGGTATTTGTTATGCTAAATAGATAGTACAATTACTAAATTATGAAATGATAACCTTGTTTTGGAACTGATGAAAATAAAAAATGGTAATATTTCAATGGGACGAAGGGAGTATTATCATTTTTTACAAAATATTACTATATCATAATATTATTTAAATTACAATTCAAATAAAAATTTCATAGTTAGGATTACATGGATGAACCGCTGAGATGCAATCCTTAAATCGGACGGCTTCAAATCAATCTCGCAATGGATTGAGCTTAGCAAGAGGTGGGCTACAAATGTTAGTAATTGGACTTGGGAATTGCATCTTATCTTAGTTTATTAAATTGATCCAAACCAACAAATACAAAATGAATAAATGATAAACAAAATATTTGTTTAATTTTGATTTATAATTTAGTTTTTCTTTAAAATTTAAATTGATTTTTTATGATATAAAATAATATATTTTGATTAAAAAACTATTAAAAAAGGAAAGAGACCAAACAGACAAAGGAGAATGATATAAATCAAATCAACCATTTCTTCCAAACTCTTCAATCCATCTCTGTTTTCTTGCTCCTTTTCTTGATCCATCGTGTCCATTCATTCCCACCTTAACTGTTCATTCATACAGCAACAATGGAGGGAGGGGCCAGAGGTAAAGGGGACATGATGGCCCAGGACAGGATTTACAGCAGGTCAAGAAATTGGTCGAAGAAGGAAGAAGACTGACTGACAGTGACACACACAGACAGATTACATATAGATAGATTTGATCATCAACGACTACCATTTCCATTCCCTATTTATAGTGAGGCTGAGGCTGAGGCTGATTGAATGAATCTATTTTCCCGCTTCCAATGGCTCTTTGTGTTTCCTTTTAAACGATCAATCGTGAGGGGCTTTCGCTGTCCGAGGAGAAATCGAACCAGTGAAAATATGGAGCGACGAAGGAGGATTGATGGCAGACAACTGCAGTGTTGCGCTGTTCGATTCCCACAAAATTCTCCAAATATATACTCCATAATCTCCGGTTTTCTTCATTGCATTCCCCTTTTGGCTTCCTTCAATATTCCCCCCTGCGTTTCTCTTTCTCTCCGCTCGCTCTTCGTCGTTACTGGAGAAAGAGAAATAAAAATAATACAAATAAAATGCATCTGTTTCGCAGTTGAAATCTGTTGGATTATCAGGAGGATTACAGCCTTTTCGCATTATTGGGTACAGTTTTTTGCACTCCATGTGTTTGTGAAAATGCTTTTGTAAATGAGCTTTGCTTGCATTTTTTACTTTTTGGAGGAATTTGGGTTTCCATTAAGGTTTGTGATCGATTTGTGTTATTGTTGTTTGAGCAGCATCAATGGCTGCGGAGGGGATGTCGCAATTCAGTGTAGAATCAATGGTGGAAGATGTTCTTCAACAACATGGAAAGAGATTTTCTGTGGAAGCTTGTGCGATTTCTGTCTCAATTGTTCTTGCCAAAATCTTTCACAGCTTTTGTCATGTTCAAATTGTTCAAATTCGATCAAGAAATTTCATTTTTGCTGCTTTGAGGATCATCGTGCATTGTATCATGATTTTCATGTTGTTTATTTCCCATGTTCAATTTTCTTAAACTCGATCATAAGCTTCTTTTCAGTACATTGTTGTAGACATGATGTTATTTAATGAGGAAAATTTTGTGATGGGAGGAGAATTATGTTGCAGCATTGCAAAGATATGAAGCAGCCCGATGGCTGCGAAAGATGGTAGGCGTTGTATTGGGGAAAGACTTGCCGGCTGAACCTTCCGAAGAAGATTTCAGACTTGGCTTGCGAAGTGGGATTATACTTTGCAATGCTCTCAACAAAGTCCAGCCAGGCTCGGTGCCGAAAGTATGTTTATGATGGTTATGTGAGCCATTGTTTTAGGTTCTTTAGCAATACATACTCTTCTAGCCTTGTTTAATACTTTAATTACCTGTTTTTGTTTCTTCCGCTTGCTTGCAGATAGTCGTCGAAGCTCCCTCGGATGGAGCTGCATGTGCCAACTCTGAAAACATTAGGAACTTCCTTGTTGCGACCGAGCAAATGGAAATTCCAACTTTTCAGGCCTTCGATTTGGAAAAGGTATGTCTAACATGCTATTTTGCCATTAGTGTGGTTTCATGTTTTTTTGTCGATACATATCTGGAATGCAAAGAAGAGTAAATTAATGTTGTTTGGATCTAAATATCAGGGAGGGGAGTCCGAAAGAGTCGTTAATTGTGTCTTAGCGCTTAAATCATACCATGAATGGAAAAAATGTGGTGGAAATGGGCCGTGGAAATTTGATGGAGAGTCTGTCGAACAAAACCAAGCTGTTGGGAAAAATTCTGATAAAGTTATGGGATTCATGTCTAGGAGCTCATCTTCCGGCGACATTTTGTTGCCTGAGGACAATTCCTGTAGTAGTCCGGCTATTCGCCCCAATGATGTGGTTCGTAAAAACCACACTTTTCTAGCTTAACTATTTGGCCACAGATTTTGATCCATATGATGATCATTTCACTTCCCCAAATGCAGGGCATATCTCCTCACTTGCACAAGCTTGTCTGCGATCTTCTTGCCGACAAGAGCCGAGAAGATATTCCTCTTGTGAGTTGCGACAGTGCTTGCTTCATATGCATTTCATCTATTTCTGATTGTTTTGGTTAGGACTCAAATGGTTCCATCGAACAGGTTGTGGATCGTATGCTTTGTAAACTCATGGAAGAGTTTGAGCGTAAACTTGTCACGGCGCAAAGTAAGCCTAATGATTTCTCCAGGTTGCCTTCTTTCTCCAAAGCTTCGCCAGAGAACGATGTTCCCAGCTCCAACAATACGCGCAAAATAGAGGTCCGGTTACATTCTCCTATGTTATTACATTAGCCAACAAGCCTGCGCCTCAATGCCGTCTTTGGATTTTTATAACATCCTTTTTCTGTCAAGACAGATTCCTTCGGCTTCAGATGATAAGGATGTTCCCGTTCCCAGCTCCAGCCCACCGGTGGAGACAGAGGTTCGATTTTGTTAACTCACATTATTTTCAAGCAAAAACATGCCTCTAGGAAGTAATGTATTTTCGCAATGTCTTTCTTCTGTATGGCAGATTACGACACCTAAACAAGAAGAAAATGTTTCCAGTTCAGAAAAGACAGCTCAACCAGAGGTCTGATTTCATTAGCTTATGTATGAACGAACACACATCTGTGTTTGATTATATGTTTATGGATTTTTATCATGAAAGGTTCATTTGTGCTGATTCTTAGGCAAACAAAACAAGCTTAGCGACGCCTGTGAGTTGCGTTGAGAAGAAACTTGATTCCGACGATTCAAAATGCCATTCATTGAAGTGCAAAGAGTTAGTCGAACGCCAGCAGAAAAGCGCAGAGGTTCTATTTACTGATACTGCACAGAAAAGGTGTAATCAGATGTTAGGATTAATTGAAATACATCTTGTTACATTTCAGGAGCTGAAGAACATGCTTCATTCCACTAGAGATGAAATTCAAAATCTAAAAATGAAGTACGAAGAACGATTTGAAGATTTCGGTATGGACATATATTTCAAGCATGAAATTCGTATCTAAAGTTGGGAACAAATGAAGCTCGGCAACGTATTTAACTTTCGTTTGTTTCTGTTAGGTAAGCACCTGAATTCTCTGGCCAATGCAGCTTCAAGATACAAGAAGGTTCTGGAGGAGAATCGAAAACTATACAACCAAGTGCAAGACCTCAAAGGTACATAGAACTATGTTATGTTAACCAGAGATGATGTTTAGGACATGACTTCATACATATATATTTCTATATATTGAACAGGCAATATAAGGGTGTACTGTCGGGTTCGACCATTTTTGCCTGGCCAGCCAAGTCGTTCGAGCAGTGTAGATGAAATAGAGGACCGTACGATAACAATGCTCACTCCTTCGAAACATGGAAAGGGGAAGAAACCCTTCACTTTCAACAAGGTGTTTGGCCCAGCTTCCGCACAAGGTAACCAAATTTCTTCGAATATTTCCTATTTTGTCGCAACAGTCATGTGGGAAAGCCGAGAAGGAACTTGACAAGCAACTCTGTCTTCTTTGTTTAATTTCTGCAGAAGAAGTATTTACAGACATGCAGCCACTTATTCGATCTGTTCTTGATGGCTACAACGTATGCATATTCGCTTACGGCCAAACTGGATCTGGGAAAACATTTACAATGGTAACATATTTCTTACATTTATCGGATTTTTGATAGAGTATCTTCGGATTCTTATGAAAAGTTTTGATTGCGTAAACAGACAGGACCGAAGGAACTTACAAAAGAAACCTTGGGAGTGAACTATAGGGCGCTGAATGATTTGTTTCTGATCTCTGAGGAGAGAAAAGACACCATTTCTTATGAGATCTCTGTTCAAATGATCGAAATCTACAACGAGCAAGTCAGAGATCTCCTCGCGACTGATGGCGCCAATAAACGATATCCTTTGAACAGCCTAACAATTTGTGATTCTTGCTGTTCTTCGTACTAATTAGCTCCGTTTTCGTTTCTGTCTGTTCTCTCTTAACTGGTAAACACATTGGAAATTCGCAACAATACCGCCAATGGCATCAACGTACCAAATGCAAACCTTGTGCCGGTTAGCTCGCCATCAGACGTCATCAATTTGATGAACCTTGGGCATAAAAACCGTGCAGTTGGATCTACCAATATGAACGACCGCAGTAGCCGTTCTCACAGGTATTATTTCTTTCTTTATTCGACGAAATCTTCTGAGGACATGTTCGCGGACTAAAAACTCTAACAAGATTACCTGAATCTTTGCACCTGCAGCTGTCTCACAGTTCATGTTCAAGGCAGAGACTTGACATCTGGTACAGTTCTTCGCGGATGTATGCATCTGGTCGATCTAGCAGGAAGCGAAAGGGCTGATAAAACCGATGCAGTTGGCGAAAGGTTGAAGGAGGCTCAACATATTAACCGGTCTCTTTCTGCTTTAGGAGATGTGATCGCCGCACTCGCTCAGAAGGGCTCACACGTTCCCTACCGGAATAGCAAGCTGACGCAGTTACTACAAGATTCGCTTGGTAAGATAGTTAGTATTTACAAAACATCATCGATCGTACACTCACTTTTCGTGATGTCGCATTTGTCAGGCGGACAAGCCAAGACTTTAATGTTCGTTCACATCAGTCCGGAGCCAGATGCTCTCGGAGAGACGCTCAGCACACTCAAATTCGCCGAGCGTGTTTCCTCTGTCGAGCTAGGCGTCGCCAAAACTAATAAAGATGGTGCCGACGTCAAAGAACTAAAAGAGCAGGTTTCATACATACCCTTTGTATTTATGATCTTAAATGTCGACATCTTTTTCATACGAGTGGTGTTCTAATTGCGATTTGTGCAGATTTCTGCTCTAAAGGCAGCCTTGGCGCGAAAAGAGGGCGATGAAACGGGATCCCTTCACCACTCGGTAGCAAGCAGCCCCGACACATGGGTCGCAAGATCTTACGCCTGTTCTTCGACAGCATCCTGGAACGATATCGGAGACTCTAAAACAGAGGTATGTATGTATAAAGACATCAAATTTATTCACCGTTATCGACGAATTTTTAATGCGACGACATTGATGCAGGAAGCGAGCAATTCTACGTCAAGAAGGCACAGCTTGGATTCTCAAGACCAGTTCCCCAACTCTCCTTCTTGGCAGGCTGCGCCGAGCAGTCCCGAGTCGACGAAAGATGCAAAAGCTAAGCAGCAAATGTCGAACAACGATTCACCAAACGGAAGGAACAGCCTCGAAAACGGTTCAGCTGATTTCGACGAAATGGAAGCTGCAATGAGCGATTCTTCGGAACCAGAACACCAACTGCAAATCCGCATGAGTCGATCCACTAGCAACCCGAGTGCCGGGGAATCGAGAATCCGGAAACCTGTTTCCAAGCCTGCAATGAAAGGCCAAGAAAGGTTAACACTGTTTCATTACTTGTTACTATTAGAAAATTATTTGATTTTCGATAAATTATTTGATATTTTCGCGATATAATAATTTTATAACAGTAACTTTTCTTTTTTATCAGAGTCGCCATTCCTCAGCCATCGAAGAAAGCTGCTGCGTCGAGCGCGCTCAGTCCTGTGTCAAACAAAAATGTTCGACAACCACAGCCGGCGGCTTCAGCTGCGGCTGCCGCCGGTAGGCGTAAACCGGTAACAAAAGCTTCCCGATGATAATCTGGAATTAGAGCTGCTTGAAAATTGATGCATGATTTTTTTATTTTTTTATATTTTTTGTTAAATATATATATATACATATATTTGCAGTGGTGATGAGATTTTTGATGTCCCACTGGTTTGAAGATTTTGTGTTTGTTGTTGTTGTTGCATTATATTGTTGTGTTAGTGAGAAATTTTCGAACAATTGTTGCTCAAAGCTAAGGTTCTTCAGATCCTGTTTAATTTCTTTCTTACATGTCTAAGTCATCTGCACGATTTCAGATTTCTGTTATTTATGGTTGCAAATTTGCTACCTCAATTTATTATTTTTTATTTTTTTGGATTTATTTAGTGAAGGCAGCTTTTTTTTTATATATATATATATATCATTATTTATGATGTGGGAACCCGTAATCGCTATTCGAAAGTGCTCACTGGATAAACCTACGATCAAACCTAATACTCTGCAAACCAGGTCTGACGGAAAAGTCACACTAGACGAACCATGTATAGATGACCTGAGGCAGCTTTGTTATTATTTGTTAGCAATTCTATTGTTTTCAGATATATTTTGAAAATATTTTAGATGTTGAAAAATTATTGGAAAGAGTAATATTTGAGTTTTTGTGTTTTTTTTTAAAAATAATTTCTTTTACTATTTTATGTCTATGATTCTCAATTAAAAATATAATATTTTATAAAATAAAATATCATATCAAAATACTAATTAAATCAAAATTTAAAAATTTAAATTACTATTTCAATTTCAAATCAAAAGGATACAAACCCTTGATTTTTTACTATTTACAGAAAAACTTTTCTAAAATATACTACATTAAAACATCTATATTTTTAATTAACATTAAAATTTATTTTTATATTTAAAACATCTAGTTAATTTTCTAAGATTTGATTTGATTAAATATATGAATATAATGTTTTTTTATATATAATATGAATATTTGATTAAATATTTAATATATACATACATTTATGTAACTATCTCAATATTTGAGGTCTGATTCTTTATATAATGTTTAACAAAATGGCTTATGTTCTTTTTGTGAGAAATTTTTTTTTTTCAAAATAAAATTATTTACACAATTTTTCAAATTATTTCACAAAATAAAAAGTCTTTCTATAATTGAATTATAAAAAAGGGGATTGTTTGGCCTAATTTTATTTCAGTTTGAAATTACACTTAAACACAATAAAATTGATTATTGACAAGTAACAAATACTCCTAAAATATTTTAACTAAAAATCTTATAAATACGTATTATTACTAATTATAATTAAAAATATGTATATAGTAATTAAATTCACCACATATGATATTACTTAGGCAGCCACGCTTCAAATTGTAATTTTGCTTATGAATAAATTCATTCCTATTAAAAAAAGCAGAGTTTTTTTTTTTTTTTTTAAAAAAAATATTTATAAAGTAAAAAGAGGTCCCGAATAGAATTTATTCTTTATATAAATTAAAATTTTACTTGAAAAAAAGTTTCCAGTGTATAATACTTTAGTATATTCAGAATAATAAAATATGATAAATTGGTAATATTATGAAAAAGATAAATTGTTTGATTGTTGAATAATAGAGGCATGTTCTTTTTGCTCTTTTACCCATTTTTTTGCTATTTGATTATTATAATTTTCAAAGTACATATTATATTTTTTCATAAATATTATTTAAAAATTAAAAAGTTAATTGAAAAAATATACCAAAAAAATACGAAAAAGTCACCCCATTATACAAATGGCAGCTCATCTCCAGATAATAAATTCTTGACTAAAAATTTTTAAATCCAATTTATGTGTGTGATATTGACTTTTGATATTTTAATTAAAATATTCATATGGATTATATTATCCATTGTTTTTCTTTTTTCTACTTGTAAATTGTGTTAAATTCGGCAGTATTTTTTACACTAAATTATTATTAAATTATTTGAATAAAGCTTAAATCAATCCATATAAATTTTATTTCATTTTAAATATTTTAGTAATTGATTGTGATGCATGATAATATATATATATATATATATAAACATGCATTTGATTATTTGACGTGTAAATTATATAAAGAAATACTCCATCCGCCCCACATAATTTGTCCCTATTTTTTATTTTCGTATGTCCCATATAATTTATTTTTTTTTTAAAAAAAAAAAATTAATTATATACTTTAATCATATTTTAAACTTTGAAATTTAATTTTTTTTTAAATTTTAATTAAACTATTTAGTTATCTTAATCTATAATTATTTTTATTTAATAATGTACTTTTTAATTACTTACTAATTATATTTTACCTAAATTCTCGTATCCAGACTAATTATACTATAAGGACAATTCTATGTTATCAACACAAATAAATTTATGGTGATTACATATTCTTAATTATAATATAATTAAATGTAAAGATTAGTTTGCTTGATTGACGGCCAAAATTTTCAAGTTTTGTATAATAATGTATGTAACCTTTACAAAAAAGTTGGGCCCACACTTTTGCTTTTCCTATGATTATTAATTATTAATTAATTAATTAATTAATATTTTGTTGATGTTGGTAATATCTTCCTGTAATAAATGGACATGCTCCCTGTAAATATGATCTTAAAAAAATATACTACAAAGCTTTAGAAAAAAGAAAATCAAAATAATAAATATTTAATGTAATATTTTATATAAAAAAATTGTATAATATCTTTTAAAAAACAATTTGTGTCACGTAGAAAATTAATACATACATAACTATTAAAAGGATAATAATGAACTATACAAAATGTACTGTATCTTTTAAATTTGTTTATTAATATATATATATATATAAATATTGTAAATAATTTTGTAGTGAGAAAAATTAAATAAATAAATAAATAAATGAAAATGAGAAGAAGATGATGATGAGGTTTGAGGTTTCCAGCTTGCAAAAGGCCCCCTCACAATTCAACCATCGGTGACTACACCACATGGCCACGTCACCATTTGATTTTGATGTCCTTATTTTATTATTATTATTTCATCTATTATCATCACTATTAATATTAACTCCGTCCATTAAAATTAGTTCATTCGAACTCAGCACATAAATTAAAAAAATAAAATATCTTATTAGAAAAATAATAGTTAGTTAAAAATATTTTTAAAATTTAGAAAAGAGAGAAAATACAATAAAATTAATGATATTTATTTTAAATAAGTATTGAATTGGAGATAATAATTAAATATTAATTTATTAATTTTATCAAAATTAATAATAAAACTAAAAAAATATAAGAATAAATTTGGCAGAGTGATAATTTACTAGGTATTAAATAGATATTATTGTTTATTAATATATTTGAATAGCAAATTAATATGTATGATTAAATAGTAAGAGAATTAGCTTAAATGTGTAAGATTAAACCTAAAAATATAATCACATACCTTTTATATAACAATAAATTTAATCTTAATATGATAGTATTATATACGAGTGTATTTGGTTTAAGTTTGAATTTTGTTATAAAATTTTGAATTTGAATAATTATATGATATGATATATAATTTAATTCACTCATATATTTTTTAAAACATTCATACTATATGTTATATTAGCCAATATAATACTTCATCCGTCCCACATACTATGTCCATGTTGTCGTTTCTGTCTGTTCCACATACAATGTCACTTTTTTTTGGAAAATGATTACACACTTTAATCTCATTTTAAACTTTTTAATTTTATTATTATTTTTAAAATTTTAATTAAACTAATTAGTTATCTTAATCTTAATTTATAATTATTTATATTATCAGATAATTATTTTTACTAATACATTCTTAATTATCTACTAATTATACTCCTCCTAAAATATCGTGTCTACAGTGTAGTAGACACGGTACGTGGGACGGAGGTATATTCAACTTAAATTAATATACATGTAGTGATTTGAGGGAGGGAGTAATAAATTTTTATACTACCTCCGTCAATCGCAAATTTATCCATTTACTTTTTGCATGTTAATTTTTTAGTATTAATTATTATATCAAAACGTAGTACAAATTCAAAAAAAATGACAAAAATAATTCTATTGGTGTCTTATAACACTAATGTAACAATATTTCTACAAAAAACTATACAAATATAATAATATTTTTAATATTAAAAATAATGACGCCAAATACAAATGGATAAATTGGCGGTGGACGAAAGTAGTACTATTCGTTACAATAAATATGAATCGAAGAAAAGTATATAGCATTTCTGTTTACACATGCATTATTAGAACTTTTGATACTAATATTTTTAGGGTGTGTTTGTTTCAGTTTTCAGGGTTTGGATAAATTATAATAATCGTATAATCTGATATAAATAGATATTTTGAATGTAAAATTAATTTTTAATGTAATATAAAAAATAAAAAGTCTTGATTTGATATTTTTAGGAAAAAAAATTAAATAAATAATGAAAATCCGAGGAAATCCTCCAAAAAAAAAAAAATACACCCTTATAATATATTTTTTAAAACACTGTACCATATATTTTTTATGTTATAAAATGTTACTTCAAATGCTAATTTTTTTAACACTTACATTTTTTTATAACTTCAAAACTTTCGATTTAAACGAGCCTTGATGTGAAGTAAAAATTAATTAATCAATTTAGCATGCTGCTATGGGAGTCTCTTTTTTGTTTTATTTATATTTCTTAAAATATTTTATCATATAATTTTATTATATTTATTTTTTAATAAAAATATAGTATTTATTTTTCATATAAAATCGCATCTAACTATTATTTACACCTGAAAAATAATTAAAACTAAACACAATTTATTTATTTATTTATTTTTTCTGTGAATTTAGGGTGTGTTTGTTTGAGATTTAAATAATAAAAATTTTGAATTATTATAATTATATAATATGAAATAAATAGATTTTGATGTTATGTTTTAAATATGACTTTTCGAAATCCTTTAAGCAAATTTAAATCCAATTTAATTACATACGGGTTAAATTAGGGTCTGAAGTATGGGGGCACTTTGGTCATTTCAGAGGTGGGTCGTGAATAACAATTAAGGGGTACAGGAACCTCCCAACCTGCTTTGTGCTCATCATCATCATCATATCATCATCGTCGCCATCGCAATCTCCATCGTCTCATATAAATGTCGTACTCCATGAATCAATCCCAATCCCACTCCTCTCTTCTCTAAAAGCATCTCTCTCTTTATATCCCCAATTTCCGATCAGATTGCTGGAAAAAAATTGGAAGGTTCAGTGAATTTCACAGTCTGCGTTGTGCACCGCATCGATCCGCATAAGTTTAACTTCCATCAATGCGTTGGCTGTAAGTTTGTTATCCGGTTCCACGCTACAGTTTTTCTACACAGATTGTTTCTTCTGCGTATGTGCTTTTTCCTTTTTCTGCAATGGTTTCATGGTTATGGTCAATGCGTGTGTGAAGTAGACTAAATGCGGGAGAGATGCTCTCTATCGTCTGATTCATTTTGCGAGTGTTGTTTTGTGTTCGATGTGAAAATTTTCCGAGTTCGAATTACGGTACAGTTGACAGCAGAATCTGATTCGATTCTTAGACTTTTCGATTGCATTTCGCAATCGAAACAATTCCAACTTGATTGAATTCCATTTTCGTTTTCCAATTTCAATTTTTAGTGATGGCTAAGTTTCAGGCAAGTGCGCGATTTACTTTTTCCCTTTGTTGGATTGTTTGGGGACAGAATGGATCTTTAGTTGAAGTGTTTTGAACTCTAAGATTACTTAGATGTACGGACGATGTGCTCGCTTAGACAGCTTTCTTCCTTTCTTCTGACATCCATTAGGGTTTGGATATGGAGATATTCGAAATGCTGAAACAAACAGTCCTAAAATGAGCCAGACGGAGGTATCAGGGATGAAGCAGAAGCAACAACCTATTCCACTCGGAACTTTGATTGGTCGTGAGCTGAGAAATTGGAAATTGGAGAAGCCAACACTCAAGTATGGTCAAGCAGGTCTGGCTAAGAAAGGAGAGGACTACTTTTTGATCAATCCTGACTGTCAAAGGGTGCCGGGGAATCCATCGACATCGTTTTCAGTTTTCGCGGTATATTTAACTTCTCATCAGTTATTTACAGTTGATGCAGGATTGACATGTTTTTTCTCCCTGGTTTGATGATAGATATTCGACGGGCATAATGGTATTTCGGCCGCTATATTTGTTAAAGAGAATTTGCTGAACAATGTCTTGAGTGCTCTTCCTCAAACACTTGGTAGGGAAGAGTGGCTTCAAGCCCTTCCTAGGGCTTTAGTAGCGGGATTCGTGAAAACGGATATAGAGTTTCAGAGGCGAGGCATGTTATATGTACATTTGTTTACGGTTAAGTTTAATTGGAGTTGATTTTGTTCTTTTGTAGATTAGACTTCATATACATGATGTTTCCTATATGTCGTCTTATGTTTGTTGTTTGGTATGGATGGCAGGCGAGACTTCTGGCACGACTGTTACATTTGTCGTGATTGACGGTTGGACTGTGACAGTTGCATCTGTTGGAGATTCTCGATGCATATTGGACACACAAGGCGGTGTTGTTTCGCTCTTGACAGTTGATCACAGGCTGGAAGAGAATGTCGAGGAACGAGAGCGTGTAACTGCAAGCGGCGGTGAAGTTGGGAGACTCAATGTATTTGGAGGCAGTGAGGTCATTTGACAGTTTTTCTTTCTAATTTCTCATCTTCCATCGTTGTTTAACTCCGACAAGCTTTACCTCCTGGATTCATATACTAATTTGGGTTGGTTTTTTGCATTTATTGTGTAGGTTGGCCCGTTGCGGTGCTGGCCTGGTGGATTGTGTCTTTCCCGTTCAATCGGGGATACAGATGTCGGCGAGTTCATTGTCCCAATTCCCCATGTTAAGCAAGTCAAGGTTTATACGAGAAGACAATTAAATACCTCATACATTTTTATTCGAAAGTGCTAAAGGAATTTATTGTGTCAGCTTTCAAATTCCGGGGGAAGACTTATTATCGCCTCTGACGGCATTTGGGACGCTTTATCATCTGATAGTGCTGCTCAGTGTTGCCGGGGTTTGCCCGCAGATCTTGCAGCCAAGATGGTCGTCAAGGTATTCATCGCACAAAAACTACATCATGCATTTGCACATTGTCAACTAAATAGTTTCGATAATTCTTACCCATTTCCAATGGCAGGAGGCTCTAAGGTCACGGGGTTTGAAGGATGATACAACGTGCTTGGTTGTTGATATTATTCCCTTCGACCATCCTGTCTTGCCACCAATGCCTAAAAAGAAGAATAATTTGCTGAGTTCTTTAATGTTTGGGAGACGGTATCCCAATTCTCCCAAAGGATCAAATAAGCTGTCCGCAGTCGGAGTTGTTGAGGAACTTTTTGAGGAAGGATCTGCTATGCTTGCTGAGAGGTACCTTATCTGCACATAACCTACAGAAACTTTATATTTTCTCTAATATCACGACTACATTTATCCCTATACTTGTGCAATTTTCGAATTCTTTATTCACTGTTTTGTTTGTTGGAGCCTTAGATCAATTTGTATGTTCAATTGCAATGCTGTTGTTTCTAAAGCTTAGTTTGTATACCTTTCTGATCATCTTTACTTCCAAGCTTTTCCGAGGTCATAAAATATCCGGCAATCTTTCAACTCGGGTAAAATTGAAGACTAGAAAAGTTGTAATGTGTTCTTTGTAGCGAGCTCAGATCTTGTTGTCGATCTCATATAATTGTTATCTCTATCTACACTGATTAATCATGTAGCTGCTGATCCTGCATTTCATTATCTCTATTATCTCGACGAAGGAGAGGAAGAAGATGATGATTTGGTGTCACTATAGCTTCCATTCATACTAATGAAAGTTCTATGTGAACATATTCATATAAATCGCCGTTGTTTTCTCAAGTTTTGCCATTATTACTAATCCTAAAATCATATACACAGGCTGGGGAAGGATCTTCGTCCGGATTCAAACTCAGGTGGCCTCTTTAGATGCGCAATCTGTCAAGATGATCAGCCTCCCGGTGCTCACACCGCTCCATTTTTCTCTACTGCATCGAATCCACGGGATGGCCCTCTCCTATGCGCGAGCTGTTGTAGAAAGAAAGACGCCATGGAAGGGAAAAAGCCGGGAATACCTTCAGTGACAGCGGACGTAATCTGATCCGATAAACTGGTAAATACATCGACCATATCATCGACATTCTTTACATGGCAAGTGTGATCATGCTCGTTTTTTTTGCACCCACCCCCCAAATTGTAGATGCGTGTGTAAGAAGAGTAAAATTTGCTAGAGTTTTTTAGGTAGGCATTCGAATTTTTGTCGCGTACATGCTCGACCCTGAAACATACATGCTGTTTGTCTGATTGCTAACAGCTTTGAGTGTGTAGCTAAAGATTTCGACGTGTTGTATCGGATCTGTGTGCCTTGATTCTTCAGTTCGATTGATCGGTTTGAGTTTCAGTTTCGTTTATTGGCTGTACCGTTACCTGTTTCGATCTGTGGAGTCCTTGTGTCATCTATAGAGTTTTCTCTATAGCTAACTTATATTGTTAGCATAGTTTGCAGACTATTTCGACCTATAGTTAGGTATTTATCTAATGCGCACTCAAAAAGTATCATCGTAGAATGTATGTATGGAATGCTAACCTGCATACGTTCAACGTTTGTTGTAAGACGACGAAGTCCACCTCGAGGCGGAGCTGCTGCCGGACCGCCACCTATTGCCGCCGTCATCTGTCTGCAGGGAAGCTTTCTGGCTACTACTACTACTACTGCCCCACCTGTCCCCCTCCACCTTCCCTGATGACGGCGACATTCCAAGCCGCTGCTTAAATTTAGGCACATACTTACCACCACCGGTGGTGGTGGCAGCGGCAGCTGCTCCATTCTCAGGCTGAAGAAGGAGAGGATTCTCCTTGTCCTTGTCGGTGGACGAGGACAAGGAGGATCGCCCTAAGATAGCTTCGCGCCTCTGTCTTTCCCGTTCTTCCAGTTCTCGTTCTCTCTGCCTCTGCTTCTCGGCTATTTCGTCGAGCTTTGCCTTGCGATCCATTTCTTCTTTCTTTCTCTTTTCTTCCTCTGCGTCTCAACAAAAGTGAACACACACGAACAGTATAATGCATTCCATATCTGCACGTAAACATGAATACACACGCGCACATACCTTCCCGCTTGCGAGCTTTTTCTTCCTCGTGTAGCTTTCTCTGTCTTTCCTCTTCCGATCTCAAATAGAACACCAGCTTCCGCTTTTCTTCCCTCTCCTGCTTCCAGCCGAGAATAACTTTCTGGAAGCGCTTCTCTCTCTCGGCTTTCATTCTCTTATGTTCATCTTTTCGGCCCTGGATTGCTCTTTCCTGGAAAGCCAACTGCAGAAACATCGTGTATGTGTATGAAAACTGAGCTCTACGAAACGGATAAGAGTTTTGATTCGATTATCAACCATGTTCGTCGTAACACATCACATACCTTGTCATCCAGCATCCTTTGGAGCCTAGTTTTCTCCTTAAGATCTCCCTCGTGACGCTGTCTGCTCAATTCAATCTCTTTCTACAGATGACGGGAGTTCGCCAAAGTAAAAATGTTAGAAACTTGTAATCACATAGACAACATTAAATGAACTATCTATGTGAAACTACACCTCCTAAAGCTGGAATTGAATGTCGAAAATATATATACCTGCTGCAAATGTTCATCGAGCACCTTTTCTTCCTCCATACGCTTCTGGTAGGCGGCGTTGATCAAAGGCGCTTCTTCTTCTCTCATTGCTCGCACCAAATAATCAAGACTTTTGGAGAGTTTCTGCAGTTTTTTCTGAGCCTCCATTCTCTCTTTCATTTGCTTATTCAAAGCGTGCTCCATCAAAGACTGTTTCGTTACTTTCTCCTTCATGAACCGGCGCTCGCCGTTACTTTACCCAGTCATTGACATTGCTGTAATGCATAAAGTGAGTCACAGAGTCGGATACTTACCCTGTCTGCTATTGCCTTCTTCCCTTTCCTTTTGCCATGCTTTTCGGCCTCCTGAAGCATAGCCTGTGCCTCTTCTAATTCCCTTTCCTCTATTTCTCTGTGGATTCTCTCGGCTCTCATCTGCTCAAACTCAATGGCAAGTCTTTTTTGTTCAGCCTCCTCGGTTAACTTCTGTACCTTTAGCCTTTCCGATTCTTCTTGACGCTCCTAAACAAATGAAAATGTGGATACAGATAAAGAACTGGCATGATATTATTGTGCCGAGAGACGGGGATCATTACCTTCTCAAGGAGTTTACGTTCCTGTTCTTCCTTCCTTTTCTCAATTATCAACTTCCGAGCAAGAAGTCTCTTGTGTTCCTTTTCAACAGTATCATTCAAATGAAGCAGCATTTCTCCTAACTTTGATTCTTTTACTGCAGCGGGATATACCATCCCTCTTGCCTTGTTTAATGATTCGGTAAAAATCATCAACTGGCCACGCAAGCCCTCAGATTCGAGATCCTAAGACCAAAACCATCGATAATTAGTAAACTAGTCATCCATGCAAATATTACATATACAAAATCAACAAAAATAATGTGTGGTGCAGCCTAGTATGATTAATAAGTTTAAGGAATTCGGAAAATTCAGTCCGAGTCGCATATAGAATAGAGATCAATAAAGGTTGAGTGATTCTCAGGTAAAACATACAGCCAGTTAGATCAAATCAAGTTAACACAATGGAATAGTCAAAACTTACTTGATTACCAACTATGATAGCACCCTTCACATAATTAACTTTCATTGAAGCATAATTTTGCTTGACAGCATCCACCAGAATTTTCTCCACCACATGAGACTCAAAGAATGGGATCATTTGAGATAAAGTCTCACTTTTCAGAGTCTGATAGACTCGAGAGACCTGCATTGCACATACAGTCAATTAGCAGAAAATAAGAATCGAAAAAGTAAATAGAGGTTAAAAGGCAGCATACCTGTTGCAGCACCCTTAAAGCAGCTAGTTTTTTTATGTTTGGAATGTACTGAGAGAGTCGCACTTCTGATATGGACGATGCAGAGGCTATCTTACCCTTAACTGTAGATATCCGGGTCAAAAGGGGCTGCACTTTTGATGCTAAATCCAGAGGAAGAAACTCGTTCTCCAAGAGATTATATAGTTCTTTAACTTCATATGTCACACAGGCCATAACACCTTTTGAGAACTGCCATAGGAAGAAAATCAGAAGATACAGATAGAAATATTCAAGGTGCTTCATTAATAAATCTTGCAGCTGTCGGCTGGGACAATCTTCAATGAAATTGTTTACAAAGGTATGTTCTTATACTTACTGAAGTATTGATATACTTTTGTGTATCAGAAAGTTCCAATTTCATTTGAAACTTAGTAAGTTTCGTCAAAGTTTTACACAGATCTGCTAGTTGGTGTAAGAATTGAAACGGAACATAAAAATGGAACTTAATAACCAATGACAGTTAGGCTGATCTTACCAGTTCAGTTAGAATTGAGGACCGTGAAAGCTGTAGTGATAGAAAACCATTATCAGAAACCAAAAAGACGAAAAATAAAACCTTAATGAAAGCATTCTGTAAAACTTCAGCATTACTTACCATATCTCTACCTTCAGTCTTCGGGTCAAGAATAAACCCTATAAGATTTGACATCCTGAAGCTGCGCTCTTTCTCATGTTCAAGCTCCTTATGAGATGCTCCTCGTGTATGATCGTAGAGAGGGACTGAAAGTGCAGCAAGGACGGCAGAAGATGCTGTCAATTGCAGATCCTTCTGAGTCAGGTTCTTGTTGAAACTTTTTAAAAGAGCAAAAAGCCTAGACCACGCATATGCGTGATACAAATAACCAGAGGAGGTCCAGAATATGTCTATCAACTTGGCATAGTACACGACCATCAAAGATGTTTTTGGTTGTTTCTTAACGATGCACATCAATCCATGTATATCTTCTGCTGATCGAAAAGCTTCCTGCAGTGAATAATTTAGCAATATGAATATCCTTTAAATAGCAGAGAGAAAATTATATTATTTCATCACAAGCAAAAGAGTTTTCAAACCTGCCAGAGTTCGAGCTCAGTTGCAACCTTAAGCTGTTCAAATCTTGTGTCGAGATACAACTGCAGGCTCTCAGGGACTGACAGGTCAGGGCGATCCCTTTGATCTCTATACTTAATGAGGTTTGCCAGATGGTTCCTGATGGTTTCACACAGGCGGCGAAATTCTGTCAAACGCTTGTATTGTTTGCAGAATTGGAAGGCCCGGTGAGCAGTCATCTACAATAAATTTTAGATTCAATGATATTGTCGTTATAGTGCTTTACATTATTCACCTCACTCATAACTGAGACTGACAGGAAAATTTAAGCTATTTCCTTTCAATAAACAAACATCTCATTATGACGAAAAAAAACTAGAAACATCTGATTATCATGTACGGCACTATTCAGCACAAAGACACTGATCCAATTCACCATGCCTGAACTCAAAATTTATGTTCCGAATAATTAATTGTGTGCATATATATGACAAGAAGCATACATAATTTAGGACTTATCAAAGATATATTTAGGGCTTTATACATTAGTGAATTTAATTAGCAAATTACCGCATAAAGTGCTTCCAACTTTGAGTTGTTTCGCAATATTTCAAGAACTGTTCGATATGTTTCCCACAAGAACTTGAACCAAGGTGTCACAAGTTCACGGTCAGATCTATCTTTTCCTTTCTCACCACTCACATAACTCAACATAAGATCTTCGGGTCTTTTCTCAGCTTCCAAGTCATCAACATCAAGAGCATCCTCCAAAGCCTCTGCCTGATTACGACCTTGCTCAGCTCTCTCAGTTGAAAGATGAATAAAGAACTTTATGACCTCCTCTAGAGAACTAACATTAACTTGCTGACATACTATTCGGTACTGGATTAAACCCTCCTTGGCAAACCGACCTCTTCTCATTTCAACACAAAGTTCAATATATTTGAACATAATTCTTTCAAGTGTTTTCTGCCACGCACGATGCCTCCTTGAGGTGAGCAGTGCATGAAGAGATTGAAGAGCTTCTTGTTTCTGTCCAACATTGATTAACTCTGCATCCATACATTTCTTATGTCAATTCAAAACAATAAACACCAAACCAGTAAAGTCAGCACCAGAATCCTTATAAGCATGTAGCCATAATTTAAAATCATCACTAGTAGTTAATCTCAAGTCCAAATCAATTGTTATCCTAAATCCCATCAAGAGGTAAGTATTACTCCTATCATAAGCATGAAATAGTACACCGTGCTCATAAAGCATTCAAATTTATGGATATTCTTTAAAAATGAACCTCAGAGATAATCCTAGTCTTCTTACCATTCTTCAAATTTTATATGAGCATATCACCCATTTAAAGTAACACAAATTGCTGCAAAACCAACACTTCCATTGAAGTGAATTTCAAAAACTTCAAATCATAGAATTATTGAAATTTTATCTAATTTCCATGCTATCGTCAAACAAGATGGCTGATAGTTTAGCAGTAAACCAATAGAAAAAACTAAACAAATTGCACGATTCCATAGAAAAGCGCGCAAGAATTAGGGACAAGAAACCACCCCCACCTTCAGCCCTCTTCAAAGCATTCTCTGGTTTAGCAAACGGCGCCATATCGATTCTATTGAAAATTTTGCAGCTTTGATATTACCAGCAACGTAACATCAACACCTAAGCAACCAAAAAAGGATCAAACATAAATCAATTCCCCCGAAACAAAATTTCATCACTGAGCATGCGTCTGAATCGAACAAGCAGACGAAACTCAACAAAAATACACAAACACGATCGCAATTATTACCCTACGAGATTACCAACAATAAGAACAAAGATATATGATGAACATAGAGGATCAAACAAATCTAACTGGACGACGTTACATCATCCATAATACTGAATCTGCATTCATCCATATTACCACGTATCGACACCCTGCCCTGCATTGACGGATCAGTGCATTGCGCGAGACTCGCCGCCGATCATGAGCCGAAAATGGAAGACGGTGGCACCGAACTGCTCCGTAGTTTTCCGTTCTTCCGATGCGCCAGTGAACAACGGAAGAAAAATTGGACACGAGAAGAAGAGAGGAATTTTTTTTTTTTTCGATTTTATATATAAATAGGAGTGATGAGAGGCAAGAAATAGAAACGGTGCAGTAGTTACTGCAACGGAACATACAATTCTATCTAATAGAAGAACGACTAATCCATCTTGCAATAAAGTCGCGTTTCTGAAAATCTCGTGTCATTATTAGAGCCAAAGATAAATATGTACAACATACTACATTATATAATGTCTTTTTATTTAAATTGTATAATTATTCATCTTAAAAATATATACATAAACACAATTAAATGATTATATTCATTGTTTTATTTAATTACAGAAAGTATACATCTTTAAAATGTAATAAGTTTAAAATTATATTATTATTATTGAATTATAAAGATGATTTCTTTTTATTGTCCATATTTACCAAAATTGTGTTATAAAACACCTATACTACTAGCAAAATTTTAAATGATGATGAATTCATGTTTCAGAAGATATTCTCTCCATACAAACAAACAAGCACATTTTCCATAAACTTTGGTGCTGTGCTGCTGCATATTAAATACTCCATTAATCACAAGGGCTAGGGTAAGGGCTTAGGCTTACAATTTCAGAGGTTTCAAGCCTAGAGATGCCCTGAGCCTGTTTTGTTCTGCAATCTCCGGATCCGGGTGGTCGGTTCCGTCGTCCTTCTTCGCCTTCTTCTCTTTCTTTTTCTTCGGCTCCTCATCGCGTTTGGGGCTAGAGCTGCTGTTACGATGGTGCCGTTTGCTGCGCCGATCGTCACCATCACCTTTGCGATCCCTACTTCTGCTTCTGCTCCTCGAATGACTTCTCCTACCGCGATCTCTATCCCTGTCCCTATCCCTATCCCTATCCCGTCTGTCTCGCTCCCGCCCTTCCCTGTCATGGTCTCTGTCACGACCATAATCCTTCTCATCTCTAAGGCGATGACGATCTCTGTCTCTGTCTCTGTCTCTTTCCCTATCTCTATCTCGATCGCGCCCTCTTCCACGGTCTCTGTCGTAATCCCTGTCTCTGTCATAGTCACGCTCCCTGCAAGGCGAGCCAAAGTTTCAGAAACACTATCCAAACTCCACAAATTTATTGCACCCATACTTATGAAATACGAATATTTAATCAAGTTTACTTCATATTGCGTTCTCCCAAGATGAAAAGATTGTGACTTGGTATAGATCAACAAATATTTTGAAAGAAATCATTCAATAAAATATCACAATGGCTTCCTAGTTTCGATCAATTTAAATAGGGATTAGGGACGCTCTCGATACAAGGCAAGGGAAAAGGTGCTTAATCACAATTCGTAAGGAAACCAATTGGCCCTAAGAATAGTAATTCCGGTGACGTAAAAACATATACAGAAGTAAAAAATAAAGTATCAGATGTTTAGAGCCACAATTGCAATAATTTGGTTCAAATCATATGCTAACTTGAGTAGCGACCTGATTGTCAAACCCGACACAGTAATAAGCCCAGCACACTAAACTCCATCTAATTAACAATAAAGGTTGGAAATTATGTGAAAGAAAACAATAATCACAGAAGAAAAATACAACTCTACATATGTACGATCCATCATACTTCTCAGCTGCACACTGCCAGTGCAGAGAAACCTGGCAGGATCACTATGATATCTTAGTTTAGGAAGCTGTTGTGATAAACTAATGAATGCTCAAAATGTTCGGTGGTTGAACAATCATCTTGCATGGAGGTGCACACAATTGTATTTACAATTGATGCAGAGATAGCTTCCAACGTATTAAAAATGCTACCAGAAAACAAGAAACATAAAGAACAAGAAGAATTCAAAACTTTTTTCTAATCCCCAAACAACCATAGAATAGAGCATAAATTAGAGGAACTTGAAGTCATGTTATCATGGTTTTACGGCTCAAGGAGCCTTGTTTATTGTATCTTACATTCATATACAGATATCTAACCCCAAAAACCCCGACAGTACCATTCATATTCAAGATGTTATAAACAGTGTCAATAGTAAATAATCACACAAGCTCAATTATCAACACAGAAGTGCACGACTTAAATTCACATACCTATATCTATGACTATCTCGTCTTCGATCTCGATCTCTTTCTCTAGTGGGGCTTTGACCACGATGGTAGTCCTAAAGCACATAGCAAACAAATAAGAATTCATGCTACAAGTATTTATTTAATTTCAAATTTTGACCGACTAATAACCTTATCATGAGCTTCATGGCCATCATAATTTAATCCATCTGCAAGTTGGTCCTCTTCTTCTTTTTCTTCCTCCTCTTCAAAATCGTCTTCTAATGCACTTCTTCGAGGTTCAAGCGTTCCAATACCTTCAAGTGTCCATCTGGCATCATAAAAAATGATAGATTTTCAAAATAATAATAACAACAGTAAAAAAAAATCAAGTGGGAAAAAATAATCAAAGTGCCCAAATAACTAAGGGAACTAATTCAAAAATCATTAATCCACTGACTCAAATATGCATCTAGAAACAAATGGCAATGCTAACTCGCTCATAAATTAGACATTGTATGCACTACAAAACCCTATTCTACTTGATTAAAATATCGAGTCATTGATGCTATCTATAATTTCCGCTCAAGAACATAGAGCTGACAAGATTACATAATAATTCCAAAATTTTATACTTAAGAAATTGGAGATGAAGTTCATTACAATTCTCAGTGAACATTAGCCGAACAAGACAGATTTTGAAACAAATATTTTCACAGCTTTACCTTGTGAATATAAAGAGTGAACCACAAAAACAAAAACAAAAATATATTCTCCAATTCAAACAAGGGTGAGGTTTGGTACCTTTTTTTAATTCGAGGCAAAGCAATATCACAAGAATAATCCCTTGTCAGCAGCTCATCAATGTACTCATCAACATGTGTTAATGAGAAATCTGAAAAAATCCAACCAAAGAAAGAAATAGGATCATACCATTGAGTATGAATAGTTACGCATTCACTACCATGTTATATATACTCACTTCCATCGTTTAGCTTCTGCCTCAGCTTTCGGTAGTCATTGTACAAAGGTTCCAAATATCGGTAGATATCAACATCTGTTCCTGTAAGTCGTAAGTAAAAGGCCCCGAGCACACGAACATACCTGCCAGGAACAAGGAATCGTGTTACTCATGTACAGAAATACAGATAGAGCCCTCTCTTAATTACTTGAAGAAACACCCATACCATGGTTGAATGTCTTGAAGACAAGAAAATAAAAAATAACTAAAAGCACACAACCCGCCAAACATAACTTTCACATAATCAATATCTTATCTCTATTAAGTAAATAAAGAACAAGAATCTGCAAATGCATATATTTATTGAAGTATTCCCATCTATTCAAATTCAAAGACAAATCTGCTACATCATACATCTAAAACCAGCATCAAACTTATATTGTACATCCAATGACAGGATCCAGTCACTCTAAAAAAAAACACAATGTTTCACGTTTTCAAAACGAAGTACCAATACTTTCAGGAGGAAATGAAAATAGAGCACCCTTAACCTAGTCCAACTCATCCAAACAATTACATTTCAAAGCAGTGCCATGTCGGGGAGGTATACCTCGAAATGGGAAGCAAAACCCCTAGGAACGAGATCATTGAGAAACGACTTACTTGTATTCTGGATTTTTTATGAATTCAACAACAATTTCCTTGTCAGGCTGAATCTGGAGCATCTTCATTACGAGGCACATGAACGGAGTGGGCTTGCGGTTGCCGCCGAACGTCCCGCCGACATGGTCGAGCTCCATGGCTTTATCGACAAGCGTCTCCGCCGTCAGTCCAAAACACTGTTCCTTCCAGTAGGTATTCTGGTATATCTTAGTCCGCAGAATCTTCTCCACCAAGTTTTGAGGGTTGGTGCCCCGTATACTCTTCGCGAGCGGATCCGTACGATTCGCCATTATCGATCCTCAGCTGAGTCTACTAGCGATTTGAATATAGTAAAATGGATTTCTAGAAACCCTAGATTTTTCAAGCGAAACGCTGAAGGCGATCCAGGGGTTCTGGAAGAATACCGTATCGGTTCTCAAGCTTACAATTAATTATATATATTTTATATTTAGACCTCAGCCTTAACATAATTCCAAATTCCACCCCAACCGAACCCACGCGCTCGCATCTAATACCATGCATTTCTAAGCCCAGTCCGCTTCAAAAGCCTCAGTCCAGATAATAAGCCTTGAAGCCCATAAGAAAAGACCAATCCATACGGCCCATCAAATACCAATAAACGTACGGTGGCCCGTCTAAAAAATAAGCCCAATCGAACCACGTGGTCCGGCCCATTTTAATTGCAATAAAGCCCTATATACCGTAGGCTCAACCCTGGAAACCACTCAATATGCATTGCACTTCTGTACAGCAGCATTTTTAACATGAATTTGCAGGTATTACATTCGATCGAACTTTTACTACATTCGATCGAACTTTTACCCCGTACCTACTTTAGGTAACAGAATTCCCAGGCTATCAAAAAATAATAATAATAAGAAAAAATAAAATTCTGATTGTGACCATGAGAATAATAATTGGTGTTGGTCATATACCTATCTATAAATAAATAAATATAAACACAGTAAAGAACACATACAATGTAGACAAACAGTCAAACAGACAAACAGAAGACAATATTATAAATGAATAGCCAATAACTTTCACAAAAGAGTAGAGGCTGGCTGGCTGTATCCTCCCCTCCCCTCCTCTCCCTACCTACCTTCCTAGGCTGACAAATTACACACCACCAAGCAAAACAGTACCATTTATATATATTTATCTTTGGACCTGATCAGGGGCATGGTTGCTGGCAGCAGATGATGATCCTGGCCTCGGACCAGTTAGCATTCCATTGTCGGCAGCAGCTGCTGCAGGTGATGGGGGTGGAGGAGGAGGAGATGATCCCCACTTGCCATCAGATTCTGTAGGTTCTATCACTTTAATGGATCCATCCGTCATTCCAACGGCAAATTGGTTGGGCTCCTGAGGATGCGCTGCAACAACGACCGGGTATACAGCTTGGCTTCTACAGTGCAAAGAAACATATCCAGTCAGGGGATGTAATTCTATCATTCGGAAAGTCATAAAATATTGAATTTGAAACAATAATGCATCACTTTCTTTTATTTAGATTTTCACTGCTCCAAATTGAAAGAAGATTTTCAAAATGAAATTAATATACTGATTAGAGTAACATTAGAAACTGCTGTAGGGAGGTAAATTGTACTTTAAGAAAGAAAATGTTGTAGGCTGAAAAAATGCTAAGAGATATTTTCACCAAAAACAGGAAGTCTGGAAATGAAACTTAGGAAATTGAGAAAATTTTGAACTTTCACTCAAACTGCCTAAGGCATGCTAATGGGGTCGAAAAAAATGAAAAGTAATGAATTTGGGAGCTTCTCACCCATTCAATACAGCCTGGGAAAGATATGCGGATGGAGCAACCCGGCATCTTAATCTTAGAGTATCAGCATCGAAGACTCCAATATTACCGTCACAAAATGAAGCAAAAATAAGCTGGCTGTTGCACGAGTATGTTGCGGATGAAATAGGTGCAGAAATGGGGTCTTGCGGTATCCACTGCAACCAAGAGATTTAAAGAGACATGAATTACAAAAAGCTTGAAGAGAAGACAAGCCAAGTATGATTGATTTACCTGGCGAATACGCTCCATCTTGGAGGCATCATATATTGCTATCTGCGTCTCGTGTGCTACAAGCAGTCGAATTTGGTCTAAATGGAACTGTACCCGAGTGTCACCAGTTGGGGATTTACCAGCAGGCATTTGTATTGGAACTGATTTTCTCTTCTCCCATGTGTCAATACTCCACAAGCAAAGCTGCAAAATTAACAATTGTCAGACCATAAATTCAACCAACCACTCTAGTAGTACACACGTTCTCCCTTCCAAAAAAACTGAATAGTGGTGACATAAATGTTTCAAAATTCTTATGTTTCATAAAGGATCTCAACAGAACTAAAGGAAACACTAACTTGAGCATCGGCACCAGATGACACCAACATGTTGAGGCTGGTGGAGAAGGCTAATCCAGTAATGCGCTTCTGATGTCCTTTCAGTTTTGATTTCACCTATTAAGTTCACATCCAGTTTAGGAAGTAGGAGTTAAACTCATGGTGATTCAATGCCCAAATAAGATTTCTTTCAGCATCACAGAATGGATGAATTTACCTCATCAACCCTAACATTGTAGATGTGAATGGTTGAATCCTCCATTCCAATTGCAATAATGTTGTTATCTTGAGGGTGGAAAGCGAGGAAAGTGGAAGCCGGTGGTGGCGCCATAAATGTTGTCATTACCTTCAAAGATACAGTTTTTTTTTTTCACAATCTTGATAAGAATATGTGTGTGAGCATTTAATATTAAATTTCAAAAGAAATAGAACAAACTATTGATGCACCTTAAAAGTCATCATATTGAACAATGAAACCTTTCCACCAGCAGCTGACATAACATACGAGTCATTCCTCGAAAGCGCTATGCATGGAACTGCTTCCTCGAGGTTAACGCCTGATATGTCATTATTCATAAGAAGACCACTGTTTGGTTGCCAGTGTTGAGGAGTAACATTGGCTGTGGCCTTTAAATAACAGGATATTCCGGCATTAATACATACAATAATCATGGGATACAGGAAATTATAACATATAAAATGCAGTATCTATGTTTGCTAGCTACATAGATGCATAATGATTAATCTTTGTGGTGTATCTATGTGTGTGCTTGTTTGTATATATGCACTTTATTCACCTAACACAATTTAAAGTGTTTATTAGATGATAGCAGGAACTTAAAATTTGTGTACAACTCAACGGGGAGTGTTAGACATTGAACTAAAGTATGCTTGTGATTATTGAGAAACTCTAGACACCAAAAAAGGTAATCAAACATAACAAATATCACTGTTCTGTTACCTTTCCACTTGGATTTTGGTCATTGCGGGCCCATTTCCAAAGCTTTTGGACACCATTTGACCCAAGGGCTAATACGCCAACACCCGAATTTGTATAAAGAAGACGAGCAACCTAGAGAAAAAACAAACTAGATAAAGCATCAATATAGGAAAAGGAAAAGCAGAAAGCAAGAAAACGCAGTTGTCTGGTAGACCTTGTTAGTTGCATCACCACTATCAGGCATGGTTACCATTCGGCACTGATTAGGATCCATAATTTCAGTGAGCTGCCATGGCTTCAGCTTATCATTTACATCATCTGCAACTCTCGGCTTTTCTACGCTTCTAGGCATAGGCTCTACACCATTCTGAAACAAACGACCCAAAAGAGTCAAAACATGAGAAGCAAAATCTGCATGACCTCTCCTTTCCAAGAAGAACTACAGAAAACTATATTGGTATTAATTTTATTAAACTTACAAATAGCAGGCATACGTTCAGAACAAGAGTTGGATATACTTTTTACTTGGCAGAAATTAAGAAGGCCTTATTAGAAAAAAAATGATCTCACTCTTATCAACGAAACAGCAGCAAGATAAATTTTTTTATAAAAAAATGATGGACTTTTGACATACAAGGACTGGAGAGGGCCTGGCAGGCGAGCTTCTCTCTACTTTACAACTCACAGGAGCAGCATTTGGGCCAGAAGATCCAGAAGCCTGTTCAATTATATACAATTGAAAGAAGTATGATGTAGTGTGCAATCATTCAGCTAAATAATATCAGGAAAAATATGGACAAAATGGGAACCTTAATTGCCACTGCTTCCATTGGGGATCTTAATGTTTCAAAAGGTGGTGTTTCAATTGCTCTCAAAGATTTCATGCCAGTAGCATTTGCTAATATTTTGATTCCATTGTCAGCAGTAGTAACGGCTAGCAAATTTCCTTCCTTATTAAATCTCAAGCGTGGAAGAGACTGCATCAAGTTTATCCAACATTAAACTTTTAAATTCTATAAATTGATGCGTACAGGTTAAAATATCTGCAAGGGAACTGTACAATGACAACATATTAAAACTCACCAGAAGACCACCATCTGCATCTGCAGTAGCAATTAAGCTGGTGTTATCCATGTCCCAAAATTTTATTTGGCTATCTTCACCTACAGCCAGAAAGTGATTTTGAGTGGTGTCAAATTGCACAACACCAGTTGACTTCTTTCTAAAGCCAGTATAAGTTCGCTTTATTGCGCCTTCACTTTCATTCCATTCCACCAAAAAGGAATCCCCATCCTTGCCTGTTCCACAGGAGAACAACCTGAAAGGAATGGCTCGGGTGAGGCATCAAGCGATTATGACAAACAATGCATGTACTTCATTCAGACAAATATAATAATGAAAGCCAATAGGCATGCTATAAACAAGCAATGAGAACAAGTAGTCATGCCTGCTTCCATCTGCACTATATAGCATAGTGGTACACCAATGCCCAGGAGCATCATAGTCAACTCTTGATCCCATATTATCATAAAGCCAAGCTTTGATTTTCCCGTCAACAGCAGTTGAAAATATAAACTGCATATATAAGAAGACAAAACATTATTGTACTCAAGAAATCACCTCAATAGTTTCGGATATTAGATAAGGACATTGAAGTGAAAAATTGCAGTAAGTTATTGAAACATGCTATCTTATTTAGAAGTAGTTCTGATATCAAAAGAGGTTGAAGTATTCTAAAATTGAACAGGAAGCACTCATAAAGAAATTTTCTGATTAAATATCCTCAGAAATATCATTTAATAAATTAAACTCTCAGCATGCATGCAAAATCATCATACAGCAAACCAAAACACGATCATCAAAAGACGGTTCAAAATCCGCTTCAAAAAGAGTTTTCCCCATTCTTCTTTTTTATAAAAACTATGTATTAAGTATTACCATGGACCTGATAGGACATTACAGCAAAACAAGGTGAACTCTAAAAAATTGCCCAGGTTTATAGACACTACAAAACTTTATTGGTGAAAAGTCTCATGTGAACTGAAAATATGGCTTCTGGTTATAGCTTTCAGAAGAAAAACAAACAAGGGAAATCTTTTTAGAGGGCCCACAAATACTTCATGAAGTTTGTCTGCTACAAGCAAACACGGAATAACAAATCTCAGAGGATCGTTGAAGATCTCACCCGGGATTGCATCAGCAAAAAATTAGGAATGTAAGGTGAAGAAAGGCAATAGAAATTTAATGTCTTTTAAAAAATATATTTGAAAAATATTGGCTTGAGGCCTGTGCAAATTCTGTGTAAAAAGAGCCATTATTATTACAGAACAAGTGACCATCAATGAGTTTCCCTTCAATTAAATTATGCGACATTATTTCATACCTGAATATTCTCTTTCTGGTGAGGACATATAGAATAAACAGGTGCTTCATGCCCTTCAAAGTTGAATAATTTCCTTCCATTTAAATCCCAAACCTGTACCAAATGTGGCCCCCAATTTTAGAGGAATAATTCAAACACACATTTCAGAAAGAAATTCAAAGCATTTCCATTCACCTTTATCAACTTATCATCCCCACATGTCACAACACAAAGCTGCTTATTGGGGTGAGCAAAAGCAATGTCATTCACCCCACCTGCATGTGCATCTATCTGCAGAACAAAATGAAAATTAGAACTCTTAATTCAGAGTTTGGGATTCTTACCAACAAGTTACCATGCAACATACCTCCTTGTGTTCTCGTAAATCATTGGGCCCCGCATATGCATACAAATGGATCAAATGCTTGGAAAAAGCAGCTCCTACAAAAATGAAAATTCATACTTGGTATAGACTTTCTAACTAGAGCAGGATATATTATTTTTAAATTATTACCGCAGAAAGTCCCATCTGGGCTCCAGGTAACTCGGTTCACCGAAAATGGTGCATCCTTGGCTGTAGAAGCCTGTCAGTACATAGACAAACAGGGATAAATAATAAAAAGAATAAAGATATAAACTAGTTAGATACGAATAGTTATACAAGCAACCGATTAGATTTGATATAATTGAGGAGGCCAACAAATACAAAGTGAAATAGTACCAAAAAATCAATTTCAGAAGATCTATATACCTGGAATGTTAATGTGCAAGCTTGTACATCCCAAATTTTGAAAGGTTTTGAACCTAGCTTCTCTCTCATTGCAGCCTCCCACAGAGTTATCTCGCCATTATTGCAGCCAACTGTTGGCATCTCATGTTCAGCAACAAAAAAAAAAACAAACAAATTTTGAGAAGCTAATGTATATTACAAGGGTAAGTAGACGGCATTATTGAATACATTTCCAGAGACACACACACAACATAAAAAAACAGGAACTGAGTTTCAGATACACAGTACCAAGAAGTAATGTATGATGTGATGGATGAAATTCCAAGCTTGTCACAGCAGATCCCTGATGCAGCGTAAAAGCAACAGTTCTGGGCAAGTCATCCAGGGACCAAGATGGCTGCTGTCGAACTGTAGGGTATGTAACCTCTTCAACTGCAGGAGTAGGACGAAGACGCTTCATCAATTGGTCGTGATCAGCACTCTGATACTCGACTACACCAAGAGTCGCTGGAGTACTTGGGCGCTTCAAAATAGAACCTACTTAAAAAAGCAAAAACAGCTACTAGTAAATTTTGATGATTATCAATTATTACTGTCTACATTGTCCTGGTTTAGGACATTAAGTCTCGGAACATATAGTGTCCTCCGGCTTCTTAATAATCATCTTAACAGAATTCACATTTTCAAATGCTGTTGGTGATCAACAACACACTTACTTTGATTATGTGGGACAGGTAATGATGTTGCTGTAACAACTGCTGCTTGAACAGATGAGGTTGCTGCTGCATTTGCCATCCACCCAGCTAAAGCATTGGCATTAGCTGCTGCACCAGGTGGGAAAGGCTGCTAATAATGAACAGAAAAGGGTACAAGTACACAATTATCCCTCTTATCCACAATTAGTAAAGAAGAAAAGCTTGTGAGAGTGAAATGATTAATGAAACAACTAATGGAGTGAAAAGGCTCACCCCATGTGCTCCAAGTGGTGCATAGGCAGCAGGCTTTGAAACTCCAGCTGTTGGAAGACTAACAGGAGCAGGTGCAAGAGCCCCATTTGGCGGAGTGCATGTATGGTCAGTAAATAAGGTTTTAATGTCTGGGTTCGGCCGAGGATTTTTACAGAGCTGGTGCTGCCAATTCAGACTGCAAACAAACAAAACCAAACATCCTTATGTGGCACAAAGAAAAATGTACTGTGAAAGTTGACAAAAAGGACAAACATAACTTGCACTATCAGGTGGAAAGAAATAAAGTATGCGACAGTAATACGTGTGTGTGTGTGTGCGCGCGCCTCTGTGTGGCAACAGAAAGGACTGAACAAAGAATACATGTTGAGTCAGAACTACTATACCTTTGATTAACAAGGGTTCTCAATCTTGATGACCTCAAAGTAGGAAAAACAAGCTTTTCACGGAAAAGCGGATTTGCTTCAATTAACTTTTTGAGCTCTAGCAACATTATATTACGAGCAGTCTTAGTGTCACCATATTTGGAAAGCTGCTCATTTTCCCTGCCAAGAACAAACATGAGAACTGTTTGAAAATTGGAAGGCCTTCCAAACAAAAATTTCCACCAGAATAAACAATTAACACATTTCTTCAAATAATATATATATACAAGAATTCAAGGTTTATCCAATTTGTTGCAAAAGAGCATTTTATTTGCTTGCTTTGAAGAATTACAACTAATTCAACCACTAGATGAGGCAGCTCCCAGGTTATTCATTGCAATACAAAAAGGTAAAAGATCTGATAATCAGAAAAGGAATTTTAGATGCACAAACACAGATCCCCATTTATTGCTAAAGCAGGGGACCAATGTCATTATTCTCTTACATTTCCTTTCTATTTTTTCTTGTAATGTGTGCCTAGTTTCTTCCCTCCCCATCCCATCAAGCCACACGATAGTTTTACATTGCATTGATTTATGAGTTAATAAGTAAATAAGTAAATAAAGGTCCTATAAGGTGATGCCTGGCATCTGAACTTCTTTGAGAACAAATCATCCACCCCTTCAAGAAGAAAGGGGCCAAACAGAGGACTTTCATGCAGGAATACATTTAGAATCAAGATGTATCCCCAAAGCATTAATTTGCCAACATAATCAACCCATTCAATCATAACATGACCAGCAAAGCTCTACCAAGGAAGCAGTAGGCACTTGCCAACACTCTGTTTACTTCATATATGACAACATGTCCTCGAAAATAAATTAAATAACTTCCTCTGTGTATGCAAAGCAGTTTTCAACATAATATGGTAAGTATGAGCACATTCATAAATGGTGTGCAGTGTCAGGGTGCAGGCCAACTGCCATTCTAATTCTAGACCCATGCTAATAGGCTCGTACGTGGCATAGGTATGGTTTGCAAGCCATGCACCTTATGCATATGTGGGTGTGGGGACGCGTAATTGGAAAGGAAGCTGCTTCTTTCTCACTACAAAGAGACACGCCTTTTTAAGAAAATAAACAGAAATTTTAATTGCAGAGGATCCAGATTAGTATCTTCATTTTATTTTATTTTATTTTTTATTATTTTTTTGCATTTTCATTTTCTAGGTAATTTGAACCCTTTTTGCCTTCCTTCACTAAGTTTTCATTATTTCTTTCATTTGAATACCTGCTTGATAATGCATTTTTATCTTCAACCTTGAAAGGTTTCTTTTCACCTTTAATGTTCTATTTTCGGGACTGCATTGCAAGTTTTGTGTATTTTCTTGCTTAACTGTATTTCTTTCTATTTAATCCCCCTGTTTTCGTAACAGTTTCTGGAACTTACAGGAACAGTACTTCTATGTTTCCTGTTTTAATGCCAATTGCATGTAAATCAATATTCAAGCATTTCAAGAAGCTACTTTCATAACCATAAAATACATTGATACTGTGGCTGCTTCGATGATTATTCATACCTCATACTTAACCAGAATCAAATTATATATAGGTAGTAGGAATTCATGATTTGTGTATAATTTTACTGCAATGAGAATTTAACTCTTTTAAGAATAACCACTCATCTCATTCATGCAATTACAATTAAAGGTTAAAACATAAAATTGAAAAGTCTCAACTCATTGATCATCATATAATGATTAAGATATTATTCAATGCCTGTCTCTTCTACTTAAAGTTAACTTCCTCTATGTATGAAAAGGCAATGTGCAATACCTGAAATTTCCAAGTGTTAACAACTGAGTAATTTCCTTGTAGAGATCTTCATTGAATGTTGAAAACACTTTCAAGTCATTCACCAATATATCAACTGCCTTTGCTTTGTCTTGCCTGACAATGATAGATAAGATTGGAAGACAAAAGTAAGGAACAGAGAACACAAAGTGAGCCAACTTAAGTGTTAATTACTAAACTACAATCGCATAGAAAAGAGCCCAACAAAGATCAGATTATAGAGTACCGATCAAGAGCTTCGAGATACTTCTGCTTTCTTATTTCAAAAAATATCTTCATAGAGTATCTATTGTCATCAACTTTAGTGAAACCGGACAAGTACTTCTCAACTTCCTCCCATTCACCAGCTTGCACTTTCTCCTCAAAGAACTTCATGTTGAAGAAAAATCCTGATTCTTGCTCAAGTCTGCAAAATGAGAACCCCTTTAGGACCCACAAACTTAAGCGTTACCAGTAAAACACATAGCGTAAAAGAATGGTTTCACAGGCTCCAGAAATATGACAGCTACACATACCGAAGGGCAACAAGGAGACCCTTGAAAAAAACGTATCATTACTACAGTACCTACTTTGCAACTCACTGCAGCAGCACTTCTTGTTCCAATGTAATGATACCTCAAGTTCATATTCAATTTTCATTGAGTTCCTGTTTCTGACTAATCCTATCTCAACAAGGTTCCAGTTCAAACTTCTCAGTAATTCAAACAAATTGGCAGATTCACTTATAAATTTAAACCTCATAAACTACTCCATAGATATATAACCAATTAACTGTTCTGCATGTCCTTCCTTCATCATATTTACAAACTCAAAACATAACAACAATCCTCAACCTATAAATTAATCTTTATTGCCATGTTCCTCGTTCCAATAATACAATCTTCCAAACTAATCCTAAGCAAGTAAAACCAGAAACAATTCATCATAACAAACACATACACACATATGTACGAACGCAAAATTTTAGGGAAAAAGGAAAGTAAAAAATTATTTTAAAAAAAAAAAAAAAAAAAAGACACACACCATGAAAGCAGGGAGTATTTAAATTAAAAATAAATTCTAAAAAATAATAAAAAAAATAAAAACTACATACTTGTGAACCGACTCCTTAAATTTCTCCTCTTCGAGGAACTGAAGAATTAAGAAAACCAATTCCCTGCTCAGCGACGACATTTCCGACCTCAAATTCCACAAATCAGCCCGAATTCGACAGATCGATACCCCCTAGAAAACAAATCCCACCCCTTCACCGACGACCCCTCCTCCCGATACACTTTTCGCTTCCTCGTTCTAGGGTTTCTCTAAAAACACAACCTATGATGAGAAAGCCGAGTAGAAATAGAATAAAGAGCGTACTTCCTATCTGAATTGCACATATATATATGCACAGACATATATAGATATAGAGAGAGGGAGAGAGAGACAGAGATGTGAGTTCTAGAGAGAGAGAGAAAGTAGAAAAGAAGGTGGTGGTGGGGAAAAAATGAATTGGTCGTTGCGTTTGGCAGGAGTCTATCTTTTACCACTGACTTATCACCCATAATTAAGATCACTTATCATAAGTACATCTACTTATCACAGATAACCCATTTCGCTTATCTGACGCATTATCGCTCATTGAGAAGAGGAAAGGAATGTGTGGTTGGCGGATTTGAAATGATAGATTTAAATCCAGTTAAATTTAGGACTTCAGTTACAGGCGGTACTCGTGTCGCTTTCACGATTTTAATAGATATTAATAATTCGCACTAAAATCGTGTTTCTCGAGAACTGGGCGTGAACTCAACTCTTACATATGTTTTAATTTTTTTGTGCAGTAGTTGTAACGGAAATTTTTTTCATTAATATTATTTCTTATTTGAAATATTATAGTATTAAAATATTAAATATTTTAGTACTATAAGAATTCAAATAATTTTTTTTTTTTGTTACTTTTGTAATTTTGAACTATCTTGTGTTGATCTTACAAGTTTGAAACTGTCCACATTTAATATCAGATTTTTAAGAAAGTAGGGTGTAATAAACTAAAATTAGATTCCTTGTATTTAGATCTTTGACATTATTTAATTTTCGTAAATTAAATTTATAACAAAGATAAGATATTATGCATCTTCGAATGTCTAAAAATATCAATGGCTAAAATTAATAAAATGAAATATGTGCTTTTTTATCTTGTTATATTTAATTAATACTTATGGCATTTATTTTATAGCAGAGTTTCTAAAGTAATTTATTACAAATTTTGTTTCTATTGATTTATGTCTAAGACTTTTATGTCTTTAAATTTTTCTTAACTTTTTTTTCAGATTTCATAGTTATACAAAATCCCCTTTAGGATAATTATGTCATGTATTTTTGTCTATTAACTATGTGTATATTTTATTTATAATAAAATAATTGTATTTTTTTACAAAAGTATTATTATCATTTTAATAAATAATAATTAATTCGTAGTTAACTTTTTTATTGACTTCATAACCTTTTTATTGATTTTTAACTTTATTTTTTACCCACTGTATTTTTACACTAAAATACAACAGTATGGTATTCAAAGCTCAATGGAATAAGTAATTTTTTCTTTAAAAAAATAAATAAATAAATAATACTGAAATAAAAAGTTAATTCAGAGTTACAAAAGAAAAGTCCAAATTGATGACTACACAATTTAAAAATGCCATAGCAAAAGTCGCATAAACAATCAATTTTTATTACATCTAACTGATTTTATTAATTCAAAAACCAAATTCTTTTATGATATAAGTAAACGACTTCATTCATCTATAATTGTATGACATATACATTGACAAATAATAAATAATTAATTACTATTTTTTTATATTTATTTATTATTTTTTATTAATTATTTAATAATTTGTTCATAATACCAATATTTTATTTTTATACTAATTTATTTTTATATTAAAATACTTTTATTCATTAATTTTTTATGTTTCAACAATATGACATAAAAGCCCAACATGAATTACTCTTTCTCTCCTTAAAAATTTATTTTTTTTATTTTGGCTCGATTTATAACAAAATATTTATTTATTTATTTTAATAACAATATTATATATCTAACGTTACAAATTTTATTATAATTTATAATATATATATATTTTTTTGTTATCTTCTTCTTCACCCACCTGCTCTGCCCCGGTCACGGTGAAGTTCAGATATATATTTTTCAAATGTTTCAAATGAAATAATAAAAAATGCTAACCGCCGGTTCGACCAGGCGGTTTACGGTTCGAACCGAAGAACCGGCGGTTCCAACCGCCCGTTCGAGTCTTCATATAATTAGGGTCTTGTGTCCCACATCGAAAATCATTCAATCGGAGGGCACAGGCGTGACCCTTATAAGGACGATGTGAGGCACATGTAGAGGCTAACCCGTCCTGTCGGGGGTGCTTTGGCGACTCGCTAATGATCGTATAGAGACGGCGGGTCGTGCCGACACCCACGAACGTGCGAACACAATTTCTTACGGCGAGTCAGTTGCCGCCCTACTTCGGCGGTGACTGGCTCGTCAATTTTTGGACGCCCCCAATGCTTAGTTGGGGGCTCCCACTTATCCTTTCAATTGATGCACAGCCTGATTTTGTGGATTTGAACAATTGGATCCTTTGTTTTATTGTCTTAGTTTTCAAAGAGATGTTCTTATTTTATGTGTTTTCTCAGTGTTTGATGTGTTGTTTTAGGAGATTTTCTGGTTAGGATGCTTTTAGTGAGAGATTTATGAGTTTTTGACACGACGAAACGATTTATTAAGATGCTTTATATATTGATGTTGTTTGGAATGTGAACTGCGGCTTCTGCGTCAATAGTCGGTGTTTATTCTGGATAGATCTAGAGGCTTCTCTGTGTTTGTTGAGATCCTACGTGCTCATCTATGGTGATTAGAACGACAATAAACTTTGTTGATTTACTAATAAAATGCAACCAAGTTCTAGGTAACCTGTAATTGACTGCTTTCTCTTTATCTTCCTGAATCACACAATATATTGGTCGATAGCGAAACGTCTGGAAGCCCTGGGTGAGTGTTTGACAACTTCAACATAGGGAATAGCATTGAATAAAGCTCCTAATTGATAATTTGTTTTATGTCATTCCTGGTTCAATGATTCTCCCACTGTGTTTGTCCTTTTTAATTGATTAATTGTGGAAAACTGGCTTACACTTGCCCTTTGTTATGCTATTGTTTCAGGAATCTCTGTATGTTTTTGCTTCATCATGATTGCTCCTAAACCGCAAAGATTGTTTTGAGCCTCATTGTTATAGATAAATTAGATCAAATCTGCTAAGGTTGTTCTTCTCAAGTGGCTAGTAGTTGCACCGTTGTTTCACATACTCTATGCTCCTATAACTTTTTCGTATTGCCGATTTTCGGGGAAGTTAAGAACGGTGGAGAGAATGTTTGTTTTGTTACTATTACTCTGTTGAGTAATTGCCAATGTGCTATTTCTGAATGCAGTAATATACTCATAAGTTTGGATTGTATTTACTCGAAACTTGGAAGTGTTATGGCTTAAAGTGATTATTTCGACAGAGGAATCGAATTCAAATTGATTTAATCTCGACGAAATAGTAAATAATTTGATGTGGATCAATGATATGCTGACCCTCACTTGTTTGTTTATAGATATAGTGAATGATTTCTTGCTAAATGAAGATGTGTTATGTTCATGTAGATTGGAAAGGCATTTGGCTGTATGTTCTGCACACTACTCACTCTGCTATGATTTATTTGCATCATTTTAAACTTATCTCATTAATTACCAAAGCTTATGCAATATTTTCATCCCAAATTGAGCTTATTTTTTCAGTATTGTGTACTGTTTTAGTCTCTGCTGTATTGCCTCTATGTGGAAGGACTCTTGGGAATGGATTATATAATTCGTTAATCAATTTGAAATTTTATTTTTTAGAACATCAAGTTATCTCGAAAATTCGCAGAACAATTTCACCTATGTATTTCAAATAATTTTCTTAAAATAAAATTTTTTTGTTCTATGGTATAACATTTAACATTCAGTCTTTATTCCTAATGCAATAGCCACGGACAAAAAAGTACTTGTTTGGAGGAATGAATTTTAGTTTGAGATTTAAACAATTTTATAAATAGATATTTATGTAATATTTTAAATTTAAAATTAATTTTTAGTATAATAAAAAATAGAAAATACGATTGTTTGATTTTTGAAGAGAAATATTTGAAGGAATATAAAAAATTTTGTAAAATTTTATTGACGAACACACCTGTGGAGAACTTCGTTGGGCAGGGCATTAATTAACCAAACCGACTTTGGTTGTTTTCATGTAAATAACATTATTTGATTTGTATTATTTATAATTTATTTAAAATATTAAATTTAATTTTTATTTTTATTTTTTTGTGCTTTTTAGTATTATTTAAAAAATTATATTTAAAATATTGTATCATTTTTATTTATATTATATTAAATAATTATCCAACTTTATTATAATATTTTTAAATTTAAAATTCTAACAAAAAATGCTCCATTTTATTTTATTTATTGTAAAAAAATATTAAAATTAATTATCATTTATACTAATTAATAAAATACTCTGCTCCATTTTATTTTATTTATATTTTATGTCAATTTTTTTTTGAAAAATGATTATTCATCTTAATTTTATTTTAATTTTTTTAATAAATTTTTTAATTTTAATTAAATTAATTAGTTATCTTAATATTAATTTATAATGATTTATATTATATGTTAATTATTTTTATTAATATATTTTTAATTATCTACTAATATACTTATTCTAAATTTTCGTGTTGATTAAGACATCCAATGTGGGACGGAGGTAGTATTATATTTTATTTTACTAAAAAAAAATAGTGATTTTTCTGTCCCAAAAGAGTTGTCTTGTTTTTTCATTTTAGTCTGTTTCAAAATAATTGTCTTATTTTTTTATTTAGTAATTATGTTTCTCACTTTATAACAACATTATTTCTACTTTTTAAAACTATCTCTACTTATTACTCTAATTTACTTTTTAAAATCCTTAAAAAAATAAAGGTATTTTAGTCTTTTATATTTTATTTTATATTATTTTTAATTAAATATTATTAATTTTTAATTCTCGTGTCAAATTCATGGCTCTTTAAATTAAGACTAATAGAGTATATTTCATTAAAATAATAATAATCCAAATTTATTTTATGTTTACATTATTATTTTGTGTCGTTGATTGACAGACAGTTGGAACAAAACAGGATATGCAGCATATCTTTGGAAGTCTGTGATAGTATCTTATCTCAGATATGGACACTTGCTATATTATTTACTGACAAATTTACAATAATGAATTTATTTTTATGTGATTTTAAACTTTAATTAATACTCCCTCCGTCTTACATATCATGTCTATATTGTCGTTTCAGTCCGTCCTATATATCATATCACTTTTCTTTTTCGAAAAATAATTACACATTTTAATCTCATTTTAAATTTTTTAATTTTATGTTTTTAAAAAATTTTAATTAAACTAATTTGTTATCTTAATCTTAAATTATAATTATTTATATTATCGGATAATCATTTTCACTAATACATTTTTAATTAGCTACTAATTACACCTCTCCTAAAATACCGTGTCTACAGTGTAGCAGACACGGTACGTGGGACGGAGGTAGTATTACTTATAAAATTTTAATAAAAAAAATATATATCTTTTTATAAAATATTATGTTAGAAAATATTACTTAAATAAAAATTATAAATTAATATATATTTTTAAATCAATTTAAAATTACAATCAAATAAACTTAATAATCTCTTTGTGTCCTAATTTACTTTTTTATTCTTATATTTGTAATACATATAAAAATAAATAGTATTTTTTCCGTCATGCAAATAGATGCTCATTTGACTGTGCACGAGTTTTAATAAAAATGAGTAATAATAGTTAATTTTTCATTTTATAGTAAAAAATAGTACAAAGTGGAATAATTTTTTACAAATAAGAATATTTTTTTTTGATAACAATTCAAAAAAAAAATGGACATAGATTTGAATGATAGGGGAAGTAGTATTTTATTAATTAATAAAAATATATAATTTTAATAATACCTGTATTATTTAATATAGGAATTTGAATAAAAGCAATTTTGAGATTAGGTCATATGAAAAAGGCGTTATATATTCATTAATTTATTTCAATTCATATTAGTAAATAAATCCTACTCCAAAGGCTTCATCGCTCTCATGTGTATCAGTAATCAGTATGGATGTCAGAACTTTTTTTTTTTTTTTTTTTTTTTGTTTGCTTGGAGAAAAATAAATTTATAAACAATTGTGGTTATTTTGTATGTCAAATAAAAAAAATAAAATTAAACATGTGAAGTATTAGAATTGCTGGTGGGCTGAATATATTTTATTTTCAAGTGTTTGGCCAAGCACCTATTAATTGACTATAAGCATAATTGAAATAGAATAAGTCAAATTGGTTTTGTTTTTGTAAGAATTTGATTGTAATTCTTTTTTATCTGGTTAGCCTAGTGTGACTCGCCTGTCGGGTTTAATTTACATGGTATTAGTCAGGGCTGACAAAAATTAATTCAATCCGGACCTGACATGAAATAGTTGGGTTTGGATTGAGATTTTCGACTCAATTAATAATTGGGTCAAATCCGTTTAACCCATTTAATTAAATAGGTCAGGTTCCTGAAAATAACCCGTCTAACCTGTTTAATTAATATTATTTTAAATTTAAATATATTTTAAAAATTTTTATCAATACAATTTAATATTTATGGTCAATTTTATAAAATTAAACAATAAAAAATAAATGATTGCGCTTTGAGTATTGTAGTGTTTGTTAATTCAATTCTTGAATATCAGTTTCATAATATGAATAAATAATTTTTTGCTTTAATATGTATATATTATGTATTTGAAAATTTTATTAGTATAAATTGTAATTTTAAATTAAAATTTAAAATTTTTAGATTTAAACGGGTTATATAAGTCAATTCAGGTTGACCGATTAATAAAATGTCAGATTAAGGTCGCAAATATCAACTCATTTAATTAAATAGGTCAAGTTCAGGTCAAGGGTTTTGTAACCCGTTTAAGTTGACCCAAACTTGAAACCCGACCTAATCCGTTTGCCAGCCCTAGTATTAGGTTCGATTAGGGGTTTATCCAATGCGCACTTTTGGATAGCGATTGCTGGTTCAAAAAAGAGAGAGAGAGAAAAATTATCTTAAGTGGCATTTTTTTTTAAAAAAAAAGAAGTAAATAATTAATCAATATTTTATTTTATAATTTTTAAAAATATACTATTTAAAATATTTCAATCATTTTTTTTTTATTTTTTTATATGACTGTAGAAATCGCATCTATTATCCAAAAATGTGGGTAAATTTTCAATCGGATCTAATACTATACAAATTAAGTCTAACTGACAACAATATATTTAATGAATAATTATAAAATAATTTTAAAAACACATGAAAACAAGTACAATTTTATTTCTAGAAAAAGTATTTAACATGCACATGATGACTTTAAAGCTGATGTCATAATATTCCATATTTGAATAACTATGAAAATTTTGATGACATTTTTTCTTCTTCCAAAAATTTACAATATAATGTTATAATTTATAATAAACACATTTTAAGTACAAATACCGTATAATATTTGATAATTATTCCACTAAAATTTTTAAATTATGTTCATTTAATAAACACTTGTCTCTTAAAAATATTTAATGAATAAAATTAAGACCTTTTATTTTTGTTTTTTTTAATTAAAAACGACATGTATTTGAAATGATAAAAATTAAAAACAAAAAAATTTAAATTACACAATTATATATAATTAAGAAATTTAAGGGAAGAGCGTTGTGATCATTTCAATTTATTGATAACAATAATAGTGTCACAGACACGAATTAATTTTTTATTTAAAGATGCCCAGACATAATTTTATATGATGACATCTTATTTAATTTTTTAATTAAGATTAAGAGAGATATTTGGACTGTACCTCTAGCCAATTTTTCTTACCGATAATGCATATGCTATAATAGTTTGAGCTATGATTATAAGGTTTTCTCCGAGGCGTTGTAGTTTCATATTTGGAGATATGCTTTTTCAACACAACTCTATTTTTATCTTCAGTTTTTATGTCTACTGATGATGTTGCACCGTAACAATGTCAATTATGATATTTATTATTATTTTTTTTAATTTTTATAAATTGTAAATTGGTCTCTATAAGTATCAATCTGTAATTTTTTATATTTAAATGATGTATATTTGTATTTTTAAATATAAAAATTATTTAAAATAATATATAAAATATAATATTTAAAGAATATTTTTTTGAATTAAAAATAGAGTTGTGGATTAGAGTTATACTGTTGTAGCAATTGTATTTTTAAATAAATAGAATTGTCCGATTGAAATGAGCTAAGTATAGAAATAAAGATCAGAAATAATAATGTGACAGCTTTCGTGCCAGAAATTCTTAATAATAATAATAATAATAATAATAAAATAATGTTAACAAAAATTAGAATGCAAAATTTTATTTTTCCCCAAATACCCTGCAGGTGCTATACATAATTGAGGGTATTATTGTCATTTGACACAGAAGGCTGATTTGTATACTGGGCTGAAACAAGCAGTTATTGACAGTCGTCTCCCGTCTCTTTGTGTTCTTCACATTATATAACAGCTTCGAAATGCTAATGGAATTTGGAGCCTCCGCAGGTTCAAGTTCATTCTCTGGATTTCTCAGCTCCAACCATCGGAGCTCCATCGTTTTCCGGCGAGTGATGTCATCTTACTTGGCAGCTTTGTATCTCCTGGTGCGGTGACGCCAGCACATTCGCCAGAAACTTTCAGGTTCATTTGAGTGCACATGTTATTGTGTTGTTTATATTGAATTTGGATCGTGATTTATATTTTTTTTTCTTTAGTGCAAGTTGAAGGTTTTGCTTGCTTGTTTGGCACTGAGATAAGTGAAGAATTGGACATAGGCTCAGATTTTTGGTTTGTTGTTATTAGTTTATATATATATATATATATATATTGATTCGTGAGGATAGTTTTATGAATAATGGAGAAAGAATTTTTTGTGTTTCCTTAATGTTTGATGTATTTTTGGCGTATTTATTGCGTTTTAAAAATATGTAAGAACATATCTTTCTTGACGTCCTATTGGATCTTCCTCCGACATTTTCTGATTAACCAAACGTGTTAAAATCGCCTTTATTGTTGGAATTCTATCTATTAAGTTGTCGAGTCTTAAGGTTCTCTAACTTTGCAGATTTAAAGGATTGTTTATTCATTGTAAATAATCTATTTCTGGTACGGTATTGCGAAAATAATCAGCACTTTTTTGCTTTCTGAGTCAGATATCATCCTTCTAGTTCATTTTTGTCCCATTCTGCATATGCTTTATGTGAATCGTATATCTGTGTGATACAACATAATCTTTACAACCACTTGTTTACTGATCGTATGAGGCTTTTCTGCCTGTAGTATAGGCTGAAAGCTATTGACAGTGGTGAGACTATGGGGCATTTGTCTTCACTCTTCAATGGTTTGGCGAGATCATTTACAATCAAGAGAACAAAAAGTTTGAAGAACAATTGTGGGGATTGCGATGGAAGGGAGGCTGTCGAAGCTATGGCAAGGGATGCAAAGAGAAATGAATTAGTATTAACGACGTCAGGGGTTGTCAATGTTGATGGATCCAAGAATTTGGTCTCTGTTTATTCAAAGAGAGGGGAGAAAGGTGTGAACCAGGATTGCTGCACTGTTTGGGAGGTATGCGCTGATATTAGCTTTGGATGTTTGCCCCTGTTAAAGCAATTAAGATTTGATTTGTTGTTCATGATGTTTAAGTAGTTAAAGTTACCAAATATTGGTAATGTGGTTGGGGCAATTAATACAAATATTTCTTTCATTTCCTTCTAGCTAAAATTTGAATCATAATGAAGGGTAGGTGACTGGTGTTAGGAGAAAATATAGTGATTCCCAAACTAACTTTTATGTTAAAATCTGTTTATTCTAACTATGGAGGAATAATTAATGAGAGATGCTGAGGAGGAACCTTTATGGATATCAACAGAAAAATTATTTTATTCATGTCTAATTTAAGCAGGTGACTTAAATATTTGATTAATCAGATCCCCTATAAAAACATGCTAATTTTACTATCATATTCAACCCCAAAAACCAAAACACAAACACAAAGTAAACAAACTCTTTGTTTCCAATGCTTTTTTTTTTTTTTTATACCATAAATACAGTGAATCTTTAATGTTTCCTAGATAGATAAGCTCCATGAGAGTATTGTTTTATTTCAGGAATTTGGATGTCAAGAAGACATGGTATTCTGTGGGGTGTTTGATGGGCACGGTTCATGGGGACATTTTGTGGCAAAGCATGTAAGAGAGTCACTGCCAGCATCTCTTCTTTGCTATTGGCAAGAGTCCCTTGTTGATGCATTAGTTGATGATCCGGAAATTCATTTAGAATCTCCCAAGAAGCTCCAAAGTTCCAACATATGGAAGCATTCCTATATGAAGGCCTGTGCTGCTGTAGACAGAGAGCTAGAGCAGCATCGTAGAATCGATACCTACCACAGTGGAACAACTGCTTTGACAGTTGTTAGACAGGTAATCTGAATCTTCCTACCCTAAAATCACATCCCTAATATTTTCCTATAATGATTTATCAAGGTTTTTCAACATCTTAATTACCTCTTTATGTGGTTTCTAATGCTCGTTTCCTCACACACCGATCAATTGTTTCGATCAAGTATATGACTTAACAAATGGGTTCTGTGGGTAACTATGACCCCTTCTTGTTCTTAAGTTTTGCATTTTCAAGCATCACCTGTGACTTCTGTAGTAGTTGGGAGTTTGTTCTAATTAAGTCCAGAATTTATGAGGTGTGCCATCCAGGCATGTTTAAAGACAGAAGTTCTTCATTTCTTAAAGGTGGTCCTAAATTAGTTGGTTGGTTCATGGGAATCTTTGGCTATACATCACCATTTAATAATTTGGGACCATTATTTCTGCAAGAATGTTGACCTTTATTAGTCTATTTAATAGGCAAATCAGTAAATAATTCACGAAGCTGATCGCGAAAGATTGCTTTAGGAAGTAACTTTACATGTAAGGCCATGTTTATCCTGTGACATTAGATTGGTTAATTGTCCAACTTATTTGCATGTTCATTTTAATTGATCATAACCATCACAAATAATTACCTAAAGTTCGCCTCATATGTTGTATTTATATTATTGACTGATCAATAAAGTAACAATTGCCCAAATTTGAGTCTAACTTTTCTTTGATTCCCAAAACTTTTGACGCTCTTTCAGGGAGATAACATTTACTTGGCAAATGTGGGAGATTCGCGTGCGGTTTTGGGCACCGCCAGCGACAAAGGCAACTTAGCGGCAGTTCAGCTTACTATCGACTTCAAGCCTAATCTGCCTCGTTAGTCTTTATCTTTTTACATTTACAGTTTCATTTGCTTATATAGATATATATGTGGGCGCGCACGAACTATTCTTGTGTTTTCGACTGCTCATCATTAGACTCTGTTAAAATGGCCTACAGAGGAAGCTGAGCGAATCATTCGTAGCAATGGCAGAGTATGTTGTCTGGATGACGAGCCGGGGGTTCAGAGGCTGTGGTTGCCCCATGATGAGTCTCCCGGACTAGCAATGTCCAGAGCCTTCGGGGATTACTGTGTAAAAGCTTTCGGTCTTATCTCCATACCTGAAGTGATTCAGAGACGCATTACGAGCAAAGACCAATTCATCATACTGGCAACAGATGGGGTATATATAACTAAATATAAAGTCGTAATCGAAGATTGCATCGATCCTTTAATTTGCAGCTAAAATGCTTATGTTTTTCTTTCTAACAAAGGTATGGGATGTTGTATCGAACCAAGAAGCAGTTAAGATCGTTGAGGCAGCTCCAAGCCGCCCAAAATCCGCAAAGTGTGTGGTTGATTGCGCGGCACAGGCGTGGAAGAAGAAGAGAAAAGGCATAGCTATGGATGATATCTCCGCTATTGTATTGTTTCTTGATTCATCGACATCCCTACCTCCCCAACTACATATATCTAGAAGTAATTAGAATGGAGGAAAAAAGCTTCATTCATTATCTAAAAATAAGCAAAAATTAATAACTAGTGGTAAGGTACTTCCCAGAAAATCAAAACAATAAATATCGAAAATGAAGCTCTTACTTGATTTTTTCGGTATTTAGTTTCATCCGAAACTCCAGTCTCGGCAACTACAATGAACCTTGGCAAGAGACGCCATGTAGTCATCAGACCTGTTTATATTCATGACAAACCATTATTAAATGACTAAGTCCTGTCAATCTTTAGTCTCGAGAAAAAAGTTTCAACGACAAACCTCGAGCCATAAGGGGATTTACAGGCGGCAACAATGTGAAATTTAGCTTCCTCGGGTTTGTTCTGCATTGGGGAGATATAATGGCTTCAGTAAATGGACAAGAACCATTTGTCACAAGCAGGCATTGCATATTTGCTCAGATAAACGAACCTGGGATTCGTAATAAAGCCCGGCATATAGAGAAGCATAGAAGTATTGGCTCCCTCGTTCACTTGCAAATGCAGCGACAAGCTGTGCACAAAACCAAGTTACTTTGCTGCAGTGATCTCCAATAGATTGTCGGAGAAATGCACTTAATTAGTGTGTGTATGTTACTTTTTCGGGGTGACCGCCATCTTTAAACATGTTGTAGGCATCCCTCATTACGGGCCGGGGATCAACACCTACCTGCATTGCAGGGTTCACTGCTCATATACCAATTCAATGTGAGATGAAAACAAAAAAATGGGAAATAGTTGAGGAAAAATTGTATTCAAAGTATATAGGGTTGTTGTCTTCGATTTTCCATGGCCAAAACAGTACAGAATCGAAGTTACAGACTTGATGACAGCTGAGCTCGTAAGACAAAATTCGATCTCTTAGAAGAAATGAAACTAAAATGTAACCATTACAAATGAGATTCAATATTTAAATTCGGAAGACTAATGTGCAGAGAACGTGTGTCGTGTTATACTAACTTCCCTGGTGCGTCGATACTTATTCAATGTCAAGAAATGAAAAACTTCCATTAGCATTGCATGTAGAAGCAAGTTAAGCACATTCAAAAATAACTATAGGTTGGTACCTCCAGAAATCGTTTTCTGGCTTCGTCAACTCCATACAATTGAGCTTCACATAGAAAGCACCAAATTGATTCCTCGGTGTCATTAGGGTTTTGTGCAACATCTATTCTAAATTGCTCTGCCCCTTCTTCAAATCTAACAAAACGTTTCCGGAACCCACAGAGGAAAGTTAAACCATGAACAATCGACATTAATGTACCAGAAAGATAAGTAGAATGAGAGGCACGAGTACCTATCAAGATAGTACAAAGATAATCCTCTTTGCCAAAGATCTGATTACCCAAAAAAATTCAAAATCATCAATCGAATAAATGATTCGGTACATGCCTGCTAAAAGTTATCATCTAATCTACTATCTAAACTTTAAAATGGAACAATGATACAGCTGAACTAACCTCAAGATGTTGTACAGCTGTTTCGATTAGGATATGGCGAAGTATTATTTTCTAGAGAGTTTAAAGCAGATACATGTGACTTTCTTTCGAGCATCACTTAGAGAGAAAGACAGAGGCTTCAACAAAATACTAATCAACGATGGAATTACTCCAGTAGGATGAAGTTCATAATAGCCATTATTGGGGCCTGAAGCTAAGGTCGTATTCAACTTAGGTGTCAATGACAATCCATGAAGAACTAGTGAAACTATTCATGTCAATGAGCAAGGTGTGTGTTTACTTACTGTTCATGACCTGTTAGACAACTCCACCTAGTGATTTTGAGATTATACAATCTTATGGAGCCTCTTACTTATCATTTGTGTTTATACTAAATAGTCATTTCTTTGCGTCGTAAATTGCAATAGGTAGTGAGTTAAATAACATGATTGGTACAAATATGTATTCTTCGATTGTTGTTCAAACATAGCTCAGCTGCAACAACCATTGTTTAAGGAAAGGTTAAGTTAGAAACACTATTGGAAACTAAAAGATTGATTGTTTCCATATCGAAATAGATTTTGTGCATTTTCGCTGCAAGCTAGTGGATGGAGTTAAATTATACAAAAACTGTCGTAAATGTAGGTTTTTAGTAAGAAGAATAGTTGTGTTCTTGATTACTTTGTAATTTAAGCATTCAAAATGTGCACAAAAATGAGTTCACAAGCAGTCTAGATCCAAAGCATATACTAAACTCAGCAAGAACAATCACTAAAATCTGATGCTACCAGAAATTTATCTGATTCAGAATTGCAAGCCATAACAGTGACAACAATACCAACCAACGCAGAAATTCATCAATTATGAGTATTCAAATTCAATTCAACAAGCTTACACGCTCTCTGACGAGAATCGAGTTCGATAGCCTTGTCAAACTCCACCAAGGAGCCTGGAACATCGCCCTGAAGAGCCAAAATAGAACAATTAAAAACTCCGAGCATCGAATTTATAAGGAATATATATATATATATAATGAAAAATTATGGAAGCTCGTGGCCGCATTTTACCTGCCTGAAAAGAAGCATCCCTCGTCGAATAGCCATGGAGGCATCTCGGGCGGCGGAGTTGCCGCCGGTTAAGACGTTCCAAATCCCAGAGACGGAAGGCAGAAAGAACCTTCTCGAGAGCGTCGCAGTCGAATTGCACCGCCGCAAAGGAGTGGCGCCGGAAAAACGCAAGGAATTAATACTGGAGAAGAAATTTGAAGAATAATGTGTGCTAGATCTCTGCGAAATTCCAGAGGCGGTAATCGGCAAGAGGATTTGGCTCGCATTCGGTGTCGCCATTGATGGCCAGAGAATTTGCGGGAAGGGGAGACAATAATCAGAGGGGCAAACTAGACAATTCACATTAACCTGCGGACTATGTAGACGTGGCATCGCTGTTTCACTTAATAATCAGTTCAATTTTATTTAATTTTTTTATTTACCAAGTGTTACGGATAAATAATGCAGTATTGAAGCGAAAAAGCAAATAGGGACAAAAAATAAAAAATAAAAAAAAATAGAAAAATAAAAAAATAAAATAAAAAAATTGGTAACTCAATTCGATTAAATTGATCTATATTTGGAGAAGTCGTTTATTATAAAATTTCATTATGAAATTATAAAATGAAATTATTATCAACTTATTTAAATTTTGCTTTCGTTAATCAATTGGTATATGCATTTATGAAGATTGATTCAAACAAATAAAATTGCATACACTATTATCTTCCTACAATTATCAATGTAAATTTAAGAGTCCATAGATTACAGTCTCTCCATTTGTAAACACACTCCAGTAATACTTATTTTCTTTTTTTTTTTTCTTTTTTTTTTTTTTTTTTTTATCAATTCACTTACTACTAAGTTTGCATCAATTTATTGTATAATTGTATGTTTGTAATTTATAAAAAATTTAATCATATTTGTTAGAAATTTTGAGGGAAAATAATGAGATGGTCATCTTGATTATCAAAATAAGAAGTCGTGTATATATATATATAAGCAATACAAAATAAACTCAAATCTAAATAATCTAATCTATGGATACGATATAAATCTACTAAATCTAAAATTGAATATCTAAAATATCTCAACAATATTATTATAATACTAAAAAAATAAGAATATGTAAAAATAATAAAAATAATATTTTCAAGGAATAAAAAGAATATATATGTATATATGTATAATAATGTAAAATAAAAATTGATAAGAGAATGATATGGATTGTAAAATTAATGGAGGTTGTTGACCGTCTAATTAAGGGGACGCGCGCTGAGAGCTAAAACACGTGCATGATTAATATGTAGTATAATTTGTTATTAATTAATTACTCCTTAAATACTTTTAGTATAAAAAATAAAAAATAAATAAACAATCCGATCAAAATAAAGTAATAACACCAAAAACACACTCTAGAACTTGGTGTATAATTTTAGAATCCCTTTCAGCCAGCCAGCTTCAATATCAGAATAATAACTTGACCATGCTGCAATGCAATGTAATAAAAACCTCTACATACGTCAATTTTATTCTCCCACTGCTGACGTGGCACTTTTCATTACACAGAAACCTCTCAAATTTTTATAATAAATATACGTAACATATTAATTTATTTTTTATTTTTTTAAAAAAATATATGTTGAAATTATATTGTGAAAAGAAACAAATTAATGATCTTTTGCCAAAGCCCAACTCAAAGCATACTTTCTATCAACATCCCATCCTCAAAATTATTCCTTTCAATTGAATTTCATCCACCTCAAGCAATCCCTTCATTCATATTCAAATGTCCATCCACCCATATATGTTTATTGAACCAATTCTAATTGATTAATTAATTAATTCATTCATGTGTATGTAACAATGGCGTCCACCAATTCTTACCTCTTCATTTCAATAATCTTCTTCCTTTCTCTTACATTTCTTGCCAATGCAAATATTCACAGAAACGATCAAAACTCCACAATCGAAGCCATGATCCTCCAAGCATGTCATAAAATCAAAGATCAGGACACGTGTCTCTCTAATATGCACTCCCGCATCGGCGGCGACGCCCGCCGGAACCCTAATTCCGTCCTCCGGGCGGCGCTCCACCACGCCATGAACCAGACGAGGGCCTCCGCCGACGCCCTCGCGGATTTCAACACTCTGTCGATTTCTCGCCGGGAACAGATCGCCGTCGACGACTGTAGGGAGCTCCTCGACTTCTCCGTGTCGGAGCTCGGATGGTCCCTCGGAGAAATGGCGCGAATCCGCGCCGGCCGGAAAACCCCCCGGTCGGACGGCCACCTCCGCGCCTGGCTCAGCGCCGCCGCCGGCAACCAGGACACGTGTCTCGACGGCTTCGAGGGCACCGACCGACGCCTCGAGCGGTTCGTCAGAGGAAGCCTTTCGCAGGTCACTCAGCTCATTTCGAATGTCCTCACGCTTTACACAGAGATGCACGCTATGCCGTTTAGGCCGGCGGCGCCGCCGCCGGAGAATTTTACGGTGGAGGAAAATGACGGTGTCTTCCCCAATTGGATGACTGATGGGGATAAGGAGCTTCTTGTTGGTAGAGACGGCGATCGCCGGATGCAGGTCGATGCCGTCGTGGCGGCGGACGGGAGTGGAGACTACCGGACGGTGGCGCAGGCGGTGGCCGGAGCTCCGAGCTATAGCAACCGGAGGTATGTGATTTATGTGAAGGAGGGAGTGTACCATGAGAATGTGGATATGAAGAAGAAGAAGACTAATATAATGATGATCGGAGATGGAGCCGGGAAAACTGTACTTTCCGGCGACCGGAATTTCCTGCAAGGATGGACGACGTTCAGAACAGCAACACTCGGTATTGAATTTATTAAATAAATAAATAAATAAATAAATAATTGAATCTATTCTAATTCTTTTTATTGAATTTAATTCCTCCGGCAGCGGTTTCCGGCAAGGGTTTCATCGCGAGGGACATGACGTTCAGGAACACCGCCGGGCCGGAGAACCGCCAGGGGGTGGCGCTGCGTGTGGATTCTGATCAATCGGCGTTCTACCGGTGCAGCATGGAGGGCTACCAGGACACCCTCTACGCGCACTCCCTCCGGCAGTTCTACCGTGAGTGCTCCATCTCCGGCACGATCGACTTCATCTTCGGCAACGGCGCCGCCGTGCTCCAGAACTGCCGGATCTTCACGCGCCAGCCGCTGCCGCTGCAGAAGGTGACCATCACAGCGCAGGGCCGGAAGGACCCTCATCAGAGCACCGGGTTCGTGGTCCAGGACAGCTTCGTCTACGCCACCCGGCCGACCTACCTCGGCCGGCCATGGAAGCAGTTCTCCCGGACGGTCTTCCTCAACACCTACATGACCGCCATGGTGCAGCCGAGGGGGTGGCTCGAGTGGAACGGAGACTTCGCGCTCTCCACGCTCTGGTACGGCGAGTACCGGAACTACGGCCCCGGCGCCGCCGTCGCCGGCAGGGTCCGGTGGCCGGGGTACCACGTCATTAGCGACTCCGCCACCGCCGGTTTCTTCACCGTCGGAAAGTTTCTCGATGGGATGACGTGGCTGCCGGCCACCGGCGTCCGGTTCACCGCCGGTTTAAGGACTTAATTAATCAATTAATAATATAATTATATTAATTAATTATTGTTCTAGCGGTTGCAAGGGAAAATCGCCTATATTAAAGCGGCTTCGTAATCGTATCAACGGCCCTAGATTCTCTGCATCCAAAATGAACGGCTACGATCACCTTCTCAAAACAAGGAATAATATCAGTAACTAACTATGAACAAACAAGGATTCATCTGTTCTGTTCTGCTCTGGATATTCTCATTTCTCATCTCATCATACGATCATATGTCACTAATAAAAAAAAAAAAAAAAGTAAAAAAATCAACCTCAATTTCTACACAATTGATTAATGTATCGTGCAATAATCGAATCAAAGTATGGAAAAGAAGCTCGTGATAGTCATCGTCTGTTCAGTGATGCTGGTGGCGATGATCGTGGCCCTCGTCGCGCTTAATCTCGCCGGCGGCGAGGAGGAAGAGCCGCCTGACGTGGCGGCGTCCCGGAAGGCGATCATAACAATATGCGACACCACGGATTACAAGGAGACTTGCGTCGAAAGCCTCCGGTCGGCCGGGACGAACTCCACCGATCCCCGGGAACTAATTCAGTTCATCTTCCGGGCGGCAATCGACTATGTCAGAAAGGTGGCCGGAAATTCGAGCGTGATCCGCCGCCTCGAGAGCGATCCGAGGGGGAAATCAGCTCTCGAAACGTGCGAAGAGCTCGCAAACCACGCTGCTGGCGATCTCGACCGGGCATTGGCCAAATTCAACAGCTTTGACGTGACGAAAGTCGACGACATCCTCCTCGACTTGAAGATTTGGATCAGCGCTGCCGTCACGAACCAGGAGACGTGCCTCGACGGCTTCGACGACGTCCCCGGAGACTCCGGCCGGAGAATGAGGGAAGCTATGACAACTAGTATGGAGATGAGCAGCAATGCCCTTGCTATGGTCGAAGAACTCTCGACTTATCTCGAGGTCTTAGGTATTCCTATAAAAATATATTATTTTTTTTCATATAAAATATGATCGATACTATTAGGATCATTAGTCTCTTTATATAGGCCTCGGGTTTCAAAGCTACAGGCAACGTCGTCTCCTCTCGTTAGGGAATCCGGCCGCCGGAGGATTCCCCGACTGGGTGGACTTTAACGGCCGGAAACTTCTAACCTCCCCGCCGCAACACATCAAGCCGAATCTCGTCGTTGCGAAAGACGGAAGCGGCAAGTACGCGACTATAAACGAGGCATTGAAAGACATCCCAAAGGATAAAAATGAAATATTCATATTATACGTAAAAGAAGGCGTTTACGATGAGACAATTAAGATCGGCAGTAGTTTGAGACATCTGATGCTGGTCGGCGACGGGCCGACCAGAACAAAAATAACTGGAAAACTAAACTATGTTGATGGCGTCAACACCTACAACACGGCAACTTTTGGTACGTATCGATGAATCTATCGCGTAATTAGTAATGTCGCAATTAAACTCGATTTATCGCCGCAGCTATCCACGGAGACGGCTTCTTCGCGAGGGACATCGGGTTCGAGAACTCGGCCGGGCCGGAAAAGCATCAGGCGGTGGCGCTGCGAGTAAGCGCCGATAAGGCCGTGTTCCACAACTGCCGTGTCGACGGCTATCAGGACACGCTCTACGCGCACACGTATCGACAATTCTACCGCGACTGCGTCGTCTCGGGGACTATCGACTTCGTCTTCGGCGACAGCGCCGTCGTCTTCCAAGGCTGCACGATGCTGATCCGGAAGCCGTTGCCGAACCAGCAATGCGTCGTCACGGCGCAGGGCCGGAAGGATGTTCGCCAGCCGACGGGATTAGTCCTCCAAAATTGCACGATCAAAGGCGACGACGAGTATAACACGGTGAAGGGCACAACAGAGTCGTTCCTTGGCCGGCCGTGGAAACAATACTCTAGGACGATTATAATGGAGTCGTTCGTCGACTATCCGATCCGGCCGGAGGGATGGGCGCCGTGGAACGGCGAATTCGCGACCGATACTCTGTTCTACACCGAATTCAACAATCGAGGTCCCGGCGCGCCGAAGATGGGCCGGATTAAATGGCACGGCATTAAGGAGCTCCCGCCGGATCGGATTGAGCGGTTCACTGCTGCGGAGTTTCTCGATGCCAACCGGTGGATGCCGCCGACGAAGGTCCCGTACGCTCCCGGATTCATCTTCCCGGTCCCGAAGGAAGATCCGAACGTCAAGTACTCGCCGGTGGCGCCGGAAGAAACCAAAGATTTGGGATCGGTGGTTGAAGCAGAAGCTATAGCTTCGCTGTCGCCGTCGCCGAAATCAGCCCCGCCGGAGACTGTTCCGATTGCTTCTCCGACGATGTCATCGCCGGCAAGCAGTCCTGCCGGCACGGCAACATCGGCTCCTTCACCGGCGGGAACAATTAATTTCCCGACGATATCTCCGGTCAATCCAGTTTCGGCTCTTCCTCCGGCGGGGGCAGTTAATATTCCGACGATATCTCCGGTCAATCCAGTTTCGGCTCTTCCTCCGGCGGGGGCAGTTAATATTCCGACAATATCTCCGGTCAATCCAGTTTCGGCTCTTCCTCCGGCGGGGGCAGTTAATCTTCCTACGATATCTCCGGTCAATCCAGTTTCGGCTCTTCCTCCGGCGGGGGCAGTTAATCTTCCTACGATATCTCCGGTCAATCCAGCTTCGGCACCTCCTCCGGCGACGGTTCAAATTGATTCTCCGGCCATGTCTCCGGTCAATCCAGCTGCGGTTACGATTGTTTCTCCGAATACAATCAGTCCTACTGCGACTCCAGCTTCAGCACCTGAGGTTGGTTCTCCGGTACCGGCGAGTTCTGGTGTTCCGGCAATGTCTCCTAGCGGCAGTCCTGCTTCGGATCTACCAGACAACAAAATCAGTCCAGAATCAGATTCTGCTTCGAAGTTTGAGTCATTCGTAAGGGAATCGTTGTTCGGTGTTTCTTCTCCCATGCCTTACGGTTAGACTGCCATAGCTATGGCTATGGCTGCCGTGGTTTTATTGAGAGCGTGTCGGACCGTTGATGTAAAACCGGATAATACTGACTGACGGTTCGGTTCGGTTCGATTCGAGTTTTGGTTCTAAAGAGAGATGGAACCACAGAAGCCGGCGGTTCGGTTTAGTACTAGCATATTGATCTCTCTCTATATTTATGTGTTGGGTATGGGTAACGGTTTAGTACTAGTGAAAATTTTGGAAAATTTTGGCTATGTCTATATATACTCCAATTTGATACTAACATTAATTTTTTTTTTTTTTTTCACAATATAATATTTAAAGATATTCAAAATTGTTTAAAATAATTAATATTTTCCCGCGCAAGATTGATTAAGAACAGAGGGGAAAAATATTCCAATCTCGAACATAACCGCCTGAGTGGTCGACAACGTCACCACAAGGATCGCGCACCTCCACCGTTGGATCAATTAAATCTCAGCCATCCAACAGATCCAGCCAAGGCCAATCCCCATTGGTCAATTCAAAACCACCCGGATCACGAAGCAGCTATAAAAAAACCCCACACAGCACAAACTAACCACCAAAACCTAAAACCGCGAAGAAATCAAACCAAATTACCAAAAATGGAGACGACCACGAAGATTGGCGCCGGAGGAAGGCGAGGCGGCGAGCGGAAGAAGTCGATACCGAAATCGGTGAAGGCGGGGCTCCAATTTCCGGTGGGTCGGATCGCCCGTTTTCTGAAAAAGGGTCGGTACGCGCGGCGCGTGGGGTCCGGAGCTCCGATCTACATGGCGGCGGTTCTGGAGTATCTAGCGGCGGAGTTGCTGGAGCTGGCGGGGAATGCAGCGAGGGACAATAAGAAGGGAAGGATTATCCCTCGGCATGTGCAGCTGGCGATTAGGAACGACGATGAGCTGGGGAAGCTGCTGCAAGGAGTGACGATCGCCAATGGCGGTGTGTTGCCCAACATTAATCCTGTGCTTCTCCCTAAGAAATCTTCTTCTTCTACGGAGGCTACGAAATCGCCGAAGAAAGCTTAAACCTATCATTATATCTATATGTATGTATATTGCGTCGAATTTGTTTTTGGATTCGGATACATAATTAATGTTTACTTTGGAATAAGAGTAAACTTCCATGGAAATTTATAAACCAAAATTTTTAGTTCTTGTTAATTAATTTTTTTTTTTCCATATAAATGGTACATATTATTATAAGCAAGCAAAAAATAAAATATAATTAATATATTAATAAAAATTAAAATACATAATTATATTTAAAAAAATAACAAATTTTAAGAGAAGATTATAATAAAAAAATATGGACTAAATGTTTAAAAATTATTTTTGTTGCTATTAGCATGTGTTATTTCTTTTTATTTTAATAAATATTATTTATTTTTCTTCCTAATCGCTACAAGTTTTATTTATTTTTTTATTATTGTATTTAATATTATATATAAATATTATTATAATAGTGTGCTATAAAATACGGATAAAAATAATTTTGCTATATTTTTTATAATTAATATTAAAATATAAATACGAAAACAAAATCATTAAGTTTTGAAGACTAAAATAATAAATAAATTTCCAAAATAATAATTAATTAATTAATCAAGCAAGCAACTAGATAGAAAGCGTGAGAAGCTAACCGAGATTCTTTTCCTACAGTTGAGGACTTGAGAGGCGCCTCAAGTAACCACCTATCTTCATCTTCCCTTCTTCACGCAAGCACCATCTTGATCCAACAATTTTCATGGAGATTTTTGAGAAGAAGAGGGTTCAGTTTCTGCTCTTCATTGCTGCCGTCGTTGCTCTCAGCATCACTGGTATGGTAACGCGATTATCTTTTTAATCGTAATTTTTCTCTTATAAATTTTCTGCTCTCTGAATTAAGTACCCTCTTCGATCAATTGACTGGAACTATGTGTAGTATTTACTGTACCTTTTATCCTTTTCTCCGCTGAAACCCGTAGAAATGGCGAGAGATTGGCTAATTCGGGTCAAAATTGGTCAACTTTGGAGTCATTGAGCGTTTTCCCCTCTTCTTGCGGACACTTCTTTTGTGTATGTGCATTGTAACTGAAAAGCGATTTATCAGGGATGAAGGATGTGAAACTTTTATTGTTTATTTTTTAAAACTCTGAGTATGTGAATACTGTATTGCGATCTTACATTCTTTTGGGGTGCTTTAGTTGTAATATTGAAGTATGTTAAGTGTGCAAAGTTTTATATGCTGTTTGTTAATTTGTACAGTGCTAACTCATTGCCATGGTTATTTGTGAAATATACATGTGATTATATTTGTTTTGGGAGTAGGAATGAACTTGAATCTGAATTTGACTAGCGGGCAGTGATTGTTCAAAAGTTTTTCTTTGTGGAATTTGACTAGTGAGCAGTGATTGTTCAAAGGTTTTTCTTTGTGGTTTAACATATCTATTCCATTATTCAGCAAAATTTGCATTCAATATTTAACGTGTAATAAGTTTTCAATATATTTACATTATAGTTTTGTTGTCTATTAATAAGTTTTCAATATATTTACATTATAGTTTTGTTGTCTATCTTTACCATTGAACTTGTTAGTTATTTATTTATTTTCATTTAATTGTTTTAAGAAGGAGAAGATTAATTTTTTTAGTTTGATTGTGTCTTTTGATGTTGTTTTTGGTTCCAAAATGACATCCAAACATTGAAAATTCTATTATTGCTGCAATTTTCCCATGTTTTTTTAGCTCTGTCCTGTTCATATCCCTTATTTTTCATGTACAGCTGAAAAGTGTAGGCTCATGGTTGGAGAAGAAGCTGCATCAAAAAGTGGTCAATTTACGATATTGAATTGCTTTGATGGGAATACTGGAACACTTGCATGTGTAGTAAAGGAAGGTGTGAAGCTCTATTTCTACAACATTAGAGCTATGCACATGGAGAGCAGAAGGAATCAAGCAATTGAGGCTGCGTTGGCCGATGCAGTAGCCCAAGGCTTGCCTGCTAAAGAGGCAGCCAAAGTAGCCCAGAAAGAAGGAGCAAAGGCTGCCAAGCTAGCCAAGCAAGAAGCCAAGCGCATTATCGGGCCTATTGTTTCTTCGGGGTGGGATTTTTTTGAAGCACTTTACTTTGGCGGTACTCTAACAGAAGGATTTCTTCGGGGCACAGGTACCTTATTCGGTACTTACACTATAGGTGTTATTGGAGAGCAGAGATTTGGCAGGTTCGGGTATTTAGTGGGAAGTCATTTGGGTAGTTGGGTTGGAGGAAGAATTGGGCTGATGGTGTATGATGTTGTCAATGGAGTTGAATACCTTCTGCAGTTTGTCCAATCACCCGAAACTGAACTTTCTGAGGACTCTTCTAGTGGTGAAGTTTCTGATCGCAATGAAGTTGGTAGTTCTGAGGCTGCTGGAGATTCATTTGTAGAAGAACAGGTGCCTGAAGATTTCTATTCACAAGAATCCAGTAGTATGTCGGATGAGTCCAACAGCTACCCCACCCCACCTGAGGAGATTTTTGATGCACATGATGAATTTTAAGAAGGTAAAATACTCAATTATTCGTACATTTTTCTGTGCAGATCATACATTGCTTTTTAGTATGTATTCTTTACACAAGTGTTGAGAGTATTAGAAAAAGTACGAGTAATGGTAGATTATATATGCGGTAGGATATAAGTTGGAGTTGGGAGCGATTTTACACAAGATCCATTTTGACCAATAACTGATTGATGAAATTGCTATATGCTTACAAAATGTCAGTCCCAACATGTGTATATTCTACAGATGTAATGGTTATGATCATTGAATGAGTAGAGGCATTAAAATCTTTTCCATAAGTTGTTGCAGAATAGAGGATATGGGTGGTCAATAAGTGATGGTGGAAATAATGCATTACAAGGAAGGTGTGACCAGCAGCAATCGGTGAGAATGTGAGAGAAGCACATTAGTTTAGTTGTATGTATAGGAGACCTTCATATGCATTAAAAATCAGTGACATTTGATCCATATAGGAAAGACTCTTCATAGTGGAATAAAGGCTTAGTAGATGATGACGATATTCTTTACATATATTTTTTTATTTCATGTATTAGAAATCCAAATTGTATTTATTCGAGAGTGTCTGATCTAACGATGATTAATAGTTCAATAAGGTTATCTGCTAAGCTGATGAAAAGTATTCTTTTCACCTCATGTTTACATGTATTTGGTGTTTGAGTTTGGTTTCCATTTCGATCAACTGTACCAAAATAAAGAGTTAAAAAGGGAGCCATAAATGGCTCGAATTTGATTCCAGCTGAACGGCACATTGCTATTCCATATGTGGGATACCTATTTCTGTGTTAGCAATAAAATTTAGGAAGAATCACAAGTTTTTGACTAATGGGGCATCAGGAACTGGGAAGTTATGAAGAAATTAGATCCTTAAAGCCTCAGAATATCTTCTAGAACAACGAACATTCTGTGTTGCTGTATGTTTCAGTCATGGTTCATTCAATGTAGTGTTTTTACAAACCACAGGGAAATTCTGAGGTGAAAACGATAAGAGGGTTGTCGGACAGATTACAGAACTTGCTTTAAACTACTACTAAACAGCCGGTGGATCAATGCTCCGATGGATGCACTTGCTCATACATACGCTACATATGGTGAGTAGATGGTTTTCTAAACTGATTTATTTGTCTGTTGGAATGTAAAACAGTTATCAGAGCTTTAGATTCTTTGAATATTCACCTTAGCTTTCTCACACTGTATAAACATGTAGTATTAGATTTTCTTAGTTTTTTTTTTTTTGGATGAATTTGATATATTGATCGGGAAATGAATGATATTCTTGTTGAAAAATATCTACTTTGGGAGTTTTGTCTACAAACTTAGGATGTGTTCTGTTGCAGATGTGTTGTGTATCCTTCTATTTTTATTATTGCTGTTGTTTAAATTTCAATTAATTTTTTTTATAGTTGAAATTCAATTGAAACTTTTACTAACATTGATTTTGATTGTGTGGGGGCATCATTGTTTCTCTTTCTCTAGTGTTTTTTGTATGAAGTGAAAAAGTGTTACAAAATTATCCATAATTCTCTTACTGTTTCGCAGCTTAATGTAAATTTTTGCGCTAGCTAAATTTTGAAATTACATTGGAGTTGCCATTTACCCCAAAACCCATATATATCAAACACTTTCTGAAACCAGTCACATGAATGCATATGCCTCTCTCTCTCTCTCCCTGTATATATGTGTGTGTGTTTGAAATTTTGGCACTATCTCTCACATGTGAAAATAATTCATACATTTGTGGGTCTCATTACATTGAATCACATGAGAAGTGTCTTCTTGCCTTCTTTATTTGTCACATTTTGCTCTTTTTAAGGTTTGCCTTTTTATTTTGTTTGTTACCATCCATATCAACCTTAATTAAATTATACTATATAATAGATTAGATTGGATTCGATTCTTAAAGAGAAACTCTAATAAATATTGGGTTTGTAAAGAAATTTTGCATATCAATCTTTCTTTTTCTAGAAAAAAAATACAAATATCTAAAATCAAATTTTAGTTCATCTAAAAAGGATATTAAAACAAAATATACAAAAACTTAAAAAGAAGAAGCAAACCATCAAATAATATTAATATACGGAACATGTTTACATATTACATTTACATATTACAATAAAATAGTATGATGGTCCTGTAAAAGATGACCCAATGGTGTAGGTGTTGGACTTGTAACTATATATATATATATCCTGTAAAATGAACAAATGTGTTACATGGTCAAAATTATAGTAATTGTTTACTTATATAGGTAACTTTTCTATTAAGGTATTTCAGGGTATTTAATCAAATTTAATTTAAATAATAAGAAAGAGACGTTTAATTAGGCCACACTAGAATTTGGCTATCTAACTTCAACCTGAATTGGTTGTATTGTTCTTCATTTAATGCCATCATATCATTATTAAATACAATATCCATGAAACCTACGCATTTCATACCATTAAATCTATTTTTATTTAAAATATCATATAAGTACAATACTTACTTTCACTTCAAAAAACAAATAAAAATAAAATCAAATAAAATGACCTAATAATGGTATTTTAAAAGCAAATGAAAGTTTAAATAAGAGACATAATTGCAACAATTGAACACTCTTATATGCGTCATTTTATACAGTACAAATATTATTTTAACAAAAACATTTGTCTAAATAAGATCTGTATAGGAGTTTCGAACAATTTTTAAAATAATAATAATAAAATATATATATTTAATGAAATTCATTTTAAAAGAATTACCATAAAAATCATCGTACTGATCATGGACAAAAGAAGTGCCCATATATACACTTAAAAATCATACTTCTCAATTGCATATATATTTACATTCAAATCTAAATTTATCTTAATATATATATATATGTATAGCTATGATACTATTTTATCAGAGAAGTTAAAGACCAATATTTAAAAATTTGATTGTAATACAAAATAAATACAATTTAAATTTTATTAATTATGGTGAAGACGAAGATATCATGGACAGAAGTTTCTTCAACAGGTGAGTTAACCTCAAAAAAAAAAGAAAAAAGAAAAAGAAAATTAAATAAACACAACATGGCACACATCAACGGGCTGCCCGGCCGCCGGAAACGCCGCCGTTTAGAAGTCCGGCGAGCTGAGCCATGCCTTTAACTTGCATTTCCAGAGCCGCAATGTAGTCCGCGGTTTCTTCTAGAAGATTCGGCAGCGACAGCTTCCGGCAGCCGGGGATAAGCCGGCTCAGCGCCCTAACTTTCCGCTGCAGCGGTGGAAGCCTCTTCCGGCTCGGAGCCGGCTTCTTAATCCCAACGTCTGGTTTTGGCGGACCGGCTCTTCTGTGTCTTTTCCCGGTCGAGCCGGTCCTCGTGAGGCTAAACCGGCCCGTGAGAATTGCGCGGCTCCAGCGGGTTCTGCCTTTGGCGGAGACGGCGAGGAGTCGGTCGGCGGCGCGGCGGACGGAGGCGGCGGAGAAAGGGCGGCGGAGTGCTCCGGCGAGCCTTGAGGAATAGATCTGCTGCTCGGCGCCGGTCCTCCACCGCGTGGATCGTTGCCGTTTTTGACCCACGGCGGAAGACGGCGGCGGCGGCGGCGGCGGTTCTGGCGGCATTGTGGGTGGAGAAGAAAAAGTGTGGTATGGGAATGGGAGAAAAAGTGGGTGGGATTCTTTAAGGTATGGAAATGGCAGAATTGGAAGAGGACTGCTTCTTGTGGTCGTGCTCTTTGTAATTGTGGGGCTGTGTAAATGTTATGTAATGTGATCAAAATTACACTCCATCAAGAGTGAGAAAGGGTAGAGAGAGAGAGTGAAGAAAACGACAAACAACACGTCCTTTGATTTTCTTGCATTCCCACGAACTCTTTTATTAATTATTATATTAAAATATAATATAATTAAAAAAAATTACATAAATATTTTCATTAATAACTTATAATATTTGTTAAAAAAAATTATAAAAATATAATAAGAAAAATATAAAAATAAAATTCGAATATATAAATATATAAAAAAAAAAAAACTTTGATGGGTGTAGCATGGAACCATAACGATGGTGAGGGCCCACACACATGTTAGTATTTTTCTACCGGTTTTCTTTAATTCAAAAGAAGAAATTTTATCACTCTTTGGGTCCCAGACTTCAATCCTACTAACGTTAGTCACGCTGATTTAGTAATTCATTAATTAAATATTTTAGATTTTGTTTGTCGCGTCGCATAGTGTAATTTGTTTTAATCTAATTTGAAGGTTATCAAGTTTGATAAAAAATTTATTTAAAATATAATAAAAAATGGATTCTTTTATTTAGGTCGTTCCGCATTGGACAATATATATAATAATGGTATTTTGTGAAAATAAATTATATACTTTTTATTTATTAAAAATCGTATAAAATAAATAATATTAATTTTGATTTGATATTGTAATTATACACACGTTTAATTTACATGCGATTACAAACAAATAAAAACAGCCAAGCTAAGCATGAGAGCAGATTCAATGTATACTTTCTTAAAAAAAAACACAAACAAACAATATTTTATCCAAACAAGAAGGCCGACAAAGGGTTTGTAAATCTTTAACTTAGTGTTGGATTTTTTTTTCAACTATTTATTATATTTAACTTTACATGTAGTTTGTTCGTTCCCGACAATAATAATATTTTTTGTTAAATAATTAATGCACTTTTAAAAAATAGACATGTGAAGAATGGAAAGGCGAACCGTAATAAATAAATTAACGAGAAATCATACTTGAAATTCGTGGAAAGGCAACTAATTTATTAAACAGTGTCTTGGATTTTAATGAAATTTTCGATTAAAAAAACATAGAAAATATTCATTTTTCCATTTTAGTCCGTCCCATAATAAAATATCTATTTTTTTTAGTTACTGTAGTGTCTGCCTAACATTACAAATACCCTTACAACTTATAATATATTACATAAATGTCATTACCTTTATATCATACATACTAATAAGGTTATTTTAGTCATTTTTACTCTATTCCTACTATATCCAATATAATACTAATATTTTTAAAATTAGGTGAAAAAATAAATGAATATTTTAATTATGGGAGGGAGTATTTTGAATACAATCTAATTTAACAAAGTAATTTTTTTAAACAAATTATAAATAAAAAAATACAAACAAATATAACTAGTGTAGCCCTTATATATGTAAAAATCACTTAATCTCCTTTCTTGTTCACAATTTTTTTCATTATTTATTTATTTTTAATTAAATAAAAAAACAAGTTCACAACTTTTCTTGCTCACAATTAGGGTTTTCTTATTAAATAGTAACTAAAGATAGTTAGACCTTTCGTATTTCCACAATTACTATCATTGATTTGTCCAATAAAATAGAGCCCTATATATATCACTCCAAAACAAATCAAACTGTCACACCTAAAATTTAAAAATTAAATTAAATTAAATCAAAGATGTCTAACAGTTTCTTAAGAGCAGATCCTTACCTCAATTCCTCTTCCATTTCCTACAATGCAGCGACCTCCAAATACGTCGTGACCTTCGCCGGAACCGCCATAGAAACGACGGTTACCGACAAGGCCGCCGTCGCCGCCGCCTGGGTCGCTGACATCACTTCCCTGTACGGCGATGCCCCCGCCGTCGTCGGCCTCGACGTCGAGTGGCGTCCGCACCAGATCAAATCGATGAGTAACAAATCAGCCACTCTGCAGCTTTGCATCGCAGACAAATGCCTGATTCTGCAGCTGTTCTACATGGACGAAGTCCCCATTTCAATTAGGGATTTTCTGATGAACCCTAATTTCACGTTCGTCGGAATCGAGGTCGCCGACGACGCCAGGAAGCTGAGCGCCGAGTACGGGCTTAGTTGCGCGCGGTGCGGCGACATTCGCGACGCTGCGAAGCTCCGGTGGCCGGGGAGATTCTCGCGGCCGGGGCTGAAGGATCTGGCGAAGGAGATTTGTGGAATGGCGATGAAGAAGCCGCGTCACGTGTGCATGAGTAATTGGGAAATTAGGGTTTTGAGTGAGGCGCAGATTGAGTATGCTTGTATTGATGCTTTTGCTTCTTATAGGATTGGGCACAAGCTTTTTATTGAGAAGGCGTGACTGGGTTTGACTTTTTGGGTCGTTGACTTGTTGGGTGTCAACCTTCGTTGGATCGAAGGTTTTATCTTTTTTTTTTTTTTTCTATGTTTGGTTTGTCAGTTTGCTGTTGTTGTGTTTTCTTGTTGGTGTTGTTTTGGAGCTTCTTTTGGTTTCGTTTCAGTGTTGTTTAATGGAATTTGATTTTAATTATTATGGCTTTTGTTATTACAAAAATGTTTATTTAAGTGTGTTTTTTCAACTCAGATTTAAATTTTTACTGTGCAAATTGTATAAAACTCCAAAATTTGTATTGTTCATTTTTTAGCTGACGTATTGCTGAGAAATTCTGCCTAGCATTTCTTTTTTTTCTCTGATAAAATTAAAATATATTATTAATTTTCATTGTGTAATTAAAAGGTAAAAAATATATATACAATATTTATTATTCTGTGGAGGGTGATAGTTTTTATAATACAAATAAATAAAAATTTAAATATATATGAAATAGAATATAAATTTATAAATAAAGTATGTTACTTAAATTTTATTTATTATATTTAATATACATTTATATTATTTTCTTCAATTATCTATAAAATCAGTACCATAGCCCATATAGGGTGCTGTTGTATGTAATGTTTTGGTTCTGGATGAGTTTTAAATATTTAAATGTTGAATTAAATTAATTGTATAATATAATATAATATAAGTATGTATTGATGCTTAATTAAAAGTAATATTAGGGTGTGTTTGTCTGGGGGTTTGGATTTTGAGTTGGGATTTCAACAGTAAAAATTTTGAATTTGATGTATGATAGTGATATAAATAGATATTGATGTGATATTATGAATGTAAAATTAATTTTTAATATAATATAAGAAATGAGAAATAAGTGTTTGATTTGATGTTTTTAAGAAAAAAAAATTGAATGAACAGTGTAAATCCAATTTAATGCTCCAAACAAACACACCCTTAATGTAATATAAAAAATTAAAGATAAATATTTAATTTAATATTTGTTTTAAGAAAACAAATTATAATAATAAAATTAAAATCAAAACTTTATAAACAAACACACCCTATAGTATTTTTTTTTTAATTTTATTTTAAACGTTAAAGTGCAAAATTGTTCTAAATCCCCAAATCCGATTTAGGGTTTAACGGCTGACAAAAAGCTTCTAATTCGTCTCGACAATGGTGGAGAACGGAGTCGATTCGCATTTGGAGGACGAGGAAAATGGAAAGGATTACGGTGTATTGTTGTACTACAAATACGCTGAAATTCCTCATCTCCAAAATCTCTTCGATTTCTACCACTCTAATTGCTCCTTCCTCTCCCTCCTCGGCCGCGTTCGCCTCTCCCCCCACGGTGTCAACGTCACTGTAATTCGATGCTTCCATTTCTTCAAGTCTCACATATTCACCGAAATAGTGTTTTAACTTATCCATTTTACGTGTTCTTTTTACATGGGTAAACCTTGGTGTTTGTGTGCAGGTTGGCGGGAGATTGTTGGCATTGAAGAAGCATATTGAGGCAGTGAAATCTAATGCCTTGTTTGAAGGAACGGATTTCAAGCTTGCGTCTTGCTTTGAGCCGGTGAATGATCAAGTTGCTAGAGAATGTGGATTCACTTCATTGTCTATCCGGATTGTCAAGGTTGTTAGGAATTTGGCTTACCTGCATATTTTAAGGCAATCGATGTTTAGACACAATCAGCTGGGTATAGATTATGTATTTTTGCTCCTGTCCTGCTGAAATTATTCCAACCTGACTTGATTGAATGGCACTAGTTATTTATGGGTTTCCCACTCGTTGAGTTTTTTGGGTGAAACAGTGCAAAGTGAAAATGAATTATTTTTCACCAGGTATGTAAGCAGGATTGACAATTGAAGACTGCATTAACCTGATAGGCATCTCTAGTGTAGTGCTGAAATTGATTAGACTGTGGAAACTGAATTCTGACATTTTGTGTGCCCACATGTAGGTTAAAGATAGCATATATTAAATGGGGTATACCTATGTGTTGTGGTTAGGCAATGTTTAATAGCAGTATTTAACTGGATTAATTTATTTGTTTGATGAGAGAAGGAAGTAATTTGGCATAAAAAAATTTAGTTTGAATGAAAAGAAAGGAAACTAATGTGAAATAGAAGGATTTTGTGAGCGAAAATATAGAATTTTGTTATAACAGGGGTTGGAATTTTTCTTTATGAAATTTGTAACAGGAGACTATTAAAAGATCATTATAATACTTTCTGATGTTTTCTTGTTATCTGGAGGGGTCAACTTAAATAGTAATTCTGACATGTTTGATAAACAAATGGAATACTTAGTTTATGCTAGAATCAATCATGCAAGCATGCGTGTCTTGCTGTCCACTGTCCGTAACGGTTACAATCTTCTGAGCCAACTTATAATGTTTGACCCTTCTGAAAGTCTTAGAGTGGTTGAGATTTTCATTTGCTTTTTCCCTCAGAATCAAGCTGAAACAGGTTGTCTCACTGTCCATAGGAATTGGTGACTTTAAGTTCTCATCCCCTGTTGACGTCTCCTGATATTTCAAATGCTGGGAAGCATCTCTCTGCAGCTGAATTTCATTCTGTACTTCAAAATGCAGGTATTTATTGCCCTTTTGCTTCATTTTTTTTTTTTCATTGTCTTAACAAGTTCATATACATCAATTGGATTTGGGGTCCTCAGTATTTGAACTAATATAAATATCCAAATGCATGAAGCATTCATGAGAATATTTCATTCACTTTATGTGGTAATCCTGGGAAGTACGAACTAATCCAGATATCTTTGGCTTCCCTTTCATGTTGGATGTTTTGGTTGTTCTATCAGGGAAGTGTGAAGAGGAGACTTCTTGTTCTGACAAAAAATTGATACTGTTAGATGCGCGGAACTTGTATGAGACAAGAATAGGGAAATTTGATAATGCAGATGTCCAAACCCTGGATCCAGAGATCAGGCAGTACAGCGACCTACCTTACTGGATAGACAACAATTCTGATAAATTGCGAGGGAACAATATCCTTATGTGAGTATATCTGTTAAAATACAGCATGTGCAGTAATTGCGAAAATAAAATACTCTTGATATATGCACCTTGAGACTATCAAAAGAAGTGCACCATTGACTTGTAATATCTGATTATACATACATGGCTCTAATACTCTTGAATGATGATATGTGTTTCCTGTTTGCATGAGTGATGTCATGATGTTCTTTGCTGCTTATCATACTTGCTAACAAACACAGCATTCTTTGTCTGCTTTGTATTCTCTCTATTTTCTAGTGTTGTTTATCTTTTACTTTCTTCTTGGTGAATTACATATCCTTCTACATTTGCATTGATGGAAAGATATTTCATAATTCCATTGGGTGGCATTAACCTGTGGTATTTATAATCTCTTTTATTCCCTCTCTTCTGGTCCTTTGTTCATGGCATTTTTCACTTGCAAATTGGTTTTCTATCCCTGCTGAATTTGTGTCTATTTCCTATTTCCTCTAACCTATGCTGCTTTCAAGTCTTCTGAGTAATTCTGTATCGCCTTTTTCAGTGAATCATCCATCACCTATGTTATCTGTGAATATATGTAATCAATTTTCTCTTTCTGAAAAGGTATTGTACTGGAGGAATTAGATGCGAGATGGCATCAGCATATATCAGATCAAAAGGTCCTGGCTTTGAAAATGTTTATCAGGTGCTGAACAATTGCCATATTTCTTTTCTTATGCATTTCTTTTGTTGTATGTCTTATTGGTGTATACTTCTATTGCTGGCTGTTATTTGATTGCCTGGAGTGAAGTTTGATTATTTGCAGTTATGATCTTTATGATCCTGATATTCAAAATGTGGATTATTTGCAGTTATATGGTGGAATTCAAAGATATATGGAACAATTTCCTGATGGAGGATTTTTCAAGGGAAAAAATTTTGTTTTTGACCATCGGTATGGTTTCAATTTCTTTCTATTACGTTGCGTAGCTGATGGTTCATGCCTTATTTTTACTGAACATTAGTCGTGCATAACTTTTCAAGCTTTTAGAAGTCAGAGGTTATTTCAAATTCTTTTTTTTGATAACGATCTATTTCAAATTCTTAATTTCAATTTGTGTTGTAATCTGATTGCTGAACTGTTCAACTATACAAGCTACTTTATGCTATATAAAGTTGCAACCTACAAACTTACTCTTTGCACATTTGGTTTGAACTAGTTATCTTTATTTCGGTTATCCTCTAGCATGAGATTTGATGAAGGCTGTAATCTATATGAACTAGTAACAATCAGTTTTATATCATTGGGGAATTATATTAACTTAGATTAAGATTTCCTTGCAGAAAAGATGTCGATTTCCTTAAACTCTTTTATATCAAGATTGTTCTTTTGTTCTAGTGTTTCGGTTGGGAGCTCAAATACTAGCATCTTGGGAGCTTGCCTTCTCTGTGGTGTGTCTTTTGATGACTACACTTCTCGCTGTCGGTGTACCCACTGTAGGATGCTTGTGTTGATATGTGATAGTTGTCAGGTATGGAATCTATTTACAATACTTTAAACCCATGGATATTGGGATCAGAAGGGGTATAGTGGATTATTTCATGTTGGCTTACATTCTGTCAATGCTATAATCCTCTATTTTTATTTTATATTATTAGTGTTTTGCTTTCTAAATAGCCAATTTAGACTTATGCTATTACTTGATGCAGGAAAAGAATTCTTCCTATGTTTGTGAATTATGCCAGAAACATGACAAGCCTATCCCTCCAATTTCTGACCCAGATGATGTGTCTGAAAATGCATCAGAACCTCACGATCAAAGTTTAAGCAAGCTTCAAGTGACCGAAGGTATGCTCTGTAATCTAAACAGTATTGATCCGCTGCCATAATTTGCAAACTGTTCTAATGTAAAATACAAAGTAATTTAAAAATTCAATTCAAAAAGAAAAAATAACAAAATCACCTAATATCATCCTTATGTTATTCAAAAATTCCGAGAAAGTATAATCACCAAAAGACCTGAAAGCAATTTGCAGTGTTTTGAAAAATAAGTTATTTTTTATGATTTTATTTTGCATAGGTTTGTTTCACAGTTTTAATTTGCAATTTTATTTTATTGAACTGCCATTATTGTGCTTAGTAACACTTTCAGACTGGGGGATCCTCAGCCCCCACCCTACCCCCTCAAATATATATATATATATATATGTACATACAAATCTATTTGAGGGGACTGGTGTCTGTGGTACTCTACAGCTGAGGATTCTCTCACCTTAGAGATAAAATCTACTACTGCTGTATAATGTACATTTATTTGCTATCCATGATGTCAGAGCTCCGTACCATTTTAGCTAAAAGATAAAATCTGTGCATTATGCAGGACAATGTACTGCCACAACCAAGTCAATGAAAAAGCTTCGAATTTTATGCTTGCATGGCTTCCGGCAGAATGCTTCCAGTTTCAAAGGAAGAACAGCATCACTCGCCAAGAAACTCAAGAACATTGCAGAACTCGTGTTCGTGGATGCCCCACACCAATTACCTTTCATTTACCAACCTCCCCCGGCCGATGCAAAATCCACCTCACCACAACCGCCTCCATCCTCCGCCCAATGCAATAAAAAGTTTGCCTGGCTGGTTGCCTCTGAACACGACATAGATCTTGACAACAGATGGAAAGCCGCTGAAACTCCATTCGACTCTCTGCAATATCAGCAACAAACTGAGGGGTTCCAAAAGTCCATCGAATACTTGAAAACTGTATTTTCTCAATTAGGGCCCTTTGATGGGATACTCGGATTCTCTCAGGGTGCTGCCATGGCTGCTTTAGTTAGTGCAGGCGTGGAGAAGCTCGGGGATTTTAGGTTTATAATTTTGTGCTCGGGTTTTGCAGTTGACATGGCAGGACATGCTGATGGGTCGATTGATTGCCCGTCGCTTCACATTTTTGGAAGCAAAGAGGGTCGAGACAGGCAGATCGATTGCCAGGCTAGTCAACAGCTGGCTGCCTTGTTCCGGGAGGACAGTCGGGTGATTATCGAACACAATGTCGGTCATATGATTCCGACGAGAGCTCCATACATTGATGAGATCAAAGATTTTTTAAAGCAATTCCTGTAATTTATATTTGGATCAACTGCTAGATTCAGGGTGTGATATTAGTTGTTTGATTTGATTAACTGTGAGAATAGCCTAAATTGATTCATGGTGTAATATTAGTGGTTTTGGAGGATTATGTCTTGCGTGGTAACAAACAAAAAAATTTGCTGACTAAAAATTGATGCTTTTTGTTACATTTGTTGACTTTTGTGTAGGAGTTACTTGTGAATGATTAATTTGTAGATTTAAATAAGTCCTTTTTTTTTTTTTTAAACGGAGAATTACCCAAATAATTGTAAATTACATGCAACATATGGCTTTAAAAAAATAGGTCTATAATTTTGACGTATTTATATATTCATATATTAGTTATTTAGTATATATTTTCTTGACCTGCTTTTTATGCCACTGATATAAACAAATAATAATAATAATAATTTTTATATTAAAATAGTATAAGTAAAAAACATAGTTAAATATTATAAAAATATTTATTAAAACAATGATAAAATAAATAAAAAAATAATGACAAATAGCCAATATAATTATCCGACTAAGGAATATTATATACTTAGTATATATTTATTGAATATTTTCACATTTCAATATTTTTGAAGAAAATAAAAAATTATATAACTAATTTATATTAGAATAGTATTTATATACAATCAAATTTTATAATATGCTAAAGAGATATATATATATATATATACATTAATGTTCACTCAACACAACACAATTCTAACTAAAATGAAATTAGCATAAAATTTGCTCTTATACAAAAGATTTTAAGAAATTGGAACCAACCTAAACATATCATTTTCCAAAAAAAAAAAGAAAAAAAAAACAAGAACAGTTAAGGCCACCTAAAAGGAAAGAATGGGCTCTGTTGATGTTAAGAACAAAAGAACAGTAGAGATATTTTTTAGAAGTCAAGAAAAGCACAAGTCTTTTTACAATATAGTCATACTAATAAATGTTGCAATTTCAATCACGACTCGTTCTCTACTCTCACGATGGTAATATATATTATCTGTGTTGGAATTTCCCATCTCTAATCTCTCTCTAAAACTCAACTACAAGAGCAAGTTCATCTTCCCAACCTCATCCTCCATTATTACTTTTCCCCACAAGAACCATAACAATGTAAGACTATTATTTACAGAATGCAATGGCCAAAGATAGATTAGGACTCCCAAATTTCACACAAAAAGACAAAACAACTTTCAGAATTAATAATAAGTATGAGCCCAACATTACCAAATAATTGTAGTGCACATCACCTCATAAGGTAAATGTTCAATTCCTCAACATGATAACATGCATTAATGCAGGGGTTCGATCGCCTGAACAATATAATATTATAACATATACAGATATATTGCCCTGTAACAGAATGACAAAACAAGTAACAATTGCATCAATTATACAATCCAAAGCCTGTAAATAAATGAAGTTCTCTCATCAAACACCTGTATCTAATGGAAGGTAAGCGCATGAATAAATTTGATTTATCAATATAATCCCCAAAAAAATATACAGCAAGCGCCAATAATGCCTAATGTATTTTCTCAGTCACAAAAAGAATCAGCAGCTGATTGTACATGACATAATTCCAATCCTAATTCTGAGCATGATTATGGTCCACACATGATAACAGCTAGCTGGTTTCGAAGAGCAAAACTCAAAATTTACCAGCTGAACTTCATAAAATTACCGATCCAAAAATGTTCTAAGCATTGTGAAAATTTATGTACAAAGAAAATTTGAGCAAGGGGTAAAAGATACCATTCGGGATGCCTGCCTTTGCTTACAAGTGCGGAACCTGCAATGCACACAAATGTTAGCGATTTTTCCAATTGTAGAAGGGTAAACTCTATCATATCTATTTGCTGCTACTCAATGGTTTAATTAAGTCTATAACTGTCACAGGCGCACAGCAGGAAGACGCATGCCAAGTGCTATATTAAAGCTTAATGCAAATTTACATAATAGATGAACTATATTTGTATTGCAATTAATTTTGATAAGAAGTTAAGCATATAAAAATTTTATACAAATACAATTAGAATCAACAAACACGCCACGTGCCATTTCAACATCCCCTATTTATTGTATAAGTTAAAGATGTTAAGGCTCAAACTAAAGGCATTCATATGATCATGTGATGGTGGAAGCTCTAGCAACATTCTAGAAAGCTCTAACAGTAGTACTGCCAAAATGTTATATCAAGGAAGCAATATACTACGACAGATGCACGCAGAATGGAAAAATGATAAAACAAGAATCTCCTATGTTTCATGTGATGAAATTACTTCGATCACGCACTCAAAGCCCCATTATCATCCATCGCAATTGAAAATGGAATGCCATGGTGCATCCTCTGCACTATTTTGTTTGGCAAGGCATGCTTGAGGATGGGACATGGCACGATTCAAGTCTTAGTTATTTATTTATTAGGGCTAATTAGGATTAACTAGGGAATAATTTTAACTTTTTTTTTACTAAAAAAGAATATGGAAAAGTTTTATTTTATCGTTCTTCCTAAGTTTATAGCTGTTGCCCTATTGTTTTTCAGATCTCCTTTTTGCCTCACACACTTCCTCACCATTCACGCTACAGGTCTTCTGCCAGGTAAGGCAGCCAGCAGCAGATGCTTCAGCATTTCATATAAACTGCTTTCTTTTTTTCCTGTGTTTTTTTTCTCTATTAGTACATTATGTTTTACATGTTCTTTATAAGATACTTGAATAATGATTATTGTTTGTTGAAAATGTGTTACATTAATTGCATATATATGTTTATTATGTAAATTAATAATTATAGCATGTGTGGGGCGCTATGTGATACCTATGCCATCCATTTTATGAAAAATATAAACAAATATTCCCTTCGTCCATCTCTAACATATACATATTTTCATTTTTGTCTATCCAATCAAAAGTATATGGTTCTTTTTTTTAGTAATGGCATAATCACCAATTACAAATACTCTTTTTACATTTATTTACAATCATATCATTATATTACTATTACTCTTTAGTAAGGACATAAATGTCTTAATACAGATAAATATTACAAACTCTCGTCCCACCTTAATTATCAGGTATCTCGTAGATATGGAAATCTAGGCAAAAATATAATTAGTAAATAATTTTAAAATATATTAATAAAAAAAATTATTGTATAATACAAATAATTATAAATTAAGATAAGATAACTAATTAATTTAATTAAAATTAAAAAAATTATAAATTATAAAATTTAAAATGCTATTCAAGTGTATAATTATAAATTATTCTCCAAAAAAAGAAAAGAGCAAACTACATTAAATGGACGAAAATAGAAAATATGGACAAATTATGTGAAACGGAGAAAGTACTACTTAAAACTAATATTTCTTAAATTTTGTACCAAAAGTAAACATGTACGTTAAAGGTGGATGGAGGGAGTACATATACACACTTCACATGCAAAGTATTTGTTAACAAAAGAAAACTTTCCAGCGATACATGTTCAAGGAATTAAATATAAAATATAAACATTTCAAGCCACAAATGGCTTTGTTCTTTTGTGTTTTTTCGTAGCATTATTTTACTATCTAATCTATTATTGTCTCAGCAAAAATATCACATCCAACACTTATATCTTATATAAAACATCACATCAAACAAATTACCTTCACTTCAAATATCGAAAGCAAAAATAGAAAACAAAAACATACACAAAAAAGGCACCCCATGATCATTCAAATAAGCACAAATGAAGCAAAGCTTCCCAAGGATATGTTTTCTTATTAGTGTTTTTTTTTACTAGTAGGTTGAATAATAAAAAAATATGGAAACAACAACAAAAATGAACAAAGCCTTGAGAGCAAGTTTGGGATGTGTTTATTTGTGTTTACAATTTCATTTTTACACGATTCAATCTACAATATGTTTCTATTTTACCTAAATACATCAAATACAACGCCTATTTTCCATTTTTAAAGTGTCACATCAAAACCCATCTATTTTCACCTCAAAGTTTCTGAAACACAAACAGTGTGTTTGTGTTTTGTGTTTTGTGTTTAAATAGTGATTTGATATAATGTTTTTTGAGAGATAATAGTGTGTGTGTTCACCTAAACATTTCTAATGACACGATTCCCAAAAACTATTACAAAAAAATACAATATAAACATATACTTCCATAATATATATACTAATATATTCTATCAGCTAATAAAATACCATTCAATACAAAATATTATTTTTTATATTATTAACACGACTTCTCATACCTAACATAAAAAAAAATACATACATCTAAAAACAAAAAGTGAATACAACGAATGTATTTTTATAAGAAATCGTGTAGGTTAAATAGTAAAAAAAAACCCAGAATAGGGATTAGTAAATACACCCTAGATTACTTATACGGCACATGCGCCAACAACATATGGGAATCTTGCCGGTACTTTTACAAAACTTCGAGTTGTTAGATATCTAAAATCTTAGGTTTGTTTGGTTGTATTTTCAAACACATAATTTTTCACTATTTTACCGTAACTTACTTTTTCTCTCTAAAAGAACGTCACATAGTACATTTTTTTTTTATTAATAAATCACATCAAAATTTAGTTTTCATTTAAAATATTCCACCAAACACCTATTTATATCACATTAACCTCAATTTAAACTTTTACTATTCTCAGAACACACAGAAACACCTAAACACAACCAAACAAACTCTAAGTTTCCATGATGAAAATAAAAAAAGTTGTCCTATTCATCACCTTGAGAGCAAGTATAAAAAGTTGCCTAAATACTAGTAAGTGGATGGAGGTGAACTTAATTGGTTAGAAATTTTGTAACCATTGAGTAATCGTGTGTTTGTTTGGGAGGTTTGGATTCTGGATTGGGATTTGAATAGTAAAAAAATTGTATTTGAATAGTTGTATGATGTGATATAAATAAGTATTGATGTGATGTTTTGAATCTAAAGTTGATTTTTAGTATAATATAAAATATAAAAAATAAATGTTTGATTTGATATTTCTTTGGAAAAATTTTTTTGTATCGATAGTGAAAATCTTTCGAAATCCTTAAAACAAACAAACCCTTATATGTCCAAATATATTCAACATGTGATAGAAGGTATGTAGCAACCAATAGGGAGCTTAAACAGGAGTTCGGGAATGAAGTGGGGGCAAGTCCCCTGTTGGTGTACCGGAGGCGGAGACAAGCTTAAGTTTGCTTTCGCCAACTTGGGCTTTTATTTATCAATATTTTTATTATTTCTTTACTTGGACTTTGATTTTATGGACTTTTATCATTTTAGGTCAAACTTGTCTCTTTACTTATTGGATGGACTTATTTTAATTTTAGTAAATAGGGTATAGTTGAAGAGGGCCCATGGATATTCTTGATTTTGGAAATAAAGTAGCTTTGAAGTTTTTGGACGAACGAATGATTCCGTTTGATTGTTTTTTGAGCAAACAATTGATATTGTTTGATTGTTCCTATTGATTTATCTTGTTTCTATAAGCAACCTATCATAATCACCACCTCTATTTGATCATCATTGTCAAGAGATTATAACAATAAAAGGAGTCAACATTCCATTCAAGAATAATCCTAATAAAGGGTTGCTTTAAACGAAAACCTGGTTTGTTATTTTACCATTTCAAACAAAAATCAACACCATTCATTTTACATCATTTACAATAAAAATACAATATTTCCTCTTAACAAAATATCATGTCAAAATAATATTTAAACAAAAACTCAAATCAACACTTCGTTTCAAATAAATTCAAACCACAACTAAACAAACCCCTAGTGATGCAATGGTTTATTATTTTAGCGAAGTTGACATAATTCATTCTTAACAGATAAGATATAGTTCACGGTCGTGATTTATTCAATGGCAGGACCAAATTTCAATTTTTACACTCAACTAAATTTTGTAATTAAAGATATTCTAATGTAGGCATTTTATAAAGGTGCGCCCAACTAAATAGCATAGCATAGTCATTGTTCGAGGGTGTTACCTTGTGAGGAACAATCCATTTGCTATTAATCCACTCTTGATGCACTCTCAGTTTAGAGTGATTGAACTTCATCTCCTCGTCAGTAGACTCAAAATATACCGAGTATTTGTCATTATGAAGAACTTTGGAGACCACACCTTTCCACCAACCATCATTATAAAATGCATCAACCTGTTCACGAACTCCAAAACGGTCAAGCATTGCGACATCAGGTGGGCGTGGCCTCAAATGATTAGCATCAACCTCTTCTCTCAGCAACTTCGAATCATCATCATCATCATCCTTTAGATCATGGTACTCAATGAGGTATCTGCCTTTACTCAAGTGTTCTATTACAGTCGCTCCAAACCACGAACCTTCAAAACCTTCTTCATCTGTACTAACTTCAACAACTTCTCCAGGGTTAAAATTATGTTCAATCACTTCATTATCAGCTCCCACATGATTCAGTGCTTGGGTTCTAAGATTATCATTATCAGCTTTTGCTTCAGTAGATGGTGGCACTTTCTGCATTGAAGGCTACAGATATATCACCACATGCCCAAAGTCTTCGATAACACAAATAAAAGCCAATATTATTGTGGATTGTGAGAAAGAAGATGGAGGCAATCTACATTTCAACAAGACCCATGGATACGGATAGTAATACTGTAAAATGTAAATTTTCTTCCACATAGTAGCATTGCATCTTTACGAAACTGAAAGCTTCTGGGTGATTCATAATTACATAGGCTATATTCTCTTTCATTTTATCTTTTTCACTTTCTTTTTTGCTATGCAACCTCACAATTCAATATAAAAACATACAAATTTTTCATAAAACATCACATCCAACAGCTACTTCACCCAAAAACTAAAACACAAGCACACAAAAAAAATACCAAAAGAACATCCCTGGGCTTTGGTCTCTTTGAATTTTATTTCGCTATCTTTACTATGCAACCCTCACAATTTCATATAAAACTGAACTATTTACTCTCACAAAATATCGCATAAATCAAGTGCACCCCTAGTGTTTATACATGTTGCATGGAGGGGTGACAGGTTACAACTAACCAATTCCTTAATCACACTATGCAAACTACAATATATCTTTTTCACTAAAAAAACACATGACATCTAACATTGAATATATTATATTCAAAACCTATGCTCTATTTAAATCATTACATCCAATACCTCTTTTAAATAAATAAATATAAATAAATCCATACCCTAACTTTGTGATTCCTGAATCAGCCCAATATATCCAAACATCCCAAAAAGAACTTGAAAAAAAACATAAGGTTTGTTCACCCAACATTTTTTTGGTGGCACGATTCCATATAAACATTATAAAAAGTACAATATATACTCACATATATATAATATATATTATTCACTCACAAAAAGTCAACAATTCAATACAAAATTTTATTTTTCATATTACTGACACTATTTCTCATACTTAACATCAAAACCAAATTAATTCAAAAACACTAAGGGTGTGTTTGTTTAGGGGATTTTCCCCAAAATCTACTATTCATCGAATCAAACATCTATTTTTCATTTTTAATATTATTCTAAAAATCAATTTTACATTCAAAATATCACATCAACACCTATTTATATCACATCATACAATTATTCCAATTCAAAAATTTTACTATTCAAATCCAACTCAAAATCCAAACCCCCAAACAAACACACCCTAAGTGGAAAAACCCATAGTATTTTATGTGAAAGAAAATTGAGTAGACTATAATTTATCCAATAGTAATTGGCTTCAATATTCATGCCATGGATAATTCCCAGCAACTAGTAAAAAATTTGTGCAGCCGCATAACTTATATGGAATCATGATCAGTTAGGTGCAAAATTCAAATTCTTTTTCGTTTGTGCTTGTGTATGTAAAATACGACTTTTTTTTTTTTTTAACTTTTTACAAAAGTTGTTCCCTTGCTATACCTTTTCAATCACTACCATAATTTTTGGACATACTTTCTCCTATTATTCAGTCTTCTAGTAATTTTAACACCAATCTCAAAACATAAATTGGGATGGATCCAATCACAAAGTACATTGACCAATCCTCCTAATCACTATTCACAAACTCTACAATCCACAGCCACCTAGCCTCCAGAATTAAAGCAACACCAACTTTTACAACATGAAAACTAATGAACCCTTTCGATTTTATTGTCAATTGTTATTGTATCCAAGAGCAAAAAAAATTAATAGATTACTTAAAATTCCAAATGTCAGAGCAAACCACATTTATGATCAACGATCATAATACCATATTATCATATCAAAATGTAGCATTGTCTTATCTATAAAAGCAAAGCACTACATTTCACAAATTCTACCAAAACCCCAAAAAGCTAGTTGGGATTACAATGCTAAACAATTTCAACAACAGATAATCACACAAGAAAATACCCACAAGCAAGGAAACAAACCAGATATATTAATCACAAACACATGGTAAAAATCACAACTTTCTCATGCAGTAAAATCCAACAAGAGCCCAAATATAAATTCCTGGCCATAAATCCATAAAAAGTTAAACAACGAGAAGCATTCAAATCACATACCACAATCTCGAATGTCTTAAGGACAAAGACTGACGAATAAACTTATAAAAGCATCAACACAATCACATTTACAATCAACATCCAATTAAGATAACAAAACCAAACACTATCTTAGTTTGACAAGAAACTAAATTGGATTCAAATGATCAAACATCATACTCTACTGCAAACTTGCGTACCTCATCAGCCCCAACCGCGCCATTCGACGGCCGTTCCAATGGCGGCACCCACTTCCCATGAACCCACTCGCGATGCAGCCTCAGGTCCGCCGCCTTGAAGGACAACTGCTCCCTGCTGCAGCGGAAGAACACCGAATATTCACCGTTCTTCAACACCTCTGTCACTATCCCCTCCCACCATCCATCATTGTAGTAGGCGTCCACGTCCTCGCTCGACTTGAAGCTCCTCCGATTCTCCCGAGGCGGGGGCGGCCGAAGCTGCACCAGCTTCAGCTCCTCCCTCAACGGCCGCTTCCCCTTCTCGTCCTGCATCAGAGTCTTGTACTCGACCAGCACCTTAGCCGAAACGTTCTTAAAGCTCTTGGGAGGGCGAACGACGGTGCCCGCAAACCAAGATCCGCGAAAACCCTCGTCGTCGCTGCTGATTTCGACTTCGGCGCCTTTCTTGAAGTACCGTGACAGGTCCTGACTGGAGCTCGCCATAGTGGCGATGACTTCCGTAAAATCCCGAATTGTTATTCTTTTTTTAGCAATTTAGGGGATTTGCAATGCGAGAAAGGTGAGAGATTTGGCGGTGCATAGGTGTGTGAAGTGAGGAGTAGACGTTTGGAGTTGAAGATTTGAATCAGGGAATTGAAATTGAAATAGAGAGGAAGATGAAAGATGTAACGGGAAGGAAGTGAGGGAGGGAAAGAACCAATGCGCGAAGGGGCTTTTCTCCAAGAAAGCTTCACACGAATTCAATGTGTAAATATCGCCCTCATCCTTAGGGTTTTTCGAGTAGAAATAATGGTGAATGAAATGGTGATATATATATATATATATATTATTTTTAATTTATTTATATGATTAATAATTTAATAAAAATATTATTCTATATTACAATACAATTCGTGATATCTAACTTTAAAAAATATATTTATCCAAAAATAAATATATTTGATTGTTATTTTTCCAATATTTTTATGTCAAATTTTGCAATTTTTCAACATATACTAATACAAAAATCCCACACTGACATAGGTACAAACACATATTAAGAAGACTAAAATAAAAAAATAAAGTGTTCTCAATTTCAGATAGGTTAATATTTTCATATGTATTTAAGTACAATAAATTAGTTAAATTTCATAAGTCTAACAGCTTGATATCATAAATTTTAGAATTTTAGGAATTTGGTCTCCTCATATCTTTTAAGAAATATTTTTTGGATTTCGATTGTTGTCGATTCTCTCTTAGCAATAGTGACTTTGCACACGTTCTTAAAGTGATTTTTTCACTTACATTTTGCTTATGACTTAAAATCATTCAAAAATGCGAACATAGTTTCTTTGTCTGACATGCTCGTCATCTTTAGCAATTAGTCAACAAAATTTTTTATATGTGCCATTAGGCAACATATCGGTGTTCTAGTCAGCAGATTCTAAATCATGCATCTTTTTTTTTATCGGTTAGCGCAAATTCTTTAAGCTCTCACTTAAATACATATCGTATAATTCCGGCTCCAATGGGAGTGAACAAGTCCCTTCAAGTAGCGAGAGACAATAAAGATCTTGGTCTTATCTATGAAGATGTATGCGTTCTTGAAATATTGATCTATGTTGTAGATGTAGTCATTTACCGCTTTAACTCTCTATTCTCGAGCAAAGCATTTTTTATACGGGGACATGCTCTGCAGGGCTTCTTACTCAACTTAAGTCAGGCCTCCTTTGTTTTCAACTTTTATGTCTTTCTCATTGCATTCACTCCTTTTGGCTATTGGAAGGTTCCCTAACATTAGTTTTCTACAACCTCGCAATTTTGACATTATACTTTGTAACTTTAAGGTTGTTCAACATCATTGAAGCATTGTTGCACGTTGTCGGCCCTCAATGCATCAACAAGCTCCCACATCACTTTATCTCACTTTTCACTTCCGAGGCTCATTCATCATGCCATTGACCGATGATAGTATCAACTCTCATGACTCGCCTCCTTCAAGTTCACAAATACATTTCTCTATCTTTTCAAATTAGCGATGATGGTCACCCACGATTAGCTCCATCACGATCAACCTGTTCTTGAAAGATTCATGAGATCGATGGATTTGTTCACACATTCTTCCGGCCTCTCTTTTGATTCCCAAGCTCAAACACATAGTTATTATCGTTGTTGATCGACATTCCCTTTGAACTCAACTCCAATATCACTTGTAGAATGTTGGAATGTTCCTTTCCGAACACCTTTCAATCAGCCTAACAATTACTCAACAAACTCGAGAATTTTGTTAATATTGTTTTACGACACTAGTACAAAAGCATAGTAAAAACACAAAAGCTTGGAAAGATATTAGGATTTATTCTTTTGCGATTTCAAAATAAAATGATAATATTTATTTTGTGCAATTTTTAATAAAAAAATATTATTTTATATCACATAACATCGCCGCGAATTACTACTTAAACAAAAATTCAAATCACACTCAATTTAAAACTAAAATCAAACAAACTTTCAAAACATATACTTCATAAACAAAGTCATCTTTGATGTAATACTTGGTGATATAAAAAAGACAGAAAAATCGATTCTCTTCAGCCAATTTGTTAGGCGTGGGAGGACATTGCGGATGTCCAGGGCGGACACAACTTCCGCCGCATGTTAATAAAATATCATATTATTTTATATTAAAATATACCTTTACCATACTCCTAACTCCTTATTAGGTGTGAATCAAGTTGTGCAACTTATCCTCGCTTGGTTATGAATTTAAATAAAAGTAAAACTATTTTGAATCGGCACAAAATATTTATTTCTGTTTATGGATTGAGTTATATTGAGCTAGTCTTGGGTTGAGTTATACTATATATTTTTATGAAATAAATATAGTATCGTAACAAATAGTTTGATAGCATTTTGTGGATTTTCTTTAAGTTTACGTGAAGCGCACTAAAAAAATAACAATTGTGATTTCTATATGGACAAAGAAAGTTGGGCTAGCCTACTCAACTGACCTAAAAGTAATACAGATGTAAGATTGATAACAAAAAGTGGTGAGGCAATTAATTATTATGTCTTTTAATAAGAATAGTTAATAAATTTCTTTATTATAAATAAATTGTATATAAATTCAAACGGCTACCAAAAAATATAAAATAACATAATTTTGACGGATTGATGAAAGATACTTTTAGGGTGTGTTTGTTTGGAGGTTTGGATTTTGAATTGTGATTTGAATAGTCAAAATTTTGAATTTGAATAGTTGTATGATGTGATATAAATAGGTGTTGATGTGATATAAATAGGTGTTGATGTGATGTTTTGAATGTAAAATTGATTTTTAATATAATATAAAAATAAAAAATAGGTGTTTGATTTGATATTTTTTTGGGGAAAATTTTGGATGAATAGTAAAATTTTGTCTAAATCCTACAAATCGAACACACCCTTACTAGAAATTTTTGTACACAAACGGTCACAAAAAAAATTGTACGCAAACAAATCCAAAATCATTCATTTCCAAACAGCAAAGTTATAGCATTTATTTATTTATTTTTTATTTTTTTTGTGTATACGTGTGCATGTGTTCATTTGATCCATCGAGAGTGGAATCATATTGAAATTTTTTTATTTTTTATTTTTCTTAAAGTGACCTAGAGCTTAAAATTGTATCCTTTCGACGAGCCTAATCAAATCGGCCGTCCAAAAGGTAATTTCTAACGACAAAAGAATTCAAAATTTTACTATTAAAAAAAATAAAATTCTGAATCTAAAACCAAAATCTCAAAAAACAAACACACTCTAAAAAATTTTATTTCACCAAACCATAAAGACAGCCATCAATACATTAGGTAACTATTTAAAGTCGCGACTAATGCGATCAATTAAATAAGAACTTCCTCCCATGAGGCGCCGGCGCCGGCGATCTAAGATGCCCCTTGTGCTTCGGATGACGATGCCTTCTTCTATGGTGCTTCGGCGCAGGTGCCGGCGATTTATGCCCCGGTCGACTCAATACATATTCAATTTCGTCCGATCTCTCGACAAACTCTTCGAAATCCAACTCCCCGTCGATCGACGGCGTCGCCTTCCGAAGATCTTTGGGGGTGCCATCATCCTCAGAAGCTAAAATAGCCTTGCTGGGAATGGCAATTATCAGAGCCACGAAAATTACCAAGAACTTAATTTTAGACATGGCAGACTGTGTTAGAACAACTGATTATTAGCTTAGAATTAAGTGAAATGTATTTGTTACATGTATAATATTGTGGGGTTTTATAGAGAAATTTTGAGGATACAGTTTTATTACAGCTGTAGGTCCTGTAGATGTTAGGTGAGATAGAAATTTACAGATAGGATTTACAGGTATTATGGTGGCTGTAAGGTGGTTAGAGGATAATAATTAGGCCTGGGTGTGTTTTTGTTTTTACTGTAAATTTGAATTTTTTTGGATGAGGGGATGTGTTTTTGCTGTAAATTTGAATTTTCTTGGATGGGGGGGATAATAATTAGTTTGGTGGTATTTGTTTCTACTGTAAATTTGAATTTTTTTGGTTGGGGGTAATAATTAGTTTGGTGGTATCCGTTGCTATTGTAAATTTAAAAATTTTTAAATTTAAATATTGATTTGATAGGATATAAATATATATTGATTTAATTATTTAAATATTAATGTGATGTCGTAAATAAAAAAGTAAATATTTATTTTGATGTATTTGAGATTAATTTTTTTTTTTTGAAGTAGTAAGATTAAATTTGAAGTGTGTTTGTTTTGTGAAAAATATTTTGTAAAAATAGTTTTAGAAAATATTTTTTAATAAAGAAATGTGTAAAAAAATATAAAAATAATGAATCTATGTAATATATTAATATTCTTATAAACGTGTAAGAAGAAAAAATCAAGAATCTGGAATCTTATAAACAAAAAGAGTCATGAAAATTTAAAATAATTAGTCTTGGCTATTTTTTTAGGGGTTTTTAAAAAAATAATATTAAATTAAATCTCTCTCTATATATTTTTTATATTATATTAAAAAAATAAGTTTATATCATATTATATAATTATTCAAATTCAAATTTTTTATCATTTAAATTATAAACACAAAATCAAAACTTCATAAAGAACTCAACATATGCTTTATGTAAACACATTCTTAAAAAATTATACTTCCTTCATCCACTTTAAAAGTCTTATAATAGAAATATAATAATATTTTCATAAAAATTTATACAAATATAATGATATTTTAAAGTTAAATATAATAAATTTTCAAAGTGCACGGGGAAGTATTTGTTTGTAATTTTAATTTGCTTAAAAAAATTAAAAAAATGATTTCAAATAAAAAAAATTGCTGACACATACTCGTGTAGGTTTTATAATGGGCCTGGGCCGGGCAGAGTCTGCTTTTAGTGTTCTGGACGGTTGAGTTGAATTGGGCCATATAAATGTTTAATTAATGTAAAATATGTCACGCGCTTTGCACGTGCCTACCTATTTTTCAATAGATAAAAATATACTAATATTCGAGAAGAAAACCAGAATGGTTTGATTCCCTTGGAAGATTGGCAGAAAGACGAGAGGGAAGCGTTGGGGTTAGTCTAAACACTTCTTCAGTTGGACCGTAATAATCCCCCAAAATGGATCTGAATCCGGTAAGTATTTCGAACCTTCGTCCTTTGTTGATATGAAGGAATCGCACTCTTTCAATGTCCTAGTGTTTCTTTGAAATATTTGCGTTGGCTATTTTTTTGGTTTGTTTGTTGGCATCGTAGATCTGCTTGTCGATTGCGGTTTTATGTATCGTATATGAAATTAGGAGATCCAATTTGCCTAGTCCTGGGTTGAATTTGAAAATTTTCGACTAGTTGAACGCGTTGGTATTTTTCTATGAATACATTTCGGGATGAAACGGTGCGATCTCCTTTTTTTTTTTTTTTTTTTTTGTAATTTTTATTGTGGTTTGAAAATTTACAGAATCTTATTTAATTTGAACAGCGGATGAACTTCAGCTGGTTAATATCAGCTTGTATTGTCGTGTAAATTCCAAGTCAATAATGATTGATGTGATGTTTAAATGTGTTTTAAAATGTTTCCGAAGTTGTTTCTTGAATTTTTTCATCGGAATGTATCAAGCTTGTCATTCTGCTTCTATAATTTAAAAGTGATTTCAGAAAATGTAATGAATTTACTTTAAGTAACCTCAAAGTAGAGTTATTTGCAGCCTGAGTGGTGTAATAAATAAACATATAAAAGTTCTGAAATAAAATCCAGCTCATCTTTCTCTGATTTCTATAAATGCAGCCTCAAGGGGAAAATTATGCTCATCCAAATATATGCTTCTTCCACGTCCTTTTCAAGGTGTGCGCTATGCCTTTCTGAAATTTCTTGGTTGTTGTTTTTTATGTTTACTGCAGATGCAATAAAATTATTTGATTGTAAATATTCTTCTGGTTGACAGGGTGCTGCTTTGGCGTTTTATATTCTTTCAGCTCTATTTTTTGATAGTTTTGTTATCATCTTTGTGGTGACTGTGCTTCTAGCTGCCCTTGATTTTTGGGTAGTCAAGAATGTTAGTGGGCGAATCTTGGTAGGCCTTAGATGGTGGAATGAGATAAACGACAATGGTGAAAGTGTTTGGAGATTTGAATGCCTTGATCAAGAGGTGATATGTTTTTGGTCATTCTCCAACTTTTTATAATATTTAATTATTATTTTAAATATTGCAATTATTCACAAGAAAATATTTTGACTAAGTGTGATATCCAGCAACTAATCTTTATTAGTAATTTTTATCTCTTGTTTTTTCAGTCAATGGCTCGGATAAACAAGAAGGATTCATGGCTTTTCTGGTGGACATTGTACCTTACAGTAAGTGAAATTTCTTGATTGAATTATCTTTTGGGGCATATATTTTTCAATTTAGCCCATGTGAAGATATATAAAATATTAAGGGTGTGTTTATTTGTGGGATTTTGGTTTTGGTTTTAGTTTTAAATACTAAAATTTTGAATTGAAATAATTATATAATGTGATATAAATATGTGTTGATGTGATGTTTTTTAATGTAAAAGTAAATTTTAGTGTAATATACATAAATAAAAAATAAATGTTTGATTTGATATGTTTGGAGGAAAAAAAATTGAAATAGTAAAATAATTATGAAAATCACACAAGTAAACACACCCTAAGCAACTAATTGGTAGAAGTGTGTAGTTTTTTTTAGAAGCTAAAGCTGCTTGCCTGATATTAATAGATGTACATCTTCCCCTGAACATAGCTGTCTGAAAGTGTACTAGTTCTTATGTGTGGGAGATTTTGTGATGGGCTAAAGCACATTTCTTTTCCCATAGGCTGTTGCTTGGATCTTCTTTGCAATATTCTCACTCATCCGGTTTGAAGCTGATTATCTTCTCGTCGTTGGTGTATGTTTGACCCTCAGCATTGCCAACATTGTCGGCTTTACTAGATGCCGCAAAGGTATGACTGACTGAACCCTGCATCCTAGTAAGCCCTTTCATTGCGGTTAGATAGTATTTACTTGAACCAGGGTGTCTCATATACATAAAATTGCACTTGATCCCTCTTTAAATATATTCACTTATCTGCTCAGTAGTTGTTTGGTGACATCAGAAAGCATCTATGATACTAAAAGGAATATTGCATACGAGTTATTCCTGGAAGATTCTGGTAAAAACCTGGCTAGTAAAGTGGGTGATTCTTTTTACAAATAACAATTAGAAGCCCAACCTGAATTACAGAAATGACAAACAGATTATTTTGTGCTGAAAATTATTTTTCTTGTTCAAAATTAATTAGGTTATATAATGAAATGTTTGCAGTAAACCTTAATCCGATGTCCATTTCTAATGATTATTGGCTTCTAGTGTTGGATCTTAGTTAGATGTAATAGTACACATGGTCATCACATATAAATTTACTCAGCTGAGAAGTTTTTGTTAACTAAGTTGATATGGTAAAATAATGTGATATGCGTTGGTGTAAATATGTACTATGCACATCTGCTACATTGTTGCCTTGCTTCCGTCATTTGACATTAAGTTGTAAATTTTTAGTTTGGGTGTCATCTTGTGCTGATAATTTTGACAATGACAATTTTTTTGCTGCTGTGGAGAAGTAAATTTGTTTGGTTTCCAGGAAAGACTCATTTCAATTTTAATCTTACTGGAGAGCATTCTTATTTTGGCTAATGTTCATAGAAATTTAAATTTTAGTTCCAGATGTCGCCAACTTTATTTGTTCCATAAAATACTATGTTTTGCTTTCAAAATTCCTGAAATACATTCCTATGACAGGTAAATATATCCTCATTTCTCCACAAAATATCAAATTATGTATTGTCATGTGCTTGCATTTTGTTTATTTTGATGACCGAATATATTATGGGACTAAAACTTTTTCACAATTTAGCTTCACCATGTTACTTATGATGACACTCTGCATTTAATTTTTACGGGATGATATATACAGTATGTGTGTATGTGCTTGCTTTTATATCTTTGAAAAATCATGCTTTTCCTTGTTTCGTCTCCAGATGCCAAGAAGCAGTTGCAAGCATTTGCCACCCAGACCATTGCATCTCGCTTCACATCCACCATCCAATCTGCATTTAGTGTTGTTTGAACGGTTTATATGTATCGTCAAAGAAGGGAAACAAGCCTCTACATAATATCATACACTGGAGAAAGGATCTTTTTTCATACATGATCATCGTTCTGATGCAGAAGAGTTAGTTACGTTGCCTTGCCCCCATTCGATCTATCTCGCTTGAACATAATTCTATTATTTGATTGGTTTATCACCTCAAAACCAGCTAAAATGTAATTGTAATATGACTGTCAGTTTGTGGATAATATTTTTTTGGGGAATGCTTCTTTGAGGTGAAACACATTGGCTGCTTGCTTAGGACATATTATTCTTCTCCTTTTGTCTTTTGGGTCTAGTTCCCATATATATATATATATATATAATTTGATTTATGGGTTTGTTTGGTTTTGATTTGGGTTATTTTATATCTTTATTTGGAACAGGAGGGTAAATTTGGTTTCAAATTATAATAAAAACAAGAATGTAATGAATTGTAAAAAAGTATTTTGAGATTTTGTGTGGGTTTGAATTGGTGATTTTACAACTTATATTTTTGGTACAAAGAGGGACTATTTGCAAATGGCGAGGTGGGCAATGGCGACGGCAATGGTTGGGAAGAAGACGCCAAAAATCAAGTTCCAGGGGCGCCATTCATTTCTTGTCTGTCTTATCCCATTTGTAAGATCGATACATCCTTCAAATCCAGCCACTAACTCATGCGGTACCCCATCAACTATTTCCTTTCCCACTCCTACTCGACCTGACGGCAGTTGCGACTGCACACAATCATGGCAGGTGTAATGGCGGTGCACCACAAACAGCCCTCCACCGTCTTCCTCTCTTCCTCTCTCTCCGATTTCAATGGCTTCAAACTCACCGCCTCGCTCCAGGTACTGTTTAATTCTTCTTGCTTGCTTTGAATTCAATTCGGTCTATGTACCGGTGATTTTGCAGTTGAATTTTGAAATAAACTGCTGTAATTTAGTTAATTACGGTGAAGATCGATTGATTGATTCCAGTAACTGCTACATACGTGCATACTTACAATTTGGGTTTGTTTTTGGGCAGTATAAGAGGAGAGCGCGCCATCCAAAAGGAGCATTGCGTGTTACAGCATCGAGCGCTAAGAAAATCCTTATAATGGGAGGCACCAGATTCATCGGCATATTCTTGTCCCGGCTTCTTGTCAAAGAAGGCCACCAGGTTTCGTTTAACCGTCCTGTTCTGATTATCCAGGATTCGATATTCTGAGTTTTCATGCCGCCTGAAATTTTGACTGCTTGGATTACTGCAGGTCACACTGTTTACCAGAGGGAAAGCACCTATTGCGCAGCAATTGCCGGGCGAATCGGACTCTGATTTTGCTGATTTTTCCTCCAAGGTATTACAAGAGCTATGGTGCTTTGTGAATGGTGTTAAGTTGCCTTTGATGTTGTGGACCTTCCATGAATGGAGTGGTGTTTATTTATTTATTTTTTCCTTTTGTAGATCTTGCACTTAAAGGGAGACAGGCAGGACTTTGATTTTGTGAAGAGCAGCCTTGGAGCCCAAGGATTTGATGTCGTGTACGATATTAATGGTGCGTGTGGGATTCGATTGTTTGATATCCTTCCTATATGTGTTCTTATTGTGTGTAATAATGTTTAAAGTATTTAGTTTCCCAGGAAGCCTTTGCTTCTGTGTTGATTTCATTACACAGTAAAATTGATTTAGTTTTACTATGTAAAATAAGTTGCACTTGTCGGCTAATCTTGAGTAATTTTAGTCCAATAGGGTGTTGGAATGTGAGACGTGAATTTGTGCATATTAGTTTTTTTTTTTCCATTTTAGTGATGATGGAACTAAATTTGCTAGAACTTTATTGTAGTCATCTTTAAATTGTGGAGCATAGGTGGATTGTTTTAGGAGATCAAATCCTAATTTAGCAATGCAATTGTGTTGTTTGGTGCAACATATTATCAACTTGAAGTTTCAAATGTTTGTTTGTGTTCTCAGGACGCGAAGCCATTGAAGTGGAACCTATATTGGATGCTTTACCAAATCTAGAACAGTAAGCTCTGCTCCTGTCTTCATAGAATTTCATTTCTATCGCAGGTGATATTGTCGATGTGAGGTCTTTGCCATGGTTACGTCATTTAAATGTTGATCATATTTACAACTACATTCTACACAATCCATGTTATATTGTGAAAGAAATATCATGTGGTTCCAGTTGTTCAAATGACTCTAATGATACATACTACTAGACAGCACGACAATGGACATTCTTAGATGTGATACCTGCAAGTTTGATTCTTTTTATTGGTTTCCGAAACTATGCCATTTGACTTATCTACTAATAAGAGACCTGCGATCATCAATTTTTGAGAATCTTTATGCTTTTGACTGTGTGAAACTAAGTTGCACACCGAAAGTAAGAAATGTTTTGACATACTTCCAGGTATATATACTGCTCATCAGCAGGGGTTTACCTCAAAACCGATTATCCACCACATTTCGAGGTTAGAATTATAACATTATATCAGAAAGATTGTTTACAATTGCAACAATTCAGTTTTACCAATAAGCATCTGCTTATTTAAATGTGAAGAGCATTTTCATTAATATGCACTGGACTAGAGCATTCGATTTGAGTTCTGCATTCTTTTTTGAAGACTGATGCAGTTGATCCCAAGAGTCGACACAAGGGAAAGCTTGAGACAGAGAGCTTATTGCAATCACGAGGTGTCAATTGGACATCTCTTAGGCCTGTCTACATCTACGGTCCATTAAACTATAACCCTGTTGAAGAGTGGTTCTTCCACCGGCTGAAAGCAGGGCGCCCCATCCCGATTCCAAACTCAGGAATACAAATAACACAGCTTGGCCATGTGAAGGTTAGTAGTACAAATAGATCTTTTTTAAATATGATAATGAACTTTTTGCAAAAACATTTACTTTTTTATTTACACTCAAACTTAGACTTAGAAATTAACATTATTAAGAAGTATCAGTTGAAAGATTGAAAGGTTTGCTAAAAAATTCATAATTCGAAAAGTTTACTGTTGATCTAGGAAAAACCAGTGTTTACCTTTTTGTTACTAGTTCCGCTATGAAAATGTGAAATGTACAATTTTTGAAATTAGTCCTAAGTAAAAATAGGAATTCCCCAACACTCTCCTGTTGGTATTATTTGATTAGATATCCCCTAAAATTTGCAAATGTGCCATTAATTTTTTTAGTTGTTTTTCCAGTTGATCAACTGTGTGTTCGTAAAATTGACTATCTTTGAAATTGCAAATTTCCAGGACCTGGCAACGGCCTTTGTTAAGGTTCTTGCGAATGAGAAGGCAAGCAAACAAGTGTTCAACATATCGGGAGAGAAATATGTGACCTTTGATGGATTGGCAAAGGCTTGTGCTAAGGTGAATATGAACCAAAAATTTTAACCGAAGAAGATGATAGAGTTGCTAAGAATTTTTTGAATCCAACAGGCTGGTGGATTCCCCGAGCCGGAGATCATTCATTACAATCCAAAAGAATTTGATTTTGGGAAGAGCAAAGCATTCCCCTTCCGAGATCAGGTATTCGGGTTTGACATTCATTAATTGATTATTGATCATGTAGATATGCCTTCACTCGTATGGTCTTTATATAGATGTTCTTGGATAGCAATTTGTGTTCCTTAATATTGATGCTGAATTTTAAATGAACCCCAATAAAACAAAAAATGCTTAAAAATTCTTTTGTGAACAAAACTTTTGGAAAACTATCAATTTTATTTATTTTTATCATTTTCTAACATCGATGATCGGTTTGAAATTCCATTGTGTTCATGCTAATAATTGTATATTGTATACTATAATTCTATGTTTCTTTTGAAAGTAACCGAAAATTTTGCATGTTTATTTATTTATAGCTCACACGAAGAGAGTTTGTTTGGTTTGATTTAAGTTTTAGTTTAGATAATATTTCGATGTAATATTTGGCAACAGAAAATAAATTATGTTTATTATGAATCGTACAAACTGGATAGTGTTATTTTTTGTTTGGAAAAAGAAAAAGAAATATTTTCTATTTAGATATTGATTTCGAGAATTTATCTCCAAGCAACTTAATGTGGTGGTTGTGAATCTTGTAGCATTTCTTTGCATCGGTTGAAAAGGCCAAGAGTGTGCTGGGGCTTCAGCCGGAATTCGATCTGGTGGAAGGCCTTACCGACTCTTATAACCTAGACTTTGGCCGCGGAACATTTAGGAAAGCGGCCGATTTTACTGCGGACGACATAATTCTTGGAAAGAAGCTTGTTCTCCAGAGCTAGGACAGGACAGGACAGGACATGTATGTATATTTTCATCGTCATCAGCCTTTGTCTATCTTTCTCCATTGTTGGTTTTGAGTTCAAATGCAACTTATTGTTATATATATATATATATATTATACACACATCTCATGATTTTAATACCATCTTTAGTCTCAGATTGACATTGTTGTAAGAATAGTCACTTATAATGGAAAATTGAATTGGATAGGATACTAAAGTCATCTCCAACCTATAAATTTATTTATACAATTTTACTTTAAAAAATGCAGTTGTTTATATCAAATAATTATAAGAATACTCATTTATTTGTGAATGCTTAGTGTATTTTCAACTTTTGGGTGCTGTTACATATTTCGATGCTATTTTTGGTGTTCCACAGTTTTTTAATTTTATTATATTTAATTTATTATTATTGTTATTATATATATATATATATATATATATTCTTCATTTTGGTTTTTTAACCCATAAATTTTATTTTTCTTCCCTTTTAACTAAGTTTGGGCTCCACCAAGTTTTGCCCAACCGTCTTACCATTCCAATAAATAGTGTAAAATTTTAGATTTTAGGCTAAGAAAAGTATATATATATATTATTCTAATCAATGATAAACTCATATTAAATCACTACAAATCAAAATACACCAAATACACTACTTTTATTTATAATAACATTTTAGAATTAAATATATATCATATCTAAGGTTTGTTTGATTTTGATTTTATTTTAATTTAAATAATATTTGATATTATATTTTATATAAAAATAACATATATTTTTATTAAAAATTATACTAATTTAATAATATACTTTTTTTTTAAAGAAAAAAGGTGTACGCGTCATTATTTGGCAGTTAGGTAGGTCCGGTCCGTTTATATTAATTAAAAATAATATGCTATGGCTGTTCTGACAATTGTTTATTTATAAAACATCAAATAATGCAAAACAAAAGTATTTTAAAATTAAAAATATAGGATTTCTCAAATATTTATTAAAATATATCATTTATAATATACAATATATAAAAAAATATTGAAAGGTATTATAGAATATTTTAGACATTTGAATGAAAATAGCTGTTTTTTATACACTATTTAATATAATTTTTTTATTTAATATAAGATTAAAATTTCCCGTGGTGCTAGTTGTTAGACGATTAAATTGAAGTTGTTACACACGTGTTTGAAAATTTTAATGGAGTACGTATAAATTCTGACACTAAAATAATAGTTACTATAAGATAATATACGCATATGTTAATTTATTATCGAATTGAACTGAACAAAATGTTACCTGCATCCGATTTTACCCGGTTTCATAATAAAATAAATAAAAATAAGCCTTAAATATATAGCATTTGATTATTTATAATTTTTAATTATTTAATGACATGTACTATCAAATCATTTAAGATACAGTATTTTGAACGTATCTGTAATACTTTAGATTAGTATAAAAAAATAATTAAAAAAATATAAATGTCTTAATACTTAATTCATTATGCATACACTTAATTCGGTCTTAATAATAATAAATGAAACAAACAATCAAATTGACAACCGACTCAACCATTAATTAACTGAAAGTGGTTTATTACGCGTCGTTACACATGTCTTCGTTAAATTGCAATAATCGAAATATACTTTTTCATAATAATAATAATAATAATAATAATTGGGCCATTCACCTTTTTTAAGTATTTACGTAGTATAATTTCATATATATATATATATATTTTTTGGGTATATTTTTATAATATATTTATAAATGTAAAAAAGTAAAGAAAAATTATATAAATAATTTTTTTTTTCCTTAAAAAAAAGTTTAATAGAGATAATAATAATTTATATTATCCAAATGAAACTTATTAGTACGGTCTGGATTTATGTATATACAATGATTTTAAGCTTGACCAAACATTCCATCCAATTAATTGATTAATTAATGAAGCAATACACGTATGCATGCTGGGACACGTGGCATCCGTAAAGACCACGTGTCGGATCAAGGGAGGTCCGGCGCCGGCAGCAGGTGACGCGCCGCTGCCCAACCAAGAATGTTAACGGCTCAGTCTCAGCTCGTGGATGTCTACTGACTACTGTTAACTGCCGCTTCTTTAACTCAAATTAAAATTTTTTATTATTCTATTTACTCTCTCCTCCGTCCAGACGCAAAGTAAATATTATAATTAGACAGTCTTAAAATAGCGTCCAGACGCAAAGTAAATATTATAATTAGATAGTCTTAAAATAGAAATAGAAGTATATAATATTCATTTCGATAAAATATATATTAATTGATTTGTAAGTTTACTTGAGACTTATAAGATGAATAATTTTCTTCAACTTGGTTTGCACCCGAACATCGATCGAGACCAACCCCAACATTATTTATATTAAATTTAAAAATAATTTTATATTTTAAATATTATACCAATGTCTACTTATTTATGTTGTACAAAACAACTATTTCTCCCATCCCAACTTAATGTGTATTTATTTATTTATTTTTATAGTAAATTAAATTTATGTAAAATAATTTTAATATTTCTGTCTTTGCAAATATATAGTAAATGAATAAATAATAAAAATGATTATTTTAAAGAATAATTAATAGTAAAAAACATTGAAATAAACAAACGTTCTATGTATATAATTTTTTACTTTCACAGCTTCCAATATGGTGTATAACGAAGAGGGTCTCATTATAGTGTTGATAGCTATCGGTTGTTATATTATAATCATATACACAAACACAGTGTGGAATTCTGAGCAATTTTTTAGAGTGAAAAACAAATGTGTTTTTTTTTTTATTTTATCGGTGCCCACTTTCCGCAATTTTTTAGAGTGAAAAACAAATGTGTTTTTTTTTTTTTTTTTATTTTATCGGTGCCCACTTTCGGATAGCTACTAGCTTTCCCACGTCATCAGAAAAAAAATTATATATATATCCAAAATTTTATGTGATTGTAAAGCTGACCGGAAGAAGGAGAAAGAGAAGAACCAATCAAAGTTGATAACTAACTCGTAAATACTTTTACTATTGGCTAAATAGATGATCTGCTGGTGTCAGATACAAAAGAATACAAAATAAAGGTATTTAGGATTTGAAGCCTAAATTAACCAAACCAAACTTAACCCAAAGAATACATGGAAGGTCTATTAAACTCCAAGTTAGAGAAAATGACCAAAGTAGGACTATAATTTAATTTTTTTTGTCAATATTTATACTATATATTTTTTTACAAAATATTAAATCAAGTTATTGTTTAAATTCACAATCCAAAGAATTTAAACACAAAACAAAACACACCCTAGAGTATTTTCTAACAACAATAATTATTATTAATATCCAATATGCTTTCATTATCATAAATTCACATTCAATAAACTTTCAAGTTTATTCCTAATAATATCTTAAATTATTCTTAATTACAATGAAAAGTTTACATAATAATAATAATAATAATAATAATAATAATAATAATAATACAAACCCCATTATATACATATATATATATATCTTTAAAAATAACTCTAATTAAGCAACCTTAACGACTAATTATGCAGCAGAAGGGGCTGGAATATAGCGAATGACACCGGCCTCCGGCAGTTCTCCGGCGCCGGCGCCGGCGAGATCACGAGGGTTATAATCGAGTGTTTTGTCGTTGTAAATATCCCACCACTTGGATACCAGCATCCTGATATCTTCCCTCTCCATGTTCTCCTCTTCTCCGGTGTACCGCCACGGCTTCGCCCCCGCCGCGCAGTAGTGCACCACCTTCACCTCCGACACCTCCACCCTCTCCGGGTGCCGCCATAGCATCGCCGTCACCAGATTGTACACAATCGGAATCGGCCTGTACACCTCTCTGAAGAACATATTCAGAAAATCCTGCAAGTACGTACGTCTCCCCCAATTATTAATCGAATCGGACAAAACCCTAACCCTAATTTTATCCCTAATTCAATTTCAATTTCAATTACGGACCTGCTCTGCGAATGGAGTCGGAGGCGTGATTCTTAGGTCGTGCAGGAGACGATTGTAGGTTTCGAGATTCGGCTCGAACACGAACATGCCGGCGTTGAAATACGGCGGCGGCGCCGCCCCCATTTCCGGCGCCGGCGGCCAAGGCACCCTCTCCGGCGACTGCTGGCAGTAGCCGATTTTGTACTGCGGAGTGTGACTCCATGTCTTCTCGCAGAAGCAGTCCATTACAGCGTACAAATATCCGTCTGGAAGATCGAACAAGTGATCGATGTTGTCGTAAACCTGGATGTCGCCGTCCAGATATATCATCTTCCTATAATCCACGAACTGCCATATTTACCATTATTAAGATATCTGAAGCTAGAAAATAATTGTATTTAATTTTAATGTTATATATATAATTGTATGTACATATATACATGCATTTCTTAGAGATTAATTAATTAATTATTACCTCCCAAATGCGAAGCTTGGAGTAATTGATGACGTAATACGCCATGGCGAACTGGGTCTGGTTTTCCGGAGGGTGCACCGGCGCGATTTCCCTGACGGTGCAGCCTTGCTCCGCCAGGAGGCGGCGGTGCTCAGCCGGGACGTCGGGGAGCACCGCCACGACCAGTGGGTAACGAGATCGGACCTTCTTCAACCCTTTGGCCAGACCCACCACGCCTTTCACGTAGTCGCCGTCTCCGGCCAAGAACGTGACGTAAGCCCCGCCGCCGGTTTTGGCTGAACCGGCTGCTTCCCGGTTCGCCGGAGCTCTCACTGTTGCACCCATTTCCGATGATCCAGAGAAATGTCGAGAGAGAGAGAGAGAAAATTAATGAAAGACTGCTCTGAAAGTGGTTTTTAGAAATTGAAAGAAATTCGTTTCCTGTAAATGTGATTTCAGGTCGGAAGGTCTGTAGGGTTTATATAGAATTTGATGGTGACGAAATAAATAAAATAAAAAATAAAGATTTTACAACGGTGCCGTATTATATGGGTACGGCGTTGTTTGAGTTCTATTTGTAGCTTTATCCCGACAAGCTTACAGATTGAGTAAATCTGGACCGTACATGTTGGTTGGGGATGATCGAGCGGTTGGAAAACGATCTTGGAGGATATGGGCGGTGGAATACATTCATAATATCAATAATCTAGAAATAGGTAGTCCTTCGTTGGCCCACAATGATTATTACACTAAAAAGGCTCGTTTGCAATTTTTTTTTTCCCTCTATTTCCTCAATGAATATATTTTCTGATTTTAATAAATAACAATGGATGTTTACGTGTTGAATTACATATTAAATAAAAGATCGATTAAAATGTACGGACACAACTTAGAATTTGGCACATTTTCTATTATTTCTCGGAATGCTATGCATTCTAAATAAATAATATGAATTCAATTTGTAATATTTATGATCAACACTTTTTTTCAAGTCCCTCTTGATTTTTTCTTCACATTCTTAAATTTCTTAACACTATATATTTTAAATATTTTTATTGACTATATAAATAATTAACATATGTATTAATTAATTTAAGATGGGGATCATCAACCTTCACTATTTCCCAACCCTTCATGACCCAACGTTCGTGATAATGTATGGCTACATAATAAGTGAATGTATATTATACATACAATTTTATGTGGGACAAAAAGAATTCCAATACTCTCAATATTTCTTCTAATATGATATCATCTTAAAATTCTAATTTAAAATTAATTTATATTAAATAGAGTAGTCTTCACTCTTATATATAAGTTAGGAGGATCTCAACACTTTTTTTGATATGAAATACTCTTGACCCGAGCATCCATATATATATATATATATATATACATATATTTATTCACAATTTTTATTGATACCGACATCCGAGCAATTCTTATCTTTTATTTATTTATTTTTAATTTTAAATTATAGAAATCTCTGAAATTAATTAATAATTCCCAATTTGTTAAAATGCATATTTGTGAGAATTGAGGATTAGTTGGGGAGAATAATCAAATATAATAGTTAGTTAGTGCAATGGATACTACAACAAAAATTTCTGCTAGAGTGACAGTTGTTGACCGTCAACACAGTACCGACGTTTGTGCCCCGCCCAACTCCGATCCCCCACGCGTTATATTATATATCAACTCAGCAGGCAAGGTGAGGCACCAAGAAATTAAATTAAAACGAGTGGATAAGATGATGTTTGGGGTTGTGATTGAGCGGACAGGATTTAACTAATTAAAAGGAGGAGATTAATTAGTGAATCTTTTGGATAGGGTAATTAACTAACTAATCCGGATTAGCTGATTCATGAACCACTTGTGTGGTTAATACTGCTTAATTAATTAAGACGAAAACACAACACAATGTTTAATGCTGTTTAATTAATTAATTACTAGTAGTATTTGTTAGGCATTCATTAGTTGTCGAGGTGAGGTGTGGTGTGTTGTGGTAAGTGAATATGTGACATCTAACTCTTACTCTCTCTCTTTACATGTTGCAGCAAAGTACAAACATTGAAAATACGACCAAACAAAGCCTATGTATTATCTTGTAAATATATTGCTAATAGCGCCTCATCTATCATAATCATATCATACCCACCCAAGCAAGCAAAAACTGATACCAATTGGATGCCAAAATTACAACTAGATAGATAGATGGATTCAATATAAGTGTTGAAACTACATACAAAAATAATAATACTATAACATAAATAAATAAATACATACATACATATACAAATAAAGCCCAATATCCCTTGGTGAAAATTACAGATAAACCTATTGCAGTGTACAATGTGGGGTGGTGGTCAGAATAAAGAAGAATGCTCTCTCTGTTCATCAACCAGTGTAGAGACAGCCATGTCTTATGACTACTTCAGTGCATCATTAAGAAAACAATAAAGATGAGTTAGATAGGCTTCTTCTTACACAGGTTTAAAATGGTTATGGTAATAATAATATGATTGATTACTTGATTAGATAATACAGGGAGGGAGGGAGCAGGGGAAGATTAGAATCACTTTACCTTGTTAGCAATGTTGTTGGAGAGCCAGTCCAACCCTTCATATAGCCCTTCTCCCGTTGTAGCGCATGTGCTCTGGATATACCTGGCAAAAAAACACGGTATAGATAGTTGATTGACATGAGGTACGCTAAAACTTCTTTAGACAGAGATTTGTGTTGTGTGTGCGAAGCAAATGTGATCATACCAATGACGTTGGCGAAGAGAGTGAAGTCCGAGCTTGTCGGTTATCTCAGCAGCATTCATGGCATTGGGAAGATCTTGTTTGTTTGCAAACACAAGAAGAACTGCATCTTTCAGTTCATCCTGTAGTTAATGAGAATCTATAATTAATTGACTCTCTGGCACTAATGATTGTTAGTTAGATTATTTTGAATGGTGTTGATTACCTCATTTAGCATCCTATGCAGCTCATCTCTGGCCTCAACAACACGATCTCTGTCGTTACTATCAACAACGAAAATTAGCCCTTGAGTGTTCTGGAAGTAATGTCTCCACAACGGTCGAATCTATGAAATGGAGTGTAGAACAAAACAAGCAACTTATTACAGTAGTAGTAATAATAGTAATAACAAAGAGAGACTAATCCAAATTCAAGAGGTCTCAATGAGATTTGGTGTATGAACATTGAGAGCAATGAGCATAGTGTCAGGTAGCATATACATTTAATAGGTAATCAATTATATAGGGTTTATCAATTTCTTCATCCATGCCTGATGTTGATGTAAGTTGGTTAACTTGAATAATATGTCAATCTCTTTGGTTAATAACATTTTCAATAAATAGCAAGTGCAAAAACAATACATTGCTTGTAATAATACCTTGTCTTGACCACCAACATCCCAAACAGTGAAGCTAATGTTCTTGTATTCTACTGTCTCCACATTGAATCCTGGAGGAAATGGTCATTGTTAACAACATGAACAAGGTGGTACATTGTGGATGGCGGTGATATCATAAGACTCATATTATGCAACATTAGAACATAAAATGAATAATGATAATTTACATTAACAGACATGTGCAAGACTTTAAACCATATTCTCAATACTTGCATCAAAATGACATTTTCACCTCACCAACCAATGAACTTACTTAAAGATCAAGAGAGTAAAATTCACGCAATAAACTACATAAATTTTCTCTGATCCCTTTATATATTCTTCTCTTTCCGTGTGTATGTGTGCTTCGAATGTGCAACCGCAATTGCAAATATGAAACATGTTAAACAGTGAAGGTGACTGGTATAAAACAATTTCCCCAAAATCAAACAAGCATCATAGACAGGCTACATAAATTAACTTTCTTGGAGTCCAACAAAAACAACAATGTTGTCTTACCAATAGTTGGAATTGTTGTCACTATCTCTCCCAACTTAAGCTTGTATAATATTGTGGTCTTACCAGCAGCATCCAGCCCTACCATGAGAATTCTCATTTCTTTTTTGGCAAACAGCCGGCTGAAAAGTTTGGTGAAAGACAAACCCATTTTCTTTGCCTGTAATTTACCAGTACCAAAACTGTAAGGTGTAGCATTCTGAGACAATTGTCGTGATGATTCAAGTTTCTTGTACTCAATTCCATAAGATAATAATTATTGATGATATAATATAACAGAGAACCAAGGAGAGTAGCTTAAACAAGAAAAGAATAAATGCCCTGAATAGTCATAGTGCAGAATTACAGCATTGCATTATATAGTAATGGTAACCATTCACTTCCATTCTATAGAAGTTGTATTTAATTCATCATGAAAATTGCATAGAACTAATAACAGTGTTGTTTTATTTCAACTCAGCATATCTTAATGAAATCCACATTTAAAAGCACATTGACGAAAATAAGAAAATCTGAGATTTATCATGAGAAATCATATCTAAGAATGTGGTACTAAAAATTAAATCACTTCATATTGCAGGACCTAATTTAACTTGCATGAGGAATCAGTTAAGGAGCTAGCTCTTCCCACTTGCAAACTCGAAATGTAAAATTCCATTTATTTAATTTGCTATAATGCTTGATATGATTATTCATTATCTGAATTCAGCACCAACACCTCCTAAAGTAATCCTACGAAATCTAAAAATATTGATTTCTCCACCCTACAAATTACACGTTCAATTCAATAAAACCGAAAATCAAAGGACTCGTAACACATTCCTCCAAATGGAACCTAAAAAACTCTTTCCTGTTCCAAATGCACAACTAATCCAAAACAAGCAGGCTCAAATTGTCAAAAGAACACCAACCTATCATCAAATTGATACACAAAAATAAGTGCAACAGATAACAACAACAACAACAAAAAGCGGAGCAATAAATCCAGATTCACGCAGATATATTAAATTAACAGCAAAAAGCATCGAGAAACAATACAGCGCACAAAAACAACACAAAATTGAGGTCGATATCAGCAGCAGCATCATATCTTTGAGAAGAGAACGATGAAAGGCAAAGCATGTGAAGAAAAATTACCAAACGTGTAATGCTTTTAGGCATCTTACGCAAAATGATGTGAGGAAGAAAGCAGCGTAATATGATGAGAAGGAGAATTAAGGGGAGATGGCATTGGCGATGTCGAGGAGAGGAGAGGCTGCGCGCCACAAACTCCACCCAAACCTTGCCCTGCTCTCTGTCTTTCATTTATTTCTGCGCCACGCCTACCGTCGTCTTGTAACTAACTGCATGCTTCCCTCCCTCCCAAATTACTTTATTATTTTCTTTTATTACTATATAAATAAAGATATATATATATATATATAATTATTTTGAAAAAATGGTTGACAAAAGTACATTGGATTTAAAAAAATAAAATTCATGAATGGTCTAAGGTGTATTTATTTATGTTTAATAGGATATAATTGTGTAAAAATTGTAACACACAAATATCATTTTATTACTCTAAACAACAAAATTAACAAACCACAAAATTTTATACTATAAATATTTATTGATAATAATAATAATAATAATAAGTAATGGTTATGGTCATAGAACTTGAATTGGTAGAAAATGATAGATTTATTTTATTTCATTTTTTTAAATGTGTTTTGTTTAGTTTCTATACTGTTTTTTTGTTTATTTATTTTTTTGTTGGATATTTGAAGCAACTCCAAGATACTAAACTATTGTTTATTGAATATGTAATTGTTAGATGTTTTTGTCATGTACTATGTGAAAGTAATATAATATATATATATATTTATTCTTACGTTATAAAAAAATATATATACTGACATAGAGTTAAATATGTTTTTTGTCGGGACAAAGAAAATGACTTGAATTAAAATAACTATCCAAATCTATCCATGTTTAAAGATAAAATTGATTCTCTTATTTTCAATCCCAAAAATTACTATAGTGATGTGCTCAATTAACAAATTATTTTAAAAATAAAAATAGAAATCTTTTTTTTTTTATTTTTTTATTTTTATTTTCAATTTTTGCAAAAGTACCGTGGAATACAGAGTCTCATTGGATTTTATTCAGCCTGGTTGCCGTGGCCACCCTCCTCCTCCCACAGCGGCCGCCCGCAACTTCTTCCTCTACTCGCAATTGATTCCAACCATCGCCTGATTTGCTCAAGTGTAGAAGAGAAGGTGAGAAAGCACAACAAAAACAATAGAGAGAAAAAAAAAAAAAAGAGTAAGAGATGGAGAGAGAGAGGATAACGGTCGAGGTTGCTTCGGTTGCACCAGGCAACGCGGACGCTGCTTTAATCTTCTGCTGTCAATTTCTTGGCAATCACTGTATTAGAAATTTTTCGAAAGAAATGAAAAATGACGTCGAAGTTGAAGAAGTTTGGCATCGAAGTGCAGGCCATGTTTATGCTCTTAGGTACGATGTAAGAGTAACACAAAGGATGTTTTCTTGACTTTTGTGTATTTTTGTTATTGCATCTCATATTGATTCGATCAAATCAGAATATATAATACTCTCTCCGTCCTAAAATTATAATCTTAATTATGTTGGATACGAGATTTAAGGAATATTATATTACATAGGTAGTTGGTAAAAATGATAGATAAAAGACTTTTTTGGTTTTTGTGAGAGTGTATTAGTGTAAAAAGTAATGGTAATTATGTAATAAAAATAAAAAAGTATAAATAATTTTAATGATTATTTATGAAAATAAGACTATTATTTTGAAACGAACATACATGTTGTGCACTTTTATAATATACTTTCTCAGCTTGAAAACAATAGTCTATATTTTGCCATTTTTGTCTATCTGTAAAAATAATAGTTTTATTTTCAATTTTTCTAACTAATTTTTCACCTTTTTATAAAAATAATCTCCATTTTTGTTACAATATTTACATGAACTAAGAATATTTTAAGCTTTAAAATGTTTATTCCAAATATTCTTATTATTTTGATAGAGAGAGAGTATATTATTGAGAAATTAATACGATGCTGATTTAACGGAAGATAAATGGAGTTTGCATCTTTTTGTTAAATTATTATTATTGTGATTATTATTATTATTATTATTATAATTATATATTATATTTCTAAAATTAATAATAACTTTGGGCAGCACCAAGAAACTACAGCGTTTAAGGTGTTGGGTAAGAGCGGTTGATGGCTAGGCGTGTATGCTCTACCTTTTGCCAAGTCGTTCATGGCGCCATCGCAGATTTCGGAATTGAATTTAATGCAGATCTAATTTGGAGTTGGGGTTTTTATTGCATTCCGAATTGATGTTCCGATCGATTACCAGTATCGGACAAGCCGTCTTCGCTGCTGCCATATTGAACTCCATTGCGGAAGCTCGCAGTCGAGCAGTACCTTCATTCAATCTGTAATTCTAAACCTGATTTCGCGGCCACAATGGATTCGAAAGAGCCTCGGCCGATTGTAGAGATCAACCGGCTCAGTTTCACCTACCCTGGAATCGACGGCCATCCACCGGCTGGCTCGAAACCCCTGATTGACGATTTCTCCCTCAATTTATTTCCCGGCCAACGGTGTCTTCTCGTTGGATCAAATGGAGCTGGTTCTCTCTTCATACAATTTTTTATTTATTTATTGTGCCTATGTTTATTATTTGGCAGTGGATTGATTCGCCATTGGATTGTGGGAACGCAGGGAAGACAACAATTTTGAAAATAATAGGTGGAAAGCACATGGTGGAGCAGGATATGGTAAAGGTATTCGGGAGATCTGCGTTTCATGACACTGCTTTGTGTACCTCCGGTGATCTTTCTTATCTTGGAGGGGAGGTTTGTCGATTACTTAATTTACTTTGTTAACATTTTTTACTACGTTCATGTTCTTGGTTTTGTTTTTTGTTTGTATTTTTATTTTGGATGCATTAGTATCTCTTAGCCTTTTGTTTTTGTATCAATATTTGGTATGCAGATTTGAATTGGATTTTTGTTGTATAAGCATGCCAACCTTGAGGAGATTTTCTGTATTATGAGTTTAGTTTTGACAAGGAACTATCTAACTGAAATTCAGTATTAAGTTGTGTTTGGATGTATTGTTGAAGTGTTTCGAATGCATCCCCACATAGTAGTTTTTGTAGACCTCATTAGTCATGTTTATATATATATATATATGTATGTATATATAATTTATACAGAGTAGTATAAAATGGTCAGATGATATGATTAGGTGGATATAAGATTTATGGTCAGTTGAAGGTTTTAGGGGAGATGGCTTTGTTAAAATGAAAATTTACCTTGGAGGCCAGTAATCATTATTAACTTGTCGAAATTTTAGATATGTAACATTAGATATTTGAAAGTTATGTTTGGCAGCTTATGTCTTTTAAGTGCATTTTTGTTTAGTGAAACTACATCCAAAGATGTTAGATTTTGAAGTTGCTGCTTATTGTAAGATTGGAGCCATGGAAGAGTTTCCAAAATTTTGATGGGTGTTATGATGGTTTAGCTACAATTTCCACAAACCAGTTACTGAAATGAGAAATAAAAATCTCTGTGAAAGCATTTTTACATATTATATCTTGTTATTTGTTTTCTATGGTGGGACTGGACATGCTTGTGGGTTTATTTACACAGTTTCGTTTGTTTATTATTCAGTATGTGAATGCTGATTATTGTATACAAGTTTCTGTCTTGATTTGTGTAAATTGCTTATTTCCAGTGGAGAAGGGAAGTTGCTTTTGCTGGTTTTGAGGTTCCAATTCAGATGGATGTTTCTGCTGATAAGATGATTTTTGGGGTAGCAGGCATTGATCCCCAAAGACGAGATGAGCTAATTAAGGTATGATGATGCTTTCTTTGATTGTTTTTGTGGCCATGCGAGTGTTTTGTGTTTGCGGATTAGGAAGGAGTTTTCTGAATAGCAATAAGGAGGTTGCAAAGCCATACATATATACTCAGCCTCAGTTCTTAAGATTATAAAAATTAAGAATTCTGAAAGCCGGGAACATTTAGATGCAATATGAATGAAAGATGAAGCAGAAAGAAGAACGAATACGGTTCTGCCATTCTTTTTGGAATGTGTAGGCCATATTACGTTCTTTTTCATATTTGCTGTTGGCATTCAAGTTATAAAACATTCATATCAATTAAATGAGCTAATTCTATCTTATTTTCTATTGAATCATCGTCAGAGTAAAACATAAGGAGTTGCTGTTCTCTGAATATGCTTCCTGTGGTTTTACATTTTCTGAGAGAACTCAATGTCTAGCACAAGTTGGATCTTTCAAGCCTTTTGTATGCTCTCTTGTTAGCAAACTCTTGCATTAATTAATATGAGTTTGCATTATTGTAGAATGTTAGCTATTTACCATTACAGTATTTGTGTAATGCTTTAGTTAATAATTTCTTCGTCTCATAGACATTTGATGATAAGTAGTGTGAACCATGGGGTGGACATATAATAAATCTGTAAAAGTATTTGATGGTTGGATATTCTATGGACTACTTTTATAGTGATTTTATTTATTATTTCTCCGAGGATTAAATCTGATAGAAATTTTCAGATATAATCCATCTCCTAGTAAGGATCTATACCTTTTCTGAATGAGCATGTTCTGTTTGTTGTAGGTTTTAGGTATTGACCTGTCCTGGAGAATGCATAAAGTATCCGATGGTCAAAGAAGACGAGTTCAAATATGTATGGGTCTTCTAAAGCCTTTCAAGGTGTATACATCTTCCATACATGAACCTATTTCATTCATTCATCTATGTATCCGTAACAAGAATTGGTCACAATTACATCATGCCTGATGTTTGTCAGGTTCTCCTGCTCGATGAGATCACAGTGGACTTAGATGTGCTTGCCCGAGCCGACCTTCTAAAGTTTCTGAAGAAAGAATGCGAAGAAAGAGGCACTGTAATTATATACGCCACACATATTTTTGATGGTCTTGAGGATTGGCCGTCGCATATCGTAAGTTTGATCCTAACACTATAGATACTCGAGGTATAGCTGTCTCACAAAACTGCTTTAATATCTTAGTTACTCGATGTTTTCCAGGTTTATGTTTCTCATGGAAAATTACAATTAGCAATGCCGTTGGATAAAGTTAAGGAGACGAGCAAGCTGCCACTTATGGTAATTTTAACATCGAAAGGGCGCCGAGTTTACATTATGCTATGCTTACTTTAATAGATAGGACAGTAATTCTTATAAAATTTATCAAGTTGTGTTTTTCACATATATGTGTGAACAGATAATGATCCTAGGACTATTTAAATACATGATCATACCGATTCCATTAAAATGAACACTTGATTGCAGAGAATTGTGGAGTCTTGGCTTAGAAAAGAGAGAGACGAGGAGCGACGAAAAAGGAAAGAAAGAAAGGCTAAAGGACTTCCTGAATATGAAGAGCAAGTTGAGGGCAGTCGAGCCACCGGAGATCCGGCCAGGGCTGCTGTCCGTGTATTAAACAATGGGTGGGCTGCCGGCCGGCTAAATTCGACCGTTGCCGGAGAAGAGAATTTTAACTTGAGCTCCAATAGGGTCCTCAGGTAACATTCCTTGAACACCAAAACTTTTTTATTTTCATACAAATTATTATGCAATTTGAGCTGCAACTTATTTCAATTATTATTTTCAATAAATCTCGAATATAAGTTGTGTGATAAGTTTTGTTGAATTATGATTTCTTATCAGGTTTAAATTCATTTGTAAAGAAATCTGATTGCATAAACTTTTAACTGCGTTTGTAAAATGATTTATAAAATGAATATCTTCGAAATAGATAGTATAGAATTTAAATTTATATCCTGTTTTTTATAATCGTTACGTCTTGGGCTCAGTCCATTAGAGCTTCACTCTACAAATATTAAATTAAGTATATATTTTTAATTTTTATATTATATTAAAAATTAATTATTTATTCGAAATATCATATTTTAATCAAAATTTTTAATATTTAAATTTTAATTCTAAGATCCAAACTTCCAAACTAACACACCCCATATATTTATCACTTTTGTACTTTTATTCATTATTAATTATTTGTTTTATTTAAAATTCGTGTCCAAGTAGAATTATTTATGATAATAGAATAGACATAAATACTAAAATGGTACAATATGGATGTAGTATTCTTCTAAAGAACATTACAATCAAAATATTATTAAAATTAAAATTTAAAATTTAAAAACAAAATTAAAAATCAAACTGCAAATGAATACACAAAAAGTAGTGGGTGGGTTCTTCAGTCAAGATTTTTTTTTATATATTCCCAATTGATATTATAAAAAACATATTTTATCAGTTTCAATTGAAGTGCATATACATTTGTTTTTTGAGTTGATTAAAATAAATAATTTTATAAAAGTTATGAATATTTTGATATTTATATATAACTATTTTTATATTTACTTTTTCTATTTGTTTGAAGATAGAAAATTATATATTTTAATCTCATTTTAAAATTTATAATTTATAAAAATTTTTATTTGAATTAAACTATTTAGTTGTCTTAATTTTAATTTATAATTATTTTTATTAAATTATAATTATTTTCACTAATACACTTCTTAATTACTTACTATTACACAATATCTAAAATTTTATACCTAAGTTAAGAGAGAAAATTAACTGAGACGGAGAAAATATAAATTAAATAATAAAAATTAATTTAAACTGCAAAATAAACAAACAAAATTCCATTGATTGTATTTACAAGTCATGAAGCATAAGTGGAAGGATGATTGTAAAGGTACTTTTGTAAAATATACATTTAATAAAAAAGAAATTGATACACTTACGAAAAGATCGTTACTTCAATATAATGTTTTTCTAAAAATAATAGTGTAATTTTATATAAAATATATATATATATAATTATTACATATAATAACTAGAAATCAAACTTTAAATAAACAAAATCCAAATGCTTTTACTTTTTTTTTTATGGTGCAATTATAAAAATAATAATAAATGAAATTTTGTATGGTCAATGTCATTGATTGGCTATGGGAACTTATAGATTGTAGTGGAATGTCTATATGCCCACTAGCTTACCAAAATCGTTTTCAGTATTATTGCAAATTAAAAAGTTATTACAATATAATAGGTTTGATATTATACCCATTATGTGTTTTCAAACCCTATAATTTTGTAGGGTAAACTGTCTTTTAGTTCCGTAACTGGATTCATTTGTCATTTTAATCTCGTAAGTGGAGTATGTCGCAAACTAGTCTCATAAGTAAAAAATTTTCGTTGTTTTAGTCCTTTGGCGCTGGAGATGCCTGCGTGGCTTGCCGGAGATGACGTGTCCGCCAGGTCAGCGACACCTGGCGGACACGTGGATTTTTTTATTTTTTAAATTTTTTTTAAAACTTATTTTTAATTTTATTTGTATTTTTTTATTTGGTCTAATTAAAAAAAATTAAAAATTTTTTAAAAAAAACAATAAATCCACGTATTCGCCAGGTGTCGCTGACCTGGCGGGACACCTGGCGGACACGTCACCTCCGGCGAGCCATGCGGGCGTCTCCGGCGCTGGAGGACTAAAACAGCAAAAATTTTTCACTTATGGGACTAGTTTGCAACAGGCTCCACTTACGGGACTAAAATGATAAAGGGGTCCAGTTACGGAACTAAAAAAACAGTTTACCTAATTTTTTTAATTAATGTAATGATTATAGGGAGAAAATAGAAATATTCGGTGTAAATTCATTTTATATTTTTAGATTAATTTGTTTTTTTTATATATATTAGATACGAAAAATTATTTCGATAACATTAAAAAATATATATATTTCAAATTGAATATTAATTTGTTGTAAGTGACTAATATATGTATATTATTTGTAAAAGTACATTTAAATAATAGTATATTTTGTATAATATTTATCAAAAATTATATCACTCAAATAAATATTGGGTTAACAAACCTAATATAAATAATAGGATTTGTTTAGGGTGTATTTGTTTGAGAAATTTTGTGGAATTTCTACTATTTCTAAAAAAAATTTTATATGAATAGTTGTATGATGTGATATAAATAGTCGTTGATGTGATGTTTTGAATGTAAAATTGATTTTTAATATAATATAAAAAATAAAAAATAAGTGTTTGATTCGATATTTTTTTAAAAAAATGAGATGAATAATATATTTAAAATCCAATCCAAACACACCCTTTGTTTGTTTTTGTTTATGATTTAAATAGAATATTAATATGATATTTTATAAAAATAATAATACATTTCTATTGAAGTCATATAGATTTAATAGCAAATATATATTTTACATCTAAACCCTAAACTCTTTATTTTATTTCTTAATCTATGTGTCTATTTGTTTTTTTGTGGTGGTTTGAATGATTTTTTTTTATTTTTTTAATTATAATATGAGAAATTGTGTAGGTAATATAAAAATAACGAGTGTGTATAATATATTAATTTTTTTATATATAAAATTATATTAATTTGTTTTGAGTAAAAGAACACATTATTTAAACAAAATTCAAAGCCAAAATCGTGTGTGTTCGAGTCTGATTTTATTTATTTATTTTGAACATTGATTTTATGTGTAATATTTTATAAAATAAATTAGTTTATGAAAATAGCAATAATCTTATTTTAAAAAACTTTAAAATTTTAAAAAAATTACCAAATAAACATAATTTGCACGAAAAGAATGTTGAATCCAAACATAAATATTCCAAAGCATATATACATTCAAAACGGAGTCAAATTAAGTCCCGTAAGAGATGACCTGGTGTTATCGGAAGCAAACTTGTGATCGTGAAGTTATGGGTTTAAAAACCCCAATGCCTCCTGATCCACCTGTTACACATGATTCGCCTAGTGTGATTTGCCTTATTGAGTCTAGTTTGCAAGCTATTAAATTCGATTGAGGTTTATTCAAAGCGATAATGCAAACCGAATATGTATTCTTTGATAAATAAAAAATAATAATAATAAAAAAATGAAATATTATATAAATTGTTGCAAAAACAAGTGCCTACCTATTCAATTTCTACTTGCCCACCCTATTCAAAAAAGATAATAATAATAAAATTATGATCCGAAAACATTATTCAATTTTCACAACTTATTAGAGTAATATATTATGAATGTAGACAAACACGTCAATAGTTTTAGTTTAATATATAGTATATACTCTATTTTTCATAAGCCAAAATTATACTATTATTTTTGTTTAATATCCACTATACTTATGTATAGTATATTTATAATGAAATATTTTATCTAGTCACAAATTTACTATTCCAATTTTAAATATTATTTTTTCTATTTATTTCATTATCTTTATAACTCTTTAATAATTTTTTAATAATATTTTCATTTTATATTTTACTTATCTTACATTTGTATTAAAATATTATTATTTTTTACTTTTTTATTTAAATAAACTAACAAAATATTTTTTAAATGAATAAAATATTATTTTAATAAAAATGATACAATTTATTTATAAACTATTTAAATAATTAAACTATATATATATTTATTTGTTCATTAAAAACATGCTATATATTGAATACTAGTGGGTGTGTTTGGTACAGAGAAATAAGGTTAGAGAAATGAAAATTGTCTCATTTCTCTTGTTTGTTTCAGTCGAAGAAATAGAACTTGAGAAATAAATCATTTTTATTTCTCTATTTTTATTTCTCTAATATACGCAGAGAAATAGAGAAAAATGATATAAACGTATATATTTTTTAATTTTTTAAAATCTTTTTTGTACTATCTAATTTATATATATTATTTTAATTTTACAAAAATCAAATTTAATTTATTGTTAAAGTATTTAAATTTTAGGATTTTTTAAAAAATTATACTAATATATAAAATATCGTATATAATTTATAATTTTTTTAAAAAAAAAATCACCAAAAATATATTTTATGAATTATCATTCATTAAATTTTTTTTTTTTTTTTTTTTTTATTAGTGTCAGTATATTCATATGCTCTGGTGATTTTGACTAGATTATTAATACTACGTTATTTTTCTATTATTTGATATGTTGGTCTCATTATATATATTTTTTTATCAAATAAATTAATTAAATTTTTTATACGCTGACTGCAGTATGTTAAATTTGTGTATATAAAATATGAATTTTAATTGTAAAAATAAAAATAAAAATACTTAATTTAATAAGCACGTGTATCGTTTCAATTGTTTTATAATATATGTCCTATTCACAAATTCTATTATTATTATTATTATTAGCTTTTATTCTTTATGAAATCCCTATTACAATACACAAATATATTTTTATTTTAAAAAATATATATTAAGAAAACACTATATTTTTATAATTTTTTAAATAAATATTATTAATAATTTTTAAAATTTTATATAATTTATTGCGGATGTTCACAACAAACTCTTATAAGGTAAAATATAGTTATTTTTACTAAATTATGTGATAATTTTTTAAGTACTATCATTTAAATATTAATTTATAAAATTAAAGAAATTATAAATCTATCAATCTTAATATAATTTTTAAAATAAATATTAGTATTTTTTTAGTAAAAAGAAAATTAAATTAATAATATATAGAAGGTGTGAATTAGGCGAGTTGGGAACCTTACTATGAATATGAGATTTGTAATTTATTTTTAAATAAAATTATCAGATTATTAAAAAGAAATTTAGACTATCTTAGAAACAAAAATGTATATCTCCAAAATAATTTTCTCTTGAAAAATGAAATAAAATGAAGAAGTAATGAGTTTCTAAAAAATTTTAAGATACAGTGAAGCGAGTTGAAATGAACAATATTATGGCAAGAAAGAAGACGATAAATATGAAAATGACGATGATAATGAAACTATTCGACCTACTTAGTATTAATAAGATTTTTGTATAATCCTATTTTTTCCCCTTTGTAATATATTTATCTTGACATTAAAATTAATTTGAATATCTTTTTATTTTACTATTTAAAGAAATATTTATATGAATATTTAATTTATTATTTTAAATTAAAATTAAATAAAAATTATAAAATACAATTGACAATTTTATAATTTAATTTGACATTTTGTTACCAAAAGTTACAAATTGTTGCAATATTTTGTGACAAAGTGTCACTATTCAATATATTTGTTGCAACTTTCAATCTTCCGCAACAAAGTGTCATTAATGTTATTCAGTATTGCAGTAAAAGTTACAATAATTTGTTACAACATTCAACCTTTCGCAACAAAATATCATTAATGCTATTCAATATTACTGCTGAAGATTGTAACAATATGTTATTAAATTTTTCACGAAATCATACATTTTTGCGATAAATATTTGTGCGACAAAATCATATTATTTTACTAGTGAAATACTCCTTATATCCCATATTCTTTTATCCCCTCACATCGTCCAAATAAAAAAAATAAAATATATATTTTTTTCTCAATTATATCACCTAATTTTTAAATTATTATACTTAATACTATCCACTTAAAAACTTGTGTCAAAAATAAATGTTGCACTTTTTTTGGGACAGAGAGGGGCGGAAGGATTACTAAAAAGCAAAACGGAAGCTCAATTTTATGAGGATCAATCATATTTCTTCTTTTTATACATCCTTTTTCAGTTCGTATCCATTTATTAATTTTATTTTCTCACACATTTAGCGGTGGTATATATCATTATTTTAGTCTATATATATATATTATATTCATACATATTCAGCGGTGGTATATATTATTATTTTAGTTTATATATATAGTAGAGTTTAGTTACTCTACTGTCAATATATATCACCTTCCGCTGTATGTATTTAAATTTTTTTATTATATTAATTTTTTATTTTAAAAATACATATGACGGAAACTAATTGTCGTAACAGAAGGAGCACGATACATTGGATAGGTAACTGAATCAGTGTAGCAAAGTTGTTTCTTTTTTTTTTTTCTTATGTTTAAATTCAATTTTTTTTCTTTTTTTTTTTTTTAATTATACATACTTGTCGACTCAAAATTGGATAAAAGAGGAAAAATATCCTTTTTAAAATAAGTTGTTAGAATTATTTTATCAAAATGGGTGCTCTATATCGAGAAAAGATGACGTCAAATACTATTCAAAATTGCAGGTACCCCAAATTACCAGAATGCCCACCCCTACAGCCATAATATATACGACATACAGAAACTTGCAGCAATATAGTGGAGTATAAATTTACATTGCTGCAATTAACCATACTTTATAATTTAACATGGAAAAGGAAACCGACGATCATTCTGGAGATCCGAAAGAGCAGAACAGCCAGTGGGCGGCCATCGACAGGCTACCTACCTCTCGACGGCTGAGATGTTCTCTGCTCGAAGGCAATATCGTAGACGTCTCCAAGCTTGCCGCCGCCGACAAGCATCTGCTCCTTGCGAAGCTCCTCAACCACATCCAGAACGGCAACCTCCGACTGCTGGAGAAAATCAGATGCAGAATCGATAGGTGAAGTTCCGCGACACACGCACATATACAAATACGTTATACGTATATATATATATGTATATATTTGATATTTTGAGTTGAGTTGATTGCACGAATTTCAGTGGCGGCGGACTGAGACAGAGCTCCGCGACGGCGCCGATTGAAGTTAGGTTTAGCAATCTCAGCGTGGAAGCTGAATGTCAGGTGGTGTACGGTCAATCGCTCCCTACGCTTTGGAATTCCCTCACAAACGTGTTCCGGGTCAGTCTCACCCGGACCCGACCCGACCTGCTTATGCTTTCATTTTATTATTTTATTAATTTCTAAAGTGTGGTTATTTTGGATGAATTTAAAAATAAATTGATTAAGTTTAATATTAAAATAATATTTTATAAATAAACATAGTTGAAATAATAAACTTTAAAAAGAAAAAAAAAACACATATATGTTGGCATATGTTTTAATTTTAATTAATAATTTTTATATTAAAAAATCAAGCCTTCTATAATAGATTATTATTACTATAGATGTAGTATAGAATTATTCAGTCAGGTTGAATTGATTTGTTTGTATATAATTAATCAAACTTCGTATACTAACTTAAGTATGAATAAATTTGATAAAATTAACAAATGAAATAGAGACGTGATTATCTGCAAAAAGTAATGAAAAATTAGAAAATGTTGAAATAGCATTTTAATGTTATTATAACATAATTTGCAAGTTTGAGTTATTGTTAACAAATAATTAAGTTAAAAAAAAAAATGATATAATTTAGCCGTGTGTTTGTTTCAAATAAAAAATTTAATTTAATATATTATTTATTTTTTAAAAAATATATCACATTAAAATATTATTTAAATTTTGATAATTCAAATATTTATATATTATAAATTAATAATATTTTAATATTTTTTTATTGTTTTTTATAAGATAGAAATATTTATATAAAAAATATAATAAATAAAATAGCACTAAGGTAATAATAGTGATAGTATTATTATATTTTAATCAAAATATATTAATATGAACTGAAAGTACGACTCATGTCTTTCGGCTCGAGTCGAATTTTACTGGTGTGGACTTTGATCGAATCGGCTCGGCTCGGCTCGGACGAACTCGAACAGATAAACATATATAACAAGAGTCACAAGACCAGCGTTTCTTCTCACAACATTCAAATGCACGATGAACAATTTTGCTTACCTTCAGGGTCACAGATAATTCTCTTTGAGGATGATCATCTCTGTCAATGGCAGAAAAAACTTGGTGAAGAATTAGGCTTTGGAATTGCTGTTACTCTGAGAATCTCATTCATTACATACGTGGCTATTTGTAACTGTTGTTAATGCATTTGGCGGGGGTTTGAAAACTGTGTTAGTGTTTGGCAGAATGCAGGCAGATTTCTTGGTTTCCCGTCGCGAGAGGCACAGATAAACATAATACACGATGTTAGTGGTATCATCAAGCCAGGAAGGTAATCATCGAAGAGGAAATTGAAGAATTCGTTCGTATAGTATTAGTTTCGAACTTTATCTCATTTTTTTTTTGAAACTAACCATAAGTTTGGTGTGTTCGATTGTTTGATTGTGCGATACAACTGCTGGCTTCTACTGAGTAACTTAAGTTAGCATGTCCTTAATGCAGATTGGCTTTATTACTTGGTCCTCCCGGGTGTGGGAAGAGTACACTCTTGAAAGCTCTTTCTGGAAACTTGAGCAAATCACTCAAGGTGCTATTGTCTGCTTCTATTGTTTTGATGTTTTTTAGACGCATTTCTGCAGGTGTACTTAGTTTTTGGGATAGCATAGAATTGATTGATTGATTTACCATGGCTATTTATTTACGATGAAGTATGAGCTGCAAATTATAATTTAGTATAAAATGAGGATAGATTAACCCAACATCATATCTTTTCCATAGATAGGTGGGAATGGTATTCAGAGCTAGTTTCGCAGAGAGGAAAGATATTAAGATATGCTTGGTGGCTTTCCTTTTTATAAATATGCTGTGGTTTTTTCATGAGTCTGAACCTTACTAATGATATGGCTTAGACATTGTGTAGGTTTATTGCTGACCGGTATTGAAGTGTCCATTTTTTGAGATAGATTTAATAGTATACTACCGGCAGTGAGTCGGCCAAGTTGGTCTTAGTCCCCTGGAGCTATGGCAAAACAGACATGTTGTGTTGTTTTCATTCTATTTTCCTTCAGGGAATTGACAGTTCTGCACTTTCTAGTTTTTGTAATTCAGCAAGGGATGTGTTAAGGCAAGTTCAGAGAGCTATGACTAGAAGGATTATCCTTTGTGTCGATCTTGCGGAAAAGTTGGATTGAATTATGGAACTAGTGATGAAAGGAGTTATCTTATAAAACTTAATTTTGATCTGATTAATGGTGGATCTGCTATTATCATTTGATTGTTTATTTGATTTATAATACTTTTGAATGGCTCTTTCGGTGGTTTTATAACCTCACTGAAAGTTTACTATAATATTCATCATAAAAGAATATCTCATTTAAATTTCAGGTTTCTGGTGAGGTTTCATACAATGGATACAGACTCGAAGAATTTGTAGCACAAAAAGTTTCAGCCTACGTAAGCCAGTATGATCAGCATATCCCTGATCTTACTGTCAGGGAAACACTTGATTTTTCATCTCTCTGTCAGGGGGTTGGAAATAGAGCAGGTTTGTTATTCTCTACTTAGAAACTAAATTCATGTTTCACTGTATATTCCAAAGATCAATGCATGATTAAAATTCTTGTCGTATATAGAGCTTCTGGCAGAACTCATCAGAAAGGAGAAAGAAGCGGGAATAGTTCCGGATCCAGATATAGATGTTTTCATGAAGGTATTTCCAATGTTTCACATTCCCAATCTTGATAAGCAAAACTCTATTCATTCAAATACATGGCTAGGGAACTGTAGATTTTTATGTAAAGGCAACTAAAAGCCAATTATCTTTCATTATCTTTTCTTTGACTTGAATGTGCAATGTAAAATTTATGCAGCTGCGAGAATATTTACTTCATTTTAATGGTTGATAATTATCATTTCATTTACTTTTTATGTTAAACATAAGCCCCCTATAAACTTGAGCTTTTATCAACAACCACTCAATGTAGAACACTTTATATATGAACAACCATATTATAGAAGAAGCAAGCAAATGGTAACTGTAAAAACCAAACATTAGGTGTGCCATGTGCCTGATTATATTACAATAAATAAATCAGTTCTTCACCTTTCTTTGTTGAATGCAAACTCACATGTGCTAGACCATGAGCCTGGCATGCTTTTATACAGGCAATTGCTGTGGAAGGACAGGGGACAAATCTTCAGACAGACTATATACTTAAGATAAATTCTTTCTTGATCTCTCAATCTTTTACAATATTTTATGCTAGAATACCTTATTTACGTTTACCATTCCCATTTATTACAGATTCTAGGCCTCGATGTATGTGCTGAAGTACTTGTTGGAGATGTCATGAGAAGAGGAATCTCTGGTGGTCAGAAGAAGAGACTGACCACGGGTAGTTTTATCCACTATTACCTGTACAACTTTTAGATAGTGTGTGCCTTATACATCTCAAGACATGAAAATGCAAACCTCAAGCATGACTATAATTTTTAAACTTAAAAGAATTTTCCTGCAGAATATGTGTGTAAAAGATCTAGCATCTAGATGTTTTTTTTATCAGGTGAGATGCTTGTTGGGCCAGAAAAGGTGTTATTTATGGACGAAATCTCAAATGGTTTAGACAGCTCAACAACATTTCAGATTGTCTCTTACCTCCAACAACTCGCGCACATCAATGGTGCTACAATACTTGTTTCTCTTCTCCAGCCAGCACCAGAAACCTTTAATCTCTTTGATGACATCATCCTAATGGCTGGGGGAAAGATTGTGTATCAAGGACCTCGAACTGATATTTTAGAATTTTTCGATGGTTGTGGATTTAAGTGTCCAACAAGGAAAGCGACGGCTGATTTTCTCCAAGAGGCAAGCACAGATAACATTCCCATTCTTGATATCTTATATTATTATGCATGATATTTACATATGCAGCTGGTTTCCAGATCATGTCAAGAAAAGATCAAGAGCAGTATTGGGTCAAAACTCAACAAAAATACAGTTATATTTCAGTTGAAATGTTATCAAGAAAATATAAAGAGTCCCCTCAGGGGAAGGAGCTTGGTATGGAGCTTGCTGTGCCATTTGACAAGTCCAAGCATAACCAGAATGCAATAAATTCTAGTGTTTACTCACTTCCTAAATGGGATCTTTTTAGAGCCTGTGCCTCAAGAGAATTTCTTCTCATGAAAAGGAACTACTTTGTGTATGTTTTCAAATCTGTTCAGGTTAGTTTCTCTATATTTTCTTCGTGTATGTTTCATGCATCGCAACAAACATCAAACAATACATGTTCATCTTATGTAAACTGACAACTGTTTGTTTGCAGCTTATCATTGTTGCATCTGTTACCATGACTGTTTTTTTGAGGAGTCATATGGGTGTTGATGTTCTCCATGCCAACTACTATTTGGGAGCTCTTTTTTATTCCCTAATTGTTATAGTTACTGATGCACTGCCTGAGCTTTCTATGACTGTTGAGAGACTCGGAGTTTTTTACAAACAGAGAGACTTATATTTCTATCCAGCGTGGGCTTATGCAATTCCTACCACCCTTCTTAAGATTCCTCTTTCGTTGTTGGAGGCTGCACTGTGGACATCCTTTACTTACTATACTATTGGATACAGTCCAGAGGCTTGGAGGTCAAATATTACATGATATGATTTCTTAACATTTAGTCTAATAATCAATAATTTCTCTGAAAGGGTGATACTCTGCAATTTGTTTTCCAGGTTTTTTCGCCAAATGTTTTTATTTTTTGCTGTGCACTTTACCTCTATATCCATGTACCGCTTCGTGGCAGCAGCTTTCCGAACTGTGGTTGCATCTTCCATGGCTGGTGCTCTGTTGGTAATAACTGTTTTGTTGTTCGGTGGATTTATTATTCCAAAGCGTAAGTAGTTTTGAGTAACTGAATTTCCTTTAGCGACAACTTCCTGTAAAAAGATTCCATTTTTTTGATAATCGTTGCTTGCAGCATCCATGCCAATTTGGTTAAAGTGGGCCTTTTGGGTTTCACCTGTCTCATATGGGGAGATAGGCCTCTCAATAAATGAGTTTCTTGCTCCTAGATGGCAAAAGGTGAGAACACAATTCCATCTGTTGTTGGGTCTTTCTTTTTTATTTTAAATGATTGTGGTGGTTATTGATTTGTGTTTGTTAAAATCCTCCACAACTACATTTGAATGCAATCTATCTAGTAGCTTGAAATTGACAGTAGAGATTATTTTTACACAGATTTTATGTTGATTACTTTTCTTTGCCTTATGCAGCAATTGCCTGGGAATAAAACAATTGGAAATTTAATACTTGAAAACCGTGGATTGAACTTTGATGGGCATATGTTTTGGATATCGATTGTTGCTCTTCTGGGTTTTACATTACTCTTCAACACTTTCTTTGCATTGGTCTTAAGCTTCTATAAATGTGAGTTAATCTCTTACTCTTAAACGGTTAAACCTACATAACATTTGACATTGGCTTTAGCTAATCAGATCATACACTCTTTAATGCAGCTTTGGATGCCCGTGCTATTATTTCTTCTGAAAAACTCTGTGAGTCATGTGATAAAGTATTGGACAATAACAGCCATGCAAAGAAACAATTCAAACTCTCTCCCACAAGCACAAATGATAGATCTCACAGAGGTTTGAAATCTGCCCTATGTTTCCTTCTTGTTCATGATAGATATACGTTTATCGGAAGAAAGATTTGATGGTTTTTCGTACATGGTAACTTATTTCTATTACCTCAAGAATGTTTCAATATGTGTTGTAGGTACAATGGTTTTACCTTTTGAACCATTAAGTGTAGTGTTTCAGGATGTTCAGTACTATATTGAACCCCCTAAGGTAATGAAACAAATCTTCACGTGACATGCAAGAAGGATTTGTATGAAAAACCAACATTGCAATCGTGGCTCTGTTTTCACACTTTAGGCATTGAAGGAACGCGGCTTTGCTCAGAAGAGGCTTCAACTTCTTTGTGACATCACTGGTGCATTTAGACCTGGAGTTTTGACTGCTTTAATGGGTGTCAGTGGAGTGGGAAAAACAACACTTCTTGATGTTCTTTCTGGTAGAAAAACTAGTGGCACTGTTGAAGGAGTTATAAAAATTGGAGGCTATCCTAAAGTTCAAAAGACCTTCGCCAGGATTTCAGGTTACTGTGAACAAACTAATGTTCATAGTCCCCGAATCACCGTGGAAGAATCAGTTACTTTTTCTGCTTGGCTTCGTCTTCATCCTGATATTGATTCAAGGACAAAATCTGTAAGGCACCATTTTGTCAATGTTCAATCATTTGTGTGGATATATCTGCATTTCAGTTATATCAACATCATGTATCTTTTGTTGTAGGAGTTTGTGAGAGAAGTGCTTGAAATCATTGAGCTTGATGGAATTAAAAATGATTTAGTGGGCATCCCAGGAGTTGATGGCCTGTCAACTGAACAACGGAAGCGGTTGACAATTGCTGTGGAACTTGTTGCTAACCCATCTATAATCTTTATGGATGAACCCACAACTGGACTGGATGCTAGAGCAGCAGCAATCGTTATGCGGGCAGTCAAGAATGTTGCTGACACTGGGAGAACAATTGTTTGCACCATACACCAGCCAAGCATAGATATATTTGAAGCGTTTGATGAGGTATTTCTGTCACTTGACAAAGGGAGGGATTCGGTAAATTTAAATCATTGAAAACCTTTCTATGTTATATTCAAATTGAATAATAGAAGGTAAATTCACAATTTTGGGTCCTATTACGATTTGAAATTTTTATCTCCAACCAAGATGAATACATAAATTTTGATGAACTGCAACCTTAGTGTAAAATTTTCCAAACATGACTTTCATTCAGTTTTGATGAATATATATATATATATGTGTGTGTGTGTGTGAGTGTGTGGTGTGGGATAGGAATTAAAAATAGTTTAATTATGATAAAATCTTCAGTGATAATCAAATGTATATTATTTTTCCTGTAGAAGAACTAATTCAGCTATGGATAGCAGGATGTTGGAAACAATATATGCTAAACTGTTGGTGTCTATAAATGGCTTTCATCTTTCAGTTAACAAACATTATTAATGTGTTCTTTGTACCTCCAGTTACTACTTCTGAAAACCGGAGGACGCATGATCTATTGTGGCCCATTGGGTCATAATTCCTGTGATGTAATCCGGTACTTTGAGGTACACATATTGACCTAATGTGAGCATTCAGTTCTTTTTTAGCTTTGTATTCCTCACTTAATACTTGAACAGGGTATCTCTGGTGTGCCAAAAATTATAGACGATCGTAATCCAGCAACATGGATGTTGGAGGTCACTTCAGCTTCTTCTGAAGCTGATCTTGGCTTAGACTTCTTTCAAATTTACATGAATTCTGCTTTGCATGAGTAAGTACTATCTCTAACCTTCAACACTCAAAACCATGTTATTCCTGTGTAATAACCATCTGTTATCATTTGGTGAAGAGGCCAATTTTAAGTTTAAAATGGGATATGTCTGCACTTCTCCCTCTGCAGTTTTCACTTTTTACAAGAAATGATTTAAAACTACTTATTTAAATCTCTTGTATGAATTTTGTTCGTCATAATCTATATGATCCTCTTCCTTCATAGGAGTAACAAAGAGCTTGTGAGGAATTTGAGCACACCTAGTCCAGGGTCAAAAGATTTATATTTTCATAGCCCCTACTCTCAGAATGGTTTTGGACAATTCAAAACCTGCCTTTGGAAGCAGTATTGGTCTTATTGGAGAAGTCCTTCATACAATCTGATGCGCTTAATTTACATGATTGCTGCATCTTTTATTTACGGTTTCCTTTTTTGGGATCACGCCAAGAAAATGTAAGTATCATACGTTGCATAAAACTTCTCCAAATAATTTAGTTTGCTATCCTGTCTACAACTACTTAATACATGTCTCCTATGCCTAAATTTCCTCACTTCTTTTGTGCTAATTATTTATTAATTTACTGCTTTTACAGACAAAATCAACAGAGTTTATTCACTCTCCTCGGTGCAATGCACGGCGCAGCAATCTTCTGTGGCATTATCAATTCCAAAACAGTGCTAAAATACATCAGCACAGAGCGACCAGTTTTCTACAGAGAAAGATTTGCTGGGATGTATGCTTCATGGGCTTATTCTGCTGCACAGGTACCACATTTAATTGCCTTGATCTTTATCTACGACTTCAACATCTTGTCCACCGAGTAAAGTTTGATCAGAGCTTACTCTTCTCACAAGATTCTGATAATTACAGGTCATAATTGAGATTCCATACGTCTTAGCTCAAGCACTTGCATTCACAGTGATCACTTATCCAATGATCGGATACTATTGGTCAGCATATAAAGTGTTTTGGTATTTCTACTCTATATTCTGCACACTTCTGTACTTCACTTACCTTGGCATGCTGCTGATCGCAATCACCCCAAGCTTTTCCTTAGCTGCAATTTTGGAGTCTGCCTTCTACATGATGTTCCACTTGTTTTCTGGATTTCTGATTCCTCTCCCGGTAAGTATTACTTTTCGATTTCTTGACGAAATCCGGGATGTGTCATTCTTGTTATGCTAAATTTTAGGGTGAGATCAAGTTGAGTCTTATGCTGAGGTTGAATTTTGTTGATCGTGTATTTGTGCACTAGTCAGCAGAGGTTGGAGCCACATTAGGAACAGAGATATGAGTGTGTGTGTGTGTGTGTGTTTAAGGTTAAAGGTTATGGGGAAAAAGCATTGATAAATTGTGGGTTGTTGTTGATTGAAACAGCAAATTCCCAAGTGGTGGGTGTGGTTTTACTATGTGGTTCCAACTTCTTGGTCGTTGAATGGGTTTTTCACTTCACAATTTGGAGACATGCAGCAGCAAGAAATCACAGTTTTGGGAGAGACCACCAACAAGAGAGTGGCAGTGGCAGTATTTGTTAGAGATTACTTTGGATTTGATTACCAAATGTTGCCCTTAGTGGGTGTAGTTTTGGGTTTATACCCACTTCTTTTAGCTTCTGCATTTGCTTATTGCATAGGCAACTTAAACTTCCAAAGGAGGTAGGTTGGTAGGCAAACCTCTACCTTTGTAGCCCTACCCTACCCCACCCCTCATTTGCAATTATAAAATAAACGATTAAATAAATTGACGATAAAATAGCTTGTAGTAATGTATTAACTTCTCAATCTTAATCTACTCAAGTAAAATATTATATTATATTGTTTAGTGTTTAAAATGGTGGCATGTGCCGCCAGTTTACACACCCACATATATCTATCCATCACAAACCCAATCCCACTCTTCATCAAATATTATACTATGTCCCTCTCTCTCTCTCTCTCTCTCTCTCTCTCTCTCTCTCTCTCTCTCTCTCTCTCTGTATGTATGTATATATATAAACTCCCACTCTCCCTCCACAAGACAACTTGCTAAAACCAACAATCTAACCCAAGAACAAACATCATTCTCTCTCTCTCCCTCTCTCAAAGAAACAAATGTATATGCTGTTTGTGTATGTATCCTCACTCCCTCCTATATTATAATAATAATAATATTAATAATAATAATAGTAATTGTAAAGAAAGGGAGAGGGAATGTTACTGTAGTTAGATGGGTGGATGGATCAGGGAATAGGAGGAGTGCGACGCCTAGGAATATTGTTGCTGTTAGAGAACAAGCTGACATTCCCCATCCAGAATAGGAACAGGATCAGGAGGCTTGCAGCCCCCACCCACATCCACTGCTGCAACACCTTCCTCTTGTTTCGACTCCGTAACGCCGGAGGGATACTGCTTTTCGACTTCCCACCCCCCCCACTGCTCTGCTGCTTTCCGCTCCACGGCCATTTTTTCTGCGCCTTTTTCGCTGTTGCATCCTTCACTTCAGAATCCCTGCTGATGATTTCTGGAGCGCTCTCTGAGCTCAGAGCTGTTTCACTGTTGTGGTTGTTAGTCTCGATGGGATTGCCATTGGCATCGCTCGTGGCAGCCTGCTTTCTTTCCTTCTTTCGCAGCCTCTTCTCCCTCTCCTGCATTGTTTTAATTCGATCTTGATTAGTAACTACTGGGTTCAATAATGATGATCATATGATAATTGCCGAACATATATATAATATAGGAGGATTTGGTTCTGTAAGAGTGAACCTTCTCTTTCTGTTCGGCCTCTTTCTGTAGCTTCAGCTCTGTTCTCATCTGTAGCTTCTCTGCTCGTCGTTTCTTCCTCTCGAGCGCCTCATTGGCCTTTGCCAGTGCCTCTAATCGACGCTGCTCCTTCAACTGCGCCTCAGCTTCCTCCCTTCTTGCTTCCTCAGCCTTCCTTATTGACTCAATTTCCTCTGCTGATTTCTTCGGCTCCTCCTCGTGTACCTCATTAGCAGCTTTTTCACCAAAAACACGAGCATGCCCGTTGTCCATCGCAGGTACAGGTGCAGGTTCAGGTGCGGGCACAGGGGCCGGGGTCTCCTTTTTCGCCACTTTGTGATTTTTGGGTTCTGATGGTTTTGGGAATGATTTACCATTTGAGGAGGCCGCAGTTTGGAGCTTTGTTTCTTGCTTTATCTCTGGTTTTGGAATTTTTGATGCATCGGCATCAAGCTTTACTGCTGGGATCGCATTGTCATTACGCTCGTCAGTGTAACTGGGCAGAATCACAGGCTGCTCATTTGGGCCAAGTGCACGGCCATCCAAAGTCCCCAGTCTCCTGATCGTACTCCTTGTATTGCACCGCATATACTCCTTGCGAAAATCAACGTCGGTGTTCCACATTTCCATAAAAATTTTCACCTACAAGAATGAGATGTGTTCGTATAGATAATGGTTCAGATATTATATGAATGAGTTGGAAACAGGAACTCAAAAACTTACATTTTCGGTGCATAAGCAATAAAGTGCCTCATTGTTTCCGCTAAATGCATAGTTATTGGCAATGGCTGCGGCATCCTTGTACTTGAAAAAGTGTTCATTCTGCAACATCAGGAATAATTAAGTTTGATTTCATTATAATTTCCTAACAGTTAGAACTTGCAATGCAGAAAAAGAAGAATTTGCAAGAATAGCATATTCTAAGTGAAGGACAAATGCCGTAATTTAACCAATGAAATATGACCAAGTAAAAGGGATTTATATTTTGACTGATCCTCATTCAATGTAAGGAAAATGGTTTGTATTTTTACTCCACATTATACAACGATGGAGTTTGCAGGTAGAATTCAATTGTTTAAGGAAAGCACTGCAGTGTTCCTTGCTCAAATGAAGCAAGGTTACTTGTGGAAAGAAAAACTACGTATAGGTTTAGTGCAAATAAGTTTCTTCTTGCTCTTAACTAATTATGCAAAGCGACGATATCAATATAGGGCATTAACTTCGACATAAAGCAAGGAAGTCTAGTTATCAGGTTCCAAAAATGGGCTAATTATTATTTTTGGATCTCTACAGAATCTCTAATTACACCATGATTGCTCATGTATAATTCATTGCCTATCTGTATCTTAACTAGTTTAGATTTTGCACTTCTATGATTTGATCTACAATAAAATTAAGGAAGAAAAAGGGTGCTTTGAAGATCCGATACCTTTTTGGAGAGCTCTTTCCTCAAACTCTGCAACTGAGCATAGGCTGATTGGCGAACATCATCTGCGGCTCTAAACTGAGCTTGGAGTTCCCTAACCTTTTTATTTTCATCATCATACTTCCTCCCCGCGTCCATGGCTGCAGACTCAGCTTTTAATACTTGATCTTTGAGTACATCAAGCTCCTTTCTCAGCGTCTGCAGGCACATGATGAATAAAAAATGTAACCAAATGGCAGCGGTGAATGACCTTCAGTTAACTACGCACAGTTACCTCTAATTGGAGTATAAATTGAGGTTTTCATTATCCATACCTTCAATCGCTCTTCAAGCTCTTCTCGCTGTTCAAGTGCGCGCTTGATTTCATCTTGGCTTCCCAAGTTGGAAGACAACTGTTCGCGTAGTTGCTTCAGTTGCTTGATATCACGGATGAGCTGTTTTTCTTCCTTCAAGGGAAGAGTCTCATGCTGAATCATGTGTTCCATATTTTGTATCTGTCGAGATGGACATTTTATCAATCCAACACAATCCATCTACTGCTGAAGAATCAAACTAAACTCTTATGTGCCAATGAAGAGCCAGAGACTTACCTGGCTATCAATATCTTCGATGGATAATGCATTCTTGGCTTTGTTAATCATGGTCTGCAGAGAATCTATTTCTATCCGCTTTGACCTTACAAGCTTTCGTGCACTTCTACCTTCTCCTTTAGCAAATTCATAATCGACACCATGAATTTGACTGCTGGCCTGCTGCAGAAACATCTGGTTAGTCCTTGACATACATAAAAGAAAAAAATAAGAAGGAAATCATTAAAGAACACTATCTTTCATACTCTTTTCTCTTGGATCTGAGCTTGAATGGCGTCCCTGATTTTCGTTTTATCATCAACATGTAGCTTTGCAAGCCTGATTTGTTCTCTAAGGTTGGCGTCATCGAATCTTGGAACCCTCACCAAAAAGTTGAATGGTTTTGTTTTACTCTTAATACTAGGCTCCTCTGTGGAGACTGTATTTGAAGTGGAACCCTCTGGCTCAGCAGCTCCGGAGATGTTATCACTGCTTGATTGTCTGTCACCCTCATTTTCTCCCAGCGTCAGGTTTTCTTTGACATCTTCTACTTCAAGTTCAGTGTTCGCTACACTTTCATCTCCAACATTAAATTTGTCTGAATTCTCTGTTCCGCTTGTGACAGACACCACATGAAGTTCAGGTTCTAGCTTCACATCAGAAGTTTCAGAAGTCCCATTGGCATCTTTTGCTAGTGAGATCACTTTCTCATGACCATCTCCGGAGGCAATATATGATTGAACATCTATGTCCATCTCAGTATTTGCTACACCCTCACTGACAACAGCAACACCATCTAAAACCTCTCTTGCCCATGATCCAGGCGCAGTACCAGACCTTTCTCCATTGCTTGCGGCAGACGAATTAAGAGCATTACCTTCAGTTTCCAAATCCATATTAAGTGCTTCTGATTCTACAGCAGTCTCGCTTTCTTGCAAGAACGCAGACTCTTGCCTACCCACTGCAGCACTATCCAATTGATTGCCCATGTTTTGCCCATCTTCTACTGCTGATGCAGAAGGGACTGCACAGTCATTTTCATTATTAAAGCTGTCTAAAACTTCTTCTTTAACGGTTTCACACACAGCAATCGACTTTTCTCCACTGCAGGTTGCATCACAGACACGACTCCCAGGCTCTAAAATCACATCACATTTTTCAGCTTTTACAGGGGATTCCTCTTCTTGCAAGATCACATTCTCACTGGTGCCAATTTCAGCAACAAGTAACTGATCACCCGTCTTTTGAACACCTTCCATTTCAGATACAGACTCCACTACAGTATTTTCAACAGTATAACTGTCTTCAATCTCTACTCTACATGAAGCTGACTCGCCATCAGTCTGGTCTCCACTGTTTATGGCATCATAGGTGTGAACATGAACCTCAGGTTCCAAAGTCCTATAGATTGCTGCAGGTTGGTCATCTGCAACAACAGATAGCACACTAGAAACTTCTGCTTCACCTGGAGCTTCACTATGTTGAAGTGTTGATTCCTTTTCTGTAAGAACTTCATGTGGTTCCTTTTCTGTGAGAACTCCATTAATTGTAGAATCAGATTCCGAGATTGTTTTAGCTGCAGTGCTCCTTGTCCAAGAGTTAGGATCTGGAACTCCATTCCCAATAATTTGTGCTACTGTTTCAATAGGTGCAGCTACAGAATTCTCATATTCAGTTTGAAGAGAATGAGCACTTGAAGTTGGAACACATTCAGTCATCAGAGAAGTATCATCAGTCCTGCTTTCCGCATGCACAGTTTCCAGAGGAATCACACTGCCATCAGGATGTTTGTCAGGTTCCTCCGATTGCTGAATACCACCAGCAGCAGGAGAAGCAAAGTGCTCTTCATTTTTTCCATCTACCGTGAGGTCACAAACAGATTCCATATTACTACTCACCACAGTTTCTGCTTCCGCTATCTGTTCTGACACACCCCGACAATCATTCTCCAGAGCAGTATCCAAATGGCATTGTTCATGCATATCTGAACCCATGGTTGCCATCGCTCCCTCATTACACACCTCTTCCTTGAATTCATGCACCTTCATATCCAATTCCAATGATGCTGGTGTAGGAACTTCTTGTCTTGCATCTTCCACCACTTCTCCAACAACTTTTTTCTCTTTCTCAGCTACTGGCACCAAATCTTCTGTGCTACAGTCAATTACATTCTCATCCACAACTTGAAAACTCTGATTTGCCTGCAATAACTCAGCTGAGCTTATTTCAGTATCACATTCATCCTTTCTATTTGGATCCTCATATCCAACTGTTGCGCTGCCAGAACAGTTGAAAGACAAAGACATAATTTTTAGATCCCCATTTTCCAGTGATTTTACAGCTGGGTCCAAGGCCCCGACTTGAGATTCCTGATACTCTAAGGTACCAGGAGTAGACTCAGATTTTATAAGATCATCATCGTCATATTTCTCCAGCTTAGCTAGACCTTCATTTTTCCCATTATCGTCCCCAAACTCCTGGGCAGCAACTTGACCCTGGCTTGAATCTTTAACATCTGAATGCTCAACCAAGTTAACTTCAGGTTCAACCGAGCTTTCAGATTTGTCAGTATGATTTTCCACAGAATCAGCAACAAGAGGTTGGAACCTGTGTTCTCTTTCATGCTGTCTGGTGCTATCATACTCCATTGAAGGATTCCCATTACACGGCTGGGCACTCCTTGTCATTCCTTCATCGACGGACTTGATTACTTCCCCAGTCACTGCATCGGGCCTTTCATTTTCAGAAATCGTATCTAGCTGTTTATCCTCAACCACAGCAGCATTCTCCTCAACAACCACATCCACATCACCGACAGCATCTTCATCCCGGAGTTCATCGGTCCCTGTGACAAATACATAGGATCTGTCGAGATCACTGGCTTGATTGTGGGCGCTGGAACCATTGCAGTCAGGGGTGCGCAAATCCTGGTGGGAACTCGAGCCCATTCCACATTGCTCTCCAACTCCAACCACCGACGCCTCCTTTGAAACTTCAATTTCCGACATCATAATCAGAAATCCCCCGGGGACAGATCAGATCAATATACCTGCAGAAGGCAACCCATATGACTACTGAGATGCAACAAGTCCAGTCTAACGTAAGATTTCCTAAAATTTCTACTTGCGTTTCCGAAAATAAAAGGCGAAACGGAAGCAAAAAGATTGACTAAATCCTCAGTGAACCCAGATTTGCCACAAATTTCTCTCCTTTATGAAATATTTGCTAAATCTCTTTCTGAATATTTTAAAGACGAACCCCTCTTTTTCCGGGATTTTCAACACCCACACCCCCCCCCCCCCCCCTCTCTCTCTCTCTCTCTCTCCCTCTCCTCTTCTCAAGTACAAATTGAAGGCGAGCGAACCTACGAACCTTAAAGCAAAAAGGTCAAGAAACAATTTTGTGTTCTTTTTCGGTGACACAAGGAAAAGAAAAGGGAAGAAACAATACCTTGAAAGATATATTATAATATTTTAAATTATTCTCATTTTTGCGTGATGCGATTGTTATTATTACTATTTAATAATAATCTTAATTCTATTTCCCTAATTACAAAATTATTACTATTTTCGTAAACGGCAACCTACACATTTTTAAATAGTCTTTTTCCTTTTCATAAACGAAGAAGGAATGCATAAGTTAAAATACATGCCCAGAAAGTATTACTGTTCACAAATCAGTAGTCCTTGTTTAACTACATCTATATGGCCTAGAAGCAGGAGGCAAATTCCATGTACAGCCATAAAAATTTAAATTTCAGTTTTAAGAGTAAGACGTTATAAATAACAAGTCAATATATATTTGACTTAGAATTTCAAGTATTTTTATTTGTGATAAAATTCTTGAGATATCAATCGAATATACATAGTTAATGATTTATATGATAATATATTCCTAAATATTCAATATAGGCCAGTGAAGAATTCGTAATTTAATTCACAGACCACATTAAACAGATTAATTCCAATTATTGAAAATATTGGAATGAAAAGAAAACTATATGTGATGTGGAATTCAATTGATCTTCATAATCTCATATGGGAACGCACTTTACAATGACATATATGTAATAATCTTTGCATATTTTTACTTTATGTTAAAATATATCTTTAAAAAAAAAGTATAGACAAAAAATATTATTGTTTAGACTTTGGATTACGTTTCGATATTAGGCTTTAATACACATTCAATGAAGGGTATTTTACAGTCAATCCCACATGAAATATCTGTACTATACTTGAATTTAAATTTTAAATACGTCCATACCTAAAAAAAGGGGAAAAAATAAATTCTTGAAAAGACAAAATTAAAAAATAACAATGGGCCTAGAGCGTGAGTGGTCGGCCCCTCCATCTCATGAGATCTTCGATTTTCTCACTGTAATGTTAACTTACAAATTTTGTGGGCATACTTACTTGAATATATATATATGTGTGTGTGTGTATGAAAATATGCAACTAATTTAGAAGGAAGAACCACCAGAGAAAAGATGGCACTCTTATGTAAACAAGTCTATAGTTTTAAATGTAATTGAATAATTAAGTTAGATACAATAGCTTTAACAACTAAGTATAATTTACTATGTATTTAACTTCAGCTTTGTTCAAAGTAGAGATCGATCAAGTTACGCTGCTACTCGACACGTTCATCTTACAGCTAGCTTCAAACTTTCGAGTAACGACAAAATGGAAATAATGAGAGCTATAACAAACAAATTCTACGATCCATTAAGTCGTTTATTTGTCGTATATGGTCTACGCAATCCAACTAGATCATCGGATATACGACATTTTTGTCCCAAGTATTTTAAGATGCTCAACAAGATCACGTCAAATTCATTCTCATATAACTTCAATTCACAAGTTGAAAAACATTTTAAAGTAGATCAAAGCTATTCTAATTACCACTATGAAGGCAGCTAACTAACCACTAATGCATAACAGTATGAGCTTCTAGAAATGATGCATTCCTACCTTAATTGATTAATCATATATCTTTAGAATATTTTCTTTCTTTCTTGTTTTGAAAAATCAAAGCAAGAGTTGGATTGCTTTTACGCATTATTTTGAGTTGAAATTGAGCAGGCTAGGATAGGATAGGATCGCTCCCCACCCCACCCCACCCCACCTATGCTAACACATATAGGTAGCCTTCCGAAAAGGATCTGTGTGTGGGCCACAACCCACAGAAAATTCATTCATTAATGGTGACTATTTTGGAGATTTCCCTATTCGTGCCGTCGATGGCATATGGCCTTTATTGCTTGCCATAGCCATGGAGAAACGAGGATGGCAAATGAAGAGGAAAGGGAAAAGGAAAAGGAAAAGCTAATATTGATTAATTAATTGTTCCTCCCTTCACGGCATAACAAATGCCCTCATACTCCCCTTGGGAATTACTCTTTCTAGAAATAGCCATAAACGGTTACGCAAACACCAAAACCTACACGTTTTCTGAGCAACAAAATTTGCTGGATCATTAACACACACGCAACCACACCAACAGCATTCAACTTGCAATTAAAAGTCAATCAACTCGGAGCAAAATTTTCGAACAAAAAAAACAATTAAATCAAAATTAAAGGCCAGCAATCAACCAACCGCATAGATGCACGAACGAAATTGAGGAAGATAATTGCATGAATCGGCAGATTAACTAGAAAGTAAAACGAAAGGAGAGTAAGTCGAGTCACTCACAGTAAAATGTAGGATCCGGCGAGCGGAATCTGGATCCGAGGAAAGCTTCGCAGATCAGAACCGATGGATCACCAAATCAGAACGAGGGAAATACGGTGTCGGCTGAATTCCTCCAAATATGTGCCGCGCAAATTAAATGTCGAAACCCCTCTCCCTTCAGCTCCCCACAAACAGCGACGGAGAGAGGGAGACGAGCGCAGAAACTCTGGAAATATGCAGAAGCGGCGGAGCGGTGGCGGAGGAATGGCGGTGATGCCGAAATGTGTCAAATTTTTTGTAGTGAATAGTTGGAACAGTGTGAAAAGGCTTTGGCTTAGATCTAAGTCCAGACTGTGTAAATAAATACATACACAAATCATATATATATATATATATAGAAAGAGAGAGAAAAGGATAAAGATTTTTTATTTATATATTTTAAAAAATCTTTTGGCCTTTCGGAATAAATTTATTCAAAATAAAATAAAAAAGCTACAGTATAAAAGCACAATCTACATTTATCTCTACGGATATTAAAGCAATAAATTCTGCTTTAATTTATGACAACATTTTTATTTTAAGGGTCAAAAGTGAGTTATAATACTATTAAATTTTATATTAATTTGGTGTGTTTTTAAATTTTTACAATTTTCTATTTTTTTTGCCAATATTTTTTTTCACTAATTTATATAATTTAAAAAATTATTACAGATATAAAAAAAAAAATTAATAAAATGATATAAAAATTACTGTTTTAAAACTATACCAAGAACGGATACAATAGGTTTGTTTTTTGTGGTATGATTTTCGTAAATATTATAAAAAATATAATATATATTATTTATTTAATAATTTAATATAAAATATTATTTTTATACTCCTTTTGTCTTGGTTCAAATCAGCTTTTAGGAATTTTACAGTAAATTAAAAAATAATAGTATTTTAGTAATTAGTGGAAGTATAAAAAGTTTTGAAAGTAATTATATGTGTAATGATATGTTTGTAATACAAATAAAAATTAAGTAGTATTTTGATACTGATGCATAATTACTTTTAAAATGATATTTTAAAATAAAACAAACAAAAAAGATAAAAATAGCATAAGTTGAGACGGAAAGTATTATCTATATAACTTTAAATATATCCATTTAAAAATACATCATATCATAATTGCATGATGATTTATATAAATAATTATTTACATTCTATTTCAAAATATTAATCTTTGGAAATATTTCTAAAGTTTATCAATTTTATAATATATATAATTGATTGAATATAAGATAATTTCAATAGATAGTATTGAAATATCTACATACCTTCCATATATTTAAGGGTTTTATGTAAATTTTTATATATAAATATATTTAGTTTTCTCATTTAATATTTAACTTTTTATATATTATATATAATAGTGCTTGGTTTTTTCTTTTATTTTAAGTATTATATTTTTATATTCAAGATATATTTCACTTTAAATATATATATATATATATAATTTTTTACTACTATCCAGGTGCAAAATTAACACCATGCAAACAAATTCATAAGTTTTGTTTTTTTGTTTTTTTGTTTTAATTTGTGTTTGTATTTGCATTTAAATATTTTTAAAAATGAAAGACTAGTTGAATGTAACTTGTGCTTGGTGTTTGTGTTTGATTTGATTTTAAATTTAAATTATTATTATTGAATTTATATAATTTTTTAATAAAAGTATATTTTTTATATAATATATCAAATCAAATATTAATTGAATTAAAATTTCAATTTAAAATCAAACCAGTTTTGACTTTATATTAATTTAAAAATTAATATAAATATATATTATACAATAAGAAAATATTACATAAATAGTACCTATATCGAACATGTTTTTAGATGACCATAAATATATACTGCTATATATTCTTTAATATACTATACATATACAGATATCTTCTTATGCTTAATCATGACATAATATTGGTTTAAGACCAAGGGTTTGTTTTAGTAAGTAATTTTTTATTAATACAATTCTCAATAATTATTAATAAAAAAATTATAATATATACATACATCTATATAATACAAATGTATATATTCTAATATTTCACAAAAAAATAATAATATAATATAAAATATTATTATTTTTTACATTATCGATACAATCTAAAATACTAAATAAACACATTTGCTGCTGAGAATAAATAAATATGATTATATAAAATAATTTAGTAAATAAAAATTGAAATTATTTTTTTTTTTTAAAAAAAAAAAAAAAGAGAAGAAGATTTGTATCTCCAATTTATACAAAATCTACTTATGCTATGTACTATTTGGAGTTTGTAAAGAAAACATAAAACAAATTTTACTAATATTGACATGAATCAACAATTTGGTGGTTTGATTTGAGAAATTTTGATTTAAATTTGTATTTATATAATATTTAAAGAGATATTTTATAGTAAAAAATATATATATCTTTTGAAAAAATTAAAGTTTAAATAATAGAATTTAAAATATATTAAATAAAAAATACTAGTTTTTTAAAGTTTGGATATAATGATCAGTTTTTCTCTAAAATTATTAAATTAAATATTTTTTTTATTTAATATAATATAAAAAATAAATTTTTTTATGTAGATAAATTTTTTGATAATAATAAATAGTTGAATATTTGGTATGATGTAGAATAAATATTAAGTATGATATTTTATATAGAACATAGCGTTTTTAATGCAATATTAAAATAAAAACAAGTAATATAATAATTGTATAAATAATTGATAAATAATGAAATTTTTTAAAGATGAATAAGTAAATATGGCCAAAATAGCTCTTAATAGCAGAGTCCCCAAACTAAACAATGATGTAAAATGATATTTTATCTTCCTGTATCAATTAAAAAAAATATATATATATTCATATTTATCAAAAAAATATACACTATTTTATTTATAAAAGAATAATTAAAATTAATAAAACTAATTTTTTGCAAGCAACATTATAATTCACGAAAATGCTTTCATAATTTTAATAATTAATTATAAAATTTACAAAATCTAAGTTATTAAATAACCTATTTAGAAAGAAAAAAAGATTTAATCGCATATCCTGTACAACATTAAAAAATAATAATTATAAACATCTAATAAAATAGAACATTTGTTTCTAAAAAATAAATATAAATATATATTAAATAAAAAATTACATTGTAAAATTAGTAATAATAAAAAAAAGAAATCTATTTATAATTTCATATTCATTACACCATAGTCTATAATTTTAAAAAATTACATCAAATTACTACTCTATGCCAAATTTGGTTACATTTATTTATTTATTTATTTATTTATTGTAAATCACAAAAAAAAGAAATGTAACTAGATTTGGTGAACACAAAGAGTATAACCAAAATCTTCAAACTTAAAATATAAATAAAAAATAAAAACACATCCATTATGATTAATTTTTTTTATACTCCCTCCGTCCCATAACAAACAAAGTATCTATTTTTTTATTTTAGTCATTACAACTTAAAAATATTTAAATAGAAACTTTTTAAAAAAAAAAAATCAATTCTATTCATCAATAATATTAATTTTTTAAAAATATGGTATCAATTTTTATTTTTTTTTCTTATAAAACACTTTATGGAATAATCAGCTTATTATTATTTTAAAAACTTCTAAAAATTCATATCTTTCAAATTTTTGATATAAATAGATCTTTGCAAGTGAATCATGTGCGGTAGATGTGAATCCATATCTCACTGTCATGAGTCCACCTCACGTACCACCATTTTTTATTTGAAAAAAAAAAAAAAAAAAAACTTCTTTCATCCTCTATCTATTGGCCCATTGCAAGCAAAATAATATTCAATTCACTACAAATAAAATATCAAATAGTATTTTTTAATTTCAGTATTTAAAAAAAGTCCGAACCAATTGACATGGCACATAGATGGTATTTATATTCGACTGCTATTATTTTTATCTAAATAAAAAAACCACCCGCGTATACAGGCATCAAACCAAAAGTCAATTCATTTTTTATACTATATAATAAGATAGACACACCACCAAACCAAAAACCACAGGCATAGGCATAGGCCTCCCAAAAGCACTACAACTTTAAATAAAAAAATAATACAAACAACTGCAAATACCAGGCTCATTTTCAAAAACCCCTAAATTAAAAACCATTAAAATACACTGAATTTCACACAGAAAAGACAGATGAAAGATATCACAGAGAGTTTCCAGCAACATAAAAATACAGCACAAGGTTCATTCAAGTTCAATTATTACCAAACAGATCTGTGGATGCTGCCAAACATTAGGAGAAGAAAAGAAAAGAAATGAAAAGTCCATACCAGAATGTGATAGAAATGTATGTATCCAATCTACCCCACCAACATCAACTCAAAAGTCATATAAATATTTAAAAATGGTTGAGGTTCAAGTTCAATATACCTCTTCCAGCTGGCCATTTATTAATCAAGAAAGCACACTGTTGAACGTGGAGCAGCCAACAGTAGTATTTAGTGCAAAGCAACCGACGTGGGGTAGATGGATCCAGACATATAGTTGAGACACAACAATATAAAATTTAACAACATGGCTGAGAGCTGAATGCACCTGCACATGTATACAGGTGGGCCTGTATGTATGTATGTAAGAATTAGTTTGCTAGGATCAAAATTAAGATTGATTTTTTTAACCATGGGATGAAATGTGATTTGTTACCTGCCATTGGAAGAAGTCATATTATAACCAGTTGAGTATTCTGAGGGAATTTGGGCTGCATTTCTTCAGCAAGCTCTATTGCTTCCATTCTTGACATGGCATAAACACAGTCTGGAAGCTCGGATTCATCAGAGAACCATGATTGAACTACTAAGAAGTTGTATTCAGTGGATAGCCTATAAAAATCATTCTCTGTATCAATTGTCACCATCTCCAGAGAAGGGGCGATTTTCAGCAAATGGGTGAGGAACTCTTCGTCACTCGGACACCCAAGATACCCAGCCAGTTCAACCAGCTTGAGGTTTTCGTGTTGAAATATGGGTGCATCGGAAGCACTTGTTTCGGGAAGTAATACTGCTGGTTCCAACTGACATGACAGAGATGAGTTAGTGCTGGCAGAGGAAAATATGTTGCTGTAAAAACAAAAGTAAATGAATACCTTAGGACACAAAGTGTATTTGACCTGAGACAACAAAAGAAATGCATGTGTAAGTGTTATATCTCGTAAATGAACTTCGAGCTTTTCAAAATGAAACCAGGACAGTTATCACAGCACAAAATCTCAACTAAGTCTAGAAAATAATATAAACTAAAATTCAATCATGGATAAAACTAAGGGAGGAAAACTCTCGAAACATGCCATTGGAGCTGAGCATCCTGATCCATGAACCAACATTTAAAATGTATTGAATTGACTAAAAGTATCCTGCCTATTTCCATATGATTACATGAGAACAGATTCTAGTACCAATTTGTATTTGCATACATGAGTTTTCTTCATAAAACACAGGCAAAAATATCTCCAACTCCATACAGTTTGCTTGAAAAGAAAACAACTTTGCTTGATCCTTGCACAATCAAATTAATTTGGAAAATGTATGTGTTAGGATGTGCCTATAAATATGTGCAGTCTTATATTCATACACTGATACACACAAAACATCAACAAGGCTGCAAGTTACTATAAACATAGAAATATTGATGTATTTTGTAAGAATAACTAACATAGTTTCTTGACTTTTTCCATGCCATCTGTGACCACTCAATTGTAATATTGTCCCAACAATTATTTTCACCAGAGATTTGATTTTCATCTAATATAGATATCTACATTGGTAAATGGGGCAAGGCACAAGTTACCACAAAACATAGAAAAATAGACAGATCTTTTTATGCATAATTAGCATAGTTTCTCCCATGCCATCTAACCCCACTAAATTGTAATTTTATCCCAAAGATTATTTTCATCTTTGATTTTCTTCTAAAAAATATATAATGTAGTAAATGGCACACCATGACACAAGTTGCAAGTTACCATAAAATACATAAAATATCAATGAATTTTATAAGAATAATTTACATGGGCGTGTTTGTTTGAGGGATTTTTTAAAAATTTCACTATTCATCTCAAATTTTCCCTAAAAAACATCAAATCAAATACCTAATTTTCATTTTCTATATTATTCTAAAAATCAATTTTACACTTAAAACATCACATCAACACCTATTTATATCACATCATACAATTATTCTCATTCAAAATTTGTATTATTCAAAATTCTAACTCAAAATCCAAACCTCCAAACAAACGCATCCTATTTCTTCCATGCCATATTAAGTCATAATCTTATCCTTCGGGATGTTGTTAGATTGTGAAGCCTGAGAACAAACTTAGAGTCCAAGGATAGAACAAGGGCTTTGTTCGCATGCAAGATATAGGTCACCCTATATATGAAATTCTTGGCTTGACAACGTCCCTAGACGTAAGTCAATTTATATCGAAGTATCGAACTAGATAACCAACTTCTCTTGAATTTCATATAGTTTTCTTTCATTCTTGTGACATTTCCGTAACAACTAATATTGGAACCTCATCAAGTAGAAGCCATCACTTTGATTGAAGGAAAATTTCTTATTAACAAATTCGATCAAGTCAACTACGGGTTTTGGAAGATGCAAATCTAAAATTACTTATATGGGATAGATCTACATCTTTGGGAAAGAAACTAAAATATATGAAACCATAAATAAAAATTCTTGGATAGAAAAGCCATGGCCGTAATTCATTTCACTTTTGCATAATGTGGTGTTCCATATGGCAAAAACAAAATTGACAAAGAAAACATTACAAATCTTGGCAGATATGTACAAGAAGTCGTCTGCACTAAATAAAAATAAAGGTGTCGGAGAATACTATTGTAGCTGAAAATCTCAATGAATTCAATATTGTCATATTGAAATTGGCCTCCGTTAATACTGAATTTGACAACAAAGTGAAATCCCTAGGGTTTGTTTGTACAAATTTTTTTTCGACACGATTCTTAATATATATATTATATCCTCTCACAAAAGTCAACATTCTATATAAAATATTATTTTTTATATTACTGACACAATTCTCTATACCTCACATAAAAAAAAATTCGAATCAAAACACCTAACAAACAAACCCTTAATCTTGCTATCAAGTCTTCCAAAAAGTTGGAAAGACATAGTCACAATAGTTAGTTCTTCATTTGGAAAGAAAAAATTGAAGCTCAACGCCTTCCCTTATTTTGAGTGAGGAAATTTGTACGAGGAGAAAATGGAGAGATCTATCCCGAATACAGAAAATCAAACCAAATGCAATTTCAAGAAAATGAATCAAAATAGATTCAAGTCGAATAATTGAAAGAGACCAAAGAAAGATTTTTTTAAGTCATGTTGTATGCTGAAATTGTGAGAAGACCCGACATTATCAAAATAAGTACAAACACTAAATAAGGATAAGAGGGAGAACAATTTAGCCAACAAAATGACATAAAACATAAGGGATGCTCTCATTGTAAGCGAGATCACTCATTTGAAGTCATGGGTTTTAGACTTTGGGTTTCTTTTCACACTTGTAGTAATTCAAAGATCATGGAAAAGTATACTTCCGGAGATTTTAGAGTTGTCCATCTTACAGATGATGAACCATTGAGAATTCTGGGAAAAAAGACGTTAAGATCAAAACTCCTAATGGATGAAAGTGGAAGTTGTGTGATGACAAACACATACAAGGCTTGAAAAGGAACTTGATCTCAGTAGGATAGTTAGATAATAGAAGGTGGTTATGCTACAACCTTTGGATTCAAGAGGCTTGAAGAGGAACTTAATCTCCATAGGCAGTTAGACGGCAAAAAGCTATGCTACAACCTTTGGATTCAAGACATGGGAAGATTTCCAAAAGAGCTATAGTACTGGCTAAAGGCAAGAAAAATAATCTGTCCTATATATGATTGCAAATACGTTGACTAAGGTTGTACTCATAGAAATGTTGAGCTATGCATAGCTTTAATAGGCCTTGGATAATGAAGGATGAAAGTAAGAGGTGTAATTAGTCTTCCAATAAGAAATTGTTGGATTGTGAACTTTGATAACAAACTTAAAGCACAAAGATAGAGCCAGGATTTGGTTGGCATGTGCCAGATAAAAGCTTAGGGTTTCACCCTATATATATCTCACTATCTAATACTTTTTGATGTAATCTTTGACTCTAATATTGTGAAATTTCTTGTTTGGTAATGCCCAAACATAGATCAATCTAAAGTGAACCAGATAACTGAATTCTCTTGAGTTCTATATTATTTTTTCTTGTCCTTGTGATATTTCCGTAACATATCCCAGCAATTATTTGATGCTCTTCTAGTAAATATCCATAGTTGTAAATGGCAAAGATGTCACAACCTCTGCATCATTTTCTTGCCAAGGATCCAAAGTGCATGTGTGGCACAACTTGTAATATCCCCGGAGTTAGACCGTTGTTAGGCCAACTCCTTTATATGGATGAGCCACAGTTAGGCCATCCAAGATTGAATACAGAGATTAAGTTGATTGAATAGACTAATCATGTCAACAATGTGCACATTTCTTTTCGAAAGCCCTACTGAAAGAATTATAGAAAGACTCATATTAACGTGTGGAGCCAGTCTACAATTCCGATACGCCCAACTTTGGGGCTTGCGGGCCAGGGTGTCACACAGCTACTGTGGCAAAAGGATCAAGACATGATATTTTTGTTATATAGTTATTATTATCAGGGTTAATTAGGATTTTTTTTACTTACTATCAATTTAATAAAAATGTGAAATGTTTCATTGTAATTTTCTTTTTCCCGCTAGACCCTTATCCTTCCTGTTTTTCATACTAACTTCTTGCCTCTCATCACTTTCTTCCCCCTAAGTCATCATTTTCTTTTTATTTTTCTTATATCTTAATTTGTGGTTTGTGTTAGTGTTTATACATACTACATAGTATTCTTTTTATTATATTTTAAATAGAATTGTATATAAGTTCAATTTTGTTCAATAGTATAATACATGTTTCTGAGGTATATATATGTATTATGTGCATACAGATGGTAATTAGGTACATTAAATATATATTAATACTTATGGTGTGCACCATGTGTCGTGCAGCATTTATAACTATGAAAGTATCTCAACTAAACAAAGAAAATCGAGTGTTGATATGCTACATAAGGAAACTTCCAATGCTTCATTAAGAAAATTAATGAACATCATACGATAAATTGTAGAATTGATCCTTGTGCAGAGAAAAACATACCTCGATTCTAAATTTGCGCAAAAGGGGACATGCCTCAACAAGCTTAGTGAAGAAAAGAAGGCTTCGTCCGACAATTGACATAGCTGTTACTTCAAGATACTTAAGGTTGGAATATTGAGGTAAATAAGGAGAGTCATAATAAGCAGCATCTCGCAACGGCATTTCAACAAGCTAAAAAAAGAAAGATAAGGGAAAAAATTTATTACTCGTCATGATTTCAAAGAGTTGCAAACTAAATGCTCGAGTAAACATAAATGCCTCCGCTAACCTTAAAAGGAAGGTCCAGCTTGAGCCTCTCCAACTGCAATGAGTAACTCACGTGCTTGTTAGCATCAAGAAGAAACGACTGACAAAACTTCCCAGCAAGTGTTATCTCAGAAAGATTTGGAACTTTTTTGAAGGAGAAATCAATGATTGGTCCATTGTAGGTAAAGGAAACAAGACTTTCTACAGAAATCCCCACTCTCCTCATGTTATAACAACAAGCTATTTCAAGATGTTTCAATTTTGGCAACTGATCAACTAAATTCAGATTTTTTGTGAAACGCGAGCCACATATGGTCAAAGATTCAAGAATCATGCAAGAAGCTAGAAAACAACGAAGTGTTTCATCACGGATGCCAACATCTACCAATTTCAGGGATTTCAAGAAGCCAAAAGCAGATCTGACACCATATGATTGGAATAACTTGTGCAGGCTAGGAAATGCATACCCTCCATGAAATGTAGGGTTAGGGGACAAGTCAATCTCAATATTTTTTGCTTTCTTCTTCAGGGCTTCACTTATCCATTTATCTATGAAACATGCTCGCCAGTTCACACGTACACGAACAATAAAACTATCAACCTGTTGAGCCTGATGCAACGTCAGGATGTGATTAACCCATGCTTTGAACCTTCTTCTATCTATTTCAACTTCACCATCCCTTGCATCAAATTCAAGACGACCAGGCGTAAACTTCCACAAATTTCTCCATCTATGGGAGAGAACACTAGTCCTCCCAAGTTCCTTCAGGGTCAGTCGGGACAGGATCTGAGTAAGAATTTCGTCTGATAAATCCTCCAGCACTGTATCTGCTCCATCTGGCCTCTTCCCACTCGAAACATCAACTCCCTGAATGTTCAATACATTTGTGAATTGTAGAATCATACAAATCAATACATAATAAGAAGCATAAATTGCCTACTACAAACCTCTGTCCTCCGATATATTCCATTACGAAGAGTTGAATTCATTGGAGAAACAGGAACAGCAACACCAAACAGTAACAGATGAGATTGAGAAGGCATCAAAAACCCTAAGGAAACTTATATAACCCCAGCCGCGCTCTGGTTTAGATTGCCCCAAAGGCACAAAGGCAAATGCTATTAAAGCAATTATCACAATTGTTTTTCTAAGCAAGCAACTCCATTTTTAGAAAATTGAACAACATGCCGCGCAAAATGGAGGGGATCAGAAAACTCGTTTTTTTTTTTTTCTGGCTACGAAAGATTCCTGTTACATAATTCAATCTCGCTATACATACCGATGCAAAATAAAATTGACAGGGAAATCACAAAGGAAATGAAACCGTCGCCGACACCGCGATTTGCGTCCCTCAAAGATCCGGAGAAAAGAGTATCCGGCGGAGCAGGAGTGCCGATCAGGTCAGGGGCAGTGAGATTATGAAGGATGAGAATGAGCGGCAAAATAAGAAATGTACAGCTGTATCTGGTAAGAAGTCCGAACCGTTGATAAATTGGGCCGGGCTGGGCCGGGCTCCAATTGGCATTTTTTTTTTCCTTTTAAGGTGTGTTTATTACTTTAGTCATTTTTATGTATGAATTTGTATTAAATAATTATTTTGTAAATCACTTGTCTAGAATGTACTGCTATATAATCACGTCTTAAAAATATATATATTTTGGAAAGTAAAATTGACTAAGAATTATGTTATTATACTTTAAAATAAATAATAAGTGTCTTTTTATAGAAAGTGAATACCATATTTATTGAATTATAAATTATACTTTTAAAAAAATATAGTAAGTGTCTTTTATAGTAAGTGGATACAGTATATTTTAAATTAGAAAATTGATACATAAAATAATCCAAAATTATAAAATTGATAATTGATGAAAGAAATATAAAATATAAAAACTTCAATGAAAATATATGTAAACAAATTGTGCTTTATATTATTTTATTATATTTGATCAAAATTTAGTATTTTGTTCTACCATATTTTAAAAATAATTGAGGTATTTTAAAAAATGAGTTGAAATTATTTAAAATATGTTCAAGGTAAATGAGATGGTAATAGTATGATATGAAATGTAGTACTACTAATTTGAATTAAATGTAAATACCTCTAGTAAAAATGGACTAATGTGACATCATAAGTGATACAATTTGAACCGAACTCGATAAATTCGGCAACCTGTTTTCTAAATATATATATATATATTAATAGTTTGACGAGCTTTGGGATTTTAGTTTGAGCTTGAATTCGATTTTAAATGCAAACTAGTTTAATATCAAAATTTGGATTTAATGAAGATAACTAGTTGATAGATTCGACTCATTCGTAAATAGTAATTGAACTCGATCTTAATTAATTTGACTGTATTTAAATCGAATTATGAGTTGCATGAGAAATTGCAACTCTTTGTCACTATTTTTATCAGCAAAATCACCTGTAACATTGTGAAAACATAACAGTTTTCTCTAACATTATATCCAACAATTATTTCACCAAAATAAAATCCAACACAGAAGAAAACACATTCTTAAGCAGCAAGAGTGATTTCAATTTATATACTTAAGATAGCAAAGATCCCAATGTCACTAAATGGGTGAATCAGTCTGCCAATATTTCCCTTGGATCAAAATAATTTTTTTCACCAGGGTTGAAGTATAATAGCTGAGTTTATCACCAAATACTGTAAGAATAGGAGAGAGAGAGAGCACTTATCATATTATAACCACTTGTGTTTCCTGAGGGAATTTGGACTGCACTCCTTCAGCAAGCTCTACTGCTTCCATTCTTGACTTGGCATAAACACAGGTTGGAAGCGCAAGTTCCTCTCCGTCCCATGCTTGTGCTTGTGCTTGTACGCAATCAAATTCGTCTGCTAGCCTCTGGAAATCATTCTCGGTATCAATGGTCACCACCTCCAGACATGGGGCTACTTTCAGCAACTGGGTAAGGAACTCCTCTTCACTTGGACACCCAATATACCCAGCCAATTCAACCACCTTAAGACTTTCATGTTGAAATATGGGTGCATCGTCAGCACTCACATTAGGAAGTAATATTGCTGGTTCCAACTGCCATGAAAGAGATGAGTCAGTGCTAAAAGAACACAAAAATAGTATAAGCTGAAGTTGGCATAGGAAAAAATGTAGCTATATAAATTAAATTAATTGGATACCTTAGAACTCAAAGTGTATTTGACCTGAGACAACAAAAGAAGTGCACATGTAAGTAATTTGAGCTTTTTAAAACAAAATTAGGACAGTTCTCACAACAACAAATCTCAAAAGCTCAGTGTAGAAAATAATATATATACACCAAAATTCAACCATGGATAAAACTAATGGAGAAAAAGTCTTGAAACTTGAAACATGCCATTCCAGGTGAGCATCCTGATCCAAGAATCAACATTAAAATTTTTTGAATTGACTAAAAACTTTAAAGCTATGTTCTTTTTGTATTTTTTTACTAAGCAGTTTCATCATTTTCAATAAAAACATACTCCTTAAACCCATCTTATATGTCCAATTTCCTGTAGATATGAAAATTTAGGTAAATGATAATTAAGAAATGTATCAGTAAAATTAATTATTATATAATATAAATAATTATATATTAAAAATTAAGATAACTAATCAATTTAATTAAAATTAAAAAAAAAATAGTAATTATAAAATTTAAAATATGATTGAAAGTGTATATTCATTTTTCCTAAAAAAACAGGAAAGGAGAAATAAGGTGGGACGGATAGAAATAAAAATAGTGGACGAATAAAGTGGGACAGAAGAAACACTAATTTTCCATGCAAAACATCATATCCATCTACTATTTCACTTAAAAAACAACAATAACAAAAACCTACAAAACACAAACCAAAACCACACTAATTTTTCTTTAAGTAAAAGGGAAAAAAGAAGTATCTCGCCCTTTTCCATATGACAACATGAGAACTGATATTAGTACCATCATTAATTTGCATATAGGAGTTTCTTGATACAATACCAACATAAATCTCTTTTAACTCTATATAGTTCCAAAAAAAAAAAAAACTTGAGAGATCAATCCTTACACAATCAAATTCACTTGGAAAATGACTATGGTAGAATGCTCCTATAAACAGTGCAGTCTTCTATTCACATGCAAAAACACATTGACGCGACCCCAACATTACCGTAAAACATAGAAAACTCGATGAATTTTGTAAGAAAAAATGTCAATGCCATCTGGCACCACTCAATTGTAATCTTATATCAGATGTTATTTTCATCATAGATTCATGTTCTAATAGATATCCAAAATTGTAAGTACACTATCATGCAAAGCGCCAAGTTACCACAAAGCATAGAAAAATCAACGAATTTTGTGAGACTAAGTAACATAGTTTATTCCATGCCATATGCTCCCAAAGATTATTTTCATCATAGATTTGATGTTCTAATAGAAATCCACAGCTGTAGATGACAGCACCATGACAAAAGCCGCAAGTTACCACAAAACATAGAAAAGTTGATGAATTTTGTAAAAATAATTAACATGGTTTATTCCATGCCATATGACACCACTCAATTGTAATTTTATCCCAAAGATTATTTTCATCATAGATTTGATGTTCTTCTAATATAAATCCATAGTTGTAGATGGCACACCACGAGCAAGGCGCAAGTTAACACAAAAATTTGATGAATTTTGTAAGAATAACTAACATAGTTTATTCAATGCCATATGACACCACTCAATTGTAATCATATCCCAAAGATTGTTTTAGTCATATGTTTGATTTTCTTCTATAGATATCCAAAGTTGTAAATGGTACACCATGGTGCAAGGCGCTAGTTACCACAAACCATGGAAAAATCAACAATTTTTGTAAGAATAACTAACATAGTTTCTTCCATGCCATATGACACCACTCAAGTGTATTCTTATCTTAAAGATTGTTTTAATTACATATTTGATTTTCTTCTAATAGATACCCAAAGTGGTAAATGGCATACCACAGCGCAAGGCGCAAGTTAACACTTACCACAAAACATTAAATAAATAAATAAAACGATGAATTTCGCAAGAATAACTAATATATTTTTTTCCATGTCATACGACAGACACCACTCAATTGTAATCTTATCTAAAAGATTGTTTTATAACATATTTGATTTTCTCTAATAGATATCCAAAGTTGTAAATGGCATACCATGGCGCAAGGGGCAAGTTACGACAAAACATTTTTTTTCTAAAAAAAAGATGCGATGAATTTCGTAAGAAGAACTAATATAGATTCTTCCCTGCCATATGATACCACTCAATTGTAATCTTACCTAAAAGATTGTTTTAATAACGTATTTGATTTCTTCTAATAGATATCCAAAGTTGTAAATGACAAACAATGTAAGTACCATAAAACATAGTTACCTGATTGAATTTTGCAAGAAAAATCAATATAGTATCTTTCATGTCATTGGACACCACATAATTGTAATCTTATCCCATAGATTATTTTCACCACAAATTTGATTTTCTTTTAATAAATATTCACCGTTGTAAATGGGGCACCATGGCACAAGGTGCAAGTTACCATATAATGTAGAAAAAAATCAATTAATTTCATAAGAATAATGTATAGAGTTTCTTTCATTCCATATGACGTCACTCAATAGTAATTTATTCCAAAGATTATTTTCATCATAGAGGATGTGTTTGGTTGGTGATTTTTTTAAAAAAATTTTTTTGGTTTTTTTAATAGTGGTTTGGAATATGTGATGTTTTGTTACAATAAATAATGTATTTTTATTAAAAAAAAATCGTAAAAGTTGAACATCAGAAATTTGGGAAAAAAATATTCCAAAAGAATAAAGCCTTTTTCTTTTAATAAATATCCACAATTATGAATGGCACGTCATAGCATCCTCGCAATGGGCAAGGCTGACGGCACAATACTTTTAGTATATATTTATGATTATTAGGATTAATCAGGAATTTTTTTTACTTACTATTAGTTCAATAAATATGTGAAAAGTATTATTCTTTCTTTCATCCTTCTTTCTATCATTTTTACTTCTTGTCTCCCATCACTTTCTTCCAGCCCCACCAATTTATTCTTTTCTTTGTTAATGTTTGTGTTAGTGTTGATTAATAAACATTTTATTTATTTTTTCGTTTTATATTATAAATTTTATAATGTGCACATCCACATTAAATATTATTCAATAATGTTTTATATGTTTGTGCTATGTGCAAAGATATGTGAATTACCTACCTAAAAATATATTAATAGTTATAGTGTGCACCATGCGCCATTTACAACCATGAAATTATCTCAATTCAACCTGGAAAACCAAATGTCGATATGCTATATAATGAAAGTCATAGAGTTCCACTCCGCAAATTAATACACCTAAATGAACATCATATAATAAATTGTAGAGTTGGTCCTTGTGCAGAGAAAAGAATACCTTGATTCTAAATTTGTGCAAAAGAGGACATGCCTCAATAAGCTTGGTGCAGAAAAGAAGGCTTCGTCCAACAACTGACAAAGCTGTTACTTCCATATACTTAAGTTTGCAATACCGAGGCAAATAAGGAGATTCATAGTAAGCAGGGTCTCGCGGAGGTGTTTCAGTAAGCTGAGAAAAGAAACATAAAGAAAATTGCTATTGTTCATCATGATTTCTAAGAGTAGTAGACAAAAAATGCATGAGTAAACATAAATTCCTCAACTAACCTTAAAAGGAAGGTCCAGCTTGAGCGTTTCCAACTGAAATGAGTAACTCGAGTGTTTGTTAGCATCAAGAAGAAAGGATTGACAAAACTTCCCGCCAAGTGTTACCTCGGAAAGATTAGGAATTTTATCGAAGGACAAATTAATTATTGGTCCACTGTAGCTAAAAGAAGCTAGACTTGCTACAGAGATCTCCACACTCTTCATGTTATAGCAACAAGATATTGCAAAATACTTCAACTTCGGCAATGGATCAACTAAACATGGATGTCTTGTGTAACGCGAACCACATATAGTCAAAGATTCAAGGTTCGTGCAAGAAACTAGAAAACAACGAAGTGTTTCATCATGGATGCCAACATCGACCAATTTCAGGGATTTCAGGAACCCAAATGAGGATTTGACACCATATGAATCAAGTAACTTATACAGGTCAGGAAATACATACCCTCCATGATATGTAGGGCTAGGAGACAAGTTAATCTCAATGTTTCTAGCTTCCTTCTTCAGAGCATGGCTTACCCATTCATGAATAAAATCTGCTCGCCATTGCACATTAAAACGAACTATAAAACTATCAACCTGCTGTGCTTTATGCGACTTCAGGATGTGATTAACCCATGCTTTGAACTTTTTTCTATCCAATTCAGCTCCAACAGTACCCCAAGCATCAAATTCAAGACTCACAGGCGTAAACTTCCACAAATCTTTCCATCTATGTGAGAGAACACTAGTTCTCCCAACTTCCTTCAGGTTCAGTCGAGAGAGAATTCGAGTAAGAATTTCTTCTGGTAAATCCTCAAGCACTGTTTCTGCACCATCTCGCCTCTTATTACTCGAAACATCAACTCCCTGAATATTTAATGCATTTATGTAATGTCGACAATCAAAACAGAAGCAAGTTATATAAATATCAAGTTAACTACAAGATTACAAACCTCTGACTTTCGATACTTTCCACTATGCATAGTTGAATTCATGGGATAAACACGGACAGCAACACCAACCCTGCAATTGAGAAGGCATATATAACCCTTAGGAAATCTATACTAATTCGAGTCCAATTACTCTATATTTTAGATTTCCTCAAAGGCATGAAGGCAAATGTTTTTCGAGCAACGGTCATCTTGCTTTTAGTGGTAATCATCTCTCTTTGTTAGCAAAAAAAATCAGTCATGGCAACCCAAACCAGATGAATGAACTTCTCCCATGTCCTCCTGATTGGATTGGATAAACAGTGTTGAAGGCAGAGTAGTTGAAAAACTACTGCATTCAAACAATATTCTTACCCTAAAGGACTCCGTGGTTTAGGGTTTCAGTCGTTAACCCGATTCAAGCATACTCCCTTTCATTTTCAACTTTTATTTACTTCACATATATAGCACACATCATTATTGATTAATTCATAGCCAAAAATAATACAAATGCACGATTTTATAAATCGAAGATACGCAGCGCAAAAGGGGAGGATCACAAAACTCATTCCTCCTGGTCAAGGATGATTACTCTTGCATAGTTAAATTGATCGCTGGCCATACGAGAAAGAATATAACTACACAAAATGAAATTGAAAAGGAACTCACAAAGGAAACGAAACCCTCTCCGTCACGTCACTGCGATTTCAGGCGGCGAGGACTACAGCGAGTGATTCCTGTCCCTCCGCTCCCAAAAGGCTTCAGAGAAGAGAGCGTGCGGTGGCAATTGCGGATTTGCGGTGGCGCCGATCGGAAATGCCGCCGAGATGGGACGGGCGGTGAGAAAGAGCGGCAAAAGCAGATTGTGTAGGTTGCTTGCTAGGTAAATACAAAAATGTTTATTTTATTTTATTTTAGATTTTGAAAATAAAAGGGGTGATTCTATCATCGTTAGTATCGTATTTTTGTCTTTTTTAAAACAAACTTTAACTTATAAAATAAAAAAACAAGTAATATAAACAAAATTGTGAACACAAAAGAAAATATAGGCATAATATATTTTTAGTATTTTGTATAAATGTATTTTAAGAATAATATTGAAGTCAAAGTTTGACTACCAGATCATCTCTAGTATCTATAATATATTATTTTGATCTTTTATGATATATTTGTATTTTAATATTTTATATTGTGTTCATGTCAAACAACAACAAACTTCGACAATACAAGTAAAAGATAGCCTAGTAGAGTGGGAGTGGACTTATGACTTGAAGTATTTTTACTTTAATCGAAAGCATTTTTTGTCAAGCACAGACTCGCTATAAATATTATTTTAATTTTGATTTGTAACTAAAAATTTATTAGTTCAACCAGGTTTTGCATGATAGACATTGTTCATTTAGTGTAACTTATTTTATCGAACCTAATTTATAAATTATTAGATTTGGCCGGAGATTTTAGCCAGAATAACAACTGCGGGCTCTCAAGTTATCAAAAGAAAAAGAACAAAACTACATTAATAAGACTTTTAACCATTGGATGAATATGTGGTTGCATTTGTTACCTGCTACTGGAAGAAAGAAAAACATCAAGGACCATCATCAAAATCACAATATAACCATTTGTGTTTTCTGAGGTAATTTGGATTGCAATCTTTCAGCAAACTCTTTTGCTTCAATCCTTGACTTGGCATAAGCAAACTCGGGAAGCTTTGATCCATTTACCCAATCAAATTTTTTTTCAATGAAATGACATTGCCATGCTAGTTCGTTAAAATCATTCTCCGTATCAAGGGTCACCGTCATCAAAGATGGGGCTATTTTCAGTAAAAGGGTAATGAACTCCTCTTCACTAGGACACCCAAGATACCCGACTAATTCAAATAACTTAAGATTTTCATGATGGAATACAGAGGCCTCGGCAGCACTCAGGTCAGGAATAAAAATTGAGCGCTCCGTCTGCCATGACAGAGAGAGGATAAGTTAGACCTACAAGAACAAGAACTCTACAGATATCAACATAAGTGAAATGAGGCATCAAACAAATGTAGCTCTAGAAACAAAAATTACCAGAATACCTTAGAAATCAAAGTGTATCTGACCTGAGACAACAAAAGAAAGTGCATGTGTGTAAGTCTTTTCTCATATTTGAACTTTGAATGCATAAATACAACTTGGACAGTTATCACTCAAATTCTCTTAAGAACTCAATCAGTCTAGGGAATAATATAGACACTAAAACTCAAGAAAGGACAAAACTCCTGAAACTCGAAACAAGCCATCGGAGCTGGGCATCCTGATTCATGAAATCAACACTTAAATTTTTTTCTCAAGTAAAAGAAAAGAATCAGTATTTCAGCATTTTCACATGACTGCATGAAAACTGATAGTAGTAATATCTTTCATTTTCATACAGAAGTTTTCTTCATACAAACCGAAAAACATATCTCCAACTCCATATAGTTTGCTGGAATAGAAAACAACTTGCTTGATCCTTTTACAAACAAAGTCATTCAGAAAATGACAATGTTAGGATATTCTGATAAATTTGGCAGTCTTTACTCATATACACAAAAACATCAACAAAGCCCCAAATTTACCATAAAACATAGAATAAATAATCCATGAATATTATAAGAGTAATTTGCATTGCTTGTTCTATGCCATATGACACCACTCAATTGTAATCTCATCCCAACGATTATTTTCATCACCAACTTGATTTTCTTCTACTAAATATCCAAAGTTTTAAATGGGGCACCATGGTGCAGCCTCTGCACCATTTTCTATGGCAAGGATCCACAGAGTGCCTGTAGCACTGCTGCCGTGGGGCAAGGCTCAAGCTATGATACTTTTGTTATAGGCACTATTTATCAAATTTTTTCTGTTCAAGACTATCAAAACAAATTCCTATTTTTTCGTTTAATATATTACACAAAAGCTTTATTCTATCTTTCTTTCCGAGTTTCTCCCCCTCGGTTCTCAGCCTCCTGTTTTCCATATTTGCTTCTTGCCACTCATCACCTCCTCTCACCAGTTACGGAAGCAGCTATTTCTCCTTTTCCCATAACCTGTCTTCTTCCTTTTCTAGGGATTGTGTTAGTATTTATATACACTTTTTTTAATGAGTTTTTTATTATGCTTTAATTTTAGAACATGTATATTGAAGTGCAATTCTGTTTGATAACACAATACATGTTTGTTAGGTAGATATCTGTATTATGTGCGTATTATATATATAGGGCGGCGGCTACTAGCACACAATATTACCACAGTCGGCAGACGTATGTGTTAATATAATACAAATATATCACATTAACTAACAACCCATGCTATAGTCTTATACAACATACACAACAGTTTAATTTTAGCACACTACATACTCTATACAACACACTTGTAATTATAAAAAAATAACACATGTCTTTATTACACACAATATGTGTTATGTGTAATAAGGACGTGTGTTGTTTGTATATATTATATGTGTTGAATCAGCACCGTAATCATCCTCATATATATATATAGAGAGAGAGTGCACCGTGAGCCATTAAAATTATGAAAATATCTCAACTTAACCAAGAAAACTGGTCTTTGATATGCTGCTGGCTACATAATGAAAGTAACACAAAGTTGCATTTTGAAAATTAATTTGCCTAAATGAACATCAAATGATAAATTGTAGTTGATCCTTGCAAAGGGCAAAAACGTACCTTGATTCTAAATTTGTACAAAAGGGGACACATCTCAATAAGCTTTGTGCAAAAAAGAAGGTTTCGTCCAACAATTGAAGAAGCTGTTATTTCCATACACTTAAGGTTCAAATACTGAGGCAAATAAGGCGATTTATAAAAAGCCAGGCTTCGTAGTGGTCTTTTAACATGCTAAGAAAACAAACATAAAAGAAAATTGTTATTGCCCATCATGATGTCTAACAATTGTAGATAAAATGCATGAGTAAACATAAATGCCTCCGCTAACCTTATTAGGAAAGTCGAGGTTGAGCCTCTCCAACTGAAATGAGTAACTCAAGTGTTTGTAAGCGTGAAGAAAAAAGGACTGACAAAACTTTCCGGCAAGTGTTAGTGCAGAAAGATTTTTTGGAGTTTTATTGAAGAACAAATTGATCATTGCTCCATCGTAGGTGAAGGAAACAATACTTTCTACCAATATCTCCACACTCTTCATTTTATTGCAATGAGATATTTCAATATGTTTCAACTTCGGCAATGGATCAACTATACGCAGACTTCTTGTGAAACGTGAGCCACATATAGTCAAACATTCAAGACTCGTGGAAGAAGCTAGAAAATAATGAAGTGTGTCATCGTGGATACCAACACCTACCAATTTCAGGGATGTCAGGAAGCAGAATGCAGATTTGGCTCCGTATGAATGGAGTGACTTCTGCAGGCTAGGAAGTGCATAATATCCACGGTGTGCGGGGTTAGACATAGGTAACAAGTTAATCTCAATATTTCTTGCTTCCTTCTTCAGGGCACGATTTATCCATTTATCCATGAAACCTGCTGGCCAGTCTAAATAAAAACGAACAATAAAACCATCAACATGTGCCTGATGCAAATTCAGAATGTGATTGACCCATGCTTTGAACTTTTTTCTATCCTTATTGGCTCCATCAGTATAACAACCATCAAATTCAAGAACCACAGGTGTAAACTTCCACAAATCTCTCCATCTACTTGAGACAACACTAGTCCTCACAAGTTCCTTCAGATTCAGATGTGACAGGATCTGAGTAAGTATTTCGTCCGGTAAATCTTCAAGTACTGTACATGATTCATCTTGAGTAAGTATTTCGGCCCATAAATCTTCAAGTACTGTACATGATTCATCTTGCCTCTTCTCACTAAATAGATCAACTCCCTGAATGCTTAGTACATTATTGTAATGTAGACAACCGAAATAGAAGCAAAAAAGAAGCAAGTTATACAACTATACAGTCAGTGTAAGATACAAACCTCTAGCTTGCGATATTTTCTATAAGGCATAGTCGAATTCATAGGAGAAACACCGCTCTGAGATAAAAAGCATATAACCATTAGGAAATCTGTTATAATTCCACATGCTCTGCTAAAAGCTAATGTTTTTTAAGCAATGAGCTCTTGCTTTACTAGTATGTCACTTTCTTTATTAATACAAAATAAAATCTCAGCAAACCAAATTACTTTAAGTTTTATATCTCTGTTTGTTTACAAACATGCATTCAACTAGCACAAATTACACCAAAAGGCGTCAAAAAACACAATGCACGGTCAAGGAAGTTTACTCTTACATAATTAAATCGATGTCTTACGTTAAAGAATACACAAAAAATAAAAAATAAAAAAATAAGAAAGATCAAAAGAATACTAAACCTACAAAAATCAATTGTCAAAATCTCAACTTAAAAGAGTATGCTACTGCTAGAAAGAGCTTCCACGTTTCTTGCAGTGGCGTCTGAGCAGTGTGAGAGAGAGTGCTGGTTTTGGTTCCATTGATTGGGCTGATTGTATTAATAAAAATAATTATTGAATAGTAAATATAATTATAAATTAAGATTAAGATAATTTAATTAAAATTAAAAATATATATATAACAAATTACTTGGAACGGAATGAGTAATTTTTTGGACTATTACTGGATTTCACGCCAATAAATTTTTTTTTATAATAAATATAAATTAATTAAATTAAATTTGAAACAAATAATTCAAAACCTCTTATATATCTCTTCTCTTCAGTTAACATATATTTTTTATCTACTTTTAAAAATTTCTATTTTTTTATAAAATTAATTTACAGTAATGATAAATCAATATATACTATATATTTTATTTTATTATTATATAAGATTTTATTTTTTAGAATCATATTGTATATATTTACTGAGATATTATAAATATTTAAATACATATTTTAATTTTTTTAATAATTAAATAATTAATTTTTATTATTTACCTAACTAATCTATATTATTTAAATTTTTGTTACCAAACAAAAGGCTTTATCTTTATTGGGAAGGGAGTAGTATTTATTTATTTTTTTAATTTTTATCTTTAACTATGATCATTTATTTTTTGACTCTTTAATATGAATGTTTTTTTTTTTATTTTTTATCTTTCTCTCTTTATTTTTTTTTAAGAACTAAAAAGCAAGTTTATTTGGTTTAGTTGATTGAGTTCAATATTCAGGACCATCCTGAAAAAATATCAAAGTTTTAATCAACGGATGAAATTGCAGTTGGGGTAGATATGTAATTTGATTTTAATAATTAATAAGTCAATACTTTCTTTTAGCATAAATTAAGGAAATATAAATACAAATAGATGCTGGTCGTATTCATAATTTTAATAGGTTCACATCCAAAAAAAACATAACTACATCTTTCACCGACATCCATCCAATAAAATAAATTGCGAAGAAGTCGAAGCGTAGAACAAGATGAAGCAAAATGATGTGTATTTCGGTCTGTTCAAGTGTGTTGTGGACGAAGATAACGTTTTATAAATTACATAATGGAATAAGTTTTTTTTATCGGAGGCATAAAGGCTAATTTTTTCAAGCAATGGCCACTTGCTTTAGTAGTAAATGACTCTCTTTATTAATGAAAAATAAAAAACTCACAACCCAAACAAGATGAATGAAACTTCCACCTCCTATTGGGATAAACAGTATGGAAGGTACTCAGCATTTCAACAATGTTCTTAATCTGAATTTTATATTTGTACACACTGCATTTAGAGCTGTCACCAGAGGCTCTATGTTCTTAACATGTATAAGATACATCATTTTTGTTAATGAATTAGTTACTGTATATCCATAACTAGCACAAAATGCACGATCTTAAATTATACATTGAAACTATGCCGCACCAAAAAGTGGGTGCTAGAACAGTAATCAAATCGAATGTCTCGTTAAAGAATATACGTACAAAAAAAGAAATTGACAAGAAACTCAAAAATACGAAACCTCGCTTTCACTGCGATAAAGTCTACTAAAACCGATCGTTCGATTCCGGTCCAATCTCAATCCAAAAGAAGGATTGACAGATGGAAAAAAGTCCTAACCAATTTAGTTAGTTATCATATTTTTTATTATAGTACATTTTTATTATGTTTATAATTTATTTTTATTTTTTATTTTTTATTATAATAGTTTGTTTTTTAATTCTTTAGTATTTTTTTTTTGTTTATTTTAATTGAAAAGTATATAAAATTTATCTTACAAAAAATTAGGAATGTTAAATATTTTTGTTTGTACTTTGTATAGAACCCAAAATTATGATATAAATATATAATAAAAACTACTTCATCTAATTATGAAATTATTTTATAAATATTTTAATAAAAATTAAAAATACTTTGATATTTGTATATTAATAAATATATAACAAAAGATTGTGTACTTTTTAAAATTTATTTTAATACATACTGTCCAATAAAAGAAAATAATAATACTATTTGTTTTTTGTTTTGTGTTTTGGTTTGAAAGAATAATTTTTTTTTATGTGAGATTTAAAAAATTGTATAAAATTAATGTAAAAATAATGTGTACAATATATTAATTTTTTTTTTTTTATGATATTGCAACTAAAAATTGATTTGTTTGGTTTTAAAAATTTTAAACTTGGATGATTATGTTGAAAATTATACATTTGAGGTGTTCGGAAAACAATTTTTTTTTTAAGATGAAAATTTTTTAGTGTATACAACAAATGTATTTTTGGAATGTATTTTTTTATGACAGATAATTGAAAAAGATAATACTATATTGGAATGTTAATTTTTAACAAATAAATATATGTATTATGTAATATATATATTATACTACATTTTCTTTTGTAATATTTATAAAGAATAATGACACCGAAAATAGGTTGGATGATGAGTATATCTATTCTCAGTTTAAATGATATATTGTTTTAGTAATGCTTTTAGTTTTAATAGATTATACTTAGTTAAAATATATTTAATAAATATAAATATACATCAACTAAAAAGCATTAATAAATTATACTTATTTAAAATATATTTAATAAATATAAATATATATCAACTAAATCAAAACTCTTAAATGGTGAAAAATCCGATAGATACACTTAATTTTAAAACTATTTATTTTATAAAATTAATTTATATTAATCATTAAAAAATATAGATTTCATATATATATTTTAAAACTATTATATTTTTTTATATTTCATATATTTTTATTAAAATTACACCGATTGAATCATATTATTTTTATTTAAAAAACTAAACCAAACACCTCAGGTGTACTCTTTATATATATATATATTACAAAATTATATTCTTTCAAAAAATTAATATACTTACCGAATACAGCCACACGGCCCATATAGTCTTGTTTTGTTATTTATTATAGATTATCTAGTTGAAAGAAAAGGTGTATTTGTTTTGGGGATTGAATTGGATTTGCACTATTCATCCCATTTTTTTTCCCCAAAAATATCAAATTAAACATTTATTTTTCATTTTTTATATTATACTAAAAATTAATTTTATATTCAAAACATTACATCAACACCTATTTATATCACATCATACAACTATTCAAATTCAAAACTTTTACTATTCAAATCCCAACTCAAAATCCAAATCCCCAAACAAACACACAAATGGTCTATGCACACATATAAATAAATACTGGTAGCCTATTCATCTAGCATGTTACTTAAAAAACTTGCTTGGTATAATTTGCTCACTGATTCAAACGTGTCTTACCTCATCGACACAGGAATATTTCCAAGGCCATCCCAGAAAATTAAATAAATAATCTAATGTGTGTGTGTATATATATAAAAGTACATTTCACATCTAAAAATCTTATTTGAAAGTATAAACTGCAAACTAGCAAATAGTGCATATATCTGCGAAGATTCACTTAGCTTATTATAACCTGTGGTTTTTTGAGATGAAGACTGGAGCACATTTCTTCAGCCATCTTTTTTGCTTCTTCTCTGGAGCCAGCATAAGTGCATGGAATTTGCTCTATCCACCTTCTTATATTCTTCAGCCGTCGAGCATCATATGCCAGTATTAGAAAATCATTATTCCGGGTATCAATGGTCATCTCCTGAAGAGACACCGCTATTTTAAATAGTTGAATAAGGAATTCATTGTTGCTTGGACACCCAATATACCCTTCGAATCCAACACGCTTAAGATTTGTATGATGAAATTTAGGTGCTTCTGCTGCTTGAACATCAGGAAACAATACTGCTCGCTCCATCTGTTGGGTTGTGGTACAACGGCAAATATGAACACAAAATCAATGCAAGCTTATAAGAAATACATAAAAAGTTTTGAATTCATTTTAAGTACCTGAGGGTCCAAGGTGTATCCAACCTGAATCAAAAACAAAAGAAAATAAGCATGTAAGTGTTGTTGTCCCATGTATAGAAATAAAAATAGGATATTTGTTTTGCCATTATTAGATCCAAATATCTTTAGCAACATTAGAGTCTAGCACAACAAACAAAATGGGACAAGCTGAAATATTAGAAATGTATAGTACTGAAAGCGCAAGGATATAAGATACTAGGGAAACCCCGTGAAACTAATGGCTAGTATTTTAAAATTTTGGATTATGTTGATAATAGGGAAATTTTAAAATACAAATTAAGTGTTTGATATGATATGATATATAGGTGGTCGATATAATATTTTAAATATATATTAAAAAATGTTAAATATGATGTTCTCTATTAAGAAAAATGAAAAATAAAATTGATGAATAATACTAGAAACAGATTTGAAATGGTAAGTAGACAAAGTGTTTGAGCCTTATGGTGTGGTGTGTGTTCTTTTAGATTTTTATTTTGTGTTTTTGCTTTTAGTATGGTTGAGGTGAAAATAGTAATTTGACGTGATATTTTGCATAGAAATTGAAATGTTGATGTGTAGAAAAAAAATTGAATAATGAAAAAAATAGGTTAGAAACACAAGAGGCCTTAGCCTAATTTTCCATTGCTTTTAAATAACACAATGAAACTAACGGTCCACTCTATTTAGCTTCAGTTTTTTTATATGCAACTATTTCCTTATAAATATACTATCTCCTCTCATACAAAATTATATTCAAACTAAAATTAAAACAAATATATATATATAACAAAACTACAAAAGAACAAACCCTAAAGCATATCCCCCTTCAATGTAAGAGAATTGATATTAGTACAGAATTTCATTTGCATATAGAGCACAAATGTAAATCCAGTTCATGGAGGAATTTGCTATTCAGTACCGTGTTGATTAATTATAATCAATCGAATTAAATATTAATCAACAAGGAGATGAGATAAACAATTGGAATAAGTGGTTGAAGAAAACAAAGATGAAGATGAAAAGGGGATGATGGAAGATGGGAGATGAAGATGTTCATATATAAAAAGTATATATATTTGAAGAACCATTGGAAAATGACATGGAAGAAAATAATAATTTGAAGAACAACAGGAAGAAGATATTGAAAAAAAGCAAAGAAGAGGAAGACGGAGGAAGATGAAATTGTTCAAGTATAAATCAGAACAAGAAAACATGGAAGAATGCGGAAGAATACCCAGAATACCTCAATATTTAACACATAGTTTATATTCAAATATCACGTCATATAAATACAAACATCACATAATTAATGTTTATTTAGCACTATATGTCAGAAATAACTTAGAATATATTTAAAGAGTCTTATCCTCATATGCAAATAATACATAGTTTATATTAACAAATCGTATAAATACAAACATCATATAGTTAACGTTCATTTAGCACTGCAAGGTGGAAATAACTTTAAGTCCATTTGGACAGTCTTATATTTATGTACAAATAGCACATACTTATATTCAAATAGCAAGACATATAAATACAAATATTACATAATTAACGTTCATGTAGCACTATATGGTGAAAATAACTTAGAAGATATTTGGACATACATATTTATATACAATAGCATATATGTAAATAGCATATCATATAAATACAAACATCACAAGATTAACGTTCATTTAGCATTGCAGGGTGGAAATAACTTAGGGTGTGTTTTTTTGGGAGGTTAGGGTTTTAAAGAAACAGACCCTTAGAATATATTTGGACAATCTTATATTTATATACAAAGACAATCTTATATTTATATACAAATAGCACATAACTTATATTAAAATAACAAGACATATAAATACAAACATCACATAGTTAACGTTCATTTACCACTATGTGGTGGAAATAACTAAGATATTTGGACTATCTTATATTTATATAGAAATAGCACATAATCTATATTCAAATAGCATGTCATATAAATACAAACATCACATAATTAACGTTCATTTAGCACTATATGGTGGAAATAGCTTAGAAGATATTTGGACTATCTTATATTTATATACAAATTGCACATAACTTAAATTTAAATAGTAGGTCATATAAATAGAAACATCACGTAATTATTGTTCATTTAGCACTATATGGTGGAAATAGCTTAGAAGATATTTGGCAGACTTATATCTATATACAAATAGCACATAACTTATATTCAAATAGCAAGTCATACAAATACAAACATTACGTAATTAACGTTCATTTAGCATTATGTGATGGAAATAATTTAGAAGATATTTGGACAGTCTTATATTTATATAAAAATAGTACATAACTTATATTCAAATAACAATATAAATACAAATATCGCATAATTAACGTTCATTTAAAATTATAAGGTGAAATAACTTAGAACATATTTGGACAGTCTTATACTTATATACAAATACCACATAACTTATATTTAAATAGCAATTCATATAAATACAAACATCACTGTTAACGTTCATTTAACACTATATGTTGACAATAACTTGAAATAGGTTTGAACAGACTTATATTTGTATACAAATAGCACATAGTTTATATTCAAATAGCAAAGCATATAAATAAAAACACCGGTACTTTACATTCATTTAACACTATATGGTTGCAAATACATGTAATATTAATAAATTATTGTGACACCATGACCCGGAAGCCACGTAAAGTCGAACGTGTCGGAATCGTAGACTAGCCCCACAGGTCAACATGAATCATTTCAGCGCGCTTTTGCCCTCACTCCCGCGCAGGAGTCACCCATCTCCAAATTACTCTAGAGTAAGCACGATTAAATTTAGAATCCTTTCAGTAGGGCTCTCGAAAAAGAATATCCTCTAATGTCAACAATAGAGCTGGCAAAAACTGACCCGACACGACAACACGACACGAAATAATTGGGTTTTGCTCAAAGATTTCAACCCGATTATGTATACGAGTTCACACGAACCCAACACAATAATAAACGGGTCGGGTTAAGGTTGAGGCTCTCAACTCGAACCCGACACGACAACCAGATTATAATATATTAATATTGATTAATATATTTATTATATATAAAATAATTATAATTTAATAATTTTTTCATAAATTAATTTAAACTAAGTTCAATTTTAAATAATTCAACTTAATTTACGCTCAAATCAATAAAAACTAATATAACATGACAACAAAACAAAAAAATATCTAATTTGAATCAAATTAGACTTAATTATGTATACGGGTCAACACGAGTCAACCCGAACCCGACACGATAATAAATGGGTTAACATAAACCCAACACGATAATAAACGGGTCGGGTTAGAGCATCTCCAACCCAGCGCCATTAATAGCGCTAGGTTGGCTTATTTGGCATCGGTTGTCTCCAACCGACGCCAAATCCAACGCCAATTTTTGGTGTTGCTTTATTTTTATTTTTTTTTAATTTCTTTAATTTTTAATATTATAAATTTAATTTTTTTTAAAAAAATTTTATTTTAAATTATAAAAATAAAAAATTGTTTAAAATAATAGGAAAAATTTAATATTTGAAGAATAATAATAAAAAATGGAGTTATGGTTGGAGTAAAATTAACGTAGCAACCGCATATTTAGAGTTAAAACGGGATAAATGAAGTTGATGGGTTGGAGATGGCCTTAGGGTTGAGTAATTTAACCTGTTTGAAGTATTCAACCCGACACGAATCGACCCATTGTCTGCTCTAGTTAACATGGGTAGTTTATTCAATCCATTTAATTACTATTCAATTTCGAATGACCTGACACCGGCTCATCGACGAAAGTTGGCCTAGCACTGTCCTAACTCCGGAGGTATTACAACTCCATTTTGAACTTTAAACCATTAGATATATCATGTAAATTATCAAACTGCCTATATTAATTCAGTAGGCTGATAACATAGACACAGTCAACACCTTAACAGCCGCACTACTTCAAAAGATACTTTTCACCTTCAACAAGATAAATTCAAACTAAAAATTCTACATCATCCTACTAATCTTAATGACCTTCTAATTGTTTCATATTCACAAGAGCACCAAGACAAGTCACAGCATACTATTACCATAAAATATGAACAAAAACCCAAGAAATGTATTAAGAATATTCCACAAAGTTCCCTTACGACAAATAAACAAATGCACAAAAACCAATGTCCATAAGTACATAAACATAACTACTGAGTATTAGAAAGTGCTTTTCCACATATTCATATGCATAAAAATTCACATTAATCCTTGTAGTAGAAAAAACATACCTCAATTTTAAATTCTTCCAAGAGAGGGCATGTTTTAATCAACATAGTGAAGAAGAGAAGACTTCGCCAAATGACAGACATAGCTGTTATTTCCAAATGCTTCAACGATTGATAATGAGGTAAATTGATCGAGACAATTTCCCTTGGAATTTCACCAAACTACAACATAGAGTAACAAAAATATGTCAACTTTTAGCTCGTAAGATTTGTAGATAAATGCATGAGCAAGGTTGTACTAACCAAATAAGGAAGATCGAAGCTAAGCCTCTCCAAATGAATTGAGTCACCCAAATATTTATCAGCGCCAAATAGAAAAGACGGGGACAATCCCCCACCTAGTTCTAATTCATTAAGATTTGAACACTGTTTGATCGATAAAGCAATCGCAGTTCCACTGTAGGTAAAAGAGACAAGACTTGCCACAGAAACATCCACACTCTTAATGTTGAGACATTGACATATTGAAAGAAATTTCAACTTTGGCATCGGATCAATTAGTTTGAGACTCTGTGTAGAATAAGAGGCACATATACTCAACCGTTCAAGACTCATACAACAAGAAGCGGCTACATAATGAATCATTTCATCAGTAATATCAACAGATGCCAATTCGAGGGATTTTAAGTTGCCAAAGGCAGATTGGAGCCCATGCTTTGTTAGCTCCGGCAGCTTGAAAAATTCATACCCTCGACGAACAATAGGTTCAAGAGACAAATTAAGCTCGAAATTTCTGGGTTGCTTTTTCAAAGCACAAATAATCCAGTTATCAAGAAACCGTGCAGCCCACAACACTTGAAAACGCACTATAAAACTATCAATCTGGTCGTTCTCGTGCAATTCGAGGACATGATTGACCCATTCTCGAAATCCTTTCCGGCTCATTGGAGTTCCTTTCTTGGTGTTCCAAGCATCAAATTCCAGACTACCAGATGTAAACGTCCACAAATATCTCCATCTACGCGAAAGAACACTGGTTCTTTCAGCTTCTTTGAGGCTCAATCGCGACAAAATGGAAACAAGAATTTCATCGGGTAGGTCATCAATCCCGCTTTCTCGTTTCGCATCACTCGAATCCTCACATCGCTGAACGAACCGATCATTGTATTTATTAAAGTATTGTCGAAGATAATTGAAATACTGAATCAAAAGATACAACTCAAATAAATTATACATGGTTAAATCAATTGCAAATTATACCTCTCGCTTCCGCCTTGTTCCTCCGCAATCCATGGTTAAATCCGCAAACGGAAAAAACCGCCACCGCCGCCGCCGCCGCGTCCGCCGGTATGAGATTTGTAATGAATTTGAGAAACCCTTGGAAGTCTGTGGAAGGAGGAGGCTTTAGGATTTAGGAAGCGGTTCGGGTTTGTCTGTGTGAAAATATTTGGATTGTGTTTTATATTTAAATAATATTTAATGGAGAAAAATATTTTTTTAAAAAAAATAAATGTAATTAAGAAAAAGGCATATTTCAACTATTAGACTATTTTAAGTCTATTTCTTTAAATATAATACTCCTTTGATATGTATAAGTGGCAATTCGGGCTGACCCGAATTTATTTGTGCTGGACTAGCAAAATATACAAGCCAAAACTTTGCCAACAAGTTATTTTTTATTTTTTTTTATTTTAAAAATTAATATATATATATATATATAAAAATTTATTAAAATTCAAATATTAATTTTAAAAATCGGACCGATCAAGCACTGCCTAACCTTCATGAATTCAGACACGACCCAGTTTATTAACATGTTGAGCCAGGTACGGACGAAAATTTTCTAACCTATTTTTTAAGGCCCAAATACGGCTTTTTCGTATTGTGCTCAGATCGAGCTTTCGGGTTGCGCTTATTTTTGTCATAATGGTATGTTTGTAATTTAGGTCAAAGTTAAGGGTATTTTGGTATTGATGTATAATTATTTTTACTAAAATAGAAAATTGATACTTCGGAATGAGACAGACGAAAATGGTAAAAAAATATGTTTCTTTAACCAAATTTCTTCAAAATTTGCTATTTGAACTTTATATTTTTCAAAAAAAAATACAATTTTTCATCTCACAATATCCGATCAAATATTATTTTAATATCAAATCAAAATCAATTTGTTCCAAACTTAACCAAAATAAACACACCCTTAGTTACGAAGGAAGGAGTAATTTTTTAATTTTTGTAGGATTGATTACTTAGAACTCATCATGTATTTTTTGAGTTGTCACCAAGATTCATTTATTCAAATTTGTGAGATTATTGACATTTGAAAATTTAAGTATTGCTCCATTTGCACTAAAACAATAGAGATATTTGAAATTAACACGAAAATTAAGTAATAATAGTATTATACTGATAGTGGCATTAAAAATATTTTTAAAAGACTAAAATATTCGTATTTTTATATAATTATTATAAAAATGTTAGAAATAATTTTATAAAAAGATGGGGAATTCGTTACTAAAATGAGACTATTATGTAATTATTATAAAAATGTTAGAAATAATTTTGTAAAAAGATGGGGAGTTGGTTACTAAAACGAGACTATTGTTTAGGGACGAACAAAAAGATAAAATGAAACTATTATTTTGGGACATAAAAATTATAATGAAGTTGTATTAATGTATTGTTCGAAAAAAAATTATTTTCGATAATTTTGTTAAATTGGTCCGTTGGTTAAAAGTAAAATATAAAAAATGTATTCTTTCAAATTATTTTAGAAAACAAACGTACTAGGGATAATATATTTTTATTAAAAATATAACACTTTTGTTTTACTAAAAAACAAATGGAAAATCCTCCATAAATAGAATAGAATCTCAGCATTTATTTTTAATCTTGTTTTAAGCCTATCACCTTTATAACCAGGGGTGTGTTTGTTTGGGTGTTTGAATTTTGAGATGAAATTTGAATAATAAAAATTTTAAATTAAAATAGTGGTACGATATAATATAAATATGTGTTGATGTGATGTTTTGAATGTGAAATTGATTTTTAATATAATATAAAAAATAGAAAATAAATATTTGATTTGATATTTTGTGAAAAAAAATAATTGATAAATAGTAATTTTGGAATAGAATCCCACAACCGATCACACCCCTAATGTATTAATACAATAGTACTCTCTCCGTCCCATAACAAAGTATCTATTTTTCTATTTTAGTCCGTCTCATAGCAAAGTATCTATTTCTTTTTTAATAACTGTACTATCTACCTAACATTACAAATATCTTACAACTTACAATATATTACACAAATGTCATTACATTTATATCACACATACTAATAAGGTTATTTTAGTCATTTCTACTTTATTCTTACTATATCCCAATATAATACTAATATTTATAAAACTACGTGCAAAAAGCAAATAGATATTTAGTTCCGGGACGGAGGGAGTATATTTTATCCGCTTCAATTCAATACAGGGATTGTTTCTTTTTACAAAATTTTTCTAAGATGTTTTTCTAAAAAAGTAGTATACTCCCTCCGTCCTATTGAAAGATTATCATTTTCCATTTTCGTCTGTCCCAATACAAGGTTATCATTTTAATTTAGTAATTATAATACCTCTTTAACATAATAAATATCTTTCAACTTACAAAATATTACACAAATGTCATTACTTTTATATTATACCGTACCAATAGGGGAATTTTTGTCTTTTTTACTATAATCCAATATAATACTAATATTAAAAAATCTACGTGCAAAAAGCAAACGTGGCCCTTCCAACAGGACAGAGGGAGTATTATATATATTTATTATTTTTACACTTTCTCAGTCCAACCATAAAATATACAATTATTTTTTCGTCGTTGTACTTAATATTAAAAATAGTTTTATATCTGCATAATTTACTACACATCATTGTATTTATACTAATATATGTATTTTTTGTATTTTCTCTTAATTTCTATCCGATTTTGATATCATAATTAATATTAAAAGATCAAAACAAAAAAAATAATAATATACTTTCTAGTTAGACGAAGATAGTATTACATGTACAATTAACTATACTTCACATCAAAATAAATTTTCCTTCAAACTAAAATTAAAGCACAAAATAAATACGCTCATACTTTTTACTTTTTTTTTTTATATAGAATATGTAAGATAATTTTAATATATATATATTTACAAAACAAATCAATATTTTGGAAAAAAATTATTTTTTTAATACTTATATATAATTATTTTTACCAAAAAGAAAAATTAAAAAAAGAAAAAACATATTGTTATATGTATATATAAATAATAATAATAATAATAATAATAATAATACGTATTTCTTTCCAAATTAAAAAAGGTATACGCGCCTCAGGGGCAACCTTGGGATTTCGCCAACAGAACGTTTGAAATTCAAAAAAGTTTGAATTTCAAAATTTTGTAGCCGTTGTGATGCGGTAGCGTACAAAACCAGAGGGTGGCCCTTTTTGGAGTCGCATTGTTCGCACAGACAGAAAAGAAACGCATAGAGCGAGAGAGACAAGAGAAGAAGAAGAAGAAGGAAACGGGAGAAACTAAAGAGAAGGAGAAGGAAATGGATGAGAAACCGAAGTCTGCAATGGAGGCGTTCGAGAAGCTGGAGAAAGTGGGCGAGGGGACGTACGGGAAGGTGTATCGAGCAAGAGAGAAAGCCACGGGAAAAATTGTGGCACTGAAGAAAACTCGTCTCCATGAAGACGAAGAAGGCGTACCCCCCACCACGCTTCGAGAGGTTTCTCTGCTTCGAATGCTCTCGAGAGATCCTCATATTGTCAAGTATGGTCTCTCTTCGTTTTAATTTTCTTTACCGCTATGTAGATTAATTTCACCTATATTATTCTGAGATCTGTTCGATCGGATGTATTTTTAATCCGATTGTGTGATTGCACTCACCCCATGTTTATTGATAGTTATGAAACCCTAGAAAGGATTTGGGATTTGGGTCTGGCTGTATCTCATTTCTGGTCTAGATTTGTTCTGTGCGCGTTATCGATGAGCTTCTACAGATCTTTTGTTTCTTTCCTTGTGATCTGAAGATTTTGTTTTCTTCATTTGATCTCCCGATTAATTGAGGGGTTTCACCCTTTATGTTCTTAATTCCTTAGTTTCTTGATTTAGGGTTCCAAGGGTTAGTTAACTCTGGGTTTCGGTCTTGATTCATTCTTGTATTTCTTGTAATATATTTTTGCAATTGATGTGTCCTCATACATTTATACATATGTCTGTCTGTATATATACACATCTAATTAGTTGTATCGTTACATGAATACAGATTGATGGATGTCAAACAAGGACAAAATAAGGAAGGCAAGACAGTTCTCTACTTGGTGTTCGAATACATGGATACCGATCTGAAGAAGTATATCCGCAGCTTTCGCCAAACTGGTGATAAAATTCCGAGTCAGATTGTCAAGGTATACTTACTCTGTTGCTTATTAAAATTTTATAATATGTCAATCAATTAATTATTCCTCCATCTAATGTATATAATCTCTTTTTTGGCTACCTGTAGAGTTTAATGTATCAGCTTTGCAAAGGCGTTGCTTTCTGCCATGGCCACGGTGTTCTTCACAGGTAATCAAAGGCATTTGTGAATTTCTTCTTCACGTTTTTTTGGTGCGGATCTAACTGTGATTCTTTGTAGGGATCTTAAGCCTCATAATCTCTTGATGGATCGCAAGACAATGATGCTTAAAATAGCTGATCTTGGACTTGCCAGAGCATTCACCGTGCCAATCAAAAAGTATACCCATGAGGTACTTTCTTGGACACGTCCTTCCTCTAATTCCAAATGTTTTTGATAGTTTGTCTAAGTGGTTGCATTGTGTTGCAGATATTAACCCTTTGGTACCGAGCACCTGAGGTGCTTTTGGGTGCTACGCATTACGCCCCTGCAGTTGACATATGGTCTGTGGCGTGCATATTTGGTAAGCATCGACACAAACATTTATGCACAATGTTGGAAAACTCAAAAATGTAAATATCTTGAATTCTTTAACTGTTTCAGCTGAATTGGTGACCAACCAAGCCCTGTTCCCTGGGGACTCGGAGCTGCAGCAACTTCTGCACATTTTCAGGTTATAACATTCATTCTTTCAACTAGTTGCATACTTTGTTATCAAATTTGAGTGATGCTGACAGCGGCATTGTTGTATGTTGTCTGCAGACTGTTGGGAACTCCGAATGACGAAGTTTGGCCAGGAGTTAGCAAGTTAGTTAATTGGCATGAGTACCCACAGTGGAGCCCGAGGCCTCTGTCCTCGGCCGTTCCAGGGCTGGATGAAGACGGGCTGAATCTTTTATCCGTAAGTGTTTCCTCTGTCGCAAGATATCTTGTTGTAAGTTTGAAGAATCAATAATCCTTATAATCCTTCTTCTGTTGTTATATTCAGGAAATGTTGCAGTATGAACCTGCGAAAAGAATTTCGGCAAAGAAAGCCATGGAGCATCCCTACTTCGATGATCTCGACAAGACTTATCTCTGAAATTATCATCACCCCTTAGGACTCCAACAGGGAATTGGATGGAAATTAGCTTTGCTTGCTTGCTTGCTTTTCTCGAGCATATTTGATCCCCTGTTTTTGTTATTGACATTATCTTCTACTAATGATGGCCAAGTGATCGTGTGTGTGTAGGATATATAGGAAATCTATTATGGTTTCCTTGGATTGTTTACATTTTTAACAATCGAATCTATTAGGCTTTGTTATGATATATGATAATCATCGTTTACTGCTGTTCTGTTATTTCCCAAGAATTTCTTCATCACTGTGTGTGTTACAGACAAGACAGCATTTGGATTTCAGACATTATAGTTAAACTCAAATTCTAACAAAATGAGAATAATTTCATTCTTGCTCAAAAGCAATGTGTGTGTACAAGAAGAACTTGCCAGAATAGAACACATAACTTCCATTGTTGATATGCAATGAACAATGATACCAAGGGGAATTCTAAGCATCAATATTTATTTTTATATTTTTTAAAAGGAACTTACGACAGCTACTGTAATATTCTCATGTCCATAAGCCTACCCATCTGCAGTCGAAGATGAGGACTCGAAAATAGCTACCTCTTCTTGATCATCTCTTCATGTCAGCAGAAACAGCATGGTGAAGAGGAATGAGCAGCATTCTTTTCCTCTTTTTCTGTGCCTGCCCGTATATAGACATCCCTCGATGGAAGCTCTCTGAACTTGTAATCGATGTCTGAACTGTAAGATGGGGCGAGCCACATAACAATAGGTACCCGGGGGCAGGAGCCTCGTTGCTTTGTTGAGAGGCAAGTTCCGAAGCATCGATATGTAATGAACAATGATCAAAGTCGTCGTCTGAAGCAATCCAAAGCAGCAAATACACAATCCTGAAATTCGACTGTTTTAAATTAACCACAGCAAGTTGAGAAGTTTTCAAGATGAATCTACACTTTTCTAAAAAAAATTAAATAAATTAAAACACTACTCGAATAAAAGTTAAATAGAGAGAATCGAAACAGCCGACTAAAATAAAATAGAAATAAAACTCAAACGCAAAAACTTATACAGTATACAACATAAATAAAACTTACATAAATCAATGTGGCCGCCTGTTATTTGGAAACAAAGAGAAGCCCACAAAATAATATTGACTCGAACACAAGCGAAAAAGGCCGAGCAAGTCTAAAGAGCCCGCGAGAAGATCATATAATTTTTTGGTGTCGTAAATTAGCCCAATGGTTCGTCAATTTATAGCTACAAAAGGCGGAGAGCTACATTGCATAACCGGTGTGGGATAATATCCCCGACAAAAAATCGATGTGGGACAAAGACACACTTTATGAGTATTCTAACAATAGAATGAATAACCACCGTCACACCAAAACCACTAAACGTGATACTTCAATCGTAACATTATATGTTACAAAAGAGAAAAAACAAAAGAGAAAAATTACTAATTCCAAAAATAAGTAAAATTAAAATTAAAAGCATATTTTTTTGCACACCGACAAGATTATTATATTTCGCCATTGTCTTATGCTATACAGTGCTATAACAACGAAATCCCATTGTCTTATGCTATACAGTGCTATAACAACGAAATCCTCTCTTCATTATAGAAGGATACGTGCATTTCACTATTCTTTATTAAATATGAGATTATTATGAATGCAAAGTAGCGCGAGTGTGAACTAGGCGCCACCATTAAAAACTTTATTACATTTTGGACCATTAGGCTCCAAGCTCCCTAAGGTCATGGCTTATGGCGTAAGGGGTGTCCGTTGAAACTCAATTTAAATAGAAACCTATTATTTATTTATGTTATATATATAAATTATTTAATTTTAATGTACTAATAGAGGAATATAGTTTAGTGATTACGTTTAAAAATTTTTTGTTCAAATTCATGTCTCTCCAAAATTTAAAAATATTTTTTTCTTATATACATAGAAAGAATTAGACAAAATGAATATTGATATTTTGCATATAAAAATGTTAGAAAATATATTTTATTTATATTTTATTATAAATAAAAAGAATATTATTTATATATATTTAGGGGCTTTTACTTTTTGCTTTAAAATTGTTTAAACAAAATTAATATTATTATTGGTATTTTATTTAAAATGCTAGAAAATGTTATTTTATTTAATTATTATATTCTATTATAGGTAAGAAAATATAGAGTATATCATTATTCATTTATATATATTTAAGGGTCTTTTATTTTTTAAATTTTTTTTGTATTAAAAAGAAATTAAGTATTAGACAAAAATATTATTATTGTTGTTGATATTTTTTGCATCAAAAAAGACTATAAAGTTTTTTGTATTTATTTATATTTTATTACGGGTAAAAATAATATATATATATATATATATATTTAAGGTACTCCAATCTTTCCAATACAATTAACTCTACATCTATACGAGATGATAAATACAAAACTTTTCGATCAAGAAGATGGGTTCTTGAGACACATCATCGGCAACAAGAAGATACGATGGACCAGGTGATAGTGAAGTAGGAGGCGCCATTGCCAAAGTTGCCTATGAATAACAATAATTCATCGATATTTTACAACCTTTTCTTTATTATTATTATTATTATTATTTACGAGGTCATCCAAGAAATGGAACAAAACATAATTCCATAGATTTACAAGATGGACCGATGGCAACATATAATCAATATCCAGCAATCAGCAAGTGTGTACAAAATCGAAAGCCATTTCTCTTGCAATCCGGGACAGATTCTTTCCAAACCATCATCGACATTTATTATTACAGAATTTACAGGTGCTCAAAATCAAAACACCTAAGAATTTCCTTGAAATCAAAACTATCAGAGCTATCTCTAAAGTCTTACAAACATCAAACATCCGCCATTGTCGATATGCAATGAACAATGAAAACTCAGCTTCTTGCTACAAGACCCCCCAACCAAAAAAATCAACCTAAAGAATTCATGCTCTTGAAAAACAGCATAAAGAGTTTTTTCACATCGTAATTTCGGCAGAGCATATTCGAAGGTCCCTCCAATGCAAGGTTAAGGGTTTCTTCCATGGCCTTGGATCGAATTGAAGCTTTCGAGAAAGCACAAGTAGTTGGCCTCCTAGGCTTGCACCACACTGCTTGATGATGAATAAAAAATTCGATCAGGAAAGCTTCAACAGCCATGTAATCAAATCAACAGATCCCCAATTTGTTGATCGAAGCCCAGATAGAACTCTAAGCTTTTCGAAAGTTTTTTTGTTTTGGTGAAAAAAAAAAAAATCTTTTGCAATTTTTTGTGAACAAGAACTTCATACCATTTGTAGATTAAGGGAAAATTTTGCAATTTTAATTTTCAAATCAGTTGATTAGCTAAACTGTATTTGACATAATAGATAAAAAAAAAAAAAATGTAAAATTACCCCATATTGGAAGCAGCATGTGAGCATTTCAATTGTTGTTGATATGCAATGAACAATGATCTTGGTATGATGTGTTCACACCAATTACATAATCCTGAAATTTGATATAGTTAAATTAATATTTTGATTGTCTATTTGTTTTCACACACAGATATATTAAAAAATATAATATAGAATAGATATTTTTATTTCAAAATTTTCTAAATCTTAAATATCAAAACATAACCACTATTAGGTAAACACATCATAAAATTTGAAAGTAATTCATTTTTTAAAAAATGAAGTAAATCTTAACTACACTATCTTTGTACTTAATAAATGAGAATTACTAAATATTATTTTGAAATTTATAATTCTAATTTTAAAAATTATATAAAATACTTACTTTTATTACATATATATATATATATATCAAAATAGACACAAATAAACATTTTCAAAAGTATATGACAAATTAAATAACATCGAATTAAAGCCTAAACATATACAAACAAAAATAAAATAAATAAAATTGAAATGCGTACCTTTATCGAAAAACCACAATAGAACTTCGGAAAATAATTTGAACACGAACATGAATAGATAGGCCCAAATGCTCGTATAGCCCCCTAAAACAAATGCATATATTTGGTACAATTTTTAAACCAAGAATGAATTGGTTTATAACTATGCAATGAAATAATGTTTCACTTCTTTGTCGATGTGGGACAATTTTTAGTTGGTTTATAACTATGTGGGAAAATAATGTTTTACTTCTTTATCGATGTGGGACAAAGTCTCTAATGACAATTCGATATGAGTCATAATAAATATGTCTACACAGTCACGTGTACAAACAGTCACTCTTCCATCAAAATAATTGTATGGAACACTTCGATTGTATCACTTACTTTAGAAAGTGCGAATAAGTGTTAAATGATTAAATTCATTAACTACATCAACCAAAATAGAAAATCTACTAAATTTATAAGAGAAAGTATGGAGTCGAATTGCCGTTATTATTATCTTTCAATTGAGATCTTCAAATCTAAGCATTCTTTTCTCAATAGAGTTCTCATCGTTTTCAATTTTCAACAAAAGGGACGAGTACAAGGCACCAAATATGTTTTACCTTTAATTTTCATCTTTCATCCGCTTTAGTGTATATATATATCTACAATTTCTAACAAATCTACCCGCTTAGAAATTGTAGCTTATTGTACTTCAAAATAATTAACTGATTGTTTTTTATGAGGAGCTCAGACAAACTCTAAAGTGGTCGTCTAGTTTTCAGTTTTCAGGGTATATTTACTTTGAAAGATTATTATTGATAATACTACTTTATTCAACATAATTATTTGTTTATTTTAACACATTAAAATTCTGGATTGATTAAAGTACTATATAATAATATATTGATTAAGGATAATTAATTGTATCCGGAGTGTAATTAAATTATTCTCAAGTAATATTTGTACTCAAAATTATTATCCTATATTTAACCAAGTAAATTAAATATGATAAATAATTAATATTGTAATTATATGCATTATACAATTTTCAAAGTAAACAAGCCTTGTAGTAGAGGGATAAAAGAAATCCAATAAAATATCATAGCAAGAGCCCACTTCTCACTTGCTTTGCGATCCAATGCCAATGTATTATTCCTAAAAATTGCTTTCAATGGCAGCTATCTAATAACTATTTTATCTAAAAATTGAAATAAATAATAATAATAATAATAATAATAATAATAAAAGAAAATAACAACAATTATATCAACCTCAAGATTTGAAGATTCAGAAGTAAGTACAAGAACATGAGCCAAGGATATAAGTAGAAAGAGCCATTAATATATAAGAAAAATTGCTTATATATAATTTTTATATGGTTTGAAAACTTTGCATTATTTTCTCTAATAATTTAGAAATTACAAGTGATTTACTTATATTTTAGAAAACATCACATATAATCTTTTAAAAAAATAGATGAAATTTCCTTGCGACAACATTGCAATGTTTTTCTCTGAAAAAAAAATATAGCAATATTTTCTAAAATACGATATAAATCATGTAATTTCTAAATCATCATGAAGAGTACGTCGCAAACTTTTCAAACCCGATCATAAGCAATTTTACACAATATATATGTGTATATATATTGAACTTCAAGACAAAACCCCAGATTGTTTGTAGTTCTCGATGGAATCGACAAGAGTTTCCTTCAACGGCCGATACTTCCAACCCAACCTCTGCAGTTTCTCCGAACTCAATCTTAATTTCGACAATGTGTTTCCTTCAATGTAGCTGCAATATTTAAAATGCAAACATTAATAACTACGAACAGCATATTCATATAGGCCAATCTGAAGTTTTACAAAAATTATTGAAAAACTTGTTGTAACTAATTAATTAATAAAAACCTCTCGGGATATTCATAGTCTGGATACATGTCTTTGAGCATTTGCACCAACTCTTGAGACTCTACCATGTGTGCACTGCATATGTACCGGCCTTCAGCCTCCGGCGTCTCGTATACTAACTTCATCGCCTCAGCCACGTCGCGCACATCCACTAGCTTTTGGTACCCTTTTTCCATCCCCTCGAATCCTCCTAGTAAAATGATATATTGTGAGATGAAACAATAAATTTGATTTGGTATTTTTAAAAAAATTACTCCTCCGTCGATCAAAATCTGTGCTCACTGTCTTTGTATCTTACAAAAAGAATTGAGCACAAATTTGGATAACAAAGATAGTACTGTTTATGAATAATGATAAAAATTCTATACATATCTATGTAAACAGAGTCTAAGATTGTGAGTGCATATAAGAGTGAATCGGGAGTCAAAAGAGAAAGATATTTATAAGAAATCCATATGGTTAAAAGTAATTGTTGTAGCTCATAAGATAAACATAAGGTTGACAGATGATTTAAATAAAAGTTAAATATAATTTTGACCGATGGAGATAATATTATATTCAATGTCAATAAAATTGTTTTGTTTGACCAATAAAATGTAAAACCCGAATTCGAAAGTATACCACTTAGGAGCAGAACAATAAAGAAGGAGCTAGCGTTTACGGCCGGTTGAAGCTTTGGCCCTATGACGATGGGCGGGCACATGGTGATGAGGTCGAGTCCATGTGTTGCTGCATATTCCCACGCCGCGCGCTCGGCCATTGTTTTCGCATAAAAGTATGCGCTCTGTTTGCAAAATGGATGTTAAAAAACACGATCCAGTTAAAGTTTCTTACAAGTATAGAGTGTTTTAGTACATCATCGGTAGTCTTGCAGTACTCTGCATCGGACCAGCTCGTCTCGTCCATGGCTCGATCCTCTGGCCAGTTGGGGTTCATGATTATTGCAGCAACGGATGACATAATCACGACGCGCTTGACTCCGGCTTCTGAACATGCTTTTAGGACATTCAGAGTCCCTTCTATCGCCGGCTTAACTACTTCTACCTGTCGAATGATTATTGCAAAAATGTTTTACTTTTTCTTCGATATTTATTTCAATTGACTTATTATGCAATCCTATAAATTTATTTTTTAAAAAAAAACATTAATATTGCCTCCGGGTTAGGAGGGGTGCCAATAGGAACGGGGCTGGCGATATGGAAGACGCCATGGCAGCCATTAACAGCTTCGCGAATAGCACCGTAATCCAATAGTTCTGCTTTGAAGGTTTTCATTTTTTCGGCCGCGTTTTTGAGGTCTTTGAGATGAGCATTTTTCTCGTCATCTGCAGCAGGCATATATTGTTAGACCAAATGGTCGAGCTTATATGAAGAACAAATGTTTGAAATTTGCAGGTTAGGTTTAGCAGATGAATGAATGAATTAAGACCGGGGTCTCGGAGAGTGGCATGAACGTGGTAGCCATGGGAAAGGAGAAGCTTTACGAGCCATGAAGCTATGTATCCTCCAGCACCTGTTACACAAACCTTCCCTTTCTTGTCTTCCGCCATGTTTAAACCTCTGCTCTGTTCTGCTCTGCTAACAATATTAATTGCTCCATATCACATCTGCTAGATTCCTTTATATAGCAGAGCATATTTTAAAAAATAGCAGAATTGCTCTTTTTATTTTATTTGGAATGTGTTGAGGTACAACTCAAGTCCGACGTCGGAAATTGCGAAGAAAATTCTACACAGTTCCAAATAAACTCCAAGTCTTTTGAAAGATATTCAAAAACAAATCCGTACAAGAGTGTTGAGTTGGTTAGATGGTGAAGTGGACTAGGTTGCATGTCGTGGCGGTGGTGGTGGTAGTGGACTGATCCCACTTAATTTGTCTCAATATTTGTGTTTTTCATAGTCTTACATAGTCATTTCGTTTTTTTTTTTTTAAATATTTATACATTTTAATCATATTTTAAAATATCTTTAAAATATCTTGTTGTTCCGTAACTAAATTAAATGGGAGAATATTTTTTTTTTTATAATGCGTTTTTTGTGAAGTTTTAAAAGTTGTAAAGTACTTATAATTAAGATTAATTAATATTATTATTACATTGCATTGTAACGCCCGTCCGCCGTAACACGTTCGCTACTCATTAAATCTCAGCATTTAATATCACAATTAGTCAATCATACATAAATAAATAAATAAATAAATAAATAAAATGAACCCACACTATAAAATTAGGGTGTGTTTGATTTTACGTTGGAATCGAGAGTTTGGTTAGACGGAATTTATTGATATTTATTTATTATATTTGTAAAGATAAAATGCATAATACTATCTTATGTTTTAATTAAATTATATGCCGGATATATACTAATATTTGGATATTATGCGCAATGAATAAATATGTATTATGTATGTTTTTAATAAAATACAAACATATGTTTAAAATTACTAAATTTAAAATAGCGATTATTTTACATGTTTAAAGTGTTTTTGTGTAATATATATAATATTATTAAATATATTTTATTTATAAAACACAGCAGTTTCAACCTTTACAAAATAAGTATCGTTTAACATTTTTAATAAAATATAATACTGTTATTTTTTATAAAACATTAAAAATAAAAATAAAAAAAATAAAAAAAAAAAAGAAAAAAGAATTGAATAATAAGCTTACAGTTTTTAATAGTTAATAGTAAAAATTTCAAATTTTTTTGAACAATAAAACACTACAATCATACATTGATACTGCCTCTTTCAACTAATAGTATTGTCACTTTCTTTGTATTTATATTATCCATTTTTACATCATTTGTATGTGTTATTTATTTTTAAAAACGTCACCTCAATTATTCCATACTATATTTTCACTTACAAAATACCATCTCAATTTCATTTTGTTTGCTTGTTTTACTTTTTTTTTTTTTCTATTATTATATCTTTATTTTCTATTTAAAATAATTTTGTATATTGTATTTAGAATGATACAAAGAAAGAAATTATGTGTAAATTTTTTTAAATTTACAAAAGTTCTAAATATTTCAAATTTAGAATTTTTTTTTTATAAAAAAAAGTACTAAAATAACATTCTAAATGAATACCCCTTTTTTTTTTTCCCTCAAACTACTTTTTTTTTTTTTTTTTAATGGTTAAAAAGCGCAGAGCTAGGATTTATAGTGTTAAATGTATATTTTAATGCTTCCTATCACGTATGAATTTTATTTCCAAAATTATTATTCTAAGATAAATATCCCACGAAATGGAATCCTGCAAAATAAATAAATAAAATTTAAGTGTAACGTGTATAGATAATTTAATTAAAAAAATATATTTTATAATTATTTATTTATTTTATGCATTCCTAGATATGGCAAATAAATTGATGTATATTTGATGTTAAAATTAAACCCAAGTCATTTAATTGAAATCAAATTCAATTATTTAGATATAAAATTGAATTGATTAATAAAATAATTGAATAGGGTCTTATGTCTCAATACAATAGTATATTTTAATTTCACCATAGCGAACTTGTGAGCTTTGGCCCATCATATGTTTCTGAGGCCCAATTCTATATCTCGAGCCCACTCCAAAATGAAGCCCGACCCTATAATCCGATGCAACCCGACCCATTTTCAAAAAATAAACATTCTGCAGTAAAAAACTTGCATGGAATTTCGCAAACAATTTTAGAGCATCTCCCGACTCAGCGCCATTAATGGCACTGGTTGGCATATTTTGGCGTCTTCGACGGACGCCAAATTCAACACCAATTTTTGGCATTATTACAGTGCAACACCAAAATTTTTGGCATTGCTTTATTTATTTACTTTTAATTTTTTTAAAATTTTTAAAATTATAAATTTGATTTTTAAATTTAATTTTTATTTTTTAAAATTTTTAAAAATTTTATTTTAAATTATAAAAATAAAAAGTTGTTTAATATAATAAGAAAAATTGAATATTTAAAAAATAATAGTAAAATATGAAGTTATGGTGGGAGTAAAATTAATAGACATAAATTAATATGACAGTACCCTAATACTACCATAACTTTACATAGCAATGTAAGCTGCAACCATCCGGTGACTTTTAAATGACAATATTTCCATGACAATAAGTTCCGGAATAATACCGTGACACTTAAGTGACTTTCATGTGGATTCAAAAGAGGTAAATACCCACTCAATACGTGGATTCATCAAGAGTTTTAAGGCAACCCTCTAAACACAGATGTAGTGCAGTAAAATAAACGATTCGGAAGCGTCAAGGCGTACCTAAGAGCCGGAGTGGATGCACAAAGGTATCATCCTGTCTATGATCCATCAGGCAAAAATGGATTGGCAATTTCATCCGTGCCATCAGTTGGAGACACCAGCATCACAGCAGTTCCTCGACAAACCTGAGAAATATTGGTGACATGTAAGAACCTTTGTAAAATCGACACTTTACCGAAGAAATTTAATCTGGTGTGATAGCACCAAGAAATATGTGGAAGGTTATCATAGTAAGGTGTACAAGACATACTATTAAACCAAGGCGACGGGTTTGATCGGTAGTCTTCAGTGGATCCTCTGGATCTGCACAATTTATTGAAGTGTATCTGAATTGTAAAACAACAAATGCAGCAAAATCACATTTGTCCTTAATTTACATCAGGACAATATGCTTCTTTTCTGATGAAATAAATTTGTAACTATAAATATTGAAAGTGATCAGGAAAGTGAGACAATGGTATGCTTACCTCTAAGAAATTCTACGGCTTCATCCAAAACGAGATTCAGCAATTGATCATACCCTTTCAGTGTTCCAGTCACTGACATAAATACTCAGATATTTAGCTACAAGTTTTCAGGCATTTGTCGAGCAAAAGGACCATGGAACATAATAAAAGAAATTTCATGCAACAAATCATGAGCTTTGGCCAAAAGCAATAAACAAAATATAACGGGAATAATGGCCCAATCAACACAAAGGAATGTCCAGGAAAGCAAATTACAATCACAAATAACTTTTAACAATCAAGTCCCAGTAACTGAAAATTCAGTTTATTATATCCTCCAGAAACTTGGGTTGTGTTTGGATGGGGTTTTCCCCAATATTTTCAGTATTAATCCCACTAATAAAACAATTTTACATTGACATCAATATCTATTTATATCACATCAAATAATTCAAATTCAAAATTTTTACCAGTCAAAACCCAAGATCCAAACCTCCAACCAAACACACCCTTGAAATTTTTCTTCGCAACTTTGATTAGATTTTACTAAGCTGAAGAAAATGCTTAAAAGAACAGAGCAGAGAGAGAGAGAAATGTGGAATGGCTAACACAGTTTCAGGTAAAAAGGTTAAAGGCATATATGTTAGGAAAAATAATTAAGTTTGAAAAGATATACTCAGTAAAAGGTGGATGATAGAAACAGTCCTTAATTATATACCGAATTTTAGAAACATTAGATCAGTGCAGTACTTTGATATGGCATATAAATATAAAGGATGCTCACTGCCACTGACATGTTCATTTTATGCCACCAGATAATCTATAATTGATAATTAGCTCTAATAAGCTGTCATTCCATATTGCATTGATATGATTATCATAATCACTATTGTCATGAGTAAAAATAAAAGTGCTTCACTATTTTATTATTGCATAGCTCAGAAAATAGGGAATCCAAAAGTTCAAATTAAAATAAAAGCATATACAGAACTGCAGTACTGTAACCAAATCCAATATAGACATGTGGACCATACAGCCTAGCCTTATACAGTTTGGTGAAGGCTTAGACATTGATGGCTCAAATATCATTCAGGATGTGTAGAAGATCAGAGCACAACACCCAAAAGCAAATTTAACATCAGGCTAATTTTATTTTTTTCCGTCAAACAGGATCTGGTCATGCACTAACTCCAATGTGATAGCATACTAAAATGAGTTTCCAAATACTATTAAGAATTTAAAGGTAAAAGAAGTGAATAAGATCAAAATATGGAATGAGGTGGGGAACAAAAAGCCAGATTTGAGAGCAAAATCAAGTGAACATCATTAGCAGTGTCTTCATTTCCACAAATATCAAGACCATAAACTCAATCTGGAAGTGCACTAACGTTAACATAATGAACCATAGCATGTCTTGGATAATATCATAAGCAAGTCTTTGATAATATCATAAGCAACAAGAAGGCAAACTGATATGCTAATATAAACACAAACATTTGGAAAAAATGGTTTCCAGTTGTGTGCATATAATTAACTTAGCGTATATCCTATCTCTTAGTCTCAGATTTTCGGTTCCTATTATATGCATAAGCAGTGCCGGAAAAATGTAAAATCATTAGTGGTTACTTTTGTTGTTGAATCTTGCATATATTGCGATGCAGCCGTACATTGCAAACACTTAAAATAGGTTCTATAATACCAAAATTGTATGCTTTTAACATCAAACAGGAGAAGTTCAATACAATTGGAAATTGGAATAGCTAACTCGTCTAATAACTGGAATCATCAGATAGCTTTAATATTCCCAAATACAACAATAAACTGAAAATCTCAAAAATTACCGAAAATAAACCAAATATTACAAAACACTGACCTTGTCTTCCACCAGTGAGCTTGACTTGAACACCTTTGTCGACGAACTTAGATAAATCTAAAACTGTTTCTTTCCTGCCAGACTGAAACATACAAAACAAAACACAAACAAATCGAACAATATCCAAAACTAAAATTTCCCAAACTTGAAATCAACGGACAGAAAAAGTGAACACATAAACTCCAGATTTACCATAGCTTCAGCCGAGCGGAGTGTGTTTCTTTTCAGGGTCAATCCGGTTTGGCATGCACAGTCACTGTAAATTTGGGCGCGAATCCGACTCTATAATCGACAAAGCCTGACCTACGGTAACCTATACTAGGTATGCGTTGAATAAACATTAGCCATTTCCCTTTTCAGATATTTAGGTAAAACTCCTTAACAAAACACATTTTGGCCGTTACCTCGTGGCTTCGCCAGGCACCAGCTGCCAAGTTTGTTTCAGACGGCCGACCGGCCGGTCTGCAACTCCCAGTTTCACTTTTCTTCTCAAGCCTAGAACAGCGATGGCGGCTTCGATGGCCAGCAGCGACGGTCGGTGATTTGTGAGTGACGAAGAGGAATGAACAAGAAAAAAGAATGGAGTCGAGGGAAGCAGTAAAGGGGAAAAAAGGGCTGGCGGCCGTAGGTTAGTAGTCGTAGGGCTTTCAGTTTTTTTTTTTTTTTCTAGAATTTATATAATAAAAATTATAAAATAGAAAATTTGTAATCCGTAATATAATATGAATAACTGTTAAATAAATATTTTAAATATAAAATTAATTTTTAATATTATATTTTTAACCTAAAAATAAATATTTAATTTAATTTTTTAGAAAAGAATTTGATGAAATTTGATATAAAAATTATTTTTACAATATATGAATTAACATAAATTATTACTGAGTATTAGAAATATTTTTTTAAAATCATGTTAACAAAAATTTACTATTATGGAATTGAATAATTTGTTTGATTTTGATTTAAAATAAAAATAATAATTTGAGTTTTAATTTGACTAAAATTTTAATATAATATATTATAAAAAATATTTTTTTATTAAAATTCCTACAAAATAAATAGTTGAATTAAAGTCTATAATCATGTTTTTTTAAATAAAATAAAATAAAATAATAAATTATACTCTATTCGTCTCATATATCATGTCCACGTTTCCACATATCAATTTTCTTTTTTGGAAAATGATTACACACTTTAATTTCATTTTAAATTTTTTAATTTTATTTTTTTAAAATTTTTAATTAAACTAATTAGTTATCTTAATCTTATTTTATAATTATTTATATTATAAAATAATTATCTTCACTAATACATTCTTAATTATCTACTAATTACACCCCTCATAAAATATCGTGTCTACAGTGCAGCAGACACAGACACAGTACATGGGACGGAGAGAGTATAAACAAAACAAAATAAAAAATACAGACATTAATGCGGGACAATGGAGGAGTATGATTTATCTATATATTCTTTGATTTGATTTAGAAATTATGCTATATTCATCTTTATTTTATTTTATAAAATATAAATAAACTTTTCATTTATTAAATTTTAATTAAAATTATATTTCACAAACTATAATTGTGTTCTTTTGTATATAATAATAATAATAATATATTTTTTAAAAAAAAAATTAATAATTGCCCACATTATTTTTATATGCGTACATAATTTTCTATAACTTATATATATATTTTCAAACTAATACACATTTGTAATTAAAAGCATATATTTGATTAAACAAAATCTTCAATTAAATTCGAGTCATGACATATCTGTTTAATAAATGGACAATCCTATTTTATTCTATTTTATTTAAAGAATTGCATAGTAAATCGTATCATTAATATTATTCCCTCCGTTTCATAATTAAATATTTATTTGTTTTTTTTACATAGTTTTAAAAATATTAGTTTATTCGAATATAGTAGGAATAAAATAAAAATGATTAGAATAACATTGATATAAATGTAATAATATTTGTGTAATATATTGTAAGTTGCAGGGGTATTTGTAATGTTAAGTACAGTACATTTACTTAAAAAAAGAAAAAATGGATACTTTGTTATAAGAGAGAGGGAGTATAACATTTACAACAAAATTAGGAGTTTATTATTTATTTTTCCTATTTGACCAATCTTGTCAAGGATGTTATATGAAGTATTTGGCCTATGTGATTAAAGTTTGGTATTTGATTTGATATTTTATAAGAAAAATAATATATTTGATGTGATATTTATTTAAAAAATAAATAATACCAAATAAAATGAAAGATAATTGTGTAAACAAAACCATAGTACATGAATGCCATGTAATAATATTCTAAATTCACAAAATCTTGGGAATATTGCACAAATATAAAATGCGTCCATGTAATAACATTGTAAGTCACAAAATCTTGGTAATGTTGCAAAAATATAAAATGTATATAAGATCTAGTATACATATTACAATATGTATAAATAAATACCCATATAGAGTGTATACACGTGTGAGTTGGGGTGTTATTTTGTACTCCAATTTATATTTATGTTGTATTTGTTTGGGGTTAGGTGACTAGTTTTTTATTATCTATAATTTTTTTTCTTTGTAAAACATAAAAAAATAAAAAATAAATATTTTCTATTTTTTATGGGTTTGAGATTATAAATAGATGTATACAAGCCACTGGATCCAAATCGTGTGGAAACTCTAATTGATATTAGAAAAATATTAATGCAAGACTAATAAAATGAATTGGACTCGAGTGGAAACTCTTTCCAGTAATATCGCTTTGATGGTGTCTTTGGTTGATAGTGTATTACTTTGAAAGATGACACAACTTCGATGATAATAACTCGTATAATTGTTGGAGTTTCGATGAACTGAAACGAGAGAAAAACTAAATGATGTTAGAAAATATTGTCAAAACTTTAGCGGAAAGAGTAAGTAGGAAGGAGATAGGATAGTTGTTGTTGTGACGATTTAAGAGTGAGAGAAATGACCCTTATATATATAAGTGTTTTCACTCGAAAATTCTAGTAAAAGTGTTACTAGCGACCAATAGTGCTGACCTAAATTATTTATGCATCAGTAGGTCATAATTAATAATTTAAGTTCAAATTTCAAAATTTTCATTTGAAATTATAAACATATATATTCATGCGACTGGATAAAATTTTTTTAGATAATATTTTGTTACTCGAGCCATGTACCGAGTTTTGTTTTGTGCTTCCGAGTCCGTGCTCGTACTCGTGTTATGTCTATATTTGATCCGAACACGAGGTGTTCACAAGTGGTTCAACGTCAGTTTTGCTACCTTAATTACACAATTTAATATTTAAATACATTATTAACTAATGGACAAGATCCAATTGGTTAGTCAAATACACCGTCAACTAACTAATTAGTCTATCTTTTCTAATTAGTTCAAATTACAAAACCCAACTCATCGAAGTTATATCAATTAACTATTTTGTTTCACCCAATGCATTTTTATTCACTAAAAAAAAAAAAAAAAGAATGGTTCAAGAAATTACGAATTTATTTTTTTCATAAATTAAATTATATTGATGATTTTAATATTTAATATATATTTTATTCGAAAATTAATATATTTTTCTTTAAAAACACAATTATGTATGAACAAACCCCTAATATTCCCCAAATAACATCGAAGATTTTTTAGAAAACGAGCTGAACCAATCTTGGTTTCTTTTATTAGTCTAATTGATGTTAGAAAAATGTTGGGATAATAAAATAAATTGATTGTCAATTAAGCTGAGTTGAGTGAAAACAATGTCCGCAATGTAATATCGCTTCACCTGTGTTTTTGGTTGATAACATATTATAACTCCTAAAGATAAAATGACTTCGTCTCCAATAATAATGACACTTTAAATTATTGGAGTTTCGATGAATCAAAATGAGAGAAGAATTAAACAATACTACAAAACAATTGTCAGAAATTTAACCAGGGTGGATAAGAGATTGTTGTTGTTGGATGGTTTGAGAGTGAGTGGATGACTCTTTATATAGACGTCTTCACTCGGGAATTATGACAGGTTGTGATTAGCATATATAACGCCGATTTTAATTATTGAAGTAACGGTGATCACAATTTTTGTTGAAATTTAAATTTTTTTATTTGAGATTATAAATAATATATACATACCACCAGATAAGTTTTATGGATAATATTCTTACTGACTTGTGCCATGTACCAAATTTTCTTTTGAGCTTTAAATATAGGCTTATCATAGCTCGTATAGAGGCAAACAAAAATATAATTTTTTTTGATTGAACAGTGAGTTACAATGCAAAATTCATCTTCGTCAAAACAATCAGTTGGCCCATGACTTAATATTGAGTCCGTGCTCATACTCGTGTGAGTGGAATGAATTTTTATATAGACGTGTCAACTCGAAAGTTATAGTATGAGCGTGATTATCTATAACAACATCGACTTTAATTATTGAAGTAACGTGCAGTCGCAATTAATGTCGATATTTTAAATTTTTTGTTTAAGATTATAAACATATATATGAATCCCATTGGATAAGATTTTATAGATAATGTTCTTGCGACTTGGTTAAGGTGCTCAATAGCTGCAAATCATGTGTTGATTAGGCCAAATCAGCTCTAATTTGACCCGGTCAACATATGTCATACGTGTGATCAACATATATTTATACATATTTCAGTATAATATATGATGTATTATAATATGCTGAAATATATATAAATATACGTCTATTACCCCTATAGCATATGCTGATCCGGTCAAATCAGTATCATACTGACTTAATTGATCAACAACTAATCTAATGCCCGTACTTAATTTTTTTTTGGATTTCAAACAAGGATTCCATTTTGGCTCGTTTGTAATTCTTTGAATCGAACGTTAAACTACAATGCAAAGAGTGATATCATTAAATCAAATAGTTACCAAATCTTATTACCTAGTCCCGAGTATGTGCTCGTGCTCGTACTTGTGTCATGTCTATATACAATTCGAACATTCCGGTGGTGCAGATTGCAGCTCACCGGCACTCACATTTCTCAATCATACTTGTTGTCATCTAAATATATCATTACTTTTTGTATTAATTAAGTGGACAAGATACAAACAGTTAGCTAGTTAATTACACTATTAACCAATAATTAGTCTAATATACCAAATCCTACAAATTGAAGTCATCCCAACGAACTATTCTCTTCCACTCAATTTTTACTGATCGAAAAATCAATTTAAATAAATTTTATTTGATTATTTCAAACCACAATCAATAATTAGAACATTAATAATTTAACATTTTTATTAAACGAGTATTAAAAATTCCCATAAGATAAAATAAAATAATTCATAAATTCATAATTAACAAGACAGACCCCATTCACTCCACCAATCTAAGCACCTTTAGTTATTTATTACTATTATCTAATAATAATAATTAACACAACATATATATATATGTATATGTATCTATATATAGCGAGAGAAAGAGAGAGTGCCTGGTAAGAGAAAGAGTTGAAAGGGAAGCAGGCAAGGCAAGGAAGACGGAGGACAGCGCAGCACACAGCACAGCACAGCACAGTTTTGTAGTTTTCTTTTGTCTCTCTCTCTCTCTCTCTCTCTCTCCTATTTTTTCTCTCTCATTCTCCACTTATTATTATAAGCAAACCAACCCCCGAAAGCTTCGGTGCCTCCGGACTGCGCCCGACCCTTTTTTCTCCTTCCATTTTGCCTCTATTCCGCTCCTCATTCATTCCTCACCTCGCCGCTGCCATGGACGTAGTCCGCCGGAGGCCGACCAAGCCCGCACCCTCCGACAAGGTGGTGGTGGATCGCCGACCCTCATCTCCCAAAGCCTCCGACGCCCTCCCCCTCCCACTCTACCTCACCAATGGCATTTTCTTCACCCTCTTCTTCTCCGTCGCCTACTTCCTCCTCCACCGCTGGCGGGACAAGATCCGCAACTCCACCCCCCTCCACGTCCTCACGCTCTCCGAACTCGCCGCCATCGTCTGCCTCATCGCCTCCTTCATCTACCTCCTCGGCTTCTTCGGCATCGATTTCGTCCAGTCGTTTATATCCAAGCCCGACGCCGACGACGACCCCCAGCGTTTCATTCTCCACGAGGATCGAAATGTTCTCTGCTCCATTCCACCGCCTTCCCCTCCCAAGCCGAAGATCCCCCTCAACCTCTCCGACGACGATGACGAACTCGTCGACCGCGTTGTCTCCGGCGAAATCCCCTCCTACTCTCTTGAATCGAAGCTTGGGGACTGCCTTAGGGCCGCGAGGATACGCCGGGCGGCCGTTCAGCACCTGACTGGGAGGTCCTTGGAGGGGCTGCCTTTGGAGGCGTTCGATTACGATTCCATTTTAGGGCAATGCTGCGAGATGCCGGTCGGGTATGTGCAGATTCCGGTGGGGATTGCGGGGCCTTTGCTTCTCAACGGATGCGAATACTCCGTTCCCATGGCGACGACGGAAGGATGCTTGGTCGCCAGCACCAACCGTGGTTGCAAGGCCATCCACGCCTCCGGCGGCGCCACCTGCGTCCTCCTTCGTGATGGAATGACCAGAGCTCCCGTCGTTAGGTTTCCCTCCGCCAAGAGGGCTTCCGAATTGAAATTCTTCATCGAGGATCCCATCAATTTCGAGACTCTCTCTGTTGTTTTCAACAGGTAATTTTCTGAAATTGACTGAACCCTAAAATAATATATTCTGGTTATAATCTGAGCTCTTTTGATGTTGATTGTTTTATGGCGTCGAATCTTCCGACTAAGTATATTAATTCAGAAAAATGGATCTAATGATGAATTTGAACATTCGATTGCATTAGTAGAGCTTAACTTTTGCAGGGGAAGCCATGGCTATTCATATTCTGGTGTTCACTGAGATAGATATTGCTGTGTTTGTTTCCTTTTGAATATTGCATCACAGGTCAAGCAGATTTGCAAGGCTTCAGAGTATTAAATCCGCCATTGCTGGGAAGAATCTGTACCTTAGATTTACATGCAGCACAGGTGATGCCATGGGGATGAACATGGTTTCCAAAGGCGTGCAAAACGTTTTAGAATTCCTGCAGAACGATTTTCCGGATATGGACGTAATTGGAATATCGGGTAAGCGTCGTCGTCGCGATTGCTTTTAAGATGATGGGAATATTTATTTTGAATTTGGAGCTTGTTATCTGCTTGACTTTTAGTGCCTTTCGAATCTTCCATTTATGATCAAATTCTTACCCTTTCAGCATCTGATGATCATTAGCTTTTTATGTATAGAATTCGAACTCTTTTTGTTTCCATATTATTTACGCGCTTTTGGCCTATGGTAGTTGTTGCTGCATTTTGTCTTACGTTAGGAAAGATAAGATAACAAAATAAAACGTTTGTGCCGCAATCAATGTTGTCCTATTTCTGTTCGATCTGTTTTGATTCACCAGGCATCTAATTTTACCCGATATATGCCAGGTGTAACACTTCTCATCTCTGGGGGACCATTTCTATTATCTCGACTTATTTCGACATCAGCTTGTTTTCATTAGTACTGAATTCGATACGTCTTTCTTACCTGGTGCAGGAAATTACTGTTCTGATAAGAAACCTGCCGCAGTCAATTGGATTGAAGGGCGAGGCAAATCTGTCGTCTGTGAGGCTACCATTTCCGGCGATGTGGTGTCCAAGGTCTTAAAAACCACGGTTTCGGGCCTGGTTGAGCTCAACATGCTCAAGAACCTCACTGGCTCGGCTATGGCCGGTGCTCTCGGTGGCTTCAATGCGCACGCTGCAAACATAGTCTCGGCGATCTTTATAGCCACAGGGCAGGATCCCGCGCAGAACATTGAAAGCTCTCACTGCATTACCATGATGGAGGCGGTCAATGACGGAAAGGATATCCACATCTCTGTGACTATGCCGTCCATAGAGGTATCTAATCATCTTCCATCAAGAACAGGAAGATGGGATTTGAATTCATAGATGCACTTGTTTGTTTCGTTCTAGGTTGGTACGGTTGGGGGTGGAACTCAATTGGCGTCGCAATCTGCTTGCCTGAACCTGCTCGGCGTAAAGGGCGCGAACAAAGAGTCTCCGGGAGCGAATGCGCAGCTCCTAGGTTTGGTGGTTGCCGGCGCTGTCTTGGCGGGAGAGCTGTCGCTAATGTCTGCCATTTCAGCGGGACAGCTCGTGAAGAGTCACATGAAATACAATCGGTCGCAGAAGAACTTCGCGAAGAACTAGCTTTCGAGCTAGAAACATCGAGTCTCGACTCTGATCCCGCGAGGTTTTTGCTAGCAGAAGCCGAAAGCCGAAGCAGAAGGGTTTTTTTAGAACAAGGTTAGTTCTTTGGCTGGAATCCCTTAAAAGATAGGTATGTTATGTGTATGTATGTGGAAAATGGATCAGACCCCACACTCATGTGAAAGATCTAAAAAATTCTTCTTCTTGTATTACCTGCCTGTCTGTCTGGGCCTTTTTCTTCTTCCTTTCTTACTAATTGTGGTCCTTTGTGCATTTTAGTGCACCTACTCTTTTAGTGTTCTTGTTGTTGTCAATGGGGGTGGGGTGGGCGCACAATAAAAAAAATCTGTTTTTCTGTTTGACATCATCACATGTGTGTAACCAAAGTTTGTCCTTTTGGCTTCTGTTCTGTATCTGTCAAAAAATTCTGCACATCTTTTTGGGTGGGATTCAATTGTGACTTTACTTGCGGTTCATATTGCCACTAATTATGAGTTGGGATTTGATTAGAAGTGCAGAAAGAACAGACAGAAACCATGTGAGGAATTTAGAAGTCTTACTGCTAATTAATGCTAATTCCCTGCAATTAAAAAAGGCAAGATTAAGCATATCATATGATAATAATAAATACTAACACATGCATGAACATTGCATATTCAAATCAAATGAGTGTGTTGTGGTGTGGAATCTTTTTTCGGGTCTTTTTTAATTTAATTTAATTCAATTTGCTTGGCTGTAGTGAGCCTTGCCAGATACACGTGATGATTTCTGGACCACCAGGTCGACATGTTTGCCTGTCCCTGTCCCTGTCCATACACTGCGCTGAACTCAACCAAACCTAACTTTGATATTTTTCTTAATCTATTTCTTTGCGGCCATCATCTTTCTTTTTTGGATTTTATGTTATTTAATAAGAAAATAATTTTCGATCCAAACGAGAATCTGACTTCGTGTTTCGTGTTCTGGGCTAAGCCCATCGAGGGTTTCCGATTCATAAATAATTAGTAGGCTTAATAATTGGGATGTTGGGCCTTGTCCGTAAGTCCATCATGTTGTGCCACGTTTACTCGACATAGGGGCGGGGGTTTCTTGCGGCTCCTTCTGTAGGGATCGCGGATTTCGATGCCTTCCGGTGTGCCCCTCGCACAATCACTGTGAATTCGGCGGTGGGAAGCTCATATTAACCGGATAACTGAGATTATATTCGGAATTGGGTTTGGAATTCGTTGTACATGGCGAGTGGATGGAGGAGGGCTTTTGGGAATGCGAGGTCCTTTGCTGGGAATGCCATGGGCGGTCTGAGGGGCGGCAGTAGTTTAGCGTCGTGGGCCGTCGCCGGAACCCTAGCGTACTACCTTTGGATCTATCCTTCACAGCAGCTCAGAAGAGAGCAAGAGGTAACGACAGGCATAATTTTTAACAACTTGTTCGAGAATAATTCGGTTTATTCTTAGTGAATTGGGCGTTATTTTATTTTGTTTTGGGGGGCAGGAAAGGGCGGCGTTGGCGGCAGCTTCTGATCCCTATCGATATGTTGAGAAGCGAAAGCCGATTCCGGATCCTCAGGTAGGTTTATTTTTGGTGAATTTCATGGTTTAAGGAGGAAGTTTTTCGTTCATTTATGTTCTCTCTCGATTTAATATTGATTGCAGGTGACGGGATTGGTATACGGGAATAAAGGCGAATCAAAAAGGGATGATTAGGGTTGGGGGAGTTTATTCAGTGAGCTCTTTTTCGTTTGTTTTTTTTAGGTTGAATACTTAGCTGAAATTTAGCGATCACGAAAGTTATGCATATCGTATCAATACATGTACGTAGTCATAATAATAACCGCTAGAGTGGCAATAATGGTGAAAGATACTTCAAGTATATAATATTTGCGTTCTGTCTGTCTCCTTGTATCAACACAATCTATAATATAATGCAAGGATTGTTCATGTTTGGTATTGTTTTAAATAATCTTGTTATGATAGTTAGCATTGCTTTAAAATGCTTTGAAGTTTTATGCGCGCAATTTGCCAGAAGATGTTAAGCTATACAGTGAAATGTGAATTTTGTCGATTCCTCCATTATCCAGTGTGTTTTGGTTCTCAATTAATTCATCTCAAATATATACAAGAGCACGATTATAATTACCATATTTGTTAAAAAAAAAAGAAGTGAATTACCCTTTTATCTTTCCCATATCCAGGAGCCATTATGCAATAGTTCCTCGCTTGATGTTCTGGTTTAGTTAGAACTGAAGTATAGATTTCTGGTTGTTTTTGTGTAAAGTATGGTACATGTTTTTAACCCTGAAAGTTTGTTGTCAGATTAAGGGTAAGATAACAGCATATTTGCCCCTCTTTTGAATTTACACTATTAAAGCCCACCCGGAGTTCTTGTTTAAGAGACTCAAATTTGTAAATGAGCATGATGTAACGAAGATAAATAGTTTACATAAAATGTTATTTTGGCATCAGATATCATTACTGTGCATTGATGCAACTTTGCTCTAACATATTAACAAGTTCAATACAACCAATAAGTAGGAAGTAATTATGAATCAGGAAGAGCATTGATCTTTGCCCGACTAGAATGGTTATGCAAGTTGTCTCTGCTCCACAGAAGTTCTGATTTTCCATATTTCTACTATTTAAATTTGATCTTTTTGAGAGGAAAGGCAGTCTGAAGCATCAGATTTTGGGATTGGAACTCATGGTGGATAGATGATCACAACCTCAATTCAACTTATATCTGCAGAAACAATATTTAGTAGTAAACCTCCACTTTGAATACCAGATGCCTTTCGGGGTCAAGTAATCAGGATAAACTAAGTAGTGTTAATTATTTTCATTAATTTGGTATAACAATGGAATGTTAACTTTGAAGATTATAAATAGGATTAATTATTGACTATACCTGCTGGATTTGCTGATGAACGTCCTAGTGGCCAGCAATTTCTGAGCTTCAAAATAGTAGAGATTGTGATGCTGATTAGTTTTTCTGCTATTTGTTCTTGCTAAATTATCTATCATAGTTATTACATATGGATCTAATTGATGAGGTTTTATTTATTTGTCTATTTATTTATTTTTAGCATCTTCTATGAGCATCATCAGGGTACAATGTAACAGTAATAATGAGAATGCATGGTTAATACTAAATTAAATAATCTACACAGTGGGAGTCGTGCTTTTCAGAAAATTATGCAGCCTGCAACTATGAACTGCTGCACCAGATGATGCCCTAGATCATGCCAATAAAATAGTGGATTGGTATTTTTGTTTTACGCTCTGTTCCAAGCTTGCAAATTTCACCAGCTGAACTGCCATTTGGGACTTGAGTTTTTTATGCTTTCTAAGCAAGCATTGTTGCTATACATCAGAAAATTGAGCTAGTCTCAGAAATATCATAAGTGTGCTTTCAGGAAAATATACAGTGAGTTGATGATATTTTTAAGCCAATTGCGTGCTGAAAAACCCTACAATTAGTTAGGATATGAATTTATATCATTGTTATGGGATTTAGTTGTAGAGTAAATCCAATTCTTGTGTATAATAAATTTTTGTTTTTGTTCAAGGCGATCATTTTATATAAAAATTTGATTCTAATATCTGTGCTGTTGTAATATCACTGAGCCCTGTTGTTGGATCGAGAGTTTGAGATTATGAGGTGTTTTGGAATCTTATTCAGATCTGACTGTGTTCAACTTTGATACATCTACGATCCTTAATCAAAGCAAATTATTACCCAACCAGTTTCAATTGGGCTACAGCAGATATGGACTAGATATAATCATATGGATTGTATAATGCATAACCCATATGGATCACATGAAGATGAAATTAGGATATTAAGAAAAGCATAAATTAGCACTTGTTTTCGTATGTAAAATGGAAATATGAATATCCAAAGTGGATCCACACAGTTGGAATATAACATAGTTCTCAGGGTGTTCCTACACATGGCTGATTTTCCTCTGAGTCATCTTGCGATCCTCCAAACTTAATTTTGATCTTATTTCTTAGTGTTTGCCTAGAAAATATTCCCAATTCTCATCACTTGTTAGTGCTAGAAGAAAATCAAGAACATTAACTTCTGCCTTTCTATATCTGTTTAAATGTTTGATATGATTACATGTGCATTTGATTCAACTGAAATGGGAGGAAAGACGCCATGAAATGATGAAAAGCTTAAGGGGGCCTGCCAAAGTTGAGAGGAGCCTTCTAGATGGAATTAGTCGGTAAGCTAATTTTCTATTTTGTCTTGTCTGTACAGCTTCTTCTAACTGTTCAAATTGCAGTTGGTGGTGGGAGTATTATTTATCTCATTAACTTTGGCCATCTTTTTGACATAATAACTACACTTACTTTGTGAAGCAGCATTCATTCCCTACTTTAGGCTCAAGTTTTAGCTTTTCCGCAATTTCTTGCACCAATATCAAACAGGGCTTTTAGGTGTGTGGCTGTTTTAACTTTCCATTGCTTCTGCCATAAAGCTAGATGATTTGGCCAGATTATAGTTCAAATTTTCTTTCTACTTTAATTTGTGGCATACGTCAAATGGTCAAGTCTTGCTGCTAGTCATGTGTATATTTATTGAATCATGAAAACAAGAATTTTGCACTCTGCCGACTCCCTTGTGCTGGATATGGTCTGGTGTGCCCTAAATGTTCTGTTTTTTGTGTGATGAGACTGATTGAGCAAATTGACCTTTTCTTGCAAATTGGATGGCTTGTAAAGCATAAGGTACTTTGAATGTTTTTTCTTGTAGTAAGCCATGTTTGAATTGAACTGATGCTATACACCCTCTCTTGTAGATAAAGATAGACAATTGGATATGGGTTCTTGTCTGTATCCCACGTGTCTTGGTCAATAACTGTTGTCACAATTAAGACCAATAGAGGGCCTGCCCTCCTCTAGTCAAGCATGATTATTAGGGATGAAATTTAGGGAGTTGCATTTATGTACCTTGAAAATGTATGTATAGAGAGGGGGCTGTGATCTTGGTTTGATCCCACTACATGTCTACTTTGAAGAACACAGATTTGTAGGATCTCCATTTTCTCCTATTACAATAGTGGGGCTATATACTATAGTTTCAGCGTAGTTAGGTTTCAACTAAAGTTTGAAAATGGGGACTTGAAAGTGCCCACTGTTTTTATTATTCTTTAAAATTGGTAAGTCAATTGCAGAGATACTAGAAAGATGTATGTATGTATCTCTCTCTCTCGCTCTCTCTCTCTCTCTCTCTCTATATATATATATATATATGTAGATGTACGTGGTGAAATGATGAGAAATCTGAAGTGGTCTAGTGTTCATAGTCATCTTTTTTTGGTTTAAAGTTGAATCTTGGTGATAAAGATGGAGGAGAGGTTGCAAATTGTAGTGCAAGAAACGAACCAACGCAATGAATGATGTTGGTGTTCACATATATTGTCTGTCCCTTGTCCATAAGCTTTGTCTTATTGTCATTGACCAATTCCTCATTTAGTTGGATAGTTTTGGGCATTCAATTTTCATGTATGTATAGATATGTATGGCATGGCGTGTCTTGTCCACATCAATATATGGTTTGACTGGATATGTAGATAGATATACACTAAATATAGTTAATTTTACTCATCTATTGTCTATTTGTCATGCATTCGTTCATGGGCCCCTCTCTCTCTCTCTCTCTCTCTCTCTCTCTCTATATATATATATATATATATTAAAATTTCAAAATGGAGGTATTTGAAGAAAAAGATTATCGTGTTATGATATTGGATCAATCTTTAAATTTTCACAAAAGTCAAAATCTCTACCTAAGAAATCCAAATTGAATTTTAATTATTCGGGATTGTGCTATAATCCTATCTTTGATGTAACAATTGAGAATCAAATAGATTAGATTGATTGGAAGGCATACAATATTTACTTTTAACATAACATCAATATGTCGTTTTTAAGAAAAATAGTCAATAAGTGGTGGCAATATTGATGGTTGGGTGTGGTTTTGGTCTGTACTGCTGCTACTGTATCCACAAATATAGCTCCTTTCAAATACTACTCTCTCCTTTATCTATATTTTACTGGGTACGAATTTTTTAAAAAGAAATTAAAATAAATTTTTTTATTTTAAGTCGACAATATAAAATAAAAATAAATTTGAATGAGAGAAAAAATATGAATTTTAAAAATTGTAATTTTCTTTTTTTTTAAAAAAAAAATTAAACAATATATGATATATATTTGTGTAACAATAAAGGCAATGGAAGTAATAGAAATAAAAATAGGACACCCCACCAGGCGACCATCTACCTAGATGGGGATAGGGATAGGGATAGACCCCACCCGCCCGTAAATTTTTATCTATCTTCCCTTTCATAAAAAAAATTATACAGGGAGGTCGGTCTTAATTTTCGACGAGTTGGGAGTGAAACAAAAATAAAGATTTCTACTGCAGCTGGCCAACAGCAGTATGAACAAACCCAGCAGCAGGAAAGATTAAAGAATAGACGAAGTCATTTAAAGTTGGACAATAATTTCAGGATTCATAAATTTTAAATTATCAAATTTTGGAATCAAATGTCATAAACCGAAACCAGAAAAAAAAAAAAAAAAAGTTTTATCATTTAAGTTACGTTTCAATTTCCACAACTGATGTGATTAGAAGAAGAATAATCAACATAGAGTAATCAATCCCGGATAATGTGACTTGCGTAACGTGACTTGTCTGTCGGCCTAGTTTGCAATGTATTAGATTCGACTGAAAATTTATCTTTTGGATAATGACTGCGATTCTCACATGATAAAAAAAAAAAATAATAATAATAATAAAAAAAAATCAACATAGAGCTAATTACCGTCAATCGACACTTCGACACTCTTTAAGAATTTTCTCTCTCTCTCTCTCTCTCTCTATATATATATATTATTGAAAGTGCATCGTATAGATATTGCATAGATATATAGGTATTATCTATTATAGTAGTAGTATATTAATTTAAACATATGGTTAGGGTGGAATGTCTGTCGTTCTGTCAGTATCTATCAATAGATATTATTACACATGATTGATTCAACTCCTCCAATCTATTTTATTACATATATATATATAACATTTGCCTTAGAAGCATAGTATATGGAGTATATATATATATATATGTATATATATATCTATGTTGTGTGGGGTGAAGAGTAGAGGGATGTCTTCTTCATTTTGTTTTAAGTGTTAGAAAATGGCACACATATGAACAATCTTGAAAACATTAGATTTTTATTAAAATATTTATGATTTCTACAAACATTTCCAAAAATGTTCTAAATTTAAATTTCGGGAGTGCCCATTCTTATGATCGAAAATTCAACATCCGGAAACTAAGGTGAAATTTTTATCATGAGTTTAAATTTTCGATACATCTGAATTTTTAACCTAAAATTTATCCAGTGCACACTTTCGATAGCAGCCGCAGATTTCCATGTTATTAAAAAAAAAAAAAAAAATCAAAATCCGTCACACCCCCTTTTAAAGAGCGAATTACTACATGCATTTCAATATACTATTATTTTTATTCGTTTTAAAAGTATTTGTTTGATTTACATATAGCATTTAAGAAATATTAAATTTAATTAGTATTTGATCATTAATGCATAAATTAATATAATTATATTGATATAAATATATTTATAGTAGATAGTAGATAGTGAGATATATATATAGTTATTTAAAAACAATTAATTAATATTTAAACAATCTAAAATGACAAACAAGATAATAGTAATAGATTCGGTAGCGAAGAGAGAAAATAAATTGTAGAAAGGAAGTATAAAAACTAAAAACATACTACTCTATTAAAGGTTAGGTAAAGATTGGCATTTTATATTTAAATGAGATATATTTATTATAATTAAGATTGATTGATTGATTTAATTTGTGTAATGACAAAACAAGAAAAGACAGACAGACAGACAGTCGTTCAAATAAGTAAATAAATAAAATAAAATAAAATAAAATGAGAAAGGAATGAAGAACAAGTTCCGATGTACCGACAAGGTCCAGAGTACGCAGTCCACTATCGGCGTGCTGCATTTGACCATCATCACCCATAATCAATTAATTATATTTTTAATTATTTATATTCTATTTTTCTCATTATTATTATTATTATTATTATTGTTATCGGTGTATTTCTTTAAAATTTTAAAAATATATATTTTTTAAAAAATACTTTATCGTATACCCATTAATAAAATATTACTAATATTATTTTTAAACTATAGCATATAAATGTCATTTTAACAGCACACATATACTTGTTTTTATGAAAACATTTATGTTCACACAAATATATATATTTTGTTAATATGATCTTTAATGTATAGTAATATAATATTTATATATATATTTTTTATAAAAAATAATAATTTTTGGTAACTCATATAAAAAAATATAGTTTAAATTAAATATATTAAATATAAAATAAATATATTTGATCCCTTTTATTATTATTATTAGTTGTTGAGAAAATTGCATGTGTTTAATTCTGTTAAAATATTTGAAGCAATCATTGAATAAAAATAATTAATTAAACATATGAATTCGAGTACGAGAAGTGCTGCAATAAATTTATGATGCAAAATAAAATCACTTTCAATATATTTAATGTAATCTTTTTAAATTTTAAATTATATATTTATAAAATAAAATAAAAAATTATTACATACCATAAAATGAAAGGTACCATTGTTATCGTCATTATATAATAAGATTGAAGAATGAATTCAGAGAGAGAGAGAGAGAGAGAGAGAGAAGGTTGGCATTTTGATTTTTGTCTGTAAGTGGAAGAGGAAGATGGAGGGAGGGGACAAGTAGTACCACTTTATCCTCTTTTCTTCCTCGATTTGAGTTTTCATTTTCACCGCTCCCACTGCTCTGCTGCTTCTCTTCTGCACCACTTTCCACCGCTTCTTTTCTTCATTCTTCTTATTACTTTTACTTAAATACATCTACATATATCTTCATCTTCATCTTCATCTTCATCCTCACCGCCTAATTACCTAAGGTTTCTCCACTATCTCTTCTTCCATTCTGTCCCTCCTCCGATCTTCTCTCCATCTTATATCTTTCTTTCTTTCTGCACTGTTAGTGTTACTTCCATTTTCAATTCGTTGTTCTTCACTTCACTTCGCTTCACTTTCACTTAATTTTTATTTTGCTTTTGCCATACTTCCTTCCTTCATTCATCCAGTCCAGACAGACCTCCCCAAGAAAAAGAAATAGTAGTAAAAGAAAGTAGGTAGCTAGGGTTTCTATTCAAATTCAACCACTAGCTTCAAATCACTCTCTCTCTCTCTCTCTCCATATATATCCACCGCCGTCTGTTTTGAATCTTTTGGCTGATGAGTTGGTGGTGTGTCGTGGAAGATTAATTATTAATTCAATTCAATTGGAACCATACAGTACATACTGTATGTATGTATGTATATATATATGTAAAGAAGCATTCAACGCTTAGTAGGTGAGCAATTATTAATTGTTGACGTCCAATTCAATCACACCTTCCAGAGATTGGATTCAACCCAACACTAGATATGTCCTTCCCCCCCCTCTCTCTCTCTCTCTCTCTCTCTCTCTCTAGAATAGATCTGCTCTTCTTGTCAGAATTTTAAGTACACAAAATCCTTCCATCTCATTAATTTCTTCCACCATATTCTTTAATTTTAGGTGCTTCTTCCTTCCAATCCATTCCATTCCATTCGATTCCATATTTAATCAATTAGGGGCAGGTGGGGATTTCGATCGATCTAAGATATCATCATCAATGGCGGGTTACGACCATCATCAGGCCTCCGGCGGGCCTTCTCGCTACGTCCACCAGCTTCTCACCCCCGACCTCCATTTGCAGCACCGCCCTTCTGAAATCGCCGATTCCCCTCCGGAGAAGGGATCCGAATCCGCCGGAAACACCAGCTCCGGCGGAACCCCCGCCACCAATCGCCGCCCTCGCGGCCGCCCTCCGGGATCCAAGAACAAGCCCAAGCCCCCCATCCTCGTCACACGTGACAGCCCCAATGCCTTGCGCTCCCACGTGCTGGAAGTCTCCTCCGGCAGCGACGTCGTCGAGAGCGTCTCCGTCTACGCGCGGCGGCGGGGGAGGGGCGTCTGCGTTCTCTCCGGCAGCGGCATGGTCACCAACGTCACCATCCGCCAGCCGGCGGCGCCGTCCGGGAGCGTCGTCACGCTGCAGGGCCGGTTCGAGATCCTCTCCCTTTCCGGTACCGTCCTCCCTCCGCCTGCGCCGCCGGGCGCCGGAGGACTGTCGATATTCCTTTCCGGCGGCCAGGGCCAGGTCGTCGGCGGGAGCGTCGTCGGACCCCTTGCAGCCTCCGGTCCGGTGGTTCTGATGGCTGCGTCGTTTGCAAATGCAGTTTTCGAAAGATTACCCCTCGAGGAAGAAGAAAGCGGCGGCGCTGCCGCTACGGCGGCTCAGCCCCAACCGAGTGCTTCCCAGTCTTCTGGCGTCACAGCCGGCGGCGGTCGAGGCGGTCATGTAAGCGAAGGCGGCGGCGGCGGCGGAGGTGATGGAAGTGGCCCCGACGGTAGCGGCTCTACTTTTTTCAATTCAGGCGGCGCCGCCGCCGGTGGAGGGACTACTGCACCGGGAGCAGGGAATTATCCATTCTCGACCGATTTATTCGGGTGGGGCAGTGGCAGTTCTGCAAGGCCGCCATTTTAGCAACAGCTGTTCATTTAATTTTATGTGGGATTTCATCGTCTCCCCCAAATTAAAAGACTGCAACAAAACTGGGAAAGTTAAGTTGCAGATTCTAATTTTGGGAGACATTGAGAAGAAGATGATGATGATGAAGACGATGATGGTATAAAACACAGTTCTTGAATTTTCTTGAAGCTGAAATTCGATTCTTGAATGGAATGATCAATTGCTGCAAAAAAACTTAAGGTGAGTTGGCTCAGCTTGAAGCTTAGATTAGGTTTTGCACTACTGTTTGGACTTAAATTATTTTTGTTGACCATATATCTCATACTATATATATTTATATATAATTATTGCCTGACTATTGCAATTTGGTTTGTAGTTTTTGATTTGTAACTTTGACTACAAGTGTTAAAGTGATAATGCTGATTTATGATGGCCTCCACAATTAAACTATTGCCCATCTTTGGCTTATTTGAAGCATTCAAAATGCACAAGATTTATAGATGTATCTATAGTATCATTATATTGCAATTTTACATTGATTGCTATATTTGATTTCACTCATGATAGAAGATTACTTTAATTACTTACATGTGATTAGCTATGGATAGTTTCTTGAATTTGTTGATAGTCTTTCATTTATATGCATTTTATCTATAAACTAGCTTCTCATTCTATAAAACTAGAAGACAAAAAATGTATCGAATAATCAATTCAATCCTGGCTAATTAGCTTTCTCAATCGAGTAAGGGTTCGCTCGATCGATGTTTCTTTTAGTAGTATATGTTTGATTGATGGCCTTGATCACATATTGTAGTGTAGTGTATATTGCAGATCCCTTCAAGAAAATAAGCATACTTAGGTAACGGCAATGAATGAAGAAATATATATATATATATATATATATAATCATGTTTATATTTGTATGTAGGCATAGATAATGAGGGAACCCTATAATGGGATTATTAGTTACATCTATAAATCTTGTTCAAAAGTTGTAATTTGATCTGTTAGGGTTTCAGATTGGCTCATTTTTTGTAGTTTGTGAATAAAGAAAGAAGCTTTTGCCCTTCTTGTGCTATTCTATTCTTTCCATTGAAGTTTTCCCAATCAGGTTAAAAAGAGAAAAGCCATGGCCATGTCTTCAAAACTTCAAGAGCCAGGCAAGGAATTTCATTCATATATCCATAATAGGGAAAACTTTGAGGACACATACTTATCTATAAATGGCATAGAGATAGAAACCAATTAAATCAAATTTCTTCCATTGAATGATTATTTGAAGTTAGTGTTTTGGTTTGATTTGGATTCTAAATTGGTCAGAAATGTGGAACTATGTTCATATATATATATATATATATTAGTTTTTCCATATCTTCACATGCTTGTATGAGCAAATCTTTTTGCTTGTTTGGTTCTGAATTTCAATTCTCTCTTTTTACACCAATTTTGTTTGTTGTTATCCCCAAAGGCAAAATCCTTGAAAATTACCTTTGGGGAAAACAACAAAATTATTTATATATTTTTGGGAAACACATGATTATATATATATATATTGTGATTAAGGGTTTCAAGGATTGGTATCAATCAGGTATTAATTTATTTACTAATTCCATTTGCTTGATCAACAATTTATATATTATATGGTTTAGTTTCCTCATTTAGTATTTTATATAGTATATTCCATGGAGTTTCCAAAATAAATACACACATCATTCATCAAGTTTTTTGCTATAAAAAACATTGTGATAATTAATGAATGGACATAACTGATAAGGTAAGCATCTGTATGTATGGCACGCACTTCTATGCATGGATTTGGGGTTGCATATATATGCAGGCATTTCTTTATGAATATATTATTGCTTTGCATGGGTGGGGATTTGGATTTTGAGTTTGAGATTTGAATAGTAAAAATTTTGAATTTGAATAGTTGTATGATGTGATATAGTTACGCATTGATGTGATGTTTTGAATGTAAAATTGATTTTTAGTATAATATAAAAAATAAAAAATAAATATTTGATTTGATGTTTTTAGGAAAAAAAATGGGATGAACAGTGTAATTAAAATCCAATCTCCCAAACAAACACACCCAAAGATAATCTTGAAGTGTTCATTTTTCTTTTTATTATTTTTAAAATATAATGGTAAATATCAAACATTTATATAATTGTTTTATTTAAAATAATATATATATATATATTCAAATCAAAGTGCAAACGGGCTGGGCTTGGCTGGTCTAACTCTGGCCTGTATCAGTTTAGGTTTGGAATATAATAGTTTCTTTAAAACAGGCCCATTGAGAAACCCGTATTAAACCAGGACCGGGCCAGCCCGGATTTTCTGTATTTATTGAAATATCATTGCCAGTGAGTAATAAAATAATTTCTGTACATATAACAAATATTTTATAATGTTGTGCTTGGTCGTGATTTGAGTTTCAGGTTTTAATTTTAAAAATAAAATGATAAATTAAAATAATTATAAAATTATAAATTTATGAATAATAATAAAAGAAAGAAAAGCTAAATATTATTAATACATTTTTATTCCGTTACGTATGCTCTGAATCTTCTCGTAAGCACCGACGAGCTGCCAATGGCGATCGGAGAAAGACTATGGCGACTGGCTTCTTCATTCTTGTGTAAAACTTTAAATTACGGGAGGACGATTGGAGGAGTCGAGAGCTTCGATTGTGACACTTGTCGCGTCGTCGTCAATTTTGCTTTATTCTTCCTCCTGGAGAATCTAGGCTACTTTTCCATTTTTGTCTCTCAGGTAATTTTGCTTTACTGTTGGCATAAATGCAGAAAAAAACGGAAAAAGCGAGCGGGATGCAAAAAGCAACTAGGTTACGTCTCTCCGCTACCGATTTGACTGCTTTCTGTTTCTGTATGGGTAGGGCCGCAATTTATTAATGGAGAATCTTTTAACTCCCCTGGCAGCCTAATCATTACCTTCCGCGTTTCCGCGAAGGCGGATTCAAACGCGGCTGCTGAAATTTTGTTTGGCGGGGGGCTGCATGCAAAATGAGTGGTTAGTGTTCTTTGTATGTGCTTGGTTCGAAGATCCCTGGTTAGTATCTCTCCTGCTTTCCTGTGTGTTTGTTTACTTTGTTGGCTGTTCCTCATTGATATAGACGTCATTCTTCTTCTTCTTCTTATTATTTTTTTTTGGTTTATTTCTCAACACTAGATTGCATCATACGCTGCATTCCTGGATGAAAGAAGTTTGCTGAGGCAGTGCTGATTGGATTGAATCTTGAGTGGTGAGTTTTCTTTATGTTTATTTATTCTTTTTCCTTTGGGGGTGTGATTTTCATCTTATGTTCGATTGTTTATGTTGCGGACCAAGTTTAGCTGCACGTAAACTTCTAGGAAGGTAATGTTGAATTATTTTGGGTTATCTGCATCACTTTTGGGCACAAACTGTTAGTGGTGGATCTGATTGATGATATATTTATATAAAGGAACATAAATTCTTGTTGCGTCAAACGTGTTTTTTCTTCTCTCTATATAAAGTCCCTTTATTTGGTGCACATCATAGTCCTCACTTTAGGCAGACTTTTCCAGCTCATTGAAACACATTGCGAAAAGAAAGCGCAGGGGGAATAAGCATCTTAATAAAAAAATTTGGACGTATCATATAATATCAGGGGGTTGCTGCTGAGAAGTCGAGGTAGGAAATTGTTTCATTTGGTATAAAATCACCTAATATAGCATACAGTTTCAGGTCATGATTTTACTTGTAATAACACTAATCTCTGCTGAATTATTTGATGGGGGTGAAGCAGACTTAGTAGGGCAGTCAATAGGTACATTTGGCACTGAAGCCTTTCATCACATTAAGTGAAACAGACTTAGTGCTGATGCTATATATATAATACCAAAAGTTAGATAACAAAAGCGCCATTAAATATTGCATATCTTTACTGTAAGTGGGGTTACGTTTCAGCATTTTGTTGGAGGGTAATGATTCTCATATTTAGCCTGGAAAAATCATTGCTCCGCATCACTTGGCACTTTGCTCTTCTTCACATCCTTCCTCTTCTCTGTCTTCTCATTGGCCAAAGCAGAAAGAACTGAGGCCGTTAACCAGTTTTTGAGCTTTTTGTGAAGACTGGTAATGACTGCATGTTATTGTCTTTGAATTTGAAGTAACAAATGTTTTCTGTGTTTTCATTGTGGATGTATTTTACCTGTACAATAGCAGGGAGTTTTATTCATGAGCTTTTATTACCATGGTTAGTTGTTAGAAATGTTTTGAATAATTACATGGGTTCGTTTTTAGCTTAAAGTTTTGTTGGTGGATGCTGCAATATGGGCCTCTTGGATCTCTTTGTTGCTTCTTCTATTCCTGTCCTTAAATTGCTCTTGGTGACTGGATTGGGATCATATCTTGCACTTGATCATGTAAATCTTCTGGGAAATGAGGCGAGGAAGAATTTGAATGATGTAAGTGTCTGTTCCATGCGCACAGGGTCATTTTTGTTTCCTATTAACACTAAAGTTTCGTGCTTTCTCTATACCAATATTACTCCATCCAGAGACTAATCATATATCAACTGATCACAGATTGTGTTCTATGTGTTCAATCCATCGCTAGTGTCTAGCAACTTAGCCCAGTCGATAACATTTGAAAGCATGGTTCATCTGTAAGATTCTCATCTTTAAATTGGACAACACTGTCCCCTTCCTCTTATTCTTCATCAGCGTCCTGTGAAATCTTCGCCTCATGCAAATCTGGGTAACTTTTGCAGGTGGTTCATGCCTTTTAACATACTTATCACATTCATAATTGGTTCCATCCTTGGTTGGGTGGTTACTCAACTAACAAAAGCTCCTGCTCATCTCCGAGGACTTATAATTGGCTGTTGTGCTGGAGGTCTGGCTAATAAATTGCAAATTGACTCTGAACCAAGAGTTTTATTTTACTCTTATATTTTTGCACATTAACAAAACAATTTTGACATTATAATAAAGTAGAGTTCTCATAATTAGTTTTAGTGAGTGAAATTACTGTAGTATTCAACACAAATACATTACAGAAGGATCAGGATCTGGTACAACCTCATCCTCCTGGCTTTTTAATGGATTGAAAAGAGCTAGAATGAATCACGACTACTCCAATTCAATCATTATGAATTGGATTCATAACACCATTGTTAGATGCGTCTCTAATTTCATTTTTATTAAATGTGTCCGAGCAGGAAACTTGGGGACCATGTTGCTCATTATTATCCCTGCAGTTTGCAAAGAGAAAGCAAGCCCATTTGGGGATCCTGTTGTTTGCAACAAATCTGGGATGGCTTATGCTTCCCTCTCTATGGCAGTAAGTTTCACATGTTAGTATATGCATTATCATAAGAAAGAGAAAAAACATTGGTCAGTCATCTACCAATTCTACAAACATTTCCATGAATCTGGTCTATCTAATATTTTCCTCATTGTGCATTTTACTGCCATGGATAAGCTGATTAGTTTTTGACATATTAGAATTTGGAAATTTTCTTGCTATGGACTTTAATAGTCTCTACTTCTTTTTCCCTTTGTACCTTCAGACTGGAGCTGTTTATTTATGGTCCTACGTGTATAACATAATCAGAATATGTTCAAATATGAGCTCAAAGGTAGAAGAAATAAGTGACTCTCCTACTAGCAAGCCTTCAGGAGACATCTCATCTCCGTCTGAAATAGATTGGACAGAACCCTTACTTTCTTCAAGTGGTTTGCCTGAATCTGAAGATCAGGAAAGTCAGCTGGCTTTGCCACAACAGAGATATGAGAATAAGCCTGAGGTAGTAGTTATCTCTCACTTTCAACTGAATATCTATGTTACTGAATTGATAATAGAAATGAGTTTGCCACAATATAATCTCAATGAAAGGATATGAATCGCAGAACAATCAATTGCAGGTATCCTTTTTAGACAAAATAAAGATGTTCTTGAAAAAGACGAACCTGCGGAGACTGTTTGCTCCATCATCACTCGGAGCGGTATGGTTTATTGTGGCCGAGTTATTTTACTTCTTGCATTTCTTTATGTAAACTTCCTACAATCAACTCTAGATTTTTCTTGATGTTATATATGAAATATGTTGATAAGTTAATAGGGTAACGGATCACACAAAATGTAGATTAAAATGAGTAACACAATCATTTGTATGATAATCGAAAAGGATGCGCAAAACCCACAATATTCCTTTTAGACAAGGTTTAAGTCTTTGAGAGATTGTATAAACCCCTTAACATACACAGTGCAGGCACTTGGCCATGAATTCAGTAGCTTCTGTGTTTTGACTATCCAATGCCTGTAAAATGTGAAAACAGTCTCTCACGGACATGGTTATATGTTACTTTGGTTAGTTTGGTTCGGATAGGACACAATCTCCTCCAAATGAACAACAGCGGAAGAAATATATATATATATATATCCGCATGTGTGTGTAATTAAGGATGGTGCTTCTGTGGCATTCATGAGAATTAACTATCTTTTCTATTCTTGACAGCTTGTTGGATTTGTTGTTGGAGTTATACCTCCAATTCAGAAGCTAATGATCGGTGACTCTGCTCCTCTTCGTGTAATACAAGATTCTGCACTCTTACTTGGGTATATAAATGGTCTTCATTCTATCTTGAATTTAAAATGCCTTTTCACAATCTAATGACACGCAATTGCACCTTCCATTTTCATGAACTACTACATGAGTATTAATGCTTTGTTCTAACTAAGTTTCACAATTGTTCGTATCTTTTTAATAGATATCTTTGTATCAGTTGCAACTTGTATAATTGTACATATTGACTAAAATGTGTCAATCAATGCCAGGGATGCTGCCATTCCAGCTCTCACACTTATCTTGGGCGGTAACCTTTTAAGAGGTTTGTTACTTTGATAGATTAAGCTTTTGTATATTCTACTAACCTTCTAAGCCAATCAATTTCTTGCAAATTTCATATTTGTGTTATTTCATTCAGGCTTAAAGGGTTCAGGAATTCGAAAATCAATCATCATCGGCATTCTCCTTGTTCGATACCTTGCCCTGCCTTTGATAGGCATAGCCGTCCTAAAGGGGGCAGTCCGATTAGGACTGGTGCATGATGATCCACTATACCAATTTGTTCTTTTGTTTCAGTTCTCCCTTCCACCAGCAATGAACATAGGTATGCTCCATTTCAAATTTGTTTCCATTTTTCATTTCGATGTCCTCGTGACTGAGCAACCAACTAATGTCAAATTACACTCCCGACATCTTGTTGTTTCATCCACTGTTTCTATATCTATCTATATCTTTGATGATAAATGTTAGCATTGGTGTTTGCTTGGCAGGAACAATGACACAAATGTTTGGCGCCGGGGAGAGCGAATGCTCGGTTATCATGCTATGGTGTTATGCATCAGCTTCTGTAGCTTTAACTCTGTGGTCGACATTCTACTTGTGGCTTATATCCTGATAATATATAGTTCCAAGCAGTTTAATTAATTAATTGGTCAGATCAGATCAGATCAGCAATCAGGCTAACGTCGCCGGAGATTAACGTGCAGCAGCCATTTCCATATCGTAGATGAAGAATAAGTATAATAAAATTTTGAAGATGTAACTGAATGACCATGTATATGTTCATCAGCTAATGGAATGGAATGTGTCACTGTTTTGGGATTCAATTTTGAAACAAGAAATATTGGGACCATGATTGTGATCATACCATGCTTTTTTTTTTCATCATTTTTGTAATGTCTCATGTTTCAAATATCTGTTTATAAATTAATTATTGAAATTAATCTGCAAGCTACATCTTTTCTAAATTAATTAAAAATAAAATAAAATGTCGCAACTCGCAATTTGTTTGATAGATACATTAACCAAATACGAGCGAAGTCTAACAAAAAACCGTATCGCAATAAGGATGCTTATTTGTTGGTTTCGCGAAGCAGAATTCGGCTGAAAGTCTTCTGCGCTGGGAGGAACGATACAATGGATGCCCAGGCGTGACGCTTCAGAAGTAGATTATTTACCTTTGTGTCTTGTTCATGCTGTTATTATGTTGGGTTCTTGTACCCTCACCGAATTTATGTTTTATCTATTATTAATCAAGCTTGAGTACTGTAATTTTTGCTTGCATTGGTACGCGCATGCGCTATGGATTTTGGGTTTGGGTTTCCTCTGCCACGAGCGATTCTTTTGTTTCGACTAATTGAACAATATGTTTGTTTTCTCATACCTAAATTTCGCTCCATAGCGCTTTCATGCAGAAAATGCTGTTTCCTTTAGTTGATTTGAGAGTTACACGAATAATGTTCTCGATACTTTCATAGGAGGGAGATATATGTTCATCACTTTTTAGCGTAAGTATCTGCTTGTGTTTAGTCTGAATCTTTCATATTATTTACCTTTACAAAAAAAGATCTAGCTTGAAGTTTTGTTAAGAGGAGGGTTACGAGCCAATCAGCAAGTTGAGCAAGTTAAACCAGATGGCACAATGCCAAACAGAGAGTCATGCCTTTGGGGACTTTTTAGATTTGAACAATTTTGGTTTTAATATAGAATTATATGTATTATTTTTATAGCTCATGGTTGGAATCTGTTCTATATTCATAACCCAAACGTTAGATGTTCTGTAGACTGTCAATCTTTTTAGTTTATTTTTTCACTTTGTGTTATTTTTGTATTATATGTGCCATTTTCTTTCTAAGCATAGTTTATTATGATGTGTTAATTCTTGTTTTTGTCAGGTGCCAACATTTGTAATCAATGCTTGGAATTCAATCATAACCTTTTGGCACATGCCTAATGTTATGTTGTCTACATTCTAGTTCGAGTTTCACTTGGTAGTTGGTACAGTCATTTGTAGGCCATTGGTGCTTTCCTTCTAATAGTGAGGTTAATTACCATATATGATTTCTTTGTAGTGTTTGGACTTCATAATAGCATGGTTCCACTCCTCATACTTGCTTGGTGTAACAAGTATTAATTCCCCGTTAAGTGAGTTATGTCCCAACGAGTCCAATCTCAACGAGTTTGGGGAAAGTCATGGAATAACAAGTCTGGTGGTGATAGTGATGTGATGGTGGTGACTTCAATGGTGGTGCTGTGATTCCAATGGGATGTACCAAATAGTCTTGATTTTTCCTGTGATTAAATTTAAGTGAGATGAAGCTCTTTTTAAATTAAAATATAGTTTAATTGCAAATGAATTAAATTAAACGGATCATATAAGGTCAGTATCAATTTGAAGTGTGGTGACAGGCTTGTGGGGACTTCATGGCTTGGGTCTAGGGTTCAAGATGTTGTCATGCTGCTTATGTTTTCCATAAACCCTTCATCATTGACATTGAAGGGAAATAGATCAAGATAACATGAATCCCATATTTACATTGCAGGTCCAGTTTGTAAAACAGTGTCGTCAATTTGTTTGAGGACTTGGAATGGTTCATCTTGTCTATATGATGGCTTTGACTCTAAGCCCAAAACAACGCCCATAAATGTTGCCAAACCTAATCGGTTGGTTTGAAAAATGAAAATGTATTGTGTTGCAGTGGTGGTTGCCCTTTGCAGCATACCTTTGCAGAAGGGTTGAAATGATTCTCAATAAGACGCACTCGATCCTAATTTCTTTCCCTTATCAATTTTCCTATTTGAGCTTGCGACATTTGAAGTATTGATTGTTTCAGCTCATTTTTACTTTCTGATGTCTTTTATGTCGAAAGTATCATGTTTTTATTTGTTCTATTGTTAATCATGGCGGTTTGTGGCTGAATTCTACATTGTTTTCTCGCATGGGACTTTGTCCCACATCGGTTGCTAAGCGAAGCTCTTCTTGGCGGTTTGTGACTGAATCCTACATTGTTTCCTCGCATGGGAGTTTGTCCCACATCGGTCGCTAAGCAAAGCTCTTCTTGTTTTCGTGGCTATAAATGAATGGATTGTGTTGGGGGTTGATATAAAAAAAAGCATAGCAAGAGTGTTCTCTTGTCGGAAACTTGGACCATTTGGTCTTTTTATAGTGTTTGAGTTAAAATTGTTTGTTGGGCTTCGTTTTTATCCAGATAGCGGATGGTTTACGCCGGCCCGCCTGCACAGGTAAGCTGTTCTTATACTTCGTTTTTATTTCTAGTTTGTTATTTATTTGTGTGTCAATTTCTTCTTTATGTGATGCATTACTTGCTAGCTTGTATGTGCTTCTGTTTCTTTATATGATGCATCAATTGCTTAAATCCTTAAATGGTTTTATTTGGTGGTCATTCCTTCTATGCCATGGTTATGAGATCTAGGAATCAATTTTGCTTTAAACATTATACTCCTACCTATTAGTTTTAGCTTTCATAATTTCATTCGTATTGCATTAGCGTTAAAAGACATTATATCCTAATGGACGGTTGCAGAGACTTCTTAAAGTTGCTAATTATTGACTTGCGACTTATTTGGTTCATTATTGCTTATGCATATTCCTACAAACATTGCAGGACTGTGCAATTTGCTGCTTTTCGTTAAACTCAAGACTGCGGTCATTGTTCGTTGCATATCAAGATGGTGGATTCTACCTCCGGTAGGTTTTTAAAATGGAAGCGTAACTTCATGTTTAATTTAGATCTATTGTGTTATTTTAAATGATGCCTTTTTTTAAAAATCTTTTAACAAATTGCTGGGTTTGAAATTCAGAATTTGATCTGTAGTTATCCTTGTCACAATTACTTTGCACATGTAATTAGCCTTGAGCAAACAACAATGGCTACATTAGTTAATGTTCTTTGTTGATATCCCTAGTTGGTCAAGACATGCTGTATAGCATCATCCCAATTGTTGTTTTCGTTTCTTCCAACATTTTAATTTAAATTTCACTTTTTTTTGGTGATTTTCTATGTATAGAATGATGCAATATTTGATTTATGCTAGTTTATCCGTATTCAATTTTCTTATAACTCAACCTTCATTAAATATTACATTGTCACCAGATGATTCTACCTCCATATTGAGCATGGACTTCTAAAGTTTGTCTGATTTTCCTTGCATTTGTTCTTACATGTTTGAAAACTATAAGCAGTTTCCATCTTTTCGGAACTGCAGCAGCCTGAATCCTTAGATTTGTAAAATATCAAACAAGACAGTGTTGAGTTAATGTGTATGGCATTTGTGGCCTTATGCTTTACAAAATCTTGGTATTGCTAATTTGAATTTACATAACTACCCGCAATTTGGTGTTAAACATTGGTTGTCATTAGTTACTCAAGGAGACATTTTAGTTTGGTATTGGCTAATCGAGACAATGACTTACAGCATGCGATCTTCAAGAAATGATCTGATATCTCTTTTTTTTTTTTTTTTTTTTTTTTTTTTTTCTCTGTGAAACCTATATTCTTGCTTTAATTATGTTATTAATCTATAGAAGATGGACATTGCTACCGCCTTCTTGGACTCCCGAGGAGATTGAAGACATATTTGTGATATTCCGAATCACTGTCTAAGCCGCAGACCTTGCAGAGTCCCTCTTCCCAAGGAGGTCGGGAAGTGCAGTGTTGGACGGTTGCAGTTGTTGGAGGAAAGCGCAAAGATGGACACTTGCAGACAGATGTAGCTGCTCTTTTGGTATCACTTCACAAGAAACCTGAGGTAAATAGCACATGCATTCTTGATCTGAAAATTCTTAACTCATTTAGTTCATATGAACAAGTTGAAGCTCAGAAGAATTTTGTTTTCGAAATTTTATGAATAACGTATGCCAAATAAATAGTATCTTGGACTGACCTCTTTCTCCAAACTTTTCAGATCGATCTTCTCGAAGTGCAATAAGATTGGTTCGACCCCATTTTGCAGTTCTAATGTTCTGGCATACCTCTTTCTTCAAATTCCTTGGATAGATTCTCTAGATCTGCAACTAGATTCCCTAATGTCGTTCTTCTGAAGTTGTAAATCTCAGCGGTGTCATTGTTCATTGCATATCAATTAAGTAGAGAGGATTGCTTTATTTTAGAGTGAAAGAATTGATGTATAGACAAGAATTGTTGGATGATTGGCATTACAGTCTTAGATTTTTTTTAAATTTTTAAGTAACTTGCTGCTATTCTTATTTTTTATTTTTTATTTTTTATTTTTTTATTTTTAGATATATATATATATATATATTATATATTGAGTCAATTACTTCATTAAAATCAGACATTATTGGTAACGTTGACTATTCGTCCTGCAAGCTAAGTAAACTTCTATGGCTTATCCTAATGCTTAAAAATATTTAATTGTACTACAATTACTTGGCATGGCATATATATATGAAAATGAACAAACTATAATCAAATCACTATGATAATTGTTAGTGTACATAATTAATGTGTGGAATGTGATGCAGACATATATATATATATATATACACGTTTAAAAATAAATAAATAAATAAATTAAAAAGTATAGATAGAAGGATATAGTTAATTTGGTAGTATATTTTATTAAGTTTTTGTTGCTTGCAATTTGCAGATGGGACCGACTCAAATTCAAAAATTCAAATAGCATCTTTGTTATTAAGAGAAATAATAATAATCCCAATGGGTGTGTTTGTTTGGAGGTTTGGATTTTGAGCTTGGATTTGAATAGTAAATATTTTGAATTTGAATAGTCGTACGATGTGATATAAATAGGTGTTGATGTGATATTTTGAATGTAAAATTGATTTTTAGTCTAATATAAAAAATGAAAAATATGTGTTTGATTTGATATTTTTGGGAGAAAAAATTGGATGAATAGTGTAAATCCAATCCTCCAAACAAACACACCCTAAGTATATTTTCAAAACTATTTGTTATTCTTGTTTTGGAAGGATAATTACTTCAATTTAATGGCATTAATTATAGGATGACCAAATATTTTTGGGCCCAACTACAAACTAAATAGTAATATATATAGGTATATTATTTATTTATACCTAAAAAATTAAAATTTAATTAATTGCCAGAAACAGTGAGTTTATTTATTTAGTACTTAATAGTTTTATATATTTTTGTTATTAAGCATGAAGAAAATGATTGACTTTTATTTATATGTAGTGTTGACTTCTATTCAATGATATATATATTTTTTGGAAATTATTATTATTAAATTTAAAATATTCATTTTAGTAATTATTTTTATTTTAAAAATAAAATATAAAAAACACAAATATACATAAAAAATAGTGCTAGTATTTTCTCAATCAGTTAAAAGTATAAAATATATTTTTATAAAAACTTGGGAATAATTTTATATTTCCATATGATTGATTTTACCATAATTTGAAAAATATATATTTTTTAATGGAATAGACAAAAATAATTATAAAAAAAAAACATTGAATTTTGATGAAAAAGTAGTATTTTTTGATATAAAACATCACATTGAAACTCTTATTTAAATTAAAAATCAAAACCAATATCACAAATAATCATCAATGAACCACACACACTTGAGAATTAAGTTATATGATTGATGACAAAGTCAAGTGTCTCAATAACATTACTATATATTATTCATCTTCCATACTAATAATATTAATTAATGTTGTGCTCCACAAAAATATACAAATAGCCTGCAGGTTGATTGTAACATTAATTAATTAATTAATTTGTTTAGTTGTATTTTACCGTTTTTTCATTATTTCAAATTTTTTAATTTAAATAATTATTTAATTTGATACAAATAAAATTTTAATATGATCTATAAACAACCATATAAAATTTTATGGAGTATGAAAAAAAAAAAAAAAACTAAAATATGAGAAGAAAACAAAAAAAGGATTTAACTGTAGGCAGGCTTCTGAGTACGATGTTATTTTGGAGGGTAACGTAATAGTGTTGGTGGGGTGGGGTGGGGTGGGGTGGGGTATATATATGTATATATATATAATCGTGGTACGGTCTTCAAAAGTGCATAAAGATGGATAGTTTTCGAAAAGTCTCTAATTGTTTGCACTTATAATTAATTGAATTATTATATATTATATTATTCGAAGTTTATGAACCAACCATTTCAATTTTGTGACAGAATCATTGCATCGATTGTCATCATCATTAATTAACTTTATTTTAATCCATCCAGCTTCAATGCTCATTGTGTTTTCAGTTTTCATTGCCAATATATTCCTAGCTACCTAATAATATACTTATATCTGTAAATATATATATATATATGTAGGACAAAAAAAAAAATAATAATAATAATAATAAATTAAAATATGAGTGCTGTGCTAGAAAACAACGAAGGATGATAGGAATATCCTCGTCGATACGACACTGACACACAATTATATATAATTAAATAAAATTAAAATTAATAATATTCATATCGAACCATATATGTTGCCAAAAGTCTTCGTCTTCGTCTTCGAAGCTTCTCCCTAACTTCCCATATCCAAATCCACACTTAATTAATTTCTCCATCTCACAATTTTAACTACTAATTCTCTATAATTATTAACATGTCAAAACCCTAATCTCTCTGCAAATCCATTCATTTATAAATCTGGGATCAATCCATCCATCCTTCCAGTTCCAGGTGCAGCAGCAATGGCGCTCAAAGTTCTGTCGGCGCTGGACTCGGCGAGGACTCAGTGGTACCATTTCAAGGCCATAATCGTCGCCGGAATGGGCCTCTTCACCGACGCCTACGACCTCTTCTGCATCCCGTCGGTGATGAAGCTCATCGCCGCCATCCACTACCACGACGACGCCAACTACGATTTCCCCAGCGCCATCTACTCAGTAATGCTGGGAACTTCCTTGCTGGGCACCGTCGTCGGGCAGCTGCTGTTCGGCCACCTCGGCGACCGGATCGGCCGCCGGAAAGTGTACGGCCTGTCGCTGATGCTGATGGTGGTCAGCTCGCTGCTCTGCGGCCTCTCCCTCGGCACGTCGCGGGCCTGCGTGATGCTGTCGCTGGGGTTTTTCCGGTTCACGCTCGGCCTCGGAATCGGCGGCGACTACCCGCTCTCCGCCACCATCATGTCGGAGTTCGCCAATCGCTGGAAGCGCGGCGCCTTCATCGCCGCCGTGTTCTCGATGCAGGGGTTCGGGATTCTGGTCAGCTCGGCGGTGACCATGGCGGTTTGCGCCGCCTTCGACCGGGCCACCGGGTCGGCGGCTCCCGACGAGCCGACGCCGTGGGTCGCCGACCTCGCGTGGCGGCTGATCCTCATGCTCGGCGCTCTGCCGGCGGCGCTGACGTATTACTGGCGGATGATGATGCCGGAGACCGCCAGGTACATACTATTATTATATATATTATAATTTATTGAATTAATTAATTTGGTTCGATGAGTTGACCTGAAAATGAATGAAATGCGAGTGCAGGTACACAGCGCTGGTGAAGAAAGACGTCGAGCAAGCCGCCATAGATATGCAGAAGGTGCTATCAGTATCCCTAAGCCAAATTACAGAAGAAGTCGAGGAAGACGAAGAAGAAGAAGAAGTTTCTAGAAGCTACATAAACCCCCAAAGCTCCACAATAAACTACCCCCTCTTCTCAAAACACTTCCTCCGCCGCCACGGCCGCGACCTCTTCGCCTGCGCCGCCTGTTGGCTAATGGTCGACGTCGTCTACTACAGCAACAACCTCTTCGCATCCCACATATACAATCCCCATCCCAACAGGTCTTCCCAGAACCACAGATTCAACGCCTTCAGAGAAGCCCTCCACGTGGCCAAAATCCAAACCCTCATATCCATTTCTTCGACCATCCCAGGATACTTCGCAACGGTCTTCTCCATCGACCGTGTCGGGAGAGTCAAGATTCAGATGATGGGATTTCTATTCATGGCCTTAGCCCTCGTCGCCACCGGAATTCCGTACCGCAGATTTTGGGAGAAGAAAGCAAATGCAGGGTTTTTGATCCTCTATGGCCTAACCTTCTTCTTCTCCAATTTCGGGCCTAACACCACCACTTTCATCGTCCCCGCCGAGCTCTTTCCGGCGAGGCTTCGATCCACGTGCCATGGAATCTCCGGCGCGGCCGGAAAAGTCGGGGCTATCTTAGGGTCTATAGGGTTTCTTTGGGCGTCACGTGATGACCTCACCGGAAAAGATAAAGGGAGCGGAATTCCGGCCACTCTGGTGACACTTGCTGGCGTTTGCGTCGTCGGAATGATCGTGACATATTTTTTTACGTTCGAGACTAATGAGAGATCGTTGGAGGACAACGAGAAGGCCGACGATGGAACCAACGGCGCGTGGGTATTGCGCGGCTTCGGCGGCGGCGATCTATGCCGCCGGCGGCCGCCGCCTCAAGAAAGCAGTGGTGCTTAGTGGGTGTACGTATGTGCTGTAATTATAGTGTATACAATGTAAATTTACAAATGTCATCATTTTGAAGCTTAAGGCAGTCTTCTTGGATTCATTCTAATATAATTAATTAATAATACACAAATTTTTATGAATAACAAAAATATTCCAACCATAAACAACAAGACTAATTGAGAGTCGAAATTATATATATAGTAATGTTAATAAATAGTAAGTAATCTTTGATGTGCATTTATATTTGTAAGTTAAGCATTATTACTAATATAGAATTTAGAGTGTTTTAATCTATTTCCACTGTCAAATAAATAATTTTACACACACACACACACACAAAAAAAAAACATTTATTCTTATCTATTGATTTGAATCAAAATAACAATGGTCTAAATCAAATAAGAAGTTAAAATGCTATGAAACGAAATGAGCAACAATAAGTTGAATTCCAAATAGGATTTCTTGATTAATAGTTAGTGGCTAGGATTTATTTAATATGGTATGATTTAGCACAAATAAATTAACAATATAGGATAATAATTTATGGAGCCTATTACTATTTCAACTAACACATATACAACATACCTATAATTTATGTACAATATTTGTACATGCGTTTCTATCAGATAATTAATTACATTATCAACGATTGAAGACAAAAATAAATAAATAAACAAAATGGCAAAATCAAACCAGGTTGTCATCTCAAGTCTTCCCTCCCATGTCCCAATCCAAGAAAATTCTTCTCAGTTTACTCATTAATTTCAATATTCATCACGCCTTTGAATTTTATTTATTTTCAGTAATGGGTTATGTAGATATATTAAAATGGCAATCAAGAATTAAATTTTAATATAATAAAATAAATAAAAAATGAGCATTATTTTTAAAAGAAAAAAAAAATAGTAAAATCAGAGATAAAATACCACGATACTCTAAACATGGGCATATTATTGTACTTACGCAAATATAAAGATGGAGCGATTTTGTAGAGCGCTACAAATCTGGGCAAGCGTCAACTAAGCTTCAACACCTTTCAACTTGTATAAATAAAAAAAACATAGATGTCTGAAAGTTTCCTAAAATGGAAGGGCAACAGCAGCAGCTGAGGAGAGAAGATGTAAAAGAAGAAGAAGAAAAATTAAAGGAGCGTAAAGAAATTATGAAATTGCATCAGCAACTCCCAGAATTGCAGAGCAGTCCATATCTTAAATACACCCAAGAATTAGACGACTTTCGGTTTCTGGCTGCGGAGGGGCAGCTTCATCAAAAGATTATCGACCAGGCCACCATGAAGCAGACTCACTGATATATTATGATTTTATTTATTGATGCAAGAAATTAGGGTTTGTTTCTATTAGATCTGGTTTTAGTTTCCCACAATAATGTATGAACAATTAATGGCCATACACTAAAAAAAAAAATAGTATATTTGGAACGAAATTCCGTTCCTAAAGTTCACGTAGCTAAAGTAATTCCATCTCTAATTCCGTCTCTAATATCATTAGTAACAAAAAAAAGGTGAATGTAGTAACAAAAAAATCTTGTTACAAAATTGATAATTTTTTGTAGTGATAATTCTTTTGAGAATTTTTTAAATTTACTTATTGTATATGTAATTTGTATAATAACAATTTATTACCCCCAACTAGCTAGTATCCAAATTTAAATACAGCCCAAATAGTTTTTTTTTTTTTTTTTTTTTTTTTTTTTTTTTTACAGAGCCCAAATAGTTGTGTCGGTTAGGATATGTATACCATTTGTCAATTAGTAGGAGTAATATATAATTGCTAAAATACTAGCTAGCTAGAATACAAACCATGCAGAAATAAATAAATAAATAATAAATTACTTAGTTTGACGGCAATTAATAATATACTCCCTCCGTCCCCATGTAATATGGGTGTATTAATGTAGACAGTAAAATATAATTAGTAAGTAATTAAGAAGTGTATTAGTAAAAATAATTATAAATTAAGATTAAGATAAATAAATAGTTAAGTTAAAATAAAAAAAAATTATAAAATTTAAAATTTAAAATGCGATTAAAGTGCATAATTATATTTCTAAAAATAAAAAGGACAAGTTACGTAGGACGGACAAAAATAGAAAATAAAAACAAATTATGTGGAACGAAGGGAGTACGTGTTTTCGAACACAATTGAAATATTTGCAACGTAACAGTGGACTTTTTCAAAATATCTTCAACTATTTCGTATTTATGTATTTGCAAGCTGTTCGAATTTGGACTTTACTTGCCATTCTTTTAATAATGTGCATCTCAATTTTCATATTTACTTACCACAAACAAATATATCACCAAATTATATACTGTTTCAAAACAATAGTCTCACTTTTTTTTTTTAACAAAATTCTCCACATTTTTAAAAAACTATTATTATTTTTTTTCACAATAATTACATAAAATATGAGTATTTTGGTTTTTTAGTAACATTTTTATATTCACTGTCAATATAATAAATACTACTCCCTTCGTCCACGGATAAAATATACATTTACTTTTTGCGCGGAGTTTAAGAAATAATAATATTTTAATTATAGTGGGTAGGTAAAAGTAGTGTAATGACATTTTTGCCCTTATTTTTTGGTATAAAAGTAATGATCTGATGTAAAGCAAGGGTATTTGTGAAAAAAAAGTAAGATATTTAATAAAATGGTTACTTTGTAATTGTACGTCCCAAAATATAAATATGTATACTTTATAATTGGACGGAGGGAGTATTATTCTTTGACTTCCGTATAATTCCAAATGTCCCTATTATTTTTGGACGGAGGGAGCATTTGATAAAATTAAAATGATACACTACTATTTGTCTATTTTTAATAAAAGTAACGCAATACAGTAAGTGTGACAAATTAATTTGGCCACTGTATGATATTTTGTTAGTACTAATTTTATTATATATACACCCCCTTGCTTTAAAAAAAAAAAAAAAAAAGGTTTTACAAAAATGTCCCAAATATAGGAAATAGAGAGTAATTAGTAATTTATTTTTCAATCTTTTATTTCTAAAAAACAATATATCATTTACATAATTATTTATATAAACCATTGCATTATATATTCCTATAATTCCAAAATATCATCATATGTCCCCTTAACACAATTTTAATATCGAACACGTGTTATACTTTAAAAGCGTACAATATTGTATCACATAACACGACACCTATAGTAAAAAGGACAGAATAAATAAATAACTTAAACAAATTGGGCATGTGAACGTGTAATAACGTTACAAGACAAAGAGATCTATCTATCTATTATATCAGCAGCAACACACTTAAATAATATACAGTGAAACAAATTTGTCAACGTCCCAAATAACTTTTTGGTTTCCCACTTTGGCCTCCTAATTTCACACATTTTTCATTCGGTAAATTGTTTGTATATATAAATTATACAATAAATTTTATACAAATTGTTCTTTCTATTTATATCAAAATATAATAACTAACCTTTTTTTTTTTTTTAATGAATTGATTTTTAACCCCTCCATTCCTTAGACACGGGATTTAGATAAAGTATAATTAATGAATAATTAAAAAATATATTAGTAAAAATAATTATTATTTAGTAAAAATAATTATAAATTAAAATTAAAATAAATAAATAATTTAATTAAAATTAAAAAATTATAAAATGTAAAATACAATTAAGACAAATTATATAGAATAGACGAAAACAAAATACATACAAATTATAAAGAGGAAGGGGCATAATTTAAGAGAGCAGTTGAAATTTGGATATTGTTTACCGTTAGTCACGAGAAAAAGCAGCAGCGTAATTAATACACAAGACGACAAAACTCAACGCTGAACGCCCGGTGTTTCTTCCTCCTACACATATACATACATTATACATACAAACCACGAACGCAATTCCCTGGTTCAGAAAGTACCACATTTTTTTGCAATCCATCACACGCCTTTGTCTTCTTCCCCAATCCACACCCACAAAAACCCTCCTTAAATCGCTCTACCCTCAACAACCAAATCACACCAATCCTCCATTCCTGCAACAATGGCAGATGCCAAATCCAACAAGCAAATTCTCCGGGAACTCGAGTCCCTCAGCGAGTCACTCTTCCACCAGAGATCGCGCTCTACTCGCCGGAGAACCGCCTCCTTCGCCCTCCCCAGAATCGAAGCTCTTCCGATCCATCAAAACAACGACGACGGCGACGGCGACGACGAGCCCAAGCCGCGCCAGAGGAGAATGTCCATGTCTATGTCCATTTCTCCATGGCAATCCAAGCAGAAGGAAAACGAACGAATCAACAGCTGCGCCGACGACGACGACGATCACTCCGAAATAGCTTCAGCTAAGAGAAGTGGAATCTGGAAATGGAAACCGATCCGTGCGCTTGCTCATCTCGGCAAGCAGAAGCTGAGCTGCCTGTTTTCCGTACAAGTCGTTACAGTCAAGTCCCTCCCGCCTTCCATGAACGGCCTCCGCCTCGCCGTCTGCGTGAAGAAGAAGGACACCAGAGACGGATCGGCGCAGACTATGCCGTCGCGAGTTTCGCCGCAAGGGGCTGTCGATTTTGAGGAGACTCTCTTCGTAAGGTGCCATGTTTACTTCACCCCGAGCACCGGTCTGCACATGAAGTTTGAGCCCCGCCCCTTTCAGATATACGTCTTCGCCGTTGATTCCACGGAGGAGCTCGATTTCGGGAGGAATTCGGTGGACCTGAGTAGTTTGATCCAGGAATCCATTGAAAGGAGCTTCAATGGCGAGCCAATCCGTAAGTGGGACAGGACTTTTCGCCTCTCCGGTAAGGCGAAAGGCGGCGAGCTCGTTGTGAAATTAGGGTTCCAGATAATGGAGAAAGATGGAGGAATTGGGATTTATTCCTCCTCTGTTGCTAGAAAGCAGTCAAGGTCGTCATTCAGCATTCCGAGCTCTCGAACTCCGGCGCACAAGGAGGTAATTCCGGCCGCCATGATCGACGACACTGATTTCCCTGAATTCGATGTAGTGGACCGTGGAGTTGAATTCGAAGCTAAAAATGGAAAGCAGGAGGAAGAAGAAGAGCAATCCGGTAAAGGATCAGCAGCATCGAGTGAGGTTGTAAAGGAAGTCGTGCAAGATCTGTCGCGGATGAAGGAACTCGACTCCATTGCTGAGCAGATCAAAGCTCTTGAATCTATCATGGAAGAAAACGAATTCAACAACGATGAGGAAGAAACTGGTTCACAGAAGCTGGATGCAGAGGAGGATAAAGTAACCAGAGAGTTTCTTCAAATGCTGGACGTTCCCAAGGACAGAAAGGCCGCGACTGCCATTTGCGGCAGTGACGATAAACTTTGCAAGCGAAAGCCAGGGAGCAAGGAAGAAGACGAAGAGGAAATATATGTGCCTGATCTTGGGAAGGGATTGGGCTGCGTTGTTCAGACAAGAAACGGAGGCTACTTAGCCGCGGCGAATCCATTTGAAACACCGGTGGCGCGAAAAGACAAGCCTAAGCTTGCGATACAGATGTCGAAGCCTTTGGTGGTTCGATCCGATGGGGCTGGATTTGAGATGCTGCAGAAGATGGCCGGGATCGGGTTCGAAGAGTTGATATCGGAATTATCCGATTCGATGCCGATGGATGAGCTGATAGGCAAAACGGCGGAGCAGATAGCATTTGAAGGCATTGCGTCGGGGATCATTCAGGGCCGTAAAAAGGAAGGCGCGACCTCGAGCGCTGCGCGGACAATTGCTGCCGTCAAGTCCATGGCGGCTGCGATGAACAGCGGGAGAAAGGCGCGCGCGTCGACTGGGATTTTGGATGTCGGAGCAGAGGCTGTAACAGTGGAGGAGATTCTGGCGTGTACGATGCATAAGATGGAGACGATGGCCGTCGAGGCTCTTAAAATCCAAGCAGACGCCGCTGAATTCGGGATGCCATTCGATGTCTCGCCAATCCCCACGGCTAACGGGAAACAGCTCCCGAACCCGTTGGCGTCTGCCGTCCCGATTGAGGATTGGATCAAATCGAACGATGCAAACCGGTCGGATGCAGGAGGGATAACGGTGTCCGTTGTGGTCCAACTACGCGACCCAGTGAGGCAGTACGAGGCGGTCGGAGGTCATATGATAGTGTTGATCCATGCGACGGATGAGGAGAGCAAACCCGGCGAGGAGAACAGGTACCGAGTGGCGAGCGTGCAAGTAGCCGGCGTGAAAGTTAAGACCTTGAGGTCGAAAAACGCGTGGGACGGGGAGAAGCAAAAGCTTACGGCGTTGCAATGGCTGGTGGCGAACGGGATGGCGAAGGCCGGGGCGGGGAAGAAAGTGAAAGTACACATCCCGGTTGGGCCGGACATCCTTTGGAGCGTGTCGTCGAGGGCCGTCGCCGGAATGTGGCTAAAGGCCGTGAGGAATCCTAACGTCAAGTTCACCAAGTAGTTTACTCCTCCGAAATTAGGTACATTTACAAGAAAGGGTTAGTTGATTCTTGTGTGTAAACAATTTGCTTACTGAGATTACTCAATCTTGGAGTAATGTATCTATCTATATGGTATGGTATGGTATGTATTGTAGGCTTCACCTCTTTCATTTGTCTTTGTGCAAATACAAGATTATCTTCTGCCAAAAATAAATTCACATTTATAGCCTACATTCAAATTTGAAATTAAGGAATTTATAGCGACAACAGTTTTAATTTGGCCCATTTGAAGTAATATTCAATTCAATCAATCAATAAGTAAGATCATGGTCCAGTAAAGAATGGTGTGTTGTGGAGATGAAATAAATATAAATGCATGTTTTTTTTTTTTTTTTTTCATAAAAAAAAATATTAACTGAATTAATAATTAAATAAATTATAAAATATAGTAATGACTAAATAATGTTACATTATTAAAAAATATAAGTATCTATATCGAATCAATCAAAATTTTATCCCTCATAATTCAAAACCCAATTTCCAACCGACTCCAAACATTCCCTGGCATTCTATAGAACATACACTAAAATCGATGATAATTTAAACTTCTTGTTTTGTTGACTCAATATAAAAATTTTCGAAATTTATCGGATATGAACAGGTGGATAAATTTGATTTTGAAATTCATATAATAACAAAAATTCAGAAGAAAAAGCACCTCGTCATCGCATTCGCATCAATCAAGCAAGATCGAGGGACGCGTGTGCTTCGGAAAGAAGCAGCAGCAGCAGATACGGTAACAGCAACAGCAATGCCATTTTTATACATTTTCATATTCTTTAATTCTCCACAAAAAAATTATACAATAAGGCAGAGAAGGAAGAAATGCCTCTACATTGACATGGATCCATCATTCCACTCTTCTGCTCTAATAATAAATTAATAATATTCGTTTTAATAATGATGGTGGTTGATTGCAGCAGCAGTAGAAGAAGAAGAAGACGACAAGCCAAAACCAGCAGCAGCAGCAGAGCTAAGCATATCTAAGAGCAACGGACGCTTGTTACTTCTTTCCGGATCAAGTCTCAAGTTGGTACTTAATTTATTTATTGTTTTCTTTGATCGATTCCTTGTCGAATTTGAGGGAAGAGCTTGTGAGTGAGTGGGTGGGGTTTTTTTTTATTCACTTCTGTTTGAGGCAAAAACCAAGACGATGGTAGAAGCTTCTCGATAATTTGATTTGCACTTTGGATTTGCGATTTGTGTTGAAAGAAACTCCTTTGTTCGTGTGAATTGAATGGATGCATTTGTTTCACTATCGATTTGTTACCTCCTTCACTCTCTTTTTCTGAGGACAAAGGCTGGAGCCACTTTAAGTTCGTCAAAAGGCGAATCTGTTCTTCTTTTCTCAAATTTAGATCTCTGTTTTCCCTCGTTACGCTACTTCCTGTGATGTTAATGGCCTTTTGCCCTCCCTATTTTTTATTTTTTTTCAAAAAAATTTGTGTCTGTTTTCTAGGCAAAATCAGAAAACTGGGGTTTTCGATTGTTCTTGATTGTGGTTTGTTTTCTTTTATGATTGAAGATTGATTGTTGTCGAGTGATTTCAACTGGTCGAAAAAACAAAGCAAAGAGATGAACGGGGCAGTGTTGGTAGCCATTGCTGCCACAATTGGAAATTTCTTGCAGGGCTGGGATAATGCCACCATTGCTGGTAATTTCTCTTTATTTCATCTCTTGAATACTACTTCTGAACAGTTTTTTAACAATTAGGTTTGGGATAAATCCCCTTGTATGTTGCCATTAACTTAAGCTTTCAAATATGGACATGATCTGTGATGTGTTTAGGTGCCATTGTGTACATTAAAAAAGAGCTTCAACTGGGAACTGCTCTAGAAGGGCTTATTGTGGCAATGTCACTCATCGGCGCCACTCTTGTTACCACTTGCGTGGGGACAGTGGCGGATTGGGTTGGTCGACGACCTATGATCATTCTAGCATCCATGTTCTATTTTGTCGGCGGCTTGATAATGTTCTGGTCGCCTAATGTGTACGTCTTGCTTTTAGCAAGGCTCTTGGATGGTTTTGGTGTTGGAATAGCTGTTACTTTAGTCCCTCTATACATATCCGAGACGGCGCCATCGGAGATTAGGGGGCGTTTGAATACGCTTCCCCAGTTCACTGGTTCTGCCGGAATGTTTTTGTCGTACTGCATGATTTTCGGAATTTCATTGCAGCCTTCAGCGAGCTGGCGATTGATGCTCGGAGTTCTTTCCATTCCTTCTCTTTTGTACTTTGTGCTAATGGTAATTTACTTGCCTGAGTCTCCGCGTTGGCTAGTTAGTAAAGGGCGAATGCTCGAGGCAAAACAAGTGTTGCAGAGGCTGCGTGGCAGGGATGATGTTTCAGGTACATATTTCCGTTGCCTGTAAATCCGAGGAATTGGTTGCTTATCACGTGCTTCGTCTATGTTTACTTTGTTTGATGGGATTATATAAATTTTTTGCGCAGGCGAAATGGCATTGTTGGTTGAAGGTCTAGCAGTTGGAGGCGACATTTCCATAGAAGAGTACATGATTGGCCCGGCAGATGATATTGACGAGGATGAGGAAACAGAAGCAGATAAAGAACCGATTAAGCTGTACGGGCCGGAGGAGGGGCTCTCATGGGTTGCAAGGCCAGTTGCAGGGCAGAGCCGTCTCAGCGTTGTGTCGCGCCCCGAAAGCGTGGCGAATCAGAACATTCCTTTGATGGATCCTCTGGTGACACTGTTTGGCAGCATGCACGACAAGCTCCCCGAAACGGGGAGCATGCGGAGCATGCTGTTTCCTAATTTTGGCAGCATGTTCAACACTGCGGAACCTGACGTTAGAAACGAAGAATGGGATGAGGAGAGTCAGAGAGAGGGCGACGATTATGAAGGTGGAGATGCTGACTCCGATGACAATTTGCAGAGCCCGTTGATCTCGCGTCAGACAACGAGCATGGAGAAGGACATGACCCGCCCTAAATCCCTTGGCAGTGTCCTCATGGAAGGACACGCCGGAGAAGCCATAGGTAGCATGGGTATCGGCGGTGGATGGCAATTGGCATGGAAATGGACAGAAAGAGAAGCTGAAGACGGAACCAAAGAGGGAGGTTTCCAGAGAATATATTTGCACGAGGAGGGCGTTGCCGGATCACGGCACGGTTCTCTTGTTTCGGTACCCGCCGCAGATGCTCCGGCAGGCGGAGAATATATCCAGGCTGCAGCATTAGTGAGCCAGCCGGCACTTTATACCAAGGACTTGGATCAGCGCGCAGTCGGGCCGGCTATGGTGCATCCATCAGAAACTGCTTCAAAAGTGTCGATTTTGGCCGGCCTTCTTGAACCGGGAGTTAAACGAGCATTGATGGTGGGGATTGGGCTCGAAATACTTCAACAGGTTGTCTTCATTTTTTCGTCGCAGCAATAGATGAAATATTTTCCTTCTGTTCTGAGAAAATATTTTTCGTTTGTCCTATGTTTGTGTGCAGTTCGCCGGCATCAATGGAGTTCTGTATTACACCCCACAGATTCTTCAGCAGGCCGGCGTCTCGGTTCTTCTCTCCAATCTCGGACTTGGTACTGACTCTGCATCTTTTCTGATCAGCGGGTTCACGAATTTCTTAATGCTACCGAGCATCGCAGTTGCTATGAGGTTCGTGGACATAGCCGGTAGAAGGTAATGCGCGACTTCATTTATATTAGTTGCAATTTTAATCGTTTCAGTCCTGTAACTTTTTTGGTTGATATTTTCATTTAGGGCTCTGCTGCTGTCGACGATACCTGTACTGGTAGTAACTCTGATCGTGCTCGTAATCGGGAATGTTTTCGACATCGGAAATGTAGCTCATGCCGTAGCCTCGACCATCTGCGTCGTGATTTACTTCTGCGCGTTTGTGATGGGATTTGGGCCGGTCCCAAACATCCTCATCTCGGAAATCTTCCCTACCCGTGTTCGCGGTGTCTGCATTGCTATCTGCTCATTAGTCTACTGGATCTGCGACGTGATTGTCACCTACTCGCTCCCTGCGATGCTGAGTTCGATCGGTTTAGCAGGTGTTTTCGGTATATATGCTGTTGTTTGTGTCCTAGCCTGGATTTTCGTGTTCTTGAGGGTTCCGGAGACGAAGGGCATGCCGTTGGAGGTCATCACCGAGTTCTTCGCCGTCGGCGCCCAACAGACTGCTCCGAAAAGCGACTAACGGCGACCGCGACAACAACGACGGCGATGATGTCTAGCAGGTTGGTTGTTGATTATTTGCATTTTGTTCTTGATTTGGAGTTTGTGTTAAGTGTACTTTCAGCTGCTTTTTCAGATTTTCGCCATTAATGAAAAGAGGGTATAGAAAAAAATTTGAACTTGATTTTGGTTTTGTGCTGTTCTAATTGCTCCTTTACTCTTCTCTGTATATGCTTTGTTTACTTTGAGGTGATATTTAAAACTTTATATGATAATGTTTTAATTTAAAGCATTGTTTTGGAATGAAAATTGTTACTCCAAATGAACTCCATATTACCATCTGCTATATACAATAAAATAAAATTATATATAATTATATAGATATATTTATTAAAATTTATTTTATTTCAGAATACATTATCGAATACATATCATCTGCTCTTTCAATAATATATATTATCTCAAAGCTCTTTTTTTTTTTTTTTTTTCAAAAAGATTTAATCAATTATACAAAGATAAATTGCAAGATCAAATTTAATTGTATTTTCATGTTTATTTTCACTATGTAATCATTATGTTTATCTATAAAAATAATTTTTTTTCAAAAGCACATTACATTTAAGTTACTTTTTAAATAAGAAGTTAAAATTAAATATGAAGTGAACTATGAACAAACCCTCATAAGTTGTGAGCATATTTGCACACAAACCTAACTGCCTACCTAATTAACTAACTAACTAACTGATAATAATATTGACATGAAAATGGGTTGATTTGTCAAATACTCTCCATGGCTCAAATGTTATTTGTTATTTCTAATTTTGAATATCTTAAAATTTTCAAACTTTTTTTTATCTACATATAAATTTTCTTTCTTCTTATCTTTCTAAAAATAATTCATGGAAACATACCAAATAAAAAGTAAGAGTACACAGATATACATATTTATCAAAATTATACCACATAAAAAAATAAATATACTAAAAATAAAGCAACCAACAAGCAAAACCAGATAGTAAAATACAATTTTTTCTTGAATATATATTTTAAATTTAAAGTTTCACATTCAAATATTATTTAATGTTCAAAAGTATATTTAAAATATATTTCATTAAAAAAATGCTCCAAAAAATATAAATAAACACAGGTTAAGATGTTGATAGTGTGAGATTATTTTTATGGATGAGAAATCTTTGACATGATTAATAATTAAATGGTTAAATTAATTGTTTATATTAAAGCAATCTCCCACTTGGCTTGTTTATTGATTGTTCCCCAATAGTTCTCATCATCATGCTTTTTAATTAATTAATTTTTTTTGTTATATATATATATATATAACCAACTTGTATTTTAGTAAAAGTTAAATTGCATGGGAAACAACATCTCAACTTGGAAATATCTTAATTATATATATACATATATTGGAATTTTCAATATTTTGATGGATATATAGATAATGATGACAAGAGATCACAATGCACATCAAAAGGAAGATATATATATATATATATATTAACAAACAAAATTAATAATTTTGGCATACAGATCATACCAAACAAATTTAATAATTTGATATATATAATTCATAGTTGTTTTTTTTGTCTTAAAAATATTACTATATTATATATTTATTTAATATATTATATTAAAATTTTAGTTTGTACTTAAAATATTATGTAAAGTAATATTTATATCATAGAAAAAATATTTCAATATATAATTTTATTTTATTTTTAACTAACATACAAGATTCCATTTGTATAATAACAATAGTAATAATAATAATTAAATGTGAAACTCAATATTGATATTAAACATTGAGATTGGGTGGCAGTTACAGGATTTTAAAATTTATTACCGTGTAGAGAGCACACCGTGTGTTGACAGACAATATACAGTATTACTACAACATACAATATGTATTCATATCATATAAATACAATACATCAATTAATTGCATATACTATAGTCTTGTATATTACAAACAGCAGTTGATTTCAATGCACTACAATACTCTTATACAACACACATGTTATTATATATTAACATTACAAATACAATATATGAACTAACAGCACATAATAATTGATTTCAGTACACTACGTACATATAACACACTTGTAATTATGAACAATATGTGTTTTATATAATAATAAGATTGTGCGTTGTTAGTATATATTACAGTGTTGAATTCAGCACCATAACTGTTCCCTTGATATTGATATTTTTAAACTATACTTTTATTACTATAAATGATCGAAGGATTTGCCTTTTCTTTATGTGTGTGTTGTGTTTGTACTATGAGTTTTAAATGAAATAATTATTGAATTTGATATTTGATATAGAATATTAATATATTTTTAATAGAAATTGTGATATTACATAATAATTAAACCAAAAAAAAAAAAAAGTCGTAAATCTGAGTAAAATTAGTATTGAAGTTTCACCATTTTTCGGATCAGTACCTTAAAATCTAAACATTGGACTCCAAATGTTGAAGAAAAAACAAAGTCAAACGTAAAGCTATGAAAAAAGAAGCTTATCGAAGAATTCTATAAAACAATACACTAAAAATTGGTTTTTATCCATTATCGATTGTGAAGAAGACACGTGGAATTCAATATTTAAAATAATCATATATTAGAAGAAAATTAAATTACAATTTGAAAAAGGATATTATAAGAGTCATTAACGAATTAAGAATAGCATTTTAGCCAAATTAAAGAAGACCCACACAATTCTATCCTTTCCTTTCCTGCCGACTTAATTAATTAATACAACCTACTGCAGTAAATTCTTAAATTCACCTCTATCTGAAAAAAAAATAATTTAATAAATATTAAAAAGCGACTAAATCGAATTTAAAATTAACCAGAGTCACAGAATGCGAGTAATTATTATTACTGTAATACTAATTGAGAATTTTCACAGTAATCATACATACATGTCACAATAATAATTGAGTGAAATACAGCCGCAAGATTTTTATTTTTATTTTTATTTTTTAATACTATATAATAGTAGAAAATAAAAAAATTATTAAGAGAATAAATCATGATAGACGTCTAATCTTCTTCAATATATTTAAAGGCTAAAAAGGTGGGGCCCTATGGGCCCCACCCATATGTGGTCCCGTGGGCCCACCGAATATTGAAGCTGTTAGGCTGTCAGTCGGCAACAGGTTATAAAATTTTAAATAAAAGTTAGGGGACACTCGCAGTCACTAATATATGTATATAAAATTCAACAATGGTGGCTGAATTTATGCCTCTTTAATTATCAAAAATTGTTGCCAAAACCCAAAAATTGCCTAATTCTCTTATTGAGAATAATAATAATAATAATGATGATGATGATGGTATTTATCGACGTAAATTATAATTTAATTAATTTATAGGTAAATGCAGGTGGAATTAAATTTGTGTAGTTAAGAAGTTTTAGGGATTTGAAATTTGTGGTACGTAGGGGGAAAAGGAAAGAAATTAATAATAAAAGGATTGCAAGCTGTAATTAAATTCATTGTAACCGACTTCCTTGCGTTTGCGTGTGTGAAATCTCTCTACAGTTAAAAATGAGCGGTAATTTAAATTACGGTAAAAATGTATTCACATGGATTTCACTTAGCTGGCTCGGAGCTCCGGCGGAGGCGGCGGCGGAAGGCAAGTTGCCGCACTTCTGGCACCGCGCTACCACAAGTATCTGGCGGCAGGACGGGCAGGAGGAATGAGATCCGAGCCACGTATCGATGCACACGACATGGAATCCATGGCCGCACTGAGGTAGCACTCGGATTTCCTCGCCGGCGGCGAACTCCGCTAGGCAAATGGCGCATTCCGTGAGCTTCTCCGACTGCTTCTCGTCCTCGCCGTACGTCAGCTTCGGTAGCGATTTCAGAGCCTTTTTTTTTAGGCCTTTGTTGGCCGACCTCCTCGATTCCGCCCCCGACGGTGCAGCGGCGGCGCTCCTCCCCGAGATGCGGCGGATCCAGGCGCAGCGCGCGACGGCGACCAGGCCGAGCACGCAGATTAGTGCGCAGAGGAGCGCGGCGAGGATCACTACGAAATCGGAGTCGAGAGTGGTCTCGACTTGCGCAGTGGAGTCTCCCGGCGCTCCGGTCGCCGGCGGCGGCGAGGTTTCGCGGCCGGCGAGTTGGCGTGAGCGGGCAGTCATGAAGTAGAGAGAGAGAGAGAGAGAGAGAGAGAGAGAGAGAGAAAATGTGTGTGGTGGTCAAATTAGTTAGGAAATGTATTTTTGTTTTTGGTTAGTTAAATAGTTGGGACTCTTTTCTTATTTCAAGTTTGAACTATTTATTGAAATGGCACCTTTGTAAATACGAACAACTCCAGGGACGCTTCTGAAATCTTACAAAATATCAACAAATCTTCGTACGGCCTTCATCTCAATATTTGAATAAAATAAAATAGTCATTTTCCAAAAGTACACTACTATTACCATGTACATATTTTTAAAAATTAAATACCATGTAATATATATATATATATAGCCTGTATTTTATTTAATTTTTATTATATTTGGTGTAAGGCTGCATCATGAAAATATCTCAAACATATATATATATATATATGTATATTAAAGTCACATCTAAAGTAATTAGTTTAGTGGATAACAATGAAAAAAGTTTATCCAAAATTAAGAAGAAAGTCACATCTAAGTTTGTACCAAACCTCTAATAAATCTTTTGATATACTAATAAATATCTCATCTCAATCATTAAAGTAATTCCTAATGGTAGAAAGTGAAAATTTCAGTCTCAAAAGCACCATACACATTGGAACATATTCACTTTACAAAAGACTCTCTACAATCTTTCATTATTATTTCAATATAATTTACTTTTTATTTAAGAAAAAAAAAATAGTCACATATCATTTAGGTTCAATTACTATAATATATATATATATATCTTTTCAACTTTGTACAAAACTTACTTATTTAATGATTTTACGTATACTACTTAATTATTTACATTTTAATCAAATTTTATTAATCTGTGTTCAAACTTATAACCCTTTCCAAGTATCTAATGAAAGTTCTTATATTACCTCCCTCTCTTGTTCTTGATGATTTAATATCATTTATTATTATTTATATATTTTATTTTTTTTTCAACATAGTAATGAATAAGCTTGGACCACAATTTTTCTAAAGAAACATCATACTTTATTTCACCTTTTTCACGTTTTATTTGTCTTAATATACCTCGATATATGTATGTAAATTCTTTATGTATATCTTTTGCTCTAAATTTCAGGTGCAAAACTTTTCTTTACACGATAATACGTGATATTTTGTATAAAAATAGATATTTTGCATTGAGAAGATGAATTAAATGGCATGTTTAAACAAAAATAAAAAAGAATCAAAAAGGATAAAGCCATAATTCACAATAGATATATATATATATACACTAGAAATTTTTACTATGAATTATTAATTCTATAAACATCAGATAGTACTTTAGCAGAAATAAAACATATCTTTGTAATTTTACACATTTTATTATTCAACCTTTTTACTTTTTTTTTTTAGAAAACAATTATATATAACAATAATTTTATTTTTTTAAAATAGTAAAATAAATAATAATAATAAGTAATGTGGTGTGGTAATTCTTGGAAGTAGCACTAACTATCCTATAGTGTGTTTCACATTCACTCTTTTCGATAATTGGTTCGAAGTGTAGTTGAACAACTCCATTTGCCACCATTTCTTATCTCTCTCTATCTAATATATATATATATAGAGAGAGAGAGAGAGAGAGAGAGAGAGAGAGAGAGCATATATGTATATATGTATATAATGTATGTATGTAATTAATTCATGGTCAAAAGTTGGTACCAATTCACATAATGGAGATTGAGAACATATAGCAAATTCATGAATTTTGGTTTTGGGTGTACCAATAATTACCTAATAACCTTATCCTCCCTCATTCATTACATTTACTAATACTAATACACTATTAAATATATGTATACATACATATATAGATATGCTTGAATCGGTATTTTCATACATTTAAATGAAAATATAACTAATATAACTATAATTTACCCAAAAACTACTAAATTTGGCTGCCAATACCTATTTTTTACTTTCCCTTTTTTTTTTATTAAAAGAATAACAACATGTGCTACATATATTTAATACACTTTGTTGAGAGAAAAATATTTTTTTTTTTCAAAAAAAGAAAAAAAAAAGTGCCGCAAAAGAAGTGCAGGAAAAGGCTGTGCATGTATTTTTAATAATCCACTGAAAATTTTTTAAAAAAAATTAAAATAATAATGAATACTTATCATCAATAAATATGTCTTATCCCACTTTCACTTCTCCTCACTTCATGTGTATCTTATCCATTCCTTATATTTGCCTTTATTCTGTCCAAGATCTTTTACTCTTCTTTTTCGATTTTGCAAATTTTGGACAGTACTATTCACCAACACAATTTTATTTATTTATTTTTTTACATGGTTTCAAATAATACAAAGTATACATACATACTGATAATTTTAATATACAATCAAAATCAAACAGCCCATTGATTTTTGTTATTTTAGAAATAAAATACTCTCTCCGTCCCAATACAATAGTCTCATTTCCTGTGAAACTATCGTTACTTTATTATTACACAATTGCTACTAATATATTCACAATCTTTTACCCGTATTTTTTACTCACTATCAATATAATATCAATATTTCTTAAATTCCATATCAAATCCAATCCAAACTATAGCTCTGCGACGAAGAGAGAGTTATAATAGGGAAAATAATATATTTTTTACCGTATACAATACAATATTCGAAAATCAAACACGTGTATGGGTTATATATATATATATATATAATACTTACGTATGGATGACATATATGTACGATTACGTGTTAGGGCATGAATATATCTCCCAACCTAAAACCTAACCGAACTTGACTCATTTTAGTTGCTGCATTGACTTGACCTGAACTAAAATAAATCAAGCCTTTTTATTTTATTTCATTTTTAAAATTAAAAATTAAAACGAGCATAACAGTATTCGTGAAACTTGATGTGTAGAAAATATTCCAATAATACCAATTCATATACTATAACCTAATAATCATAAAAATACTATCTTCTAAGCAATAAGTGCATTTTTGTACTTAGTCTCAAGTGTCAATTCTTATGCACTAATTCCACTAATTATTTGAAGACAAGAAAATGCGTCTAAGAGTTGAAATAAATTTCTAACACAAAATTAAACCACTAACTTGCAACCACTAAGTTCTGTTCAATTTTATTGTCATGTTATGCATAGAATTGAAGTTTTATGCGCTTTTCAATTTACCAAAATATAATTACAACTACTCTATATATTATCCACAGGTCAGAGAAAGATTTGAGTAACAGCAAGTCATTAAAACTAGAATACAGTAATTCAAATAGAACACTGCAACAACATATATGTACATTTAAATGGCTATAGTAAAGATAAACAACAAAAATGGACAAAATTTAAGTTAGCCATTATGAAGACAGAAAGGTTACTATAGATGAACTTGATGGAGACTCTCAATGAAGAATAGTGGCTTTCTAGACTTTCAAATAAAAATAAAAACAAAAGTGAAAAAGGGGTGTGAGAAAAGCAACAAGAAATTGTGACAGTGGGAGATCATGTGAACTGTGGAAGAATATAACACACACATAACATAATATATTTCATAGTAACTTTTTCTTATTCCAAACAACAATGATGACAAATTTATGGGATTCCCACAAGTCTTGTCTCATCATTCCAATACCTAAGTTAAGCCTTACTTTGTGGAATATTAAAATGGATTGTGGAGCACTTGTCCAAAGTCCAAACAAGTGAATACAGGAAGCACTTTGTGTGTTTCAAATGAACACTCCTTCCTTCCATATTCATTTTGGACACACACTGCACTACCAATGTTCATTATTTGCCAAGATTTTTAAGATTCGCCTTTTTAGCCAGCTAATTAGAGAAAAAGCACATAATTTTCATGATTATCAGTCAGATGAAAGAATTCAAATGGAATAAGTAATAAAGATGTTGAATTCAAACTACAATTAGAGTGTTTCTTAACTATGTTAAATGCTAAAATAACATAAAAGCTAATCCACTGAACATAACATGAAAATCGACTCCAATCAGCCTAAATTTTGTTAGGGGAAAAGCAAACAGTGGCCTACACACAATCAAAATATCCAAGAAACTTCCAGAGAAAGAAATTAGGGAGTTAACATAAACTAAAATATTAAACACTATTTGGTGTATAGATCAGCTGCAATAAATAAATGCAATAGCAACCAAAAAAGATTTAAATGCTCATAATTTTGTAAAATCAGTCTCAGGGGAACATTTATATATGTTCTTGTGGGTTGGAAAAAATGACCTAAAGAGGCGATGCTCATGCAACTTGGTATCAATTCTGGAAGAAATTGTTGCATGCATAGCGGTTCCTCCAATCTCAGAGGTCGTACCTCACATTCCATCTACAATTTCCATCAGCATTAATGGTCCAATTATTTTCACGCATCTGAAAATATGGAACCTGAAATGGTGGGGGTTAGGAAACAGGCTGAAGAAGATGCATTTGATAAAGCAATAAATAACTGCAGATTGCAATAATTTCACTTGACACCGAGCAAGCAATAAATAACTGCAGACTGCCATGTTTTCACTTGATATGAAGTGAGTAATATAACAAACTTGCAGATGGCACATTATCAACCACTGTAAGAAACAAAAAGAGATTTCTCTGTCCATTGATGTTACAATGCTTTCAGCTTCATCTCATGGATATTCTAAACAATCTCATACTTTACCATCTACCATCCAACAGATGTTATCACACGCAAATATTCAACCCATGGGTTCTCAAAATATACTTTTTAAGTTAATGTGATAATCAGTTCGCATGAATTAGAGATTACAAAGTCCATGCTTAGAAGAAGTGTTACAATGTTCATTGCATTATATTGAATTCTGGAAGGAGGTTAGATGTATAACTAGCACAAATCCCGAAATTCCAAGAAAATTTTCACAATACCTATATATCAATTTCACCCTTCCAATTCATTCAGGCATATTGTGACAAACAGTCAAAACCTAGAATTAACTATTTTCCACTGGTTTATATCATTTTAAAGGATTAAGAAAAATAAATAAAGGTGAACAGAGCCTGGTCCCTTGCAAGCATTTAAAACTGTCTCACACATGCCAGAATAGCAAAAGAAAACAAGCTGCTCCATGACAAGTAACCCAACCTCAACCACCCATCCAAAAATAGTGTATCTTCCAAAAGTACATAATGCAAACTAAAAATTTCCAACTACCAGCTAGCCCCCACACCCAAAAGAGGCTAATGTCTTCCTCAGTTCCTTTGGTGAGAGATACACTTCAATTATATTTAAACAAAGTGAAAGAGAAAAGTAATCAAACCTTGTCAAGGACATTATATCCTAATTTGAGCCGCAAATCCTGGTCTTTTTTAACATTGATGATGGTCCAAATAAATTCAGCAGCCCCAGTATAGTGTATCTGTTTTCAGACATTTCTGTTATTCTCTTTTTGTTAACTTCAAAATACATAAAACAAAAGACAAACAGAAATAAGTAAAATGCCACAAGGCAACTAAGAACAGAACATTACAGTAATGGGGAATTACGAAACCCTACAATGGGGATCATAAAATGTTACAAGCAGAGAAAATGAAAACAAAACCTGCTTAAATTCCTCATTAATCTCAGATCGACCTTTAATCCCAAAGCTTAGCAATCCGTCAGCAGTAGCTTGAAATACCTTCTTCCCTCGTACGTTATAGTGTACCTTCCTATTTCTATTGTATTGAACTCCAAAGCCAACATTGAACTATACATCCCAAGAAACATATGTCAAAAAACAAAAAAGGTTTGTGGCTTCATGAAGCATACACATGTGAAAACCTTAAAGATAGGGGATTGTAATAGTAGCATTTTACATAGGCACAAAGTTGATCAAGTTTCTTAGTGAAAGCAACAATAGAATTTTGAGTAAAGTTTCTCGTATTTGCTTCCTTGATGAGAGTGTTCATTTCCCACAAATTATATCCATCTTCAAATTAACAGTCCTTGTTATTGTCATCGGATGGTGGCAATCACTTGAAATCAATATATTCATTAAAAAAAAGGGTCACATACATCTGGATGGAAGTGTCTTATCATTGCATTGAAATATGTAGGCCCTCCAATCTTCGTGTCCAGCTCCCCATTAAGCTTTCAATTAGAGCAAAGCAGCCAAAATTAAATTTGAAAGCTCGAGTTAAAAAGCAAGTGCATTACAAGAATGTAATGGAACGCAACAAGCTAAAGCACCCAAGTGAAGAAGCAATCACCAGCAAACAAAAATCCATGGCTTAAACTAAGAAATAAAAAACACACCAATTCTGAGAGCCAAACATCCAAATCTAACATGTCGATGGCCACATTCTAGTGTCATTGATTTTCCCCAACTTAACAGTGTTCCCATTCATACACCAATTCTGTACCATTGTTTTTTTTTTTTTTTTTTTAAACTATTGACAAAGACAAATCACAATACACCAAAATCAAAACCCTCACTAAACATAGAAGCTATCCAAATAATTGGGAGGTAACTGTTCACTAAAACTCAGCCTAAGATGATTAATTCAATCGAATACTAAGAAGAAAAAAAAAATGCAGCAAAGAACGGAGAAGGTGGGGAATTTACTTGGCAGAACGTATTGGCAGCAATTGGAAACTTTTCCTTGGCGTGGATTCTGAGCGATTTGGAATCTCCGGCATACCTAAGAGAAGTCTCCATTCTGCAATCAACAGTAATTAGCGAATAGTGAAGAACCCCCACCCAAAGATAGAATGGAATAGAGATATGGCGAACAGTTCAAAGGGTTTAAAACGCGATTTAAGTTAGACTTCACATAAAGTTCAAAATAGTCAATTTTTTAACAATTTTTGGAATAAAAATTAGTACTCCTTTATGTCACATTATTAACTCCAATATAGAGATTAAAAATAATTATATTTTAAAATATGATAAATAAAAAATAAAAATAAAATATTATAAAAAATTATTCAATGGGCTAAATTTAATTATAATATTAAAAAAAACATTTGCAAAATTAATTTCAATTAGAAAATAATCTAAATAAATTTTACCCGGATAAAATAAAACATTTGCTACCATAAAATTTAAATATTAGCCCAAAAGAATTTTTTAGTTAAATTGTGGTGTAGCATTTTCAATCATTACAATACACGTGACAAAAATAATAAAATTGTGATTGTAATTCTTGCGTCTTGATTTACTTATCATGTGCTGATGTTATAGTTGATGTTATAATATAAGCTTAATGATATTTCAATTATTCATTATAATCTAACGACTATAATTAGTCAAAGGTATTTTAGTTTTTCATTATATTACTTTCATCTCTTCGTTTGCAATTTTTGTGCGCTGAATCGATTCTTGCCATTTTCGCAATCTTTGTGCGGTGAATCGATTCCTTGCCTTTAGTATGATTAATCGTTTGCTACGAATCCAACATAAAACTCTCAATCTAATTCTACTATGTGCCCTAGGCATTTTGATTCAGAAACTTGTTGCTGCGAACTCTCTCGGCCAACACTTCGATTCAGATTTTTCGCTCAAACTCAGATTGTGTAATTTGTATAATTTGTTTCTTGTGTTTTCTAATGTGTTTCAATTTTAAGAAAATTTGAAAACTAAATTTGTATAATGTATTTCTAGGAAAGAAGTAGCTGAGTATAGTTGCTTATTTCTTTGAGCTATAGTTGTTGTGGAGCAATAGACACGCGGTGCCTACCGAGTAAGGTATTAATTCAGCATTGCTGAATTGATATCTTAACCATTCATTATAATCTAACAACTGTAATTAGTCAAGGGTACTTTAGTATTTTCATTTCATTACTTTCTTCTCCTTCGTTAGCAATCCTTGTGCGCTGAATCCATTCCTTGCCTTTAGTGATTCTTTGCCCTTGTCATTCAGATTCTCTCAACCCGCGAGTCCCCGGCGAGTCCTCTGCTGCAAATCAAACATCAAACTCTCAATCTAATTCTGTTATGTGCCCTGTACATTTTGATTCAGAATTTAATTTTATTCTGTGCCCTAGACATTATGACATACCAAAACAAAAACATTAAAGCATTACTTATTTAATTTTGATTTGAGGTAAGATCTTATTTGAATTTTTATTTAAACAAGATTTTACCTAAAGAATAAAAATAAAATTTTCGTTATAAAACAATAAATAAAAACAAAATGTTATTTTTTTATTTAAAGCTAAATAAAAAAAACCTAAATATATTTGTTTTAAAATCTTAGATTCAATTGTTACTATTTATATAAAGAATTCCTAAAAAAATATAAAATAAAATACTTTAAGTTTTTATTTGATATAATATTAAAAATTAATTTTACATTAAAAAAAACATAGTATGTTCAAATTTTACTCTCAATCGAACAACCAAACTAGATTGGTAATCCAACTTCGTTATAACAATGAAATGGAAAAACAATGGGCAAAGCATCCATCCATGATCATAAAGTCATTAAACATTGTCCAACTAAAATATGGTATATCTCTTGTAATTCATGCTAATTTAAACTGCATAAGATCCCACAGTATCTAACAAAATTAAATATCCTCAACAAAATTTTTAGTCCAATTCACTTCAACTCATATGGAACAATCTCAAGTTCTGAGTAATCACTGATCTACTTTAGATCTCATCAATAACTTCAAGCAGTTCATCGAAATCCTGTCTCAGGAGATTAATTTTCTGCTGAATAGCCGCAACTCGATTCTCAATATCCCTACCACCAGATTTCTTCTCATAAGAATCCACAACAGTGGTATGTTTCAACATCAGCTTCTCTTGCAATTCCCTCTCCTTCAACACCAACTCTTCCACCTGCATTATTTAAGCCATCCATCCAAGGTAAGGTAAAAAATTTGGTGGCATTAAGAGTGTTAAAACCAACTTGTGTTCAAGTCTGCTCCTGAAACCAAGAAATATTAGTTTACCCAAGACTAGAAATACCCAAATAATATGCCCAATAGGAATTCTGATGCTGGTTTCAAATATTTCTTAATTCAACTTCGTATCTTTAAAATTTCCTGGAATAACTAGCAAGTTAGTCTTAGCCATGGACAATAAACCTCACCTAAAACCATCAAATTCTAGTCTCTAGAACTAGGCATAAGAAACCAAACATAACTTATTTTCCATTTAATAGAAAGATATCTGGAGTGCATTTGCCTAAATAGTCTGCTTCAAAATATATCATATTTGAGGCGTAGTGTTTAAATTCTAATTCATTAGTTCTGCGACTGGAATTTGTATGGGATAAATAAATTTTTTTATCTTTTAGTGGGTTTTATAGGTTCTCACCATATGAAATGTAAAATTTTACTATGAATTTTTATCTAAACAAGTTATCAGAGTATACTTTTAGGTTAAATGTGTTCACCAAAGTTTGTAAATGAATCCAACATAAATAATAAGAGTAGCTGCTAACCTTGGGCATTATCTGAGCTGCCTGTGGAGAAGATTGCAAGAATGACAACAAGGGTTTCAATTCCTTTGCCAGTTCCTTAAGGGCACTGTCAGCAGCCTTGCGTGATGCTTTGCATGCCTGCACATCACCGGTTCTTGAAAGATCACGCAATGATGCTTCCAGTTTGTCATGAACCACCACACATCGTTTCATGATGCTTTGGAACTGCTGAATTGCAGTTTGCACCTGTAGAAGATAATAATTTAGCCAACTTTATTCTTTTTTATGTTGTTGCATGCTGATGTGTTGCTGAACTATAATGTTAAGTCTTGCGTTTGAAAAATAAAAACACTCAAAAAATGAGGTAGAAAAAAAATCTAGTACCTCATCCCACTGAAGTTTTGCTAGATAAGAGGGGGAGGACTTTGAGATTGTGAGATCTGCATGTGTGTATACAACACATGCTACAAAAAAGAGGAAGAATCCAAAAATCAACATTAATGGCTCCCTAAAGAGAGAGAGGTTGCTGAATCTGTAATACACCTGAGGCAAAACAGATGCGTTAGATAGCTTTGAAAGGAAACATCTACATCATAGAGCTCATCATCAAATTGGCACCAAATTAACATCTATATGGAACTGCTAAAATACTTTAATCTCTAGTCAACAGGCAGACAGTCAATCTTTCTACTGCAAAGATATTAACATAATTGAATTAACCCGCTTATGCCAAACATAGATCCATTATTCCCCAAGAAATATATATGCTGATCCTAGTTTGTACCCAGCATCTGAAAAATTCTTTTTCCAACTATGCTTCAAAAGGGTGACCAACTTCCACAATAATTTCAAAGAATTAACAATCCCAAAGGTACCACTTCAAGCCTCATCAACTTAAAATTTTAATCAGAACTATAGAAGTGGAACAAATGAATCTGGAAATATAAATATATTTGCCTTTCATATACTTGTAACGATAAATATATACCCTATCATATAGGTGCCCTTTGTCAACATGACTTGTCTGATTTCCTATTCTAATATTATTATATGCTTTGTGCACTCAAGTACACATTCAACTTAGATATAATTATTTCCTCCCAACTAATTAGTAGATGGAAACAGCATTCTAGATCAAATTCACAGTGTGGAAGTTACTTATAGCTTGCCTTTTTAACCTCAGGCAAAGCAGTTGAAAGTTTAAATTACAGAATATACAAGCAATTGCAGCAGTACTTTTAAGGCACAGATTACTTGCTAAAATTAAACTGGACCTGACATTTTGGGAAAGCTAATTTAATTCTCATGGAGAAAATTATTGATAATCAAAATCACAAAGGTTGCTAAATGATGTATGTGGCTTAGGATATGACCTAGTAGCTTAAATATACAGTCTACTGTATTTAGATATTTGACTAGCTATATGACAATCTGAATTTTGTGGTTAGATGCAATGTATAGTATCTTAAAAAAGAAATTTAGTTTTTCCAATATCATTTAAAATTTATTATTGACGAAAAAAATCTTCTACAATGGTACCAACATGGGATAATCACCTGGAAAAGTCGATTATGTTCTGGCACAACATTTGTTTTCTCCAATACAATAACTGGCCTCCCAACCATATCTAGGTGGGAAAACTTGGTCTGCAGTTGTGCAAAAGTAGTATATGAGAATAAAGGCTCAACTTTTCGGTCATACAGACAGTAATTAAAGATTTAATATGCCTTCTCAACATACCTCTTGAGATCGTTTCACCTGAAATGGAACAGAAACAGAGATGTCTTTTGACCCTTCTGGTAAAACAACCTGAAATGGAAGAAGCAATAACAAGTATTACCAATCAGAATTGACTAGAGAAATAAATAGATAAGTGGGAATAATACATATTCGCTTATGAAACATAAGTTGAAGAGTAACATACTTTTTCATCATCAAATTATGTGCAACAATTATCTGTCAGATCCAACATCTTAACTTCAACATAATAGAATCAAAAGAAATGGTACCTTCACAGTCAAATTTTCAATGACCAGATCACTCATTGAACAGCCAAAGAAGATGTTAAGAAAACGTTTGCCCTCCGATCTGAACAAAAAGTCTTCAAGCGGCAAGCCATATCCAATGGTAAAAGAAGTTCGCCAACCACCAAGCAAAGGAAATCGTGGCTCAATTTCCAGTAGTGTCTGCATTGAAAGGAATGAATATCAAAATTAGAAAGGAAACCAATCACACAATGCCAGATGCTAAGCACTTTCAAGTGCATCATTACCCACCTTTGCTGAATCACTAAATACATTTGATGTAGAAATATTTCCAATATCATCCCTGTAGTAAATAGAATGAGCTCGTGGTGGTAGCTTGGCAACTAGATTTTTTATTGCAGAAGCTCCTCTAATGTGGGGTCGCATCTGAAAGTCTAGCCTGCAAATATTCATAAATAGGTAATATATAAAGAACTGCCTCTTTATAGAATATGGTATAGATAAGGCATTGAATAGTGTATTCATACCTTGAGAACTCCCCGGTGAGCTCAGCACCGGCATGAGCAAGGTTATAAGCTTCCGTGATTTGCACATTTCCCCAATGGGAAATCTCAATCTCTCGTACCAACTCCCGAGCAACAGCAAATGGGTTATTGCTTACATAGTGAACTACTATTGGGTTGTACGAGAAAGGAGGAATGTTATCATAAGGACCATACTTAATTTCTGAACCAGAGAACTTGGTATTCTCCAGTTTTGTGTAAGTTTCAACTTTTGGCTCCGGTAATTTGATAGTAAGTGACTGAACCTTGATTGCATAAGGGGAGAGATAATGTGCACCATCTTGGAAGGCAACAAGCTGAGCATCAGATTGAGTTATTTTCTCAGGGAATGGGCTTAGTATATGAGTAAATGCAGCTTTAATCTCCAACGACACGCTTCCTCCCTTTCCCAGTGCCTTGGGTAAAGTGACGGAATACCAAGTCAAGCCTGGTGGTGTTCCTTCTGGATTGGAAGCTTCAATAGGAAGACTAACAGAGGATTCTTTTGTTTTTCCTTTGCCCTCACTAACTACCACAGACAGAAAAGCCATCTTCTTTGCTTGATGCTCAGGGAACGGCAACAGAATATTTGACACTGCATCAGCACCATTATTTTCTACCTGGGAGATTCAAATAAATTAGCTCTAATAGCAATTGAACCCCTGTTATTGAAGAAAAATAAAGAACCTAAACCAACAACAGCTGGGAAAAGCACCTTCAGAGATACAGACGATCGCACTATATGGGATGATAAATCAATCTGCACCAGAAATGGGTAAAAGTCAATAACAACCACTGGTAGAAGCTCACATAGGCCTGAAAAAAAACGTATCCAAACTCGAAAGTTTTAATTTAATGTCAAATCCAAAACAATTGTCGCACGAAACACTTCAGTTTCTCTGGAATACACAAATATAATGCATTATAATCAACCTAACGCTTGTTGACCACTCGTCTAAGTAACCAACGTAGCGAAAATAGCAATAATCAAAACCCAGAGTAGTATTTCCCCTGATTGCTCCATTTTAAACCCTAGTCCATCTCAGGCGAACTTTTACACCAAAACCCCTAAAGAAACCAAATTTTTTGGACGCAAAAATCTGCGACAAAATCTAAGACAAAACCATAACTTAAACAAGGTTTTACCCGGCGATCAAGCTTGGAGATAACAAGATCGGAGGAGCACACAGCAGAGAAAAATGTACAAAATCCTAACACAAAAACAAAAACAAATGCGAATGGGAGATCCGATCGAATCCGCTTCATTTCTCAAACTTCTCGACTCGATCGGGAACCGCAATTATTGGAGTGGAAAGCGAAGCGATTCCAAACAACACGCCGCAGCTCCGATGCAGAAGATCTGAAACTGCTCGGCCTACGTTGGAACCAGCAGCAGCAGCTCGCAGTTTGTCTAATGAGCCGACGACTTTGCTCCAGAGCCCGTCCTCGCGTTTTCCATTTTCCCGCATCCTGAATAGGATTTTGTGAAAAACACGCTTTTTCTTTATTTTTTTATTTTGTGAAACACGCTTTCTATTCATTTATTTATATAACGACTTATAGTTGAAGAATTCAGATCATCAAGAATCAAACTCTACATTATGAGAACTGTTGTTGAGTCACAATACTCAGCTAATGAGCGAGCTTATTTACAAAACAAATGAATCGAACAATCTTCCCAGATCGATCTTCACTTGGCTTCTTCAGGTGGAGTTACTTCCAAAAGTTCGATATTGAGTTCAAATTCAGCCCCAGGCTGCAATGCAAAACAATTCATAATTACATTCTGAGAATGACTAATGTTCACTGCGAGAATGTCCAAAGATTACCGGAATTTCATTCATTCCATTGGAGCCATAGCCGGCCTCCGAAGAAACAATCACAGTCCTCTGCAACAACAACAAAAAATGATAGAAATGAGACCAATCCGAAGACATCATTCTTTGATTAGCATTACCTTTCCCCCGACTTTCATCCCCTCAGTTATCGTGTACATAGCTTTTGGAGGCTTCGGCGCAGCCTGCGCCGAGAACAGCCCGTTTGGATTGTCCGCAAACTCGCGCTTTCTCTCTTTCCCCGGAATTGCGCCGACTTGAAACTCATATGGCTGTTCAATTGGTAAAGTTCAGTATTGCATCTAACCAACTGATCAATGCTGAATCTAACTATAGTAGAAAGATTCAATAACCTGAGCAATTATTCGATTCCCAGCCAAGAGTTTCGATTCTCGGCTCGACACGGCTGTAATGCCACGGTACATACAATCGAAGTGTACCTGTTGAATTTGTGCACTCAAAAAGGTTCAGCTTATAGAAACATCTTCAGATATCATTAATGGTGGTAATAGAACAGTCATTGTGCAGAGAAACCTTCACTGTGGATCCTTTTTCAGCAGTTCGACCCTTCCCTTCAACAAGATCATAATACTTAATCCCATCAGCTGCTTCAGAGGAGAAACCATTGATTTCAACAAGCAATTCAAGGCGAGGGATTTATATTTCAGAGAGTTATCTTATCCTTAACCATACAGACAATTTTCCGGATGAATTAACAGCAGGAAGCTCTAAAAATGCAAGAAAGTAACTGAAAGGATAAATTAACTAACAGCTGGTGAGATAATCTTCGAGAGGAATATTCTTCCTGATGCGCCTCTCTCTGGCGAGCAGCGTCTGTGGAAGTGCAGTGAGGGTGAAGGGCACCACAGAGATGAGAATTACAGACCTTCTCGGAATGGACAATGGTGTAAGAACCAGCTTTTGCCCGTTGGGGCCTGTGGGTTTTGAACAAAATTGAGAACTATCGAACACACATTTCTCAAAGGTCCTCAAAGAAGCCATGGCCGTTGGAGCCACGTACACCGAAATCGCCAGATATATTAGAATAAAAAAAGGGATCTTTTTTCGCCGGTGCATTGGATGGTTGTACCTTGCGCTCCGAGGATGGTACCGGAGGAAGAAAAGTGGAGAAAACAGTGAAATTTCTCAAAAACTACACATTGTCCAGAGTAAATAAGAAAGACAAACTATGCCAGAGTATCTCCTATTGTCTGAAAATCTGCACATGTCTAAAAATCTACATACATCACCTCTATATATATCTATATATATGTATGTATATGTATATGTATATATGATACAGTGAAGAGAGATGGTGATGATAAGGTGAGGTCAGGGCCCTGTGAGCAAGTCTTTGATGCCTCGTTCTTCGACGTCGGATATGTCTACATGGGCTGTGATATTGGCCGTCTCTCCAGAGGTTTTCTCGCCCATTTCAAGACCGCCACCGCCGCCGCTGCCGCCTCTCCCGCTTCCGTTGGGAGAATGCCCCGGCGAGTCGTCGTCGGTGCTGCCTCCCAGCTTCCTCATCCGCGGCTGGGTGCTGCCGCCGGTGCTCCCCCCGCCGCTCCCTGTCCCGCCTTTGTGCTTTATCTTGTGGTGCCAGCTCATCAACGCCTTCGATGTTTGCTCGTCGAAGATTGACTTCTTCATAAACGATCCCATCTATATATACATATATATATATATGTGTGTTTATAGATTTTCAGACACAGACAAGAAACAGAGGATGTAAGAAGAAGGAGATGTGTTGATGCTATTTATTACCTGTGTTACGAGTGCGTACAGAGGAAGCGTTATGTAGCTGCACACGAACTGCAGCATTATCCTGCCATCCACCGATTAGCTGCTTCACTCAGAAATCGGATATGTGTATCCATAAATATATGTATATATATACCCGATGATGACTCTAACAACGGCAAGATTGAAGTTCTTGTGGAAGCAAGAATGCAGCCCGAATTCGTACTGCAATAAGTCGACACATTACATTACATTAGCTTGTCTGATCGGGTAGTTTATGCGAAAGAAACTATGCAAATTCGAGTAAAGTTTGTACCCATATCCACATGAAGTGTGTGATTTCGAAAGAGTTCTGGAGGTCATGACAACAACAAGGTAATCATTTGTTAAGGTAGTTTGGAAATAAGGCGTGGCCAAAGTTGAAGAAATGAAAAAAAAAATGGCGTGACCTGAAAGAGGGCTAGATGGATGAGTTGAAGCACTAACTTAGGCTTGCTGAACCAAAAATGGCGGTCGGAGACTTGCACTAATGGAATGCCTTGAATCACGGCGTGCTTCTCTTGGATCTCGATGGCCATTTGAGTAATAATCGACTGCAGCTTCGTCCCAACTGAAAAGATTAGCTTAAGAAACCAAATGAACTGGTTACTCACCTGTAAGAATTTGACATAAGCAATGTAAGAACAGCAAGCCTTACTATCATCGGCATTAATGACAGCCAAAACATGAAGAGCCCTCCTGAAATTTATCACAAAACCAGATCAGTATATCATATCATATGTTATGTCCGAAGAAAATAATTTTGTGTCGAAAAGAAAAACAGGGTGACCTTGGAGGTTGAGAAGCTGGTAAATGACAGTGATCATCCATAAGAAAGGACTGATAGTAGCACCAAGACATTACTTAATGTCAGACACAAAAACACATAATTTTCAGATATGTCTATTTACTTCAAAGCGTAACGATGCATCGAGTGGAAATAAGTATCATACGGTATTCCTACGACCACTTTGAAGTCGTCTTCCAAAGATCTTTTGATGTACTTTTGAAAGTTGAACTTGGTTCCGGCTGACAAATGGACCTATCGATCACATGATCGTAAAGTTAAACACATTATTGTCTCTACACTATTTTTCGAAATGCAGTTTAAGTAAGAAACTCACCGATACAAATCCATGGCGCAGTGTCAAGTAGTCGGATTTCTGCACTGAATACAGCATATGCCGGAAAAAACAGGCCTAAAATGTTGCATTGATTAAACTTAAAAATTCAAGGATCGGGTAGAGAACTTCATAAGCTTACACATTTAGCGCGATAAATTATGAAGAAATCATCGATCATAGTTATAAACATTTATGTCTTACAACATAGAAGAAGATGGGATTCTGCATCCAAGAATTGGTGTGGCTTTTCACGAAGGATGTCTCGTGCGTGAGCCTGAATCGCGTGGGATCTGTGTAAGAAGATAAGCAACTGTAGTTTAAAGGACTTTAAAAACGAGGTTTCTTAATGATCTTCAAAACAAAATGGAGCTATAGTCGTAATAAATACCATTCGATGCAGCAGTTTCTCTTTCAATCTGCTCTTCCCATTCCTTCCATCCCCGAATCTGCGCAACGAACACAACACAATCGAAGTTAACTACACAAAACGATAAATTATTATTACATAGACCTGTTAGGACAGTACCTTCAACCTCCCAAGCATCATCGTCATGGAACTGTAAAAGACATGAAACACAGCCAGAAAGAATATGAAGACATGGAGCTGATGAAGCCCATTCTGAGATATAAGCGACACTTTTCCCTACAACATCGGAAATGTAATGTATGCATAGTTAAGGTCGAAAACACACAGGTTGTATGCAAATTATTACATATAAAAGAGTCGTAATTCTTTCTTTCTTACAGGGGGGCACCCCTTGGCGGTGGAGCCTCCGGCCAACATTCTGTGCTCGTACATCAGAAGTCTCCGGTGCTGCGCGCCTTGCTCCTTAGCAGGCTTAGGCTCCGGCTTGTGGTCCCCTGTCCCGGCAGTGTGGTGAACTTCACACGGCCACAAATTGTTGGCGATGTCGACAGGGAGACAGATGCTCGCAATGTGGCTCTGCCCAAATGTCAGAAGTAGGGAAATGAATCCCAGAATCATAAGCTCTGTAAGAGTACATCACAACAGGTTATCATCAACTGACCTCAAATCCCGAAAACATATATACATTTCTATCCATACCTGCTTTGATTTTCTCAACGGCTTCGACCAGGGCGAGCTTCTTCCTTTTGTGAAACGCCTAAGATATTATTATTATTACAATTTATAGATATGGATGTCTGTAAATGAATCAATCTTGTTATGTATCGAAACACAGAGATTGCAAATGTTGAAACATACATACCATGGTGATTTTATGGAGGACTTTTTCGATGATGATGGAGATCATTATAATGACGACAGTAACCAATGCAACAGCCCATGTGGGAGTCCTGTCGAGCTCCCTCGACGATTTTGCTCCCGCAGCATCGCCACCGCCACCCATTCCTGTATGATATAGATGCGATGAAGAATAGACGACGAAGAAAGAATACAAATTAGACGTGAAGAATGTCTGTCATCTTCTGATCTGATCTAATCTCATCTGGGAATTCAATGGAGAAAATTTTTGTCATCAAAAGTGAGTCGTATTTTTGTCAAGTTTCCCATAATAGTGAAAGCCAGAAATTCCGGTGGTCGTTATAATCTGTCCTAACTAAATCCAACTTCCTTGTGGATCATCTCATTTTTACCCCCTCCTATCCCCCTTTCTTTATATTGTAACTATACTATATTTTGAAAAACTATAAATGTCCTAAATTATTTTGAATCAAAATAAAATGAATTCTTCGATTCGAGACACAGCAAATTAGACAATGAGAAAATTTAACTTGGTTCCAAAAGTCACATTAAATCATCGTTTTCCTACAGTCTAGACGAACAGATCAGGTCAATTCATGTCCGAATCCAACATTAATCCAACTGAGAAGAAAATTGATTCTGCTGTTGCGAATCACTCGGGACAAATACAGGAAGCTGACCCCCTCGCTGAGATCTCCCCTGCTGATAATAACTCGAACTCGAGCTCCTCTGCGAAGCGCCCGGCGGAAGCGCAGATCTTGCGCCTCTGCCAGCCTGCTCGCTCACAAGCGGCCCGCCAAAGAATATCGATGGGCCAGTGTACGTAAGCTCCGTCGTAGCGCCACAAGTCTGGGAGGACGACCCGCCAATACTCCTTGTTGCAGAAGACACGAACCTGCCCGCCTCTGGATCCCAATAAACAGACGATTTCGCGGTGTCTGCATGGCTGGTTGGATTGGCTTTTCTCATCGGAGCTTGGACTGCTGCTTTTGCGGATACAGGAGACTGCACAGATGATGTCTGATATATGGGGTTGAAGTGGTGGTCGAGAGGCGACGGGCTGAGGTTGTTCGCCGCAATGGGGCTGCTCATGTTGCTGATGCTGTGGTCAGTTTCGTCCCTACTGGCTCGGCTGGGGGGATACGAGCTCTTGGCGGATGTAGCCGGTAGGGTGGTGTGGGGGTCGTAGTAGCCGTGCCGTGTGCTGGCGGGGCTGCTTATGTGGCTCATCGTAGTGCTGGATATGTGGTCGGTGTCGTTGTGGTGAGATCGAGAGGTTACTGGTCGTAGAACTGATGATGAAGCTCGAGCTTTCTCGCCGGCTTTGATGGCCTCGTTGGAATCCAGTTTTGCGAGCTTCCAGGCGCTGATTCGGATGGGGCGTTGAGATACTCTTTTGCCTTTGTCGGGTTGTACAGTGTCTGGATCGACTGTTGACGGAAGACGGCCTGGCTCGAGGTGAGGGACAATTTCATCCTGGAGAAGACAAGAAACAAATGTATTTCGACAACTCAGAAAGAAATGAAAATCAGACAAATGTAAAATGGTGTGGAGAGCCAATTATACCTGATGATCCATAAATATCCTAGGGGGTGTACACCAAGCACCTTTATATTGCAGGCCCTTTCCGAGCGAGCTTCTCGCACTCACGGCAGTGACAGCCGAACTAGTTGGCGAAGAAGGTAAGCTTTGTTGATCTCCTCCGTCCGCAGATGGTCCAGGTGGCTCACTTTGGGTCCTCATAGCGACAACATATTCATACGTCGTGATGCCCTGCAATTAAGGAAACAAACAGCTTTTAGAGCCTTTTGTTAAGGGATTTTGTGCCTTCCAGCAATGTAATACCGACGCCTAATGTGCTTTAGTTTAACAGAAAAGATTGGGTTGTGTAACAGTAAACAACTCACCTTTCTTATTAGAAGGATGTGGAAAAAGAACAATTCTCCTAAAGGCACTGTTGCCAAAAGGGAAACGGCTGTACAAAGCGCCTGTATTGCAGAAATAAAGTAAAAACGAATGATTCACAAAATGTCGACATAATATAATGATGGTAAAGCACTCTGTGGAGTGAGATATGGGGGGTAGATGAGAGTGAAGAGGTACAAGAACATACCACTACAGTGGCAAATGGTGGGCGAGAGAATCCGTCACCGAGCCTGTCAATTATTTGACTCTCTGTAGCTTTTTTATCAACAAAACAACGAACAAGGACTGCAACTCCCACTGCACATTCAAACACAAGCTGATGCAAAAAAGTCGAATCTTTATTAGAAAAGCAATATAGAAACACATAGATCAGACAGAGATGTCGGCACAGGTATTAGAAATAAAATTGAAGAGATTGATAGACAAGAACAGAGCCTACCCAGAGAAGGCTTGCAGCCATTAAGCACACAAATGTGATGTAGTTTTTTCTACCCACACAATTATTCAGCCACTGCAAGTATTAAAACATCAAAAACATGTTTAGATAAAAGTCGAGGATCCAAATTGGGTAAAGGAGATGCTTTCTCCAGTCTCCACTATGAATAACTACGCAAAAAGGTATAGATCATAACAATAAACAGAGATGCAGAGAAGTACAAAACCACAATTCTCGAGGCAAATATCTAACTCACCCGGCAATGATGATCAAATCCATCAACGCATTTGTCACAGCTTCTGCAGTGTTTACTGAACTTCCGCACCTAAGAAAGAGAAAGAGTAGTGAGTTGGATATAAATTACGAAATTAAAGAATTCAACACATGATAGCATCTGAGAACGTGGGATGGTGCCATAATACATAAAGACAAGGAACAGGTATAAAAAAATCGAATCAAATTCTTGGACCCCTAGGGAAAAACGTAATACAGAGATAAGGATTAGGGAGATTGGAAGAGTCTTTACCAAAGGCCTCAGAGGATACACTTCTCTAGTATATTAACACCTTACAGATAAGAACAAGCAGTACCAAAAAAAGACTGACTAGAACACTTTCTGAAGTGCCATACCTCAGCATGGCACAACGTGCAAAACAATCCATCCTCATCATCATTTTGTTCCCCAGAATCTTCATCTTTGCGGCAGTCCGGTATCACAAGAAAGCCACATAGGCAACCTCCAATTTTTGAACAGCAACCTGTATCCTGCCTGTACGATTGTTCTCCATTCTTCAGTCTTAATTTAGTGGGCTCTCCAGTTGTAGATAAATTACCTAATTGAAACCATCCAAATATCAAATAGCAGTATATCTGATGTTATAGTTTCATCACTAAATGAGATCAGACAAAATTGCAGCAAAATACTCGAGAAAAAAGCAAGTGAAGAAAACAAGCAATCTTATAGGACAACCTAATAATCACAAACTAAACTCCTACATTTTTTATTCTTTTTTCATCGGATGTGTGGAACATTTCAAGAATAAATTTCACTTAGCATTTTGTTTGTACACATTACACGCACCAGGCAATTCTGTGCCGTGATGGGATGTGTAAGCTGATTCCCTGTCAGCTTCAACTAGAATCCCCGGATCGGCAGGGTCAATAGCTGTGCATCTCACATAAAGTATAAACACAGAGAGCGCCTGGAATGAATTAAGCACGATAAGAAGCAGAAAACATTCTGATGCTGTAAGAATAAAAATAAAAAATGAACCCCAGCCGCAACTTACCAGAAATGAATAAATGCCTAAGGCTAAGTACTCATAGATGTCCTTTCCAAGGAAAGGAGCGAAGAATGCATAAAATGCAACAGAAAGAAGGAAGAAAACTGTTATAGCCACGACCTGCATGTGAAAAGATACAGAAGCAAGATGAGTATCGAATGTGTCGAGGCTCATCCAATTAGCACTTTCAGAATTCGATAAAACTTAAACAGTGTACATGGTTTTGCACTTTGACAAGAATGTTGATGCGAATAAATTGTTTATTGTCGAGGCTCACAGCAAATTCTTGGCTAAATCTAATAATTCTAAATCTCTTCCCAATGAACATACAGCCATAAGCTCAGCAAAGAAATCTAATCCGTACACATTAAAGTCCCAACAGCTTCAAGATCTTTCTTGCTGAAACTCTAAAAACATTTAATTTCGCAGCTACAGGAACTCAAAAAACGAACTCCATCATTTCAGATCAAGTTAAATGATTCCAACCAAGTTTAAATCCACTTCATTAAATGAAAATAGGTGAGGTTATCCACACCACACATATACCTAAAAGCATCTTCATCAGTACACTAACATTTTCCATGTCGAATTTGAGAATATTCATGAATTTCCAACCACACCCATCTGAATCACTAAAGTAAATCAGAAAAGACTACACGGGCAAACTTCCGAACAAAAAGTCACGAAGCCGAACCCCACATTTCCCGAGTCAAACCGCCGTCAAGATCAGCAGCATTCACAAACCATAACCAAAAAAAGAAAGAACACCAAACCTGTAGAGAGTGGGCAGGGAGTTCCCAACCATGACGTCTTGCCATTGATTCAAAAAGCCAGCGAAAACCACCACCATTCACACTTGAAAAGAAGTAAAAAAGTTCAAAGGCACCAGATTTCAAGGAAATAAAGGCAAAAACATGGCATTAAATTCGAACCCACTAGACTAGAGAGGCGGACGAAAGTCAAAAAATAAAAAACCCCAATCTTTCCCAGTTCTTAGTTTTCAGACAAACCCCCAAAGTCACCATCAAAACCCTCCCAAGATTTCAATGCAGACCCAGACCCAGATGCCCAGAACCCGTTACATAATCTTCATTCCCAAAATATAGGGCTTTGCGCATTCTGGTTCCCGATTTCGACGAACAAAGAGGAAGAAGAAGGGAGGAGCCTAGAGAAAAGGGTCGGGTCTAATTTGTTCCGTAGAGGGCAGCACTGAGACGCTGACTTGACTCGTTTGAAAAGCTCCCTGAATCGCAACACCAGATTAATCCAAACCGTCGATTTTTAAGGCCCACTTATTGAACGGCGTAGATCCTCTAGTATAGTGAATTATTGAAACCATCATTTGACGCTAAGTTATACTGGTTAATCAAAACCACCATCATTTATGTTCATCTTCATGATTCCTCCAACAGAATCACTGCACTGCACTGGTAAATTTATGATATGATGATCTCCAGATGGACTATAACAGATAACAACAACAACAACAGCACCTGAAAAATCATTAATAATAAATTTGTGTTTGTTTGGGTGAATATTCAAACACCAAACCTAACTAAACCAAACCAAAGTTGTTTATTACCCATCCATCTATCTATCTATTCTCTCCTCTGCTGCATCATTTAGTTTAATGAAGTTGGAAGCAATAATGATGGTGCATGTGGGTGAGGTGGTTGGAGGCACTACTGGAAGTGGAAATCTTATTTCTTTTTTTTTGGACGTACTATAATATTTTTACTTAGTTTATTTAAGCAGAGCATTGACCTATCCCAGTATCCATTAGCCTAATCATGATCTGAGCTGCCCTTTTGCAATTATAACAAAGTAATAACAATAATAATAATAATACGGACAAAATGAGTTGGTAATTTGAAGCCCTTCGTATTACTTTGTACAAAATCATTAAGTGGTAAATAGTATAGATAAAATGATTGATAAATAAATTGCTACCATTATGTTTTGATATGTTATAGAAGTGCTATATGTGTGATTCTTCTTTGTTTTAGAAAATTGAATTGTGTCAAAAACAATAATAATTTCAAAATATATGTAAACAAAACCCATATATTTGTTGGATTAAACTCTATTCTTTCTAATTTTACTTATCTGTTTGCGATAAATCATTAAAAAAAAGGCATAATTATAATGTACTTTTAAGAATATATCCTTGATTAAAGTGTAAATTCTTCCTTAGGAACACAATAAGAGAAAGTGGATTGAGATACAATTTATTTTGAAAAAAGAAGAAGATATTAATAAAAATTTAATATTATATAAACAAAAAAATGTTTATTTATTAATTCTATTACATAAATATATGTTTAATATTTATTTTTATCTAAAAGATTATATTTAATTAAAAACATACACACATTATTATATATATAAATACAAGAAACATAAAAACTTAAAAGTGTTTGTTATATAATACTCCATATTTAAATTAAATTTTTTAAAAATATAATAGTATTTTATATATAAAAAAAAAAAAAAGAAAGACTTTTTCTTTAAGAGATAAAAAAATAATAATGCAACACAAACAAGTGCAAAGGTAATTAATCAAGCTGCAAGTTCCATGATTTCTATTTCCTCAATAATGGAATTCAAGCTCATCAATTTTCCATGATCAAATCTAATTTCATCTGTAACATGATCCAACACTGCAAATATCTGTCTGCATCTCGGATGAGACCTATCCTCCACAAAGAATCTATGGATTCTGCCTCCTCCTTCCTCGATCAAGCTATGCCCTGCTGCTTTTGCATCGCTCGATCTTTTCATCATCTTCCTCATCTTCGCAACTCCTTCCCATCTCCCAGCTTTCGCATAAATATTCGAAAGGATCACATAATTCCCAACATTCCATGGCTCCAGCACAGACAGTGCCTCCGCAGCTTTCTCAGCTAACTCAACCTCGCCGTGAAAACTGCATGCCCCGAGCAATGCTCCCCACACCACCGAATCAGCAGCCATTGGCATACTCTTTATCAGCTCATAAGCTTCACGCAGACATCCGGCACGGCCAAGAAGATCAACCATGCATCCGTAGTGCTCTATCTTCGGACTAATTGAATACCTTTTCTCCATGGAATTGAACATGTCGCGCCCTTTCTTAACCATGCCCCCGTGCACGCACGCAAGGATTGCGCCGACAAATGTTACGTCGTCTGGATTCAACCCTATTCTCTGCATAGCCATGTAACCCATGATCATATATGTGTATATATATATATATATTTGAAAATGATCAGAAAATTTACCAGCATTTGATCAAAAAAATCGAGAGCATCCTCCCATCTTCCATGGACAGCTAACCCCATGATCATGGTGTTCCAAGAACATAAATTTCTATTTCCACCAATTTGATCAAACACCTGCATTGCTTCCTCGATTAAACCACATCTTGCATACATCTCCAGCACGGCATTGCAGACGAATGGATTGTTCGAGTAACCATTAGCTCGAGCATAAGCCTCGATTCTCCGTCCAGCCTCCAATGCCCCGAGATTCGCACACGCCGGAAGAACACTTGCTATGGTAACATCATTCGGCTTCACATTTCCCTCCCTCACCATTTCCAGATACATCTCCAATGCCTCCCTGTATTTACCGTTCTGTGAGTACCCCGATATCAGAGCAGTCCATGAAATCACATTCTTCGACGGCATAGCTGAGAACAAACGCAGAGCTTCCTCCAAATCCCCGCGTCTAGTATGCGCAGCGATCAAGCAATTCCAAGTGGCCACATCCTTAGCAGTCGTTTCATCAAACAGTTTCCTCGCGAGCGGCAGCAGACCCATCTTAGCGTACATGTCGACCAACGATGTAATTGCGTAGACATCGCCATCGAGCCCGAATTCAACCAAATGGGAGTGGAGCATCTGGCCTTGGGAAGGATTGGACAGAGCAGTGCAGGCGGTAAAGAGGAAGGCGAAGGTGTGTGGATTGGGGGACAAGCAGCGACGACGAAGAAGAATTTGGGTATAGAGAGAGAAACAGTGGAAATGAGGTCCGTGAGAAGCGTAGGCCTGGATGAGCTTGTTGTAGAGGAAGAGTGTTGGTTGGGGCGTATTGTCGAACACCTTGTGGGCGTATCCAATTTGAGGAATTTCCAGGAGCTTGGTGATCAAGAATTTTGTAAAGTTGGTGCCATTTCTCAACATATGCGCGTGCACTTGTTTGAGTTGTTTCATTTAGGAATTACGCCTGTCCCGGGGAAGAAGACGACGCCAGTTTCAGTTTCAGACAGCAACAATGGTGAATATCCAAATTCCCCTTTTTAACCTTTCTCTCTCTATCTCTAACGAAATTAGGGTTTCTAATCATTAACAATGTTTGATATTTTAAACTTTTCCTAATAATTCGCCCGTCGACTCCACGTGGCGGCAGTTACATCTGCAAGAGCAGTCTCGATATCATCGACTGGGGGAAAGGTTATTACCTTCTCAATTTCGATTTTGCTCTCTGTTTCTCTGAACCACTTTCAGAATGGCGGCTCTGTCCAATGCTCTCGTGATTTCAGAACCACGTTCTCTGCTCCGTTCGTCGTCCGGTATGCATTGCGATGTTCTGATCCATTGATTGTTTGATTGTGTGCTCGTAATTTCTTATATTGTTCGAAATCAACAGCTTGCCATTTTTCTTGTGAATTGCTTGGCTCTGTGTGTTGGAAGTTGTAATTTATACAAGTTTTTATAGATCATGACATGCTCTTCCCCATTCTTTTTCAAGATCAATTGATTTACCTTCCTAATTTTGCATCTCATCGTCTATGGCATTTCCTTTACATAAAAAATCATTGATCACACTTTTGTAGGTGCTACTGTAAAATCATCAGACCAACTACTACAGACCACAAACTTAATTGGTTTAAAGAGCACGAGGAAACCCTCCATCCAGAAAAGGGCTCTCACCATTCAAGCTAGTTATAGGTATTGCCCTTCTTGGAAAATGATTCCGGCTGTTTTCGAGTCACAATGTAGATGAATCCACGAGTATCGATAATGTAACATAGATTCGACAAGTTCATTTATGAGTTCTTGGACTAGTTGTAAATGAAGGCACAATATCATGGGGACTAGTTTAGTGTCTCAATGTAGAGCATGCCGATAAGGAAATAGCCGAGCTCTATCTTTTCTTTTCAATGCAAATTGGGAGAAGCATCTTAAAGAGTTTTTTGCAAAATTTCATTTGGTGCAGTGACAGAGGGGGACCAAGCAGTGCAAGTATGTTTATTGGTGGTTTTGTTCTTGGCGGAGTAATTGTTGGAACGCTTGGTTGCATTTATGCGCCTCAGGTAGGTAGTATCGCCATCAGCGCATGCTGTCTTGTATGATGCATGTTCTTCCAATTCTTTATGATCGCAAAATGCCTATTTGTGTGACACAATGTTTAAATGGTGTTCTTTTGCTTCATAGATTAGCTATGCTTTAGCTGGAACAGACAAAAAGGATTTGATGAAAAAGTTACCCAAGTTCATATATGATGAAGAAAAGGCCTTGGAGGTAAGTGTCCCCATTTTCACCGGAAACATTTTGAGGTTAATTTTCACTTACAGTGCTCGAAAAAGAAACAGTTAAATAGGATCCGAGAATAGCTTCTTGATGTCTTCAAGGAATAAGTTTTATCCATTATAACTTCATAATTCAATAGTTACTAAACTTTATGCCTTATGCAATGAGCTATTTTTAGCCTTCAAATGAAGCTCCATTTCGTAATATTTGCGAGGCCTGAATGTAATTCTTGTGCACTGACAATCTCTTTTGTGTTCCTTTCCATCGACAGAAGCAGCGCAAGAAACTATCTGAAAAGATTGAACAGCTCAACCTTGCTATTGATGGCATGTCCAATCAGTTGCCATCTGAAGAACCTCCAATTGAAACAGCAGCAAGCGAAGACAATGAAATAGTTGCCTGAATTCGATGCAGCTATCATCTGGAGATGTCGTATCTTGTGACTTTTCTCATCTTTAATTAATGACTAGCGCCGAATCTATGGGATATGAATTGAACTTGTTTGCATGTTAGACCTCAAACTCTTTATGAATTTTCTTCGCAATTCTTCTCCACCAATCAATCATCATATGTAGAAAGAACTATGCTATTCTGATCTGAAGGTATTCTTGGCTTTAAAGAGGCTACTGTCTGATTATTCACCTTATCTCTCTTTTCTGGTTGTTTCCCCAATTAGCTAAATATGCATATTTAGAAGGCGATTTACTTTTACAGTGATGGTAAATTTACAGGGATTTTACATATGATCAAGATTGATTTGAAAGGGTTCAAAAGAACCCTCATTTTAATTTCTCAAAAAAGAGATGGGATTGAGTTTGGTGATTTGGGTAAAGAATGTTGACAATACTAAAAAATGCATGAAATGGGCAGTTGGGAACACATGGAAACAAAAACAGTAACTCACAGTGTAGGTGAGCAATCTTGTGGTTCATATCATGTTAGTGCTAAAAGGAGACATGATCTTATCTGATATCAATCCTCACCACTCATTCACAGCCATAATTTGTTCAAATCTCAGGCCAGAGAAGATCCCTCCCAAAAAAAGAAGAAAAAAAAGTCTACAAACAGCAGCATCTGAAATTTATTGTTCTATTGAAATTGCATACTAGCTGAGATAAGTTTGCATTGCAGTGATTGTTGCAGGAGCAGCCATGGCAGCTAATGCAGCTTTGGCATCTTCAAGAATCCCAACAAACTCCAGATTCCCTTCCAACACCATTCATTCTTTCCCTGCTCAGTGCTTCTCTAAGGTAATCAATTTTAATTTCCTCACCTCTTTCCTAAGATGAATTTTTGATTATTTATACAATTCAAGAAGTGGCTAATAAGGAAAATCAATCTTACTAAGGATCTTCAGATTTAGTTCATTAACTTCCATATCTAAGTGATCATACGTAAGAGCTTTATTCCATGCTTTCTGTGGTTGTTTTAGAAGCTTGAGGTAGCCGAATTCTCCGGCCTTAGGTCCACAAGTGGATGTGTGACCTTTGCCAAGAATTCTAGAGACGCTTCTTTCTATGATACAGTGGCTGCTCAGCTTACTCCCAAGGTATATATCGTAGATTCATTATTTTAGATACTACTTTTACTGGAAGATTTTGCTCAGTTTTGCTTTCATGTGTTCGATTTTTTCTAATCTTTGGATACACACTTATTGCACAAGATCAGACTGTTGGATCAGCACCGGTTAAAGGCCCAACTGTCGCCAAATTGAAGGTAGCTATCAATGGTTTCGGGCGCATTGGAAGGAACTTCCTTCGATGCTGGCATGGCCGGAAGGACTCCCCTTTGGATGTCATTGTAGTGAACGACAGTGGTGGCGTAAAAAACGTAGGTCTACAGAAAGCCAACAATAATTCAATATTGAAGAGTTTATACGATTCAACATTACATTGCAACTGTCCTTAAATTTCATTTGTAGGCCTCTCATTTGCTCAAGTACGACTCCATTCTCGGCTCCTTCAAGGCTGATGTTAAGGTAGTCGACAACACTACCATCAGTGTGGACGGGAAGCCCATTCAAGTAGTCTCCAACAGGGACCCTCTCCAACTCCCTTGGGCTGATCTTGGCATCGACATTGTCATTGAGGTTACATATACCTCCAAAACTTCACCAATCAATGCTTGTTTGTGAATTGTTAGATTATGATGTATCTGCTGCGCTGTCTGAATGCAGGGAACGGGAGTGTTTGTGGACGGTCCAGGAGCCGGGAAGCACATCCAAGCTGGAGCCAAGAAGGTCATAATTACAGCGCCGGCTAAAGGCGCTGACATACCGACCTACGTTGTTGGCGTAAACGAGCAGGACTACTCTCATGAGGTCTCTAACATCATAAGGTTAATATCTTCAGAAGAAATTCCCAGAATTTGATTTCTTGTATAAGCATATGTACAGACATTTCGATCCTTATTGTCAATGTGATGATCACAGCAATGCTTCTTGCACAACCAACTGTTTGGCTCCATTCGTTAAGATCATGGATGAAGAGTTTGGTAAGAAATCAATGCCATTTATCTTCCAGATTTGTTTCTAGCAGGAGACAAGATTCTTGTTGTTCGATATTTTCATCGTTTTTCAGGCATTGTCAAGGGTACAATGACAACTACGCACTCTTACACTGGCGATCAGGCAAGATTTTCGAACATGTTTATTAGTCTCCATTTCCTGGCTCGAAGCAAATAGGCTGATTCGATATATGTGTGTGTATATATTAGAGGCTTTTGGATGCTTCGCATCGCGATCTGAGGCGAGCGAGAGCAGCAGCGCTGAACATCGTGCCAACGAGCACGGGTGCAGCCAAGGCCGTGTCACTTGTGCTGCCTCAGCTCAAGGGCAAGCTGAACGGGATAGCGCTACGTGTTCCCACCCCGAATGTGTCGGTGGTCGACCTCGTCGTCAATGTGGAGAAGAAAGGAATCTCAGCTGAAGATGTGAATGCAGCTTTCAGAAAAGCAGCAGATGGGCCATTAGCAGGTGTGTTGGCTGTTTGCGACATCCCTCTCGTCTCGGTCGACTTCCGGTGCAGCGATGTCTCTTCCACCATTGACTCGTCGCTGACGATGGTCATGGGCGACGATATGGTGAAGGTCGTAGCTTGGTACGACAACGAATGGGGATACAGGTAGATCATACATTCCATTAACTTTACTTAGTTTCATTTCCCTTTGTCGAACTTCTCTATCCTGCTGCAGCCAACGGGTCGTGGATTTGGCACACTTGGTGGCGAACAAGTGGCCAGGCGCATCGGCACAAGGCAGCGGAGACTCGCTGGAAGAGTACTGCGAGACCAGCCCTGCAGATAAGGAATGCAAAGTTTATGAAGCTTGATCGAATTTCCTTCGAATCAATGTTTGCTGGATCGTTTCGATAAATTGAATTCTTGTTTTTGTCATTGAGGACGAATATGTATGCTTACGATGATAAATTTCTATCACATATCAAATGCTTTTCTATTGAATAACTGTTGTCTTGCTCGTATACTATTCATAACTACAGTTTGAGTTGCACTTCTTGGAGCCTAAGATGTGTTCTCAGAAAAACTTTGGGAGTGTCTTCTTACACTAGAATGCTTTTCCAGGTCGATTTCGCGGTTCCCTTCGCTCAACGATTTGTCCACCTTCCTCCGTTTCTTGTCGCTCCTCGACACATCCGCCTTCTCATCGATTAATGACAACAGCGTCTGAAACCTCTTTGAGCGCGAGCTGCTCGTTCCTTCTGATAAATTCTCATCGTGTTCGACTTGCAGGAACTTATGAATGATCTGTGCAAAGTAGATCAGCAGAGCGATTACGCAAGCGATTCCACAGAGAAGGAAAAGGCCTTGGAAGCTCTTGAGGTGGAGGCGATCAGATTCGAGCTCCGTGTTGTCTGATGCGCAGGGATGCGTTATCAACCACTTGTCGTGGATTCTTTGCAGGTCTCCATTCTCGGATAGTGTCAGAATCGCAGTTGACAGGTCGATGGCGAGGGGAGAGTCGCGGGGAAATGCCTTCACAACAGAAATGCAAAGAACCATCATTTGTGTTGTCAATCATCCGGAAATGCACCGAACAACGTAAAACAGGTATGAAAAAGAAGAAATTGCGAAAACTCACAAAGCCCCAGCCACTTTTGGTGAATTCTTGCCCGATGATTCGGTATTTGCATTGGCTCGCCAAGAAAAGCTCAATGTAGGGACGTTCATCGACCACAGCAGCAACACCGCCATTTTTGGGACCCTTTTGAAGTTCTGCGGCGTATTCTCCAGGTGAGCCAAGAGGTCTGAGTCTCGACTCATGTATGCCGATGCCATCTCTGAGATAACGCTCTGCAAAGGAGCCGGTTTGGAAGCCTATAGGATCGTTGCCTTCTTTCAGGCTCTCGATTCCTTTTATAGGCGAATAAAGCTGCTGTACCGTGAGAATTGAAGTCAGGCTGGCAGTGTAACTCGAGTTAACGATCAGAACCACAAAGAGCCATATGATCAGCACCAGCCGTCCGAGGGCGCTCACAGTATTCTCTTCTGCATTTCAACAAAGAATCGATAATTTAAACATGTAAAGAGTCGAAAAATTACCACCGTAGAGAAGTTCACTCACTGTGTGCAAAGAATAGAGTCGAGAGGCTGAACCTGCAGGGCAAGAAAACAGAATAATGTCTAAGGTAATTTTAACTACGCCGAATGTAGAGTGCCAAGCTGATGCTTATGCTCACCATACGATTGTTATCAGCTGCTGTTTTGGTGGTCCGCGAAATTCATCGTTAGTACGATGCTCCAAAATCCACACGACTATCCCGATGAAGATGAAAAATGCCGCGGTGACCCCCCACATTTGTAGAGAAAACGGCCTCAGGAATGCCCAAGCGCCTTGATTCACTTTCTTAACTGGCGCCACGACCACAAGCCCCGATGCTGCGTATGGCTGAGTGAAGTCCACGATTTTTGTTCGATTCGTCACAATCGTGATGTCACCTACAACGCCATCGAAGAACTAACACAGACAAGAACAATGATCAGCTACCAGCAGCAATAAGCAAACTATATATTTTCCGAACTGTATGTGGATTCATGCTTACCCCAGTAGTGATCAATCTCACTAACTCGTCGTAGCTAGGATTATCGCTCCCATTCCCATAAGGGACGAGCTGGTAAGGAACGGCGTACGGAAGGAGGTTTACGGCAGCTGTGAATACGTCTATGCAGAAACCTTGGGAGGAATTAGTACCCGGCGTTTGCCCCACAAATTCTAAGTACCCGACCCTTCTTGGTACACCGATCTTCAGTAGCTTCCCATTGTTCGGAAAAACCCAACCGCGGGGAGGTTTTGCAGATTCGCCGGGCCAAAGAACACTATTCAACTGTTGGTGTGCTCTGGAATGATTCTGCGGGAGCAAATACAGCTTCTCGGGAGCCACAGTCGACAGCCCGGAAGAGTTAGACCAGTAACCAACCCGATGGAGACCTGTCCCGATCACATTCACTATATCAAATGCAGGATGTACGAGAGATTTATCAGAACTAAACTTGACGGGGCCAGAAAGGCCGACAAAATCAGCCTCCAATATGTTCTTCAGAAGCAGAGGACCTCCCTCGAATGTGATCAACGCTTCGAGATGAAGATTACTCCCCGACAACGAACGTAACCTTGTATCATTTGAAAACGAAATAACCCCACCCTGATCAAAAAATGAATCGATGGCATGTGCAAGTAACCAAACGGTGTCGTAAGCGTAGAGGCCGTAAGAACTTAGCCCCAACAAACCACCGGTCAATTTATTCCATCTTGCCGAGAACGCTCTCTTCCTTTCTGAATCGGGAGTGTGTTGTCGTAGAACAAGGATACCTTGCATATTGCTGGTTATGGATTCCGAGTGAAGAGGAGGGGCAGAATCCAAAGCCGAGGAAAGCCAATCGGTGGCGATCCATACATAACCTTCTTCCATCATTCCAAGATAATGTGCGACAGAAAACACGGTGGATCCAACAGTTGGGTACACATGCAGAATAATAACTCGGGACTCCATCATCGCAACCTTGACAAGAATATTCATGATGTAGTTCGAGGTGACGACTCCTGGGGGAATGCCTGCTTTGTAGGAAACTTTACAGCGCTTCGCTGCAAGGGCGTCGTTTAATGCAGACAATCCGCTTCTTCCATAGTCATCGTCGATAAAAATCATGATCACTTCCCTCCAGCCATAATTTTCGACAATATCAGCTACTGCAGCCATCTGGTGCAGATCACTCTGCGTTGTCCTGATAAAGTATGGAAATTGAAGAGACGCGAGCGATGGATCCGTGGCTGCGAACGACAGAAAAGGCGTCGTCAGCTCATTTGCAATGTGCAGAATGTTATGAGCAACCACCGATGATTGAGGACCGATGACAGCCACCACGTCTGTCTCCATAAACTCCAAAGCTGCAAACAAGATCAGAATTTGTCAATTCCCCGGAAAATCGAGGTTTTAAGAGCTACAAAGACTATAGATATGAAATGACAATTTACCATCGGCCAAGCCAATAAATCCACTGCAATTTGTGTTCCTGAAGTCCACATGAAGTTTACTTCCCTTAAGAACACTGGAATTCGCATTCACATCTTTAACAGCCTCATCAATGGCGATCTTAGCAACCTTCCCGATTGTTGAATCAAGAGAAAACAATGCTCCAACATTCACAACAGCCGGTCTCGAAGAAGAAGCATCGACACTGAACTTATTTGAAAGCACTCCAAGAAAGAACAAAACAAGAACCCTAAAACCCTCCATCCTCGAAAGATCTACATACACTATAAGCTCTGCAAAAGGCAAGACAAAGATTCAATTCAAAACCCTAGCAAAAAGAACAAGAACAACACACAAAATGAAGCAGTATTTTTCACCACTATAAATGCTCAGAAGCAACAGATTTCTTTATGCTTACACATCAAAAAAAGAGAATCCCAAAACAGCAGCACCGCAACTAAAGCTAATTGGCCTATCAATCAACGAAAAGGAAAAGCAGAAATTGCAGACAGAACCAGATTCTATGCTAGGAACCAAACCGTAAATAACAATATTTGAACTTCCAAACGTTGAATAATAGGCCAATGAAATTCGATAGCAATTAAACGACAATAATAGCATCGATCGAGGGCAGCCATGATTATGAATATTATATTCATGATTCAGTGAAAAAAGAAAGAACATAAATAAATAAATACTAACAAAGAATCATGCGGATCAGGTGGGAAAGTAGAGTCCTCTCACTTCCCAGTCCAAACCGACGAGAAAATTCAAGCCACCGGAGTGGACAGCGACCCATTTCATTTAATCAAAGCGAGAAGTAAACCATAAAGTAAAACGTCACGAGTTACTTGTGGGCACAGCCTTCGAGTGATCCCGCGCGTTCGTGCACGCCTTCAAAATTAGTGCTCTCCCAAAAATTAAAAATTAAAAAAGAAAGAAACACCCACCAATCGAAAATAAAGAAAATCCAGCCATTAAATAACACAGGGAGAGGGGTGACTACCTGATAGGAGCAGAGTCGCGTGGAAGCATCTGTATATCTATCTATCTGGTAAAGGATTGTGAATTGAAATCGTAGTTTAATTATTGGAGTGGGCGATGGAGAATAGGTGCTTCTTCTTCTTCAGTCCAGTCGTATTGGTGGGAGGCCTCAAGAAATTGGAGGATAATGCACATAGGGAGAGATAGTGATAGGACACTACTGGGTACAATAATGGTTAATATTTTTATTTTTTAAAAGAAAAATAATAAGAAGACGACTTCACTGGGGATCGAACCCAGAATCTCTGGTTCCGTAGACCAGAGCCTTATCCATTGGGCCATGAAGTCATTTTTGTGATATAGTGCAAATTATCAATTATTATAACCTTCTATATCAAAGTGTCAAGTATTTCTGCACAATTCAATTGCTGGATAATACTTGAGTCATATTTAAAATTAAAAAAAAAAAATCACAAATTATTATGTATTTTTATATATCTATTCTATAATTTTTAAATTTAGAAGCTAGATATCATTCTGTTCTTTTATGTTTTTACTTTTATATTTTGTGTTTTAATTAGATGAAAAAAACTATTTTGTAAAAAAGAGTTTATTTTTTTGTGATTTTAAGTTAACAATTATTAATTATGCACAATTTTCAATAAAAATATATTATTATTTATATTTTAAAAAATATTATATCAATTTTTAAATGTAAGTAAGAAAGTATTTACATGTGAATTTTAACAGGAGATACAATATGGTAAGTTTTTAATTTTTTAAAATTTTAAATTTACATGTTAATTTTAATATGAAATCCAAAATGGTATGTTTTTAAATTCTTAAAATTTTCAAACGTAAATAAAGAAATATTTAACCATGTGAATTTTAATAGGAGATATAATATGGTAAGTTTTTAATTTCTTCAATTTTTTAAAACAGAAATATTTATACGTTAATTTTAATACGAGATCCAACATGATATATTTTTAAATTCTTAGAAGTTTTCAAACGTAAATAAGGAAATATTTACATGTGAATTTTAATAGGAGATGTAATATGGCAAGTTTTTTTATTTATAAAATTTTAAAAACAGAATATTTACAAGATTCAACGTATGTAAATAAGGAAACATTCTTAAATCTCTCGTACGTGTAAATAAGGAAACATTACACGTGTTTTAAATTCTTAAATCTTCCATAGGTGTAAATAAGGAAACATTCTTGAATCTTTCATAAATAAGGAAACATTACAGCCTATATATTCCCAACGTTAATCTATCTTCTTATTTCGTAAAAACAAATTTTTGACAAACTCTCCATGGCGCAGTTCCACCCTCGTACTTCTCTGCAAAGCCACTTCTTCTTTCTTCAACAGCTTACTCATGGCTATGGCTCTGACGACGCCCATCAGAATCACTTTTCCCGACGTCCCGCCGCCGCCGCCGCTGGCTTCTATAACAGGGTCGAAGATGAAACTGTGATTCTTGATGCTGACGATGTCTGGAATCGGCATGCAGACTTTTCGAGAGGCCGGACGAGATTTGAGCAGGTCGACGAAACTGCAATCCTTGTGGCGGCGCCGCCGCCGGAGCTTTTGGGACGATCACGTAGAAACTGGGGAGGGGTTAGGGTTCAAGAAATGGAGGATACTGTCATCTTTGAACCAGCAGCAGTAAACAGCAGGAATCTTGGTTTGAGGAAAGAAGTGATTCTGAAGCACCTGAAGACCAGAAATTGTGTCGCCGGAGACGGCGAGAATATGTGTGCGGTATGTCAAGATAATTTGTGTCCGAAAATGATCGGAGTGCTTCCTTGCAAACACGAGTATCACGTTGGCTGTATTGTGGAATGGCTGCAACAGAAGAACGCTTGCCCTCTCTGCAACGCCATCGCCGTCGCCGGAGTAGAAGGGCAGACTAGTTTTTATTAGCTTTGATGTTCTTAGTATTTTAGTTCTGATATGGATGTCAATCGAATTAATTGTGCTATAAAATGACTAATTGTCCACAACATCAACACTTCTTTCTGCAACATCATCACAAAATCAAGTAGCCAAAGTCGATGAGTTGTTCTTTTTTTTTCTTTTTTTGAAGTGTAATCTAAATCTTAAAACTGCAGAGATGTTTCTAAATTTGAATGAAAGAGGTACATTGGGTGGCTTCTTGTGCGAATTATAAATAGCGTCGGCTTTGTGTTTTCCGTAAGTATCCTATTGATGACTCCTGAATTTAGAACAATCTTAACTTGTTCTTTATAGTTCTCCATCGCCGAAACCATCTTCATCTGCTGCCTTCTGATCATTACTGTATAAAGAGAAGTTAATCGACAATGTATGGAGATTGTGGAACGTCCTAACCAGCAATCTGGAAAGAAGTATAATCTGAGCTTGAAGATTACCTTTTCCGACTGCATTGTGTGCTGAGGTCTTGACACAGGACTTTGCTAACTCCTCCAACTTTAACAGATCCCTTCTTTATTGATTCAGAGAGCTGCTTCAGAAAATCACATAAGTGGTGTTCGAAACCTTACTCGAGTAGAACAATGAGCCTGGAAAAGTAGGGACAATGAGTTACCTCATCTTCAGTTTCCTCAAGTAACCTAGACATGGACAAAACAAGTGAGGAAACTAAATTTGGTTGAGAATGTGTTTCAACTAATTAATAGAATGCATGATGCTACCATCCAAATTATCAGCAAAGTAAGCATTTTTCTTACCTTCCACAGAAAGTCGAGATATCCTTTGAGTATGCTTTAGCTTCTTGTTTACCTATCAGAAGCATATAAATAGGAAATATCAGTAAAAAAGAACATAGATTTTGCACTGTCCTGTTGCTTCTTCTATGAGTTTTGTATTAGAATTTAGAAATCAATTTATGAACATATTCAAGGCACAGAAATTGTATGAAGGCTACGTTACTACTGATTGAAGGAAATCAGATGTCAAGCTCAAGCAGTAACATATGGCAAGAGTATTTACTAAAGGACCCAAAACAAGAATACAATATTATCAGGAAAAAATAAATAAATAAATAAAAATCCATGCATACTAATTTTAAGGCTGTCCCAGCTCTTCACTTTTATCCAAACTCGTCTGTTTGAATCCACCTGCCAACATAGAGAACCAATAATGTTATCAAAAGATGGGCAATATGACTAATTTTGCAGTGGCATTTACAGCTCAAACAAAGCACCAGCATTTAGCATCATAACCACTTAAATCACTTACCAACACAACCACAAGAAAGTTCTATTCATTTAACAGTTTTGCCTAAGCTGGCTTGAAACTTGAAAGGGGACATCATCTTATGGAGGAATATAGAAAGAAAGATTACCTTTTCAAATGTATAATCTTGCATATTTTCACAAAGCCCATCCAGGAGCTCAACAACTCTTAAGTCACTGATTCTGGGGCAGAAAAATAAATAAATACACAAATATAAAAATCTCATCGAGAGGTTATACTGGCACTTACAGGATGGACGTATGGAAGAACTAAGGTTGCCTGTACCTATAGTCTATAAGCTTTCCTTCACGCTGACCTTTAGAGTCCAAACGGTGCCTCATGTCCAAATGATTTCTAGGTTTTTCCTGTGTGGCATAAATACATATGAGCAAAGAGGTTCCTTAAATAGCAATTGTGAGAAGCATCTTGTCACTCAGTAGAATGGCTAGAATAGTATATTTACAGCTCACCTTGTGCTTTCTATTAAGCCTCAATGTGAAAGTTTAACATTACATATAAGCTAAAGAACTTAACCAGTGTTGTTTAGTCTCAAAACCACAACCCAAATTCTCCTAATTGATTGGTTAGAAGGATTTCCATTTGATCCTAACAAAGAGATGACTCTAGTTGCTCTTGAGCATATTCATCTAATGAAGTACGCAGAATCATCATTACACCAACAATAACTATAACATTCAGCAAATCAAAATCATTTAGCCACACATCTCCCGCTCTTAGCTTCACATTTTTGCAGACCTCAAAACACCATTCGTTCCGCGGCATTTTCCGCACGCACTCACATATAGGAGAAGAAAGATGCACTATTTCAATCTAAGAAATCATAAGCAAACAGAAACAAGCCATAAAAAAAGTCTTACATTCAAGAGTTCCCGCTCCAGCTCCTCCTGATCAGTCAAAAACCAACAACAATAAGAATAAACTAATCAACAGAACCCGAAAAAACGAAACAACAGCGATGGAATAAAACAACAACAAATCACTCACAGCAATCGCATTGCAGGCGCCGCATTTATCGTCAATGCCGCATGCGGTAACTGCAAAAACCGCGATAGCGATCGTCAACGTTGATTTCAAATGAAATCTCGCCATTTCTTAGCTTCCGTGGGATCTCTTCTCTGCCTTCTTCGACTGGGGGGAGAAATTCTCTCCCCGTTTGGGTTTAACTTTTAAGCACAAATAGGGAAACGACACGTCAAATATCTACACTATTTTACCCAACCACCGATTGCCAAGTGGCACTAATTTGTCAGCGCCAAACCATTCTTAAAACTAGACCAGGCCCATTGGGCTTGTTTCAAAGTAAAAAAATACCCAGGCCCAATAACAAATTGAATATACGTATACATATTGTACGTATCTACAGCTCCAGGAGAAGACAACAAGAAGAAAAAGACATTACAGATTACTGTACGAATGTAGCAAATCATCCTATATTCGGAAAGATACCAGAGAAATTGGGGATTTTATCAACATGTCTCAAAGCCCGCTCGGCAATCTGTCGTGTAATATAATCGCCGTGTTGGAAAGAATCGACGAGCGCCGTGCTGATGCTCGGGTCGCTGGAAACCTCAATGGCGATGTCGGGGTTTCTCAAAAGCCTTTCTACTGTCCACACGGCCCTCCTCCGCAAGCTATCGGTACGCTTCTCCAGTAGCACGTCGAGGATCGGTCGGATACCTTCTGCATCGTGCAATGCCAGAACGCCTTCGTCGACGTCCACGCCGTCGTCCAGTAGCGTCGACAGCGCCGCCAGGGCGGCTTCCACCACCGCCTCGTTGTTGTGGTCCAAAAGGGCGACCAATCGATCGACGGCGTGCCCTTCCAGGAGACAGAACGTTTCCTTCAGGGAGCACGTCCCCTGGTGGACCTTGCACAGGCCGCTTATGACCGGAGGCTTGCTTAAGCAGGGAAAAATGGCGGCGCAGAATCCGGCCGGAGGAATCTCCGGCAGCCTCGTCAGATTCTTCGATTCCTGAGATAGATTCTCCAGCGCCATGGCGGATACCATCTGTACATTGTCCAGCCCATTCGCCTGCAGGAGATGGATGAATAGCGCCGCGAGGTTGTGCTGCCGGCAGAGGTCGAGGGCGGTGCCGCCGCCGGAGAGGTCCGCGAAGGTGACTCTCGCGAGCACCTTCACGAGCCCTTCTAAATACGGCGTCATGAAACGGCTGCCTCTCGTCTCGCCTTGCCGGATTCGAACTATTCGGGAAATAAACATCTGGAAGGCTCCTTCCTCCAGCAGCTGCCGAGTCAGGCCGGCGTCCCTCTCCGGAAGATCAGCCAACAGCCCGACTGCGGAAGCTTGCTCCTCGGATATTCCACCGTTTTCGGAGATCACCTTTATTAAGCTTCCGAGCTGGCCCGATGCGCCGCGCAGGCAGCCGGCGAGTTCCTGTCCCATGTGAGGCGCGAGGTTTTGGAGAAGCTTTATCGAAGCCAGCCGCAGATCCCTCTGCGGCGCCTCGATGAACTGAACCAAACTGATGGTAGCGCCGGAGCTTCTGATTGCCGAGACGACACTAGATACGGTGGAAGGGGAACCCGTGAGCCCGACGAGGACTTGGATGAGCTTGCACTCTATCGACGGGCCGGTGTTGCTGATTAGATGCAGAAGGTTGTGGATGATCTCCTCGGAGACGAGCGTTTGGTGGTCGGATCCGACTGGAATCAAATCGAAGTCGTGGCCGGAGTTAACAACGTTGGCGAGGATCGTAGCCGCGACTTCTTTCAGCTGCATTGTGAGCTGTTTCGTCCCGACGGTGAACAGATCCTTCACTAGAGGGGGAAGGATCCCCGCCTCGATCAAAACCTTCGCGCTCGCCTCGTCCGACGAGATTTGGTTAAGAGCTTTAAGTGCCGGCTCCCGGGATTTCATGTCGTTGCTCTTCATGAGATTGATGAGGGAAACGCCGGCAGATTTCGCCACGAAAACTTTCACGTCGCTGTTTAAAACCAGCCCGCCAAGCGTCGCAGCCATGGACAGCTTCGTCTCTTGAGATCCTGCAGTATATATATATATATATCAACACACTCAACACACTTTCCATTCGATCAATATCGAAAACAGTCGCAAGGCTGTCGTTACCTTCGAGCAGTAGTCGGAGAAGAGGCTGCAATCTGCCGCATTCGGCCATTTGTCGTACGTTGTTTTCGCACTGCGCCAGATTTTCGAGGGTTTGGACGGCTTTTTCGACGGTTAAAAGGTTCTCCGAGTTGCTGCTCGCCATTCCTACGAAAATGAGAATGGCGCCATTGATAGAACCGATCTTTTCGCAGAGCTTTTCCGACTTCGAGAGCTCATACAGCAACGAAACCGCCTCTTCCCTCTCTTTCGACTGCTCGTGAGACAAGAACTTCACTATCGTCCGAACGGTGTCCCCTTCCGCCATAATTTCCTGCAAAACGATGCAGTCGAGCTAAAGAGAAACACAAACAAGAACCCGAACCGAAACATAACACAACAAGTTCGACGAACTGCTAATCATCAACCTTCGACAACCTTATTATCGGAGTCGTCCTCCACGACAAAACGGAGCGTCTCGAGAGCCATACAACGCACTTTCCGGCTGCTACTCCTCAGCACATCGACGATCATAGGCATCAGCTCTGCATTGCGAATCACATGCTTATTCGACTTGTTCTTGAGGCAGAGATGCTGAACAAACTTCAAGGACTGCACCGTGTCGTTCTCGGCGCATCCTACAGATAACGATCTCCGAGCCATATCGAGCTGCGCTGCTTCGTTCCTTGCGTGCCATTCTTCGATCGTGTTCCGGAGAGCAATGCTCGGGTTCAGCTCCGTACTTCTCAACTCCCTCAACGTCATCGGGCAGACGACGCGCCTGCCGCTCTCCCGGCACTCCCGGAACCATTTCTCGATTGCCTCTCGTTCGAATGTCTGCCCATTTTCTAATGAAACAGGATCCCGCATCACTTGCTTCGTCAATGGGCATATAAACGAGTCGTAAATCGGCTCGATTCGAAGCCTTTCGAAATGGTAGCTGTCCTCCGGCGGGCCGCCGTTGTCGGAGTTCCCGTCCAAGTTCCCATTGCCAGCCATGGAAACCGATTACCTAACAAGGATAATGCAATTCTCAAATCTGCAGAAGCTCTACAGCAAGAAAGTAACAACACAACACTCAGGAATGAATTTGGCCTGGTTTTTCAAGTGCTTCCAGAGCATTTTTCTACATCAATTACTCAAGTTCAGAGATTCTCTAACACAGGCCTAGCGATTTGAACTATCCATTGTTTTGATTAATGAATCGATCGAGTTAAATTTTGTGCTGTAATTTAGGCAAGAAATCACACATAAAAGAGCATAATTGAGGCAAAAAAGCAACAAGAATCTTCACATTCAGAGCTTGTAGTATCAGTTTCAGAAAGAACACGAAAGATTCACTCCAATCAAGTTCAGAAGCATTCACATCAATCCATGGCAGAAAGGGAAAGATACAATTTCAAATTAAAAATCAAAATTCAGGCAGCCATCAGCATTCCAACAGAGATACAGATTCATTACCTGAAATGAAAACCCAACACGAAGAACTCGTTGCTTCCAGAAATCGTAATCCCCACAACAAAATTTGCCCAACAAATCGAAAATCAAAACCCCCGATTCGTACATAAACCTCGAATCATGGGATCTCGCGAAAAGGGGCAAAAGGGCAAACAGAGACGCGATAAAAATAGAAGGTGAGTTTTATTTTATTTATTTCTAAAAAAAAGAAAAAAAACGAGAAAAGGGAGTAGAAAGTCGAACGAGCTGGCAGCAGCTGAAGACCAAAAAAGTAATCCCAAAAATCTAAAAAACAAACGAAAGAAGACAAACAACAAATTTTTATCAAAATTCTTACTGTACGCAAATGAAACCATCCAACAATTTTGTTGCTGTCCTCGTAAGACAAGGAATAAGGTAATAATTGATGAAGATGGAGGAGTTGACCGACAAAAAAAAAAAAAGGTCCTGAAGGAAGCAACCAGCGAATTCAAAAGAAAATCGTAATTTTGGTGGTGGGTCTTATTTCTTGTTAATAATAATCTTCGGACACCAGGCTGGCTCTTAGTCTTAGGCATTGGATCAACACAACTAAAATGCAGATAAGATTATATGACAAGTCAAATGTAATCCAGATCATTTTATAATTGTGTATTTATTTGTCAGAGAAAGTCTGCAATGCAATCATGCATCAATCGATCGACTGTATAAAACTGAATACGATGTCATGATTTGAATTCTCCATGAGAAAGTTCCCATCTTTTACCTAATAATATTATGTAATGAATAAAAATTTGATCTTGGTTTAATTAATGCAGAAAAGACCGATTTGAATTGACCGGGGCGATGCTAATGTTCGCGTCAACTGAGTAGAATTTTATTGTAATGTTTTGTTGTTTAAAAGGGGTTGAGAAGTGTATTGACTTGCAGAGTATTTAGTGGACATTTTCTGTGTAATGTGAAATATAATTTTCATTTTATAAAGTTTATTTTATCTAGAAGTTGCAAGTTTTCTTTAATTAAGAGAAATAGAAAATGATTGAATTAATTTTAAAAAGGTCAAATACTGTGTCAATTTTACCATTCTTAGATATTTTTAGGTCAGAATAATATTTATATATATATATAGGCCACACATTTGCATGTGTTATAATTACTACAAGTCGCAACTTACCAAAATCAAATCCAATAATATACTTGATTTTATGAATTACAAAAGAATACATTTTGAATGTTTGCTGTCAAAATTACAGCATTAAGTTCTCAGAATAATTCTTCACACTGCAACCAAAAGATCCCATCATCCAGCAAGCAGAAAATAACCAAACCTGAACTAGAAAGGAATGAATAAAAGAAAGAATGAAAGTTACTCCTCAAAAATTTGTAGCATTCCAAATTTGTATTCCACGCTTTGGCCTGTATTCATCACTGGCAATAGGCACAGCACCACTCCAAGACACTTCTTTGGATTTGCCCGGCGGCGACAAGATTGGATTCATGTCGGCATAACCAAGAAAGATTGAAATTTCAAGAGAGCTCAATCCCAGCCAACAACATTTGTAAAACACTTTTGACTTTTAGAACCTTTTCTTCGGTGTTTCTTATGAAGAAGCTTTAAATGGACCACTAGAACCAAATGGATCAGAGTCATCGAATGAAGATTTTCTGCTGTGGCCGAAGTCCCTCGGGCTGTTTACTGAATCAAACCTAGTGAGGTTCCCCAGACGGGATGATGAGCCTGCATCATGTGTGCTGTTGAAGGAATCGAATCTCGTAAATTTGTCAAAAGACTGATCTCTAGAATCAACACTGTATCGGGGAGAATTGTTGGCTCTGGAAAGTGGGGACTCCGGAAAAGAATCCTCAAAGGTAAATGCGCTCTTCTTTTGGAATGGACTTTCAGCATTAGGAGATCCTCCTCGATCTGGACTAGCACTAAAGTCATTGGACCCGAAGAAGTATTTTTCATCCTGCTTTTCATGATCTGGTACCTGAAGATAAATGATGGCGAAAAAAGAATCAAGCAAAAAATGGAAGTCGATAGGAGTAATCCTATTAAGAGTATTAACTAGTTAAGGAGCTAGAAAGAAAGTGCTTCACATAGAGTAAACAAAGAAACGCAATAAATGAACACATTTAACATTTGAATATAGACAGTTCATATGATTCCTGTTTGCCTATAAGTGTGTGTGAGCGTGCCTGCCTGCATTGGGTGTGGGTAGCAATGCAGGATGAATGGCAGTTATCCATACAGATATGGCAATTAACTGAGCACTTTCCAAGCATGTGCTTATGGCAAAAGTTTCGATCTACAGTGATTGCATGGAAACTTGATGTAGGTGCAAAGCATATTTTCGGCATGATAATTTTATTGACATAATAAAAGCAAGACAAGAAAGTGGTTGAATTCCTTACCTTAGCGTTAAATCCCCAGACTGAATCAATATCATCATCACCGTTGTCAAAATTACCCCAGCTAGGATCATCAAAGCTTCAGTAAAGAAAACAGCAGGAAAAAGAAAGAAACAAATAAGAATTAAGAATTTCATGATAAAGTTTGACAATATGATGGAACAGAAATTTCTTAACAAAAAAAAAAAAAAAAAGACCTGAACAATATATTCATAGATAAAACAAAAACACCAATACCTTTGAGTTTCAGCATCACCATCAAAACTTTTTCTGAAATGATTGTCTGAATACTCTTGATATGGACTTTCAGGTATTGTTTGCCTTCCAGGACTTCCATGTGGGCTCCTTGACTCATCTGCGCTATGCACAGACTCAGTATCAAACACACTAGCATCCCAACCAAAAAGTTTATCAGATGGATCAAGGCTATTGTTTGGGGAAGGATTTTCTTTCTGCTCTGATTTAGAATCAGCAGCTGCAGGCAGCGCTACATCAAGAGAAAACCCTGTAAAATTATGAGGCACATCATCACATGGTTATCAAGATAATGATGCTGAGGAAAGAGTAAATTAAGGTGAAGTAAAATAAATTCCACACCGTCATCCTCAAACTTGTCCCACTCCTTATCCCATATTGCTGCCGCCTCTGGGATGATAGGCTGCCAACCTTAAGAAATAATAATAGATCTCATACAACTGAGAATCATCCAATCACAGTTGGCTCAATGAATGAATATGACAGACCTTATATTAATTGGACTGTCATGACTGAAGAGTAATGATTGACTGAGTTCCTAGGTTTCTTTCAAATTCTTATTGCATGGAAATGTATTGGGATCATGTTCTGAACTTTTTTGTGCAAAGCAATAACTGGTTTATATTTATGTAATGGAATCACCAAAGTTGCTAGCCTAGCATCTTTCAGGTGAAAATGTAAGACAAACATCACATATTTTAGAGACTTTTAAATAAATAAATATAATGAAATTCTTTCGTAGAAATATATATATATATATACATATATAATAAAACTATAAAAAACAGCATTTCAGTTTTTTATAATCATTCAACAACTTAGTCATCAAACTAGTATGAATTTATCATTCAGCAGCTCAATCATCTGGTACTGTATCCATTAATGTCAGCCTCACCATTTCATTCAGATGCTATGATTTGTCCACTCTCTTATGCCTAATACTCTGCCACCTGTTTGTAGAAAAATCTATTCACATGGAGCTAAAGCTATGCCCTCTTCACACACCCCTATGTATTTCATGTTTCTGATGTATGGCTGCATAGTTCTTTTGTTTAATCATTACGTTAAATACTTTTGGAGTGTTATGTTAAACATGGGTTTTAATCATTGTTTCTTACTTCTATTATTCCTGGTGCATCCAAGGCTGGTTTTAGAAGCAGGGTTGCCAATATGGCAGGTATGTATTAGTTTGGTTTGAATATTGATGCAACAGAAGCACAAGAGAAGTGTTTGAAAATATTACATGTAAAATGAAAATATATAAGATACCTGCAGGAAGCTCAATTATAGCACCTAACTTCATCTCTATGGAATGCTTCTTGCAACGATCAGCCAATGCCTTCAAAAGCTCCTCAAGATCTGATTGTATACGATCGGCACGGACCTGGACAAAGCATTGATAACATTAGACTTGAATTAATGCAAATTTTTATAAACCGTGTTATAACCCCAACAAAGCCATGAATTAACCTGAAGAATACCATCCGCACTGCCACCTTGCTCCATTTTAGTGATTGCTTGTTGCAGTTCCATCTTCCTCTCCTAGATATGCAACAAATTGCACTCTGAATCAAGAAAAATGCCAATTGGAGTGCAGAAGGAAAATTTTGAAAATATAGGATTCATTATGAATTAAGTCATATAAAGAATTCAGGTCATTTTACCACATGCATTGAACATTCAAAGGCAGTGATGAAATCATAACCCTCCCATAACTCACTTCCTTGCTCATGCAGTTGAGGAATAGTTAAAAATGAAATAATAAAATGGTACCATAATTGATCCACAAAATTCATTGCTAAATATGGATTTATGATTTAAAACTTCATGCTAGTACAAGGAAAGACATTATTAAAATAATGCCAGACAAGGCACGATTTAAGGTTGCCATTGCATTTTATCATTACTCAGTTTGATGATTTTGTATAATTGGTCAACTAAACCAACTTAGGAGTTGTTAGTGGTCTTCACGGAAGAAATGATTTGATACATATGTAGATAAGGTAAACGGAGTATTTTCTGTGTCCAGTGGTACTTAATGATGGACAAGTTGGATCAGAGTGGTGAGAGATGGTGGTATATTTTTTAGCTAGGGGTGGTGAAGGTGACTCGTCACCTTTCTGAAAGATTATGTAAAGGCCATAGAAAAATGTGCTAGAACATAAACAGGAGGAACCTGGAAGTTTTTATAAATATATTCAATCAATGAACCCTTTCATGACATTCGATGCACTTCATCAATTACATACTCAGAGAAAAATGAACCAGGAAAGTATGTCGAAATACCAAGCACAGTGGGAAGCATATAAAAGTCACCTGGACTTCCCGAAATGCAGCTTCTTCTATAGCTAATTTAGAATGAATTTCGGCAACCTGTTTGTATTTTTCTTGATATTTCTTCTCCAGTAACTCAGCCTGAAAATTTAGTGAGAACTTTCTTAAAACACAGAATTGTAATGGGAGGAATAGAAAGGCAATAGAAATCAGCTAGGCATACATAAAAAATTTCAAAGATACCTCACTCTTGTCTGCTCTAGCCCTTTCTGTAATCTCATTGAGCCGATTATCACATCTACTTTTGTACAAAACCTGTCATGTAATACTTGTAACTGAAATGAAAGTAAAAAAAAAAAGAAAAAGACATGCAAAATCATTGCAGGCTATTTCTCCTTACGGAGTTATAGAGAAAGATTTATTGAATAGAGATGATCATGGGTATAATATAATACGGCAACTCACAAGGTCTTGCATATTTGTCCGATAAAATTCAAGCTTCTCTCTGGAATCCAAAAGCACATTCTCCTTTTCATCAACCTAGTATGAAAAGACAAGTGTCAAAACAGAACTCGTAAAGTTTCCTTTTCAAGAACTTGCAAAGACAGGTGAAAGAATGGCACAGATTAATTTCCCAGGAACAATATAGTTGGGGTTAATAGTTATAAATTATCAAGCTAGAATTAGATATACACCCTAACACCCTTAGGCAAGGTAAATAGTGCTCATTCAGCTTATTTAGTTCCTTGCACAAGGTTAGTCAAACAATTAGAAAACAAAATCTCATAGAAGCTTTTCCCAAGTCACATGGCATGGAATTTACAGGGTGAGGGGTAAATAATTTAGATTCGTAGTTCTTATTTCTATTTCCCTTAAAAAAATAAAAAATAATAATAAGAAGATGCAGAAACGATTCCACCACAAGCACTCAAATTAGGAACAAATAGTTCACAACAAAGGGTCTCCTCTTCCAAGTGTACAACCTTTTCATTGGCTTCCTCTGCCCCAGAACCCTTTGTCTCCAAAAAATTAACTTCCCCATTACTTGATTGGTTAAGGTGGGAATTATCTACCAAAGAGCCTCTAGCATTTTTCTGATTGAATTGCACATCCGGCTGAGAAACCGTTGGTTGCATGGGAGGCGTAACTCCAGTAGGTGTAATAGGCTGCACATTGGGCATGGCTTGTTGTGGTCTTAAGCCTAAACATGAATAGAGAAAAAGCTTCACAAGGGAGACTGTGACACAGGAAATTGAACTGGTTAAAAAATAAGTTAATTGGTACCAGTAGCAGGGTCCCATCCCATGTTTCCATGAACTGTAGGTGGACCTACTAAACATGATAGAGTCTCACTGAACATGACACTCTGGGGCAGTGCGGCTGGCAGTGAATGTCCTTCCTTGTGGCGTTCCATTAAGTAAAGAGCAATACAAAATTCCCTCAGAGAAAGCATGCTATCACTGTCTTGGTCCGCCAAATCCCAAACCTGCTTTAAGACCTCTGGATGTAATCACCAAAAATATTAAATATGATATCATCATAAAATTTGGAAGAAGATTAATGTATTAGATTCATACTTTCACCACACTGGTAAGAAGATGGTTAAGACAATCTACAAACAGTATTCAATAAATTATACAAGGAGCATCATCAAGACAAAATCATTTACAATTAGATGATTGTCTCATCAAAGAGTCCTAGGGTAGATAGCTGAAAAGTTCCACACTGATAAATTTCAAGCCTTGACAGCACATTTATAAATCTGTGATCAGAAAATAGTGCTAGAGTGTATCACCAAAGACATTTACTTGCTTCATGAAATTAACAACATTTGGAAAGCAAAATAAGGGACCGATTAGAATTTCCACCAAAAGCAAGGATAAAAGTTGGGTTGGTAGGTAAAAATGTTCAGTAATTTTCAGTTTATCTTTATGAAAATGCCATGATGCAGCAACTTAGTATCTATTTAACGGAATCACAGATTATAACTTTTATATGAGTTTTATAAACAATCACTACTATGAGTTTGAAAAACTTAATACCAACTATTCAAGGTAGCATCACAGCTTAGAAGTATTCTTGACAAGATCTTATGAAACCCCCAAATAAATGTCAAAAACTTGAGTTCAATACAACCCACTAGGCAGGTAGAATCCATGCTCAAAGTGTCCTTGCATACTGGTTAATAAGTTCTCCATGTAAAAAGGAAATTATTAATAATAAAAACCACACTCTAAATAATCATTAAAGAAGATAACATATGATATTCAAACAATCATAAAATGAGTGAATGTAACTACAAATTTTCGCACCTCTTGGTAGTCTCCAACTCAAGAATAGATTTCGAGCCTGATCGCCAGTGATTTTCCCATCTCTATCACTATCTACTTCCATAAAAACTTTTGCATATTTTTGAATGCTAGCTCCTGTCATTTTTGGCCATGAAATTTGTGACTGCTCTGATGTTGAATTCCTGACACCAGCTTGGAATCCAGAAGTAACTTGACTTAGAGTCTGTTGATTAGACTTTGGCAGAGACGGCTTCTGTGAAGCCTGAATCCCTTTAGATGGTTCCGAAAGTGTACTCCGTAATGCTTCAAATGGATCAGGCTTTGGTGAAGGATGGGGGCTTGAAGTGACAGGAGAAACTACAGATGAGGTAGGTGAACTACTAGAAAGTTGTTGGAACGGAGAGGAAACATGCTGGGATGGAGAATTATTCGCAGAAGACAAACCCCCTGAAATCATGCCGTCCAAAGTAGATAGATTTCCTGAACTAACCGTTCTTCTAGAATCCATGGCATATGTCGGGGAAATTGCTAATGAACCTGACAAATTGGAGAGACTAACTCCTCTCTCTAAAACTGGTGTTGCTGGTCCAGTGGATGCGGCACCAGTTTTCCCACCAGGCAACACATTATTGTTCATTGGAAGACCAGAACCTGTCATGCTCCACATAACATTTGGACTACTAGTAGATTGAGGTAGATGATTAGACTGGTCACCAGGCACGGAGTGAGACTGTCTCAATGGGTGGTTGCCTTGTGGGGGCAGAAAATTCTGGTCACCAGGCATAGACAGAGACTGTCTCAATGGATGGTTCCCTTGGGATGGCAAAAAGTTCTGGCTTGAATTCATGCTTGAAGGTGCCTGTCTAACCTGCTGGTTTACACCAGGACTCGAAAGTTGAAACTGTACAGGCTGTTTGTTCATAGCAGGACTAGAAGGTGGCAACTGTAGAATGCGTTCATTCGTGCCAGGATTTGAAGGTTGCAATTGCCCAAACTGCTGGTTCATCAGTGTACTTGTTGGTTGGGCCTGCCCAAACTGTTGGTTCATTGTACTTGATGGCTGTACCTGTGCAAAATGTTGACTCATACCTGTACCTGACTGCTCCAGCCCAAACTGCTGGTTCATCAGCGTAGTTGTTGGTCGGGCCTGCCCAAACTGTTGGTTCATTGTACCCGATGGTCGCATCTGTGCGACCTGTTGACCCACACCTGAACCTGACTGCTCCAGCCCAAACTGCTGGTTCATGCCTGTTGATGAAGGCATTAGTCCAGACTGCTGATTCATGTTCCTTGGGGACTGCAATGCACCAAGCTGCTGGTTCACACTTGTATTCGAAGGAGCAAGGCCTCTGAAGCCAGAATTGTGAGTCGGCTGGGGTGTTACACCAGTCTGTGGCAAAGGTGAAGCAACTACAGGACTTGGTTGTTGCATAGGTGTACCCACAGTAATGATTTGTGGAGGTGGAATTTTGGAAGAAGCAGGACCATATAATGCTGCTTTAACAATATCTGGTGTTAATTGTCGTTTACTTTGAGCCACTGTGACTAGTTTAAGGGCATTATAAAACTCTTGGCAGCCGAGGAAGCCAGAACGACTTTGGTCAGCATGCATCCATATCTGCAACAAGATCTAACATTAGATGAACATCCACACAATAGTTTTATGGATTCAACAGATACCACGTTGACAAATAAATTGTCCAAGAAGAGTACACTGGAACAAAAGTATGAACAAAATTGAGTTTTGTTTGAGCAACAGAAATATCAAAGTTGTTTTTTTTTTTAAAACCAAACACAAACATATTGGGCACTGACAATATACAGCGCAAAACTGATCATGATTTGATTCCACCAACAAACTCAAAAGCAGTAGGAATACAAGCAAAATGGCGCATTCCATCCATCAGGAGAATAACTGCATGCATTTGGAAAGAATCAAAGCCCCACCTATCATCTATTAACCATACCTACTCTAAACATAAATGTACATTGTTTTTATAAGGGGACAAAATTCACATACAAGAAATCGAAACATGCACATAAACAACTGATATACAAAGCTGGTCCATTGCCAAAGACTTATAACACCTCCATCAATACAAAATTAGTTCAAAATGTCCAATTACTCCACAGAACTATTGGAATCCAGACAATCATGAAAGCCCTGATAAGCTTACTTAAACGCTAACAACATTCTTCCATTTCCATCATGATCCTATAAATCCAAACTCATATAATTAGAAGCAAATCCAAAAAACTTTAGCTTTATAGCCATATTACTAAAATAACAATGCCATTCCATTTGCAGATCAGAACATTTTTGTTTTTTAAAATAAGGCAGAGCATAACAGACCTGCGCAAGAACTTGTCGGGGCAAATTGGATCCCTGCAAGAAAGCCACAGCTTCAGCTCCACTGATCCTGCCGTCTCGATCCAAATCCGCCCTCTGGAAATACTCCTCGAATTTCTCCATATTTACCCCGGCCATTTTAACTCTTCAGAAAACCCCAGATCACCGCATTACCCCGACAAATCACGTCGCAATACTCTAAACTCGCCGACACAATAAACTCAACCCTCAAACGAAAATCTGCGAACCATAAAAATAAATACCAAATTTCAAGGACAGGCTGGGATGCAAAGGATTTCCGAAAAAGGAATCAAAACAAAAAGAAAATGAAGATTCGGAGAATGTGGGAGCAGTTGGATGTCGAGCACGCCAAACAGCACTACCCTGCCCTGTGTTCCGAATCGAATTTTTAAGAACGGAAATTGAGGAGCAATGTGGAGTTAGAATAGATCACAAGAGCAACCTCGTTTTCTTCTTCCTGAGAAGATCAATGATGGGATCATAAGAATAGATTGCGTCGGGAAATTTCAAGAAATAGAAATGTGAAAGGCAGACAGTGCAGCGGACGGTCGGTATGAGTCATGGGGTGGGTTTCCGTTACGCCTTTGCGTCAATTTTTACACATTACAATACAAATCCAATAATTAATAAATAAATAAATTTGTAAAATAATACAGGTAATACTCATAACATCATCCAAAAAAATACATTTATTTTGTTCTAAAATGGTATGTACTCCCCATGCTAAGTGAAAGTATTTAATACCATTTTCTGTTATCCATCTATTTTTTATTAGAATAAAAATAATTATATATTAATATTAAAATAATTTAATTTTTTATATAAATTTTAAATATATTATTATATAGTAGTATATTACAAAGAATTAAAATATCAAATTTATTTTATATATTTTTACTAATCAATTATTAATTTTTTAATAAACTTTCATTCTGTGATGCATATTTTTTAATATTTTCATATTTTAGTATATATTTTTATTTAAAAATATCTATTTAAAATTAATCATATTTAAATATTCAAATGTCTTTCAACTTAAAAACAAAAAATATTCATATGATTTATACTTTCAGACAAATATATTAAAACAATCTTATATATTTTTACTAATTAAAAATATAACAAATGAACATATTAGATAGGATGAAGTGTAATTTTTTGTTAAAAAAGTAAACTTATTATTTTTTTTTACATAATATTGATCAAAATTATAATACATAATCAAATTGTAAACAAACTCTATAAGTATGTTAACTTATTATATATTTTCTCAATTACTAAAAACTTTGGACATATTATATATATTTTATGTGATGGAATTCATAATAGTATGTATAACAATAGAATCTATTGTTATGTGATATTAATAATAGTTGTATGGTATGATACAAATAGATGGTGATGTAATATTTTGAATGTAAAATTAATTTTTAGTATAATATATAAAATAAAAAATAATTATTTAATTTGATATATATATATATATATTTTAAAAAAATTGATCAATAATAAATTTTTGGGAAATATCCCCTAACAAAGGTACCCCTAGCTAGTTAAAGTACATCAATACATATTTTAGTAATTGGGCCAGCTTTATAGGCCCAGCCCGAAAATCCTGGCCTATCAGAAAGCTCATGATAATTTGACAAACTCCAGCCCCAGGGCTGGCATCATGTTAAGTTCATTCCTTCTTTTGGGCGGCACATATTCTTGTTTTGTTTTTTCAATTGCATCTCGGACATCAGATGATTTGGTAGATAATGCTGAGTTTTTGTTGTTTCCGCGATTTTGGGGTCGAATTGGACCGATTCATGCACGAAGTATTTGCACGATTCGGTTGTTGATATGGTTTGATGTTCCCGTGTACTTCTGACATCCTTTTGAATATGTTTCTCAGAGGAATTTCATCGAACACCTTCAGGTACGCTACTTCTACGCTGAGCTACAAGCACTTATCATGTTTTGGATTTGCGTTTTCAACCCTAGAACCTCCCATGGCTTCCACCAACACAAATCACTCCCCGATTGATGAGTCCCTCGTATTAAGCTTGCTTTCGGATGTTTTGCCCATCAAAATTGACAAATCCCTCGCCACAAATTCGGGAGGCAAACAATTGGAGATCAGGGAGGTGGATGATTTCTTGCCGCCTGAAGATAAGCTTCGAGGAATCTTCCTGCAAAAACTCCGCGGAAAGGCAGCAATTCATCGCTCATTGAGCAGCGTTGGCATTGAACTAAACTCTGATCTTTTTGCTAAAGTAGTTAATCGAGGCAACTTATGTGGCGAATCGATGGTTTTGTTCTTTACTTGGGCGATGGAGCAACAACCAAATTTCTGTAATCCCATCGATGCCTACCATATAGTTCTTAAAGCCTTAGGTAGGAAGAAATTCTTCCGACACATGATGGAAATGTTTGAAGGCATGAGGGATAAAGGAGTGAGTCCTAATTCAGAAACCCTCTCCATTGTTATGGACAGTTATCTTCGAGCCCACCATGTTGCAAAGGCTACAAAAATTTTCAGAGAGTTAGGGCAGTATGGATTGAAGTGCAATGAGGAAACTCTGAGTGTTGCCATAAGATGTTTGACTCAGCGGTCACATGTGGGCGTGGCTTGCTCGTTGTTTAACAAAATGAAAGAACATGTTCGATGTGATTGTGCTATGTATAACATTATCATTGGAGGGTGGTCGAGGTTTGGCAGGATTACTGAAGTTGAGAAATTTCTGAAGGTGATGGTGGATGACGGAGTCGAACCAGATTGCATTACATATGGTTATTTGATCGAGAGTTTTGGGAGAGCTCGCAGGGTTGACGACGCCGGTAAGATTTTTAAATTCTTGGAAGAGAAGGGAACTTTAAGCGTGGAAGTTTACAGTGGCATGATTGTTAACTACATTGCTATTGATGATATAGACGAGGCCTTGAAATACTATGAGAAGATGATAAGTAGTTCAATGGAGCCAAACTTAGATACCTACACTAGAATTATACGGTATTTTCTCAAAATTCGGCGAGTTGCAGATGCTATTGAAATGTTTGATGAGATGCTAGGTCGTGGGGTGATTCCTCCCACAGGAACTGTGACTGACTTCCTTGAGCCCTTGTGTTGCTATGGGCCGCCACACGCTGCATTGATGATCTATAATAAGGCAAGAAAAGCCGGGTGTAGAATATCACTTACTGCCTATAAACTTTTGCTTATGAGATTATCTAGGTTTGGAAAATTTGGAATGCTGGTTAGTATATGGGAGGAAATGCAAGAAAGCGGCTATGCTTGTGATGTGCAGGTTTACGATTATGTAATAAATGGTCTCTGCAACATGGGAAGGCTTGAAACTGCCGTTCTAGTTATGGAGGAATCCATCAGGAAGGGATTCTTCCCCAACAAGATCATATGCAGCAAACTCAAGAACAAGTTGATGGAAGCGGATAAAGTGGAAATGGCATACAAGCTTTTTCTGAAGTTAAGAAATGCCCGTGCAGATGAAAATGCAGTGAGATTCTGGAGGGCTAAAGGATGGCATTTTTAAGTATGTTTATCATGATACTTGTGATTCATCATTTACTTACATCCTGGTAGACATTGAAGTTCAAACTATGGAGTTGATAGCAATGTCAACCACAATCAGGTTGAGTCCATTGTACTGATTCACTTCTTTCGCCAATTCCTCTGTAAATTCCTTGGGACGGTTTTCCCTCTGCCATCCAAACATTACAGATATGCTTACTAACTTTTTCCCATCATAATCTTTGTGCTTGCAGATAGATACTTCCAAGAAGAGGACGGGAAGATCTCCTCAGCTCTTGGCCTCGGGCCAAGAATGCGACTCCAACACATTTGTCACGAAAGCCACTTTGCCACGTCTGGAGCAGGCCAGCCATCTTCTGCCTGCGACTTCATCCTGTCCGCACCATCCCCATTGGCTTGGTAGGTCTACATAACACAGCTTGCCATGGTGCTCGACATATATAGACATATACATACATATGTGTGCGTATGTTTAGATGATGATTGCAGGTGTTGGGCTGGGACTTGCCTGTTGTGGTATTCATCTCTGTTGAACAACAGATAGAAGGGGTAGAGAAGGTGGGACTCTCATATGAACACAGCAATAGACGTATTCCTCTGCTTTTCTTTAATTCTTCGCCTTGAGAAGGTGATGATGATGAATGATATATAAAATTACACTATATGTATATATGTGGGCGGGTGGGTGTTTGATGGTTTGGTTGATTATTCTGAAGTGAACCTAGGGGGCTTTTTTTTTTTTTTTTTTTTTTTTTTTTTTAATATTTGATCAAATGCTTGATGCCGATTTTTCCTAGTGAAATTTGGTACTCTGGTTTGTATGTATCTAAGGAACTCAAATCCAAACCAAACAACTTGCAGATTGTACTTTTTCCGTCCACCAAAAGTCACTATGTTGTCCCGCAAGGATTGGATGCCTAACCCTGATGCTTCAGGTCACTTGCTACACATGATTTGCCTGTCGAGCCTGATTTGCAAGGTAAGATTTGCCGAGTGCGCATTTTCGGGTAGCAGCTACAAGTTTAAAAAAAAAAAGGGTCACCTTCTTTGTAATTTAAAGATGGAGTGAGCACATTTTGTGACTATAATATATTGTTACTATATTGCAAGACATAGTAAAATTTTATTCACATTTTCTTTTTTGTTTGTTCTAAATTCACTACAATATTTTCAAATTTAAAAATAATTAATAATATTTTTATATATATATATTAATATACACCTCACTCTATCCCATCACATCACTTAAATAAAAAAAATAAATAATAAATTCTCTCTTCAATCACATCACTTAATATCTAAATTATCTTAAATTATCATACTTAATACTCTCCACATAAATTTCCGTGTCAAACACAAATGTTGCGCGATGTTTGAGACAAAGGAAGTACTATTTTTCTTACAAATTTTCTACCTTCTTACAAAAATATAGAAATGATTGTGTTCTTCTAAGTAAATAGTATTACTCTACAAATAGATCATTTCATAAAAATTAAAAATCAACAAGTATAAAAATATACAATAAAATTTAAAAGATAGTAACACCATAGCAATTCCATATATATATATATATATATATAGTATAGCAATAAAAAGAATTAAAATTAACTATAATTAAAAACTAAACAAATTCATTTAGATGTCATTAGTTTTTATTATAGAGTTTGATATTAAGAAATGTTGGGAAATGGTGGATACAAATCTACTTCGAACATGTTAAATAGAGTCAATTTCCTTTGAAGTTGCAATTAACTCATAATAATAACAGTTCACTGACATCTATATAAATACTTGAGCAGAAAAATAATAAATGATCCAAATATTTATTAACTCAGTTGGGTTATAACATCTTACATCTGGAGATCCCAATCCAGAAGATACTTCATTCGGAAAATAGTACATAACAACCTTAAACTCATTTAACCTATATCCTCCATAAACACTTACATTCAATGCACAAGTACTGGAAGTTACAAGCACGTATTGACAAAGTTTATAAAACAAGCCTAGAGTAATGCAGCCAACAAACTGATTGTCATCTCCTTTGGGTCTCCTAAAACTCCTTCCTCCATCGACTTCTCCGGTGAATTTTGTGTATCAAACATTGGTGAAAATCAAGAGATGAGGAAGGACTCGAATAAGAGCTTTTACAATAATTCTCTCCTAATGATAAGCTCTCAAAATATGTTAACTCACTAAACCGAAGTTATCCCATACTGTGTATACAACAACCTGATTTGAATGTAACTTAAATAACAATTAATTCCTTTAACACATAAAGAGACGATTTTCAAGATAAATTTGATGTTCCTTTGACTATCCCCATTGTATCAAATTGTCTTGTATGGATATTTGGATATATAAGACAAAATGAACAAGACAAAACAAATAAACAACTGTTGTATGTGAGAGTTTGTCTGCAGTCTGAACAGTATGAGTCTGTCTGCAACAGTAAAAAGTAACTTGTTGTTTTTTTATGTCCGACGACAGTGCGATTTGTCCCTATGCCAAAAGTGGAAATAAGAAGATTTTCCATTTAACAAGAAAGTAATAGGGTTTTGCATAGAATGAGTTTATAATTAGTTGTTCCTTAATATTTTGTATTGATACCGTAAGTTTAAAAGAAAAAAAAAGGGAGGTATTAACATTCTTAATTTGAATATTTATTTTATTAATTACTCTAATTTCATATAACAATATACTACTTTATCTCACAAAAAATTACATAAACTATGTTAAGTTGAAAATTGTCATTATCTATTTTTGGCATATTGACAAAATACTTTATTTTTTATGTTGTTGTCAGAACCCATAAACAGCACTATTTGACCCAGCTATGCAGTCCCATTAACAACAACCTTGGATTGTGTTTTTTTGGTTTTCCTAGGATAGTGTATTCTCAAGATAAAATGGACACTTTGAGTTTGTCATCTTTTGGTCAGAGATATATAGAAACACTCCATTCCTTTTTTGCTCCAAGGGAATTAATTGCATGCCTGCAACATGTCTGATGTGGCTGCCTTACAGCTCAGGTCTGTGGGAAGGATGGTGTGGTGGTTTTTTAGATTGTGTATAGTGAGAGAAAAAGTGTATCAATCCTCTCAACTCCAATCATTCTCATCTTCATGCATTGACTTAGTGTTATACACTGCTATCTCGCTGGAGAATTCGTCGGTCAAAGAAAAATCGAAATTCCGATCAAGGAACGTCGATTTTGAGTAATCCAAATTTTCAGACATTTGGTAAAAATTCACACTTTTTAGACATTATACGTGTAAATTCGGTAGAAACATAATACATATTTTTAATTCTTTTTTTATTTCTCCTCTAATTTAGAAATAATAGTAATGAAAATATTATTAAAGTGTATTTAAAAGTAAGAATTGTGAATATATAAAGAAGGTTGTGAGAATATATATTTTCTTTATTTATTATTTTATTTCCCATCCTCTCTTGTTGTCTTCAATAGTACCGCACCAATTCAGGGACGAGACTCGCTTGGTTAATTGACCCAAGCCAAATTTTTTATAATTTTTTTAGTATTAAAAATATTAAATTTTATGTATTTATATAAAATTTGCTCTCTTCAAAATTATTTAAATTCATATATAATTATGTCATTATTATTTATTTAAATTTATTAGTTAAATATTAAATAAATTATAACATTTTTCTCCCCCTAAATTTAGATGCTAGTTTCGTTAGTGCGCACCGTACTCCATTGGTATGTAAAATCAAGGATTATAATTGAAAAATATTGTAATCGGTGTGTAAATACAATCAACAAATACAGGGAGAACAAGACCAACTAGTGCCGCCATCAGCCTCCGCCAGGTTCACGACTAAAGAGAGAGTGCCGATTTTATATACTAGGCAGAATCGACACCAACCGGAGATTTCCATTCCTTCACCAACCGGTCTAGAGTACGACTACAAAAATGTTAAACACGGCAAAAAGTTGGTTCAATATGATGGCGAGACAAGCGAAAAGCAGAAAAAAGTTGCCCAATCCGCAGCCTGAGACAAATTCCAGTGATAGGAAGGCCGCCGGGTATGCCATCGTCTTCGCAGCAGCCACCGGATCCCTGGCGTTGATGGATATTATGTTCGAAGGTAGAATTAAGATTTGTGCATTTAGTTGGATGATCCTTAAATACATATAATGTATATTGTTTACTATTTTTATTATGCATTAAGATGTAAACATCAAATATAACATACAAGTGTTAAAATGAAGAATATTGCGGGATGTAATGCTCACTTCCCTCGCACAAAATATGCACAACAACGCCATTGTGGACAAGGTAATTTTGTTATTCAAATAAGCGGTGGCCCAAAAAAATACTAAGTCAGATGAGATGATAAATTAACCCAGCCCTAATCAATGATTTTAGTTGCTTCAATCATTAAAGAATTTGATACTAATTTTCTTATTTTTGTACAAGATTCTTTCTAATTAGAGAATGAAGAAAATGGAGAAGGAAACAAAACCCAATTCTCACAAGAATCAATTTTAATTTTTATTTCATTATTTTTTGGACGAAGCTAATTGACACATGGCTTAAAAATATGTACGATAGTAGAAAAAACTAGAAAAAAATATTAGTACCGTTTATAAAAATGTTTGAATTAAATTTAAAAGTTTTCAAATAGGTACACGTCTATATTTTATTATACATGCAGAACCTTTTTTTGTTACGATTTTTCATTGATTTTTTAACAATAAAATTAAAATTGATTGATATTGTTTATAAATTAAAATTAATTATATATTAATTTTTTTTTTCTATTATTATTATTATTATTATTATTATAATAATAGTACTATAAGAAGAGGGGAGAAGGTTAGTTAAACTGTGGGGTGCGTGATTCTTTCCCTCTTTGCTAAAACGACGATATGATGTGATGACGATGGCTCGTAAAGTCCGATCGAGATTCCTCCTGTACGTAATTCTCCTATCGCTCATCTTCTGCACCACCCTATACCGCTGCTATCTCCGCCGCCCCGCCGCCTTCGTCGTCGTCTCCTCTGCTTCCTCCGGCTCCCTCAATTTTGCCATCCGCGACAACCTCAAGGACGCCGTACTAGTTTCTCGCAAGGAAACTGCTCCTCTTCTTCGCAAGGCACCTAACCAATCGCCGCAGCTTTCTGCCACAGCGGTTCTGCTACCTGAATGGGAAGTCCTGTTAATTGTCTCGCCGGAAACTACTCCTTCCAATTTCGACGGTTATTTATGTTTATTTCAGACCGATGAGATTTCCCCTGCTAGATTCTCTGGTTTCCTACCGTTTCCCAATCGAGCAACATTTGGCTGCCTTATGCCCGCTAGGTTTCGCCGGAGGCGCCCTCCGTGGAGGCAACCGGTGTTATTGAAGTCTTCAGAGAGAAAATCACCACCACCACCGCCGCCGCCGCCGCCGCCGTTGCTATTGAGGTGGTCCTATCTGGTGTACGATTCACTGACGACAGACAACGACGTCGTCTTATTTGCGAAAGGTGTGAACCATCGCCAAGGAATCAACCGCTCGCCGAGCGAATTCCGGTGTGTATTCAGAGACAACGCCGGCAACAGCGTCAGAACGGTGGTCACCTCCTCGACGCAGGAAGTCTTCCGCTGCAAACCGCCAGATCCATCTGCCATTAGTGGAGAAGTGATGCTCTCATTGGTGATCGTCGCCGAGAACCACGTGGTCCCATCTATAGCTTACTACACACGCCCGCGCACGATAGCACCAACCAACTCGAAGTCTCTACTGTGCGCCACCACCATGGTTTACAACGTGACCAAGTATCTCAAGGAATGGATTCTTTACCACTCCAAAATCGGTGTCGACAAATTCCTTCTGTACGACAACGGCAGCGACGACGATCTCGAAGCCGCCGTGCGCGATCTCGTCGGAAAAGGCTTCGATGTCAACACCTACCCATGGCGGTGGCCAAAAACACAGGAATCTGGCTTCTCACACAGTGTACTGTACGCTAGAAAGGCTTGTACCTGGATGATGTACCTCGACGTCGACGAATTCATATACTCTCCGTCGTGGAAAAACTTAATCAAGCCTTCAAAATCACTTCTGCAGCGCGTAGTGATCAATTCCTCCAAATCAACCGGACAGATCACCGTCAGCTGCCACGAATTCGGTCCGTCCGGTCAGTCTGTTCATCCACCGGCAGGAGTCACACAAGGCTACAACTGCCGGCGCAAGTTGGAGAACAGGCACAAGTCGATAGTGCTGCTACACGCGGTGGATCATTCACTGCTTAACGTGGTACACCATTTCGAATTGCAGGATGGTTACAAAACGAGGAAGACGACCACAAAAACCATGGCGGTGAATCACTACAAGTACCAAGCGTGGCCGGAGTTCAAGTCCAAGTTCAGGAGGCGCGTGTCGGCTTACGTCCTCGACTGGACCCAAAAGTCCAACCCTTCCTCCAAGGACCGGACCCCCGGTTTAGGGTTCGAACCGGTCGAACCGCCGGGCTGGCCCCAGCAATTCTGCGAGGTACGTGATAACAATTTGAAGGTATTAGTCAGCAGATGGTTCGGCTTCTTGGAATCGGATTCTAGAAGAATCCGAATGCCCTGGCAAGAAGAAGAAGAAGATGATGAAGATGGGCATTTTGAAATTGGTGTTCGAACAAGGTCAGCCTCTGGTTCTATCCATGATTTTTTTTAATTTGATATATTTTTTGGATGATCGATTGAAATTGAAAATATAAGATAATATTCTTTAGAATGTGTATAAGCTTCAGTTTTGATATTTTTATACATAATACACACATTGTTAAAGTGGACAAAATTTATTGTGTGCAGTTATTTAGGTGTTTTATTTTGAATGCATTTAAAGTAGTAAAAACTTATATAGAATAATTTACACTTTTTTTAACTTATGTTTTCAAGTTTGTTTATATATGGATGATCTCCACAATTAATTTATTTTTCTAAATATATAGAACATATTAAATACTTATTTAGTTTCATATTATCTCTTTATTATTTAATTTTCAATTACCAATACACCTCAGTTATTGTACTATATATCAACACTTTATAATACGTTGGCGCTGTCGATTTAATGCATGCAATGCAACCCAATCATTAATTAATACTTACTATGATCAATCTATATGGCTATAATAATAATAATAAAAAAATATTGTTGTCTTGGGATAGACCAATATTCATTGGTTGTTGTATATACTTTTATTGAATCGAATATAATTGGTTCGATTTATTAATTATAAATGGGGTTGCTTATTATGTGGGAATAGAATGAATTGTTCATGGGAAACATGCATATTCGATCCCCACGATAATGCCTTGGAATAAAATAAAAATACTACTCTTTTCTCACTTTATGCTTTGTAATTGTTAATCAGTCTTGGAATAAAATAAATTTCTGTGAGATTATAGTTTGACTTGCATGGTTAATTATTATTTAACCGGATTAAAAAAAATATATATCTATATAGAACAAAAAAAATCACCTATAAACACACTTGTTCTTTCTTTTCTTTTCTTTTCCTTTTTTTTTTAATGATGTAAAAATTCGCGCTCGCTGTGCGGATAAATACACTTGTTTTGGTTGAATGTGACGTGACAATTTTGTTGTACTTAAGGATACATGACCTATCATTTATGGTTAAATAATTCTTGAATAGCACACATACCATAAATTAATTAATGAACAATATTGAGCCCTAGACAGCTTAGCCAATCAAGGCTGTACAATTCCCATTATTGAAAAATTATGATTTTGACAAATGACACACTTGTACATCACAATTATATATATTATATTGATCAACCACTGTTCATTTCACCCATAATTTCAACTATTTATTCCTTCACATTAAATACTTTATTTCTCTTTATTTTTATAAGTAAAGAAGAAAATAGAGAAAATTTTGAAACAATAAATTGAAAATATATTATGAGAAAATAGATTAATTAATTGGGGAAGGAAAAGAGATGCATGGAGTATGGCTTTACATCTGAATTTCCTCCTTAATTTTGTACTTGAATTACACATAAAGTTGTGATATTCAGTCTTTACTTGTGGCCTTTTCTCACTACTTTTACATAATTAATTCAAATATATTTCCATCCTTTAACTCCATCCCAAGTCATCAATTTTAGTATTTTTTTTTTTTAAACTCGCAGTCCTTGATCAAAATTGTGCATTAAGTGTCCAGGGTTTGAACCCATGACTTCATTATCACAAGTTCAACCCTTCACACCATCAAGTCATCCCTTACAGGACTTTTCGATAATAATTAATATATTTTATTTTTAGTAAATTATATTAATTTAAAATATATTTAAACGAATTAAGTGAGTTCGAATATCGGTTGTTCAAACTCGACTTGAACTTGTTAGTTGTACAAGCTTAGCTCATTAAAAATTTGAGTTAAAATAGTCATTTGAATGCAGCTCATTATGCTCAAATTCATGCTCGAGTTCGGCTCGTATGTCTCGAACTCTAACTCGAACTTGGCTTAAATTTTATATATATAAATTAAATTTATATGATTTTATTCATAATTTATTATAAAACAATATTCAAATTTTATTAATAAAGACACACTTTGATACAAATATATATATATTATATTAATATATGAATAATATAAATATATTATCGTTAACTAACGAGCTCACTGAACAAATTCGAATTCAAGTATAAACGAGTCTAATCGAAATTATTAACAATTCAGATCGAATTCAAAGAAGAGTGGATAAATATTGTGGATATATCTCCGGGTGGACTTATTCGATGTCATGTCATGTGACAATGTTCCACCGGTCACACGTGCCACACGTTGATTGGGTGCCACTTTAAATAAAGAAATATATGGCGTTATATGTTTTTTTTTTTTTTTTTTTCCATGTAATGCAAAATATTCAAATATATATACAACTAATATAATGCTTAGATTTTATTTTTTTATTTCAATTCAAATTATTATTTTTTATATTATCAATACAATTCTCAATATTTTTTACTAAAATAATATTTTAAACTAAAAACACAACACATAAAAACCCTTTATTTCATCCTAACTTTAATTAAATGTTATTTATTACATATGTAATAAATAAATAAATTCTAAAGTATTAAACTATTTATAATATTAAATCCAAATTGTAAACTCCGTCCAATATATGTGTATGTATATGCTATTCTTTTGTACATATATTTTAAGATACAGTATTAGTACAATAGAAATATAGAAATATATTTTAGTCAAATAATAATAATAATTAGATTATAGGAATTATTTCTTTATATTATCTAGAAGATAAAATTACTATAATAAAAAAATGAATATATTGGATTTGCTTATTTTTTATATAAAATCAATCTGAATGATGTACAGCCTGCCCATATAGTTTCTATAAAATATACTTTTATTTTATTTTTATAAAATATCGTATTAAAATATTATTTAAATTAAGATGCAAAATAAAATTTTCAGTTATTTTATGTAATATATTTAAATGAAGAGATGAATCCCATTATCAATCATCATTAATCCATTTCATTATGATTCGCAATAATTTCAAACAAAATTCAATTATGTTATGAATTAATTACATGTTCCAATCTCATTCAAATAAATTTCTCATGTAATATATATTTTTTATTGAATAAAAATGATGGATCCCATTCACAATCATCCTCAAAATTGGCAACTTGATCCATTTCATTATGGTTTGCAATAATTCCAAACTTTATTGTAAGTTTAAAAGTATTTTTTAATGTTAGACAAGTAATTCAATTATTAAGAAAATAGATGCATTATTTTGGTATGTAAATCGAAAAATAGATATTTTATTAGGATACAAAAAAATAATTATTAAGATATAATACTTTGTTATTTTTATTTTTTTCACATATTAGGGAGTTCTTTTATTTTTATTCTTTTAGTAAAATAATTATTGAATGTGATGTTTTATTTAAATAATACTTTTTAGAAAATAAAGATTAAACTAAAAATATATATATTTTTATATAAAAATATTTGTATTCAAAATTAAATTGTATTTTAAAATTTTATAGCCTAATATTATCACATAAAAAATAATACTCTAACTACATCAAAAAAACACATGTAAACAAACTTTAAACCACAGCTGCAGACAAGGTTACTTGATTAAGTTAATACAGTGTTAATTTAACCAAATTAGCACAATAACCTCAAACCAATCAACATTTAACTCCAAAGCACATAGCATAACGTTGTGTTATATAGAATAATGTATTATGTAATTTATATTATGTTGTATGTTGTATTATCATGTATTGTCAGAATAAATTATATATTGTATTATTATAAGTTATATATTTTGTGAATTTATATTAATTTGGTCAAATTAGCAGTACGTTGATGGAAACTAATACAATCACAATGACGGTTATAGTCAAATCAGTACACTAACTTCAAAACAATCAGCATTACACTGATTTGACTTAGTCACTGCAAAAATCGATGCGACGACAACGGAAGTTATAATTAAATCAGCTACTAACATCAAAACAATCAATATTCATCAACAAGAAAACAACATAATGTTATACTCCCTCCGTCCCAAAAGTATAATCTTATTGTGTTAGACACGAGATTTAAGGAATATTGATATTATATGAATAATTGATAAAAAGTAAGGATAAATGACTTTTTTGCCCAAAGTAGGAATAATTTTACGGTGATATCGTTATTTATGAAAATAAAACTATTGTTTTAGGACTGACAAAAATGATAAACAAGACCGTTGTACGGGGACAGAAAGAGTATTATATAGAGTCATGTACAACGCAGTTTATATATTGTTCGGTGTGTATGTATATTTATTGTTCTAAAATTTAATAGTAATTCAATTATTTAGGACAATTCCCCTAATTCCCCAAATTAGGCATAAACAAATTATATCGAAGTTTCACTTAATGCGGAAATGAAGTTATGCATTTATGGGATTAGTTTATTTGTACATACAACCAAAAAATATTCATAACGACGTGACGTAGTAAATGTGTAAGAATTGGCAATCAAAATCATCGTTTTCATTTACAATAATTTAAATAAAATAAAACCGAAATAAGATGGAGAGTACCACTCCTTTCGTCCCATGTATTACCGTAGACACGAGAATTTAGGTAAAGTATAATTAGTAAGTAATTAAAAAGTGTATTAGTAAAAATAATTATTATTTAGTAAAAATAATTATAGATTAAGATTAAAATAAGTAAATAATTTAATTAAAATTAAAAAAATTATAAAATTTAAAATACTATTAAAGTGCATAATTATATTTTAAAAATAGAAAGAACGTGGAACGGATGAAAATAGAAAATAAGAAGAAATTACTTTGGACGGAGGAGGGAGTATAATTTTGTTGTAGACAGAATTGACATTGGAATAATTGAACATTCATCAATGCAATGCAAGAACTGTAATAAATATTGTAATAACAAAGGGGCCCGCCAAATTATTTTAATTTTTTTAAAAAAATTACATGACCTCAAATCTACAGTAGATCCAAAAGTCCCAAACAATAATAACAACAGTATTAATTTTTCTTATATAATGTGCACCAATCCCAAATCGAATGAATGCCTTTTTTCCTACCAAATCTAAATTCAAATCGAACTCACTTTATTCTGTCATAAATCCACCAAAAACAAATCAATAAAAAAATCCCCTAACAGCAGCATCATCAAGATTCCAGAATCGGGTCGAGGAGATTAAGAAAAGGGAGTGTAATTAGCGAAATTAATCCAAGAATCAAGGGCTATTTCAGAAACCCTAAAATATAAATAAATAAAGAAAAGGGGAATTCTGAATTCGGTCGTCACCCCAAACGTTTAAATGCTAGCTGTGAATGAGAGTGACCTGCAACAATCGTCTGAATGCTTTAATTGCTCCTGCTTTCCCCCAAAAGGCCCACACACACTACACTACACTGCTTGCTGCTCGCACTAACAACATCTCATGAAGATGTGAAGAAGAGAAAGAAAAAGGGGAAATAGGAGTTCGATTTAAGGATTTCATTGTTTAATCGCGGGCTTGTGTTTAATTTTTCACTTCTTAGTTTAAAGCTGCTTCTTTTTGTTCCTAGAAAGAAGCAATGTTTTTTGAATGATTTTTGTTTGTTTTTGGGAGACGAATATAACTTCTTGCTGTTGTTAAGTGTCTTTTGCTTTTGGGTTTTGTGGTCAATTTCTGTTTGGTACAGATCTATGGGTACGAGGGCGTAGTAGAGATCTCTTATTTCTTGATTTCTTGATTTCTTACCTTTTTGTTTTTTTGTTGGGATTTGGATTTGGTTGCCATTATATTTGTGCTGTTGATGAATGGTAGTGGCGATGGATTTGGGATAGCTGAGCTTAATTTATTGGGGCATCTTCTTGTCTCTTTGAATTCTGCTCTTATTTGAGGAAAAAAAAATCGATTTGGGAGTACAGAAATGGGATGTTTTTCTTGTATGAGCCCTGGAAATAAGGATGCGAGGGATTGTGATGACAAAATAGCCCCAAGATCCATTAAATCCTCAGGTCTTTTTCATTCATTCCATGCATTGTTTGTTCTTTGTAGTTTTCGCCATGGTTGCATTGCATTTCATTTGGTTAGTAACTAACACTCTCTGTTTGTTCGAATTCGAATCAATGGTGATTTAATTCGGTGTGCAGTTGGTGGGAAAAGAAAGGCGAATGCCAATGGCAGTGGTAAGAATGATAAAATGGTGATGTTTGAATCTTTTTGGAGACTCGTGGTTGTGCAAAAAGGATTGATCTTTATGCTTTTTCCGGTTGCGCCGTGATTAATTGTGTAGAGAATGGGAAGAGGGCGGGATCCGTGAGAGCTAAAGGCAATGAAGGGAATAATATCCGCAAGGGTAATGTGGCGCGAGGCTTCACGTTTAAGGAGCTTGCAATGGCGACGCAGAACTTTAGGGAGGTTAATTTGATTGGTTCGGGTGGATTTGGATGTGTTTACAAAGGTCGCCTAGAATCTGGCTTGGTGAGCTCTGCATTTTCGAATTTTCTTGAAATGGAATTGATTTTTGGAGAAGTTAGAAGATTAGCTCGGATTCTAGTGAATTATATGTTTTGTGCCGCGGTTAGGAAACATCTTTTCGTGATTCAGATTGTTGCTGTGAAGCGGCTTAATCTTGAAGGCCTTCAAGGGACTCAAGAATTTATAGTCGAAGTTCTTATGCTCAGTTTGTTGCACCATCCGAATCTTGTGAATTTGATCGGATATTGTACAGACGGCGATCAGAGGCTCCTCGTTTACGAGTTCATGCCGATGGGCAGTCTTGAAAATCATCTCTTTGGTAATGAATTTTACCGTTCGATTAGCGTGCTTTTGTTAAGATAACGAATTTGTCGAATTACAAGATAATGCGATATTTTGTTGCCGTTGTCAAACGTAGGGATGAATATGAAGCCGTTGAGTTGGTGCACGAGGCTGAAGATCGCTGTCGGTGCTGCTCGGGGACTCGAATATCTTCATTGCAAAACTAATCCACCCGTCATCTACCGCGATCTGAAATCATCCAACATATTGTTGGACGACGATTTCAACGCAAAATTGTCTGATTTCGGACTTGCCAAACTGGGACCTGTTGGCGACAACACTCACGTTTCGACTCGAGTGATGGGAACTTACGGATACTGTGCCCCGGAATATGCCATGAGTGGCAAGCTTACTCTCAAATCTGATATCTATAGCTTTGGCGTCGTTCTTCTCGAGCTGATTACCGGTCGCAAGGCTATCGACAACGCTAGGATGCCGGGAGAGCAAAATCTCGTTGCGTGGGTGAGAACTTGGGCAGCGATAGATCGATAAAATACGATATTGGATTCGAACACTTTTGATAGTATTTTTTAGCTACTGATAGGTGTAATTTTGTGCAGTGTCGACCTTTTTTGAAGGACCGGCGAAAATTTGTTCAGATAGTCGACCCTCGGCTGGGACGGTTTTCGGCGCGGAGCCTTCACCATGCGATTGCGATAACTTCGATGTGTATTCAGGAGCAGGCGAGTTTTCGCCCCCTGATCGGAGATATCGTGTCGGCACTCGAATACTTAGCGTCTCAAGCTGAGGATGCTCAGAGAAGCGGCAGATCTCATAGCCGGACATCATCTTCGCCATCTCAACTGGACGTTGTGAAATCTGAATCGAGAGGACATGAGAAGGTCGATAACGCGCCGAGCTGAGGTTTTATACTCTTTCGGGCAGCGCTAAGTGTAAGAAGGCGGTATATAGAGAGTTGACTGTGCGCTGCGCCGGAAACATCGCCGGAGGAGTCTGTGTTCGTTCTGTTTTCTGGCAAATATTTCCTGGTCTTTTGTAAATGATCGTCGAAAATGTCGTTGCTAACGTTTTTCTTTTTTTGCTTTGGGGTTTTTGTTTATGTGTAATTTTGTTTTTTGGGAAGATTGAAGATGTGGGTTTGGTATATGAAGCAAAGCAATATTTTGTTTTATGATCTTCATGATCAACTGCAAAGATTATTATATACATTATTATTGTATATTGGGATTATAAATTCAGCATAATTTCTACAGTGTGACAGATTTTGACGGGATAAAAACATAAGGAATAAATACATAAAAATGTTACCATCCTCAACAATTAAATAGCATATTGTCTACAGTCCGTACAACTTTGGACCAATTTCACTTCAGGCAACCTTATCTATGACTATTCAACATACATTTCATATAATAAATAAATACACGAGTCAACACTTTTAGTTAGATATTATGATTATTAATCGAGAATCTATAGATTATATAAATTAGTATAAAGTATGAAGAAAAAAAAGGTGAAAGTTTGACAAAGTCGAAGTTGGGAAAAATCGTAGAACCTGCATTAATTAAAAACGTGACTGATTCAAACCGCGACTTTTGATAAATAAAAACATATACAGATCTCTATTTTGTTTATGTATTTATGTATGTACGAATGTTGTTCTGTAATCAGTAATCACTAATCACCACTGTTTCTTCTTCATCGCCACAGCTTTCAACACTACCCACACCCGGATCCGAATCCGAATCCAGACCCGACCCAGATATGGGAAATTGCTGCTTTACTCCGTCTCCCACCACTCCCGGTACGTAATTTCATTCATTCATTCTTTATTAATCCTTCTTACAAGTGAAGAGCTTGTTGTGTTATTTGCAGTGAGCGTTCCCCAAACCTTTTCCGGCGAGCCTACGGTCGACGGCGGAATAACGACGCCGGCGAGTCCGAGTCGAAGACTGAAAATATTCAGCCTGGCGGAGCTGAGGAGCGCGACGGGAGACTTTCCGGAGGAGTCGGTGGTGGGAGAGGGCGGATTCGGGAAGGTCTACAAAGGATACATCGACAAGACGACTCACGCGCCGTCGAAGGCCGGCCATCCCAATGCCATCGCCGTCGCCATCAAGAAATCCAATCCCCACGGCGAACAGGGCCTCAAGGAGTGGAAGGTCATTCTCGTCATTTCACTTATTACTATTATTTTTTTATTTTTTTTTTATTAGGCTTAAAATGCAATTTTTGCAGGCAGAAGTGAAATTCTTGGGGAAATTTAAGCACCCAAATTTGGTGAAATTATTGGGTTTGTGTTGGGAGGAGAAGCAATACCTGCTGGTCTATGAATTCATGGAGGGTGGCAACTTGGCTGACCATCTCTTCAATGGTATTTAATTAATTTGACAATATTATTATTGTTATTATAACAATTTATTTTAATATCAATTAATTTATATGTAACAGATGAGGCAATTATTCCATGGGATACAAGAATTAAAATAGCCCTAGGAGCAGCAACTGGGCTTTCTGTTCTGCACTCCACTGGCCAAGAAAATGTCATCTACAGAGATTTCAAGGCCTCCAACATTTTGCTTGACCTGGTACATAATAGTACTATTTATTTATTTTTATATCGACCAATAATAATAAATAAAAAAAAAAAGAATTTTATTTTACAATTATAATAATATATAATTATTGCTACTTTGTAGGATTTCAATGCAAAAATGTCTGACTTTGGTCTTGCAAAGTTGGGCCCAGCAGTTGGGAATTCACATGTAACAACCCAAATTGTTGGGACCTTTGGCTATGCAGCCCCTGAATATGTTGCTACAGGTCATTATTTGTTCATTTCATTTTATGAAGATTGGATTAGTTAACTAATTATTAATTTTAATATCAATTTCAATTTTTGTTGATGACAAATCTTTATGGTTAATTTTGCAGGCCATTTGTACGTGAAGAGCGACGTGTACAGCTTTGGAGTGTTGTTATTAGAGATGATGACGGGCCGCCGAGTAGTGGACTTTGATCGGCCCGGCGGGGAAGTGAATTTGGTGGATTGGGCCAAACCGTTGCTTCCGAGCAAAAAGGGTTTAAATTTGGTGATGGATTTGCGGTTGAATGGGCTGTATCCGTCGAGAGGGGCGTATAAAATGGCGAAGTTGATCTTAAATTGTCTCGAGCCCGACCCCAAACGTAGGCCGGATATGAGCCATGTTTTGAAGTGCTTGGAGGATATTAGTAATATCAAGAACAAGCCCAAGAGATCCCGACCCTAATTAATATATCGGTGGTTCGAAGCGGTTGGCCCAAAATGATATTGGGCTTTTGATGATGGGCTTGAGCCCAATTTAAAAGATGTTTATGCATATAGATAGATATATATATATATATTATTAGTTCCTCATTATTAAGAAACTTCATGAGGTGTGTCATATTGTCATTATGTTCTAATTGATTTAGAATGTATTCTAGTGTATTATATTTTAACTAATTGATTTACATAATTGTGAGAGAATGTATATTAATTTTAATTTTTTTTTTTTTATTATTATGAATGATTTGTTTATATTCTTCTAGAAAGGAAGCAATAATAGCATGCCCCCAAGGTGTGCTCTCTCTCTCTCTCTCTCTCTCTAGATATATCATATATATAGAGAGAGATTATGATGGGAAAATTTGGCATGCAAGAATTTCAAAATTCCTTTGCAGTTAAGCATAGTAGCAATAATGAATTGCTAATTATGAATCTGACTATTCACATTAAATTTACATGTATTTCAACTTTGAAATCAAAAGCATGCATGCCTCAATCTAATTTTTTAAATAATCAAATATATATATATATTTTTTCAATCATTGTATTATTATTGTTGTTTATTTATTGTGATGCATCAATTATATTATATCTGATTTACTAATGTCTTGAATATGTGTGTGTGATTTTAATTTTTACTGAGGAGAAATGTGACATAAAATGCAGCAGGCTGGCATGCACAACTATGTCTTGGATGCTTTCTCTTTCATAATAATAATAATAATATAAAAATAAATAAATTGATGAAGTGAGATATGATATTAGTTTAGAGAGCAATACAATGATTGGAACTCAAATCCCTAAGCATGTTCAAAATAATCATTACCCCCACATATATATATTTATCTATGTATCACTACAATTTTATAGTACTCCTTCCGTCCCATTAAAAGGTTACTATTTTCTATTTTCGTCCGTGTCAAAATAAGGTTACTAGTTTCTAATTTAGTAATTGTACACTACCAGAAAATTAGGCTATAGCTGCGGTAAAAAAAGTCACGGTTTTAGTACAAATTGATGATTTTTTACTAAAAAGTCACGGAAAAATATACGGAACCATTTCCGTTGAATTTTGCTGGTGACTTTTTTTAAGTGGTGACATTTCTGTGACAATAAGTTATAGAATAATACTATGACATGTCCGTGACTTTATATAGCAACAGCAGCTGCAACAAAATTTCGTAAATATTTTATAATTGTGACATTTTCGTGACAATAAATTACAAAATAATACCATTACACCTCTGTGACTTTATATTAACGAAAGTTGTAACAATTCCGTGATTTTTATATTTTTGAAATTTTTTGAAAAAAAAAATTATAATATAATTTGTATTCAATGCAACCACACACGATTATTTTTTTTCGGAATTACTTCGTACCACAACCAATGACCTTATAGTTATTTTTTAATTTAATCTGAAAGTCGAAGGGTTTCGAACTAGTGACCTTATAGTTATTAAAGACTTACACGACCTGTAATGCCAACTTAGCTATCTACTATAAAGTATTACTTTTTGTTTGTTATTATATTTTAACTATATAAATATTATTGATTATAAATTTATCTTTTAAAAATATATACATATTTATATAATATATCATCATGAATTTTTTTAAAAAAATTGAATAGCTAGGAACGATATTGAATAAAGATATTGAAGATGATTTTATTATTTTGTTATTACTTTGAATAGCTACAAACAATAATAAGAAAAATTTATAGTTATTTTCGTTACTTATATTATGACATTTGATTTTAAAAAGTCACAAAAATTATACTACGACAATATCTGTAATAATTTAAAATGTTGAAAATATTTTGATTATTCTTGCCGCATCTTAAAATAGTCAAGAAAAAATTTCGTGACAATTTTTGTGACGAAATAATCAAAAGACACGGAGTAGAAATATCTTGGACATTTTCGTTACACAAGCCATTACTTTAAATAGTCACATAAAGTTGTTTGTAGTTTTTTCTGCAAATATTATTTACGAAATAGTCAAAACAAAAAGTTATGACATAAATTTGTCACGAAATTACTTTCCGTGACTTTTAATTGTCACAGATTAAAATTTGCGACAAATTTCCGCAATTATCAACCTTTTTTCTAGTAATGGTACTACCTACCTAACATAATAAATATCCTTTCAACTTACAATATACTACACAAAAATGTTATTACTTTTATATTATATCATACTCATAGAGGTATTTTTGTCTTTTTTACTACAAAAATCTACTTTCAAAAACCAAATGTCACCCTTCCAATGAGACGGAGGGAGTAATAATATTCAATAATAAAAATAAAAATAATATTCAATAATAATCTCAGCATTCCTTGTCACACTTTACACCAATTTCATTTACTTTTCATTCTTGACTATGTCCCTCTATGTATATAGAAATATTTTTCATGCATACTTTAAATGTATTAAATTTGGTTCATTTGGCACAGTGCTTGTCAATATAATTTTAGGGTTATCGTATAAAGGCAATAAACTTATAAGTCAATTAAAAAGGCAAATAATAGTAACAAACTCAAATTAATAAATTAGTTACAAGAAAAGCAAAAAGGAATTTTTAAATTAATTAACTAACTAATTAAATAATTCATACACACTTTAAATTAAGATTATTATTAGTATTATATATAGGTCATGGTTTAGGGTTTTATAGAGTGGGATTGGACATACGCACACATGCTCTCGTATTCAGAACCCTACAAATATAATACTGTAGTTTTTTTTTTTTTTCTTTTTATTTATATAACTTTATCGTACAAATAAATTATAGTATTACTCCCTCCATCCCAGTCTGCTACACTGTAGACACGGTATTTTAGAAATAGTGTAATTAGTAGATAATTAAAAATATATTAGTGAAAATAATTATCTTATAATATAAATAATTATAAATTAAGATTAAGATAACTAATTAATTTAATTAAAATTAAAAAAAAAAAAAATTAAAATGAGATTAAAGTGTGTAATCATTTTTCAAAAAAATAAAATGACATAGTATGTGGAACGGACAGAAACGACAACGTGGACATAGTATCTGGGACGAAGGGAGTATTATTTAAATAAATATTTAAGAATATTAAATTAATATTATTAGCCATGCCGCAACGTGTCTGCGCCGTTGGCCATTATTCCCTTTCCAAGAGTGCAAATTGTGTTTAATTATTTAATTCATTATTATGACAAAAAAAAAAAAAAAAAAGGTTTTTTTGGTTTTATGTCACAAGTTGCAACCCAATTTATTATGGGAGATGAAATTTCACCCCTAAGTCACACTTGTACTAAATTCGATATTTTTATCAAATTATTTTTGGGGATATAATAATTAATAGTATTAGTGTTCTGGGGTTGGAAATTTTTTTAATATAGTAGAATAAAATATTTGTTATACTATTTTGTCAAATAAAAATATCTTTAATTTAATATTTTTATATAAAAAAATAGGAGTATTATTTATAAACAATAACAACAGAAATAACTATAGAAATCTCATGTTAATTAAATTAAATGTTGAGTAGTAATGATGTCTTGTCTCGTTCATATTTCTGACACACACTTCTTTGATTTGTCTCTTTTCAAAATTATTTTAACTACTCGCTCCGTCCTATGTAATACGGATGTATTACCGTAGACGCAGGAATTTAGATAAAATATAATTAGTAAGTAATTACGAAATATTTAGTAAAAATAATTATAAATTAAGATTAAGATAAGTAAATAGTTTAATTAAAATTTTAAAAATTATAAAATTTAAAATGCGATTAAAGTGTATAATTATATTTCCAAAATAGAAAAGACAAGTTATATGGAACGAACAAAAATAGAAAATATGAACAAATTATGTGGAATTGGGGAGTATTATAATGTATATTATAGTATATATATCCCCCAATAAATTGTTTGTAGGTCTCCCGTTGATTTTTATTTATTTATTTATTTATTCCCACAATTACATATCTCTAATTTGGACCTAAACATGGAACAACTAATACTATCACAATTTAATGAACAATATTCATTATTAACTCAGCCAAATAAAAAATAAATAACACGTGTTTGATAATTAGACGATAACTTTTAATTGTTAGGTGTTAGTTGATTCAATTAGCTGATTTGACTAGTTGATTCAATTAGCAAATTATATTAAAGTGTTTGGTAAAATAACTGTTTGACATTAGCTATTTATACATAAATAACTATTAAGGAATTGATATGTTATTTTTTAAAAATATTTAATTTTGTTCATTTTTTTAAAATTTATGATAATTTTTGCTATTAATTATTGAAAATTATAAAAATATTATAAAATATTTTTTTTTGTTTTTATTAATTAAATTTGAGAAAATTATTTATACTAAAAAATGATAATTTTTTATTGAAATTATGTAAAATATAAAATAATAAATCTTTCGTTAATATTTTTATTACGTTAATTATTGGTTTAATATATAAATAAATAAATAACTTTAGTTTTTTCTAGTTAATTTAATTTTTAAAATTTATATATTTTACAAATAAAATAATTTATACGCAATAATTATTAATAGTAATTATTTTAAATTTACAAAAATAAAAATATAATTTAATAAATTAAATATATTAAAAATAATTAATAAATACTGCTATGAAAATATATTTATATGTATAAAATAAATAATTAAGTTTTAAGGGTAAATAAAGAATAATCAAAATTAAAATAAAAAATTCTTTCAAAATGTTGGGTAGATGAACTTTTCAGAAATTAGCTTTTTGGTCTAAAAATTTCTTTCAAAAAGCTAATTTATCAAATACCTAAATTAGTTTTTTGACTGATCAAACAGTTAAAAGCTATTGAATAAGCTAAAAAGCTCTTTAAAAAAATTGTTTCTCAAACACACAATCAATCACACATGGGAGCCTCCAAATTTTTATTATGTTTCAAATCAAACCGTACAAATTTATACCCTTTTTTTTTTTTTTTTTTACTTTAATAATACAAAGAAAAATTTATATAAATATATAAAGAAAGAAGGAATATTTCTGATCCACTTTATTTTAAAAATAATAATAATAATAATAATAATAATAATAATAATAATAATAAAAATTGTTATTATATGAAAATCAATCATTAAATTAAAATAAACAAAAAGACAGACATTCACGCCCT